TGGTTTGTAAAGTGAGTTCATGTCCATTACAGTGTCTAGTGTTGATGATACAGAGTTTGACCAGGCATAATGTGTTGTATTTGATGAGTGGATCAGTTCCAGTGGTTTGATCTAGTCCAAGAACAGCAAGACAATACCATGAATTGCAAGTTATTTCCACTCCATCAACAACAAAGTGGAAAGTAAGGAGTTGATGGTCGACTGGAATACCAACAAGCCTTTTAGTTGTCTCAATGATGGTGGTTGCGACCAAGTCAACAACAGGCTGTTGTTCAGCAATAGAACCTGTTGGCTTGGTCGCAGATTACAAAACAGGATCACTTTTGGTCGATGCACTAACTGAATATCCACTCTGTGATGGATCAAGTCAAGATCAACTACAACGCATGGGACTCGCTTGCTGCACTTGGAACAAATGGGACTGTTGGATCCAGTCCACTCATCATCAAATCCAAGAATGATGTTGGCTCAAACCCAACAATCACTGGTTCATACAATTATTTCAAGAAAATTATCCAGATCAATAGTATCAATGTTTCTACAAATCATCTCAAAAGACCTGTTCAACTTGACAAACTCACATACTTGGTTTGAGTATCGGTTTGTCATATTGACTTGTTCATCTGATTCTGCAAAACCTATATTCATTAATATGTATCAACATAGTCTCAAACAAATGTCATTTGGATTTGTTTCTTGGACAACATTGCACGACACTTTTGTTGGAAATGCATTGATTGTTCCAAACAACAACGGATAGAATTGGAAAGGGTAAAACTGTTGTTTCTTGATGATGCTCAACAGTAATTACAAGACACAAGTTTATGGAGACTTTTAATCAAAGCATCGCTGAGTTGGTTGTCATTAAGCATGCAATTTATCATTGCATCAAACCATATTTTTGTTGGAGGAATTTCAAGTCCTGTTGAACTCGGTAGTCTTTCAGGTCTTGAAAAGTGACTTTCTACTTATTCCAGCCAAACTCTGTGAATTCCATGAATTCCATGAATTCCATGAATTTCTGGATTTACTCGTTATTGGGTTGCCAAACAACATGAACAATGAGACCTTGAAACATGTTCTTGTAACGGAATGTGATGGTCTTGTTGGTGCGCTGTGTGTGTCGATTGATGATCTAAAAACACAATGTCTAAACAGCATTGAACCCACTCGAGCAGATCTACTACAATACTGTCTATCAAACAATTACATGTTGGATATGACTCGTTGTTTTGGAAGCGAACATTCAGATCTGTTGGAAATGGTTTTAAACTATTACTCAAGAAATGCCTGACAAAAATCATCGATTGGACAACTTGGAAAACCAGCAAAATATGGAATCTTATTCATCACTCAAAAGGCTGGAATATTGATGGAGTCGTTTGACCTTGAACTTGCTTTTACTTTGCTGTTGGTCAAAAAATACTATTCAAATGGACATTCACAAACTGCTTTCCATCACAACATTTGTCTCTTCAAAAACTCATACGCAATGTTGTCTCATCAATATCGACCAATGTATTAGAATCTGTTTCGTCATGCGGTTTTCCAAATGAAACAACTTTACAGCACATGTTTATGGAGATATTGGCTTACTTGACTAAACCAGACTGTTCAATCTAACCAAAACTATCAAAAGTATTTCCCAACAACTCGAATGTGACGGACACTATTGCTGGTGGAATTGATTATTATTTGGTCAATGGACTAGCAATCAATCAACACATTGACAGATTTGTCATCACAAATGGAAACAACGACAATCCAGTTGTAATCCATATTGAGCCTTGAATTCAAACAGTCGTGAATCAAATCATTAATAAACTACAAAAACAGTCCAATATGCCAACTCGCATTTATCCACAACTCGATATGTGATGTTCAAATGTCTAATATTCAGACTGTGCTGATTGCAATTGTGGTTACAATTGTGGTTGTGTGTAAATATCAATCCAATACTCGATTCAATACTTGATTCAACTTGAGCATGTACAGTTTTGTAGTAATCCATTTGATCACATTGACAGAATCAAGCAATGATTTGATTCAACAACACCGAATGATGCATCCATATCACTTGTATCAATCAATTGTACACAATCAGTCAATATAATCAACAATCACTGTCAAGATTGATTCGATCCATTTAATTGCATAGATCTGACTGGCATTACAACTCATTGTTGTAAAATCACAACCTCACAATCAATCATCAAAGATTATACACCCGCTCATATATGTATTCGTTGTATACCGCTGTGATTTGAGTTCGGTCACTTGTCAATTCATCTCGATAGTGTTTGGCTTCAGCTGGTGATTGAACACCTTGAATATACTGCGTGATATCATTCCACAGTTCAGGCGGTACGTGTGCCTTGTCAAGACTCGAGTTGTACCATTGTGGTTGTTGTGGAGCCACATGTGCAGTCGAAACAATCCGACGAGACGGATTCACTACAAAAAATGTCAGAATCTTGCAGTGTCCTGGTTGAGTTGGATCTGCAAGTTCAAATGATTGTTCTTTGTGTTGGTATCGATTGGGATAAACTACACACCGACCATTTGGTACTTCAAGCGATCCTATATACTGATTTCGCAGTGATTCTCGATCCATGCCATACACATCTTCCCAATACATATCAGATGCTATTTGATATTCAAAACGATCAACAGCCACGCGGTAATCGAGTTTGGGTGTGGTGATATTTTCCACGTCGTAGTAATACAGTCCAATTGCAGCAATCGATTCGTTAATTGGACCTTCAATGTGCCAGTTTCCCTTGTCGTATTTAGGTTTGGATGGTGTCAGTTGAATGTTGGTGAGTTTGACAATGACTTGCAGATTACGACCACGCAGTGACACTGGCTTTGCTGATTCATAATTGGATTCAAAATGTTCCGGAAGTGTTGGTACATACACGGGACGAATGACTTGAGTGTCTGATTCCATACCACCACGATCTGATTGGTTTGGTGATTCATATCCATCTGTGCCATTGCAAATATCAATATACTTGAACATTGGATCCATCGTTCTGAACAGACTTTCAAACATTGGGACAAAACATTTGAATATTTTGGCAATGCATTTGTACATGTCTCGATGCCATATCGGATTCAGATTGTTGATGTATGAGTTGATGGTCACACTGCCATCCTGTTCGACACGGAATTCACTCGGAAGACATTGGAACTTGCATGATATAAACTCGGAATCACCTTCAATGATGGGCGTATCTGAAACAAGTCGAGTCGATAACAATATATCGCATGGTACCATTGTGGTGTATTTGAGTCGTATATCCAGTGGTGCAATCATCGTTTGTCCATATACAACACTGTACATTGATGCATCAATCAGATTGTGCGCCATTTGACCAGTGTTGTGATTTGATCCATGTTCAATATCCGATACATTTGTCATCAATCGCGTATATACATTGTCAGGTATGCCATTGTCCAGTATATACGTCTGTTCAACAGGTCCTGGGACAATTGTGCCCAATCCATCACTGCCATTACAAACAAGCTGTTTGACAAAAACCCCGAGTTGTTCCAATGCAAGATTAAATGTTGATGGCAATATATTCCAATCGAGTGAGTCAGCCCTCCATTGCTCCACAATATGCTGGTTTGTGATATCGATCCACCACATGGGTTTGCAAAGTATACATTGCAGATACTGGATATACTGCATCTCGACAAGTGTGCGTGCATCTCCATGTACATATCCGGCAATTCCAGATTTCATATCAATTTCGGCATTGTCGTTGTATGGCTGAATGCTCGAACTAGCAGTGTAAACCAGATGCTGAAAACACGTTCCAATGATCTGGTCAGCAACCCTCTTGTTTGTGTATTCAGTATCATCCGATTGTACAATAACCATTAGACTTTCAAACATCCCGCCTTGATCCAACTCGGTACGTATTGAACTGTCGGGATGATTGTCGGCAAGATCAACAATTGTTTCGGGTAGTTTTACAATACCAGGGACAGGATTGCCATAATCATAAAAATCCATATCTCTGCGTGAATAAATAGTGCTGAGCTGCTTTACAATTCCATATTCTCGAAACACCTTGATCATCTCGGCCTTGTTTGTAGATTTCTCAATCATGTCGTTGATATGATCAAACAGACGCAAAGAGTCATTCATACTGAGATCACACACTGATATCGTCAATTGCTCAAAAATCAACGATCGTACAAGTGATACAGGAAAGTCGCGTATACCAGATGCAACTGATCCTGCCATCTTGATTATGCGTGTTTTTAGCCCAGAGTTGTCGCTGTATCTGATATACAAGTCGCTAAGCATTTGAATCAAACTCAGCCTTATAAACTCGGCTGAAATCACTTCACAATTTCTAATATCGCATAAACTCTGAATAGCATCAATACTTTCATAAATCACTGCTTGATCGACACTCCTGTATTCATGTCATGTCATATCAATCCAACCATGTCAAATTTACCAATTGTGATGACTGGACACACATTCATGCATAACACCACATACCTGAGCGTATTGACTATTGCTGGAATGATGCCACATTCAGCTGCTTTCACTGGGTTATCACGATGAATATTCCGATACATGGCTTCAAGATTTCTGATAAAACCAGCAGCAACTGAACCATTGGATGATTCCAGTCGTGAAACAAGTCTTGACAACACGATGCCAAACTAATGATATTGTTCAATGTCAAGTATACAACCAAATCAACATGACATGGCACTGTCCAAACTGATCCAATATTGTATCATTGTAAACATACATTTTCATCGTCAATCTCACTGCAAACTTTCGAAAACAGGTCAATTGCCAATCTGAGCACTTCTTGATTGGACTCGTGAACAATAATCTCAGCCATAAGCTTGATGTCAAATTGATCCTCTTGACTTCAGCGTTTATATTTGTATAACTGTGTATATGCGTTTATCGCCTATATGCATATTGACACCAGATGAGTTGAATGGCAATCATTTGATCAATATCAATCATGACTTGCCATCATTTTGACTTGACGGTTTGATGATTGCATGAGTTGTGCAAGTTGGTTGTTTAGTCGATGTGATACTTTGAACTCATTATTACTGTACATCATACTCAAAAACACTGTAGTAAACTCCATTACTTCGATCTACACAACACATGTTGATTAGTTTAGTCATGAACAATCCATTATTGTTACAATATATGAATACCTGTAAACTGGGTCGATTATACTCCAAATGCTCAGCTGCGATATCTTCCAGTCCAATACTCTGTAAGCGAGGCGCTACATCTGTATAGCCTGCCATTTCAAACCAACACAAAGTCAGAAATGGTTTGAACTCATCAATAATACAATGGCTATTAAACTTACTGTGATTCTGTTTGTCCAACTCCATTATCAATACAAGAAGTCTGACCCATATTTCATCAGCCTTGTATAGTTGATCATCCGTTGTTAACAGTTTCAAACCTTCCAGGCGTTTGATAAACTCTTTCATGATATCATCCAACTTCATGTTTGATAAAATTAGTAAAGTTGAATTTTGATTTGACAATTTCATTCATGCGAATGTTCAACAATTTCCAACAATTGTTCATGTTTGGATTGTTGTAAAACACACAAACGAGTTGTTCCATTTTAGTATTGTTTTGATCAGTTTTTTGTAACAAAATTGGATTGTTATCAAACATGCATTCGGAAATACTGTAAATTAATATTCTGAATGTGATCGTTGTAGATTTGGTTCAATAAACAAGTTAGTTTACTACAACACATGGTAATGGATTACTAAACATCATCATAAATCAGATGGACTGGACTGGAATGAGATGAGATCAATGACAATCGCATTACAAACAATGTGTGGTGATTAAACCATCGAGTATTTCCAAATACAAACTTGAATGAAAAGTCTTGCCACAATACTGATCAACTGTATTACTGTTTACACTGTGGTATTATTGATGTATTGGAATATTTGGTGTTCAGATACACAATGATAATGGTAGTACAACTCATGGCAGTTGTACAAACCAAACGTGATTAAAGCCAATAATAATGTCAGACAAGATTGGATAATGAATTAGCGTGTAAACCATCAACATTGACCAAGATTGATTGAAATGGTGAGATTGGGTTGGATGGTGATAAATACAACAAATGAGTGTACAGAGTTGTATTGACACCATTGACAGTCAAACACAATACATGAATATGGGTTCAAACTTGGTGATCGTATAATGTATGATTACTAAGAGTGCACAATGTGTAGATTCAACACTATAGTATGATTGTGTGTCATATGATGGTTGTTGTATATTGAACAAGCAATACAGTCAATGTGTAGTATCAACCAACCGAATATGTAATCATTGTATATCCCAAAACACAATCACCATAAATGAATACCAAAGTGATCCATTTGACATGAATGCTCAGCCAATTGAAATTGATTTTAAACCATCAACTTTGATATGAATGTGATTATATACCAACGCGTATAGGCTAGACATACATATCAAACAACCAAGAAAACTGCTGTTTTGAAGCACCTTTTTAATAAAACTAAAAATCAAAAGGTATAAACATTTTAAACTAGTCTCACATATTGGTTTATTCGACAAAGTCGGAATGATCAGACTCCCAATCTCTGCCTTCATCATCTTGGCGATCACCATCTGACCAGCTTTCATCGTCTGAATCGGAAGAATCGTCAAACTCTTCACGGAGATGAGCTGCTTTGGTTTTGGGGCGTTTTTTCAGTTGTGCCTTTGAGGCCTGCATTTGGCCTGCAAGAGATTCCTCCTCGGGTTCAGAAATATTGTCGTCAGACTCGATTGGTGCAGCCGACTCTGGAAGTACAATCAGCTTTATATCAATTTTCTGGTCGATTCCAACATAGGTATCGGATTTGACAATCACTTGGAATGTCCATGTTCCTGCTTGTGGTGGTGCTTGAAATTGTAGACGAACCTACAGACAGTTCAAAGACAATGAGATTGTGATGAAAGCAAAGACATCTAGATAGATATTAATCAAATATTACCGTCTTGTCATCATCAAGACCGACGACCTTTCCAAAGCAAATCACGCGATTGTCCTTGGAATTGGCATGAATGACCCACCATGTAGGTTTCTTGACCTAGATATGTGGCAATTTTTCAAGCATAATACAGGCCAGACAAAACAGTCAAAGACAAGTCAAAACAGCCAAAAGATCAATCGCATATGAATCAAACACTTACAGCAAAAAAGTAAGGTGCGTGTGGTTCATGAACAATTTCCTTGGACTCTTTCCACCATTTCTTGGCCTTGGCGGCCTCGACATCAGGATCGGTGAATTCAGAATCACGAGGCTTGCCATCACTTCCAACCATGGCTTCTACACCACCATACACGGATCGCAGCTTGACGCTCAGCGTAACAATCGCACCAGGGATGATAGCAGGCTCACCCAAAACTGTTTGTAGAGTATCAAAAACCATGATGGGAGTAGCAAAAATTGAATTGTCAGCACGGAATATATTCAATAGATTGCATGGCTATATGAGTATCAAATAAAGTAGATACTTGCCACTATAGTTTGCTTTGACAATCTTGACAGCAGGGATACGATCGGCAACAGCAATAAAAGTATTTGATTCAGTAGTTGACAGGTCCTTGAGTAGTTCTCTAAATACAAAAATAGATATCAATATCATATTCTATTATATCAGCCAAATAAGCATAATGAATACCTCTGCTCATCCTTTTTCAATAAAACAAACTTTTCAACAGTGTCAATGTTGCGCTACAATTCAAAAACATGACAAGTGAGTAATGCAGTCTGAGATGAATATCAATCAGAGTGTCAGACTATACATTTTTAGTTTGGAAAGTCTTGAGGATATTTTTGTCGCAATAGGGGATTTGCATTAAAGCAGATTGGTGTTGATACAATGCTTGAACAATCAACTAGATTATATAAATACACTTGGTTAGTTGGATGCACAAGATCTATATAGTCAATCCTTTTATACCTGGGACAGCTCAATGATGGCAGTAGTAGTGGACAACCAGTGTCGAGCAGTAACAATTTGAAGCATTCCATTTGTCAAAATAGAGCAGCGTTCAATAACGCGACGTTGAACTAGATCAAATACAGTAGTAAATGTAAGACTATCTATAGACTAGAGCTAGTGGTGCACATGGCCAATCAAAACATCAACGGTACCTTCCAAAAGTACAGGATCCTCGGGAAAGACTCGAACCAGATGGGCATAGATAAGAAGTGAAGCGCGGTAGCTAGCAACTGCTGTAAAATCTTTGCTAGTGACCTAAACATTGAAACAGTGCAGTATTCAAAATGAGCAGGGTTATACATGAATACAAACACGGCGGTTGCTGTATAGGAACAGGTTTAAAAATGATACCTTTTTCAAATGGTCAAATCGGTGAACAGTAGTTTCTTCCATAGCAGTTTGTATCTGCCCAGAAAGTTTTTCATATTCTGCAGCAGTGCCATCTACAGTTAGACTTATAAACTCTGTGGATTTAGAGAGCACGTCAACTAGACTTTTAAAGCTCATGCTTTCCTTGATATCCCTGTAAAACAATGCCATGGTTTCATTCTCAATCTTGTTCTTGGTCATGTGTTTTGCTTTACTCCACCAGCGAGCAACCATAACTGGCATGCCAATACCAAAAATAAGGGTGTAAAACAGTAAAACCTAGACAAATGACAAAAATGCGAGTTTGACAATACGATGAATTACAAATTAGTGCAAGTAGATTTATCCAAATACACAGTCAATAGATGCCAATAAAATCCTACCACTGCAGAGTTTCCTTCTTCAACGAGCCACTTGGGAAGTGCGAGACCAAGCTGGAAGGCTTGAATAAAGACATATGGTTTAGAGTTGAATGATTAGAATCAAAAGCGAATTTTGATGCAATCGACAAGGCCAAGCAATACAACTATACCTTGCTTTCCATCGGGATGACCAGTTTCGTCAAAAATCATACGAGCCTCAGAATCGGTCAAACTATGGCAGATTTAAACAGACAATCTGTCAGAAATAGTACTGGCGACATGGCATAGTTTCAATGCTAATTGTTTTAAAAAAATCAAACTTACACTTTGTAAGCCTTTGAGATTTCAACAAACTTTTTTTCGGCCTCTGCCTTTTCATCCTCGACAACCTTGTCAGGATGGCTATTAAATAAAACGTCAAATCAAATCAGCAAATAGATGGCTATAAAAGTCGAATGAATCACAATTTCGTACAATCTAAGTGATAGTTTCTTGAAGGCCTTTTTGATTGCTTTTTCGGAAGTAAACTGATATACATGACAAAAGTTAGTGTATGATTCAAGATTTGATAATGAATAAAGTATGACAAATCTCTGTGCAGTCGTATTCAAGTGAAATGAAACACTCGAGACTAAACAAATGTTTACATCTATGTTCTAGTACATCGCAGATCTCTAATTTCCAACTCTATTTTGATCCAAGCCAATCACTGGGTAGTTGGCATGGATAGTTGCATTTTCGAGACTGCAATCTTTGTTTTCTCAATTAGAACGCGAATGTATATTAGGATACAACAGATATGAGTTGGATTGACAATAGTCGAGCTCAATATCTGATTTCGAGATTTGTAAGCATCATATAGCGAATGTTTAAAAGAATTGGAAATGCCAATTTTTACACATGCAATGGTATTCAAAAACTGGTTCAAAACAAGACAGACTGCACAGTAGACGAGTTTAGATGAATATAGTTTTAGAATGGTGCCCAGATAAGAGCTTACAGAATCAACACCAAGAATTTGGTAAGGGTCCCACAAAACAGGCTCATCGAACTTGACAGTAGCGGCGTGGTAGGCAATCAGGGCAAAAGAGACCCATCCGAGCAAGATCAAGACAATGCTAAAGTTGGACAGGATTTAGTAAAGAAATGGGAAGCCAAAAAGACAGTTTAGAGGCCAACATTTGCAGCAAGAACAAACCGAACAGATAGCCCACTCTTGGAAGACCTCTTGACAGTAGAAAGATACTGTCGTTTGGCATCACAATGAGGGAAATCGTTATCAGAAGTGATAAAAATGGGGTCTAGAATGAAAAGACCAGACGTTAGTGAGGATGATTCTGATGAATGGCTCGAGAGTCATGACATTCGCAGACACTGCAAGAGCAGCCTGAGAGTAAAACGGATCAAGAATTACCCTGTGATTTTGAAGCCAAAGTGTAATAAGTGGTAGGCAAGAGGAGAATGGCAAGCAAAGTCAGTATGAATACACTGAATAGAGCACCAGTCTCGTCATAAGTATATTGAGCCATGTTGAAAGTTTCTTAATCTGAAACAAGCGTAAAGTTGAAACTATCGCCAGAATGGTTTTTATTATTTCTACATTTTTGTTGGTTAGCATTCGCTCTCGCTTTCATTCAATTCTGTTCAAGTCTTCACCTTTGTGGATTTCTATTATTAATTCAGTGTTAGTTTAATGTCACACTGTCATGATCTACAACACATTCTTACCTTGATACCGCCGCCAACTAATTCCATTCACATTCTGTGTTAGTCTTGTTCAATACACATGATAATAAACACTCTTACCAAGAGGTCCTTTTTCAGATGCTTTTTTTTGCATTTCTTTCAGCTTGATTTGCTCTTCTCTCTGCTTCTGCTTGAATGCAAGATCATCCTGATCATATACAGTATTCTGATTCAATTACATGTCATCATCAAACAAGTATTACAAATACAATCACCTCGTCTGCTTCACCAGATGGTGCCTTTTTCGACTGCTTAAGAGGCTATACATGTATCATCATCATGTCAGTTGAATGCATAGACTCGAACAATTCTGCAATAGTTACCTTGAGCTTTCCACCTTGACGACCCGACATTTGAACAAGTATAACTTGCAATGCGACTGGCAAATTCAATCCTTATCAAACCACGTGAAGTCATGTGCAAATCACCTGATTCAATGATTTGTTTTTCAGTCAATTCAACTTGTCCAAAAATCATAGAAACGCTGCCATGATCGTATCTGCAAGAGGCAGTCTGTCCAAGATCATGTCTGCTATTGCATTCAGAAAATACCAACAGAAATCTTCACTGATCGTTACCTTTTCAAAGCAACTCTCTTTAAACAAACTCAGTGTGCAATCCATGTCCACTCTGCCAAAAAACAAACCTACATCACATCGTATGGTGGTTAAACCAATGGAATTCTTGCATACAGACAATGTCAAGCATAATCCCGGATCGTTGAAAAAGGTTTGTTTTGTAGTGATAATCATGTTTGCATTCAATTGGAATCTGTACATTCCATCATCAATGGGATCTAACAAAGCATGGTCTACATCTTTATGCATCCTTTGAAACATGAATTAAAATGATTACTCCATCATTGGCTTGGTCACCTTTTGTTAGCCAAGGAAATTCGGTCGTGGAGGAAAAGGTCGAACAGGAGGTCGAGGTCGCAAGGGATGGAAAGCTCGTCATCCCAACTCTAGTCGTCTTCCTGGATTCGCTGGTGGTCAAACAACCATCATGAAGGCATTTCCAAAGTTTGGTTTGCAAAACAAAAAAGGGTAATTATAAACATGCTTTACTATATGAATCTGTTTAGCAAATTTGATTTCGTTTTAATCCATTTAATCAGGCGATCGGAGCGACTACTACTAAAACCGCTACAGTTGGATACTCTTCAGCATTGGATTGATCAGAAACGAATCGATCCTACACAAAAAATCACTATTGCCTCACTTATCAAGGCTGGGTGTATTTCTAATGTTCGAGATGGTATCACTCTTTTGGCCACTGGTGGACAATTCCTATCCTCCGCCATCAACATCGAAGTCACTCGCGCATCGCTCAATGCAATCCGGCTAGTTGAAAGCAAAGGAGGAAGTATCACAACAGTCTACCATAATAGGGAAATCATTCGCGCTATGCTGGTTCCACAAAAGTACGTCAATGTACCCGACTTGCTTGTACCTGCCAGTGCACAACATATTTCCAGATATACAGATCCTGATCGTCGTGGATACCTTTCTCACTTGGTCGCCGACGTGGACAAAAAGGACATGATGAAAAAAATTCTGGATACAATCAAGGAACATCAGAAAAAACGGTTGGCTCAATAATCTAGATTTTTGAATACACATTTTGTTAAACTACTTGTTGGCCATCCTTTGCATTGAAATGATAAACACTGAAAAATATCCAACCCCAATATTATTTCATTTCCAACTCGATACTTTAAAATAGCAAAAATACACAATTAAAATTCCATTGCTGAAGCGGATTCATCCTGTGGATTGGATAACTTGATGGCGTAGTTTTCTACAGGAGTCTGGGCCGCAGTAACAATCCGTTGAAATGATCGGTTTTGTGCAAGTATGGGTGCAATTTCCTTGAACAATTCAACTTTGGGCAGCCCCTAGTGTAACAGTATTCATACATGAGAGTCGTGTTTACAATCTTTAATCATACAATCATTTAAACGTACCAGAATCAACGGATCCCAACTCGATCCACCTAATCCTGATAAATCATCGCATACTTCCCTGGCTTTTGATACAGCACTTTCTTCAACTAATTTATGTGCATACATTTTTAGCCAGTACCGATACGCCTCAGCGTCGCCACATGCAACAGCTGATGCGAGTCGATCCTCTAGCATATCCATCGAAGCAAACCGTCGTTGTCGTGGCATCAATCCAGATCCATTAAACCGATTCAAGTACGTATCTGTTGTGACATCTACCAACTTCATCCACGCACGCATTCCGATATGGTAGGTAAACGATACACCACGGGATGTCGTTATAATAGGAAGTCCGTCAGACTTGAAAGATATATGCACAAGTGTCACATCAACATCTGTTTCACCATCTGCTTCGTCAAAAATTAACGGAGCTATGGATATGTGGGTCAACAGCTGTGTTTGCGTTGGGATATTCCTATATAAATTAAAACAAACCCATCAACACTAGACTGGGATCAATGGCTCAATACAGTGGTCATCGTACCATATATGCATCTGGCCCGTGCCGTCAATACAAAGAAGAAAAGGACCTTGGGCAGACAGGTATACAGCACAACTTGCCATAGCAATAGCAGGAAAGGATCTACACGTAACATCAAAAAGTAAATACAATATATATACATCAACATGACAGCAAACCCACCTCCGACCAGATATACTGAATATATTCAAGGTAGCATTAGCACAAGCAGCTGCAACAAACTCGCTCGTGACACAAGCAAGTATTACTGGGCTTGGCAAAACTAAATGCCATAGCTGATCCTCTCCTCTAGTACAAACCAGTCGCGCAACTGTATCATGTTACATAAACGTGTGGTTTATAACTGCAAGCATGTTGTTGTACAAAATTGTCATGTATTATACAGTTTGAATCTTACGTTTCTTTTCGTTGCGACACTCTAGTCCAATATGCTGGTTGGCCGGTCCTTCTTTAGATTCGGCAATGAATACATCGCGTGGTTCTGGAATACCTAATTGAGGCAACGCCTCAAATCCATGTACCATGGGAAGGACATACTTTGTCGGAATCACGCCAGACTAAAATGACCATATTTAATATTATAAACATATGCCAAAGTATTGGTATGGACACGGGAATGATAAAGTATCACTTACTTGCTGAGAATGCGCAAGAGAGTTGGGAATAAGCAAAGCGGCTGAAGAAACAATCGGAATACCACCATTAGATATAGGCGCAGCAGAAACCTGGGTTGAAGTTGGCACACCATTTGCAATATGATGTTCTGGTCTTTTTTTTTCAGGCACCCTTACAGATTCAACTACAGTTGTTGGTGCGCTAAATGGATTGGGAACCGTATCATCTGAGCTAAACACGCACATTACAGAAAGAGTTAAAATCTCAGTGAATCTACTTTGTGACTATATACTATCAAGCCTTGCAGCATAAAATATACCTTTGAATAAAAATAGGCTGGATACGCTTTTTACCATCCTTGGTTCTTGAAATGGTCTGAGCAAGCAGAGTGCTGGATGCAGGTGGTTGGGAATCTCCCAAAGACATGGCCTGTGTGCTAGATATAGATTCTGCTAAAGCCATCTGTGGAGTACTATCATTTACATCAACAGCTGCTGTTGATCCACTGGTATTAGGAAATCCTTGATGTGCGCCAGCCATTAGATCAGCAATACGACCTACAGGCGTAGGTGCCTCGGTTACAGTGTGTTCTAAAGATTCAAGCTGTGCTTCTAAATCCAACTGTGTGGTGGATTCGGGAATGACGTGTTTCGCTCTACGCTTACCATATCTTCCCAAGACAAAATCCTAAACAGTCAAGTTTTAGAGAAATCATCAAATAAGACATAAATTTAAAGGCAATATACCGTTTCGTTTGCATTCAGTGATCGCCCAAATTCAGCCAAATTAAATTCAAGATATACTACAGTTCCATCATAGGAGCATCCAAGAAGCCCATACCCATCCAGTGTCCTATTCCAAAAAACCCAATCATGTTGGTTTAATGAATGCAATGGACACATATACATTTCTACAGGAATGTACTTGCCATGATAGATCAAGAACAGAGTGCTCAACCAGTTCAAGAATATTTGCAATGGCACTGGAATGATTTGTCGACCAAATTGATATACCATTATCTTGACTTCCTGTAGCACAAATTGATATATATGGTACTGGAGCAACTGTATCTCCAACAACAGGCTCAGAACTGGGTTGTGAAAATAATCTAGGATTAAAAGACTAATGCGAGTAGATTAGCTATTAAAACTGAATACACTAGATTTGGAAAAGGATATATAAACTAACGCGATAGGTCGTAGCACTCACAGCAACTTCAACAGCAGCCTTGTGCCCGACAAAGAAATCTTCAGATTTCCAATCTTGTCGCTGAATTAATGGGGCTACACAAACTGATCCGCTCTCGCCGTTAGTAGCAGCAATAACTGTCCCATCGGGTCCCCAGCTTAGTCGTGTAAAAAACGTAGTGGATGCACCAGACTCGAGAGGCTCAGTAATAGTTGTTTCGACTTCCCAATCGGATGTGCGAAATACTTTGATAGATCTATCATCACTCTAGCAACACGATGGATACAATGAAAATACCAGAAATGAGTGAAATATTAAAAAAACCAGACCAATTTCAAAATCATATACCTGAGTAGCAACGTATTTTCCTGCAGGATCCCATGTAATACCTTTAACAAATCCAGCGTGACAGTCGATCCGCTTGACTTGCTCAAAGGTTACTCCATCCCAGATGACTACACGACGATCGAATCCACATGAAGCAAGAAATGCCTGATCATGCGACCAAGCCAAATCTGCTACATCTACATGAAACATGTCAAAACACTTTATCAAAAACAAAGTAGAAGCTTTACATCATTTACCAGATTCATGTGCAGGAAGAATCTTGACCACTCGATACGATTCACAGTTTTTAATAGTTCCTGATTCACCGAATCCAGTATTTCTGATTTTGGATCTAAACCATAGACATATTAGTATAGAAATACAAGTTTTGATTAGATGTGTATTGCCTACCCATCAAGTTTCCATATAACGACTTTAGCGTCTTCAGATCCGGATGCCAAATACTCTCCTCTAGGAGACCATCGAACGCATAGAATAGCACCTGAATCCATCTTTCAGTATACTTGAATCAAAACCAACTGTAGCGGAACCTCATTGCATCAACCTACCATCATGGATCGACATGGAAGACAGTTGTTTTGGAACAGATGGATCGAGTTCGGCTTCTTGGCTGACAATCGGCTTCATGTTCCATATTTTGATATTGACTAATAATAATGCATGAGTTATTGATACCATGGCATTCATGATGTAAAAGTTCAAAAGTTGACAGGCGGTTCATGTGTGAATTACCAAGTCCGGCAGTGGCCAGTTTCTGGCCAGAAGGATGAACATGGAGTGAATAAATAGGAGTTTTACGACTCTTTCCTGTTCGATGAGTGACCCAAGGAGGTACAAACAGCTGCATTCCAATAATTAGTGAATTCGACTATCTGCAAGATCTGCTATTCAGTTTGTTACTTCAAAGAATAATTGAATGCGATTTTTCAAAAACTATTTATCAATTAGAATTGCAAAATTCAGGTTTCATTTCAACAAAATCGGTGGATTTTAAGCAATCTTGTCGATAGTCTTGTCGATAATCTGAAAAGTTTGGCTTATAAGCGTATCAGTCTTGAACTGCAAGCGTGTTCGCTCAAAGAGTTTATAAAAATGGCTCAATGTTCAACTCAATCACACTGCACGGGAAAGCAATGCCAAAATGTCCAAGAACTTTGGGATGAACAATTCCAAAAACACCAACCACTTCTCCATTAAAGTACACATCTGCACAACGACCAGGGAAAAATGTAGCATCTATCAAACCATTCAATAGATTGTTTAGAAACACATCTCATCGTATTCTATTCAATACAACTTACTGTCTGATTCCTTGATGTAAAATCCATTCTTTTGGCCAACATCTACGCGCTTGACATCGAGAATTTGCATGATGCGATCAAGTAAGCCATGAACAATTTCTAATCCAGATGTACGATTAGAGTACAAGGCACAGACATTACGCTGGTTGCGAGCACGTCGTTCTTGGCTCTCGTCACGCAGAACAATGTCGGAAATCTCATAAATTTTGATGGGAAGTGCCATATGTTTATTGGCTGCCAAGGTCTTGAGAATGCCTGGCATGAGACTGGTACGAACCACTTGATATTCAATCGTCTTGGGATTGGATAAAATAACTGCTTCTTTTTGGTCTTTTTTGTTCAAATATGCAAAATTCTCATTGTGTGAACACTGATTTTCAGTCAAGAGTTTAGTGTCCATTCAATCCAGACACATTCATAAAATAACATAGTCAACCTACCAGGGTAAAAGTCAGCACCTCAGTGAATCCAGAAAAGGCAATTTCTTTGCGAATACCCTCTGCCAGCTTGTTGATGGGCAGTGCAACTGAAATGGTGTTGGATTTCGGATGTGTCTCGATAATCTTGTTGAAATTGTATGCAACTGCTGCATCTTCCATAACGTCACAAGCATGAAGCACATCAGATCGAGTGGGCGGAACATCTACAAGGATATCTTGCTTGTTTTCCGATAATGAAGCAAAAAGCGACATCTTGGTAATCAGGCGCACCAGCTCATCAGGAGTCACATCAATACCAATAGATTTGTTGATGTAGTCAACACCAACTTCAACACGACGAAGAGATAAATCTGGATAAACACACTTGCGACCATCAGGATAAACAACTTCTACTGGCTCAACACTACAGTCTTCAACAAGTCAGATGTATGATCATCAAACCAATAAACATATATTGTACTAGATATAGCTTGAAAAAAACCTACGTAAACTGGTTTTTGCAGTAATGAGAAAACATGGTCACAATAGTGTTCAAGACAGTTTTGGCTTTGGTCAAATCTGTAGCAGTGCATTCGATAAAGATATTCTTGGTGGTCAGTTTGATTTTGGAATGGTCTCCGTTGATGATTGGAGGAAGTGAAAGAACAACATTATCTGCGTCCATGACAACTGGGTAGTATGGCTTTTCACGAATAATATGAAGAAACTTGCTGAGTTTACGATCTTCTTCGTAAAAAGTCATGACTTGCGCTCCAGTCATGGTTTTGGTCTGATTAAGAGGAACAAATTGAATGTCATCTGGTAGTTGAGCATCGTATACAAATGGCCCCCTGATCGTATCTAGATCGTGAGTGCCAATAGCAACTAAAGTTCGCTTTCTAAATGTTGCAAGATTTTATCATTGAGTTTGGAAATCATCAAATACACAAGACATCCTGTAAATACAAACACACCTGCATATGTTGGTATGAAGCTTATCCTGCAGCTCAATAAAACTACTATAGGAATGCTGATCAAGAGTAACATTTCGCAAGATTGCAGCAACAACGTATGGACGTACTTGAGCAGTCTATTGAAATTACAAGATACAGCATGGTTTAGATTTTAGAGTAAACCGTGAGTATATTCAAAGAAAACTCACGTTGGGTTTGACAATCAACTGCTGAATAGGGGATCCATCCGCAGGAGAAACAACCGTATAAGTAGGTGGAGAACCCAATTCCAAGTAAGTCTTGATGGCACGAGAAATTCCTTCGACACACAACATATCGTATCTGTTGGCAGGAATATCAATTCGATACAACTTGCGATCCGATGCACTCTTATCCAATGTTGAAGATCCTTCCTTGACTGCCAGTTCCAGCTCGGTGGTCTATGCATTATTAAAACATGAAGCAATCAAATGACATTCCTGTCAATATCGCAAACTACCAGCATTTCAGCCGCAACAATGCCAAGATAACGTTACCACATCTTCCAGCTCAATGCCAAACTCGAAGCAAAATTCCTCAAACTCTTTGTCATCTACAAACACAGCAACATGATCAGCAATGTATTTCATAGAGTGTTGAATGGAAAAGACCGACAGCTAGTCGGATGACTAATAACACACTATCGATTACTCAATCTTGAATGGCAGAAGCCTAAGTTATCTAGACAGATTCAATACAAAATAACACAATGAAACATGATGATGTTTACCAAAACGACGACCGACTTGTTCAAACAGAATATCAGTATCAACAGTGACAGTAGGCATGATGTGTTTTAAATGCCAGTTTGTCGAGTTTCTCGATAAATTTTGTCAAATTTGCAAACCTTCAAGTACCAAATCCTCAGGAAAATTGCTACTTTTCAATCAAAAACAAAACAGTTGAAAACACAAAAATATTTACATTTTCAGCTCAACTTTTATGTTTCGAGAACATTCTGATAGCATCAAACAAGCTGCTGTCGCTGCATTTCGAAAGCGAGAGTTTTCAGTTCGTAAAACTGCACAACTGTTTCAGATTGGCGTACAGACTCTATATAGATGGAATGCTGAAGCCCTTGCCTTGGAACAGGACCAACATCAAACTCAACAAGCTCAACAAGCTCAGCAAGCAGCTGCAGCTAGACTAAAAGAGGGACGTTGTCCTATACTGAATCAACAGGAGCAACAGGTTGTAGCACAGGTTGTTCAGCAAACTGGTCGTGTCGACACAAGTCAGATTGTTGCCGCGGTACAGGAAACACGAGCCATAGATGCTCCTGCCATTCAAATCAGCAGACGAACAGTTTACCGATATTTACGAAAAAATAACATCACCTACAAAAAAGCACACTTTCGGATTAAAAAAACCGATCCCAGTAAGCTCGCAGCATTTTGGCAACAGATGCGCTTGATGGATGCAGAGCAACAGGCGAAAAACATCATCTCATTTAATGAATCATCATTCGGCACACACATGACACCCACTTATGGATGGAGCAAGTTTCAGCAACAGGAAATAAACAATTCTGGATTGTAAAATACTGCTCAACGTGCAATCGTATGTGTTGCATGGATAAGATCACTTGCTACAGTTTTTGGCGCGTAGATACTGTTTGTGGTCATCACAATGAGGAACAAAAAACAACTAATGATTCTGCCTATCTACTCCAACGTTCATCTCTTTTCCTTTAGCTAAAATGCACATCAAGAAAACAATCCAAAAGCATAACCCTGTTTTTTTCAAAAGTGTATGTGTGGATGTCATGGCGGTCTATGCAGAAGCAGTCAAACAAGAACAAATCCAACCACATACATGCCAACGATGGTTACTGGCAATCTATTTTTTCCCCTGTTCTCATGTTTTTTGTTACCAGCTGTAGTGAGTGATTCTTATTACTGCCACACTCATGTAAATAAAACACCTGTATTTATCTCGTAGTCTAGTTTTGGAATAAATATTATTAAACACTTGTTGCACTTGTTGGACATTTCAAATTCAATCAACACATCATCATATAATACAATCAAACCACGCTCTCCCTTTTTGGTAGTCATGTATTACACCATCACCAGATTTATTCATTCTAATTCAGATACTGGTTTGACTGTTCTGATGTTGTCAAACTAGAAACTCGCATGTTTGTAATCTAGTTCAAGAAACCATGATCGCACGTCAGAAATGGAATTGCTGTTTCCATGCCAATCACACAATATTTAAAGAAAAGTTGGAGATTAATATCAAGTATAGAATGTATTAAAGCAAAACACTCACAATGGAAACCAAACATACAAAAAATAAAACAACATCTAAACCTTTATTTGATCAAGTGTAACATAATGAACAACAAGCAAATGTTTTGGAAACAATTACTTGTAAATGTTAATGTGGCAACTGAGAAACTCTAGCTGTATCTAGAAAATCAGAAGATTATGGGCTTGCGATGTCCCTTGGATACGCTGCTAGGTGGTGCTGGAGCAGTTGCAGCACTGGCCGTGAACGAGTTGATAGTAGCACCCTTGAATCCAGTGACTCTGTCAGATGTGAAACGAAGAATCACTGAAAAGTTTTCAGTGGTGGTGGTGAAGGGGTAAGCTCCCTTGACCACAGTGTTTTGGCCACTGGTACCAGGAATAAGACGTCCAGTGAGTCGCGAGGTTGTAGTAATGAGAGGGGTTTCCTTGTTGTCCGACTTGGTAAGTAGACCGAGGTAATCAAACTCCTTTTCACAGTCCAGGTTGACATCAAGATTCAAGCTGACCTGAGTACCCACTGGAGCAGTCATGAAAACTTCAAACGAAGTGACAACATTGTTGTTATACAAAGTACCATTGCCAACGATCCATTTTCCGTTATTGAGATTCCATCCATCTCCGGGTGCAGTTTCAGCACTGTTGAACAGACCGACGGAAGTAGACTTTCCATTAAAGGTAAAAGGAGTGGTAGCAATATGGACGCGCTGCTCATCAGTGGGCACAACGCGAACAGTACGGTAAGTCTTGACAATCTGCTTGCCTTTAGTAGAACCAATAATGGCAATACGCTGTGTGCCAATATCATTAGCAATGGAAGGCGATGAAATAGTGGCATTGTGATGATCAAGAGTGAGCTTTTGGGTACCAAAGACCTTCTTGCCATCATCAGAAGTGATGGTAATGTCCTCAATACCAGAAACCTCGGCACCAAACTTGAAATCTCCCAAGTATGCTTCCATAGTGAGAGGCTCGGCAACAAACATGGTATCAGCCTGTCCATTAGCCTTGCCAATACGAGAAAGGTTGTCAGCAATACGATCGTACTGAGTGTTGGTTGTAGAGTTGGGCTGCAGATCGGACCAACGAGCACGCACAACAATATCTGACTTGATACCGGTGTCCTCAATCAATTGGCCGTTGTACTTGCCATTACGGACAGATTGACGGATACCGACAGACAACATATTGGTATACGAAGACTTTGTTGCGGGGTTAGTGAGTTCTAGGGTAAAGGGGAACTGTTTGAAATCGGTTGGTGAATAGATCATCAATACAGGATCGACATCCATAATGTTGGCACCACCAGCACCAGTGTTTCCATCCTCACCGAAAACGGTACCAGCTTCATGGCCCTGAATATTGGCAGAGAACATGTCGCATGCAGAGAAGCAGTTTCCATCGGTGAAAACACCCATGGGCTTGGTGTAAGCCTGTCCATAAGTGTTGGCAGCTTCAAACGAGGTAAATGGACCAATGTTGGTGTAGCGAGAATCAGCGGGTGACTCGTTCCATACTTGAACCCAAGTGTCGTGGATAGACTTTCCCTTGACGAAAATGTTGTAAGTGACGTTGTTTTTGATGTACCGGGCACCGAATGGCTCGAAATCAGCCTTGAACAATTGGGGAAGCGAATTGGCAAACAGAATGCTGCCACCGGGATTGCCACGAAGCTCAAACATAACAGAGCTGGTATCTTTGAGTTGAGTGGTAAGCAAGCGACGGACAAGTCCAGCTGCAGCCCAGCTACCGTCAGTACCAGTAACTACCAGCTTGGGGGAAAAGTCGTCAAGTTTGATGACACCCATGTTCTTGGATTCTGGTTTGTAGATACCCCAAGATATACCTTTGAGATCCGTCTCGTTCCATTCAAATGCACTGGTATCGGCACTTGCACTCACAGATCCGAAGAGTTCCTTTTGAACATTTGCCATCTCGGCATGCACAGCGTTGATAGCAACTGGGTTTCTGATGGCATCCTCGGCATCAATCATCTTTTGACGCTCATACTCGGCAATGTCAAATGGTGCAAAGCTGGAACTGCTGGTTGGAGTATCTGGGAGCGTAATGTTGGTAACTTTCTGGTACAGAGTACTGCTGAGTTCCCAGCACACACGACTGTGACCAGTGACGTAAGGAACAGCGATGGTGTACTTGTGGTTGTAATGGGCACGAGATTTAAACTCGAGTGAAATGGAATCCTCAGCGGGAAGACGATCAACTGAACCATAGATTGTACCAATGTATCGAAGAGCAGTGCGCTGACCGCCAAAATCATTGGCACCATCACCAGATTTGAATTGGTTCTCCTTGAACCATTCGACAAAGGTTTTGCCATTGATACCCACGAGTTCATCACCAAGCTCAATCTTGGAGTACTCATTGCCCATCAGAGCCAAAACCTCGGGAGTCTTGATAATATTAGATACGACAACTCTGGGTTTGTTGGTGATATCCTTGTCACCCTCGATAAAGTTATACGTCAGACCAGTGGTTGCAAAGAAACAACGGTATGGTCCAGGCTTGAACCAACGAGTGTGCTGGTCACGAATCTTGACAAATGCATCATTGAGTGTAAGCTGGAGCTCCTCATCACTGATCTTGTCAATGTTGCTACGAACACTCTTGATGATTGGGAATGGATCAGCGGCTGATCCATAGTTGGCCATCTTGGAATCGTAATTGACCCATGCCTATTAAAATATTCAAATAATGTGACATGCAATATTGAGTGAGCCAAACAGTCAAATCTTTCGTGTACTCGAAGCACATTACAAGCAAACCAAATTGTCCAATCTCATGGTAAATATAGGTTCACATGGAACGGTAACAGGAAATTTAAATCAACAGTCAATTCACACTTGATTTCAACTTACAGCAAGCACATTTTCGGCATTCTTGACAATGACTTCCTTTTGGGCACGAGTGGTGGGCACAAATGTAAAGCGGCCAGCATCACGATCAGTCTTGATGAGATTGTAGGAAGGATAATCTGCAGACACGACAGAAGCAGCAGTTGCCAACAGAGCAACAACAGATGAAACAAGCATTGCTACAGAGTATATGTGTATAATCTAGGTGTAGGCTGAACAATAGTATGTAACAGCAGCAGAGTTACTAAATGCTGTAGGCCGATTACACCGTGTTTTATTTCATTTTTCTGACATTGACCCGTGCTACAAACGAACACCATACTACCCTTATACATGTGAATTATATTTAAAATTAAAACAATCTGAAAATAATGCTTATCACCCATAAACTTGCACAAGCAAACTAACATGTCCAAAACATGCATGTCACACAGGTGAATTGTGAATATCTTCAAATGATTGCTCTGCATTAGTGATCACGCTCGAGTTTGAAGTTTGTCAAGCACATGAACTACCGCGTGTGTATGACCATTTACAGCTAGCAACAAAGGGTATGAATTGCAGGCGTTATTACATTCAGGGGTTACAGTCTAATTTATCCCCATTTGGGCTTGGTCTATGTTAAATGTGACTATTTTGCCAACTCATGCCTTTGCTAATAGTAATGTGATGATTAAACCTCGAGTTAGATAATAGTACTTTTGATTAAAGGGATTTTAGTTATTATCTAATCTGTGGATCGAATAAGCTGAAGTATCTGATGTGACAGTTGAATAGTATAACTCAGGAAAATCTTACAATGGTACCACCAGCGGTATTTGAAACCATCCGCAACAGTGCAAGTTTAGCCGTTACATTTTGCTGTAATGCAACCAATCAAATATTGCACTCGTTCAGTAATTCTTCATTGCCATATCACACCTGTCAGGATCACTTGATATTTCAATTGTGGCATGACTAGTCAGTGTCGGATTAACAAGTCTGTTCAACAACTCAAGTAGCATACCGCCTTGTGCTACCGATTGCATTTATATTGGATGATACATGACATATCACCAGTTTAGTAGTGTACAAATCTCGAGCCAGATGAAAATCTGAAGCAACATCAAAATTCGTTTGTTTGCTCGTAACTAGTCATTTTCAAAATAATAAACTGAAAGACAGACTAGCGAATGTGATGTCTATATAGAGGATCAGGTAGTCAAAGCAAAACCGAATTTTTAGATCCAAATCTAATCTTGAAATGCCTTTGACCTGTTGTTCAATGCTCACTTATTTCAAGAATAGCTTTGTCGATCCATGAGTCAAGAAAAAAAGTTTTATTCTTTCAAATCCAGACTAAATAGAAAATAGCGCAAAGGATGAGAAGTAGAAACATCGAGTTGGCGATGGGTTACGGTTGATGTGACGAGTAGAGACATTAGCTAGATCCAAAAAGGAAAAGTAGGCAAAAAGGCATTGATATAGGAATACGAAATGGTAAAGCAAATAAAAGAATCGACAAGGCAGCAGACTAACATATTAAAAATCCCATTGGCTGAAATTAGTAGATTTGGTAAATTCGTCACTCTGCCAGCCAATTGCAGAGGTGGCAAAATAAAAAGCAATGATCAGAAAGCAAAAAGTATTGAAGTTGGCATTCCCATACCAATAGCCAGATTGACGCGTAAATTCGTTCTACAAAGCTTTCAAAATACTATCCAAATTCTTAGACAGCCAAGAGTTGCTTGGTAACCTTTGGAGTTGTTTCATCATTCAGATGTCGAGTGGAATATCGGAGAGAGTTTAATAGTGTATCGCAAGCGGAACCGCCATAGGTTTGAATGACCTTGACTGATGATTTGATCTAAGGTATTCATGATCAAGGTAAGATCAGTGATATTGAAACAAAGACAAATAGTTTTATCAATCAAGAGCACATACGCTGATTTTGGAAGTTTTAATAAAAGCGCCTGCAAGATCAACATGATCATACAAAACAATTGAAATGACCATGACACGCAAGTAAAAACCAGTATCGTTTCCAGCTCTAATATGATGTCACCCGATTGAAACAGCAAATGCAAGGGTAAGAAAATTGGCTTTGCACAATGATATGCTAGGCAACAATACATAGTGCAAGACTAAATATACCTGTTCTTTGCAACAGTGCTATATGCAATACCAGCCAGGGTGGACAGAATATCCGAAGCAGCATCTTGTGAAATGGCGCGTGAACTGATGGTCAAAGCAGTAGCGTCGATCAAGGCCTTGGTGACTGGGCTCGAGTGTGCAAAAAAAAGAGACATTTTATTGGCCAGATCGTCCGAAACAACAGCGACAAGTTGTGCCTAATTAAAGGATTTTAAAAGGGATCATGTTAATGACAGAATTGCGTTGAATAATTCAAACACGCCAACATACATTATTCATTTTCATTCGAGAAACGCTGCGACGGTAGTAGGAAAAGTCATTTTGGACATTTGGATTACTCATCTAAACAAATATGGCAAGCAAGCGGGTTAAAACCATTTCAGACAATCAACACAAGCTCACTAATAAGAATACCTTGAGACCGTCAAATTGTGTTGCAAAGTCAAGAATTTCTGCAAGGCGTCGAGCAGTTGCCTGATACTTTTCAAAACTAGCAGAAACATCGCCCTTTCCAAAGAATTGCCAGATTCTTGGAACAAGTTGTTCTATTACAACATTAAATTCAATAGAAGAGGTTTAGAATCAAGACCAACTTGGCTATTTGGTGTAGTTGGACCACCCAACAAAAGTATATTTGACTTTTTTGAATTATATTTACCAATGCTGCTGCTAAAATCATAAAACTCTTTTAGTTTTACAACGGCGGGACAAACAACTGCCCATGCGGCATCTTCAGTTGCTCTTCCTGGAGTGGAAATTGCCTAGTTACAAATATTACAGTGGCATAACTGTTAGTCAAAGATCCAGGCTAAACAATAGGATTCTAACAATCGTAAAATACCTGTCTAATAGCCTCTCCACAGCCAGTATAGTTTCTCAAATCTTGAAGAATATTTGGAGCAAAGGAAAGTATTTCTGATGCTGAATTATAAATTTGCTGTTCTTCAGGAGTAGGTTGTGCTATAGTATTCAAGTTGAAAGTGAAATTAAACAGTAAATGTTAAAAATTTGAAACAAAGACGCCAATCAACTAAAACTATAAAATGTCTAGCATTTTGATCTAGTTTAAAACTGGCTAATCCACACATTGTGATTGCAATTTAAAACCCGGTGGCATCACAAGACAATGAAATGTAGCATCAGCCAAGGACTGAAAGTCATGGTTAAAACAAGGAATGAATTGAAAGTCAAATTAGACTCAGTCTCTGCAGAGTAAGCAGCAGTCTACCCGCCACACAATAAATTAATGACTGACGTCAATATGCATCATGGGTATGTAGGGTTACAAGTCAATACTATACAGTGTATAGGGGACTAGCAATCCAACACTCGACCCGCACCTATAGATTGAACCCAACATATTGCGCATTGACAAGCGTAATATATGAAAAATAGTTTGATCTTGGCAATTGAGTGGTGGCATATCAATAAACAGTAATGCATCAATCTATGCTGATTGCAGCAACCAATATTCACTTTAGGAGCATTGACTGGTTGGAGGACTTAGTCAATGATTGTTTTAGATGGAAATAAATAGAATGGTTACTGTCTAGTGGTTTGAATCCAAAAATGCAGCAGTTGGTATGTGTGCTCAAATGGTGCTGTAGATAATCACATGTGTATACGTATGGTTTTACACCACCAGCACAAAGAAAGAGATGACCAAATTTAGCGAAATGGAATACCCATCAAGGTTGAAGCTGATGTCGGATAGCAGATGTAATAAGTGATCGAATATCACCGTGACTGTTGCAGTTGCATGGCTGCTGTCATTCGAGTGCTTACTCGTCTATAATCTGCAATAAACCGTCTCATTGGAGATAATAATCAGAGTGAATTGGATTACCAATACAATATACACAAAAGTAAATCTAAATGCAATCACCAGAAGAATATCAAGTAGTGGCCACACTTTAGCCAGGCTGTATTTAAACATTGGTGATGCAGATAGACATGACAGCATCCGAGCCATTAACAATTGAATAAAACTCCCAAAAGCAACAGTTATATAGTGGTGAAAAGCAGCAGTGACCTAGTCAATACACACCAACGCAAGTGCAATCCATTACTAGGATATACACCAGTAACCACACATCCACGCCTTTCCCTACAGGTGATTCTTGTGCCAAAACAGCAATCTCGAATGTAGCAGTAAAAAAACAATTGCATGCAATCCAAATCTAAAAATATTAAAGAAACAGACGCACCATTAAAGTCGATAGGAATATCAATAGGTTCCTCTTCCTTTGCACCACCCTTGAAAATAGAAATGATGGCACCCATTGTGAGCAGATGCAATAAAATGAGTGGATTCGAAAAGGATTAGAAAGCGCGTTGTGAAGATTTGACAGAAAGTGAGTTGGTGGAGTCACGTGGACAATCACAACATCCACACTGACTGCACTCGATTTGCAGGAACATTACAACTGGATTCACACAAAATGAAATCATTTTCTGTATCTTGTTTTGGAATAAATATTATTAAACACTTGTTGAACTTGTTGGACATTTTAAATTCAATCAACACATCATCATATAATACAATCAAACCACGCTCTCCCTTTTTGGTAGTCATGCATTACACCATCACCGGATTTATTCATTCTAATTCAGATACTGGTTTGACTGTTCTGATGTTGTCAAACTAGAAACTCGCATGTTTGTAATCTAGTTCAAGAAACCATGATCGCACGTCAGAAATGGAATTGATGTTTCCATGCCGATCACTAGGGAAATACCAGCAAATTAGAGTTTAATATCCAGTAAATTTGGTAAAAACTATCATTTCATGAAACTAACCGTTTATCTATTTTATCACTTTTATTTAGTATTCTATTCTGCGTGAATACAGCGGTAATATGGGTCGAAGGAAAACTCCTGTTGCTACTTCTACTCGAATGAGCGGCTCTACTCTTCATGTCTTGAAGCCAGCCATTCACTCAAAGCCAATCACTCATTCAAAATCAATCACTCATTCAAAACCATCAAAACTTTCTACAAAACACTCTCGCAAAACTTGCTTCATTTCAAAGCTTGCTGAACAGAGTTGAGTTGAATGCCATATTACAATCTATCATGGCTTGTCTATAACTATGTTTTGTAAATTCATTTCAACTAGAAAAATCATGGAAAACCAAACCGAGCCCAAAAAAAGCATTGGCTGATTGGGATGGATTAAAGGCGGCTCTTACTGGAGATATTGATGCTAGCGTGGAATTAACTACCAATTCATCAGCATTGAAAACAGTTGCCAACAGCACAACACAAGTATCCCAAAAACCAGTATCTCAAGGTGCTCGCCAGAAACAAAAGTAAACATTTGCATATTAACAACTGGATTGAATTAGATTGTATAGCTTACATTTACATTTAGTCAACATGATATTAGTCACTTTAGAAAAGTATTAGCACATTCCCAATTCCGTGCCAATCCCATTTCCACCATTCAGATGCACTTGAAAAACACTATATAAGGATATTCTTATACAGTCATGCATGGCCATCATTGCAATTCCTACTGAAATAAACAATTTATACAGATTTGATGTAGAAACAATCAAACGATCTTGATCCTTATTAGTATCTTTAACCCTAATTTTATTTCTTACTACAAATACTTTGATCATTCTTGAAAAACACAAATGGCAATCACAAAGGTATCGACTAATGACAACGCAGCCATATCGCATGCAATCATCTGTAAACTAATCCTGAATACCAACAGATTCATGCTCGTCAAGTCTACGACTCTCGTGGTAATCCCACTGTCGAAGTCGATGTAACCACTGAAAAAGGTAAAGTTGCTGTACTCCAGTCTGCAGTTCAACTGTCATCTATGATTACTATATACAATCCATTCGTCATTGGTTTCTGATCTGTACTCTGTATCTACAGGCACGTTTACTGCTGCTGTTCCTTCTGGTGCTTCCACTGGCATTCATGAGGCTTTAGAGCTGCGAGATAATGACAAGGCCAGCTATCATGGAAAATGCAAGTATATTATATATTCCTGCTATGTCAATCCTGAATGCGATCGGATGAAACCATGTATCGACTCTAGTCAGTTGTGATCTACACTGCATTAGATTGTTCATGTGTATATTCATGTATCGACCCTAGTCAATTATGATCTACATTGTGTTAGATTCGTGTGTATTTATATCCATGCATCGACTGCCTGTATACTATTTTACAGCTGTTTTCAAAGCCATTGCCAATGTCAATGATATCATTGCTCCAGCCTTGATGAAAGCCAACATTGACGTTCAGCATCAAGAAGCTGTCGATCAACTCCTCCTTACTCTTGATGGCACTGAAAACAAGTCAAAACTTGGTGCCAATGCCATCCTCGGTGTCTCTCTTGCTGTTGCTCGTGCTGGAGCTGCTGCAAAGGTAATTCAATGCTATAGCATGACTTGGTTTATGGAAAACACCTCCAGCTGACCTGTGTTACTGTTGCTCTTCAATCTATCAATACGCAGGGTGTTCCTCTGTTCATGCACTTGGCTGATCTGGCCGGAAATACCGATCCCTTCATTCTTCCCGTCCCTTGCTTCAACGTCATCAATGGTGGTTCTCATGCTGGAAACAAGCTTGCAATGCAAGAATTCATGATTTTACCTACTGGTGCCAAGTCTTTCACCGAAGCCATGAAAATGGGATCCGAGGTTTACCATCACCTCAAGGCTGTCATCAAGAAAAAGTATGGCCAGGATGGTGAGTTGATTTTTGATATTCTGATTCTTGCTGAAATCCAGAGCAGATCTTGGTATCCTTTATCTTCGTGTTGTGATATTGCAGCTAATCTTTGTGTAATATTGGACGTTTGAATGTGCTATAAGCCACCAATGTTGGTGATGAAGGTGGTTTTGCTCCCAATATCCAGGATAACAAGGAAGGTCTTGAACTTCTCAAGGTTGCTATTGAAGCTGCTGGCTACACTGGCCGTATCAAAATTGCCATGGACGTTGCTGCCTCGGGTATGTTCAATGTGTATAAACCAATGGTGTTTTTACAACAATTTCATGTAATTTTACTGAGTTGATTCAACTAGAGTTTTACAAGGATGGCAAGTATGATCTTGATTTCAAGAATCCCTCTTCGGATGCATCCCAGCATCTTTCTGGTGCCCAGCTTGCTGACCTGTACCGATCCTTTGTCAAGGATTATCCCATTGTCTCCATTGAGGATCCCTTTGATCAGGATGACTGGGAAGCCTATCACAAGCTTACTCAGAGCGTGACCATCCAGATTGTCGGTGACGATCTGACTGTCACCAACCCTAAACGTATCCATACTGCCATTGAAAAGAAGGCTTGCAACGGTCTTTTGCTCAAGGTCAACCAAATTGGAACTGTTACCGAGAGTATCAATGCGTAAGTGCCAGACACTAGTTCTGTGCAAGTCTCTTGCTTTATACTTACTGCATTCTTACAATACTTTAGTGCCAAACTTGCTCAGGCAGATGGTTGGGGTGTTATGGTTTCCCACCGCTCAGGCGAAACCGAGGACACTTTTATCGCCGATCTGGTTGTCGGTCTCAAGACTGGCCAAATCAAAACTGGTGCTCCGTGCCGCTCTGAGCGTCTTGCCAAGTATAACCAGCTTCTTCGGTGAGTAGTTTTATACATTTGAATTTAAAGAAATGTAGTCATATCCATCAATCACGTATCACTCATCAAACTCTTGATTACTTAGTATTGAGGAAATGCTTGGTCCCAAGGCTCGATATGCCGGTGACCACTTTCGCCGCCCACAATAAATAAAAAGAGATATACGCTGCAGCAGAGTGCAACAAGCTTGCTTTGCTTCCACTTTGCAATATTTCTCTTTTTAAGCATCTCAATAGCTTGATTGATTCTAAATGAATGTCAAGCTTAATTTGTCCATATAGTGCTTGTCTAATTTTGATTCTAAACAGTGATGAATATATCCGAGTATTTGGATGCTTGAACTTATTATCAATTGTAAGGCGCTAGTAGTGTAACTAGTCATTCATAGCTCAAATTATGTCATAAATACACTTGAACATACGCATCTAATTTCAGCCAACTATGCTACGCTACAAAAAATACCTCAACCAACACTTGGATAACAAGATAGATGGAGATCAAGATTGTCTTGTTAAAATATACATGGCATCTACCGTGTCATCAATAGCATTGAGGTGAATAGCACAGTTTAGTTTAGTTTCATCAATATCCTGTCAAAAGTCTAAACAGTGGTCCATCTAATGCGATGTCAACGCGTTCAATTTATTGATCAATTGAAATGGGATAAGAAACTTGAGATTTATTGAGGAGGAAGCTCAAATGGAAACCCATCTTTTCCAGTCAGGAAATATGTGGCCATTTTTCCTTTACCCTATAATTTCATCAATGCATACATTTGAATCAATACATTTAATGCTCACTAAAAGTAAATGGTTGGATTTGATTGTCAAGATTTACCTTGACGTCAATTTCTCCTCGTGGAGATGTGTGGTATCCTCCAGCTTCTTTGAGATATGTGTAGGTACTTTGACTGATTTGAATTTTCATTGCTGTAGGAATTCAAGTGCAAAAGTATACGATTGTAAAAAAAGTTAGGGTATCACTTTCAAATACATGATACATTGAGTATCCAATCAAAATGTAATATAGTACTTACGTGCTCCAGTAGACTCCATACGCGAAGCAGTATTTACAGTATCTCCCTACACATTGAATTGGATCAGTTATAATCGATATCAAATCTTAAATTGCAAGTGCAACTCAAATCTTCCACTTACAAAAAGACAATATCGCGGCATTTTAGATCCAACTACACCAGCAACCAAAGGTCCAGAATTCAATCCAATACGAACACGCAGTTTCAAATCTGGGGTTTCTGAGAATTTAAAAGCATGGACCTTGGAAAGAATATCCAATGCCAATGTCGCCGTTTCTGTTGCGTGACGTTTTCCGTTTTCAGTTGGGACACCTGAAACAATCATGTACGAATCACCAATTGTTTCCACCTTGTAAACATCATACTTTTCAATCGTCTCGTCAAATATTTTGTAAATAGCATTGAGAAGTGAAACAGTGGCAATTGGCGAAACACCCGAACAAAGAGTAGTAAACCCAACCACATCAAGGAAAAAGACGGTTGCAGATTCAAAAGATTGGGGCTGGACGGTTTTTCCTTCCATAAGCTGGCTAGAAACACTTGGTGGGAGCATTTGTTGCAAAAGTTCGTCTGTTTTTTGACGAGTAATTCTTAGTTTGGAAATCAATCCTTCCAGCTCCTTTTTCTTGGCTTCGTCCTTTTCAAATGCCTCTTTTTCTTGACGAACTTCTTCAGTGAGATCGCGTGCAATACCAGTAAACAAATGCTGGCCATCTTCCTTGACTTCAGAAACAGATAATAAAAGCGGAAACACGCCATCATCTTTTCGTTTACCAAAGACTCGACGACCCATTCCAATCACCTTTTTAATCCCAGTAGTCAGATAATTGTTGAGGTATTCGTCATGTACACTTGCATAGTTTTCTGGCATAAGCATTTTGATATTTTTCCCAATTACTTCGGCAGACTTGTAGCCAAAAATCTTTTCAGCAGCACAGTTAAATCGACAGATAATGCCTGTTGTATCGATATTAATAATGCCATCATCAACCGTCTCAAGAACACTATTCAAGATACGACGCTCAACAAGCATGCGCAATTCAGTGTCATGGATCGCCTCCTCCATTGCAATTTCTTTATCTTGAACATCAATCATGAACTGAATTTCCTCTTGATGATCTGCATGAAGTTTTTCCAACTCCAATTGATGTTGCTCGGCCAATTCAGCCATACGCGCTTCCACCGATCGCTCGCACTCGTAGAGCTCTTGCTGAAGTTTACTCGTCACAGCATTTTTGGCTTCGGTATGTTTTGAAACCATTGCTCCAATTGACCCTATTTGATTATTGACTTTGAAATTTCCAGAATATTCTCCATCATCGTCATCAAATCGAGAAGATAAAAGTGAGTTTGCTCCAGCACTACGGTTAGAGCTCATTATTACTGATTGTAAATTTTGGTTTAGGTTGCGCGGAGATAGAGAGTATGACATCTGACTTCCATCCAAATCAGATGCAGCATCGTCCATAGAAGTGATTGATCCAGATCGCGACACCCGCTTGCTACCTGCATTTGACATGGGAGCAGATCCACCGTTTTGACTGGCAGATTTGTAAGTCTTTAACAATCTCACTTTTTGCTCTTGTTGAATTTTCATCTGCCTTATAGCAATTCGATGAGTCTGCTTGAGTCGCTTGGTCTCGGCTTGATGAGTAGCAACCATTGATTTGAGCTTATTATCTTCATGCTGGGCAAGCAACCGTTCCTTTTCCGCGCGAAGCTCAAGAGATTGAGATACAGCAAGCTCATCTATCGTAAGAGTATTTAGACTTTTCACGCTATGAACTTCATCAAAACATTTTATGCTCAAATCAAATCGTTCCTTGGCGTGACGGTGTTCAATGCGATGTACTTCGCGAAGCTGGTCGTTGATTCTTTTGTTGAGGTTGATTTGGTGAGTTTGCCTTGTTTGAAGTTTTTTGAGCAAACTGGATCTTTTTTCATGCTAAACATATTACATGAATAAACAATTTGGAATTGACAAAGTGTTGAGTAAATATCCAAACCATAACAGTGGCATTCAGTTTCATGACAACAGAATACACGTGGCATACCAATTGCTGCATGGCTTCCATTTCACCCAAAGCACGTTCATGAAACTGTGCTCGATTTTGGGCTTTGGCCAATTCCTCGCACTGCATCTCCTGAATTTTTTCCATGTGTTGTACAAGAGCTTCAAATTCCTCACGCTTGTCATTACGAGCAGTACGAATCACCTGTGCTGCTTTTGCTGCTGCTTCCTGTCGCAAAATAATAAGATCTCGACGCTTGGTTTCACGGATAAGATTGCGCTGCACTCGTTTGGCTTCTTTACGATCCATACGTGCTTTTATTTTTTTTTGAAACGCAATGTTCATTTCTGAAAGCTCCATTGCCTATATGACACATGTGTTATTGGATTAATAAATGAAACTGAAGTGTATTGATAGACGATGCTAGAAAAATAAAACACACGGTTCAAGCCAACACAACTAATGGTTAAATTCATGGATAAATACTGTATATTCAGTCCATAGTGATAATGGTTTAAAAGTGAATTTGGATAACCCAGGCCAATGTAGCATCAACACACGGGCTCAAACAAAACAATTTACATGAAATATCACAATAAAATACAAGTATTACACGGATCTTTGAATACAGACTAAATAGGATCAAATTGTTCCAGGCATGTAAAAAACAAAGCAGTCGTTTTAAACCATGAAAAAACTCATACCTGATAACGTTGGAGTCTTGAAATGTCAATATCGTTTCGACCCATGGTAAATGCCAGATCTTCCTTGCGGCGCACCTCCTGCCCAGCAAGTAGCAGATTGGCTTCAACTACTTGACACTCGGTTCTCAACTCTTCGATTTCACGAGAGTTGATGGCCCCTCCACGACTGCTGGAATGAAGCGTAGCACTACTGTTGACAGAAGAATTACGGCGGGAAAAAAAGCTATTCGAGCTTTCGTCGGTAAACCCTGAACCATCGTCAAGTGTCGTGTCCCCGGATACAACACGAAGACTCGATCTAATGGACAAGTCTTTTGTTTGCTCAGATTGAAAGGAAATTTGGCTGGAAGAACTCGGAGTGACAGCATTCTCAGCAGGTATGGGTTCGTTATTTTGAAATGTGGTGCTGCGACGACCATCAGTTGGTTCAGACATGGTGACAGTGTTTTTACGCGGTTTAGTACCACCACTAAGATTAGTCACATCTCCATCTTGCCTTTTCTTTGAAGCAAAGGTATATTGTGTTGGTTGTTCCTGATTATACATTTGCTGCCTCGACTGCTGCAAAGAGGGCTGCAAACTGTTTGTCAAGGCATTCGTCAGCTTGGTGGTAGAATGCTCAGATCTGGGTATGGCTCGATTTAATAAACATTTTTGACGTCCTTGCTCTGGTATAAAAACCTTTTTTTCTGTATTGTTCCCTGTAGTCTCTAGCTGCTGAAAGGCTGACATGATTCAATTGCTTTTCAACAAAACTACTAGCAAAAGGGGCTGGGCGCAATTTAAAATAACACGACGGTTTTCGACAAATTGAATATCAAATGTATATTGCTATCTATGCAGAAACGTATTAAATGTACGATACAATGAGTAAAAAACAAAAGGTTTAACAAAACTGCGCATAGTATAAATATTCGAGGTTATATTTTTACCAAAAATCCAATGGTGAAAGCAATTTTCATGGTAAAGTTGTTGGATCATCATCCTGTTATCTCCTGTTAGAATGCATAAGAGCCCGTATGACGACAAAACTCAGCAATCGTCATTTTTCATCAGATTCAAGACCATTCTAGATACATTTTTAACTAGACAATGTCGTGTTTTTGTTTAGAATAGTACAAATACGCAAGTGTCATGATTTGTCAAAGTGACATCATACTATTTGATAAATACAGTATTAAAACAGTCTAGTTGTCTTGATTCTATTCAATACTGTGCTGTTTCTATTGCCCAAATACGATAATAAATGCGCAAATGTCGAGTGTATATTTGGCTCGGTGTTGTTAGCATTATCATTTAAATAAGCAATATGCTTTTAAATCATTGTTGCAATAGCAAAATCAAGCTTGAGTATGCGGGCTACTTTTTATTAAAATAAACTCAATCGAGTTGAACATTGCAAGTTTGCAGCCGTATCCATTTAAATGGGACATCAAGAGTCGACATAATAAATAGTTGAAATAATTCATATCAAATTTATTGGGCAATGTTGTATCATTTAGACTCTGCAACAAAGCTACAGATTCATAGATTAAACGTAGCCTGCCAATTGCTCAACAAAACAGCAATGTCGCGAGGCATAAAGCTTTATATTGTTCATTTTGGATCCTACTGACAATTACTTGGCATAATAAGGATGGATTGTTTCCCAAATAATTCCAAACACAAACTGACAATGTCTATTCAAGCAGTCAATTTGTAATAGGAAAGCACAGCGAATATTCAACCATTGTCTATTCCAAAGCAAGACAAATTGCAAGACAAAGGTATTCCATTTTAGGTGAATACGGTGATGATGCTACATATTGAAGACGCGAGAATAAAAGTAGATGTCTTGAAATACACGAGCTTTATTATCATAAAATAAGTGTGCAAGTGGTAATCGTTGATGCTCAGATATGCCAAGCTTAAAATTTGAGAGAAACGCTACCAACATTGGTACTAGCCTCAATCATACTTGGGTTAGCAGCATCAGGGCTACCAACATGACCAGCTCGAACAACCCCGAAAAATCCAGTCTTTTCATGATCAACTGTAACATCCTTGCCCTTGACACTAACACTTCCAATAGATGATTCGGCAGTAAATTTACCCACAAACTTATGAACTCTGCTGGTCGGCATATCAACTACTCGTAGATTGACCTCGCCGGCCTTGGTGGATGCAATCGTTGAAGACCCTTGTTCAGGAGATATGCCTAGACTGATCTCTCCAGCTGCTACACTGACGTAAAGACTGTTGTAGTTGGTAACATCTCCTTGCACGTTGCCTGAACCAACTTGAATATTAACGGCTGGACCTTGCAGCTGAACAGGTGTGTGCTTTTTGTTCAAGAGAGTTGAAATGGATGTATCGAGATGCAGTTCAACACTGCCTGCACCCACTTCAACATCCATCTGCTCTGAAGCAATCAGATTGGCATCAAGATTTCCTGAGCCAATATGAACACTTCCAGCAATGACAATCACATCATTGATTTTGACATTACCGGCACCGACGTGAATACCAATATTGTTAAAGACAGCCTTGTTGGTAGACATGAGTTTTTCAGATCGAGTAAATCCAGTCGGTGTATGCATATATACGTGGCCAGCAGCAACCTTGGCAAGAATCGATTTTTGGTACTGGGAAATGACATCATCAGCAAGTATGGCAGGAAGAGTAATATCAACAGTCAAACGCAGTTTCTCTTCATGAGGAATTTTTGGAGGATTGACAACAAGGCGCAATGCATTGTTTACAACAATCGTATCAATATCCAGGTCACCATCAAGGGTTTCTCGAGTATAAGCAAGAGAATACGACATTTTGACATTGTCAGTGTTGGTAGAGTCGGAATCTGTAGTGACAAAGTTGAGGTGAGTTTCCATTCCCTTTGTGAATTCCACTTCCATAGCATTAATATTTGGCCAAGCAGTATTTCCAGTACGAACAGTATATGTGGGAACAGCGCTGAAGTTGTTGTGAGTATAATAGCAACCAAACATGATTGCAGTAACAATCTTGACAAAAATAACAAAGAAGATGAGTTTGCATAGGAAGCGACAGCAGCCGCCTCTGTTTCTACGGCACTTTGTCGATTGTTCTGAGCAATGGCCAGTGCAACGAGTTACAGCAGGAGTAGCAGGTGACGAAGTAGCATGTCCGGGGGATTGTAAGTAAGGGTAAAGATAAAGTGGACGGCCAGCAGCATCATACAAAGCGGGCTGTCGAGCCTGCTTTTCATCCTCAGATGAGTATTGAGGTAGTAAAGGAGCAGATTCCAAGTCGGAATGGGTGTTGTTCATGGTGTCTTGAGGCTTCATTGGTAAACTTTTGTTTTTGGATTTTCACGCAAATTGGAACGCTTTTATATTTGGAGTCCATTTTGCCAAGTAAACAATGATTAAATGCTTGTTGCGTTTTCCACCGGAATTGATTATTTGTTCAATGGACAACATCTGTCGTATGATGCATACACAGTCAAACGATCTTCCTCTACTCATTTGATGTAGCCATGTATTGTATAGTCATCAGATTCATTCATTGTAATATGGATATTGTGCTCGACTGCTGTCCAATTACAAGATGCAATTTGCATAAATCGCGACATTCCGACAGCTTCTGCTTGTTCACAGCCCAATCAGCATCAAACACGATCATCGACCATTCCAACGTGGGAAATTATCCACCAATGAACTGCAAAAATTTAGCTGTGCTAAACCGCTTATTCAATCACAGTTGTATTTAGAGTGAGATACTGACTTGTGACCGACTTTTGGTTTCAAATAAAAATAATTAAATATTCGCTGTGCTTTTCACTAGAATTGACTGCTTCAACAGATATTCTCAATTCAAAACATACTGTCCATCATATGATGCACACAATTAAACTGACTACTATTATCTTCCTTTTTGGTAGTCGTAGATTGTATAATCGACAAGTTTGAAATCAGATATGTTTGTGCTCTAGCTCAACAAACCAATCATTACACATTTTGGGGATGCAACTATGCATGCCAATCACCAGAAACCCAAACTAGCATCAATAATACTCTTTGAAAAGGTTGTTTATTATGTATCTTGTCACTCCTTTTTAGTGTTCCATTTTAGTGAGCACGGCCGTGGTTACAATATTGCTGTGATTATTAATTGTTTGTTTCGAAACCGGAGCGCTACACTGTTCTTACATATATGTTCAAGCTATGCCTACCATCAACATTCCACCATTCTGCTCATTGCGCTTGCCAAATTTATAGAATTTACTTTTATACTGAGCAAGCATGCTGAGAGCGAAAATGATCTGGTGATTTTAATGACGATGAGTCTCGATCTGCCTTTAAGCCAGGTGATGCAGACGATGGTGTTGTCGGTGAATCTAGTTCATTCAATGACAACTGTTTTGAATCGTCTGTCGATTCTCCAAAGTAGACATTCTTGGCATTAGAGCCACCTGAACGATGTGTATTGCCGCCTCTTGATATCCGATTGTTGAGCTGATCGACAATCATTTGAAAAAGCGTAGATTCCGCGTACTGATTCAAGTCATTTTAAATGGAGCAATGTTAGTATGTTTTTATAATGATTGCTTCAAGAAAACCTCTTTACCTGATGAACACCAGCAATTGCAAAAACACATTGTTGCAATGCAAATCCACCTGGGAGTGCACCGGGCTGTTTTAGTCCGCCGACGACTACTGACAGTACATATGTAGTGAACGCAGTGATATCCAGGATAATCAATACGACAATCAAGATACGGATACGGTTTCCCTGTAAAGAAGTTGTTTTGTATCCACTGATTTCGTTGCTTCTAAGGCTATCCATATGCTGCTGAACTCGATTGAAAAGAAAGATGTTTTGGGAAATACCGAAAACCACCACCATGAATGAGTATGCCATTGTGCCATACATGCACCATCGACCGAAAGGAAGGTTGGGCTGGTTGTAATAAACAATTCCTTCCAAGTACGTTGGGCCTGCAAATACCAAGTGCACAATGACAGCCACAATTTGCACATATGGCATGTTTTCCAGTCTGAATACTTTCCATCTGAAGAAGCTACTGTTGAAAATGGACATGATTTCCAGCTGTACAAGATTAAGCAACAGTAATGAGGGGGAATAGCACCAGTTTCTCCATGTTTTAAAACCAGGCAATCTATCAGAGTGATATAGGTAGATTGCCTCGACGACTTGCAGTAAAACCGGAAGGAGATTAATCACGATTAAAGCAATAATGGCAGGTGTGAATCTTTTAGCTCGCCCCCTTTGAATCAGCTTATGTGCACCATATATTCCTACAAAGAAAGCAAAGACGCTGATTACTGCAGAGAAGGTTGGAAACCCCATTTGCAAGACTTGCTCTGGTGGGATTCGTGGAGGCATTGCTGGTCAGTGTTGAACTGTTTAGCGAAGATGAAAATATATCTGGTAGGTGCTTTTCGTGTTGAGGCGGAGTTGGTGTCCCTTATAAGGGCTACGTGCAAAGTTGCCGATAAGCGAGTTGTGCAAATACTATCAAATTTTGGTGTTCTGTGCAAGTGCAGGCTGGCTCTAGTTGAAGCTGAAACTCTTGATTTCAGCAATCAAGCTAGAGATATGCTACTGATCGTGAAAGTAGGTTTAATGAAACCTCGAGTATCAACCGAGACCAATGCTGCCAAAAATACTATGGCAAGTCAGGCCAGATGATCTGTATCAGGTATGCAATCAGGCGTTCAAATGTTTGCCCAAAGAAATAGCTGAATGTATAAATCCGAGTTCAAGATGCTTCTAATTAAGTCTTATATAGGCACTGACGGAGCAATACAGTTGACGAGTTTAAAAAGCAAGCACGAGCCACTGTATAGATGATTGATGGATGAAGAATACTGAGTCGATTTATCACAATACCTCAAGTACTGGAAATACACCGACAGAAAAAAGGCCAAGATGATGTACAGAATAAAGCGACTTGATATAGGTGCAAGAAAAATATGGCATCGCTGTGCTAATAACCAATTTGAGTATTCGAGTTTTGGTGTTTGCTGTGCAATAACCATCAAAAACTTTGATATGGCGATTACAGCCTGTAAAGGTTGAATTCAGGAATACCGACAGGCTAAAACAAAGCTCAGCCATATAATTTTATCCATCTATTTGTGCTCACCTGAGCTAATGACAGCCACGCCCGCATGTATTTTCCAACCCTTTCAATCACTCATTGTATTGAACAAGAACCTTTTTACTAGACTCGCCCTTAATTCTCTATTTGTCTATTTGATAAGCTTCACCAGCCTCACAGTCCTTAATCCGCCCTTGAAAATTGTGTACACGTTATTCGACCAAAAAGATGCTCGTAAAAAATGTTTATCCAATTATAGCCGTACTCACGTAAAATGTGATTTTCTGTCTTGCAGTCATTGCCCCAATAAAAAATCTCAATTTTTCCCAAAATAACGTTCATCATATGACGCATACAATCGAATTGTAGATTTGAGTTGGATTTTCTTTTTCAAATATGATCTTTCTCCATATCTGCATAGCCATGCATTGTAAAGTCGATAAGTTTAAGACTGAGTTCATGCATTAAAACTCGGATATTGGATTTAGCTTTTGATTGTCGATACAGCCAAATCTCTTAGTTTCAGATATGTTCGCGTTCTAGTTCAAGAATGCAGCTCGACATGCCAATCGCCTAATCTTTTGTAAAAGTCAGAGATTGAACAAGTATGTAATGTATTAGAACCATGATATGAGTGATGTTTAAACAGTTGTTTAGAGAATACAATGATGTAGAGTAAATTTGGTAGAGATTGGCATCCATCATTTCATGGGGCTGTTTATTATACATTATGACACCCTTATTATAGTGGTTATGATCAAAAGATGAGGCGAGAGACCAGAATATAACAGGGATTTTAAAGCCGTACTCGTGTAGAATGGAACATTGGTTTCATCAGCCAGCTAGATGGGCTGCTTTGTTGTGGTGTGCTAAAAACAAACAGATAGAAGGATGATCTCGAATAGCCAGTAAGAGTCTGCCGCAACGTAGATTCAAGAAATTCAGTTGTTTTGGTATGCGTATAATTTATTGGTATAGCCTAGCAACTTGTCAATATATTGATGACGTTCAACTATACCGCTTGATAAGAGAATCCTAAACTTTGCAATCACGTCATTTTTGTCGATCAAAGCCAAGTACTTTTGAAGCTGTGGGTTCACCGCCGTATTTATGTAAAATAGAATACAAGAATGCCAAGCTACGCAAGAGAGCCAGTCTCATGGAATAACTGGTGTCAATCAACTGAACAGTATTGTCTTTGAACTCTTTTCAAGTTTCTCATTTTCGTATAAAACAAGCGAGTTTGAGTTCACCTTGTTGATCATGCAATGCATGGCTATGTCACAAGATAAGAAAGGGATAGTTTATACTATGAATAAAGAACCGAGTGTTCAACCAGTGCAGTTGATATTTGGTTTTAAAGCAAAATACTGCAAGAGAACAAGCGTTTCATTTTGCGTGAATACAGCGGTAAAACGTTGGTGACCATCTGAAATATCTGTTCAGTATCGCACTCGTTGTTACTGTTAAATGTTCAACATTCTAGACACTCAGAGACTAGCACTGTCTTTTCATGCATTACAGACAGTCGTTTATACTGCCATTGTTGTGTTAGTTGCCACTACATTCTTGTTTTGGGCAACTGGTCGTCCTACAAGTGCTCCTCCTGGTCCACAGCCATGGCCTTTTTTTGGAAACAAGTGGATTATTGATAGGTGCTGCTTTGGACTATGATATGAATATGTTTTCCAAGAATGCATTTTCTCGTCGTATGTGCTTGTTGGCTGGTTTCTCATGCCAAATGTGGATTTTAGATACAAGAACAATCAGCAATTTCATAAACTGCAAACTTGGCTAACGACCAACTATGGTCAGATCACCATGCTTTACTTTTATTCAAAGTATGTTGATCTAAAGTCTTGTAACTCTTATCTGGAATAATCTTATCTTGGCGTCAGTTCTGCAATCCAAACAGTTATGACGTTGCACTAATACTTGTTCATGTTCAGGCGCATTGTGTTTGTTAGCAGCCCATTATATGCCAAGCAAATCTTGTCTAGTTCACTTTTTGTACAGGACGAAGAATCTGTCAAGCTATTCGAGTAATTCACCAATGACTAAAACTGCTAGAGTCCATTTGTACAAGTCTAACATTTCAGTTACAAACTTGCTTGTATCACCCACTTTAATGCCATGTAATTACAGGGGAATCGTCGATATACCTAGTCCTGAAGATCGCAAACGGCATTTGAGTACAGTCAAGCAGCTTTCAATGGAGTTACTCCATGCACGTATTTTAGATATTACCATGGAACGGACATTTAGAGTATTAATATCTTGGAATGAAAAGATTCGCATTGATTCAGAGAGGCTAGTGGTCGATCTTGATAATGTGTGCAAGGCTATTTCATTGGATATTTGGTAAGCCGTTATTCAGTACCATGGTATCTTTTATTTGTTTGGGTTACATGTTCTAATATCGGAATTTAGCGGGCTTGGTATACTTTCAATGGATTTTGATGCCGTTACGGGTCTCCGGATTAAGCAAATCACATTGGTATAGCTTGTAGATTGCACTGCTATTAAAGTAGTTTGTTTACTAACCCTGCATGCTTTTTGCATTGCCAATAGAGCGAAATTGTGCTCAACAAAGTTGTTAGATTTTTACACCAACGAGCCAACTTGGCACCTTTTGCATGGGCATATAACAAAGTCGGTATTACCTCGTCAGATCTTGTTAGCGCTCGAACCCACTTTAAGAGTGTTTTGAAAAGCTTGATTCGCGAGCAATGTCATCCCTATGTCGATGATCCTTTGAGCTCTGTCAATATTATCCGTACTCTGTTGAAAGACTATGGCACTGATTTGGTAATGTTTTTTGAGTTGTTACTGGTTTAGTTTGCAGTATCATCTAACCCTATGTTTGATTTGTAAATTCCAGACACCTGAAAATGAGCAAGCCATTGGTGCTGATGTGTATCGAGGAATGCTATGGTCCAATATGTAAGACTCAATATTACATTACATTGGTTTGTTTGTTGCGCTTTGGCTTCATTCACTATTCTGATACAGTGGATTGTGTCTAGGTTTCTTTCTTCTGCGCTTTCATTTGTATTTTTCGAGCTATTACAAAATGATGATGTTCGTGAAAAAGCAACTCAAGAGATTGATCGTGTTTGGAAGGCTACACATGGCAAAATTCAGCTGGACACGCTATCTCAGCTATTGTAAGAATGGGTTTATTTTTACACTATAATCACATAGAGCATATGGCATATGGCATATGTATGTTGTATCCGCCAATTTGATGATTTACGCTTTTTTCAAGATACGTTGAATGTGTTGTCAAGGAGTCGTTGCGATTGCATCCAGTATGTGCATACCTGGTTAAAGAGTCTAAAGAATCGGTTAAAGTTGGAAACTATTTGTTTCCTACCGCAACTCAGTTTCGAATCTCTGTGATTGATTTGCATCAAGATCCTTTGATCTGGAATGACCCGTCCGCCTTTCTTCCACAACGATGGGAGAAAACAGATGCGAATACTCTCCCGTTCTATCCCTTTGGGGATGATCCTGATCTGGTTGTGCAAAAACTGGCACTTGTTCCTATAAAGGTAAGCACTATGCATACTCTCAATAGCACTGTGCAAACAAACCAGTTTAACATTTTCTGTCATGTATTTGCACAGGCTGCCGTCGCCGTGTTTTTACGTCATATCAGTTTTGAACATGCCAAGAAAGACACTGCTGATGAGGTACCGAGTGCTACCCATGACATAGATGCTTCTGGTGCTGTTTGCAAATTATACGATGAAAATAGTTTACTCGAGTGTATTGCGACTCAACGACCGCTTGATTCATTGCAATAAAAACTTGTAAACGCTCCTCGTGTATAGTTGGTAAATGATAACGAATATAGTTTTGGAAAGTTTAAACAAGTATAATAATCTCATTATTGGAGATGATGCGAATATTGGCACATTAGTTCATTGTACAATCAAGTTGCATTCTTTTCAAGGCGACTTGAAATTGTAGATATTACAATACGCTGACATGTATCGATCAAGTTTGACAAGCAATGAATTCAAACTTTTCATGACAAACTAGCAGTGCAAGATGAAGTCAAGTATAGCTGATTTGACAAACTAGCAGTGCAAGATGAAGTCAAGTATAGCTGATTTGACCAGCAATCATGTAGAATATGCAATTTGGAGTAAATCTGATAAAGTGTTGATGCAGGAATTTATCATTATTTCGGACTACAAACCAAATGCAAACAACTGGACAACATGCCAAGAAGAGTGGGAATGATGGGTTTATGCAGTCATTAGAGCAGAGTTTGACTGCTGCTACAAGATTGTTGAATCGCACTAGTAGACGCAGTCTGCATGTATCGGAAACTATAGCCAACCATCGTGATAAGAGCATAATCACTCCGCCATCAATAAACATCCCAGTTACTATAGATGAATTACTGCCAGAATCCAATGCTATTACCACAGCTTCAGTAGATGCATCGATACCCTCAGTTGTTCAGATGTCCACACCTGCAGATTTATTACAGACCACACTGAACCGATTTAGAGAATCTGCTGTTATTCCTACCAATTCAACATCGCATCATCATGAAACATCTTTATCCAGTGCTACATCTCAAATGCGAGAATCTATCAAAACTTCAACTCCAAAAAGCAAAATATCTATCGACTCATCGACTCACTCCAAAGCAAGTGTCATTCAAGATACATCTCTAAATATAGATTCTCCTGTTTACCAGCGTCGTCGTGTGCTGTCATCCAAACAAAACAATCCACTCGCATCACAAAAACAATCTAGTTCAAAATCGGACACTGTTTCAATTGAACGGGCTGAAATGCAACTATCAGATCTGGAGCGTTTGCAAGATCGAATGCATACCATTCATAGCAAAATTCTTCATCAGCAACAGTCTCTTATTCAAACCCAGTCAGAAAATGTCCACAAACAAGCTAGTTTACAAATGGGATATATGAATACTTTGCAAGCGCGGCAGAGTCAGAGTCAGTTTAATCAAATGAGGCAAATGAGAAAACTTTACACACAAGAGGCTGCTGCGTGGATTGAAGAAGGAGAGGTGGCTGCTGAAAGGATCGAGCAGTTGGATCGTGCTAGAGCTAAACGGGAACAAAAAATATCAATCAAGCCAATAGACTCATTGCCCTCAGCTGATATTCACTCCAATAGATCTTTTGTAAATGAAGCGCATGTATTGGATGCAAAAAATAAGATGCGCGGGTCCACAACGACTGTAACTCCTACACATTCTCTTCAAGATACATCAGATTTACAAAAACAATCGCAAAATACTAGTGCAGGTATTGCGGATCAATTTGAATCAATTCCTTCAGAGCTTAAAGTGCAGTTGGATACACTTCATTCAGAGTTTAATAGCGTTATAAAAGCAGTCAACGTGCTACGCGAAGCAATTACATCTCAAAAAACCCATTCTAAGGAACCATACACGCAAGAATCAGTTAATGTAGATACTAGAACAGCTGATCAAAACATAATCACATCGGATAGTTTACAAGATATCAAGAAACTGCTACAGATATCGCCGCTGGATGCAATTCTGGCTGCTCGTCAATCTGATCGTCGTGATTTGGAGTTGCGACATCAAAAAAGAAACATGGGTGCTTCTTTAGTTGTTAATCATAGTAGTACAGCAAAAAATGGCGAAGTGGCTTCAAATCAGTCACAACCGACTTTTTTATCCACTGCAGAAACTCCATTTCAAACAAAGGAGCGGTTCAACTACGCACAGGTCCACCAGCGCGTAGCCGAACTTGGATTGAAACGAGATGCGCTTTTGAATGACTACCGTAATGATACTACTACTCCAGATTACTTTCAAAACTCCATCTCCATGTTAGAATCACAATGGCTTAAAAAAAGTCAATCAGATGGATTATCATCAACTCGGCTTAATACTTTTGATGATGCTCATGTCAAAGCGCAGGTGGATAAAGCAATTAGTCAAGTAGTATTCAAACAAAAGTTTGATGAAATGCGCGGGCACAAACCCACATTATCAGTTCATCCCAAGTCAGCAATTCAAAGTAGAGTTGAGCCAAGTGCTGTTTTTAAATCTACAATTCATTATAGTGAGGACCTTGTACCAACCAGGAGTAGTCAGAAACGTGGGTCGTTAAATACAATATCAGCATTAGAAGATCCAAACACATTGCCCATTCAGAAAAATGCTACATTCGTTCAAAAACATTCAATTCCTAAATATACATTTAAAGAACCCATGGCAAGTTTAAATTTTCCTCAATCAAAGCCAACCCCAATAGTGCGTTCATCAAAGCCCATACACCAATCAAATATGCCTTTACAATCACGGCCTTTTGCTCATCAGGATCAGCTAGCGTCTGCGCTTGAGTATCAGCATCAAATGACTCCTCCTCAGCCACAGCCATATCCATCAACAGAACCAAGTCCAACTTCACCACTGCGCGCACTACATTCTCAAAGAATTGGTCAATCTTCGCCAAGACCACCCAACTTTTACAACGTCAGACTTTCTAACGCACCCGTGTTTCTCAGACGTACTTCTATTCGACCACCAAGTTTGTTGTTTCTGGATCACACTGCAAAGAAACTGGACAAAGTGAAAGATGCTTTACCACGTCAAAACTCCAGTCCAACTCGCACAAAATCTAATCAATCACCCATTGCTTTGCAGCATAAGACTTTGGCAACAATGACGGATCCACAATGTGTAGATACACCAACCCAAACATATCCTATTCCACCACAAGAACCATATAATCCTATCGAGTCTATACGTATATTGAATGATTCTGTTATTCAAGCGACTGTGATGCATGATAAGAGCCAGGAAACAATGCCAATAATGGTTAGCTTAGGAACTCAAGTCAGTCCGTCTGTTTCTATACATACCCATCCTACTAAAAATCTGAATATCACTACTCGTACCGTTCCTGCGTCTACAAAATCTACTGGTGTGCAACATTCTAGTCCTGATTGTAATGTATCAGTTCAATATAGCACTCCAGACGAAAGCAGTAGCGAATCGTGGATAAATACCGTTTCTGTATCTCGGCCATTGGTACCTGCACAACAAAAAAGAGCACGACAGTCTAAATCTCGGGATGACTTTTTACTCCAGCAGAATACGCTAAAATTGATCAACAAGGATTATAATGACGATCAGCTGGAACGACGTATCGCAGAATGGATCCAAAACGAGGTTTTGTTAAAGATGCTAGTCAAACCTACTTTGAATGCATCTTCCATAAAGTCTGTTGAGCCTGTTGTTGAAGCGCAAGTTCAAACTGAGCCATTTGTTGCCACACCTATACCTGAGCAAGTAGAGAAGCTACAGTCACCTCAGCTTACCAAACACTTTTCACAAATCACTCAAACCGAGTGTTTACAGATAAATTCATCCGATTCACCCGATTCAGTCGTTGTAATAGATGCTGCAGCAGAGTCTTTGCATTCTGACAGTTTAATCCCAAAATACCAATTTAAAGCCGTGGATATTCAAAATTATATAGAAGATTTGATTACAAAAATTACAGAACTTGAACTCTCCACTATAACCATACAGGCAATCCAAGAAACCAATCAAGAGATGGCAGAGGAGGCTTTATGGCTTGATGCACAGGAAGCACGAAAACAAGAGTTGGCTGAAATGGAACGAAAATGCGAACAGGCGAAATTGGAACGAGAAAAACTAATGCAAGAGATGGAACGGCTCAAAACTGATATAACATTAAAGCGAGAAAGAGCTGAATTGGACGAGATTGAGCGGATAGAGCGAGTAAGTGCTGAAAAAATCGCACGGGAGGCAGAAACTGAACGTAATAGGGTAAAGACCATTGCCAATAATGCTGAAGAACAGGCAATGCGATTGGAAAGTGAATGGCGTCGTCAAATGGAAGCCGACATGTTAAAACGGATCGATGCTGAACATAAAATTTCTGCAAACCAGTTGGCAGAGGACCAAGATTTGCGTGACAGACTGAAGCGAATAGAAGAGTCATTGATGCAAAACAACATTGAAAAACCAGCACAGTTACCTATAGTTGGCGATGCATGCACTTTAGAGTCGGCTGTGATGGATTCATCCACCTCTGATACAGATACACGCGAACCAATAATAAGCGCCGACTCGTCTGGATCAGTTGTACAGTCGGTAGGTTATATTGAAGTTGATTGTAGTGCTGAATGATTGAATAGGCTCTAATTTTTAATATTAGCAGGCACATTCACAGAATAGTTCTCATTCTTGCGCTGACACGTCTGCGCCAATAGTTTCTACAACTGAGACAACATCAATAGGGTTTAGTGTTTTGTCAACAAATCCTTCTGAAGGGGAGATAATGACTGGAGTTTTCAGGTAAATGATGTTTGATTTTGCTTATAGAGTATCTGTAAATGTAATTGAATTTAATATACAATTCATTTTCAATATTTGCTAACCATAAACTGAATAGTGAGGGTGAAGTGGTTGGAAACTTGACTAGACAAGCCATCAACTTGATTGTTCATCAAGATCAGCAAGGCAATTTACCTTCTGACTTGGACAGCACGTCCTATGGCGGAATGAAATCTGAAATTCAAGATATACCGACTACTACAGCAAATCAAATCAAATCAACCGAGCCGAATCAAACAATTCAGTTTGATTTACCAGATTCAGATTCGAATTTACTTGCAAATTCGTCGTCTAATCATACTACCTCGAGTGGTCAAGTAGCATCTCCTGGAGAAATATCTGTTCTTGAAACTCCTGAAAGTAAGTTGATTATTTCTTGTCGTATTGTTTTTGTGTAAGTTGGCTGATTTAAAATATTAAACACATGCGATTTAGTCACTTTGTCAAGATCAAGTCCAACGGAACTGTCGTTAAAACATCCGAGTAGTGTAGCAGCTACACGTTTTGTTGATAAACCAGTATTACTTTCCAATCCAGCCATTGATAGACCAGACACTCAATCAAGTCAATCAGGTAGTTCTTTGGATTATTTAACTCAACAGAAGCCTCAAGTCCCGAATTCATTGCAAGCACATGATTCAAATTTACCCCAGTCATCATTCAATGATTCAACACCCACAAGTTCACTTACAGAGATACTTTATGTGCCAAGCAATCCTGTTCAACTTTTGAACGAGTCTCGACAGCATTCAGTGTTTCCACCAACAGTGAACGTGCCTATTTCAGTAGATACTGCCAACTTATCCAGCGCGAGTTTGTCCGTGGATAATAAACTTGACATGACATATGATCAACAAACAACGGTTGGACAAGTTACGATGATGGAGACTGGCTCAATTGATGAAATATACCGCCCTTCCATTTCTACCACAACACACCAGCAGATTTCATCAATTCTTGTCAACACAAAGCCCAAAAGTGATGGCACTGATATGGCCAACCACGATCAGCTTGGTACCAATTCCATATCACCTAATGAACCACTAGAGAGCATGAATGAAAGTAGTGTCATAGATCCACATCAGTCAAGTCAATCGGAATCTCAGTCTCATTTGCCACTGCCGACACGATTGATAACAAATGACGAAAGTATATTTTCTACAAATCAGTCAACATCGTCATTCAGCAGACGTACCCAGCAACACCTTCTTCCTGACCCATTTGAAGTTATGAGTGGGTTTGATTCAGAGAATTCTAATAGAGATACTGAGCAAGAACTATACCAGTTTAGTGAAACAACTCCTTTTAAAACAAGTAGATCTCGGTAATCATTTTCAAATTTTGTAATCTTGCTGGCTGTTGATTTACTTGAGCTGGTTTATGATATTGAAAGTGCTTACACTGACTACTTTTTGACAAACCTATTTTCAACTAGGCTACCGATATCTACCAAAGATTCGACTACTGGATCACCACCAGATTCTCACTCGCACTCCAACACTCATGAAGATCTATCAGTCACGTTTGAACGAATATCTGCGATTGAAACGGGTCACGAAGCTGTAGATGCGTATGGTATACATGAAGATAGTTCCGAGTCGCTCAATCTGTCTTGAGTCAATCTAAACGCATCGATTTTAATAAAACCGAATTATGCAGTCGTTCACACACTGGAATAAAAATATATTGCGTGACTATTATAAATGATTCAATTATCATGAATGAATGTGCAATTCGTGAATCGACTTTGAAGCGAATCTTGAAAATAGTTTGACAAAAATTGCAACGAGTGTAAAAACTCGACCATTTCAGCAGTTAACACTACGACTGAATGGTATCACACATGCATCGACTACAAGTAAGACCAGTTACACAGGAATTACAACTACCACAATTAGGAAATGCTCGACCATGGGTAAGACATTTTTCGATTTATTCCGAATGACTAAAGTTGATCAACGAGACTCTTGCAGTGATGTGAATCGACTCAATGTCAGCCAGACTACCATTATCACCGATTCGGTACTCATTGAGTTAGAATTGACCAACAATGAGGTTTTGATGTATAATTTAGAGAATGAATCTAATGGCCGTGAGTGAGCAAGACCCATATCTTATGTTTATTGCATTGCATGATTACATCAACTGTTATCGAATAGTTCAAAAATACCAACCTCGCATACAAGTGTCGCATGTGCTTCATACACATACAGTGAGTTGATGATTTTTAGTTTACGAATTGATGATATAATTGTCAGATTGCTGACTGGCCAGATGTGGAATCTTGAACTACTGCAATTGTCAGTTTGATTTATAATATTAATATCATTTCAACTATCATTCTAGGACGAACCTATTAATGCCATACGGATTGGTAGGTTGGGGTTAGAGGAAGTGTTGATATCTGCAGACGACAGTGGTCAGATACGAGTGTTTTTCCCTTCAAATTTATGTCGTACACCCATATCGTTAAGGTAGTTGTTGACGAATGGCTATTTTCAAGAAAGTTGATTTTTAAGCTTAACCACATTTATTTTGTGATGGGTTTTAATCCAGTGCAGGAATATCTGCATGGGGATGTGCGACCTTTGGTCCATCTCGACTTCTTGCAATCTCAACAAATGCACATACTATTCGTGTATGGGATATGTCGACACATCTACCTCAAGATTCACGTTCAGATCAGACACATACCACTGCATCTTCATTCGAATTATCCGAGTTGCCATCAGCTTTACAATCACCTGATTTATCAAGACCGGAATCGCATACTACTGAACATCATTTTAGACAGTATTCAGACTATCAGCTAGGACAGGGTTTAACTACTAGAGAGCTGGTTGGACATAGCCACAATGTTCCATGTATAGATTTTTCACCATGTGGAAAGTATATTATATCTAGTTCAATAGGTAAAACATGTCATTTCAAACCAACTGAAACCATCTCTGCAAGCACAATGATTTGACAATCTCACATGCTGCTGTGTTTGCTTATTACAGATGAAACATGCCGAGTATGGGATATTTCAACAGGAGAAACCACATTATGTAAGAAAATTGGATCAGAATGGAACTGGACATGCCGAGCAATTGAAACACAAGACATCAAGAATTTGCTACATACAGATCCAGTGTGGTCAGCAGCACCAGGAAGCTCTTTCAACCCATTTGCAGAGTGCAATCCGTCATACCAGGAAGCTGTACCGTTTTTGAGCAGATTGTATCAAACATTGGTGGATAACGGACATCGCGTGCTACCATCTAACGAGATTTTTGATGGATTAAATTGGACGAGAAGTACCAACACTCCTTTAGTCAACCAACAAGAAAATTTGCCGACAGATTTGAATCCTTCTGTTGTAGAGGATGAGGGCGATGCATCTCAGCTGAATTCCGACGCAGAAGACAACAACATAATCCTAGCCGCCAACGAGAATAACCATTTGATGCAATATTCATCACACGAACAATCGACAATATCTGCACAATCTGCTGTGCAAACTACCCGTTCTTTAAACGAAACTGTTCCAGTATCTACTCTTCCATGGCGTGGATTTACTCAATCCGAAACACTCAACATCATAGAGTATTCTCAAGATATTCTTCACGGTGTGATGAATATGCCACGTGGAGCTTCAATGCAAGTTGTAGCAGCTGCTCAAGTGCAATCTGCTATGCATGCTCATCAACAACTTACATCCGCATTGCTCAATTTAGAGTCTAGTTCATCTGAAAGCGAAAATGCTAGCATACATGAATATCAGGCGAATATGCATATGGGAGAAACGGATGACGGTGATAATGAATGGGAGGACACATCGTTTGAATCAGCTTCCGAATACAGCTCTGATTCCTCAATACGTATCGATTTTAATGCATCTAGTGAAAATACTCGCAATATTTCTGTAAATGCCGCTGGAGATTTTTTAGACAACTCGGACATGGCTCCACCGACTCTATCCACTGAACCATCGTCTTCATCTACAGCAACATTTAAACGCCGCAAAATGACATATTCGAAATTGCGTAAGCCAGAAATAGACAATATCGCTCCACCTCAAACATTTCCAGCATTTATGATTATTTACACGACGGCCGAGGACCTGTTTCTATTAAACGGAAACACGCTTGCAGTTGAATGTCGTGTTGCCAAAATTCTTTCTGGATGGAATTTACAACGAGCGTATCGTGGGCTGGAACGTTGAGTATTCATTTGAATATTATGGATTTGCAAGTTTATGTATTGTGAATTTGGGTTATTGTTGATAACCTTTTAGATTTTTAAATTAAATAATTGTATATGTTTAGGATTGAGCATGACTGAATGGATTCCAGAACTTAGTGTGGCAGTAGTGGCCAGTCAACGAGGAAAATTAGCACTTGTCAGGATTGTTAGGTGAATGAATTGACGTCATGTGTAGAGTTTAAATGAAATTGTACTCATGATAATGCATTTTAATGTTGATTGATTATACAGGACAACGGATGATACTGGCCATATAAAATTCTCAATGGTAATTTGAGTTGGTTTATACGGTTTATCAATACTTTGTGACTTGACATAAACATTGCTTATTGGTTATATTTACATGTTTATTTCCAGTGTCTGGAATGCTGGCTACCACTTCACACAGCATCACTTGCGCCAATACTTGGAATGTCAATCTCACGTCATATATCTACTCTTGATCCATCTCTAACCTATTTTCGTCTATACATTGGTATGAAGTGCATCTCTGCTGCTCAACCGTGTCAATTCTAATCATTAACCATCATTACCTAATTGTATACAATTGTCATGATCCAACTAGTTACATACGATAGCAAGCTGTATGTCTATGAAATAAGATCACAATCAACACATCTGAGCGTATTTTGACTGGATATTTAAATTCAAGTTATTGCATTCGATTCATCTTATAACTGTTTTTTATATGTTCAAACATTTAATTTATATACTACTATTATTTTGGCATTGGACTTTGTTTTCAACATTTAAATTGTATTTTAGGCCGAGTGTTGGAAATGATTTGGTATTGCAATGATTGGCCAATCCAAATTTCAAATCTCAATAAAATAGATTGGTCTGAAAAACAAGTTAAAAGTCTGTAAATATCAACATTGTTTTTGTAGACGGTATTATTCAAGTTTGAGCCATGTGTATGGAATAATATGTATTCCAATGGGAATCTAAAACAGTATTTATTAGATGATCATTTCCATAATTAAAATCAAAACAGATGAGATAATAAACTCAAACGGCTGTTGACATCCAACAAGTATACACAAAGTAAAGTAAAACGAGCATGTGTATAATATATTGTTTAAAGGATAGAATATGTCTGAGAAGCCTAGGATATAACACGCACTACTGTAAGCGAACCAATATCGCGAGTGGTTCCAGAAACTTTATCAGACACCTGGATGCCAGTAATTTTTTGTAAGCCAATAGCCAAGGCAAAAAACTCCAGATCGACATCTACAGACGAAGCACCTTCCAGCTCATTCAGCTCAATGTTGTTGGGTCCTCGAAGTAACACGTTTGTCATTTTATTCTTGTATCCGTGAATCGACAACTTGAGACGTTCGCTCGGAACATGATTTGTGATGCGAATCTTGACAACAAAAGGTTGCTCGACACGGATGATACGAGGCTGTTCGACAACAAACACTTCAAATGGATTTACAGAAAGTATTTTTCGCGACAGTTGCGATGTTTGCAATCGACCGCTTTGTCCAAGAACAGTCCGCCAAGAGATATCTAGTTTTCCAAGTCCTGGAAGCATTCGTGTTGCAACATCATTGATGGATTTGGGAGTGAGCATATATAAATATTGTCGAGTATCCTGTTGCCCAAGCAAGTCTCGTTCTTTAAATACAGACAATCCCTTTGAAGTCTGAGACGACTGTACATCTGTCTCTGTTTCTGATTTAGTGGAAACGATATCGTTCTGGCCACTAGTTAGAGAAACACTTGAATCGCGAAACAGATTCAAATCTTGTACTAAAAAGGGATCATTTGGTTCAAAATTCATGTATTCCAAATACATGAAAGAGGACGATACGTTTTGAACTTGTGCTTCGAGAAAGATACGGCCATCTTGCAAGGTATTGACTTTTGTTTTGACAGAGAGTGGATTGAGAACCTGGAATTTGTAAAACTTGCGAAAAAACTTTCGCTCTCGATCCATAGATGAAGCAGAAGATCCAATGACAGGAGCAGGAGTGTAATGCACAGAACATACTAGAATATGAATTCCTAATTCCTTGATGTCGTGGTGAATAACAAATTCAGCAGACTGACCCGGTAGCAAGGAACTGGCCAGCGACTGTCGATTCTCGGCAGGACCAGACCCATGCAAAGTAGAGTAAGAGCCAGATATGCTGCCAAGAGCAAGCCGATCAACACCAGTAGACGAGGATGCAGAAGAAGAAGCAGAAGATAAAAGTGTATCAGCCAGAGTGATGCGCTGGGTCGATGTTTGCAACTCGGCCTTGAAGGTCAGATTGAGGACTGGAGTAAGACTCTCGTTGTTCACACAAAGATAGGATGAAAAGGTTTCTCCAAGATATATGTTTCCGAATGCAGGCGGAAGTGTCAGTAAACTGCCCAAACCTGCTATTCCAGCATACATATCATCATCGACTTGCATGCTGGAGTCGCTGTGCTTAAGCGACTGGACAACCTCGGCAGCAGGCAGAGCCAAGTCCGTGTCTGTATAAAGTGGATGTGTCTGTGCGTAACTGGGATGTGACAGTCGCATGACTTTGAGTGCCAGCAAATGAGGCTCTACAGCACCAGCCATGATGTCCTGTCGAATGAATTGATGTTTGAATCGATTGAAAGTGTCGAATTTATCTTGAATTTACTCATGCTGTCTGTGCAGATTCGATGGATTTCAAGCTTTAAATATTCGATTTAAAAAACTCGATTTTTATTTTCAATCAACGATGCTTGAATAGGTTCGATTGGAATTCTAGTCTTTGTAAATCTTGTTTCATGACTGTTTTGATACAATCAAGGCTCGTTGTAAGACAATGTTATGATTGACGGCCATATCGATCGCGTTGGTGGTTGAAATCGAATCCATTACATCCGCATTAAAGTCCCAGTTATCTGCTGAAACTTCCGCTGTAATCACTGGCCAGCATAACTTGGTGTATATTCCTATAATGACTTGTTCAAGTAGCGCTTCCGATACAGATGTGCCAGAAAGCTTATCCCGCTTTAGCTCCGCTGCAAAATGCAATCTCACTGCAGGCGACTCAATCTCTGCATTAAAATTAATAAACATATTCTGCTCTGCCTTTTCAACTATAGATCGAAATTGTCCCTGTTGAACAAATTTACACATTCGAAATACTGTTTGACTGTCTGGAAGATCTGCTAGAGCCATCTAGAGTTGAAAATAACAGATTCATTAGTTTGATTTAAAAACTAAATAGTTGCTAGAATAAAGTACTGACCTTGCAAAACGCTTGTCTAATCTCAATCAAAAGCTGATTCTGGTCCAGGCAGATATCATCAATTTTGGATATTCGTCTGTACAGCTGTCTCAGTATCAATGTGTCAAACGTGGCTGCAGATAGTGTAATAAGAAACATTGCATATTTGTGAATGTATACAAAGAATTTGCCAGGTCTTGTGATTCAAATATATAGTTGATCGTATATACTGTAACGTTAATAGTGTATTTATATACAATGGATTGAATGTTGAATTAAATAAAACAGTCTAGTTGACTCGCTTGGCACATACCTCTCAAACTCGGTTTTCCAAATGGTCTTCATCGATATCGAGTTTGTGCGAAATTGAAATAACTGCAAAAGCTCCGTTTTGGCATTAGCAGGATTTTGGTAAACGTGAAAGTGGATCCATGCTTGCTGGAAATACGTTGTAAATTGTCACTGATCAAGTACATCTAGTCATGATTGCAAAAGTATGAAATTCAACAAAATATTACCCGATAGACAGGCTTGTGGTGCCACTTTTTTTTATCAATTGTCTTGATAACACCCAGTGCAGCCAATAGTGCATTAAATGGATCATCAATCACTTGATCATTATGAGTTTGAAAAATAGCTGCAAGTTGCGTATCTCCCATATTTACAAGACTGCTATATACTTTTAAAAAAATGCTGGAAATAAACTCGGCCTGTAGTAAAATCAATCAGTATTAAAACTCAACCAAACATCAACATTTGTGTAATACTTGCATTGATTTTTTTGGCAAAATATGTAACTGACAAAACATCAATAAGTTTAATGATTGGCTCTAATACACGATCCGAGTCTTTGGATCGCCCATCTGCTACACACAAGGATATTGCAGAAATGAGTGCATCAATGGCCTGTTACAATGTATTGGTAAAATTAGTAGCATGTAAAAACTAAACAACAGTGGCTGCAGAATAAAACAGTCTACAACAAAATATCACCTTTGTTGCATTTCCAAGTTTTACATAAGCGGTGGCAATATTGTAAAATGATCGCCAATCGGACGAATCCAAGGTTAGTGCTTTTTTTAAACTAAATATAGATACACCCAACAAATGTAGTCGTTGGACTGTATAATTTTCAGCATTCTTTTCTTCAGGAAGACGAGTGTTTAAAATCGCACAACCAGTCGGAGATAATATATTAAGCGATCTTGCTTTCCACAACTTTTTGACTCGATATAAATCAGGTTGTAGTGCAATGCCATGCATTGGCTTGGATACAATTGAAAACGCAAGGTAGCCTAAACATTTCCACAAAGCCAGTTGAAGGTCAACAGGAGGTAGTTTGCTTTTCCCAGAAAATTGAACAAGCTTGCATGCCCGCATTAAACTATTAAATGCCCGCTGTTTTAAAATACAGTAATATTGCTCAGTAACCCTAAAGACAATTGTGCACATGTGATTGAATTACTAAAATAATTTGTCATGCTGAAACGTACTCGTTGATGTTGAGAAATTATGGTTTTGCTTTCAACAATTTTAACCGCACTCCAACTCAAAAGCTCGTCAGCCAAGGCACTCTGACATTGGCCAAGAATGATCCATGAATTTGTATCTTCTGGAAGTATTGACAAGTGTTTCTGGATTGGCATCGAATAATAAAGCATATGAATAAGCACCATTTTTAAATCAAACCATCTCACAGGTAGAATCAATACCCAGTTGCAAATGAATAAATACCAGAAAAAATGATATTGCAAATTCCAATTCATCACACGCCTCTTGACCTTTAAGTGAGCTTGCCGATCTTGCATTGTATTGTGCCCAAACAATGGCACCTCCAATATAATTTAAAGCCCGGTGTACATCTATCATCACAGCAGGTAAGCAAAGTCACATACTAAATAATAGGCAGTACTTTTAGTGTCAACATGTACCTGAAAGTGTGTTGGATGAATTCAGTGAAAGCGCGCTAAATAGTTGTCGTTTTGATGGCATGATCATGGATGAATCAATGTGACTTTCTAGATACATGCTAATGTACCTTTTGTTGTGCTCTATTTGCTCTTGAATCAGTTGATTGGAAAAAAATATTGGCATAAAATGCATGTTAGTAACAACCTAATCAGTTTGACTCGTGCTGAAAACGGTACATACTGTTTCGTATAGGAATACTTTCTAGTACACCAGCGACCTGCTCAAACCAAACACGCATATCATTTGTAATGGCCCGATGTATCCCTTTTGATAGTTTGTCTAAAATATATGGTGAAAAAAGCCTAAACATCTCTATGGCTGGCTGTTCACTAAATGGTAATATGGGCGACTCGTGTTCATATAGTGTTTGACGATCCAGTTTGATTGTGACATTGTATAAACATGCGTAGCACTGGTTGATATGCGTGGAATATACAGCATATTCAAATTTTGAAAGGATATTTATCATATACTTGAGATACACGCCTATTCTCAAAATTAGTGAGTAGCCAGTATATTAAAAACCATCATGTTTGGCAAATAACCAATAGGAAATACAAGGACAAACACAATTTTTACCTTGATATGAAGCACATATGAGTATTTCTGCAAGCTGATTATGGATCCAGCTCATCATTTTGACAATATTACTTTGAAAATGGTCACGAGGGTTTGTACATTGACTATCAGAAGAAATACTACTGTCATTATCGCTGTCAATAGTTTCTTTGTCGTTACTGATACTAGCTACTTGCATATCACTAGTTGAAGGCTTGGATCTGTCAGATTCACGCATACTATTGCATGTGTCATTGGATTCCGTACTGGGTTCAGCTAGTGGCGGATGTTCAGGAAAAAATGCACCCCATTCAGCAGTATTATAAAATATATGTTTTTGAAGTTGGATTTGGCTTAGAAAAAACACCCAACTCCAGCTCACAATTCCTCCAACCCAATCACGAGCATCTCCTCCTCGCTTCAATAGTCCAGATCCGGCATCATCCTCTGAAACGGCCACCATAAGAAGCCACGACACTCTTGCCATTAGTTCTGAAAGAGGAGCAACACTGTTTGACAATGCAATAATCTGAACTACTCTGTCTTTTGAAAGATGAGGCTGCTCAACAATGGCATCCACTATTGAAGATCCCAAATAGTTACAATCAATTAATATATACATAACTTGAAAAAAACCAGCTGAAAATAATCAAAAGCTTGGCATGTTCAGATCTAATGAAACATGGACACACCTGTATTTTGCACTAGCATTGACAATGATTCAAGTGTTTTGAGAACCTAGAATTGAAAATAATTAAAAAAAAGGCAACTCAAAATATTGTACAAGTAAAAAATACCTTTGTAGTAATCAGCTCATTTGCCTCATCAGATGATATTACTGCAAGAATATATCCATGAAGAAGTTCAGGAAGTATATTAAATAGTAGTTGTGATTCATCCGAGCCAACAATTGACTAATTCGTGTGAATCCAAAGTTATCAGAAAGATCAAGTATAACATGAGCAAGATTAGTCCAATAGTATGTCATCATCAACGTAAAAAACTCATTGTATCAAACGTTTAACAGTGCAGACAAGTTGAAATTACCTTTTGCAAAGCCTCAAGGCATTCAAGTTGGCTCCATGGTGCTGCCTTTGAAGAAATCAGTTTACGTGCAGCTTCACATACTGATTGAGGGATCTTGGGAATAGTTTGTATCACGTATGAAAAATTTGGAAAAAGAATAGAAAGTAATATCTCAATGACTTGGCTGTGACGATCTTCTTTAAAATGCTCCTTTACACTTTCAAAAAGTTTGAACGCTTCAATAAAATCCATTAAAGACTGAAAAATCAATGGAGAAATTTGTCGAATGGATCCCCTGTTTATAAACCAACATATTAGTACATGTGAATATAATGCATGTATACAGACGTTGGCTTACCTATTTGACAATCGAACAGTTGCAGTGCCTCGTTCAGCCTCAATCTTGTTGAATATGGACATCATTAGTTCCTCGTGAAGCTTGAGTGCAAAATCAGAAAATAACTCGCATTGTGTTGCATATATATATCGAGTTTTTAGCCACAGCACACTAATAAAGTAAAAAATGAGTTATATCTTGAAAAAAACAGTATTTCTATACATTTGTATCACGACTAAAAACATTGCTACTTACCGTATAGAAATGTCTAAACTGACATCACATGTATGCTGCGTGATCGTATCAATGGCTCCAATTAAACGAGAAAAAATTCCAGAAAGAGTTGTTTCCAAAAGAGAATTATCCATTCCAAAAAAGCCCTTTGTAAAAGAGTTGCTGGACAATAACACCAGATTCGTTTCAAACGAATCCACCAGTGCTTCTGCCAATAGAATATAAAAAAGCAAAGATTCTGTCGCGTTATTTGCTAGATTCTCTCTGAATCTAATCAAATCGCAAGTTGAAAACCCTAATCGCTCAAGAGTTATCAGCATCTTGATGATAAGAGTTGAAAATTCCAATGACCACGCATCATCCTTTATAAATGATTGCTCCACAGTATGCAGTCCCATTACCGAATCGATAATGTATCTTGAAACAATGGATTGAATTGTCATGCTGCTATCAAGTGACGCAATAAAGTGTGGTACCAAATTTGGATTAGAAAACTGTGTTGATGACTCTGGAACAGAATCATCCATTGTTGAAGCTAAAACGGATAAAAGTGAAGGCAAAACTGGCTCCGAGCTTATATAAAAATTAGCAAAACAGCGTAAATAAACAATCATTTGAAATGAAGATAAACATACATGTTTTCAGCCTTTTTCTTGCCCATAGAAAGACAGGACTGAAAAAGTCTTTGTTTGATGGTGGGAAGTATAACACTAAACTGGGTTTTAAGATCATTGTCTATCAAACACGTTTCCGTATCAAGTCGTACGCCCTTTGGAAGAAGTTTTATAAACGAATCTAGATCACATAATCGAAGACCTTTTGCGCTAATGGTTTCCTCAGCAACCTTTTGACGAACACGTCCTGAAGTGCTAGAATAATACAAGGACCAAAAGATTAAATATAAATTATATTTAAATGACAAATCGACAAGTAAAACAATTCCACTTACCGAGTGTTTTCCTGATATAATCGTTTTGTTGAAGTACAGCCTGTGGTAGCGGTATTATTTATTTCATCAATACCTGGCTCACGCAAAGCATTTTCCAAAACTTTTTCCGTTTTTTCGTCCATGACCAAAACATTACTTGCAAGTCCGATCTTGCAAGATAATGTAAGTGGTGCGGAAAAGTCAAAATTTTCCAAACAAACATCATCCTTCAATTCTGGTGATTCCGAATCGCTAATCATTGATAGATTTAGCATATTATTAGAGTTTGTAAACTATATCGACAACTCGTCTAAATTAGAAAATTGCAACTCAGCAAAAATACCCTATATAGCGTAACAGTATCCCTAAAAAAGCTGATCCGAATTCATGCCACAAAATATCTGAACGAAAAACTAACACACCAGAGGTTTGTTTGACATCGAAACGACCTACAGCACAATTTCGATAAACAGTGAAAAGTATAATGGTTGATTAAAACTAGAGTCGCTTCAAGACTACTTGTACTTTATATAAAACCAGATACAACCTGAGGAGATAGGTCTATTTCGAATATGCCTTTTAAAGTCCGACTTTGATCGAGCTAAATTTAGTTTGAAAAGAGCATCCAAATCTGATACAGAGTCTAGCCGACTAAATTTATTTTGCAAGATTTGTTAAAAATTTGATAGATTTATCAAAGAAAAATGCAAATGAATCAAGCAAATTAAATCAACCGTACATACCTAATTAAAGAAGAACATTCTAGTTTTTCAAGCAGGATTGCATCGTAAATCATACGAGCATTCGAATTTTTGGGATCAATCTTTAAAAGCTGGAAAATGACACTTTCACATTCTCTATGCTCTGCAAGATCAAAGAGAATCTGTTTAATGTGTAGCCAGATTGCAAGAGTTTAATACTTTACCAATTTGAATTGTGGCATCGACAAGAATTCGCAAATACGCCTACCTCTGCTAGCATAGAAAGAGAAAACAGTTTTTGCGTAACTGTGGATGCGTGGGTAATGCAGCGTTGAAGGCAAGAATATACAACTTCAAAGTCGGATAGTTTATGGGAAATCGTGGCGAGTGCAAAATTGCATTCAAAATCTGATGTATCGATATCGAGAGCCTACTTGATAATATAATTAGCAAATATTGACCAGATTAAAATACTTCCGGCCATAGAATAAACCGTGCTGTCGTACCTGGCGCAAATGTGAAGCTGCTCTATCATCCAGATGCGATACCTGACCCAATTTTATAAGAACAAACGCATAGTTTTTGTGAACAGAAAACTGTAGTGCATGAATTGGAGATCCTTGAATATCAGTTACAAGAGTCAATGAATCCTGTATGATTGGCAATCGCAAAAGTGATTCATACACACTGCATGCAGCAGCCAGATCCAGCTTTCTCTGAAATTCCAGTCCTTGTAAGTATTGAGTTAAAGCAGCTTCTATCTGAAGTTCTTTTGAAATAAGTACATCTTTTGCAATGCTTTTTGGGTTAGAGTTTAGCGTAGTAAACTAAAACATTAACAAGTATACGTTGATTAGCGTTGCAAACTAAGACTGATTCTACCACAATCTACGGTGTCTAAACTAAAATGAAATAAACACCACTCATTATCACTCGACAGGATGCGTGTGAATGCAAGCGAGATAAACAGCTGTGAATTCTATACCATTTTCTAACTTGAATTGATGGTCAAGTGCAAGATCGGCTTTGACCAACAATTTGACATTTGTCACGTGCAGTGTAAATGGATTGAAATCGATTTGTATTTGCAAGCTGTTCAACTGCAATCTTCACATCAGCAAGACGTTGCGCTGCTGTTTATATTCGGTCGGTTTAGTGTTGCACAACAGCCAAATTTGAGACTCTTTTAAACCAATAAATAAACAGTTTTTTCATTCAGCACATGTCGACTGGTCTTGAGCCTTTGTCAAACCAACCCAGGAGCATAAATGTTGCATCTCGACACTCTGTTGTATCGCCTTATTATTCTCCAGATGGGTTCCCAGTGACTTCTGGTGATTATGAACAGCGGATCAAGGATAGACTGAAGGCTGCAACTGAGTCAATGCCTCCTTGGATTCGATGGTTTACACAAAAGAAACGTGATCGATCTCGAGGTTTATCTATTTTAACCATGGCCACAACATTGGTAGTTGGCTCTGCATTGATTGTTTACTTTGCCAATGTTGCAGTAGTTCGTGAAAAGGTAACACTTTGAATTCATACTGTTGATATTATTTGTTTAAATTCATGTAATACTAGGCTTGGAACGAAAGCGCTAATCTGTTAAATTTCGTTCATTTAAACAAAATAGGAATCCAAAATAATCAAACTACTAGAAGAGCGTCAGTTGCTACGGCATAAAAAAGAAGAGCTACTAAAATTGTCGCATCCATCTGCTTAGCCAAACTAGCTTTGCAGTCTTTGTCCAATATCCAGACCATGAGATGAGCGATCAATCTTTCCCTTTATTTTCTCTACTTCCTTTTCGAATCTAGATATCACATTTAATGACAAATTAGCAGTGTCCATCATATATAAAATAATCATTTTCAAAAGCTTAATTGTGTATTAATGGGTATTGTGGGCTAATAGCTTGTGATGGCTTGGGATATTGGGGTTTCAAATGCATTCTGGCAATGCGTTGCTCTTTTTGTTGATTTAAAACAAGCCCAAAACTTACTTGATAGAGCGTTCGCGAAAATCAGCAGCTTCTCTTTCGGCACGGCGCTTAGCCAGTTGTAAATTGCTCTCGGAAGTCTCCTATAAACATGCATTTAAAAATACAATGGCATCGATCCATTTGCAAATATGCAAGACAAATATCAATTCAAATATAAAGCATGAGTGATACACCATTTGAATTAAACCGCAAACAATCCAAATATAAAATACTAACCAGTTCCTCAATCTGAGTACGCATTTTCTTGAGTTTCTGCTCAAGCTTCTCGCATTCTTCATCTGATCTGGCCTTTTGCTTGTCCTTTTCAGCCAGTTGGAACTGAAGCTCTCGAACAATACGCTCTGCTTTGCGAGAGTTTTTGACCGCTTCGCTTTTTTCGCGCTGCTCTGTATCCAGTTGAGCTGACAGTTCATCTACGCGTGCATCCAGTCGACGTGCAGTGGTAGAATCTCGAGAGAGAGCAACTGTTTCTAAATCAAATAGACGAGAGTTTACTTCTTTGAGAGTCTTTTCAAGTGTAAGCTTGGCCTTTTCAAGCTCAATATTGACATCACGTTCCTTGGTCAGATCTGCTTGCATTGCCTGCGCATGCGCCTCTGCTCTGCGTGCTCGTTCGTCTGCAGTCCGGGCCTTTTCTTGATTTTCATCAAGCATATCTCGAAGTTCGGTCGTTTGCTGGTCAAGTTGGAAGACAGATCGTTGCATATCAGCCCTAGCTCGGTTAGTGCTACTGTATTCACGATCAAGCTCTTCGAGACGTAATTCCATACCACGCTTTGCCTTGTCCAGTTGCATCTTTTGTAGTTCGCTTTCTTCAAGATTGGCACGCATTTCCTTCAGCTGAACAGTCAGAGACGATATCTGTACACGACTCTCTTCTTCGATACGAACTGCATCAGCATGGGCTCGAGTCAGATCTTCTACACGTGCGTCTAGCTTCTCTTTTTCTTTTTTCCAAACATTTGATCCACGAAGCTCGCCATCAAGACGCAAAGTCATGGTTTCAATTTCCATTTCAAGATCACGCACACTTTCCTTGAGTTGAATAGAGGCTGATTTTTCAGCATCCAAATCAGTAGAAAGCTGCTTAATCTCCTTTTGGTATTTTTTACGAGCCATATCCTCCAAACTCTCGCGCTCAGAGGTGTCCAACTTGTGACGTTCAGATATTTGAACAAGCTCCTCCTGAATTCTGCGTTTAGCAATCTGGAGATCTGCCAGTTCATGCGAGCTGTCTTCAATTGTTCCTTGCAAGTCAATCATTTGTCCTTCAATATTCTTTACACGCTCCTCGGCATCTCGGCGATTTTGAACTGCAGTATTCAACGACTCTTCCAATTCCTTGGCCTGTGCCCTGTAAGAAGTCTCTGCTTTTTCTGCTTTTATACGACCAAGCTCGGCTGCCTCCAGTTTTTCAAGTGCCTGATCGGCTTTTGCGCGGAACAGTAAAACAGTATCTGAAAGATCATTTGATTTGGTAATCTCTGCTTCAAGTCGAAGCTGTACTTCTTTAAGCTCAGATGCAAGTCGGCGGCGCGTAGTACTTTCTTCACCCTTTGCCAAGATTTCAATATCTAATTGTCGTCTGATATCATCCACATCGGCTTGCAATTGACGCCTGACTTTTTCAGATGCTGCTAGTGAAGCAACAGCATCTTCAGTTTCTTGAGTAGCCAATCGCTGAGAAGCTAATAGTGCACGACGAGATTCTTCCAGCTTTGAAATTTTTTCCTCGTAATCAAGGTATGCAGCACTATGCAGTTGTCCTGGACTAGTGGCTCCTGTAGCTTTTGTTGCTTCCCATACTGTACGCTCCTCTTCAGCATCAGCCAAGGCCTCTTGAAGTCGTTGATTTTCAATCAAAAGTCGCTTTTTTGTTTCTGCAAGAGCATGCTTGCTATCTTCACCACTGTTCAGCTCATGGTCGTATTCATCCACCTTTTTCTCAAGCTGCTTTTTGGTACGTTCTAAAGTATCTACCTGCGCTTCAAGTCGCTCAATATCAGATTGGAGAGAATTGGCCTTTTTTTCATGTCGCTGACTAAGTTCCTCAAAGTTTCGGCGGTTTCGCTCCTCTTCTTCAAGACGTGTTTGCAGATCACGCAACACGACTTCGTTTTTAGTCTTGAACTTTTGAAGATCAGATTGACCCTTTGCTGAGTTTTCGGCACGCGAGTTCAATTCTTCAACTTGATCTTCTAGCCGTTTCTTGGTCTTGGCAAGCTCATTTCTTTGCTTAACCGAATCGTCAAACTGCTCTCCAATATCATTGATCTCTTTCATAAGCGCACGGCGAGTCTCATCAATCTGAACGTCTTTTTGCTGAATGTCATTTTCAGCCCGCTTGCGATATTCAGAAAATTGAATTTCAAGTTGGGCTTTACTTTCCTCGGCTCTCTTACGGTTAGATTCTTCATCCTCGCATTGCAAGCTTAGTTCCTCAATCTTTGACTCGAGGCGGCGCTTAGTTTTTTCCAATTCATGCATGTTTTTTCCACCATCTCCAATTTCATCAATCAAACTCTTCAATTCGTTTTCAAGATCACCTTTGCTTTTTTGAATAGCGGCAACTAAATTGGTCTTTTCATCAACAGTGAGCTGAAGTGAATCAATTGTGCTCTGAAGTTTTCTAGTGTTTGATTCAGCCAAATCACGCTGACGACGCTCGCTCTCCAAATTGAGATTCGCAGTGCTGAGTTGAGATTCCACCTGCTTTAACAATCGCTCAGCATTGCGTGCAGTATTGTGCTCGCGATCAATTTCAAGCTTAAGATCTTCAATCTCTGCATTCAAACGTGATCGAGTTTTTTCCAGATTACTATTGTTTCTATCATTGTCCTCGAGTTTTTGCTGAAGCTCCACAAGATCCTTGTCTAGTTTGCGCTTGGCTTCTTCAAGCTCTGCGGTACGGGTGGAAACATCTTTAGTATAACGATCCTTCATGGTCTCAAGCTCTGTAGTTTTCAAAACAAGCTTTTTCTGAAGATCAATTTTAATAGATTCCTCCTCATCCAAGCGAGCCTGCATATCTGCAACTTCGGTAGACAATTTTTTCTTTTGAGAATCCAATGCCTGTCGCTTTTTGGACTCTTCTTCAACTTCCTCTCGAAGGCTTTCAACTTGACGCACCAAACCTTGCTTTTCACGATCCAAACGAGAACTATTGCCTTCGCTTTCTTCTAAACGAGCACTTAGCATGGCAATCTGCTTATCAAGAACCTCTCTCTGAGATTTGATTTCAGCAAGTGTGTTTTGAAGCTCATCATAAGATAATTTTGCATCATCAAGCTCCATATCAACTTGTCTTTTAGATTTTTCTGTGCGAGCACGAGCTTCCTCGGATTTTTCAAGCTCATCACGAAGCTCGGCAACTTGTGTGTCTAGTGCCGTTTTAGTTCGTGAAAGTCCACTAAATTCCTGTCGTGAATTTTCAATGTCAGCATTGAGCTTATCAATCGAAATTTGACTACGCTTTCTGTTCTCCTCCAATTCAGTTTGAGCAACAGCAAGCTGACTACGAATATCGTTTAATTCTTGATCACGGATTCGGCGCATTTCAACTTGCTTGGTTTCTTCTGTTCCCTTGGCCTCCATGAGTGTGTGGAGTTGCTCCATCTCAGATTCCGCCTTTTTCTTGAGCTTGGTGATTTTTTCACGCTCGCCCTTTTCAGTTTCCAACTCTTCTAAAAGACTGTTGACCTTGAGCTGTAATTCTCGACGCGCTTTGTCAATAGTGTCTTTTTCGGCAAGTTCTGACTGAATGCGATCGTTCAGTAAAGCGATTTCGCTTTCTCGCTTCTTTAAAAGTATTTCAAGCTCTGCCTTGGCTCGCTCAAGCTCTGAGATGGTCTCCTTTGCCTTATTTAGCTCGTGTTCCAAAGACGCTCGGCGTTGCTCGGTTCGTTTTTTCTCATCTTGCTCCTGTTCCAGCTTTTGCTCAAGTTCTGCAATATTGGAATTGAGTTTAGTCTTGGTCTTCATCAGCTCAGACTGCATATCACCAGCACTTTCAAGAGATTTTTCAAGGTCTTTAAGCTGACTCTCGACAGATTTTTTGTCTGCCTCTAACTTTGCAGCACGCTCGTTCTCTGCATTCAGCTCTTGCTCAATCTCTCTAAGTCGAGTTTCCTTGCTTTGCTTTTCCTTGTCTAGTTTTTCAAAAGCAGCCTCGCCAGCACCAAACTTGTCCCAAAGCTCTTTCAATTCAGTTTCTAGCTTCTTTTTAATAATGGATAGTGAATCGTTTGCTGCATCTTTTTCTTCCATTTCAGCAATAATCTCTTTTAGACGATCATTGAGATCAACCTCGCGCTTTTGCGTGCGAGAAAGAATTTCGGATTGACTGGCTGCAGCACTTTGTTCTTGAAAAAGAAGATCTTCGACTCTTTTTTTTTCTTGCTCAAGAGTCATGCGCAAAGCCTCTAATTTCATACGCTCCTCTTGTTCTTTCTTTGCCTTTTCTTCCCACTCTTTGGCAAGAGCCTCGCGTTTGCGAAGCTCATCATCAGTACGAGAAACGTTGAGCAGTGGCTTGACTTTGGTGTAAAGCTTCCACCAAGGCCATTCACGCAAGGAAACATAAATACGAGCATTCTTTTGAATTACAGTGATTGCGCGAAGTTGATCAATGCGGCGCTTGTAAATCTTGCGTGCAAGGTAGCCACGAATAATGGCTTGAATTCGAATAACAATTTTGCTAATTTTTTCATCACGAAGATTTTCCAAATCGGCAAGCTAGCGCAAGTATGCGTTCAAGATGGTGGTTGGATACAGATAAATATTAACCATGATGAATATGAAAAGTAATGTCAAATACAGTTTTTCTGATTCAAAACTCAAGATGGGTTGTACATACCACTCCAGCACGGAAAAACACTTTGCTGGTTCCAATTCGATACTGATTTTTGTCAAGAGATAAATGGTCTAGAATCTGAGAGGCAGCTTTTCGACCATCCATAAAGCCTTTTGGTATAATGCCTGGTGCCAACACCTCATATCTAAAGCGAAAATCTTGAAAAATGACACGGTTGGGAAAACCTGCTCGGCAAATTCGAATTCCCTCTAGCACACCATTGCAGCGAAGTTGATCTAATACTAGTTTTACGTCAAGCTTTCCTGGTTTTTTCTCCTCATTGGGGATAATGCAACGAACAAAGTGTGGCTGAGTTGAAAAAAGCTGGTTCATTAACAGCTGCAACCCTTCCTTGTGACGCTGAGCTACAGTTCTAAACGCTCCCTTTTTAGTAACGCGTGCTTTGTTGTTGCTGTTGTCGTCAGCATCTCCAAGAGAGTCGTTAAAAAGTTCACCAATGTATTTTTCAGACGAGTTGGCCAAAAGTCTTGTTACATTATCGTTTAAAGGATCCTTGTTTTTATCAAGCCAGCCAGCAACACTGTACTCGACCTTTCCAGCATAGTGCTGAAGAATGAAACCCATATTGAAGCGCGGTGTTTCATATTTAGCGGACTTTCCTTTCCAAAGACCATTAAGCTTGTCAATAAATGTCTTGTCGGTAGCTTTGGGCATAACGCACTCCTCGTCAAGCAAAGAAAGAATTCCAATGGGCTAAAAACCAGTTGGTAATATAATTTGGTTTAGAAACTACCCAAATTTTTGATGCATCAATACACAACATTTAGAATAAATCCAGCGCTTACCGAGGTTTTTTCTATCAACTCAATGCTAGGCTGCAGATCCAATCCAAAATCAATAAACTTCCAATCAATGTTTTCACGTTTGTATTCTTCTTGTTCCAGGATAAACATGTGGTGATTAAAGAATTGCTGAAGCCGTTCGTTGGTATAGTTGATACATAACTGTTCAAAACTGTTATACTATATATTACAAGATAAATTCTGCATTAGTCACTATATTGATTGTTTTAAACAAACTAGTACAAACATATTTTTCCTACCTCGAAAATTTCAAAACCAGCAATATCCAAAACACCAATAAAGTTTAATTTTTGTGCTGGAGTGTACAGAGCGGTGTTGATCCTGTCAACTAACTGACTAAACATGCGCTCGTACAATGATCTAGCAAGTGCCTCAATGGAGTAGTAAACTTGCTCCACATTGCGAGCTTGGGTGACCCAATCTCGACCAGCTTTAATACGCGGTTTAAGAAGACTTCGCGAAAACTCGGCAACAGGTATTCCAAGAACATGGCAAACTTTTTCTGCTACTGATGCAGCTTGAGCAGTAAGATTAGCATTGTCTTCTCGATCAGCCTCAAAAGTTAAATTTCCAAGATGAAGTACGGCTGAAATCACACGGAATAGACTGAGCTGATCTTCTTCTGAAAATCCCATTACGTTGAATGATTCCTAATAAAAGTAGTCACCATATTATTAGACTATGTTCAAACAATCCATTCAAGCCGCTATGAAAAAGTGTAAATACTAACTTGCAACGCTTTAAAATCAGCGGCATCATCAACACCATCAATATTCTTGTTGGAACTCTTGGTGAAACGATAGTCGGAGGCAGTCCCATCAATTAAAAGCGTTTCTGTGTTTAAAATACAATTAGCAACCCGTGACCTCGTATATACAGCCTAAAGTAAACCAATACAGCTGTTGCAGGACAAAGCTCACTTTTAATCTCTGGACTAGACCCTTTCAAAACTTGGTAAAAAATATGATAGTTACGTTCCTTGGGTGATTGATGGGTGACTCGGGACTTTTCCAACAGATACTTGTCAATGTTTCCACCCGAGATTTGTCCTGATGGACTAAACTCAATACGGATGAATTTACCCTGCATAAATATGTACAGCAAACTTGTCAGCTTTCCTCATAATTGGCTTAAAAAATTGTATAACATGATACTTACAAATCGAGAAGAATTGTTGTTTCGAATAGTTTGTGCATTTCCAAAAGACTCCAATATTGGGTTAGCTTGAAGAATCTGTTGCTCAAGCTTTCCAAGGTTTTTAGGGCCACCAGAGCTGGCAACAGATGCCAAGTATTGGATAACCTTTTTTGTATTCTCAGTTTTTCCTGCACCGGACTCACCACTGAGCAAAATACACCATGCCAATTTCAAAGTCTTAGTACAGCCGAGTTACAAGAGCAGTATAGTAAAATTTAGTCATAAACATACGTGATCAAAATTGACTGATTTTCTTTGTTGTTGAGCATATCATGGTAGGCTAGATCTGCAGTTGCATATACATGCGGCGGCATCTCCAATCGCTTTTTTCCACGGTACGCCTTGATGATCTCATCTGTATAAATTGGTATTTTTTTATATGGATTAACTGTCACACAGAACAGTCCGGAATAAGTCTAGTTTTTGAAATAATTTCACAAATCTCGTCAGTGCCGCATTTTCTAGTAAACCTCGAGATGAATATCTGTAAACCTAGACACTTACGTAAATTAAATTGGAAAAATAGCGGAGACGAAGATTATGCACCACTGAGGCTTCGTTGAGATGGGTTAAATCGGCCATATCTTCAACCTTGTCAAACTTTGGAGGATTCATCTTCTCCGTGTCATTGACATTCACGGTGCGTTTCTATCAAAAATGACAAGTTTAGAAAACCAATAGTATTTCCTATTAGACACGAGTGGGATAACGTAGAGACCGGAATGCATCTGTGTGTTGGAGTCTAAACAGATGTACAAAGCTTTGATGATAGCAAGTTTGGAATATGGAAACGAGTCTTGGACCAAGCAATACCTCGCCATTTCTATGGTGGGGTAAATGACTGGTTGCAAGACGCGTCAAAACATGCGATGGGACAAGAAATACGAGCCCTGTTATCGACTAATGTAGCACGACAGATTTGATTGCATTGGATGGATAATCGGACAGAAACCAAACAAGTGATGGACATGATAGATGGCAGCTATAGAATTAGACTGCAGCACATAGTACACTTACAGAATTGTCATCAAGTTGAACCTCGACTTCATCGCCATTTTCCTTGATAATAGAACCCTGAATATAGCCTTTCTCTTTGTCTACAATCCATACCCATTTACGTTCAGACCATTGAGCCTGTTCCAGGGTGTCATTGACTGCGTTCTGCCGAACACGTTCTAAATACTGACTAGCCATGTGGTGATAGAGTAGCTGCAGGTATTATTCGTTGATTTTAGTCGACTATAAAATAGCAAAGCGGAGTTTTTGTCTGTATTTCCCCTATAGTTAGTAATCGCTATTTAAATAAAAAACGATTAGAATGTCCGTAAAGCGAATATATCAACAAGGTGTATGATAAGTAGAATCGATGCAAAGATGTATGGTTTAGTTTGGACTGTTGGAACGGAAAGTGCCGTGGCGTGATGGATATTGTTGACAAGAAAAGCCAAGATATTGTCATATCTTGCAATTTTGCTCCTTATCTATCAGCAAGGGCATACCCTTGTTACTAAAACTCGCATCTATGCTGGCAACCAGCTCACCAAAATCATATTGCTCAGAGCATAACACACATGTATGATTATATATTTAAAATAACTACAGTCCAATACTAATACATAACCACCAACTTACTAGTATGGGATTCGAACCTTGCAAGATACAAGTATGCGCCAGTTTTCACTTTGTCAGACTCGAGAAAAAGTCGCGAGTCAAATTTTACAGAGTTTTGCTTCATAAATTTTGCCGATTTCGTAATTTGTCAATGCGACTTGTTTGGTTTATTGAACTATAATGTGTTTTTAGCACAAGAATACAATTTGCTTTTTATTACAGCCGTATTCACGTAAATGGAATACTCGTCGTTTAGTCGTTATTTTGTTTTAAAATATACAATGACTAAATACTTGTTGCGCTTCCCTACTACAAACTGGCATTCTCAATTCTTTCAATCGTATCGTCCATTATGTGATGTACAACTACATTTTTAAACTAGAATAATGTTTTTTGGCATAGTCATACATTGTACGATCATTAGATTCACAACAAGCCCGATACTGGTTTGACTGTTCTAATTTTGTCAATCAAATCCTACAAACTGGCATCCATCATTCCATGAGACTAGCTGTTTACCATGTATACAGCACTTTAGTGCTGTATTTTACGTGAGTATAGCCGTAAACTGTCTAGATCAGCAATCAACTATACAGCTTGTGTGGAATCGCACTATAGATATCTACAACCCATCACGTGATTTATATTTAGACTAATTAGAAATAATAAAAGCTGGCACATCACATTTAAATTTTCTGAAGCCAGAGCCATAAGGTCAAGATGTCCACAATGGTGGCAACATCAGATTTCAAGACGGTTGTCAAGGGTATCAAACTACAGCAACAAGGACATATAGCCAAACTACAACTCAAATCTGAAGCGGAACAAGAGCTTCTTGAATCTGTCAAAGAGTATATGCAGGTAAAGCCACTGACCCTACATTATCACTTATTTTTCTTGATATACCAGTCATCGTGATAAAAGTGCTAGCGCGTTGATAGCAAGCCAAAATACACGAGTGCTATATGGCACAACCTAGCATTTAAGCCCAAATACGATGACTAAAACTGGTATTATTTAAATACATAATAGAAACGAGCTGAACTGGAGTTACAGTATAGCAAGGTATGTATATGCATTATTCTGCTATTTTTGCCGACTATCAAATTTCGCGAATTTTTAGCTTTGCATTAATTTTGCTCAAACGGCTACTTTAAAAACGTATACAATCGTTAGTCGTTGGAAAAGTTGGGAAAGACTCTGCAAGCCCGCAAATTTCGAAAATTTCTGGGTACATCTACTTTTCCTTTGGGTTCAGCCATAGCATCAACAACGGGTACAACGCCAACAACTCAGTCTTTGCCTGGAACTCCTAGCCTTGCTAGCCCACCTGAATTCAATGACTCGGACTCTGTCGTACATGATCGAGTTTGCAGGTATGTATTCATTTAGCTGTTATTGCAAGGTATAATTTATTACTAACAAAATTGACCTTGTTTAATAGAGATACATACCAAGCACTGTCCTCATTGCTCATCGAGTCTGAACATCAAGCAAAATTTCGTTTGCAAACTAGCGAAAAACTAGTAGTAGAAATTGCCGATGTAATCAAAGACTTTAACAAGGAGAAATCTGCTACTACAAAAAGGGTTCGTGAATTTTAATCCATTAATCAACCAACTTTTTGTAAACTAACCTTTGCAATGCATATAATCACAATATTGTAGCACTTGGATTATTGTGTAGGTTAAATTTACAGGAAATCGTACATGTACTATTAATCATTATAACTGCAATTGACTTGGATTTGGTAATATTGACTTTAGATCAAATTCCAACAAGAAATGTGGCTTTTATACGAAGAAATTGACAAGGTATACTTGCTACATAAAACTGCAGTCAGTCTATAATGACATGGCTAATTTAAACTTTTGAAAATAAATTTTAGTTAAAGTTGCTGTATGAAAAAGCAGCTAGAGAGGAAAATCTTGCTCAGAAAAAGTATGATGATGCTGCTAAGCGACCAAAATCTGGTCTGCAGGCTCTGAAAAACTTGGTAACCGGAAAAGATGCAGAAGAGCGATTATTAAAAGTAAAAACAATTTCTAGTTTAATAGATTGTGAATACATGAGTGAATATTCAACACTAACAAATATGATGTGCACATACACTCAAGTTGAAATCCAAATGGAAGACCAAGACGCGACAGCTCAATAATTCTCGCAACGACTACCTTCTTTCCCTAGAGGGAATCAACGCAATGCAGTCCCACTATTATAAAGGTAAAGAATTGATTTTAATCTCAAATATCAGTACTAACTCTGTAAACTACAACAAACTGCATAGATGACATGACTGCACTTATGGAAAAGATTGACGGTAACTTTTACACAACCTTTTCAAGCATGCTGCATCAGTTTACAAGCCTTGAATCTAGTGTTGCAGCATCTCTAAAATCAGGAGCTGATCTTGTTGATACTGAAATAAAGAAAGTGGATCGAAAACGCGATGTAGAGCTGTTTTTGAAGGACTATCAGCAAATATTTCATGAACAGGCTCCATTTTTGTTTGATATGGCTACAACGGACGAGGTAAAATTGAAAATCTACATGACTATTAATATGTTTAAATTGAAAGTAAAAAAGAGCATGTTTGATCAAGTTCAGCAACTGATATTATCTTGCCTTTTATTTAGCATTGCGATATCACGGTTGACGAGTCTAGCAAAACCCCACTTGGTCAGAGACTTGGAGAACTTTGTGTGCGCGATGAAACACTAAGTACCATGCTTAATCAGCGAGAAAAGGAGCTTATAGGTGTAGTTCAAATGGCAGAAGCATATGCAGCCACACCCCAGTTTGGAAATGCAGCCACACCTCTTGATGTAAGTTGTTTAAATGTACTGTTTACAAGATTTATTAGTTAACCACTTCAATTTTTTAATTTTTGCATTTCCTATAGCAAAAATTGGAAATTAAAAATGCAATTGATCTTTTGAAAGCTCAGCGCATCCGGACTAGTGTTCAAATTAAAACGCTCAAAAGTCTGGGAAGTAAGTATATCTAAACTGGCTTGATATTTATGCAATCATTTTACTAATATGCATTTTTAGTTGAGCCCATTATGCCTGTTATACCAGAGGACAATCCAGCACTACCCAACTTTGCCACAAAGAAAAACGATGCAGTAGCAGCATCTGACTATACTCCTATAAATCCTGAAGAAGTAACTCTCACTATTGGAAACTTATTAGAGATACTAACTGCTGATCACGAAGGTCGCACCAAGGTGGGTATAGATTGACTCGTGTTTAAAATACGCGCTCTGATCATTAAACCATTTTGTTGTTTTTTAGGTCAAAGTTATCCCCACAGGTGCAATTGGATTTGTTCCAACAGCATGTATTACCATCAGTCAAGGCAGACGATCATCCTTGTTTTCATCTGACCAGTCACAACAAAACATGACTGTATCTGCACTAGAAGGTATGCAATTTTGATATTCATTGAACTGTATTATTTCTAACAGTTTTTTCAATTTCAGATTACGAAGCAATGGATGATGGAGAATTGTCGTTTAAAGGTATGTGCATTATGATGCAAAATGAGCCGAATTGGACTGTAACTATGATTTCCAACTAGATCTAAAATTTGATATATTCAACTTGTAATCAATGCATTGATTATTTTCAATTTCAGTTGGTGATGTGATTGAATGCACCGATGGGATTTTTGAAGATGAAGAATGGTGGGACGGTCATGTTTTGCGCACTGGTCAAGTCGGAACATTTCAAGTAAGACTCACAAAAGGCTGGGAATCAGTTGCAGCAGCAACCGTCAATAAAACAAAACTAATGCGACGCGCAAGCTCTCGACGCATAACAATGACGTCGGGAAAGACTCGTAATGGAGACTGTACAGGTGCTTCAAGTCAAAAAATTCCTACTGGTAAAATATTAAATGTTGACATTTTGACAGTCTTTTGGTGTAGCTAACACTATTATTGATCATGTTTGATAAAAATATCTCGTGAAACTCGATACTGGATTCAAATATTCTGGATAATTTTATTGGTAATGTTTAGCACGGGCGTTGTACTCATACGAAGCAACATGTGACGGGGAGTTGACTATTGAGGCTGGAGAAATTCTGGTGATCAAAAGTAAAGAAACTGGAAGCGATGATTGGTGGGAGGGTGAAGGAAAGAACGGATGTGGGCAATTCCCTGTAAACTACGTTCAAATGATTGAAAGTGATCAACGTGGAAAAGAGGTACATGTAGCCAACCTTGTTTGAATTTGCTTACGTTGGTTTGATGTATGAACAACTTTAAATCATGATATGTTACTAACGTGATAATGCTAATATATTTGGGTATATAGGGGATAAGTCAATCTAAATTGGGTCTAGTATCTGAGATTGAACAAGGTAAAACTATAAAAGTGGTAAAAATATAGAAACAATGCTTACTTTTGAATCTTTATTTCTGATGATCAGTACGTGCGCTTTACGACTTTACGCCCAGCAGTCCTGGAGAGCTTACATTCAAATCTGGGGATATAATCAAAGTGACGCAGTCATCTGTATGTTTCATCAGTTTTTGTGATACTAATTTTGAGCAACATAGCTAATACCATTAAATAGGATCCAGATTGGTGGGATGGCGAGTTGGACGGAGTTGTTGGCGCATTTCCAGCAAGATATGTTACGTCCATTCTAACCGACCTATCAGAAACAATTGACTGAATAACACCCAGAGCTGTCTTAATATGATTTTGTTTGAGCCTTGCCAAAAATAAAGCTTTTGAGCAACAGTCAATTAATATTTATTCGTGTATACATGTTTGGGCCTACCAGATTTGCATGGTATCAAAAATCTCCAAAAGTTTCTATTCGTCTTCCAATAACTTCTTGGATATCTTTTATACTGAGATGAAAAATGTCCAAACGTTCCAGCATTGGTGGAAAATCATGACTATTCTCAATGGATGCCAGCATGAATTCGTAAATATCAAAACTGTCCGTATCTTTAGCTTTGCATGGTAAAGCAAGAATTGTTGAAGCCTCCAGTATCCTAAAATCCACAAGCCATCAAGAATTAGCCATTTTAAAAACAAAAATCGACTAATACATTCTACAAAATTCAACTGGTTCAAGCAATATACCTTGGCAACAACGCGGCTGGAGTTGGGTGAAACGGCTGCAAAGCATTCATAAATCCAAGACGCATATCCAATAAAATTTGACATCCTCCATAAAAACTAAACTGACTTCTCATGATTACTTTTTCCCAAAGACGGAGATCAAGAAGCTTGGTGACTGGTCTCAAAAACAACGATCGAAATAGTGTGGGTGATATACTTTTCTCAACACAACCAAAATAGTGACGCATAATTTGAAGAGGCTCTTGCAATGTGGTAGATATAGCTACAGGTTCAGACGCACTGCTGTCATTGATATTGTCAAGCCAATTTACCCTGTTGATTGTTACAATTCAATAGTTAGATACACTAAAAGTAACTTGGACAGCAAATATATCATCATCAAGTCTATGGCCCTGCCTTTTTTCGTATTCCCAAAGTGATTCGCAAATATCCAGCATAATGTCATCAATGGCGGTTTTAGATATTTCCTGAATCAGCACACTCATTTTCTCTAAAACATCAAAATAAATATTGTCCATTCGAACCAAGCCATCATCAGATGTGTCTTGTAAAATGGATAGACATTGCTAAATAAAAGTCTTAGTGTGCAGTCGTAAACAACAGTATAATCCAAAAAATACCAACCTGTTCGGTTTTGTATGTGCTCAAAAATACACTAATTGAGTGGAGAGAGCCCAAACAACGGGCTAGATGAGAAATGCGATCACCTCGAAATTGCAGCGTATATCTTGCATCATTCACTGGAATAAACGTAGACTGATGATGCCAATGTTCCTGCTTCATCAAATCCAGATACTTTAACAAAATAGGAATTTGTATGCTTTTTAAAAACACTAATCTTTGATGTTCAAGCTGTAAATGGCTCATCCTTTCTGAGATTACCAAGAGCAGGCTTTTGGTCTGATCAGCCAAAACCGTCATATGATCATCATCGATATCATACATTTTAGACAATGTCAAGTCCCATTTGTCAGAGCGTGATAAAATCTTTTGAAACCGAGTATCAGCAGCTATACAAGTATTGTATTTCAAAACAAACACATATCAGCAAGAATTTAAATCTCGGCAAAATACAAAACCAATTTGAAATCCAACCTTGTTTTTCTAAATCTACCCATACACTAAACACAGTGTCGTTTCCTAAAATGACAAGCGAGCACCCCTTTTCAAAAGCAGTAGCTCCTACAGAAAATGAAAGTAGTTCTTGAACCTGCTCTTCAAATAAAAACACCTGTTCAATAGTGTGTAGGAATAAACTTGGCTGATCAAGTAGCATATGAAGGTCTTGACAGACTTTCCGAGTAATCAGATCTACTAGTCCTTGAAAAAAAACTGTAGTAGTATTGATAGAATTGCCATCATCATTATCAAGCAAAAGTTGTATGCTTTCTTCAAAAAAGCTCTGCTGATCTTTCATAATCTTTAAAATGTATTTAAAATACAAATCTGGCTATAAAACACATCAGAAACATACAAGCTATATTAATGATTTCGCGATATAAAATGTATGGACAAGCAATGGCATGATCTTACTCTTTCCAAAGAATTGGTTGGAAGGTTGCCGTGAAAGTGGAATTTAAAATGCTTTCGAATTGGAGAAAGAAGCAATTCAACTGGCTCAATCATATAAGCAAAAGGTGTGGTTGGCAGTGACGATGAGTCCAGTATGGATCGGCTACAAAACAATAAAACAAACCCATTTGTAAGCAATGTTTTTGATTTCAAAAACTATACACGCAATCCACAATTTTAAAAGATATGATTTATAATAAGCTTACGGATGTTGGAGTTTAGCAGAAAGCCCGAGCAAAGTGATTAGGTCCGACATGACAGACTTTGACGAGTGTTCATCTATTGGTTTTGGCCATGATATTTCCAGCAGAAAAGGGGCAGCAGTGATGGACAACTTCTTGTGAATAAGTGCATGACACTTGTGAATAGACGATCTCCAATAGTCAGAGGCAGACATAAAGTGCGCATTTACAAAGGGTGCGTCGAGATCTACACTTGACGGTTTGATTGTAGATTCAGGAAGACCAAAATGGCTGCAGTAGTGGTCAATGGCAGATGCTAGATCATTCCTGTTTATGCAGTTATGAATAAACTCTTCACTCTCATGAATCTTGCAAAGGGACTGCAGCTCGGCTTCTGCAGCTTCAAGCCGCTTAATCAATGCCAATGAACTGGATAGCTGCGACAATTTAGGATCCTTTGAAGCTTTAAATGAGTTGGCCAGTTTTAGTATGGAGACTCGACCTTCTTCAAGAGAGGCTTTAAGCTGAATAGCTTCGGTCTGGATAGCACTGATGCATGCCTTTGAATGGCTGGATACCAATCTAGCCTTTATGCAGTGTTAGCACCACTTATGACAGTCGCAACATGATGCCAGATTTACTCACCTTTTCCTCTGCATCTGCCTTTAGACTTGCAGTTTCTTGTAGTTTGTCTGCCAATGCTTCCTGAGAAATAAACAGCAGTTGTTCCATCACTACAAAACTTTGAATGCAGATGCAATTCAATATTTTAGGGTTGAAGTTGGTAATTCAAATATTATCAACTATCCGTCAATCAACCTGTCGAGTATTTTACAGTCGTATTCACGTAGAATAAACCACTTTCTGTATTGATCTTGCAATGATTGTCTAGGAATAAACAGTCTTTACATATTCATTGTTGTTGGAAATGGACTATTTCTTTTATTGAAACTGTTCTAATATCAGATACGCTCGCGTTCTAGTTCAACATATCTCAAAAATGAAACTATACATGCCGATCACGCAATGTTTTAAATATTCGTTTTGGAGAAAAGGAAAGTTGAAGGTTAAAGAAATGTGGAGTGTATTGGAGCAGAGATGTGAACATTTGTACAAGAATGAGCATGGAGATCAATCAATTAATGAGTTTATAAAACAATATTGTTTATCATGTATTTTAGTTTAATGTTTCATTATACGTGAATACGGCTGTAAAGCAATCAATCTACTGATATGAATGTATCAATCCACTAATGCTTGCAGACTCATGGAATAAGCAAAGCTGAAAAGTTTATTTATCGTCTTTCCCATTTCAATGCATTGAAACATAAGAATCGGTCTATTTTACAATATATTTCTTGTTAATGAGTCAAAGAAAGTTCAATCCATTGTCAATGAATCCACAAGATTTATAAACCGCCATTAAGAAGCGTACTGAAAGTTTCTGTCATGCCAGTCAAGGAAAACTCGGAAGAATTAGAATTCTGTCTATTAACACAACTCTGCTCGTGCATTGATCGATTTTCTATTTGACATTCCTCTGTGCAGTAATATACATAGACTTGTTGGGTAGCACAATCCTCACACTTGATTGGATCGTCACTGGAAAATGTCATGCAGCAGTGTGTACAAATTGTCTTTGTAGAAACATAAGAGCTACCGTATATTTTAGATCGTCTGTTGGAAGACAATGTAAGACTTTTTTCCACAGAATTGACAGAATCGGATGCAGGCGCAAGACTCAAAAGTCGCTTGAATACATCATGCGAATATACAACATTTATGAATGGCGCAATAAGCGATGGTGAATAGCCTTCGCTAGTGTGAACAGAGTTGGAGCGTTGTCGATGCGTATCAATTTCTAAAAGTGCTGCCTGTGTAAAAGCATGCTTTTTTAATAGCGCATGTGCCTTTTCTTCCTCTCGGATATCTGTATATAGTATTGCAAGCTAGATGGTGTACATGTTAAAATATGACAAGGCGATCTCAGCTTGATTGCAACAATATTGAATAAACCTGTATTGATACCTGAAGGGAAATGGATCTCTTGGAGTTTGGGTCTGAAACCTCCAAAGTAGCATTGCATAGTGCATCATGTAGATATTTAATTGATTCATCAAGAATCAATCGAATTGAAACTGATTTTTCGGCACTAGAAGTGACCACTATAGCAACGGGTGGACTAGAAGCAAATTCGATCCCGCCAGCAAGCTGAAGCGCGTATTTGTATGCAAGTACACCTGCCAAAAAAACTGATTGCACGTCGGCTTCATCTGTTGAAATACCGCTATCGCTTCCAGTCTCGGCCGAACTTAACTCGCAAGCTATTCGGCAATATAAAAGAGAGGTAAGGGCATCACCCATGCACTCTTGGTTTGCGCTTACCAGTTTGAGACATAAATCTTTTTTGGTTCGTCTGCGACGCTGAATCTCAATCACATTATCAGTAGACAGCGGTTGAAGTTTGTATTCATTTGCAATCGTATCCTGAAGATCTAACAACTGTAAAGCACGGGTATATGAGCGCACGGCAGTTGAATAATGTTCGGCTTTGACTGCAATATCTGCCAAAAGAACTTGTGCATCGAAATGAGCCGATAGATCGATTGATGTTTTTCTGGAATGTATGTTCTTGACGGTAGTTTCAGGTGGGTCAAGCAAAGGATCCATTTCTTTGCAAATAGACTCATTACTACAATCCTCGAGCGACTCGGCAACTGCAATCTCATGCAATGCTACCAATTTTGTGGCATATTCCAAGGCATGATCAATCTCGCCCATACACGAGGCTATTTCGACAATTTCCTTGTAAAAGACAAGATTTGCACACAAGTCGGTAATTTTTTCAACACTTCCTCTAGGACTAGCTCGACCAACTACATTGTAGATTGTAATACTACAAAGGGTCATATGGTAACTGTGGCGAAAGTTTCCTTGTTTTGACTAAACATTTAAAAATAAGAGTCAACAAAAAGCACTAGCATGTATCCAGCTGAGCTACTATTGGCAATCACATTGCAAAGCAATAGCCATAATGGGTAGAAAAGAACCCAATCGTTGAATTTACGGGTTCAATTACAATCCACCAAAACAGGTGAAATTAATAGAGCGCTGGGCAAATAGAAAATTGACCGCACTGAGTTGGATCTCAATATGGTTACAACAACACTGAATGAATGCAATATTCAAACTCACTTGAGCTGCTCCGAGAGCAAAGGCTGCATGTGCTATAACTCGAAAAAAGTTGGATTGAGAAAGGTCAAGTCGATGAACAGTAAGCGAAGGCGGTAAATGATCCTCGATATCATCGCCTGCTTCAATAAACTGATAAAGAATCCAAGTACGCAAATCATCGTTAAAGTCCAGCAAATTCATCACACTGATAATAAACTTCATCTTGGTTGTAGTGTCTGAATCAGGCGTAGGATAAGGTTCCAATAAGTCAGATCCAAACAAATCTGTCTGCTGGTCCAACTGACTAGTATCGTGAATTTTAAGTACATGATCGTACAATGAAAGAGCCATCCAGCGCTGTTCATTTGGCTGATAGAGATGAGCTCCGAGAGAAGATAGTGCACCAAGCGTTTGTATTAGTGCAACAAGTATGGCAATGTGTGCTTCTCTATTAGTCAGTGGCGGGTCGGCTGTCATTGGTCGAGGCATTTACAAAAGAAAATATACAATGGTCAAGATTGACTTCTTTTGTAAAGGGTCGAGTGAGCAAGAATCAACGAAAACGTTCAACTTGAAGATACTCAGATTCAGCCAGCTTTAGCGTGTTTTATGGGTCTGATTTCACCTACTGTAAATGCTCAGACCACCACGTGTTTACTAATACTGCATCGAACCGAATCTGTCGAGTTTGACACGCTCAGATAAGCAACCAAGGCTCAAGTAGTATATTACAGGAATACTCGTAATGGAGCTATCTGCCGAGGCTGTCTGCGACACTTTAAAAACTATTTCTGACATTCCAGTCCTGCCTGTCATTCATCGACATGTCTACTTTATCCTTGGAAAACCCCTTTCAGGGAAAACAACCTTGGGAAGAAAGCTTGCCACCTACACGGACACCATGCTTGTTTGTCCCGAAACAGCACTGGATTATGCTACATCTACCGAAATTTCTCCAAATAAACAGCAGGTAGTTGGACAACTTGATGCAATCTATAAATCATGTCATTTGATTTGACAGCATCATCTACTAAACATTTTGACTTTTAATCACGATAATGTACTACATGCAATGGCTGCCTATTTAATTGCACTTGTTCTTATTTTGGACCCAACTGCTGTAACTTTACGTGACTCTTGAAACAGCTTCTAGAACACTTGGCAAATGGTGGTTCAATTCCATCTGAACAAATAGTCAAAATGATGCAAGAATCTGTCATATCGAACAACTCTGAATACAAAGGTTATATTGTAGATGGACTGCCATGTGGTTTGAATGCCAAAAACACTATTGATCTTGAATCTCCACCACTCGACATGGCCGTATTACACAAAATAGTCCAAGAAAAAAACAAAGGTCACATTCCGGTACTCATTGATTTACAAATTTCTGATGAAAACTTAATACGTCGTCGCGCCTCTCAGTGGATCGATCCTTCTACAAACATTGGGTATTCAGGTCAGCAGGTATTATATTCAAGAACACGACGCTCTCAAGGCTGGGTAGATGGTCAAGAAGATACTGTGGCTTTGTCAGAAATGGAATCTCAACAACTCGAGTTTTACAATGATGCGCTAGACGAACATGATGCCAATGGAAAAAATAATACTACGGATGCAGTAGATGAAGCAGAAAGGGAAGATCTAGATGAAACGGCTATACAAGACAACGAACTTGAAGATGATTTGCCACCTGCATCAAATAATTCCAAGCAAAAAAAAAGATTGGAAGCCATCAAAAACAAAAAAACCTGGCCCATTTTATCTGAACAAATACTAGATAGGTAAGCTGTCAGATTTCAAAAAGCGTCACTAGATTCACCAGCTTATTGAATATCATGCTTTTTGTTCAATTTTCAACTCAGGCTCATCAAACGTCCAGAAGATAATCCGGATCAATCTTCAAAAGACTTGATTGCCTACCATAAATATGAAGCAGCTCTCAATGATTTCAAAAAAAAATACTTTGACTTGTTACGAGTCATCACACTAGATGCATCGCAGCATCCAGATGTTGTGTTTCATCAATTGAAACAGTGCCTAATAACTCGCAACTTTTCACTCTACACTATGCCAGTAAAAGCTTCGCGTTTGGCTCTACCTGAAGCAGATATAGAAGGTATTTGATAATTTTGGCATATAAAAAGTAATGCATGATTAGAAATACATTCATTGATTGTTGAAATTGACACAACTTGTCTCATTTTTGAGCATATCTTTAACACAGGCATGTCCAAATCCGATGTATTCCAATACTACGCATCTCAAAATCTAAAAGAGTTTGAGCCAGTGAGAAGCATGGGATACTTTGGAAAACACTGCCCAGTAACATTTTACAATAACGGGACGCTTGTCGAGGGAGATTTGAAATTTGCGGCACTCTATCGAGTAGGTTGCATTTATTAACCCATAAATATGGTTTGGATACTTTGTCGGTCTAAAATACATGGATGATAGCGCAGAGTTGTAGATGAGCTAAATCAACCGTATTTTTATTTTACAGGGCTCAATCTATTATTTTTCCAGCGAAGCCTATGCAGAAACTTTTGTGGAAAATCCTTATAAATTTCTTCAAAAACCACTGGCTGTTTCAGATATTTACGCTGTATTTATTGGTCCTCCCCATTCTGGAAAAACACTGCAAGCAAAATTGCTGGCTGAGAGATATGGACTAAACTTGATTTCGCTTGATTCGCAGCTTAAAAATTGGGAACAAACATGCTTGGTTGAATCGACTATTGATCAGACATCCGAGACAAAAGAAGCTTTGGAAAATAATATATATTTCAAGGTGAGGTTTATTTTTTTTGCAAATATGATATATTTTTAACATGGTATAAAATGCATTTTAGATTAAAGAGCATTTGAAAAACGGGACAGTCATTTCTACCAAACTACTTATAGATGTTATAAAGCTTTGTATAAGCCAACAAAACACGCATGGAAAGGTATCATTCAAATCAAAATTTAGAATAATGTTTCAATGACTGATTTTTTTAAATAGAGATTTAACGGTTGGGTTTTGGATGGATATCCTTGCAATGCCGAGCAAGCTGAAGCCCTTGTATCTTCTGGGCTTTCACCAAAGTACTTGTTTACTCTAAAAAGTGGTAATTTTACAAATGCTCATTACCGTATCTGCAACTCGCATGTATTTACAATCACATTTAAAGTCAGTCAAATAGTGTTTTGCTAACCTGAATAACAATAAAACATAGAGATCGATAACTCGGAAGTATTGTCTCGCTGGGAATCTCCCCGTACCGATGCTTTAGGAAACTATCCTGTTAATGAATTTGACATTGGCATCAATGTAAATCCATACTATAATAAGCTTTATAGTAGTTACAAAGAAAATATATCAGGGATTGTGCAAATTTTAGAAAACTCTGGCGCAACTGTAGTCGATATTCCAGCAGATCAATCAATATCAATGATGATCAATCAAGTGGTTGCATGTGTTGATCCGTTTGTTCCGCAAGCAAGTATGATTACTCTCTTTTGAATGTGCATTTTAAATATGACCATGGACTTATAGTTTGATATGGACTATTAATCAGGTCCACTTTCTGCAAACTCCAATCGTGGTACATACGAGGAGTTTGGGTTGACAAAAGACTACTGTCCTGTGACATTAAAGTTGAAAAACGTTCTTTTAAAAGGAAGCAAGGAAATCAGCGCCAACTTCTTGGTATGAAAAGCATTGTATTGAATAATCAATTTCTAGTTTTAACATTTTTTTGAAGAATCATATTTACTACTTTTCTTCGGAAGATGCCCGAGTCGATTTTTGCAAGGAGCCAGCTGTTTATCTGTCCAATATTAAGATTCCTCCACCTAGAATCGTATTTATGGGACCTGCAGGATCAGGAAAAGTATGCTACATTCTATATATTTTTGGTGTATAGTCAAGATCTAATCCAATTCTATCATAGACCACATGTATTTGTGCTTTATCTAAAAAATGGAATATACCACATGTAGAGTTTCGCTCGCTTCTTGTTCAGTTTGCACACTCACTTGAGCAGGCACAGGAAGAAGATATTATGACCATGATTGCGGAAAATGCTACAATTCCATCAACAATTATGACGGATGTGTTTGAGTACTTGTTTACTTTGGAGGTAATTGATTTTTGCGTTTATACTTTACGATCACCTATATTGTGTATGTAAAACTAGTATTTCATGACTAATATATTCTTTAATGTGCTTACCCATTAGCCATATGTTTCAAAAGGATTTTTACTTGAAGGATTTCCACAAACAAAACAGGATTTAGATGTTGTCATCAAGAAAAATTATGCTTTAGATGCATTTGTGATGTTTCAAGTTTCACCTGAAATTGCTGCAAAGCGTGTGATGCGTGCAAAAAAGACTGGTTTAAACTTGTCCAACAAAAATGATGATCAAAAGATTGTCGTTGACAAAAATGCACAACTGCCCTTGTCCGAAAATGAACCTCAAGAAATCTCGGATGAGGAGCTATTTGGAGAGTTGATGTCTAGGTAATATTGAAATTCCAAGCACGCAAATGAGATGATTTTATTTCAACTTTTGACATCTAATATTATACATGTAGTGCGGAAAAAGAAAACGAGCAATTTTCAGAATACTTGACCATCCTTTCCAATGCAAGACCAGCACCCACAATTGAGGTGAATGCGTCAAAAAATCTTAGACCCATTTTAGCGTTTCTTGAACGTAAACTTTGCAAGTTTATGGAAAAGGTTGGTTTACTGCGTCATTATTTTATAAAAACGCATGTATTTTTGATGAAGCTATTTTGCTCGAGTAGTTATACTAACGTGTTGATTGTAGAGAGAATGTCTACTATGTAACGTCATTCCTATTAGCACAAAACATGCTGATACTTTACTGAAACTGGGCACCAAGCAGTACAGTTCAATTGGGTATGATTGATTTTGCTTTGTTAAACAGTGGAGTGTTGCTGTTTTTGAAAAATAATAACCCAAATTTTAGAAAATATTGTCCAGTATCACTTCAAAAACCCAATCAGTCGTATGCACCAATTTATGGAACCAAGCCAGTGATATTTGGCAACTGTATCTATTATCTGAAAGATATCTTGGCGAAAAATGTAGGTTTAGGCTTTACGTTTATAAAAACGCACTTTTGACTGATCGATTATAAACATTTAAAATAGGCGTTTATATCTAGTCCTCTCGATTATACTATAAACTTGACACCACAACCAGTAGTTTTGCCAACTGTATGTATCCTGGGAGGACCAAAATCAGGAAAAACATCTATTTCAGAAAATCTGGCACTTGAATTGAATGCCGTGTATATAAATGCAGCTACGGCAATTCAAGCCATTATAAATGGTGATGAAATTACAGCACTTTATGACAATGTGAGTTTACATGATTCAGCTTTTGTGCATTTCAATTTACTGACATGTTTAATCTATGGTAGCTGAAACACTGTTTAGATTGTGGTAAAGGTATATCTGAAGAATTGGTTTTGGAGGCAATTATGCTAATATCAGCAAGAACCATCAATGCTGGACATGGGTAGGTTTACAATCAATTCCAATGACTTGAAAATGTAGTTTTATTTTTATATATGTTGCTAAACCAGTCAAGTATATATTAGCTGGGTGTTGGATGGTTTTCCAGAAACATTTAACCAAGCCGTCAAAATGGAGCAACAAGGCTTTCGTCCAAGCATTTTTATAGAGCTGAGCATTGATGATTCCAATGTACAGTACAGACGACAAGCTGACAAATCTCAAAATTTAAAGTAAGCTGTCATTTTAAAACTGAAAGATTTAGAACCTGTTTGGATAAAGAGATTCACAGTATACAATGCGCATTTTATTTTCAAGGAATTTTACTCCGCATTTAGATATAAAAGAGGTTGTTGAGTTAGATCTTGCTCAATTCAATCAGCAAATTGTACCTATTCAAAGTGTATTTTCGGAAAAGTACTCGAATTGGAATACCATTGATGCAAGAAATTCAAAATGGGCAACAAAACACATAGCCCATCAAGCCATTTGTCACATTCTACACCAAAAACAAACATATATTTACCGAAAAAACAAAGGTAAGTGCTCTAAACCATTTCCGCGTATCTAGTATTGAAATGCAATCTAATTTGAAACAACCCATATCCAAGGTCTTGCTGCACCAATACACGGTGTTGGAATCAGTAAAGATTATATCGACCACCATTTATGTTCCTTTAAAAACTACTGTCCAGTCTCATTGTTGGATTCAAAAGAGCTTATCCAAGTGTCCAAATCAAGTCCATATTTGACAGAGTATATGGGTTTGATATACTGTTTTGCCGGTAGCTCGGAACTACAATCATTCATGGATAATCCTGACAAATACGCTCAGAGTGCTCATCTTTTAGAGCATTTGCCGATCCACAGGTCAAGATTTGAAGTGAAAGCCATGTTTCCAAAACAACTGGAACTAAAGGGCTATTGTCCAGTCACTTTTTCATTAGGAAAATCAGGGTAACTATATGCTCAAGTGTCCATTGCCAATTTTTGATCATGCTGCTTACTTTAATTTTAGCTTTTCTTCGATTTTGATTGGAAGTAACGAATGCGTTGTCGAGTACATTGGAAAGCTGTATGCAATGCATAGCAAAGTAGAAATGGATAAATTCATGAGGTGACACTGAATACTTTTCATGCTTGACATGTTTATGAACCACATGTGTGAGTCTGTATCGATACTGATTTATATTTCTGGCTGTATGTCAATGTCATTAGAAAACCATGGGCATATGTTGATCAAATTCTTCCCAGTAAACTTCCTCCACCAATAGCTCCCCTGCCAATATCTGGATTGCCTGTTATTGGATATATGGAGCAAACACTCTCGACTGCTTTAACTAGTGGATTGCGTGACTTGGGACACTTTAAACCCAAATTTCCGTACCTGAGCATAGAAATCTCTGCGTGCAAATACTTGGCATTATATCTCAAGGGTAAGTAGTGTCTGCCATTTTTTAACTCGAGCTCCATTCAGTTTTACAACTTATGTCGATGAGCCATAAGATAGGGTGTATGTTGAGGTAATCATTATTTTTATAACCTTGATACTACTCAATAGCAAATAACCCACATTCTAAAGATTGGGTACGCAGTGGATATGCTCTGCGCCTTCAAACCTTTAAAAGCAAATGTAAGTTGATGCAGCATCTTGCTTCCACGTTGACGCGTGAGAATGGCAGTCAATGGATTGAGAATCGCGATGAAATACTAGATCAACAATTGAGCGAATTTCTCTTGCACAAAACTATGCAAAATCGTGTGGTGGAATAAGTGGTGTGCATTCTCAAGACTCTCGAGTGAATATCCACTTTTTTAAAAATAAAGCGTTTTACTGCGGCTCTAATATATTGTTGACTAGCCATTGGTATCTAAAAAATCTATACACCATTAGAACGTACAACTTTATCACTCATCTGTAAAGGGATCTCAATGGGCAACGCCATTGCCTCACATGAAGTCGAAAGCATATCAGCTGTGACTCCGGATGAGCTTTGGTACAAAAAGCGACTTTCCTTTTCAGGTATATCTCGAGGTGGAAAATCTACGCCAAGTTTTGATATCGAGGCCAATAACATTATCAATTCTCGCATAATCGATGATACGTCTCCAGTAGAAGGTGGGCATTTAAATACTTGTTTTAAAAGTAGTAGTTTTGTTTCAAACCCATATACTCTTGCAATGCTGTAACTTGGATACAATTTTGCATTGCCAGCTATTGTCAAATTCTACAAAATAAGCTTCTCGTGTTTGATACCACTCCGTGTTTTGCAATGGTAACATGTTTTTATAAAATACTGTGGTTGATATCAACGATAAATCAACAGAAAGTAGCTCAGAAATAGCTTCAGTTTCATTTTCGCAAGGTAGACGTAAACCACAACATATCAGGGCATCTAATCCAGAAACTAACCACAATCCAAATAGCCAGACAAAACTCGTTAATGTGGAGCCCAACGACACGTTTTTGGATATAGATATAAAGGAGCCCACTTTTGTTCATCCATCCCAAAGAAAGGCCAAGTGGACTCAGCAAAAACCTGGTTCCCGTAACTTTATAGAAAATACAGGTGTTTCAAAAGGTAGAGCTATGCACTGATCAGATAATCGTTGATCCTATTTACCACTGACTTACCATGCGTGCTATATGCTAGACTCTTTATTGGATGAACATCTACAACAGCCTAAAATCTTAAACCAACCTCAGCAAGATTGTCAGTTGGAATTTACAGACATTGGCCCATCTTCCCAACAGACAGACGTGTTTAAGCTACCAACTATTCCTAAATTTGGACAGCTTTGGGCTACTTTGTGTCGAGAAAGCTCCCAGTATGAGTCTGAAGCATCCATTGAAATTCCGATTTTTCCAAACTTTGAATCTCAGCAAGCCAAAGCTGTGGACATGAATCCAAAACCAGATACGAATAATTTTCCAGCTGAAGAGAAATTATCCAGTTCAATCTTGTCGACTCATGAAATGAGTTCTGGCCGGTACATCAATCCCGTTATTTCTGCAATCAAAGCAGACAAGAACTATATGAAAAAAAATCGCTCATCGTGCTCACTTAATAGCAATGGTTCCTGCTTGAGCATTCGTAAAACATTTGGAAGATTGGCTGAAAGCAATGCATCAAACAGAGGAAGTAGTACCGGTAGTCGCATCAGCGTGAATAGTGTTCGCAGCATCAACTATTTAGCCTCGACTGAAAATCTTTTGGATTCAGATACAAAGTCGTTACCATTGGATAGTAAGACTCACAAGCCTAACACAACATCAAAATCAACCGAGATTTATACTAATTTGACGTCACCATCAGATCATTTTGGAAATATCAAAAAATCAAAACATGTTTCCAATCAACAGCATGCTAGATCCTTGGCACACGCTAAAGAAGCATTGACAAAAACAAGCTCTTCTATTTTGCTTCAACAGAACATTGAACAGCTATCATCTAAAGGTCGTAAAATGCAACTTGAAACAGTTAAAAAAGTAAAAGAAATTGTCAAATTCCGTATGTTCAAGTTTAATTCCACTTCAACTCTTTTCGTGGAATCCAGCATGGTGAATGCAGATTTACAAGACTCTTTACGATGGTAAATCATGTATATTTGTGTCTTGACTTTTCAATTGTGGAGCTAACTTTTTGAAAATCTATCATGTGTAAGTGCATCCATATATTTAGCACGAAGCATAAAAATAAAATCCACCGAAAAGTCAAGCACCACGCCCGATATTCTATCCGAAAAACGGCATATTTTATCGGTATGATTTTATTGAACTGTATCGCTGGTTTTGTACTAATTATACTTGTATATTGGTCAAAAAGTCTTGTGTGATCGATAGCTGACGCTACACTTTGATGGATTTAAAATAGCATCAGATCCAATTTTATCACCGAGTGCCAACTGAAGAAGAGATTTTTCGTTTTCTAGAATGTATTTTTCTGTCAACCGAAATCAATGCGGAACATGTGATAATTATGCTGGTCAGTCTTGAGACTTGAACAACAAAATAGTAAACCATCTAACCCGATTGACGATACTCTATATAATTTTTAGATATACATTCAACGAATGATTTCAAAAACCGGTATATTTCTTCAGCCCATCAACTGGGCAAGAGTAGTAATTGGCAGTGTTATTTTAACCTTGAAGGTTTGGGACGACCATGCTGTTTGGAATACTGATTTTTGTCAAATATTCCCCGACGTAAATGTCAAGGATTTGTAAGTTCATATTCAAGTATTCGTGTTTATTTGATTCTACATTAAGATTTTGACTGGACATTATTGAACCGTTTAGCAACCGTCTGGAGCGATTTTACATTTATAGCATGAAATACGATGTTTCTGTAAAAGCATCAGTGTATGCTAGAATCTATTTTGAACTAAGGGATCTAGTAGATGCCAGGAATCGATCTTGGGCACTTCATCCTCTCAAGAAAACTGAAACAAGCAAGATAATGGTATGAATTAATTATATAGCTTTAGAATGGATATCAGTGAATTATGCTTATCTTGTCATCATCACAGCAATCGCAAAAGTATTAGTCATATTGATCAACTTTTTGAATTGTGTAATAAACTTGTAGAGTCCCGTAAAAAAATATGCTAGTAGTGCTCAACCACCTTCAGAAGACGCGAGCCAAGTGGAAGAGGTGCATGCATTTGATAAGTCGCAGACGAACACCATTCTCCAAACACCAGATCCGAGTGTGCGACGTTCTTACAGCGATTATCAATTTGTACCGGCAAAATATCCTGCATTCGTACTTTAAAATAAAAACAATGCTCTTATCAATAGTTTAAATTATTGAACAATCAACCTTTATGAATTGAGCGCATGGCCAAACTGACATCCGATGAATCAAATATGAAATTTCAAAAATGATGGATTCTGTGAAATGTTGAGTACTTGCATTGGAATCCTCACTCTGGTTTCTCATGTATTGCAGTAGAATTTGAGGGATAATATTGCTTGAATATATTCAAGACATTTTCCACACCTATCTAGGCATCGATAATGAAAGATTGGAGACGCGAACTAGAGATACAGCTTTCAATAAAAGCAACAAGGCTCTGCCCAAATCGCCTGTATGCATCAAGCTTGACGACTTTCCTAGTAAACACTATGAAATTCACTTACCACGTGCAATACCAAGTCCTCGACTATTAAAGCCTAAACATTTGTGAATAAAGAAATTATCTTATATTATCCACCATGGAATTCAAGTTCAATGTGCTAGATGTTATACGTAAACCAATATCAATCTTTTCTTCTACTGAGCTTCCAAAGAGTCAGCAAGCGTGAGTTGTAATTGACACGATAAACACCGATATTCAAAGCATCTTTGCAAGTACTCGCTATAGCCCACTCAATATATAATACTGATATTTTTATTAAACAAGTCTAGAAAAAATTGTCGAGATAATCGACGAGGTTGGAATTGCTAGTGCAAAGGTATGGATGCCATACATGTCAATACAGATATAGTATTTAACGTTCAATGTGGATATTATAATTATTTGGATTTAGGCTCAAGGACTTCGAGCTCCAGTAACAAGTATTCTCAAGCTTAAACACAACCCAAACCAACGTATTTATATCATGCGCACAGATTTTGATGCCAAACATAATACCAAAACTGGCGATCAGGATTCTACTGATACATTACAAAGCCATCAGTCCAAGTCCATGTCAGAATCCTGGATTTTCACTTTAATGCCGTTGGTTTGGCAAAATATAGTCAACTAATTGATTCACGCAAGCAAGTTGTTGTGGGGCTACTTAAAGTTGGACTAAAAAAGCTTTTTCTTGTGGACGAGTTTGGACGGCAGATTGAAATCAATGCACTTTGTGTTCTCGATTTCTATATCCATGAATCGTCTCAGAGGTTGGGCTATGGAAAACGCTTGTTTGAATATATGCTCGCGGTAAGTGACTAAATATCATGACGTGGCTGGCTTGTAGTGTGTGCATTTTTCAGTCAACATTGATAATGACTACGCTTGCTAATATTAGAATACCTGCAAACATATTTTCAGATTGAATTTTGTTCCGCAAGCGAGCTTTGTTACGATCGCCCATCAAGCAAGTTTCTGGCATTTCTTAAAAAGCATTATGACTTGCACGAATGTACGGTATTTATTATCACAATGCATGTACTGCTTCAAAAATGTGCATTGATCTACAGTGTTAATGCATTGTTTTCATGGCACGACAGCCATACCTCAATCAAACTACTTTACTGTCTTCAAACAATTTGGACTTGGATTACTTGAGCTTGGTAAGATTTTTGCTCATGGCTTTAATCAATTCGACGAGATGCTTGATTCATTCACTACTGATACTCGCGTGTTTGGATACAAAAACAGATTCAAAGGGTCGTCCCAAACCACCTCTTAAGCTGAACCCCATATTGAAAAATACCAAACATGCGCATCCAACACATCCTACTCCAATACTGAGATCAGAGGGATTACTGCAGAAATTCCAGCACATGACCAAGAATGCACCTCCAATAACTGTCAAGCAACTGCCATCTGGTAATTCGATCAACAACCCATACGATATAATGAACATTGGATCACTTACAGACAAATCCGCTGCTCAAAATAATTTAAACATTACATCATTGTACAACACTGGATCGACCAAAAAGTTTGAGACTCAAGAACACGCACTATTATATCAAACCCAAGAGATTCAGCCGTTTAAAAAACAATCAAAACACGAGGACAATCTACATGCAAACAACCACGACATATTTCCTCCCAATAGTACTTTTAAGGAGACGAACATGCTAAACAGATCACACCATTCCAAGGATAAACTATCAAAGTTGGAGGTCTTATCTGATGAGCCTCACCAGCATTATAATCATAGTCATCATAGCCATCACCACACGCATGGGCATCACACGCATCATACTCTGGCAAAAACCGTTGAACATCAAACAGCTCAAGCGCAGAATGAATTTACAAAAAATGATATACGATATAAAAATAGTACACAGCACATGGGCGAAAATGAGAATCATGCATTTTTAGAAAATCCATGCTCGCCCAAATCTCAAGGTACTAAATCAAGCTCGCGATTCAATCGTACACAAGTAGTGGAAAAAGTTGCTTCGCAAGCCATGGTCCAAGAAGGCACTAGACAAGCGGGAGTCTTGTCTAGAAATGATAGCAAGGATATCCTGCATTTGTCGGAAATTGGCCCATATGATTCCCGCGTAAAAAAGCAACATTTGGATAGCATTCCTATCGATCCAATTGATGGTCCAATTGATTGGACAACCACACCACACGCAGGGCAAACAGTTTCTGCTACAATGGCGTGTTTTAAAACCAGTCCAGAAATAGGAATTCAAGAAAAGGAACGAAAAGCTCGAATTCGGATGTTAATGCAAACAGAGCGATTGCCTCTTCTTTCTCCTTCAGCACTAGGAAATGCATGCGTTATGCCCAAGCCATATCTCTCAGGGATAGCATTACTAGCTGGTGGTCTGGGATCTTTTGAAAAGAATTATATAAATACACAACGATCAGAAAAGCATCGACAAAGACTTGTCAAACAATCTCACAATACAAAGGATTTTTAGCAAATGCTACACCAGAAGCATCACAATTAATCACACTTTTGTGTCCAAAATAAAATTGTATTTTCAAAATAATCGTCTTCCAAAATTCGCACTCAAACACATTTGGTTTGTATAACAGCCGGTCAATCGTTGGTTTGTCACACTACAGATTCAAGAAGACCAGTCTACAAAAATGTTAGAATACATATGCAGTGTTTGTGATGGATCAAAAAATATCATTACCTCTGGCAGTATCAGTATATCATCATAGGGTGCCTTTTGCTCGACCGATATTAGCTTTTTTGTTTTCAATACAAGTAGCTCAAAGAAAAATCTTGCCCTGATGGTTTTGGATGCCTGGTTTTAAAATAAAAATTGTGAGATTCTACCATTTGGTATTAACCGATAAAAACATTTTAAGTTACCCCTTGAACAAACTCGCTGTATGTGGCGGGTGATATTTCTGGTGTCTGGTTAAATCTTTCCTGGAGAATCTTGATAGTTTGGTATGTATGCTTGCTCAGTTCAAGCTCATTATCTGCAGGAGTTTCTGTGGCATCTCCAAATTCGTATAGACTAGCATGGAAACCATCAGCCGGCTTTGCAGATTGTGCTACGACAGCATGATCCATAGATATTTCTGCAATGCTTTGCGGCATGTCCGAAAAAGAACCAATGGCAATATCAGCTGAATAATTTCCAATAGACAAATCGTTTTCAACACTCATGTTTGCAGCTTTAGCATCGATAGGCTCAAGTGAATCGCGCGCTTGAATCTTGTCATTTTCCAAAATAGATTCATCTTGTCTAGAGTTTTCAACAACAAAATCAAGAGTTTCTGGAACCGGCTCAAAATTGTCTAGGCCCTGGAATGGATCGTAGTTGTCATCAAGTCCGTAGTTGTCGACTGAAACATCTTCAAGTTGGAAAATTACAAAACTGTTAGTGTATAGAACGTGTCGAATAAACAAACAGATAACAATAGCCAAAAACAAGACAAACCATTTGGCAGCAATGCATTTGAACTAACGCCCGTATTAAACTCGAATCTACGAAGAGATTCAGGCGGACACACAATACTATCAAAAAACGGTGGAGGATTGTTGGAAAAAGGCCCACAAATGTATTCGCGGGAAAACATTGGCATGGTATCCTGAAATGGCAAAATCGGACGCACCACCGGAACAAATCTCATCTATTGTCAAACTGCTTGTCAATAAACACGTCTCGATTTTATCATGGACAGAATTCTAATTTTTAAACTGATTAAGCTTTACAACTCACCGAATCAAGAATATCCGATGGATCCTGCAGTTGCTGACGAACAATCTGATCTGCTAAATCAATCTCCTCGTCCACTACTACTTTTCGCTTGCGTTGAGTAGCGACCTTTTTTCTTGCAAGCTCATTTTGCTCACCAGCTCGCTTTCGGAAAGGTAGAGTAGGTACTCTAAAAAACTCTTGATTATCAGGCTCTTCGGGTGCAACATGAGACATTTCAGACTCAACTTGGGGGATTTCTCTAATTACAGCATGCAGCAGGTGAGTTTCATTGTAGCCTTTATCCACATTCAATACACTTGATAAAATCACAAAACATGTGCACATACATTGCTGAAGCATCACCAAATCCAAAATCATAATTGTCTTCTCCAGCAAACAAAAGAGGATCGTCTGGAGCATTTTGATTAAATGTAATATCTGGCAGTAAGTCCAGTCGAGAACCAGTCACTGACACATCTAGAGGAAGCTGGCCTATAGATGTATCGGTATGCTTTGACTCATCCATGGTATTTTCCTGGTCCGGGTTATCGAGATGGAATGGAGTCACTGGTACAGCGTCTCGTCCAAGCTCAACACCAGCAGTGGAGACTTCGTTTTCAAAATGAAGATCGAATGCATTGTCTTCCAATTCCATTCCGACTGCCATCTCATTGGATACAGGATCAGCCAAGAGATCCTCTCGTTGAGATGCAGAAAAGAATGCTGGTTCAATTAGAGTAATATCTTGCATTCTAGACATATTTAATGCGCTTGCGGCTGTCGTTTTCTGAGAGAGCAATGGCCTAATAACTCACAATATTCAAGTTCAATCAGCGTGTCTGTTCAACCATCATGTTGATATAGTCAAATTTCCATCATCGAATAACTTGCATCAAATCAATTCGAGGCTCTGGTAAAAGAATATCAAATTCAGTCATGCTCTCCGCAAGAGTGATATTATTTACTGTTGCAACTGCTTGCTCCTCAGTCATGTCCACCATACCAGGACGAAACGCCTTGCATAATAGAATAGTAGATCTTGATCAGTATACGAATAGAAATAGTATAAATCAGCAATCGCTACCATTTTAATTTTGATGAGCGCTTCGTTGCAATCCTCCAAGAGATATCTGGCTTTTCTTGAAAAAATCCGGACAACACCAAGCAGCAATTGCCCAGTAAGTCGCAAAGCCATCGACTCGCCATTTGTTCCAAGAATAGCAGCTATGTGTAATTATATCAAATGTCAACAATCATAATGAATGCACTAGCTGTAGGAAATAAAGAATGGTTCGGACAAGTCTGGTAACAGATGCTAAGATGAATGCACGAGTATTTGCAGATAATAAGTCGACTCAACTAATAGAGTTTTGAATATTGGTTTGTAGAAACTGAGTTTTGGAAAGCTTTCTTTCCCAATGAGCAGCGAGCCACACCTTTGCCAAAGGGCCTTTTTTTGCTAGAATAGTCTCGGAATAGAACATCTTGCAGACAAGGAATCCAAAAGTTAAAGAATGCGCAAGTTCAAAACTTGCATTAAAATCCAGTTCATTTGAATTGTATAGAAATCAATACATAATAGAATTCTATTTAAACCGCTTATTTTGTATTTAATATTGTTGTTGATGAGTTTTAATCAAGACTACACGATCCTAACAGTTACAATCATGTATTGGTTTTGAATAATATTCTGTTGAATTAATAGATTCAACGAGATATTCATCTGAATTCAAGATGAAATAAGACTGAATGATTTGTTAAAGTATTCTAAACACTTTATCATTACTATTTTAGTATTTAAAACCATGTCTGTTCAATACAATTTCAAGCCAATTACATGATCAACCCCAACATTCGACAATCATCAAAAAATAAAACGGCCGTATAAAAATACCCTTTGAATCCACTCTCGAAAACTTGCCTTTTTAACCAAAGATCACTTTAAATATATTGCTGCCATGCTCATCCAGCTCACTACCCGAATGGCAAAGTGTTCTCAGCGATCACTGCTGGGTTCTTTCCGATACCTAGTATGTATTTGAGTTGAAAGTGAAACTTGCATAGTTTTACAAGTAGTTGGTAGATTCATGCGCAAGACCATGAGCAAGACCATGGCTTGACTTGAGCATCACTAGCAACTTTATCAACTCGTTGATCTGATAGTAACACCATCTACTTTGACTAACCGTACATTATTTCATAGGGAAATGCATCCAGTATCAATTCAACTTCTGTCCGTACGCTCAGCACACATGTTACTACCCAGCCCATCTCAATGGTCAAGTCTTGTGCTAAAACCATGAAATGGTCTGCTCACTGCTCGTGTCATGTGAGATCATTTCACGCCTCGTCAGTGACTGCTGGCAAGGTGGTTCCGTTTTTACTTGCAGATATTGGTGAGGGAATCACAGAATGTGATCTTATTCAGTGGTTTGTGAAGCCTGGTGATAAGGTTGAACAATTCACCCGGATCTGCGAGGTTCAGTCTGACAAGGCTGCTGTAGATATTTCGTCACGATTTGATGGAGTGATTAAAACCCTCCATTACAAAGTAGGCGATATTGCGTTGGTGGGAAAACCACTTGTCGACATTGAACTGAATGAATCTGACGAGAATAATGTCGAAAGCTCTCCTGAACCGATCGCTCGAGTTGAACCTTCTACTGTTCATGTTCCCTCGACTGCTGCTCCTCCCACTCATTCGGACGATGTCGTCACATATGCCACTCCCGCTGTTCGTCGTGTTGCCAAAGAACACAATGTTGATCTGAAGTTGGTGGCCGGAAGTGGACCAGCAGGCCGGATTCTCAAGGGTGATGTATTGGCTTATATTGCTGGTGAGCAAACTGGTGAGCAAGCTGTATCTGAAACTGCATCCCAAAGTACGTATACTATGCATGTGTCTTGAAAATCACCTTCACTATGCATCTAACGCTCTTTCAAATGCATCTTGTAGCTGTTGCTGCACCTACAAAAACAGAAATAGTTGCTCTGACTCCCATTCAAAAAGCCATGTTTAAAACCATGACCAAGTCTTTGCAGATTCCACACTTTGGCTTCTCGGATGAGATTGAACTCAATGCCATCTCTGCTTTCAGAGCCTCGTTGAATGATCATGTTAAAACACTTCCTGTGGGAACTTATCCCTTCAAAAAGGTATCATATATGCCAATATTCTTGAAGGCTCTTTCCACTGCGTTGGCCGAGTATCCCATTCTGAACGCGTGCATCATAGATGCTGATGTGCCGGGCCAAGTAAAGCTACAATACCGTGCATCTCACAATATTGGAATTGCAATGGACACTCCTCAAGGGTAAGTCATGCACTTTATACGTACGCATTCCAAAGATATTGGTCTATGCAGATCTAATCAGACAGTGTTCATTGGGCTTAAACTAACCCTGACTGTTATTTAGATTGATTGTACCAAATGTTAAAAATGTGCAAAACAAGTCTATTCTTGAAATTGCCGCAGATCTTGAGCGACTCAAGGAGGCTGGCAAAAAGGGATCCATTGCGCTCTCTGATCTTCAGGGTGGAACCATTACACTTTCCAACATTGGAAATATTGGAGGAACTCTTCTTCATCCTGTTCTTGTTACATCCGAGGTTTGCATTGGTGCAATTGGAAAGGTTCAACGCCTTCCACGTTTTGAAACCCAAATAGATTCTGTTACAGGTCAATCTGTCGAGCGTGTAGTCGCCAAGGAAATATTAAATGTTAGTTTCAATGCGGACCATAGAGTCATTGACGGTGCAACAATGGGCCGATTCGTACAGCTATGGAAAACTTATCTTGAGAACCCATCCATTTTGACTGCCAGACTCCAGTAATCTTACTCTATTGATGTGTTTTGGAATTTGGTTTGATGATTACTTTAAAAATTGTAGGTTTATCTGATCAACTGTTGGATCAAAATAAATTTGACTAATTTTTTCATATTTGATTGCAACTGATTCTGAATCATCAAGGTTTGATTTTCTGATCTATTATTAATTTATAGTTAATATCCCAAACACCAATCAAGTTAAAATAAATATACTGTCATTGCAGAGTATTGCCAGATTGTAGATTCAAACAAGCGCGATTCTACGACTGTAAACACTCATAAATTGCCGTGTTTTATTCAGGCTACAAGGACTCATCTCATATGCTCAAGATATCACACTCCATTGGTAAATCCTGTATATCAACAGCCAAAATACTTTTGAATCGAATTCAACCAGTCAGTTAGTCAATGAAAATCACGTGGTTATAGCCAACTCTTTTCATCTCGACGCCAATCGCTATTTATTGCCAACTTCCAAGCAAATGAGTCGTATGTCTGCAAAAAACAAAGCTCTTTCTGCTAAAGCCAAATCCTCTGCTTCCAATAATGATTCAACTCATGACACAATCAATGTGTCTAAATCATCCAACGCACCTGTTCTGCCGCTCAAAGTAAATGGCTCACTTTGTTTTTGTACTGTTTTGAGCCTCTTATATTTCTAAACTGGAATTGTCCCATTTGGATAACCATAATTGTACGATCATCCGATTCACAACAATCCTGATATTGGGGTTGACTGTTTTGATGTTATCGATAAAACTCTACAAAGTAGCATCCATCATTCCAAAAGATTGGCTGTTTATCCATTTTGGTACTTGTTTAGTGCTACATTTTACGTGAATAGCACTTAATATCATGTGTATAGCAAGCATGCTAAAATTTACTGACAAATCAACGAGTTTATTAACAAGTGCTTTTATTCAATAACTTTTGATACCAAACCTGATGTGAATCTATTCAAGGAACCAAAAACTAATACTATAGAGCCTGTAATTGCAACCGATAAACCCAAATCCAAGACACAAAAGAAACGCAAAAACGATGCAACTGAGCCTGAAAAATCTGACAATGTATTGGTTCAAGATCAAACCGATGCAATCAAGCCACAGGTCGATGCAACCAATAAACCTAAATCCAAGACACAAAAGAAACGCAAAAACGATGCAACTGAGCCTGAAAAATCTGACAATGTATTGGTTCAAGATCAAACCGATGTAGTCAAGCCACAGGTTGATGCAACCAATAAACCTAAATCCAAGACACAAAAGAAACGCAAGATTACTGACGCGAGTCCAGTTTCCGATCAGCCTTGCAAAAATCTGCTTGAAAACGCTCATACATCTGAAAGCCCCGTCGACACTGATGCCAAGACTAAGGTGGATACTGTAAAATACCCTTTGATGACTTTATCAGATTCAACACTTGTCAGTGAATCTTCACTAGAGTGCAAACATCAAAACGCATCTACTAATGAGTTTAATTTTATAAAGGGATCCACAATAGCTACTTCAAACAAGGAAAATTCTAAAAAGTCATCTGTATCAAAAAAAACCAAGGAAAGCAAGACCAGTTCTACTGGGGCTAGTAAACTCAGTAAAGTGTGTATTTTTTGATAGTTTTAATAGATTGTAGTGCTTTTGTACAAGGCTTATACTCACTAATTTAATTGTTAGACAACTCTGGCTAAAAATGATACCACTTCAGCAAAAAAAAGTACAGCATCATTGCCAACAACTTGCTTAGCACCTATTACTTCTACAAACAAGTGGGAAAATGCTACTTTGTGTGGTGATGCGGCTCGGAAAGAGGTTGGCTAAATTGCTTAAATCTGGTTCCTAACCAATAGCCATAGATCTGATTTTTATGTAATGTTTGCAATGTTTAGAAATTCATGCGACTTCTTGGAGCCAAAAAGACTGGCGTTTCCACGACCAATGTACCTACGAGTGATTTATCGCACGACACTGAATCTACTCAAGAAAGTCTTCTTAAACAGTTTGAAAAAAGCAAAGATATTCAGCAAACTCGTAAACAAGGCAAACGCCTCGGACTTGGATTTTGATTCAAAATCCATCAAATAAACTTGCACACAAGTCACTATTTGATAAATTGGTAATATCCAACTGTATGGATAATCTGCCATGCTCGAGTTCCAACAAATGAGCAATGTGGATCAATATCACGTGATGTAATTTGTAATTGAGTATAAAAAGTTTTTCCAAATTAGTTTATTGGAAATTTACGTTGAATATGGGCAGAAAAAGATGGCCAAGACACACTTTAAGCAGAGCGGATGCTGCAGGAAAGATTACCACAGCTTCCAATTCATGGACTGTTTCTCCATCTGTCTATACGCAATCATATCAGTCACACACAACCATCAAATCAGCTACTCCTTTACTTGACATCACCAGCAAACCAAAAGAAAGTGTTTCGACAGATTTGGCTATCCAGACTGATCCTACAACGCAGGAAGCACTGGAAAATTCATCTTTATCAGAATTCAATACTGAATCAGTCAATAACCTTTTGCTTTCTAAAACATCGTTTAAAAAGCGACACAACACATTTCATATATCTTCCCTCCCCAAGCATACCGAAATGAATACAAAACTACCACCAACAGTTATCTTTGAAAATAAGACTACATTAGCCACCGAAAGCAACTCGGAAAATATCTGTAAACTTGTAGATGCATCCGTTCAAGTTGATCCGTTTTTGATCGATCTGGCTGATCAGACTATAACGACAGAAACTCTCTCGGACTTGGTTGATTTAAAGCGACCCTATTATGATTCTTATATATACATGTACATTGATCGTCTTCGAGAAATAAGTAAGTTGTCTGTATCTTGCATACTCGGAATGGAGATACAGCTGAATTTGACACGTTAGTATTTTCAAGCTCATAAACAAGTACAGTCTAAGGATATATCAAAAGAAGCAAGCAGTGTTCAAAATTTAGCCAAAGACCAGTTTAATCATGGTAAGGATTTGTCAAGCATTGTTGTAAAAGTATGCATGATACTCACCAATTTGGCTTGTATCGATAGATGAAGCGCTCTGGCAGGCAGTGTCTTGCTCAATCTGTCTTGAACTCTACTCGGCTCCATACACGCTACAATGCGGTATGTTGTACTCTATTAAATTTGAATAGTTTCAAATCTATTTTGCCAATATTATTTTAAACCAAGAGCAATGCTTAATCTTTTATTTGTAATCACTAGGCCATTCGTACTGCTTCCACTGTTTGCAAAAGTGGTGTAAGCAGCAACCAGAAACGAGTAAAATCAAATGTCCAGCGTGTCGAACGTTATTGAATTTAAAGCCTCATCCAAATAGTATTGTTCAGGAATTGGTGGATGTCGTTATTGATCGCCTTCCATTATCAGAGCGCGAGATACAGAAAGAGCGCATTGAATCTTTGAGGAAATCGAGCAAACTTGTAGACACTCCATGGGAAAGTCTTTGTGCTCCGTCAACAGTGATGGATTTTGACGATCTAGTTCCACGCTGTAGTGTCTGCACCTGGGAGGTTGTTGATGGTACATGCGTGAGATGCGGAATAGCCTATTATCTTTCAAACGATGAGCTTAGTCAGGATCAAGACAGCTACAATGAAGGCGTGAATTCTATTGATAGAAATCGTATGAATGCTCGTGGTAGTGACAGTGACAGCTCAGACCCAATACATGTGAATTCCAGAGGTTTGAACTTTTCATCTGATCAGCTCTCCGTATCTCATTCTAGCGACTCGGAGGTTTCCAGCTATGATGATGGAGAAGGGTTTGTAGTCGACGATGACGATATGGGCAGCGTGCAGGATTGTTTTGATAGCGATGTAGAATCTTCCCAAAGCGACGATGACAAGGCCAGTGTACAAGACACGTCCATGTATGATCAAGATGAGCCATTACAAATAGACTATACTATATCTCAAAGGACTCGAAGGTTGACAAGAATTGTTGATACAGACGAGTCTGATGAAGATTGATCTACCACATTGGTTCGAGATTGAACGAAATTTTAAAAAAATGGGTTTTAAATTCCAAAACTATCAATAAAAATCATGACCTGGTATGAGGTTTGAATTAAAACTTGTCTGTAATCTAATGCATTAAAATAAAAACACCACTGCTCAACATGATTTTAAACCAACACGGTGTTGGTAATTCATGTATACTCGGCGTGTATTAAAGTTTGACTTTTAATTGAAAACTGATGGTGTCAATATAGTTTACAGTAGTGTTATCTGTTTGTCTATAAACTGGTATTGCTTTTGGAAAAAATGGATAGGCCCAATTTTATAGATCTATGATATACAGGCCGAGGGTTTATACAAGAGTTGCTGGCAGACGCAAAAATAAACAAGCAATACATTAACATAGTACCATTGCTGATCAGATCAGCAGATAATGCCGAGTAGAAAATTCTTGAAAGCAAATAAAACTAGGACTAACAGCAAACCCAAAAAATTCAAAAACACAATCAGCAATCGACTCGAAAACGTAAAGAAGCCCAATTCAATTATTTTAAGGTTATACTGGAAGTTTCTTGCCACAGATTTTATCAACCAAAAAGGAGATTCCAGGAAGATTTAAAAGCGAACCAACTAATGGTAGTTTACGTAAAAAAGAAATAACTACAGGTAGGAAATCACTGTTTTCCGGTGGGCATTGTTATGAGTCGAAAATAAGATAAATGTTAATATAAACAGAAACTAATGAAACTCGATGCCGTGCATGTTATAATTTTAAAAATACTTGCCCAAATAGGTTGATAAACCCAAACAGTTCTATGCATACTCCAACAAATGGCCATTTTATGAATACCAAGACTATGCCCAGGAAAAAACACACAGTGCCTCGAATCTTTTCACTTCTAGAAAAAAATGCTATAGTTTTTGTGAATCCTATGACAAGAGCTAACCCTCCTAAAAATAAGATCTACAATCAATGTTACTACGAGATCAAACGAGCCTTGAACAAGTGGAAACCCAGCAGCTAGAGCTGAATTTGATGCATCAAATATTTCTTTGAAATGGTTGCAGTGATTTAAACAATAAACGTTGCATGTTGAATCTATAACATCTCAGTTGAACAAGTGTATGGATACTTTAATTCACGTACGTTGCCAATCGCCACCAAACCTCCATCAAAAAAGAGTAGAATCCCAAGAAGCATAAAGAAAACCCCAAAGGAGGTTAATCCAACACCAATCTCTAGTAATTTCCAAATTTAATTCAATGAATACATGAATAACGTCGTTAGTTTAATATAGCTGTTATGAATGGCTTGAATGTATTGGGTTTCTTGATACACAAAATATATTCAGTGTAAACTAAATAGTAGTGCTATTTCAAAATGCCAAAACTCGCTCAAAATACTGTAGTGTTCATACGAATTCGCTAAACCAGGTCTTACTCTGTGTATCTGTTAACCACATATGATGTGTCGGTTATTCCCAAGTTGGCGAGAGTCTGGAGTTCATTGTCAAGTGTTGGTTGATAGATTTTGAATACACGACAATCAAAAAGTGAAACGTAATCCACGTGATTGAAACAATGCAATGAACAATGTCATTTGAAGATTCAATCCGGGTTTATCTTGGCAATCAATACATAATAGAATTCTATTTAAACCGCTTATTTTGTATTTAATATTGTTGTTGATGAGTTTTAATCAAGACTACACGATCCTAACAGTTACAATCATTCAAAATCAAGATGAAATAAGAGATACATATTCAATACAGCTTTTCCTGTTGTATTCACGTAAATGGGACACCAAGAGTATCTTGATGATTATACATGACTACCAAAGAGGATCAAACCCATAGATTGATTGTATTATAATAAACGTATTTATTAAAGACTATCAGTCAATTTGTATTAGAAAAGTACAAGAAATATTCAAACATTATCAAGTCACTGCAAGATCAATACAAATGTTTCAGTTTGAATACGGCTGTAAATTCAATTGATTTTCCTTGCTTGAAAATTCTTGGTTCAACAGAATCATAACCATGACAGCAGGAGAAGATAGTGATTTTTACGTGCGCTACTAGTAAGACCATTTGATTTATTGATATAGCATTAAAGAGCTGTTAACGTGCTCTTGATGTTTATGAGCCTGTTCTGTTGGTGCTTTATTTGAAGATCTAAATGCTCAACTGCCAGTCCAGTTTTAGTCGGCGGACTCCAGGATGAATGACCTATGACGGATATGAAATGTATTAAACATAGACCATAAATCGAATACTAATATGTATATTTTCCTTATATGACGGCTTTTATCTACAACTCTGTCAACACTTGCTTGCATGGACAACTTTGCTCTGCCAGTGTGGGTCATATGGGAAAATTTGGACATGAATTCCTCGAGTTTGAGTTTCGACCAGATGGAAAAATGAGATATGCCAACAACTCCAACTACAAGAATGATACTATGATCCGAAAAGAAGGTAAACTAATTCTACTTTTTAATATTGGTTTAGTGCCATATTGGCTATTTTGCAAGGTTCGAACTGACCACATTGCCAACTATACACCATGAATGTGTAATCTCAAATTCAGTGTTTACTAGCGCATCAGTTATGAGTGAGCTTAGAAGGATCATTAAGGATAGCGAGATCACAAAGTAAGATTTATTTCAATATCAGGTGTACCGGCGCAAATACAACTCCGGATTGCTGTTTTTTCAAATAAGATTCATCATGGTTCTAAAATCAACTGCAAAAATATATTTGTTTTTGTGAATAGAGAAGATGATCAAAAATGGCCAGAGCCGGACCGTGCAGGACGTCAAGAGCTTGAAATTGTCATTGGAGATGAACATATTTCATTTACAGTAAGTGCATATTAGACATCAATTTACTTTATGATCCCATGAATGGCAGTTTTGTGAGACTGTATTGATGTGATTAGATCTTGTCATGAGTGCTGGATAGTATTAACAGACGATTATACTTTTGTTAGACTGCCAAAATTGGCTCATTGGTGGACGTTCAAAAGAGCGATGATCCAGAAGGTCTCCGTGTATTTTATTATCTCATTCAAGACATCAAATGTCTAGTATTTTCGTTGATTTCTTTACACTTCAAGGTTTGTATCAAGTCTCACTACACTTTTAGTTCATGACAGCTGACTTTATTTATGATTGATACAGATCAAGCCAATATAAAGATGATTGTTTGCCGAGTGATTGATCGAGAATGGATGCTTACTACGATTGATACAACTATCGTGACTGTCTGAAAGATACTATTGATGAATAAATAACGACCACTAATAATTGTTGAGTTTTTAGTCGAGTGTCTTGTGTACCTCTTGATGATTGCAGGATTACGACTGCCAAAAGTGGAAATCATTTGTTTAAAATTCTGATTTGATTGTAAATGAATTTTGTGTTGATTAAAGCACGTCGATTTGCAGTAGAAAAACGCAGCAAACTTTAGTCGAGATTTCAAGGCAAACGCAGCGTTTTGTGGATGCGATTGTTAGACTCGAGTGTAAAATATGAATGGTTTCCACGTGACTAGATACGCAGTCAAACATTCGAGTTAATTGCAGTCAAACTGGTTCTTGTACAACGATTATCACTATACCAAGTTGTTAATATGTTCCTTCCAAAACGAATTATCAAGGTCAGAGACCATTTGCTTTGAGTTTCTGAATTGTATGACATATTATGCTGTTAAATCTAGCCTGCATTTATACAACTAACACTACGTCTGCTTCTATTGCCAATATGTATTTTATGCTGGTCTGTTCAACATCAATTCAAATGTGCTTTGCATATGATTATCGATTTTTCTATTGTAGGAAACTGAACGCTTGATTGCTGAGCCTGCCCCTGGGATTGAGGCGCATCCTCATGAGGACAATCTGCGGTATTTTGATGTAGTCATTGCTGGACCATCTCAGTCTCCTTTCGAAGGTATTTGTGTGTCTGTTTAAAGACTTGCTATTCATGCCATGTTGGATATATTCAGATGGGAGCGTGAAGCTTTGTGACCGAGTGTTTGTTCTTTGGCAAGGGCACAACTTTTGTGACTTGAAAATGTATTCACCATTGCGTTATCTAGTTTACAGAATGATTGCCAATTCAGTCAATATGCTTACCTTTTTGAGAATTCACTGCCTTGATATAATTTACAAGATGGAGTTGAAAAGTAAAAAAGGATATTGGCATTGTGGAAATTCCAGTTGATGAATCGCTCATTATTAAACTAGATTTCTTGATCCTGAAATCGTGATTTATGCATTAACACCTTTTACTTGAATGTACCCAACAATCAAACACGATCTGCTGCTTTATTACTAGGTGGATCATTCAAGTTGGAACTATTTCTTCCAGACGACTATCCAATGGCTCCCCCCAAGGTGCGGTTCTTGACCAAGATCTACCATCCTAATATTGATAAGCTCGGTAGAATTTGTCTTGATATTTTAAAAGGCTAGTCATTTCAAACTTTAATATTCAATGGTGATATATGCTATTTATGTTGGTAGGCTAATGGTGCTAGACGTATAAATCTATAGATAAGTGGTCACCTGCTCTTCAAATCCGTACAGTTCTTCTCTCAATACAGGCATTGCTTTCGTCTCCTAATCCCGGTATATAACTTGCTCTGAATACACTACAATTCAGTAGCATTGGGTATTGTTGACACTAATACTAATGGGTTATCATCTTTGACTGCACTCGTGTTTTACAGACGATCCATTAGCGAATGACGTAGCTCATCACTGGAAGGAAAATGAAATGGCTGCTATTCAAACAGGTATATAATTTATTGCATTGCTGCTGACTTTAACGCGCACTACAGTTTTATTTGCAATGTCTTGGTTTTTGAAACTAACCGTCTTTTAAAATGAACCCATTTAGCCAAAGACTGGACTCAAATGCATGCTAAATAGAATATTGTTTGGTAGTGTTTATCTTGAAATGAATGGTGATTATCCTTGGTATACATATATCCATTTACCTGTTTTTAAAATAAACCTCTGATACTCGGACTATTCATTCCCAGTTTGTTTATCATTCAATGGCTTACCCTATCAATCTGAACCTTACGCAGCAATGAGTGATTTACAAGCATTCAATCGTGTTTTAAAATTCTTGCTAGATACATTTTATAACAAGACTCGACTATAAACAATACCATATCGATCACTTGATAGGATATTACAACCATACCAAAATGGGTTTAAATCTACAAATTGGTTTAGCATGATCATCTTTCAAGCGAATGCGCTTAATACCCAATAGTCTGAAACATGTTGGTGTTGTTACATATGTTACAGAATTATAGAGATACACGAGAATCGACAGAAATAGATTCGCATATTTATTGCATCACAATGTAGTATGTAGGATCAATCCAATCTGACATACATTGCAATAGTGACGTTTTACTCAGTGTTTGCATACATCAAGTAGTCTACAACAATGGATGTAGCAAAATGGGTTGTTTCAAATTTCTCATACGGACATGGAACAAGGTTAAACTAGCGACGACCTTTTTTAGTAGAGCGTCGGTCATCATCGTCACGATCAGCTCGACCTTCCTCCCGGTCATGCCTTTTGCGATCATGCTATAGAGGTAAGCGTTTAAATCAAGTGTTGGGTATAAATAGCAGTTTAGATTATTTTGGCTTCAAGTGCTGTTGAAAGGTTTGGAAATAAAATGTGTTACCTGGGCCGCTTTGCGCTCCAACTCGTCCCAATCTTCACCAGACTCGTCCTCGCCCGATCCTGATTCTGAAAAATCGGATCCTGAAACGTTTGAGCCATCATTTTCACTATCATCAGAATCAGACTCGCTACCAGCCGAAGAAGATCCAGACATTTCAAACTCGGATATCGAATCCTCTTCACTACTTCCATTCTCCTGTATAGATGCAAGGTACAAAATGAGTCAAAATAGAACAATCGAATCAAACAATATTGCATTAAATATGCTATTCTTTTATAAGAATAAATTACACGATTCAGTAACGTACACTGCCGTCTGTCTGTAAAAACGACCAGCCACCAGCCTCTTCAAAAAAGGCTCGAGGATCGTCATTGATGGTTTTCATGATTTGTGGCCAACTCAAATTAACAGGACCTTCGCTAAATGGAATATCTGACGAGCTAGTACACGTATGTGTTGTTAAAAATTGAAATGCACGTCAGAATAAATTTACAACAGACCAAGCAACTGGTTACTTACTCTAACCATTCCCGAACTGTTTCAATTTGGCTTGTAGGGATGGTATTGATATGAGATACAGCTTTGTGAAAATCTTTATACACAAATACCAAATCAAAGTTTTTGAGGCCAAACTAAATGCAAGTATCACAGTATTCAAGTTAAAAAGTCTATACAATCATACCAATAAAGATTATCTGGAAAAAGTTAAAGTATGGTGTCATGTCAAATTGATTTACCTGAACACGCTCAAGATGCGCTATCTCAATGTCTTTTACAGGAATTACAAGGAATGGCGTATCGGATAGATGAACCAGACAGTCTGTAGTGGGCTGCAATGTGACGAGTTGACGGAAAGGAACACCTGAAAAGGCCACGTCTCGAAGCGGGACATCAACCAATACCTTTTTTTTGCTCTAGACCACAAATGTATACAATATGAAAAATCATCAGCTTCTGCAAAATGGTAGTTACAAGTTGATTGAATATTCACCATTTCACCGATCCGCTCTGAAAACTGTTGAAACTCTCGGTTAAGTTGTAAACGTTTACGGCGTTCTTCCTGCTCTTGCGCAAGTTCGTCTTCGTCGCCATAATTTACACGCCGGCGTCTGTTTCCAGTTTCGTCAAAGCTAGCATCAGAAACTTCACGGTAGAATTGAATATCTTTTGTTTTCTTTTTGCCCAGCATGATTGGGGTTTTCAAGTGGACATGAAGCAAAACAATCAATTCGCCATCACACGGCTGGAAAAAAAGATGCTTAACATTGGAAAACAAAATGTCGATTTTCTGATCGCTTTTCAATTGAGATTGATATCTCAAGCCATTCAAATGGATTTCTAGGTCACCAGGAAATCGTTTTCCCTCGAGACCCGGTCGAACAAACACGTCAGGCAATCGAGTGGGACGACGACCTGGATCAAAATTAAAAACATGTGAGCATTTCCAAATTATTTATTTTGGATAAATAGCTGGTATGGACAGTTGGGATCTCTTTTGTTGAGCCACTTATTTACAAAAAGCAGTATCTGAAATTGATACCGGGCTTACCTTTGACTTCCATAAGACTTGCCTGCTCAACCAAGTCGGCCATTTCCAGTCGCTCAGCGTCGCGCTTTTGCATTTCTTTTTTGAGTTCATTGATTTCTCTGTAAATCTCTGTAAATCGGCCAATGTCATTGCTACGGTAGCTCAAAGATCGCACAAAGGTAGCGTTGGGATCTTCAAATGGCATAGGGCCTTCCTTTTTTCCTGTCGATTGACCTGGAGTAATAAAATTGAAGCGGAGCAGTACAAAGTCCTGTTCATCGCTCTTGCTGACATTTTTTAAAGTAGAAACATGAAACGGAACGGCCTGACCAAAAACAGGTAGGATAATGGTTTCAGACCGACGATCAACTAGAATTTTTAGCTCGTTGATATTGCGAGGAAGCTGGGAATCCTTGCGATAGCTTTCAAATTTACGAAACACTGCCTGCTGAACCTTGAGTTTATCATCCTTGTTCTCGCTGTATCTAGACAGTCCTTCCTCTTGACGCGACTGTGCGAGTTGCTTTTGATGAAGCCTGCGTCTTTGCTCGGCAGTGGCACGATCCTATAAAAATATAAAATACACGAGTCAAATATTGTTTGTAAACAAAACTCTATTCACTTTACAAACATCAATTTAAAATGTAAATGTTTCAAATACATTACGTACAGATTCGTGACGCAACTTTGATTCAATAACAGCTCCTCCGCGAGTTTTTGGTAAATTTTCCACAATTTTGACCTCATCATCCTCTTCGTCATCCTAATTACAAACCCCAACGAGTCGATTGATACCATTTAGTGATATGTTACTGGAATTGATTTGTATTCGTGACATATGATGATCATTTAAAATCCAGCTTACCCCAAACGCGTACGAAATGGATCCAAGATCCTTTTCTATTTCAGACAATACCAATGCAGTGCCATTGGTAATTTGGACAGTATCTGCAAGATAAAGTGAGTATAATTTTCCCTTGGAATCTTTGCTTTTTGGGTTGACGAGTCCTTGGAACCCAATGGAAAGATTAAAGGTCATGCCAGCCTTTAAAGGCCGAGATGTTTTTTGTGCAAGAAGCAATTGAGATTCACGAAATTCAATTCCAATCTGCAGTTTGTAAAAAGTAAAATATGAGTAAACCCAACATTTTGGTTGTATAGACAAAATATAGCCAAGATGTCCAAATAGTCAGGGTTACATACAACAAACCCGCAATTCTTTGTAAAGTGTGCCTTTAAATCTGGACGTTTTTCTTGAATATAGTCCAATGCTTTGATGTACACCTCATTAGACAAAATTCCGTCCTTCATAATGGATAGCAGATATGACTGTAGGTCACACAGAATCTTGTAGTTACTTTCTTGATCCTATAATAATGCATACATATATTAATTCAACGCAAGAGTATGTGGTTTAAAAGCAATCTAGTCAAATCTACCTGAGTGGGATTCATCAAAAATGTACGTCCGACATTTGAGCAATATGTTTTGTATCGAACTCCAATTGAACAAATAATAACACCTTCGTGTAATGGATCTTTGTTTGAAGCTGCACTGGGTCGAAGATCGTACACTCCTCCACTTTGAATTATGGGGGGATAGCACCAGTCGATAAAAGAGTGAATCACCTGAATAAATAACGCAGATCCAACAAAGTAAGCATCTATTTGTTTCGTGTATAAAAGTATTTGGTGCAATACCGCGAGCTTACATCTGGCGGAAGTCGAAGCTTTTTGCTTCTAGTTTCATCCAGTAGCGTATCTTCTGTAATTCCCATAAGTTTTTCATGAGAAACATTCTTTCCTTCATCGATTATCGCAGACATTTGAGGAATAAAAAAGTTTTTCATGGTCGCAGATGAGATTCTGGCCGCGAGACGAATGGTTTTCTAATAAAATTCAATGTAATATAAGCATCCAAAAGACTGGCAAAATTATGGATTGACATTTTTGAGTCTTTACAAATACTACGCTTGAAGCGCATACAAATGAATCCAAGACTCGAACCTCTTACCAGTTCGTCTTCATCTTTGACTGAGAGAAGCATAGCGATGGCTGCACTGACATCTACTTGAGTGAAAGGAGTTTTAAATTCAGCAAGAGCTTTTTTCCATGCATCAATATTCTTTCCAGAAAACTCGTCTTTTGTAATGACACCAAGTTTGCTCTAAATAAAACAAGATTAGATTCAACACTAATCTATATGCACCATTTAATTTCAAATAAAACAGCATGTCAGACTCTTACTCCATTTTTTGAAGCAGCAATTTCTGTCAATAGAGTGTTGAAAAAGGATGCATTGTGAGATTCGTCTTTTGTGCGCTTAAGTACTTCAAATGGTACACCTTTTTCTTGATGAAGCTCGTCGAGATAAACACCTATAGTGAAAAACGCAAAAGTTTAAGCAAACAAGACAATATTTACAAAGATAATAGACTAGGAATCAGTAAAAATGATGGCAGCACAATGCTGTCAAAATAAATCCAAATCACAGATCTGATCAGATCTGTTGATTTATAACCATTAAAGCTGATTTAAAATGAAACCCAACAAGATTGACAATCTATTCACAGAAATAACAGTGCAGACCAACCTTTCTTGACGGTTGTCAAGAAATAAAATTTTTCGTCGACTATCACAGTAATTGTATCAGGAAATTCGTATCCGAATAACCAAGTCTAAAAACAGAATTGAATAGAAACCAAAGATCAAGTCAACAATGAGCCAGAACCATACAAATCGAAAACAATAAAAATCAACATGTGCAAATGGAAAGATGGTCAAGCAAAGATTAAACACCAATGGAATGAATTGTATAAATTGTGTAAATTGCCAACCTGCAAGGAAATCGACTTGGAATAAATGGGAGAATCGTCTCCAGATCCGACCATAAAGCACAGAGCATCGGCACCAGCATAATCAGCACTAGCAGTCTAGATGTGAAAACAACTCAAATGTTAAAATCATACAAGACGCTGAACCACAAGACAGTGCAGATCAATGGCATGTCCAAGCTTACACTGAAACTGTTTAGCAAGAGACGGGCTCTTCTATGAAAGGCCTTTGCGTCCAAGTGGATCTCGCTCATTTGCTAGTCAAGAATCAACTTGCAAATCTGCTCGTCAACTGCTATAGTCACGTGATAAGAAAAGAGTATAAATACTGTTGGCTGGAAACTTACTCTTGCAACAATCATGTCTCGTTCTCTGGAAGCATTGGCCCGCTGGGCTCTTCCTCTCGGCATCTTGGCATCTGGTGCTCAAGCTAGCATGTACAATGGTATTGCTGCTTGCTGTTTTTCTCATTTTCTGCTTTATTCTTCAAACCTTCTTTCGATCATTTTGGTTTTTTGAGCCATGGCTCATGCACTAATTCAAGCCAACTCCACTGCGTTTGATCTACTGCCTTGTATTCGTACCATGTCTTTTTATCATTAAAATACAGCTTGATTCCTTGTTTAGATCTGCATATTAACCCCATTATTAGTTGAAGGCGGCCATAGAGCTGTTATTTTTGATCGTGTACGAGGTGTTATGCCAACTCCCATTGGTGAAGGTACTCATTTCCTTATTCCATGGCTGCAGCGAGCAATCATGTTTGAAGTTCGCACAAAACCACGAACCATCTCCACCACCACCGGATCAAAAGACATGCAAACTATTTCTCTGTCACTTCGAGTTTTACATCGTCCTGAATACTCTCGTTTGAATATCATATATCAAAACTTGGGAATGGATTATGACGAAAGAGTTTTACCTTCTATTGGAAACGAAGTTCTCAAGGCAATTGTTGCCCAGTTTGATGCTGGCGAGCTGATTACCCAGCGAGAAATTGTACAGTAACCGATTGCATGTTTTGTTTATGAATCTTGGATCATTTGCCCTCTAGTACTGCCAAGAAAAAGTTGTATTGGCTCAACATGGCTTTACTTTTACTCGACTATATATCTATACTTTTTCAATGGATTCGTATTAATTGTGCAATGGTTTAGGTGTCTGGCCGAATTCGTGACGAATTGTGCAAGCGTGCCAACGAGTTCAACATCATTCTTGAGGATGTTTCAATTGTAAGTAACTCCTAGTACTCCTACTTTTAAAAAACATGTGTCGGTGCTACTTAATGACAGCCTTTTCATGTATTCGTGTCAATACTTTGTCTGCATGCTAAATTCGTAGACACATTTGACTTTTGGAAAAGACTTTACTGATGCGGTTGAGCAAAAGGTGATTGGTAAGTAGATTGTTGATTGCTATGTTGAAAATAAAAATGCATTTAGATTTGCAAGCCAGCAGGAGGACCAAATTAAATTGCATGCATAAATATCTACTAACACGACTTGATGTTGAATAGCTCAACAGGAGGCAGAGCGTGCACGATTTGTGGTTGAAAAGGCAGAACAAGAGAAAATGGCTGGCATCATTCGTGCAGAAGGTGAATCGCATGCTGCTAAATTGGTGTCTGAAGCTTACAAAAAAAGTGGTCAGGCTCATTTGGAACTGCGACGTATCGAGGCTTCCAAGGAAATTGCTGCTACCCTCTCTAGTTCAAAAAATGTCACCTATCTGCCTTCCTCCAGGTCTGGCAACACCAACATGCTTCTTAAAATTGATTAAAAATGAAACTGCTACGATATTCATATGCACCGTGTATGTATGACATACAGAATGTTTACTGTAAAGCCTTGGTTATTGGCAATCTTTTATTTAAACCATGCACACGCAACTACCGCCAGTAGCTAGCTGAACATATTAAACTATATCACGTCACCGTTGGTTTGTTAAGCGTCTACACCTTGTTCTTTCTGAACCTTTCGCTCCATCGCCGCACGCATAAAGTCATGAATGGACGATGCTGCCAATGCGGAGAGTTCAAAACATGCATCAAACTATTTCAAAGTACAAGAATCGACACCACCGCAACCAAAACAGTCAATGGGTTGCCAAAATACCAAAAACGATTAGATTCAGTCAAATATGCAGTACAATCAGACTGTCACCAACTACACTTGCCTCGTCAGTCTCAAACAATCCTGTAGAATGCACTGCCAATACTTCTGAAAATGTCGCATCAGGAACCAAAATATGCATTGATTGTGCTTCCTAAATGTTGCCCATTCCATAAAAAAGTAAAATATACAATCAGATCAATATCATCTCCAAGTTTTAAAACCATTAAATTGAAACAGAATCCATCACAACCTATTCCTAGATTCAAGATATGCGCATAGATCGATCGTACACGAGGAAAACTAAACCAGCAATCATTCAGATATGCAAAAACTTACCGAGCACTCAAGAAGAACTGGATCCAATAACAAGACACCTTCTTTGCTAATCATGCAAGTGACAGCAGAGCATGTTTTGGACAAGGGAATGCCCGCGTCTATTAATGCCAAGACAGCTGCATTGATTGCAGTAGAAAGAATCGAACCATCGTCAAAGAGTACCTGTAGAGTAATTTGGATGGTTGTTCGAGGATGTAATGCAGATAATACAATGGCTTCCACCACCTGTCTTATGAAATGCTCGTATGTGCGTTCCTGGGTACCTAATCATTTAAACCATCATCGCATAATCAATATTATAATGTAAACAGCTCAACCATTTCATAATAGATTCTATTCAATTAAAAATTGAATTCAACCACATGTTGCTGTTACCAGATATGCCAGACACTGGACTAAACACAACTTGAATATGTGCATGATCCAACTTTTCATCTCGAGGTCTGGATGCTGTTGGGCCATACACAGAACAAAGCACACTGGATTTTCCTAGTAGAAACAACTCATATTTGTCAATTCACCGCTTTCGATATCTAGCTTATAAATTAAATAACAAATCATGAACAATAGTCAACTCGAATACCTAGAGTAAATCTTGCAGATCCATCAGCTCTGGATAGCATTCCAACAACACATCCCATTGTGCGTAGTTGTGTTACCGACCTTTTGTCCGGTCTTGAATGACCCATTAATGCGGTTGCAGATATGCCTTGGCTGTCGTCTATCATTATGCCGAATAAAACTAGATTGCAGCAATCAAAAAAACAAGCAGTTCAAAATTACAAATCGTATATCAAAATCAGTCTATACAGCCAGTAATGCATCAACAGACGGTTTTACAAGCAATGATAGGTATCGATACCAACCGTTCAATTAATGATTACAATGTAATATGTGCAAGTATTTTCTATATTTTGCATTTCAAGAAATCCAATCGACATGCACGTGATTTCTATATCTTCTAAACCCAAACAACATGGATCTGATAGTATAGGATTTGACCCATTCCTTGCATTAAACTGTTGTGTTGTGATAGATTTGGACACAATTCAACTGTTTTATAAACTGTTTTGAAACTATTTTTAAACTTTCTAATATGAGCTACGCGCCAATGACAACCACCGCATCAGGTTAGCAATCCAACCCACTTGGCGGCTTCAATACTCACCAGTCCATTTATCAGTAATCTATTATTAACAAAATATTATGTTTTCATTTTTAAATCAAATTGTTTGAATGGCTTTCAACAGGCGAGCAGGGTATGCAACATGAAGATATAGATAAAAATATAATTAAAGATTCTGAAAAGACTCTCGACTCTGCACTCGGAGTGTTGGATGAACACCAAATAGCACAGTCTACAACTATATCTGCATCTACTGCAACAGCTAAAAAAAATCTTAAACCTGCCAAACCAGCTAATACGAACCCTGTGGTAGCCTCGACCAAAAAACCTCCTACATCTGCTAAAAAAAGTACGTCTGCAGCTGGGAATGGAAAACTGAATGCACTTGTGAATGCAACTCGCAAAACAAAAAAAGGTTTGGTTCAACAAGTGACTCAAGGAGTAGCTGGCACAAACGTGCAAGCAAAAATGATTTCAGGTACGATTACTGAAATGGGCGGGGAAGACGATGCCAGTCTTGGTGACCAACCCATGCGAGATGAAAAGGGAAATATCATCAAACAGAGGGACGATCAGACTGGATTACTTCAAGAAGAAGACAGCGAGATGGGTGATTCTGACCTTGATATCGATGGTAATCTCTATTGCACATATTTAGTGGTGGGATAGTGTGTGGTCACGCAATAGCAATCTTCATCCACCATAAAATAATCATTGCAACCTTTTTGTAAATATAGAAATTATCCATCGTAAAGAAGTTCATGATTCATATACTTATTCATGTAAAATGTTGGGCATTGTTCCCGTGTCGTGTATTGTCAAGCGAGCAGGCCAGCAAGAAATATCAATGCCGCATCACGGACTTGGAGCTCGTGGTGCTCAAGCATTAGCACAAGTGCTGCAGGTAATTATAACCTACCACTGATTCAAACCTTTCAATCTGTTGCATTGCTAATTGGTCCTGTATCACGATTCATGCAAATGCATTCCATTGTTTGGTGTTACAGACTGATACGACACTGATTCGACTAGATCTCACCAATAACTTTATTGAAGGCGGTGGTGCATACATTGGGGAAAGCTTGAAATTAAATCGCACATTGACTTTTTTGAATCTTGGCGATAATCAAATGGGTAAAGTAAATATGCTATCGATACAACCAAAATAATTAAAGGATAGATTTTCATATACTTTAATTTAGGTTCAGCAAGCGGCAAAGCTATTGCAGGAATGATGGCTGAAAATACTACATTGAAAACAGTGATTTTACGAGGTATGTCATGTATGATTTGTTGGCTACTAAAAACATGCAGATATCCGATCCATTTTAAAATACTTGTCAAACACTAGGAAATAAATTTGGTGATAAAGAAGCTACACTGTTGGCAGAAGGGTTAAAACGAAACTCTACATTAGAAGGTAAATCCAATCATTTTATTTTGTGCAAATCTTGAATGCGTGGTTTAATTTTAGCTCACATGTAAAATGATATAGTGCTTGATATCAGTCACAATCAAATTGGTGATTTGGGTGGAATCGCTTTTGGATCTGCATTGGCAGTGAACGAAACCCTTCGTGATTTAAATGTAAGCTGGAATGAGCTACGCAGCAGAGGAACTACAGCAATGTTTAGTGGTGCAAAGGTGAGTTGATATGTATACTACCACAACATGATATTACAATTAAACCATCAATATAAATCAGTCTAAACTATCGAGATTACATTTGGTGTATATTCCCACATTGTTCATACGATTTAGGAAAGCAATTCATTGGTCGGGTTAAACATTCAGGTAATTTCTTTCTAATATGTACATTTAATACACGCAAATCATAATGAACAATGTGAACAGTACAACGGAATTGGAGAAAATGGAACAGCTGTAAGTCTGTTTTTGGCACGCAATACAAGTGTTACGCATTTGGATATTGGGTAAATAACTCCATATTTTAGATTGAATGCAAATTGAAACTACAATGCTGAGATATACATATAGATTTACTAGGTGCAGTGATGCATCCATGGCAATCATTTCAAAAGCACTCGAAACAAATCGCAAGTATATGTATTACTGGGCTTGATGAATGTATGCTGCTGCGCTTCAATCTCACGATAAAATAATCACACAATGTCTATAGATAATATAATCGAACTAAATGTTTCTGGAAATCCCATCTCTGATGCGACTGTGCAAGAACTAGTCAAGTCCATTCAGTCGAGTAAAATCAAAAAATTAATAATGAAGGTATACAAAATCTGAAGTGAAAAACTAAGACCTGGCTGTTTTTGTTTGAATAGCATGTATTGACGCTGTTGCGTTGCTGCGATATTAACCTAATCTCACTTCCATACCAGAACATACGTATCTCTAGTAAAACTCAAGCTAATGTTGATAGGATAAATGAGGAAAACTCCACATCGCTTATTATTGTTATTTGAATTTGCACTCATTGAAGAGCATACTCGCCCATTTCATTAACGGTAGCACCGTTGATAGAGTATTGTATCTTGAATCTCAGGCGAACCGATTCCTAAACATGACAATAAAACCAATTGATAAAAAATTAAACCTTGCTTCATACCTAAAAAATATACAGAGATTGACTGTTGCTTTACCATTGTTGGATTTGATATAGAAAAGGGTTGGGTAATTTGAGCTTGATTGAGTGGAGCCAATGTTGTCCCAGTCGGTTTATCCATAGTCAATGTCATGGACTAAAGGTTTATGTAAAGGTTAATCGTTGAAATCTTTAAAAGGTTGCGGTTTATCAAAATTAAATCACTTGCCTTTGGAACTGCAATTTGAAGACTAAGACCAGTAAACAAAACGGGAGTGACATTGATAAATACAGCTTTGGCATCCACAGTGCGTGGTCCATGTGATGAGCAAATAAGCAGTTTGATTTGCAATCCATTTTTATCATACATCATCACTAAATGCAAAACATGAGCTTTGATCTAGTATTTAAAGCAATTCAAGAGCTGTCATTGATACCTTCTTTTGTAGGACTGGCAAAAGTCGCATTTTGAGTTGATGTCGTATTAGACCTCTGTCCCATCTGAGATCCAAGGCCCATTGAAAAATCTGTAGGCATGGAAAGAAGATCTGTATTTTTTGACTGAAAACTAGAGAAAGTGCCCTGATATCCAAGTTGTGCAGGCTGCGTAGTAGAGATGCCACCTGCAGACATGGGTGCTCCTAAAAGCGGTTTCTAAAACCCAAAATACCGTTAATAACCGATAAAAACCAAGATACAGGTTATGCACTCACATTCATGGCATCTGTATTGCCAAATATCGAAAAAGGATCCAGACTGTTTGTCGTGTCTTGGAGGGATTTAGAAGCAGCAGCCCCTCCCTGTTGTATCTGCAATAAAGTAGCTCCACCATCATACTTTGAGGGAGGAAAAAATGGCGGATTTCCAAGCGATCGGGATTGTTGAAATGGAACTTCGGCTGACATTGAAGCAAAAGTTGGGAGCGCCTAGATTTCAATTATTGAATGCATTAAACATACTTGTTTTCAAAAAAAGCATACATCGACACTTACTCCTATTTGAAGATCAGAAATACCATCCATGATTCCTAATGAAATGAAAACAGTTAGTCATCTAAGCATTATACATGAAAAGGCATGATAAAATCAAGTAAATATCACACACCAGGACTAATAGACGATTGCTTTGAATTAGTGAGGTTGCTCATTGTTTGAGGTACTGCCATAAAATTGGAAGCTGGTGCTGCAGGGAAACTGAGATCATCAAAGTCAATCAGATTAATAGGACCGACAGAATCAGGTGCGTTGCTTGATTTTTCAGATGCCGCTCTAGATGAATACAAGGCAATAAGTTATACTGATACAACCAAATACATATTTCAAATGCAGACAAGACATACTGCTTTCGATCAAAATCATTATGCCGAATCGCCTTTCCACTTTTGACATCAGAATATTTTTGAAGAACAATATTGATCAGATCGTTTAGCTCCAACAGTCTAGCAAGTCGATCTTCGTCGTCGTTTAATTCAATAAAAGATTGTAGCTTGGTTTGAGCAGATTTGGCTGTTCCGTAAAGCTCCTGTATTCAAAATTCATCAATACAATTTGTCGGCAAGATCTTAATTCTATATATTTAAATATATAACAAACCTCAATGGTCGAGTCAGCAGCTAACGATTCTCCAGGACGACGCTGATTTAGCATGTCATTCAAAAGAATGATTCTAGACTCAATGCGCTCAATTTCCTGATTCACTTCCTTTTTATAGTCTGGCTTTTTACTGACATCCTAATTAGCACAAAACATTGATTAAATTCATTCTATCTAGCGACAAGCTTATCAGTTGTACCAGTCAACCCATACATATCCTGTCATGACTTTCATCAATTCATTTGCCTGAGCTAGTGCTGCAGGAGTTCCCTTTCTAATCAATTCCTCCAGTTTCTACAATATAAAAAGGTAAACATGGTGTCGATCCATTTAGATTCGACCCTCAAGTAAAAATACAGTACCACGCCATGTGCTTTGCGGTCCTCCTCTTCAAGCTCATCCTCAGTTTTGAGATTCTAATTAAAAGATAAACCAGAAAACCCCATCAGTCGCTTCCAAAGTTTTGATCCAAAGTCGTATACGAAAATCTGTTTCAAAAACCCCTACATTGTTACCATTAAATGACTTGACGGCATCCTCACGGAGTTCAGGAAATCGGTAGCCTAGTCCATAAACCCGACCATCAAAATGAGCTAAACTAGACATGTCAAAATAACATCAAGTCTGACAAAATCCACTCCATTACCTTTGTACATAAGAAGACGATACATGTCATTAATATGCTTAAAGTCTTCTTTATAGCGTGAGTTTACACACAATGTAGCGTTCCACAACTGCATAAGCTCCAAGATTCGATGCTGAGTAGCTGTGATATTCTAGAATTTCAAACGTTTTAGTGAGCACACGAGGCTTCAAAGATAGTGTTGAAGCATATTAGCTCACTGTAGGTTTTTCTGGAAACCGTCGAACAAGTTCATTGAGAAACTCCTTGGATCCAATGACAAGATGAAAAGGATAGCCGCAATTTTTAACACAGCTGTCCAAAAGCTAGAATAAACATTTGAATCCAGACAGTACGGAAAATGTTAAAACCAGTCCTATGGTCTATTTAGTATCGATATTCGTTTGCAATGCCCGACATACCATAAGGGAAAGATATGCAGCCGTGTTATTACCGCGATTGACATGCTTTAGGATCGCAAACGCACAGTCGCGAGGACTAGAGTTTATAAAAAGTTAGCCATGTCTTTAAAATCAAGAGGACCATTGCAAATCTGTAATAAAAGTGCAGATTTAACAGCAGCCATAATTTATTGAAATCTGACATATTCAATGGCATCATGATCCAAGTGAAAGGTAAAATGTATGTCCTTACTAAGTCTTTTGAGTCTTGTTTACCATATCGCATATCTCCAAGTTCAAAGAAAGGTTTGGCTGGCCAAAAGAAGGGTCGCAAGCTTGAGCTGTTTGCACCAAAACAAGGATCAAAAACGGATATTTTAAATACTCAAGACAATCATCAATGGCATTGGCTCAGTAGAATACAAGCGGTATAGTGTTATTATAGCAGGCTAAAGCCAGTACAGACTGGATTTGCTATAAAATCTAACCCTTGTTTATAAATCGAGCAAGCAGTCGAGTAATGTTTAATATGATTTCAAGCAGACAAACCTATCATTTCCTCCAACAAAGTGCCAGGCTGGTCCAAACCAACCTCGTATATCAGGTTGTTTAGTCCAGCAAAAACATTCCCGGCACTACTAGGAACCCCACTCATGAACAAGTTGTTTAGAGTGCCATGAAGATGAGCGTGTACAATCCAACAAGACTGCCAACTTGGTGAGCGTGAACGATCTTTGCTGGCTCAGTGCAGCCGGCTTTTGTGTGGTTTGCTTGCTTCAATGTTTTTGGGAGGTTTGGCTGCCGCCGTTGTTGGAAGGTACTTGCATGCCGCGTCGTTGAATGCATTATGTTCACCCATTGAACTTGGTACTGACTCTGACGATCCTTAGTGTTTGTATAGGCTCTGGCCAGACTCTCCAAAAGTATGCCTTGAATCGGATTGCTCAGCAGCACCTTCCAACACAAACAGCCACTATGCAGAAAAGACATGGAAATCCTATCTATGCAGGAACAACCGGATTCGAACGCTTTTCTGACAGATTATGGCTTATTGGAATTTCTTTATCCTATTTTGGTGAGCTAGGCAATTGGGCTGCTTTGTCATTGGCATCTGCAGCGGTAGTCACCCCACTTGGGATTGTATCTGTTCTCACAAACGTGTTTTTGGCTCAGTATTTTCTTGAAGAGCATATTACAAACCGACAGCGCAGGGGATACATGTTTGTTCTTGCCGGAGTCTTTGGTATTTTAATTGTAGCACCAAAAGGTGAATCGTCGCTAGGAAGCTCCATCTCGGAGATTCTTAGCTCGTGTGCTCGACCAGGGATGGTAAATAGCTTCACATTCCTCTTTATCGCAATAGTGCTGCTCATCTACCAGATCTTTGTAAATCAAGTGCACAAGATTACTCTGTATGTTGCCGTGTGCTCGCTATTTGGCACTCTTACAATCACTTCTGCAAAAATCCTATCACTGTTGATGCGTTTGCCACCAACCAAAACATTTGTATCCAAAGCTAATGAAACCATGTGGCTATCCAATACAAGTACAATGGATTTTGATACGACATTACCGCACACACCATTGCTTGGCTCAGAAAAAATACCCTTGGTTGGTCTACTGGAACAAAAAGACTTTGAAAAAACTTTGAAATCAAACTCTTTAGTCATAGCAACCGCTTACTTGGCTCTTACCCTGATCATTGTCATGTCAATTGGAGGACAAGAGTTTTTTAAACAGCAAGCTCTGGGACGATTTCCAGTTTCGCGTTTCCAGCCAATGCTGTATGCTGGCTTCAATGGCTGGTGAGTAGATAATTTTCCATGAATCCAACTAAAACTATGCTCACTAACATGCATATTCAGTGTTGTGTTGTCAAGCGTGTTGCTGTTTGGAGAAACCGAATCTGGATTGCAAACCTTTTTGTTTATAGTATCGTTTGGAATCTGCATGTCGGCAATTGTTATGGGAATATCCATTGTACAAAAGGATGACCAACTAATGGATTCAGCAGCCAGCGCAAAGAAAATATGATTGCACTAGAGTCTAGTTTTATTTTGGTACCTATTGCGGCCAATCATCCAATAGATGCACATCTAATCTGCTTGGTGTCTTGATTACCTGGCACACTGACACTTCAAACATGATGGAATGTGCAAATATCAACTAATTTCTACAAAACATATTTGGTTTATTTTCCAATCTCGTTTAATATATAAAATTGGATAGTTGCATACAATCATAACTGGTAAATCAGATTAGATAAATGCTCTCAATAGTCAGAAAACAAAACACGTGCTTTATGGTCTTTATTCGAAACCCATTTTTCAACATTTCCAGTCAGCAGCAACTCCAAATCCCTCGGTGTTATGATTGGGATCTTAAACTCATGGAGAGCTATTAGAACCAACAATGCTGCCATTAGTATTGGTAAATCCAGCCAGCTCAGCTATATATCCGCTTTGCAGCTTTGCCGGGTTAACTGTGCATCATCACTGCATTCAATCCATCATTGGTCATTTTCTTCTGTTCCTCGCTTGATCTTTGCACCAACCAAAATGGTTCATCGAAAAATGTCCAGTCAAACCGGAACATCTCAGCGTAACTCGTCGGCTAGAGGACAAACACTCATGTCTGAGCAATTTGACTTTGTTGATACTGTCGAGGAATCTATAAGCGATCTTCCACCTCCACCTCCTGGAGTTTCTGTTGAATTTCACAGTGAGCATCACAATCTAGCTGAACGCATGCATCACAATGATCATCTTACCGAAGGTCTTGTCGCTCTTGCTAAATGCGTTCAAACCCAGCAAGATGCTGATATTTTTGCAACATCTATGCGCACATGGAGACTTGCTCGTCATGCTATATCTCTTTCTGACGGTGGTGATATTATTCGTGCTATGGATTTAGCAGGAGCAAACAACACACTTCTTCGAATGCTTTGCGATCGTCGTATATACCGACTTGGTCCATCTGAACAAGACATGATCAAGCTAATGAATAATTTCCGAACTGCTTCCCTTGCACCGACAGCTCTAGAGAATGAACAAACACATCTTGATCAGCTCGACTCGCTTTACAAGTCGTTTGCTGTAGTGCTCTATCACGAAATGCATCCCACTTTGGAACACCATTCTATTTTAATCACGGCAGGTGCTTATGGAAATACTGCCGAGGGTCTTCGTCGATCTACTCTTACTTTTGGAGATGTGATTTCACTTGGCTGGGTACCTGATGAGTCGGCTGTTTTTTCACTCGTTCATGCCAACATTCAGCAAGGAAATGCTCAAGCTGCCTTGTCGATCCTGCACTCACATCAACGTATTAACAAATCGCTGGCTGACATTTTTAAAATTCGTGCATATTTGAGTCTGCAAGATGCAGCGGGCATGACTGCTGTATTGGAACAATTGGAAAAAACACCATTGTCCAAAGCAGATGTTGCTCAATGTGGACAAAAGAGCGATCTGTTTGGATCTGAATACTGGTTGCCTGTTCATGAAACCTTTACACAAGTGTCTGCATATATAAATTCAATCACTCCCGAGACTTTAGAGTCTCAGCAACTTAGAGAGATTTTTGACAAGGTCGCTTCTGCTTACAGCTAGCGACAAAAAGCATGATAACGGAGAAAAGATCAAAGAAAATGAACCTTTTGTATTTATCTTGCAGACTGTCTAGTTGGATTTGAACTAGATAATAGCCAAGTATTCGCTGCGCTTTCTTGCTGGAAACAATATTTTCGATTCTTCAATAAACACAACGTCCATCATATGATGCATACAATTAAACTATAGTTGTTGCTTTCTCTTCATTTGGTATAATGCATTGTACAATCATCAGATTGATCCCTCACAGATGCACTTGCGTTGTAGTTTAGCAAATATTGCACGTTTCGGAGTGCGACTGTTGTCTCCATGTCAATTACCAAAAAAACCAATCAACTAAAAAGCTTACAAAATAGCATGTCCAGTAAATTGACTCCAGTCATGTCATGAGGCTGGGTGTTTATTACACATTGTCATTCCTATCAAATGTCACGTAATAGTATGTAGATCTATATTTGCAAACATAGCAAGTGTTTATAATAAAGTCGAGTATATAGTTTTGTTTAAAGTTCATTTAAAGCAAGATATTGGCACTATTGATTTCTTATTTAGTACTCCAAGATAGGTGCGCCAGTCTCTTCAATACGAGGAATGGTGCACCGCAAATCAAATGCTTTGCTAACAACAATCTTGAATATCTTTTGGACATTGATCGAATGGGAAGTTGAGCAGAAAATAAGCGGAGCACGCATGGCCTTGGCAAACCTTCTTGCTTGCTTGGTGATTTCTTCCTGTTCCTCATATGGAGACGCTGCAAAATAGTCGTATTTTGTTCCAATCAAAAATGGGATTGCCGTCTGGACAATTAAAATGTACGATTGTAGCGTATCGCATATAAATCAAACATGTAATATTAGATGATACGAGTCTTGTTGGGTCAAATAGCGAGCAGATACAATACATCATGTGATGCCAACTACCTTGTTGAATCCTCTTGCTTGGCGATACCACTCCTTGACACTGTTTAGTGTCGACTTGCGAGACAGATCAAACATAAACAATATTGCTATTGCATCATTACAGACTAATGGCAGCATATTGATAAATTCCCGTTGACCTATACCCACCAGACATTACGGTTAGTATTGATAGAAACTTGGCAACCTAATGAAATGGGTAAATCATACAAAGCCACACCTCCTAGATCCCAGATACTAAACGTAATTTCAGTGCTTCGAATAGCAATGGTCTTTTCCATGAAATTTACTCCTACATTATTGTTAGAAAAGGTATCTAGATATAGTATCTTACAATGCCAGATTCAAGTCAAGTCCCAGATCCACATATGTGGCTGATTAATCATTATAGACAGTCAAATCCATATTTCAACTGTCTTTTGCAGTGATAAAGTACTCAATAAAAACAATAAGATGTACAGGAAACAACTTGTACCTAGGGTTTGAATATAATCCTCGTCAAAGGAACCTTCGACATATTTGACCATAAGGCTTGTTTTTCCAATCTGACTGTCGCCCATCATTCCAACTTTAATAACAACACTGTTTTAATATACGACCAAGGCCGAATGTAAAGTAGTAAATAAGCCAGGGGTATTGCATTCATTAGCTTCAACTCTAGACTGTTTCTGATTCAAGGCTTTATCAAGGACGCGAACCAATACAGCCAACTCACTTGTTTTTCCGTGGAGCTATAGTCAGATTACCTGGGATTTGCTGCTGATATTGTTGTTGTTGTGACTGTTGTTCATTATGTGTCTGACTAGATGATGTTTCTGGGGTTCCATTCATGGTTCTTGTAAGATGGTGTTTGCTTTGACAAGCCAAAGCCCAATTTAGTTTTAAAAAGCGGACACTCAATTGACATACCCTCAGGAAAACACAATGGTTTGGGTTAGCTAAATCTGACACCAAGATCCAGCACCAAGTTGTTTTGATAGGCTGCATCAATGATGGTTCTATAATTTATAATAACGTTGAGGTGTCATCAATACTCAAACTATGCAAAACTGTGTTGAATAGACTGGACATTACAAGTGCGTAGTGCGTGCATGAGTATGAAAGCTTATTGAACGGGTTGATGCAGTGTGTAGGTAATACAAAAGTGTATACATATCACGTGACAATATTTAGTATCACGTGTAACATGGTTGAACGGTCTTTGAGTAGTGCGAAACCATCAGCGACTTTGGCTTTCCAGCACATACAATATGGTTTGTTTCCATTGCCTGTAGCATGCCATCCATCCATCTACTCATGCATGCATCACTCATCAGAACATCCAGTTTGACTCTGCCACAATCCAGTCTTGTCTCACCAGTCTATCCATTCCAAGTCTAGTCATGTATTACTAGAACAACCATAAAATCTATCCGAGTGCCATCAATCAACCCAAATGTCATGATCTGATGTCAAGACTTGGAATGGAATGCAACTTGACATGACTGATGAGATCAGTCTGGATTTCAAGTGGTGCTATCAGCAAGTTGGCTGGATGTGCTGCTTGATTGTCAGCTCTGTAGCAGGGTTCTAACAGCCGTTTTTCTCAACTATCCATTATCAATAGGGTAAAGTTCACGGTTCTCTCGCACGTGCCGGTAAGGTCAAGGGTCAGACTCCCAAGGTTGAGAAAGCAGAAGGCAAAAAGAAGAAGGTTACTGGTAAGTTGTCACTAGAGTAATGATGACTTTTGATTCAGTATTCTGACTTGTGATTGTTTAGGCCGCGCAAAGAAGCGTCTCCAGTACAATCGTCGTTTCGTCAATGCCGTTGCTTCTTTCGGCAAGCGCAAGGTAAGAGTGGATCTATGTTGGACTTTGAGTTTTGTAAACCTATAATTTGGTTGGTTTGTGATATTCATTATTATCGTGTATGTAGATGAACCCATCGCCCAACCAGAAATAAGCCAATCGCTTCACATGTCGTCCGTTGTTGAAACTGCTCTGAATGTCTGGATTGCTGGACTGGATTTGCGTTGCTCCTACGTCTACCTTGTTTGGTCCTATTTTACTTCTACGGTTCTCAAATGAAACAGATATTTTTGACGTACTTTTAGTCTCTTTTTGATGTAAAGTATTTAATTTGATCCTAGCATACACTGATGTAGAATTGAGTAGTGTTGATACCAAGATGCTGGACTGGGTTACTTGATACAAAGATGTACCGAGTCGTACTTTATTTAAAACATTGTTGCCCAAAACTTTACGGAAAACAATTGACGCATTACTTTCCAGTGTTGAAGAGCAGAATCTGCTTGAAGTGTAGCAAGTGGATTATATCGATCGGTGATTGCCTTGAGATCATCCTTTTTGTTGACCATGGTATCTGGAAGTCTCAACTGCTTAAACCTGGCGAGCATCTGAGCATAAATGCCACCTACCTGCATATCTTGTGCAGTTGCTTCGCTGAATTCAATCGGAGTTTGAGATGCAAACAACACCATATTGTACATGGCATCCGACACCTCCATAGCTTCGCGACTTTCAACATAACCTTGAATATGAGGAAATACAGCGAGCAATGTTGCAAGGACTGCTTGTGTAGCATTTCCTTGAATACTTCCGACATAATTCTATGTTTAGTGTATACATGAACTCTATGTTATCAATACACGAAACAAGGAGAAACAAGTAGTGCACGATGCAACAGCACGACCTACCAAAGCCATGATTCCATTGGGTTTGAGAATACGCTTGATGGCAGTGACGGCTTCGATGGTGAATAAATTACCAGGAACGACACCGCCAGTAAACACATCATGCAATACATAGTCGTATGATGCAGGAGTAGCAACGTGATCAATAAAGTGACGACCGTCACCAATATGTGCCAAGCAAGATGTAGAGAGATTGAAATACGATTTGGCATAATCGTACACTACAGGATCCAACTCGACAATATCTACAGCAATTCCAGCACGCAAAAGAGTGGATACTGTTACACCAATACCGAGTCCTAACTGTAATGCAGTGGTAGCACTGTTGTTGTCTACATTAGATCTCTTGATAAAGCGAACAAAGTCGAGCATGTAAAATGAACCAAAAATAGAATCGCTGTTGTGTTCAAGAAATATTCCACCAAGAATTGAATGATCGCAACGCAAGAGTCGTATTGGACCGTATTCTGTTGGGGCTTCCACGACGGCAATATATCCAGTATTAGATTCCTGATGTGCCAATACGCGATAATCTGGTAAAAAAGACTACTAGAATAAGTGACGATTAGACAAATAGACGAGTTGAGCATGCACTTACTGATGTGATGGGTAGTCTCGAATCAGCGCATTGTTGAATTGTATTGGAGTAATGATTGACATACAAGCCCATGACAAGCGAGCTTAACATCAAAATCCAAGCAACTTTTCCCTTTTTCCAGATATGAGTGACTGACACGGATTGGGTTGATCCAGTAAGCGCAGCAGTGGAAATAACGAATACTGACATGGCAGCAATGGATAGACTGTGACATGTATTTAAATGGAAAATACGAAGAATCCAATCAGCGATCAAAGACTTGAAACCAATTGAAATAACCATGAACACAGTATACATGAGGATACCGAATCTACTTAAAATCCATAGAATTACAAGAATGTTGGAAAGAATGCACGGAATAGCAGAGATTAGAGAACTCCAATGAGGACCCAAATCGCTTGTTTGAATGGCAGTAACTCTTGCAAAAAAAGGAATAAATAGGATGATGGCAGGAACAAAAGCAATAAGATTGATGGTGCAGTCAGTAGTGGATAAACGACGCAATGGTATCAGTATATGGAGTAAAATGCATGCCAAGCCCAATGTGGTGATTGCAAGAGGAACACTTTGAGTTGTTAAATAATAGCCGTAATAAGGAGCAAGAATTTTAAGAGTAGAAGAATTGACGATTGAGATGGACAAGGCACAAGCAACAACGATGATTCCTGACAAGATTCTCGACATGATTTCAGACAAGATTTATATTCAAAAATCAATTCTAATAAATTGTATTCGAGAATCTTTCACCAGAAATCAAAAACTGTTTCAAACTGGCATTTGTTATTGCTATTACTATTATCAGCAACACATCTCTATCGAGCATACATTCACTTCATGTATCGTTGCTGGAATCTGGCCATCACTTCTATTCGTGGTGCTCGCCGAAACTCACCTTCAAAACTGCAGTCATATTCGATCGTTACTTATAAACCACTTCATTCGTCCTTGCTTACTCTACGGAACCTCAAATCATTTTATACTTTCAATCTGCGTCTTAATACTTGTAGACTTTGGACTAGTCGCCATCTCTTGTCTCGTTACATCCACACAACCCCATCTCGCTCTACAAAAACAGCTTCCACTCTTATACCACCACAGGTCGATGCTGCCAAGGCATTTCGTCTTGCTCGTCAGGAATTGATCAACAATGTAGATGGAATAGGCGCCAGAACCATGCTTCGTATTCGTCTGTTTTTAATGGGCCAGGTTCGTCCTATGAAGATGGATGACTTTGTGGCACTGTTCTCTTGGATCTTTGTTGGGAATACTCTCTTTGTCTTGGCTCGAACAACTGCCTTTGTGTCTGTTGTCATTATGATTGTCAACCGTCTGAATTTCCAAGGTGAGCAAACGTTTTAAATTCTGTATTTTACAAACCATTTTAATCAAATCTGCATCTATTGACAAGTACTTGACCTACTGCATGATCCATATAGAAAAAGTCGCCGAATTTATCAGTGATTTACTCTCACGAGCTACTGGATTCGATGTCAAGGTTGGTGCTGCTGTTGTTCCTCGATGGAGTGATGGTGCAATCAGTCTTGAAGATGTAACTATTGTTTGCAACGGCGACACATGGACTGAGCTAAAGCGCAAAGAAAAGTCTGCAAAAGGTTTAGGAGATTTGCTTCCTGGAGAAGTCGATTTAAACTGGACATATTGGGATCTAACTGTAGATCGCATCGATGTCAATTTATCACTTTGGCGTCTACTTGATGGTAATGCGTTTGGATTGTTAAATCTTTGTCTTTACCATTTGAATCATCACTTTCATTCTAGCTTTCATGTATTCAAAAAGACCGAGTAGAGTCATTTACTTATCTCTTATAAACACTTGATATTCATACAATCTACAGGTCGAGGACCCATCAAGGAAGCAAAGTTGAAGGGCATTCGAGGCATGGTAGATCGACGTCATATTGAGTTTGATCCAAATTGGGTACCTTCTCGCCGTGTCCCAGAATTTGGTGATTTTGAGATGGATTCTTTTATTGTCGAGGATCTGCTAGTCACTATTTGCAATCCCGACTTTAGACCGTTTTCATTCTCTATTTTCGATGCCGAGCTCCCTATATTTAGAAAACAATGGCTGCTTTATGACATGATGTGTGCCGATTCGGTCGTTGGAATGTACGACAATTGTTTATTTAGCGTGCATCGCTCACAATCTCTCGATGTATTTCGAGACACACCTGGAAATTTTGATAAAGTTTCTCATTTGAAAATGAGTTCTGTGCCTATCGATCACCTCAAAGTTGGTGCTACAGGTCCCATCAGCTGGCTCACACGAGGCACCGTTGATTTAGACTTGCATGTTCTCATTCCAAGAATCACCACCAACGATGACGTGTTTGATCAACTGTTTGACGAACTTGATGGAATTCGCGAGGTTGCCATTGACAAAATTGAAGAAGTCATTGCAGCCCATCCTGAACGTCAGGAGATTCTTGATAAGCATTCCCAGTGGAAAGATCAAAAACTGCAACCTAGACATCATGATTTAGTATCGGGTGTCAGTCACGATTTAAACCCTACCGTTGTGGTTCGTAACGTACCCAAAACCATATCCAATCATCATAAAGACATCCGATACTACGATACACAGTATTCAAATGCCACACCATCACAAAAACCATCAGCATATGATTCCCAAACCGAACAAAAAGAATCTAGGCCTATTTATACCAATGGTGTGGTGAATCTTGGATTACCCATGCCTAAATCTGAAAATGCAAATGTGATTTTACATTGGCGTGTCAAGTTAAACGATCTAAAGGCATATGTACCTCTTTCAAACCCACATCTATCCTATATGAGTAGCGCCTTGATCAGACCTGTTGTTGCATATATGAATGCAAATCGCACATCCTTGCCCCTAGCGTCGAGTGCAAAAATGGACATTGTAAGTTCTATGGCTGTGTTGGTAGAATCGGATGACTTGATGTAAAAACATGCAATTCAAATGTAGTAGACCTTTGCATTAACCTGTGTATCATTTATATATAGAATAATTTCAATGGTGCATGGGATATTTTCTCTGCAGGTCTTGTCGATGTGCTTTCTGAAGAAACTGGACGCGCACTATCTAATCTAGTCCAGGATGAACGAGAACGCACACGGAGATTGCGGCGTATAGGTATCTGGAGTCTTCAACAATGTGGTAAAGCCATTCTATCACTTTCCGAATACATTCGTGGTACTCGCAATCCTTGGTCGTATGGCCTTCCCATTTAGTCTTGCATGCATATCCAATCATTTTAAATTCAGTTTCTAGTTTGCATCCTCATGTTTCCAATTCTCTGTTTCACCTTTATATTGGGTTGGTGTATCTAAATGATATTTGAATGTTTCAAGCTGCGTTTGATAGTTTGCAAATCATATCGCTAATATAAAAACAACTGTGCTTTTAACTCGAGTCAGATGGCATGTTGAAAATAGATGATCGAGTTGCACATGCTTCAGTACCATTTGGAAACGGTAACACATGAAACCATTAAAGTGGGAAAACAAAGGATAAAGGACGGAAAATCAATTCATTTTAAACTTCAGTATTGATTTTTTACGCTTGTTTATAAAAGATATCTACCCTCAGTAGATAAAAACGAGTTGCCATACACATTTGACAAGATCGAAGCGGGTTATTGTAACTAGACATTCTTCGCGAAACAAATATGCTTATTATGCACTACACAAGAAGCGTTTTGGGTTTAGTCCACTTTGATGGATCTATAGATCCTTCGGATAAAAGCAAAGGCTGAGAGATATCCAACTGTTCCTGTGAAAACAGTAAAAAGTAAGGAGATCACCAACGACCAACTTAAATAAATCGCCATCGATGAGAAATCCACAAGGTGGAGTCCACGAGCTGCATATATAATAGAATAAATGAAAATGTAAAATCCGCTGGTACCAGAGGTCATAAATGCACGCCACGACCACATGTAGTCCTAAATATTTAAAAGTAGCAAATTACCATTAGTAGTTGGCACAAACGAGTTTAAAATCAGCATGTTGAACCACGCAGTTGATGTAAAGAATGGATTCGTCCAAGCTAGACACTAACCTCTGCACAGAGTTGGAAGTAGCAAAGCAAAATAGAAACAAGCGAACATGTCATGACAAGAATGACAAAAACAAAAAGCAGGAATCCAAACATATAGTAAATGCGGTGGGACCAAATGGAAGACATGATAAAGTATAGCTCAATGAAAATAGCACCAAATGGAAGAATGCCTCCAATGAGGGCAGAGTAATATTTGTTGAGGTATGCAGGCTAAATAGGTGTACAGTTGAACAAAAAGTTAGCCAATTAAACGACAGAAATAAACAGTTTCATTAAAAGCCAAATCTACAATCAAAAAATGGGCTTACTTGTGGAGGTATTTGGCGAGGAATCTGGTTTGTTTTGCAAGGATTTTCATATCCTGGGTGACGGAATCCAAAGTATGCACCAGCGATACACAATGGAATGGAAATCAAAAACCACATGGCCACCAGCGCCAACAAAGTTCCAAATGGCACTGCTGATGACGAAGCGCGAGCAATCAAAAAGAAGTTGAGAATAATAAGAACACCAAAGATGATTCTAAACAATATAATAAAAAACACACAGATTAGTATACACGAATCAATACATGCAATAAACTCCAAGATGTATTACATACCCGGGCACAAGGACAGCCGTCAACACCACATTCTTGCGCCAGTGCTCTCCCTGCAAAGTTTTGTACAAAACAGCCGATACGTATCCAGCAACAGCCGAAAATAGGATATAAAAAATAAGTGCCATGGTTCCAAGAGCGCCTCTGCTAGATGGAGACAAAAATCCAAGAACGGCAAAAACTAGATACATCATAGGGTTAGAAATAAATTCAGATAAAAAACTTGACACGTTGTAGCAGCACTAGTACCTAAAGTAACGCAGGCCATGTACGTCAGCTGAGCACCATTTCCTACAAAAATAGAGAGAAGCATACGGAACGCAGGAGGTCTGAATACATCTGCATGCACCATTTTCCACCCAAACTCCTCCTGAGCTCCATCCTCATCACCGAGAGCGTTGTATCGAGCAATATCCTTGTGCAATGTACGAAGAAGGATCATGGCAACCATACTTCCAAGGATAAGAACAATGACAATCGAGTTGATAATGCTAATATGATTTGCGTATAGTTGTCAGAAACTCACTATTTCAACAAAATCAGATCGACTAAAATGAAACAGATACCAAGTTCGTCGATGATAGGTTAGAAGCACAATGGATGGAATATTGCATACCTGAACCAATGAATTTGAGGATCAAACACATGGAGATAATGGTCCCAACGAGTACCCCACGATATGGAATCCTCCACCCAAAAAGTACTGTAAGTGTACTGAATTGGATTATCTACACCTTCTTTAAGGAAAAAATTGCTGGTAGCTCCAAATTTACATCCAGAATCCTGGACATCCTTTGTTCCGCTGGATAATGAATCCAATAAAGTTTTTAAAGGTTAATGACACGATATTCTCATGGAATTTGATACTCAAACTCACCTGGAGGGTTGAACTAGCACACCAACAACACGAGCCTTTGCTTCCTTCAAATGGTAGTGAATGATGATATTGTAATGGTTGTTGATGACTGTTTGGTCAGTATCAGTGACTCTTCCAAACTCAAAACCAGAACTGTAGTAGTTTTCGTTTGTAGATAAATCTTTGTAGAGCTGTGCAGCAGGAAGACCGTCCACAATCCTACATGTATTAGATTGACCATGAAAATTGAGTCATTAAACTTGAAAACGCAAAAAAAAGGAAAGCTACGTACCAATTCACAGTGTACTCTTCCTCAACACTATGCAGGATCAAGAAATGGTCAGTGTAGTCAAAATGTAAAAACAGCCCAAACCAAAAATTAGCACGATTAGCGTTGAACAAAGACAAAGACTAAATTTAAACTCGACAGTCATTCCAACGTACATTTGACGAACAAAGCCAGTGTCAGCAGCAGGAATGGTTGTTTCACAGAGTTTGACGCATGTATTATTTTGAAGTGAGCTGATCTATAGCAAGCCATTAATGGCAAGTTGTATAAAATTGAGGTTAAACTAGATTCTATTGAAACGATCAAGGATATTAAATATAAAAAAGTAGGTTTATAAATGCATCAAGCGCATGCATTGCAAGTCGAGCATATTGCATGTCATGTAGTGTAACAGGAAGCCAGTTGGAGTCTGAAAGTAACAGAACACGCACTATGCAGTTGAAATCAACCAATAGAAGCGTATCAAACCAAAACTACTCAAGCGAGTTCATGCAAGACCCAGATGAATACGACGTGCGTATACCATACACTTGCAATATCTGAAACCAGACAATGAATGAAATGCAACTCATTGAAAAGCATACCTGAAAAGGAGAAGTGTATAAACGGTCACCAAACAAGATGCTTCCAAGAGATTCTTTCTGAGCGATGGGTTCTGAAACAGGACGACATAAATGTAACTGAGGAAAGTAATAGTCGAAAGAAATGAGAGAATCAGTGGCGGAAAGAGAGTTGACTAGAAGCGGAACAGACTCTCCAGCAGCGTATTCGTGAGGAGCGACACCAGGCAAGTAAAATGCATTGACAGTGTTGAATGAAAATGGAATCAGTAATGAAATAGCAGCAGTCAACACACGAGCAGCAGATACACTCATTGCAGATTTAGTTGATTTGATGGCAAGAAACGCCCGAATGAAAGTTGGATTTTGTCGTGATCCCACGTGACTGTTGAATCAAATTTAAATCTGTTCTTGTAAGCTTGTGCAAATTGTCTGAATTGCTTGAACTTCTTATGGCTGCTCTGACTCAAGATATCGCTCCGTTAAAGGCTTTGGTTTCAGAGTCTCTTGAAAAGCAAGGGGTTTTATCCTCTCTTAAAGTATTTGACTGTCTAGACTATTCTATTCAATGATATTGCACTGACTCTACTTTGAATAGGCTCAACTACGCGCTGCTGTCTTTTCTACATTGTATTATCCTGGAAATCATCCTGAAAACCATCCTGGAAATTACAAAACTATAACTACTACTGAAAAAGGTTTGCAGCCATTCTTGATTGTTTTACTTGATAGTCAATGCTAATTCATACTTTAGGTCGTATTGCTTTGGATCTAATCAAAGAGTTTCTTCAGTTTTATAAACTGGATCAAACTCTCTCCGTCCTTAATCCAGAGTGTGGTTTGGTACGTCGCCAACAAAACTCCGCGATGTGGCAATCTATTAACACTCATTGTTTAGCCTGATACTCGTGTAGATCCGGCTATTCTATCTAAACAAGTCGGTATATCTATTGAAGAACCTAAAAGACCAGTATTGCTGTCTGTGTTGGATCCCAACTCATTCCACGTTGCACGTTCTCAGACCACAACATCGCATCCCATTATTCCTGCCAGGTCTGCCATCAACACGGATTCGTCCATTCAACCCTCCTATACTAATCCATCCACTGTTTCTGATTCCTCAAATTTGCCTTTGACAAATACTCCCTCCACGCTTGCATCAATCCCACCTCACTTTGCTTCTAGTTCCTCTGTAACGCAGAGTCTTGCTTCAAAACCACTACCTAGTCATATCTCTGCACTGGCTCCACCCAAACCATCTCTGCTTCCTATTCCTTCTTTAAACTCGTCCTTGCCAACCTCATCTGGTACTTTAAATCCATCAATTCCAGGTGTCCTTGCAGATGTAACTCCACCCAACACGTCATCTGTATCTACCACTCTACCCATACCAACACCCAATTCAACAGTAAAACCCACCGACGTATTGGACGATCCTTTTTCTTTTTCGACGCGAGTTCATGCACGTGGAGGTCGTGTCAAATCTACTCCAATGCAAGAACCTGCTGAACCACAAACATCACACATAACATCTTTGAGTTTAAACAGCACTATATCAAAAACATTAGCAAGGTAGGATCTAAAGTGTATGTTATTTTTCAAACTTCCCTGTGTTTGGATGTCATTAACCATGTGTTTGTATCCAGTAGTAATATTAGCGAGACTATTGAGGATGATTTAGAATCAGAAAAAAGCCACTCTGATACGGTATGAAGCCACTATATTGTGTTTTAAATTGATACTAAATTATTCAAACTGACCTGTTTAATGAATCATGACTTTTCTTTTTATTCTTCCAGTCTCAGTCAGATTATGTTACGAGTGATCGAAGCATTACACCTACTCATGCAGGTGATAAATTAGACTACATTGAAGACGTGAGCAACATGTTGATTAAAAATAAGCTTTCAAGTTAAACAAAAACAGCGTTGATTTTGATAAAAGTTTTTCAATGCATTTAACTTGTGAATCAAAACGAGACAAATTGAAGTCAATAAAACCATTCGACAGATTTAAAATTTTGAAATTCGAGTCGACACTTTTAGTCGGAAAGTTTGACAGATGTCCAGTCTAAAGCAATGTAACCATTCAACTGGTCATGACGACCAACACCGTACTCGTCTAAAATGGTGGTGGTCAAAGTCTACACCTGTATATAATAGTCGTCGAGTTTTTGTCAACCTTCCACTTCCTTCACAACTTGCGCATCCTGATGGAACTCCTATTCAAGTCTATCCGCCCAACACTATTCGAACTTCTAAATACACTTTGTTATCGTTTATTCCAAAGAATTTGTTTGAGCAGTTTAGAAGAGTATGTACTGAATTGTGGGCATGCATTGACTCTGCTGTTCATTATATTGATTAGAACAACTCGATTCACTTTGTCATCACTGTCTTGATTCAAAGCACCGTTTTTACTGCTTAAATATGTTTATTAATCCTTATATATGGCTAATCAAACCATACATTCCTTGGTTCAATTGGCTATGATTTCAGGCTGCAAATACGTGAGTAATGGTCATGCATGATGACACCAACTAGATTAAACCACAACTCAAGCTACTATGGCTAGTTGATCATCTGGATTATATTGTCTGTTTGGTGGATATTTGCTTACAAATCTACTACTTTGATGCTGTCCTATAAACAATAATAGCTACTTTCTTATCATGATCGTCATGCAAGCAGTGCCGCTATTCACTGTAGCATCAACCCCATGGATGCCTGCTCTTCCTCTTATTGTCATTGTAGTCATCACTGGTATCAAGGATTTGGTGGAGGATTCGCGACGACAAGCCTCTGATAGGACCTTGAATAAAAGCACCAGTCATGTTCTATCTCAGCAAGTAAACACCAATTATGCACATTTCAAACGCAAATTACCCAGTTTCAACAATAAGCAACATCCATATTCAACTCAAGACAAGCACGATGAATCTAAAACTTGGCCATCAGATCCTAACTGGGAAACCGTAACATGGGGGCAGCTGAGAGTCGGTGATATAATTATGCTTTCTGAAAACGAATCTATTCCTGCAGATATTGTCATTCTATCATCTAGCGATGCAACTGGAATTGCATATGTTGAAACCAAAAATCTGGATGGTGAAACCAATCTGAAAACTGTAGAGGCAATCAAGGAAACAACTCATCTTCATACTGCTGAGGATTTTTTAAATACTTCATTAGTAATCGAGTCCGAGTTACCTACTTTAAACTTGTACTACTATAGTGGTACAATGTTGATTATCCCTCCCGACTCAAATCCCATCATTTCAGTCGTGTCGTCTTCCGCCACGCCGTTCCCTTTGGCTCAACCTGCACCTATCGGTGACATTGATGTTCCTCTTTCCACAGTCGTGGATGCGTATCCAGGATCGTGCATCTCACCCATAAATATCCAGAATATTCTCCTTCGTGGTGCAGTTGTTCGTAATGTCGACCACATTGTCGGTGTTGTTATCTCCACCGGAAGCGATACCAAGGTTGTAATGAATAGCGGCTCAACACCATCTCCACGAAGTAACATTGAAAAAAGCATGGACATCCAAGTCGTACTCAATTTTTTGATTCTGGTGATACTAAGTACGCTGATTATTATCATGGAAGGTCGGAGACTAAATCGGTTCAAGCATCACTTTGGATCAATTAATTATGAAAACAACACTTTAAATAGTAAACTAGTGCTTTTTGGGTAAGTGTTGGTTGAAAAGCCGATTCTTGTAAACTCTTGTCTGTTTATTCTATCTTGCTAATGGTTTTTGGTGGTTATGTAGGGCATGCATTATTATGATGCAAAATATTGTTCCTATTTCGCTCTACGTGTCGTTGGAAGTCATGAAATCTTTTCAGGTAAATACTTTTCCATGATGTTGCTGGTTTGAACCTTGTTGTTTCAAAGCAATCATCTAAAGACTATAATCTATGTCGTCTAATTCTACTTTCTAGTCTTATTTTATTTATCAAGATATCGACATGTACGATACAGAATCAGATTCTCCCTGCATTCCGAAATCCTGGAACATTACTGATGATCTTGGACAAATCGAGTATTTATTTTCCGACAAGGTATTTAAAACATCACACTATTTGGCTATTACCATTTAGGCGTAGATTAACTGAATGTCTGAATTAAATGTCTTAGACGGGCACCCTGACTCAAAACAAAATGGAGTTTCGTCGATGCAGTATTAATGGTGTTATTTATGGCCAAGAACTTGCCCATTCATTTAGTGAAACTCCAGTCACACACATGCTACAGGATCATTCGGAATCTCTGCTTAAAGGCACACGCAAATATATGGACGATGTATATACAAATCCCATGATGTCTAAAGATGCGTCATTTGTGGATGATTCTTTATTCAGAGATTATTTGAACGACCCTATCCAGAAACAATGCATTATTGATATGTTTACCGTTCTTTCTGTGTGCCATACCGTACCTACGCCCACTCACCATGCAACAAAGATGCTTCACTATAGTGCTCAGTCGCCTGATGAGGGTGCATTGGTATCTGGAGCAAAAGATGTTGGATTTACCTTTTTGCGTCGCGAGTTGAATCGGCTGCATATCAATATACTTGGAAATGATGAATGTTTTATACTTTTGCACGTGCTCGAGTTTAATTCTACTCGCAAAAGAATGTCAGTGATTGTTCGCAATCAGAAGCAGCAAATAATTTTGATGACTAAAGGTGCCGACAGGTAATGTCACGGTACTCTGATATATGTGGGTGCTTTAATTTTTAAACTGACTTTCATTTCAACATGTTTGATACTTGAACATCTCTAAAATGTATCATGGCTAGTACTATCTGTCAGCGATTAGCATCGGGTCAAGACGCGATGGTGGAGAGTGTGTTGAAACATCTGTCTTGTTTTGCAACGGAAGGACTGCGCACTTTGTGTATTGCCCAGCGGGTTCTTTCTGAAGCAGAGTATTCCAACTGGCTTACAGTTCAAAAAGAAGCATCTGTAGCTCTATCTGGGCGAGATCAACTACTTGATGCAGCTGCAGAAATGATTGAAAAGGAGCTTGTGCTTCTTGGTGCAACTGCCATTGAAGATAAACTGCAAGACGGTGTACCCCAAACTATATCTATATTGCGTGAAGCAGGATTACGTATATGGGTGCTCACTGGTGACAAACTTGAAACAGCAATCAATATTGGATATTCATCCAACTTACTATCTGAGGATATGACTCTACTAGTAGTCAGCGGCGTGAGCTCTACCGATGTCTGTGAGCAACTGGAGTATGCATTAAAGCACTTTCAGTCTTCGCAACATCCAAGCCGCGGATACTTGAATTCTAAAGCCGCATTTGGAGAGTTACCACTGTGGTTATATAAGTGGTTTAATCCTCGATTGGCTGCTCAGCGTAATCGTTGGAAAATCCTCGACTTACTTGAGCCAGTTCAGTATAAAAAAGTGGCTATGGTGATGGATGGAGAGTCGTTGGATTATGTATTAAATGACGACCATCAGAAGGAGATATTTTTGAAGCTTAGCGTTTTGTGTAAAAGTATTATTTGCTGTCGAGTCAATCCAAAACAAAAGGCACGGGTAGTTCAACTCGTACAAGATGGACTGGGTGCCATATGTTTGAGTGTCGGTGATGGTGCAAATGATGTCAGGTAAACTTGTAAATTTTGAAAACCATCGCCTACTGCAAAGATTTTGGCTAATATATTGTATATATAGCATGATACAGCAAGCAGAAATTGGCGTGGGCATATCTGGTCGAGAAGGAGTTCAAGCAGCACTTGCCAGTGATTTTGTTATTGGGCAGTTTCGATTTTTGTCCAAACTACTATTGATTCATGGACACTGGTCGTATTATCGTATTGGCGAGTCTATTCTCAATTTCTTTTTCAAAAATATGACATGGGTGTTTGCTCTGTTTTGGTACCAGTCTGCGTCAGGGTAAGTTTAGCGTTAATGGACGTACTTGATTAGAGTTGGCTTGAAGCTATTTTTGCTATTTTTATTTACACGATTGGAACCTACTAGGTATACTGCGATAATTTTGTACGAATACAACTACATTTTACTATTCAATCTGATTTTTACTGCTGCGCCGCCGCTTATTATTGGTATCGTATGAATTGATCATTCTAAAGTGGGCTTGCTTGAAGGGTTCTAGTAATGCTAATACAATGCACCCGTTTGCCCTTTGTTTGCTCGACCGCATACTAGGTATATTTGATCAAGATTTAACTGAAGCACAAATTTTGGCGTTTCCACAAATTTATCATTTGGGGATGAGCCAATATTTTTTTAATTTCAAGCGCTTTCTACTCTATATGTCCGAAGCCATTTACCAGTCCTACATTAGTTATCATTTTGCCCAATTGAGTTTTGCAGATATTCCAAACACTGAAGGACTTGTGGCTGATCGTCTTATTCTTGGAACTGTTACTGCTCTCAATGCCATTATTGCAATTAATTGCACTATGGTGATGAATATCAGGTCGTGGACGTGGATAAGTGCTATAGTCATGTTTTTTAGCGCCATTTCGTTTCCAGCATATCTACCATTTCATTCAATGATTGTCAGAAACTTGCCAAAAGGGATTATTTCTGCTTTATTTACTGATCCAAGATTATACATCGAGGTTGCATTGTGCACTATAACATGTCTTATTCCGCGTATGATGATATTGAGCTGGAAATTGTTTGTTTCGCCTTCTGATATAGACATTATTAGAGAAAGCATGGTGAGTTGGTCTTGTTTTGATTGCATCATTATATTGTATTGTCATCAGCTCAATTCTGTATACATGCTATTTAGAACCACTCTTTAACTACACGTGGATCCAGATCAGTCAGGCAAAGGCCGTCATCCAAAGTATCTGTTTTAGCTGCCGAAAAAGCCAATGCAGACACTCTTGGATATGTTGAACATCCCGACATTCAAGTATTGCGTAAAACATCGGCAAGAAAACATTTTTCTGAATCAGATTCTGATCAACTCTTCGACAATGATAAAAAGCGCAGTTTGGAATTGAGCTTTTCTCGGCATGTAGATATTTTTCCGGATGAAATGCAAAAGTTTACTGAACCAGCTGTTCTTGATGAGATTTTTGCTGGTAAAGAGCCGTCGACACCACTATCTGGTACTGCGACCAACCGATCTAGAGTTAAATCTGACCGGTCCATTTCTTTCAATACCAATGTGAACTGCTACAATGATCTTTCCATCAGGTCTAGGAATACCTGTTCTTCAGCAGATATATTTGATGGCAAATCAACCGACTCGAATTCACAAAGTTGCATATCAAATCAAGCTCATCATGTCGAATCTCTGTCAGTCGAGTACTTCCATCAGCAGCCACACACACTACGCGATTTTCTGAAGATATTAGTAGATATGATGAAGATGGCCAAGGACATATTGTTTTTATGGGAGGTCCTTTGCCTGACAACACGGAATCTTTGGATCATGACCCCATGCATGCAAACATACCTGCACTGCCACCTGCTGACGGTTTGGGAGATGCAGACGTGCCTTGGACTGGATTTGCATTTGCTACAGATGAATCTACTACACATCGTAGAGCCAGTATGTCTTTTACTGCAACTAACTAGATGTGTTGGTGTTGCTGCTCAACTTGCAGCTCACTCCATGAAAATTTTCTGTATTAACTTTACAGTTTATTTTGTTTTAAAATAAACCATTCTTGACTATTTGTTGAGCTTTTCTACTAAGCATTGATTGCTTCAACAGAGCTTTCTGTGCTTGACATTACTGAACAAACCATTCAATTGCAAGTCAAAGCAAATTCGATTATTTGGTTGCATTCAACTTGACCTTGAATACTACACATGAATCAGACATCTTTCGATCTTCCTATTATCCTAGGCTCATCGTCAAAATACCGAGCAGAGGTTCTCAGACAACACCATATTCCATTTACTGTGCGAGTTGCCTCCATAGATGAAAAGTCTGTAGGTGGATCGTATCGAACCCAGCCTGATCCCGATGCATTGACACTGACTGTAGCTCAAGCCAAGATGGATGCTTTGTTGGCTACTTTGCCTACAGATACACAACCCTCTCTTGTCATGACTTGTGATCAGGTTGTGTCATTCAAGGGCCAAATCAGAGAAAAGCCTGAAACCAAAGAGGTGAGGTTTAAACATCACACATTTCATGTAGATCAACGGATATTAATTCATTTCTATTCCCATCATAACAGAAATGTCGATTGTATTTGGAAAGCTATGCCGAAGCACCAGCAGAAACTCATTCGGCAGTAGTTGTGACCAACACTGCAACAGGCAAAAGAGTTCAAGTAAGTTTGATCAGTCTCTCATATCTGGCATGTATTCAACCTTGTTTTTTGAATGTTTAATAGGGAGTCGATGTAGCTCGACAGTATTTTAAGAAAATTCCTTCCAATGTCATTCAAGCACTTGTTGATAAAGGAGATGTCATGCACTGCTGTGGTGGATTTCTAATCGAAGATGGTGAGTTTTAGATTCCAAGATTCGTTGAAATGTATGGATTGTGCATGTACACGTAACACTCGCGACCAACATTCATTGTTATTATGAATTGGATATAGCTATTTTGCACCCATACATGTTGCACAGAGAAGGAGATGACGACTCGATTATTGGAATGCCAATTAAGCTACTCCGTCGTTTGCTACTAGAAGCATCCAGCTCAATGTGATGAGCATTTGTTTTTACAGTCGAATAAATCAATTGAATTGAATCGACAGTATGTTACCAAATTGAAATCAGATCATGTTGAATTCATAGGCTACTTTATTCGACAGAACTACTTTTTGACTGGTTGTACTTTAATCGAATCATTCGAGTTAGCAACTCGTGCATTGGTAAATCTATCCCACGGTGTTTGGCCAGTTTAACCAAATATCCATTAATATATTCGATTTCTGTCATTCTACCATGGTCTATGTCCACCAGCATGCTATTTCGATTTAAATGTGTTTTGCGAACCACGTCCATGACTTTCTCGGTCATTTTCTCGACCGAGTCAATACCCAGCAATGAAAGCCGTGGCAATACAAGGGGTGCGAGTTCCTTGCACAATGAATGAACAAGATCTAGTCCATTAGGAATATGTAAAAGACCTCCATTTTGACAACCCAACAAAGCAACAACTGGGTTAATGCATGCATTCACGACGAGTTTAAGAGTAAGATGAGAACGAATCGTTTCTGGAGATTGAATCGAAATGGCTAATGATTTCCAGCCTACGCTCAACACGTTCTGAACTGTATCAGAATCTGAGCAATGAGTTTGAGATGCATCGAGCAAGGTGTTATTCAACTCGATGGAATTGGATGAATATTGATTGGCTATTGAAGTAGATGGTAATGCACGGCCAATTAAAGTGTGGCCAACCCCAATGTGATTGAATGCAAACCGATTAGTAGCAGATCGAGTGATACCATGAGTTGTAAGTCCAAGCCAGAAGACTGGATGGATCTGTCGATCTGGAGTAGTAGCAGCATTGGTTAGAGATAGATAGTTTTGAATCTCGTCAAATACACCCAAAACACCGTTCTGTAATAAAATGATGCAAGGGTTGCGAGTTAAACGAGGCAAGACAGACTGTAGTGCATGGCATGTCTGATGTGCTCTTGTAGTGATAATAAGAGTAGATATGGGTGATGTATGGTTGATATCCTGAGCTGGCAACTGTAGTTTAATAGGTGATGTTACTCGCACTTTGGCTGATTGTGACCATTCGATTCCTCCATTTGCATAATACTCCATCATCGACTTGTGTCTTAGCAGCAGTACAACGGATGACAAATTCGAGCCCAGAGTAGCTTTTGCTAGATGTGCTGCATGCAGCATTCCCACTGCTCCTACACCCAAAACATGAATGCATAAAGTCATGTATTCCACCAGCAATATTGTCAAGAAATTCTCATACTATTTGAAGCTACCCATAGTATACATCATGTAAATGCACACTCTGGTTTAAATCCCAAAAACTATATCTTGAATCCATTTATTTCAGTTTACATTTTCAAATTGTTACGCAACTCATTGCGAGACTTGATCTCAAGCTCAGTTATCTTGGTCTTGACTTGTGTGATCTGGTCACGAATAAGAACATCGTTGGGTGCTAATTTGACAGCTGACATCAATATCTTAAGCGATGGCTCCAGTTCATTCATTTTAAATAGCGCATGTCCCTTTCTGTACATGGCCTAGCATTCCATTTACAGAATCAAGTTAATTTCTGAACATAGAATTCGTTTTAAACTGGCACAATACACTGCACTATACAATATTGGATCATGACGTTTACCTTGGTGTTGTTGCTATCAACTTTGAGAACTCGATCACAAAAGTCGATTGCTTTGGTATAGTTTTCATTCTTGATATAACATGCTGCCATATTAGCATGACAAGCCTTGATAGTCTATAACAGTAATACCCAATATGAACCAAGGTTAAATGTAATTCGATCATAGTGCATAGATTCATGTCTTACAGCTACGATTTCGGTCTTTTCAGCATCACTCAATGAAGAAACACCATTAGATCCAATAATGGCTGACATGGCACTATTATCCAAACCATTTAAATACAACAGAGCCAAGTTGTATTCCTTGAGAGCTACATTACAACTACAGCGTCAGTAATCTACTCGTTAGAATAGTAGAAAGTGTTCTATTATCAAAACCAACAGTGTATCATAATCCAGTTGAATCAAAACAGTCAAGATACTGTATTTATATACATTGCTTTCCATACAAAGACTAACTCATGGATGCATGTATCGGGTTTGAGGAATGGTTCATTCGAATAAAAGCTCAAGTCACCTTCTTTAATCTTTCCATCCTTGAACAGTATATTGCCATTTTCTTTATGAGTTTTTCCAGTAGCAAAGTTGGTTCTAGTAAGATCTGACATTGTAAGGGTTTGCTGACAGAGTTGAAGATGGTATGCAAGACACTTGTTTTAGTTGAATCTACATTCGGCTTGATTTAAGCCTGATATTTTTAATGCTTTTGAGGGGTCGATCTTGACTATATACATCTGGGATAAAACGCTCATTCTTGATAAGCATGTTGGTATTGCCATCAAAATCAACCCATCACATCATTGATTGATGATCTGAGAGGTTCTGGAATGATGTTTTTAAAAATTGCTTAAATGTGATGGTTGGAAGAGCTACACTTTGGTATCATAAATTCTGAACAAAAGCTCAATGATGAACATTCAAAATTGAATGCAGCAATTGGCAGTCAACACTTGGACAACGAGACACAGCGCAGTTGTGGATCTTTACCCAACACAAATGTCAATGATCTTGAAAACAATATTACGTACAGAACCCAATTTTTGCGAGTGACAGACAGATCAGCAACAAGGAATATGCCAAGCTTTTGAAAATATTCAAACTCAATATCTGAGTTGTAATGGGTGAATCTGTCGATCGTAGAATGTATGGATATACCAAAAATGGAGATCATCTCATTTTGAAATCATATGATGACCGCCATGTTTGGAGATTGATCGAGTGAGTTGTAAATGCCGTAGTGTTGAATACTTTGCAAACGGCCACCTTATTCAGCATCTCATTCCACAAAGCAACTCATTAAACATGGTTTATCAACTGTTCAACAACGGCGCGAGGACCAGTTCTCGACTGTTCACTCTTGAACCCTGCAGAAAGTGATTTGGGCATAAAGAATGGTATTGTTGTTGAGCAATTCCAGACCCCAAGGAATTGAGAATGTTCAAAGTCCATTTAATAACAAGGCGGAACGAATATTCAACCGCTATTTGCTCGGAAAATAAGACTGCAGATAAATACAGAAAAGTGTTCCATTTTACGTGAATACGGCTTCAAAAGATAATGTTTACGGATACGATTACAAAAGCACAGGGCCAAGTGACTAGATCTTGCAGTATTGAGCAAAGCATCTTGCGTAAACAGTCACAGAGCTATCTACCATTTCAAGATATACCACCGGCTCCAGCTTCATTCATGCCACACGGGCTTATTCCCAAGCAATGCTGTTCTCCAAAACAGTCAGCTGGCACAGATTGCGTTTGCTTGAGCATGCTACTCACTCATACCAAGACCGATAAGTTTGGCAGTGTCAATGCTTGTTACTTTCCTAGTCATGATAGCTTTGGTACTGCTCATGCAAGCAATAATGGGTCGGATACAGATTTAAGCAACTTGACAAGTCGTGCAGGTCATGGACATCAAACCAGTGAAAACAGTTTTGGTTCTGATAATCAAAAGTTGGCACTAGGCCCATTTTTCAACATTGCAGAATGTCACGGGCAAGTTTATTCTCAAGACGGGCTTCAAAGGTAAATATACATTGCATATCAAATCAACTGTCGTTCAACCTAGTCTACAAAACATCGGTTATTTGCAATCGTCGTTTGGCTACTATTCCTTAAATTGTTCGTGCATTTCCTCCCTTTCCATCAAGGAGTACAGAGGTTCCAACAAATGCGCGTTTGTGGAAATCAAGGGTAGTTGGTACATAAATGTCCTAATGTAGATCTATATGGGTATTTGTATTAAAAAAACTCAGTATAGATGTGGAAGAGTAGAGATACCTCCGAGTAATACCCGTTATGTATTGTTATTGTCATGCACCTCATTGCCACACTGATCAGTCGGCTTGACAACCTTAAAGCCATCAAGCTGTATATTCAAAGCGGCTTGATGTTTCTACCTAATCTCCAGTGTTATTCTACTGTTTTTTCCAACCAGTGCTAGCACATGATGCCATCTTTATTCACTGCATGACTTTCAAAAAGTCCTCTGGTAGAATTGGGCGACTTTTTCAAGCCTCCAGAAAATCAAACAGCTGTGATTATTCATGTTTGCAAGGATCTAATGGCTAAAACCTCACAGATAATAATGTTTTGGGAGGATGTGGCGGAATGAAAATTGCAAATTAACTGGCGGAGTATAATGGGTGATAATTTTCACCTTGTTATGGGTACCGCGTGTTATACATGGAGGGAATCGGTTTTGATTCAATTATGTATTTGCACTGCTCTACACTGCTATCCATCACTATCTGTCCACACATGATGTTAGTTGCAACAACTATATTCAAGTATACATTATATATCTTGCTGATTATGGACTTGAACTTGGCTAGAGTTCCCACTATTCCTACTTTTGAAATGAGTAGTATTGTGAAGCTGGGCACTATAAAATTAAGACTTCCAAGCACCTTGTGTGGCTGTGATACATTCCAATAATTTTATTGGAATGATTTGTCTTCATTCCCTATCTGAAACGCTTCCTTGAGTTGGTATTTAATGAAAATGACTTTGGGCTGATGTGGAATGTTTAAGATGGGTCTGAATTTTATTCAAATCTAAAACGGCTGCTCAAGCGGCTCCAAAACATTTTTCAGTGCCAATGATGTCATTAGATTGATGGATTTGTTTTCCCCATTTTTAATCAACACTTGCACACCAGTATATCTTGTCTATTCAGTATATTCTGTTCGTTTGTTGCCGGCTTAATTCTCCGCTTTGTGATTCGCTTTCTCACCAATCACCATAATTACATAATACTTGGCGCATTATGTCTAGATACACTGTTTCATTGGATGCTCGCTTTGACCGTGGGTTTTTCACTATCGACAATGGCACCAACTGGGTGTGTTACCGCCGTAACTACTTTCAAATGTCAGCCGCATTTACTTGTGTTGCACAGAATTCTCCGGCACGCCTTTCAAGTGCATCCACTCATTACTCTTACTCATCCCCCACTATCTCATCTGTGCCCTCTTTTGTAAGTTCAAAGCCAGATTTTAAACAAATACAGCTTCCATGTATTGTCGTCGATCGATATGGTGTCTCGCATTACATTCGATCGTTTCAAGTTTTAGTTACTGCAAGTATTGCTGGCACTAATACTCTCGTTGAACTCACTCAACAAACATCAAAACGGCTGCGTGGAATGCAGCGGGCGCTTGAACCTATTTCGTGCTTGCCTGGTGGTAATCTCTCTCAGCCTGCTAACAACGACCCGTCCACTGTGGCGGTTTTTGAACGTTTACAGTTTGCGTCTTCTACAATCAATAATGGACGAGCTCGATCTCCTCAGCAATACTTTTGTGTACAAGTTGCTTTGATAGGTGTTTCTCCCAATGGATCACGTATCGTGTTGGCTACTGCTGAATCTGCTCCACTGGTGGTTCGTGGTAGATCTCCCAGCCATTATGCCATGTCTAAAACCAACCCTGCTGCGGCCATTTCAAAAATAGTACCCACTCTTCCTAATACATCCCCTTCTAATATTACAAATGACCACGAGCAAAAGCGCGAAAAAGAAGAATGTTCTACTAAACGTGCACATACTTATCCTCCTATATCAACGGCGCCTGATTGCTTGAGCATGGATGATAGGTTTTCTAAACGTGCAAGATTAACTGTGCAGTCTCTCTTATCCGATTCATCCACTCAAGATGATTCTACCATCTCGAGCAACTCTCCGGTCATTTCCAACTTGAATCAATTGGACACGGAAGATATCTCGAGTATGTATGAAGTGGCCTCACAAACAAATTCATGCGAGAACTGTTTGCCTCCCCCTATGCAGGACGTGTACGCTAGAACTAATGATCATTCCATGATGCACACAACAGTCCCTCATATGCCACAGCTTCCACCTATAATTGCCTACCGTTCTTTTTATCCCCACTCAACAGAGCCCTCTTCCATGCCACATTCATCAACCCCTTCGTTTCTATTACCAAACAGTTCATACTACGCCGAAGCGATAGATTTGCATTTGGAATCTCGGCATCACGGCCTAGAATCAAATAAAATGGCAGCAGCGTACAAAGATCACGACACCTATGAGCATTTTTACGATTATCCTCCTCGCAAAAATACGCACTTCCATCTCTCATCGCCAATCACCAGCGAATGTACTATGGGGTTTGATCCAAATGTGCTACACTACAACCATGGCGCATTTTCTACTTTCGCTTCATCATCTACTATTGACTTTGTTTGACCCAACATGACTGATTTCTGGCTTACTTGGTAATCAATCGATAAACATGTTTATTTTATCAAATCCATTTTATTTGAACGCTATTCCACATCATGCAACTGCCTGTTTTTCATTGTTAGTCTTTAATTCATTGCGTTTTATGGTAGTTTTTACGCTTTACTACTCCAATAAACCATATTGTTTTTGGAAAATCAACAATTGATGAAATGATTCAAACATTAGCATATAATCTTTTAGTTTTAGATAAAAGGTTGGTCAGATGTACTTGTAGCTGATGGCAGATGGAATTTTCAATCAAGTCGAGGCCTTGTTTGACTATGATTCCACGTGATTTGTATCGAGTATTTAATAAAAAATGAAATGAAAAACTTGAAAACAGTCATGGCACCAAGAATACCCAGAATAGTGCCATGGGCCATTCAAGAAGAATGGAGTTTGGTGTTTTCATTATTATACTCGGATAAAAATGAATTGCGTATTCAAGGCGTCAACCGTGTATGAGTATCGCTTTATTTGATTAAGAATCCACATGAATGACTGTTGAAACGATACATGACCAAAATATCTGTTTAGTTCCAATGTATTGTAATTGATTTGAATGACTGATTATTACTTTTACTGACAGTGTGTCTATTCTTAATTTCAGGTCAAGGCATGGATCAGTCGAGGCAAAGTACCGCATGCAGTACTCAGTACCAGTAGTTTGGTCGAAGTTAGCTTGAGAGATACTGGACTATTCTCGATGGTTTCTGAATCAGAATTGCGATTGCAATATTCTATGATATTTGTCAGGTTTTTAAGCATTTGAATTGATACCAACTCCTTGTGAATCTAATTTGATGTGCTCATCACTGTTTTTGATTGAATTGGACATAGATTTGTAAATGGATTGGTAGACCATGCTCAAAAAGGAGCGTTTCCTGAAGCTGTATCGACGGTTGCCGAATCTATTGGTCTTCCAGGTTGGTTTGTTGATCTAAGACATTCTGCTACACATGACAAGCTCCCATCTTTGTTGCTGCTACGGAATGGGTGCATTCAGGCATTGCAATGGCTACATGATAATTACTGGATCGTTCAGCAAAATTTTATTGCTGATATTACACAAGATTTGGGTAACATCTTGATTAAATACAAGGAAAGCTGCAAGGCATCTGCTAAAGGTAATTTATCTGATGTTTAGCATTCCATAATGTTGTGATATGCTTGGAATGGCAACTTATGCTTTGTTGAACTCAAATAGGCAAACATACTACTGCTGATACGACACTGTCTTTACAAAAACTGGTGCATCTTCTCACAGTCGATACCTACCCCGATGTACTACTCCCCCTTCTCATCCAGCCTGGGTACCTTGTTCCATTGGCCAAAAAGTATGCGGTTTGATATATTTTCAAGCCTATTTTTTATCAGCTTAAATTGACATTGTGAATTTGATTTAGAAAGCGAGCTGTAATTGAAGTTGATGGTACGATCGGAAATTTGCCCAAACCATTGGAATCGCTGTGGCTTAAACTCATTGATACATGCGAATACACATGGCCGGGATTCTGTCAGGAGCTATTATGCACCATCTTGAATATTATAGGAGTACAGCACGTTTTATCAGAGCCAATGGAACACAATCAGATCACGCAGAATCAAAATCAATCTGAAACTGAATATAATTCACAGGCCTTTTTATCTTCTGCTTGCAAAAGTAAAAGCTACTTGATCACATTAGGTAGGCTGTATACATACACTATTATGACATTTAATTTTTTACTCATCTGATGAATCTTTTATAGTTGCATGGGCTAAATTTATTGTTGCAAAATATGGCTCAACTGCTTCTATGGATCTTGTGAAGATATCCGAGGTTTGCTTCAAGTTGCCAACACAATTGTAAGTTGCCAATTTTTTTTGAATCATTCTGAATGTGTATGTCTTGACTACTTAAGCTGACATTACGCTATTGGTGTTTTTCTACTTGTTTACAGCACGCTAGAAGTATTGCATGCAATCATGGCAATTGATTCAAATATCGAAAAAAAGATTGTTTTTGTTGCATCGTTCCTAGCATCCAAATTCGATTTGGAGCAGTCCATCTCAATCACTGCTGATGCACCGTCTAGTCAAACTACCAAACAGGTTGGAAATTCAAGCTCTAGTATAGAAGATTCTGCCACATGGGAGACAAAAGAGCAACGACTTGATGCAGATTTGACGCATCTTAAGCAGCGTATTGAAAAACTAGATTCAAGCTGGGAATTTAAATCGTTAAAAATGGTTGTTGATTCGAATCCTGTTGTCATGGACAAAGAGAATGATCAAGCTGGATGGGCTATGGTGGATAAAACCTCATGGAAAGCGTGTCCATTGGGAATGTTGCCTGGTAATGTGTTGCCAGTGCTAGCTCTTGGATCCGAGTACGATAATGTCGAGTTTCTAATCACCAACGGTATTGTTCAGATTCCGATTGCAGCACAATGTGCAAAAGATATGAATGAGCAGCAGACTCGTAAAATTGGGATCGACTCCGAATCAGTCACTGTGAGTGCTCCAGTACCAACACTGTTGGATCAGCATAATATGGAAGTGGACGAGGAGCCTTTAAACTCCTTTTCTCACGATACTGCGCGTAATTTCATTCTTACTGATCCCACTACTATTGTTCTTCTCTAATTCCGATAAAATAAAGTTCAAACTATGTGCATCAAAAACGTCATTATATTGCTTATGATTTTATAAAAGATTAAACGCTGAAATGCATCAGCACATTGTTGGAGATTATATGGAATCGGATCAAGTTTCTTTCAACACTCGATTGGTCTTTTTCCTTGGTACAGGAGCTGTGAAATGGCATCAACAGTGATTCCAAAATGAGTCGTCAGCTATTAAAATCTAAACCAATACGTTTCATTCTTACCGTGATTGTTTTCTCTGACGTAGAATCGTCGTAAAGCCATGATTGCCTCATTTTTAAACAGACCGCCAACAGCCGGATAATTGAATCCAGCACCCACTCCACTGCATTGGAAAAACAAAATATGTTAATCGATCCAATCGACTATTCTACGCACCATCACACCAACACATAAATGCACAAACTCCCATCATTTGAACTCAACTCGTCATGAATATGGAACACGGATCCACAACCACCAAACTTGTCATTTCCACAACCGAAAACTACTCGTCGGATTTGCAAGTGTCGTAGAGCTGATGCACACATGATGCATGGTTCAACTGTCACATACACATCAGTTTGTGGAAATGTGGTTTTGACATATGTGTCTAGATCGGTTTCCAATGGACGCATTGACATGATCTGATCAATGGCTTCGAATTCTGCATGACGTACTCCCTGGATTACATTCAATTCAAGTTTTAGAAGTCTTAGTTTACATGTTGGGTATACAGATTGGGTTGGATGTGCAATGTGGTGATACGTTTAGGGATTCGTTTGTGCGGTTTCGACCTTGACCAATGATGCCTTTTGATGCATGTACAAACACACATCCGACTGGGACTTCACCTACGTCATATGCATCGCTCGCTAGTTGCAATGCCATGGTCATGTACTTTTTATCATCTTGGTTGAACAAGTCTTGCATTGAAAATCAAATCTTGTCAAATGATTGAAAATCCTTTTTCAATCCTAAAATTAAATTCAAGCATTCAAAAACTTGTAAATTCAATCTATATACATTTCTAATTGTAGTAAAACATGTCGGTATTTTTGTCTTTATTAGTTTTTATGAGATTCAGAAAAAAAGATCTATCAAGATACAATTGTAGATCAACGGATGAGAGTGTAGAAGGGCTTGAGATGCAAGCTGTCTGTCCTGGTTATATACTCGAGTGTTTTTTGGATCGAAGTTGATGATCCAGCACGAGTAAAAGATAAGCTACAGTATGGGTTTAAAAATGAGGATGGATTACAGGTCATTGTTGAAGCTACTGACTACTGGCGGGAGCGTCATCAGAAACGGGGTGGATACGACTTTCGTGTGTCTTGCTGGAAGTAGCAGATCCAGTCAACTTGGCAAGCCAAGAGGGTGGTGCAATACCAGTTTGATCGTTGATTGTAGACAACAGAGGAGGAAGAGTTTGGAATATATCACGAATGGGCTTTCCAGGATCATTGCCATCAGCATCTGTGATGATTCAATAGAATCACAAAAATATCAGTCAGTATTTAATTGTAAAGTCTAGCAACTAGTTGGGTATCATCCAATCACATAACGTACCAGACCCAGTTGTCCAGATGGTCATTTTAGGAGCAAGACCGCGAACTGCCTCAGCATTGGCTTTGGCAAGCGATTCATAGGTACCACGCTCCAACATGAGGTACTGCATAGTGGCGCTGACATCACCACCAAAGGCAGCATTGAGTTGAGCAATACCAGCAGCTTGAGCAGCATATTTTACACGAACGGCTTCAGCAGACTTTTGTTCACCGTACAAAAAGGCATCAGCCTCAACCTTGGCTTTGTAAAAAGCAGCATCTGCAAGAGCTGCAATCGTTTCGGCCTCGACCTTTGCTTTGGATAGTTTCTCAGCACGAGCAGTTTCCTGCATCACAAGAGCGCGACGACTTTCAACTTCACGTTCAAGCTCAGCATTACGCATTGCCTGATGCTTGACGGCTTCAATTTTAGCAATAGACACTTCGTTCTCAAAGCGAGTCTGCTCAGTTTTGAGTGAAGCTTCAGCCTTTGCAATTTCAATTTTACGAGTGTTTTCGTAAACAACAGCGTCAGCTTCGATCCTAGATGCTTCTTTTCGCTGTTTTCCCTCACGATCAGCCTCTCCAACATTTCCTTTCATGCGAGCCTCGGCTACATCAACCTTGGCTTGATTGATGGCGCCTTCATGAGACTTGAGACGAAGGTATTTGAAATACTCGGATCCAGTAGTATCAGAAAGTTGTTTTACATTTGCATTGAAACTAAACAATATAAACCCGTTCAAAATCTAGCTTAAATAATTATTAATGCAAAAGACTTACATTTTCATACCAAACTGGTCAAGTTCGGACTGAACACCTTCCATAACATGCTCCTTGAAAAATTTACGCTCCTTGAAAATTTCTATTATACGGTGTTAATTACTAGCAACAGTTTGATAGCGTGGAAATAAAGTGAGATTACCTTCCATGGTCATTGAAGCAGCTGTGCATATGATGTTGTACCACCATAGTAATCGAGCACATGGAAATGGTTAGAGAAAAATGAACAATGTTTTACACGTATCATCGGCCTAAATCAATCAACATGACTGTACCAATAACACGGGTTTCTCCCTCGACAACACCCCGAACAAGCTCTTGAATGTGATCGTCGTTTTTTACACCCGTTAAGATACGAGCATATTTCATGAGGGCATCGGGTTCATCAAGTGGACCAATGGTAAACACAGCAGGAAGCTCGACTGTAGTTATCAAGACATGCAAGACTCTGTTATTCAAAGTAGCGTACTGAATGGATGGATGAATCAATGATCCAAGAAAAGCGAAAACCTACACTCGAGCTTTTCAGCAGTCATGGCATGCAGAGAAAGAGTATAATTGATGGGTGTGATGGTGAATTTACGACAAATCTGGCCAGGCCATACAAATGCTAATTATTGATTCAGGCGCATAGTATGGTATATATATATTAGTTATTGAAGTATGGTTTTAGCAGAATAGAATTGACCAATGTAAAATAAGGGAGTCTAGTAATGTATGGTCAGCACGACTAATAGCATGGATGCATTAATGAAATGAAGCAGCGATAGCCCTAAATTCCAACAAAACCGAATGCTCATCCAGTTGAAAGCCCATCTAAACAGTGAATAAGGTTAAAGTGCTCAACATACCCTTCTTGGCAACCTTGACATCGACAATATTTGCACCAGTTACCACTAGGTACTGGTTGGCTTCTGCTACCCTAAAAGACATTTTAAAATAGTATCAAAGAATAAGGAAGTTGATTTACAGTTTTGTATTCACGTAAAATGGAACAAAATAAGGATGCTAAAAGTGTATAATAAGCAGCCAATCTCGTGATAATCCACATTTACAGACAATATTATTGTGTGGGTTCTTTGCGAGGTTTCTTGTAGTCAGAATAGAAACAGCATTTTCATTCTCAAAACATGCCATCTTGAGTTGGATTGCAAACGTATTCGAGTGTTTTAGAATACAAGAGTTTGAAAACAGTCGAATCAACACCTGGAATGCAATGGATGAATCCAAGAAATGTACAATAATTATACCAAAAAAGATGATTTCAATTCACAATCATAGTTTATATTACATGATGGATGTTGTAGTTATTGAATAGAAAAGCGTAACAAATGTTTAGCGAGTATCTATTCTGAAGCAATCGTTGCAAGATAAAGTCGCATTTTATGTGAGTACAGCTGTAATTATAGTGAAATTGTCAGTTGCATCGAGAAACTGATGACAGACAGTTTCATACTTTAATTATAGCCAACGCATGTAGTTGTCCAGTAATCAATGATGCGTATCTCAGTAGTATAGTAAGGTTTCATTATTCCAGACTGATTCCAAGAATAATTCTATTTGAGCAGCCTAATCACTATTTGGACATGACAGATTGACTTGGTTGTTATAAGCATTCCAGTTTAATAAATCTTCAAGTTATATGAAACTATTTATCCACAAGTGTTGATGGATTAAATCAGAATCCAGGCTTTACCAGATTCAACCAATTGCTCTTGGCTAATACGCACACATGTTTAGTTTATTCAATGGAGAATATGGTGGTAAAAAGAATATTAATCTAGGTGGTAATAGGAGTGCTGGGAGCAGACAGGACAGAGATGCTCTTTTAAAGGCCACTCAACTGGAACGACAGCAACGGGATATGGAGAGAAGACGGATGAATGCTGCTGTTCAGATACAAGTGGGTTTCACCACTATTTGTGTCATATTGAGTGTATGGTTTGACTTGTTCTCATCTATCTCTCTGCTTGAACTTGTGTAAACAGGCTTTCTACCAGAGTCGTCGAGCCTTTCGTTTAGAATGCAATGCACAACGTGCACTGTTTGATGCTGCCTGGGTGTCAAATGCCAGTAATCCACATCAGAATCCTACAGTTGCTAGCAAGGATGAACACACTGCCAATCAAATCATGACTAGGTCATCTCAGTTGCTATTCTTTTGGAATCTGAGCCGTGATGTTGATCGATTGAATACCTTGATAGCCTGGCTTGTCTCACCATCTAAAAATGGTGAGTTGATATCAAATTCATGTTTGGGAGAAACAGTCTCGATTGGACGGATTTGATGCTAACTGTGATGTGTGTGATGTGTTTAGCATCGCAACTCCCTAACGTGATGGTTCCGTTTCAGCAATATTCAGACCAAGGAAAGCGCTGGAGATTTCTTTTGGCTAAATTGGTAGATCGAATCTTGGAAACACTTTCAAGTCAAAGGTAAGCACATTGCAGTTTTTAGTCGTTTGTGATTTTAGTATTCAATGTGACTAACAAGTCGATCAACTCTATAGAAACGCACCATTGGATGCGACGTTGACTGTATTGGCTGCACGATTATTGCAAATCATTTATTTCGATAAGCAATCTCGGATCCTTACTCTACAGTCTGACGTGACTATTGAGGATGACTCGCTGCACTCTGCATCGAATACAATGTTGACACAGTCAATTCGTCCTGATCTGCCTTCACATGCCTATTTAGACGAGTTGCGATTCTCGATCATACAGCAGGGTCTATTCAAGCAAGCGCGCCTAATCATTCTTGAAAAGGTATAGTCACGCAAGACTGCCATTTTTACTTTTATTTAAAGCATCTCTCAATGTATGCAGCAGACCCTTTCTAATGACTATTCCCATCATGTCAACCCAGGATGCAAACTCTATTGAAATCGTGTCCGCGATGATGATTGCTGCGGTTGATTCATTTAAAGAGACGCCAATGCTGTATAAATATGTTCTTGAGGTGTTTGCCGTTCATATTCTTACTATACCGTTAGTATTTCAAAAAATTCCAGACGATGCATCGAGTCAACTCAAAACAGCTATTCCATTTGAATTCATCACGACTATACTTTTAAATGCGTCCACAAGAAACCCCGACAAAAGTGATACAACATTGTTTGAATCATCCAAAGTTCAACTAAACTTTGAAACTCTATCCGATTCAACAGCACTTGCTGATAATTACCTGCAGCTTTCCGAAAAGTTGTTTGTGTTGGATTCGCCGCTGTCTGGGATTTCAGCTGATACCATAGTATGTGGATTTAAATAGTCTTGGGGTTTAAACATACGAGTCTTTACCTATACTTACGACTATTTATAATTGAATGACAGATGCTGTATGTTGTATGTGCCCGGAAACTTCTTTCTGCATTAGATATCAATCTTTTTCGCCAATTTGACGCAAAAGGTAAGTTTGTCAATTAGGTATTGGTATTGCTAATCTTCAAATCTGGTTTTGAATAAATATACATTTTTAATCACTATTGTTTAGAACGCAAATCAAAGGCTGATGCAGATGCATACGAGGCTGTAACTGTTTCAGAAAATTCACCCAGCTACCTTATGGGCCAGTTAACATCGTTTCTTAGTAACACGAACCGAATAATTAATATTTTAAAAATTTGTCAATCTCCGTCACATTTTTTTGCATCGCTTTCCTATCTTGCCATTGTTCTGGTTCTTTGCTCTAGTACACGTAGTGATATTTTAAAAAGTTTGCAATTTCATCCTGAACTGCAATTGCTGGCACGCATTTGGAGCATGATTCATCAGAACAAAGTGTGGATTGATATTTGTACGCCAAACAGTCAATTGTTTTTGTGTAAGTTTTATATTTTGTAAAAGTCAAGCAGTGCACATTTTCAAATCCATCAAGACTAATTTGCATTTTAGCGACTGTTCCCGAACATGTAGATGTTTTAAACTCGTTTGCTGTGTTTTCAGAACTGATGAGTCAAGAACTGTTGGCTCTTGGTGATGATGAGCTTTTTAATTCTTCGTTTCCACTGTCCCAGCCAGAATTGATTGAACTATGCACATCAGTAAAGGTATTTTTGATTTGATTCATAAAAGGTATATGCTGTAACTATTATTGTTCGGTAAAGTTTGATTTTTAACACTGGTGATTCTAGAACATGTCAATTAAGCTTTGCTGGATGCAATCTTCAGATAACACTGGAATGTTGGGCTGTTTGATGCCTTTGGACTACTTACGCAGTCTTTTTACACGTCTTATGCGACAACTTCATGACAGAGAGTAGGATACATTGGCATGGTATTAGATTGTGAGAAATCACCGTGTTGCTAATCAGAACGTGTTTTATGCATTTGGATAGTGCTCGAAAACTATTTTGTCCTCCAAACCATTGGCTAATGGAAGATCTGACTATTGGGGACGAATTTGTGGATTTGATTTTTGATTCCAACGTCGCTACACCAGTGACTTCGATTGGACCATCTCAGCGATTCATGCGTGCAACTGCGTGCCATTCCATTCTATCCAATATTCCTTTTGTTATACCTTTTCAGCTGCGTGTTCAGATTCTTCGCAAGTGGATTAAAACTGATAGAAAAAGGTAAGAGTTTATAAACTGCGCTTGGGTGCAGTCTGGGATATGACGGAATACTGCTGCATTGCAATTTGAACAATGATTAATTTGGACATATTTTGTTTTAGATATGTTGAAGATCAATATCGTCCATTATCGCGAATCACAATCCGCCGAAGCTCTGTTTTTGAGGATGGATTTGATCATTTGAATTCTCTTGGCTCAGGCCTTAAAGGTCGTGTATCTATTACTTTTATAGATGAACACGGACTCGTAGAAGCTGGCATTGATGGCGGTGGTGTGTTTAAAGAGTTTTTGACAGCCTGCCTTAAACAAGCATTTAATTCCAACTATGGACTTTTTGAAACCACCAAAGACCAGCTGTTGTTTCCATCTTCGTCACTCTATGCTACTCAAGGTATATGATTGAAGTTGCTATATCTTTTATTTGGCTTGTGTTGATTTGGAGTGTCAGTAGCCAACACACACAGTCTTGCAATATTTCTATAGATTCTCAACTTCAATTGATGGAGTTTCTTGGTCGGATTATCGGTAAAGCTCTTTATGACGGTGTTTTGCTAGATTCTGCATTTGCTACATTTTTCCTTGCCAAATGGCTTGGAAAGCGAAGCTACTGTAAGTTGTTCAATATTTGACAGTCCAAGTGATGCGTGCAGTGCGTAACTTGTATACTTGATTTAAAACTCAACCCTGTACATGTGGTTTGCTTTATAATACAGTGGATGATTTGCCCAGCCTTGATACGGAGTTTTACAATGGCTTGCTATTTTTGAAAAAGTATACAGGCGATGTTGAAAAGGATCTGGCACTCAATTTTACTGTTTCTGAAAACGAGTTTGGTGTTCCTAAAATTGTGGAACTGATTCCCAACGGTGCCAACATTTCTGTGACCAAGGAAAATCGAATTCGGTATATTTATCTTGTTGCCAACTATCGGTTGAATACCAAGATAGCCAAACAGTGCCAGGCATTTTTCCATGGTTTGAGTGATTTAATTCATCCGAGCTGGTTAAAACTATTTGACGAGGTGATACCTGTTTAGCTGCCAACTATAGCATACATGTGAATGGTGGACAGTTTTTAACCGTTTTGTTTGAATCACGTTGAATATTACACTATTTAGCAAGAACTACAGGTGTTGCTTGGTGGAAGTGCCGTTCCGATCGATCTTGACGATTTAAGACAAAACACAGTATACAGCGGAGTGTATGATGACAAGCATCCTACCATTGTTATGTTTTGGGAAGTACTGCAAGACTTTGACGAGGATCAACGCCGAAAGCTTGTCAAATATGTTACAAGTTGTTCTCGTCCACCGATTCTTGGATTCTGCGAACTTTATCCACTGTTTTCTATCCGAGACTCCAGCACGGACCAAGCACGATTGCGTAAGTCTATACGCATCTATATCAATCAATTCATTTTACTAATTTGAGAATTGATTTAGCTACTGCCTCAACATGTGTGAATCTCCTCAAGTTACCAAGATATGAATCAAAAGATATATTGCGACAAAAACTAATCTATGCGATTGATTCAGATGCAGGATTCGAGTTATCGTAATAAAAGTGTTATGCATGGCGAATAAATGTATGATTTGATACAACTGAATTGGATTGTCAGACTATTTCCTGAATGCCAGATTCAAATGTGTTTGTACAAGTGATTGGACTTGTGTAAACCAACATGAGCGAATTCAAATAATCGATCTTGATTTTACCCATTAAAGTGTATCTAAAGTCTTGAAGATTCGAGCTGTTATGGCTTCGATGAATAAAACTATAAAAGGGCCATGGGACTCTCAAACAACTTCAACTACACAACCATTGCTATCCAATACACTCAACCCTAGCATTGACACTCCACAGGACAGATTAAGCCATCTTGCTTCCGAGTCCAATTCAGTACAGCAGCAAGTGCCAGGCAACACAGATGAAGATTTTGGTCGAGTCAATACGCATATTCCTGTATGGGTTGGTGTTGTACTGCGGATCTTGATTGTTTTGTTGCGTCCAGCATGGGGACTGGCTATTGCTGGCCGAGTAGAAGTATCAACTCCTGTAACGAGTTTTAAACGATGTAAGATAATAGACTGTGCGGATACAGCGTCCAAGTACTAATCTTTTTCAATACATTTGGATTGATTTGTATTGGGATATGCATGCCATGATCCTATTGTAAATCCTGAATTCTAGTAAACGAATGCATTTATCTGTATACTCATGGTATTCCTCCTTATGATGGCGGTGTCTGTCACCAGGTAAGATCCGTAATGTAATGCTTTTCATGGCATTCAGTTAGACTGCAATCAGATTTATATACACGATGTCAATGGGTTTAATGTGAAGCGACAGTCAGCTAATGTTGATATTCTTTACCAGGCTCCAATTCTGATTGTGTTGTTTCAATATATACCAACTTTGGTTACTCCGTTTATATTCATTTTGGTGGATTTTGTTATTGCTCGACTTTTTGTTCGCATCGCAGAACACAAGAAAACACTTCAACTTGCTGAAGTCTGGCCCAAGGTGGTCAAAGTAGATGATACTGAGCCTATACTGAATCCAAGCGCTGATCAAATAGGAAGAGGTGTTGGTCAAGTCGATGACAAGGCCGAGCAAATGGAATTAGATGCTTGTAAGCAAGATACTCCCTGGCATGATCCAAATGAGCAATTCCACACAATCTGGCCTGATGATCCTACCAAACCTGTCGATGTGCTCATTTTCCCGGAAGATGTTGGCTCATTGTATATGCTCAACCCGTATGCAATTATAACTTGCATTGCGCAGTCAACACAGCTGTTTAGCACATTGGTGGTTGTCGCCGCGATTCATTTTGCAATACGTGGCAAGCTGGGATTGACTGTGTTTTTATTAGCCACTGGTGCATACTTATCAGTGTATCCTGCGGTATTTTTCCCATTATGTATGCTGCTCTTGGCAACAAGTATTAAAACATCGGTGTCTCGTGTAGCTTTTCGCGGGTTGGTTTTGTTTTTCATATCGTTAGGAGTGCTGTTGTATGCTTCATTTTTGATGCTTAATGATTGGAAATTTTTAGAATCTACTTATGGCACAATGTATGTTGAGCATGTCTATTGTTTGAGATTTAGTCTACCCACTCTTTTTTGAGCAAACACATACTAACATATCTACAACCCATTTTTGGTCAACAGCGTGTTTGTCACAGATCTGACACCCAATCTTGGATTGTTTTGGTACTTTTTTATCGAAGTATTTGATCAATTTCGGACGTTTTTCCTTGCCGTGTTTCATATTACGGCCATTATTTTCATAATGCCAGTGACTTTGCGACTGAGGTATTGTTGGACTTTGTAGGGGTAAATGTGATTTACATGTATCATTAGTGTATTCTAACATAATTTGGATCTGCTTTTAAATACTCTACACCTTGATGGATGCTCAGGAAACATCCTTTATTCGTAGCTTTCATGCTTGCAGGATTTTCAGCTCTGTTTAAATCATATCCATCTATAGCCGATTCGTCACTTTTCATCTCACTCTCTGCGCTTTATCCAGAAGTCTTCAAATACGCGCGAAACACATTTTTTGCTGTCAATGCTCTTCTTTATGCGTCAGTCCTAGGCCCACTGTTTTTCAATCTGTGGATCTACTCTGGTGCAGGCAATGCCAACTTTTTCTATGCCATCACGCTAGTCTTTGCACTAGCACAGGTGATGTACCTTGTGGATTTCTCATTTGCAATGCTGAGACGAGAATGGGAAAAAATGAATCCAGGATGGAGACGAATGCGACTAGAAATTGCACAAATTTGAAACTGGAAATAAACATGGTTTTATGTTTAGGTATATCAATACAACACTATATATTACATTGACTGTATTTCCATATTGGAGTGTCATACTAGATGTTGCGATTCTAAACTTGAATGCATTGTGGATTCCAGTCAGTTTCATTCTTATAGCTTGGGTCAAAAAAGTATACAGTTTGTCGAGTGATGAACATTTTGCAATGCATGTATCGTATAGTAAATTTACAAAAGAATAGAAATAATGATCAAGTATATTGATGGTCCGCACCAGTCCAAAAAACAGTCAGCAGATCTTAATAGCCAAAACAAGAATATTCAATGACGTGGATTCAAATAATCCAAAGGAATTTTCTCGTCGTACAGTAATGTGCCGTGCTTCAGTTTCCGCACTTACAACCCTAGTTTGTCCCTTGATGCAATCAGAAAGCGTGCGTGATGAATCGGGTAACAGTAAGAAATCCATTTCAGATGATTCGTTCAAATAATCTGTTTTTAGGGTCAAGAATTCTGGCATGGCATTGGGATCGTCAGTGTGGGTATTGCTGACAATAGCTTCACGATCGATTCCCGATGGCAGAATATAGATTCGGACGCTTTTATGGCCAAGAACAGCATGGTGGGTAATGACTGACTGAATGCGATCCGTCACAAATGCACTTATACGCTGATGCATGGATTGATTGGTAGTTGATTGGATACCAAAGGTTGAAGAACAAGCAGTATCAATAGAAGAGTATGTTGGCGGGTCATCCCGACTGCCAAATAAAGTGCCTTTAGTTGATGGAGGGTCTGGAATAGATGCAGCACCATCATTGCCACTCAATCTAGTAAGACTAGTATAAGAAGTTGAAGGAGGTGAGCTGGTCACACTGCTAGACTGTTGCAGTTGGTTCAAGGTCATTCCTTGCTGATTACCCAAAAGAATGTCAGCATCATTGAAAGGAATACGCAGATCGACTAGCTGTAACTTGAAGACATCCAAAGACACATTACGAGGAATTAGCACTCGTTTGTATCTGAGATAATCCAGTACACATAAAAAGGCCAATGGATTGTGGTCTAAATATATCTCATGTTTGTTGCGAAGCTGTGGACTTGACGAAACTGTTGACAGCATAGTGAGAGAAAGCGATGAGGATTTGTGGGAAAGCTCATACAGTTTGCTGTGAGGATATTCTTCAAGAGTTTTGTAGCTAATAGAGAGACAAATTCCTCCTACATTGAAGGTTACATACGAGTTCATTGGAATATTACAGTCGTACATGAAATGAAATACTAAAACCCAAAACAGTCAACTTTGAAATAATAATTCACATTGAATCTACTGAACATTGTGTTCTTTAAACTCCCCAAAAGAGTTGCACATTCCCTGACTTGACATGGTTTGCCAACCACTCGACAAACAGCAATTCGCGAGGCATAAAACTACAGATTCACTGATTAAAAGACTGCAGAAGAATTATATTTGTGACTGGTGAAATTTCAAGCCATTTCGATAATTGTCCAATTTCACAATTTAGTCAAGTTGACTTTGAATTCATCAAGACTTTAGTATGGATGACAAACCACACCGCACATCAAGGCAGGTTAAATCATATACTTTGTCTATATTTTACTATGATTTCAATCGCATTTAGATTCTATTTTTTGCATTCTAACTGTCGTAGTTTTCAATTTAAATCTAGATACGATGCATCTGCCCAGACAAACTGCATCGAGTGCTGTCCGTTTGAGACTGCCCATGATTTGATCCTTTTTGGTAAAGCAATATAATACTCCAAGACATTGAGTATCTGCTGCATTGTGTTGTTTTGGCTGGTATGGAGCATTGCATTGATCTTGATGATTTTGTATACAGCAACGGAATCTACTATCGAAGTGTTGCGAGTTTCCCCTGATAACAGCCATTCCAACCAGTATGTATATACTATTTTTAATCCTTGTGCATGGATCAAAATTGTAGAATTATTTTGGAAAATTAACAAATGTATTGGTAAAACCATTAGCCCAGTGTTTACTGAGATTCAGAAATTCCCAATTGGATCTAATGTCACTTGTCTTGGATGGTCAAAACACTCTCTTTCTAGGCTCTTGGATGATGGATATGAGACCAAAATTGTGTAAGGCTATAGTGACATGTATTTTATTCACAGCCTTGAATGGACATAAGCCGTAGTTTTACCCATGCATTCCAACTATAAACTTGCACAACAAACTAATTGCTTTTTCATTTCTAAACGTAAAAGGTTTGCAGCTTCATTTGAAGATCGGTCTATTTTGCTTTATGCTAGTGGCTATAGTCCCGTAGATGTATGTCGAGCACCACAGATGCGCCATCAAAATACCATTAATGCAATCGCATTTGATAAAGCCAATGGCCATTTTATTGCAAGTGTTGGAGGTAAATCTTGTCATAAATCATCACTATATGCCATATTTATTGTTGATTGTAGCACCAATACAAGGTTGTTTGAATAGATGACAATACTTGCCGAATCTGGACGATTGCAGATCTCTCGGCAGAGGAAAGCGACACGTACCCAATCGTCATGCAATTGAAATCACGGGGAGTATCAGTTTGCACTCATGAAAAAGTCGCCAACCAAGTTTTAGTGGGAGAAGCAAGCGGTGCAATTCGTATTCTAAATATTGAATCCCAAACTTGGATGTTTTCAGTGTTTCATCCAGATAGATCCATTCCAGAGCCATTGTTGAGATGTGTTGACTGGAATCCTTTGGATCCGAACATGTACGTAATGTGTTGCTGATTATTTTTACTGAAAAATCTTGCGTATTTATCAATGTGCTTTTGATGTTTAGACTTGGTGCAGCAATTGGCAAAAAATGGCATGTGTGGAGTTTAAAGGGTGAAAAATCAATCCATTTGCCTGAACACAGTGGCGATGCACATATCGAGATTGCCCATCGCTTCAAGTATGCTACAGTATGTGTCTTTGTAGAGAATTATCCATTAACCAACACATGTCTTTTAGGTGGTGCCTGTCCGATCCTAAAATGTTCTTGACCAGCACGAATTCTCCCGAAGCGTCCAACACTCAGCGTGTTGCAATCAAAGTGTTTTCCAATGTGTATACTCAAAGTAAGTATACAGGCTTTACCTTGAATGTCTGACAATGTACGTCGAATTATCAACACTAACTTTTATGCCTAGTACCAAACACCATCACGCTTCTATCAAAGAGTCGATTAACAAGTGTTGGCTGGCTTGCTTCGTCAAAAAATATTGTGGGAACGGTTGGAAAGCAAATTGTTTTGTGGTATGTTGAATAAAAGAAATCGGGCCATTCAATTGGACATGTTGTTATAGATTGATGCTAGAATTGGATAAAAGTGATGTTGAACCATATCACGTGATAATAGGGTTTTGTAATTCAAAACTAGAAAATTAAATTTTCGTTTTTTCAAACAGTAAATCCAATGTCATTGACCAAAGACCAAGACGGGATCGATGCAGCAACCAAACCAAGTAAATCAAAAACCTCAAAGCAATCAGAAACCAACATTAGTTCAGTACTTATTGATACTTCACATGAGGGATTCTCCAGCATGGACCTTGACCCACGCATTCAGCGAGCAGTTGCCAAGCTTGGATTTGTTCAACCTACACTAGTGCAAGCTAAAGCCATCCCATTGGCATTAGAAGGAAAAGATATTCTTGCTCGTGCAAGAACAGGTTCTGGAAAGACTGCAGCATACTGCATACCTATTATTCAAAAGATCTTGACTTTCAAGGTATTTTACTTTTTCAAATGTTGAAAATCAAATTCTGCTTCAAATGCCATAAATATTTTTGTCGGATTGTTGTATATTGAATTCAATGGTTTGGGGTTTTATAGACCAATAATGCATCTGCCCCACCAGCCATTCGCGCACTTATCTTGGTGCCTACTCGCGAGTTGGCTGAGCAAGTTCATCGCCATATCCAACAGCTTACCATGTATGCTACAAAGGAAGTTCGATCAGTCAATATTTCTACTGGAGATGTATCCGTTGCAGGTCAAAGGTACTATCGATTGTTTACAGCCTATACCAGCAAATGCTTTGTATACATTCTCACTAGAGTATAGGCTAAAATTGGTAATCTATTCATTATGCATTGTCTAACTTGATGCATACAATGCACAATTTGGTCATGATTAGATCAATCCTGGCAGAAACTCCGGATATTATTGTAGCCACGCCAGCAAAAATCATGGCACATATCCGCGAAAACAACCTTGAATTGAAGGAAACAGTCGAGTCTATGGTTATTGATGAGGCAGATTTGATTCTATCGTATGGTCACGATGAAGATGTCAAGAAATTGCTGTTACATCTGCCTCGGATTTTACAAAGCTATCTAATGAGCGCAACTCTTTCTACAGTAAGTCATGACACTCGTGTATAGTTTAAATTCTGCATTGGAGAATGCATTTCTATACAGACGCTCATACTTTGCGTATTTTTGAAATTAAACCTGTGTGTTTTGGTTTTAGGATGTCGAGGAGCTGAGACAGCTCGTTTTGCGGAATCCTGTAATTTTAAAACTAGAGGAGTCTGCTGAAGAACTGAGCATGCTGACCCAATACGTTATTCAGTAAGCATTGGTATGAAATTTCCAAATACAACAAAATGCTGCGTAAACTAATTTATTTTAATGCAATCACTACTATTTCTAAACTCAAGATGTGAAGAAAAAGAAAAGTTTTTGCTCACTTTTTTTATTTTCAAGCTTCATGTGCATCCGTTTGGATCTGGCAAAGCGATTGTATTTGTCAACACCATTGATCGATGCTACAAGCTCAAGATTTTTTTAGAATCGTTTGGGATAAAAAGTTGTGCACTCAATTCCGAACTGCCCCTCAAAAGCCGATTCCATATTGTTCAGGAATTCAACAAGGGTGTTTATGACATTATCATTGCCACGGATGAAAACAGTGGTTTATTTGATGCTGAAGATCGTGCGGACCTTGAGACAGAGGAAGCAAAAGCAAACATGACAGTTGATGACAAAGGCAAAACGGCATCTAAAACCAACAATAAATCCAAGCGGGAATCTAATCACGAATACGGTGTTTCTAGAGGAATTGATTTTGTAAATGTCCAAGCAGTCATCAACTTTGATCTTCCTCGATCATCTCGAGCATACCAGCACCGAGTTGGAAGAACTGCCCGCGGTGTACACAACAAAGGATATGCTCTTAGTTTTGTGACAAATAGCTCAGAGCATACTGTTGTGCATTCAAGTCGCAAAAAGCAGCGTGCAGCAGCCGAACAGCAATCCAGTAAAATCAAGCAAATGACAGACGCCGAGTTACTCCCACGTATTGAAAAGCGACAAGCAGGTATGAATAATCCAAGTATTTTGAAACTATTACGACTCTTGGAATACGATGAATCCATACTCACACTATGTGTGGTGATTTAGCTATGGGTCGTGAGATTTTGCCTTTTGCCTTTGATATGACCCAAGTAGAAGGGTTTCGATATCGTGTAGATGACGTATTAGGATTGATTACCAAGAATGCCATCAAAGAAGCACGACTAAAAGAAATCAAGGCCGAGATTTTGAATTCCGAAAAACTCAAGACACATTTTGAAAACAATCCGCAAGATTTTCAAGCTCTTCGCCATGACCGAACCACTCATTCAGTTCGTGCTGAAAATCATTTGCGTCATGTTCCAAACTACTTGCTGCCAAAGGGAAAAGTAGGAGTGGCATCTGGTGCTTCAACTGGATTTGTACCGTTTCGTGTCAACAAGAAACGGAAGATGCAAAAAGGTAGAGGGAAACCCAGCTCTAATGCCTCGAAACAAAGAGCAGATCCACTCAAGTCGTTCAAATACACTGCTACTTGATGATTTGTGTGTTTGGTAACCTTTGAGTTTCCTGTTGAGGATAAAGAATCAAACTGAGCAAGAAAAGCTTATTTTGAATAAATGAACAAAACATAATTGGCTTGAATTGCAGTGAATTTCTAACGTGATGATTGAATGCAATCCATTCGAACCAATACAACAGTTTTCAGTTCAAAAGTCGGCCAGCATAATTCCTGAGGGTCGTGTTATTGGGTTCAATTGTTTTGATGGTCGAATGCAAGACTTGCTGTTATCAGTCATGAACGCATTGGACAGTCTTACTGATGAGCAAAAGCAAACTCTTCTCAACTACCAAGTGAGTGCAATGTTGCATTCTTTCCTATTTGTGTCGTAGCGTACATTTTATTCTAACTTGGACGCAACGTCTGATATGCATATTGACTTGAACCATCTCGGATCCACTTACTACTTAGACAATCACTGGAGTTGAAGACCTTGAAACTGCCATACACACTCTAGATGAGAATAGATGGAATATGTCGGTAATAATATGATTATTGCTTGGCTTTGTGTTTGCCTGTTGGTTTAAATTGCAGAGCTTTCCTATTGATATCAAGTCTACAAATCCCGATCAATGCAAACTTATTATTGGACTGTTTATCCATGCAGGCTGCTGTTGAGCAATTCTACAGTGCAGGCCATTCATCTCGTGTCTTGAATCATGGCATGGATCAAGTCGACAATTTCGAAGATAAGAATCAACAGTTTATTGATTTACAAAATAATGCACCTCTGCTTCCAACAGCATCTTCTGTTGCCGTTGCACTAGATGAGCCTCAGCGATTGCGAAATAATGTTCAAAGACCAGTTGAGTTTATCACTTTGTCATGTCTTCATAATGAATGCGATATTCAAGCAGATTCGGTTCATTGTCCATGACTAACTGTTGATGCCTTGTTTTTGATTTTTATTGGTGCTACTTGTAGACTCCAACATTGACTGCATTGTTTACTACACCCTTTCAATGGGGATTCAAGTTTTTTTGGGCTATACTCTCTTATACTCGTAAGATTGTCGATGGTACTACCGCTTAAATCACTGCTTGTTGCCATGATTTCTACTTTTTACATTGGATATTCACTGATTGCATAGTATAATCATCGTGTACTAACCATGTGTTGGACCATTGTTGGCAATGCTTGCCATTTTTTAAATCAGTGGGTCTTTTTCAATTTCTTGGACTTGGAGTAAGTGGTCGTCGTAGAACTGTGGGTGGCTCTGGAATGCAGCGCAACAGATCCTCTACTGAACGATCTACAGCCGAGTGTGCATCTGTACGGTTTAAAGAAGATTTTGAATCTCAATACGGTTCCAAACATCCGCCATTTTTTGTTGGAACTTACACCCAGGTGAGCCTTTATGTTTCTATTCCATGCATACCTGATTCCTAAACATTTTGTTCATGCTGACGTTGGTATTTATGGGCATTGCATTATAAAACAGGCACTCAATACTGCCAAAAGTGAGATTCGCTATGCATTGGTCATTCTACAATCTGATGAGCATGATGATACAGATAAATTTAGTCGGTAAGTGGGGCAGCATCGTTGCACTCCTAGTATTTCTCTACTGAATATGTTTGCCGAAATTGATACTATCCAGACACTTGTAATCTTGAGTGATTCATTTTTGAGACTACAATGGCTTTGCCTTTTAACACTGCCTATTCGATTGGTATCTTTAGCGAAACAATTTCTTCAGACACCTTTATCAGTTTTGTATCAGAGAAAAATCTGCTTGTTTGGGGTGGAAACATTCATGATGCCGAGGCATTTAAAGGTGGGGTTTGATTCCGAATGTGTTGGATAGATGACAGCACACTCTATGTTGAAACTAACCATGATTCATGGATTATTGCTATTTTTAGTGAGTGCAGTATTGAATGCAACGTCTTATCCGTTTATGGCATTGATAACCTTGCAAGGATCGCGCATGGCAGTTGCGCATCGATTTGAAGGACTCATGTCTACAGGTCGCATCATATCTAAACTCCGACGATTGATTGATCGATTTGATCCACTACTTGCCGGTGCACGTGCTGACCGGTAAGATTTGGCTACGATTCAATAGATGTGATTCAAACTGGTATGTCTTGTCAATGTCAACAGAATGCTGTGTTGTAACCTGATTGTATATTAATATAGAGCAAGTCATGCTGCAGCGAGAAGTATCCGACAACAACAAGACGATGCCTATCAAGCCTCATTATTGGCTGATCAAGAAAAGGTAACATTACGGTTGTTTTTATAACCCGACTATTCTGTAATACTTTAGATTGGCTTGTGACTGAGTATTTTTGTTGACCTTTTACCCTATTTGATATTGAATTTTGGGTCTATAGGCACGCAAAGCAAAAGAGGAAGAAGAGCAAGCCAAGAAAGCATTACTTGAACAAGAGCAACAAAGAATAGCAGGGTTGACGAAATTAGAGGTAAAATGGTGAACATGATGCAGTTGAATATTTTTTATTAAACTGAAAGCATTATATACCGATATCATTAGCGACGGAAACAACTGAAAATTGAGTTGGCAGCTAATATGCCGGTTGAACCTGATGTGGGCGAGCCCAACACCACACGATTGAGTATTCGTCTTCCCAGTGGTGAACGGGTGATTCGCAGATTCAAAGCGGATGATACCATTCAGGTGATTTGATTCAAACTGTTGTCATGTCCTATACTTGATGTGACATTTATATTCTTTGAAACCATGCTCATTATGGGTTTATTGCTGTATCTACTTGACAGATTCTCTGGAACTTTATTGAAACGCACGATCTGAAACCATTAGATCTTGAGACCGAGTTTTCAATCGTGTGTCCATTTCCTCGACGAGTGTATCGCAACATGGACATGACAATGGAACAGGCAGGATTAGTTCCAAGCGCAAGCGTAGTGGTTGAGGAAATGTTTGATGATGGACTCTAACACCAACTAAATAAATTAAGCTTTCTTTCAGATTTGATGCGATTCATTCAATCAAAAAAAGAAGCCAAAATGAGCAAATAAAATAAAGCACAACTGCTAGAATGGCAACACTGGACAAGGATCATTCATGAGTGTATAGCATGGACCCACCAAACCCAATTGTGACCACACATCTCTCGAGTCCAAGGCACGCAATAAATCAGTGGAAGATCTGGGCAGTCCACGAACACCTCTTTCTTCCATCAATTCCTTGACCCATATAGCAGGGTTATTCTCATCTGCCACTGGATTACAAGATTGTTTTTGAATACTCCATGCCAAGACAACTTGCCACCAATCATACACATTCAGATCTGTCACAATCCAACGTTCTCCAGAACTGAATGGACGAGAAATCAAGGCTAGAACAATTCTAGCAACATCCATGCCGTGTACTAGATGTAATGATGTTTTGCTAGCCAAGGCAAGTTTGGTGGGTGCGATGAGGTTGACCCAGTTGCGTGGATGTCGCTTATCTCCCCATAACCCAGCTAGGTTGAGAACGACCCCTTTAGACTGTAAAACGGTTTGCTCGGCTTGAAGTCTTGCATCGGACTCGATATCTATGGGGGAATGTCGATCCAGCCATACATTAGACCCTGGTTTTTGATCCAATACGGAAACATCAGTTTTCCATGCACTTGTAGATCCAAGTAGAATCAAGTTGGGAGATGGATGCAATGGATGAGTATGAGCATAAAGCATAGAAAAGACAGTTGGTACATGAGATCCCATCATTGGAAACGTAATCAACACTGTCAATGCAGTTGGTAAATTGTAGTATTGATCGGTACTAGAACGGTCATCTTGCGTTGATGGAAGAGTAGCTAATGGATCAAACTTGAAAGGAATGGTGTCATCACGACCAGTGGTAGTTGTGGATGCAACAGGAATACTTGAGCTAGTGCAGAGATCCACAACGTAACTACCAATAAATCCCTTTCCTAGCACGAGCAGAGGAATATGCGAAGTAGAGTCGAATGCGTTGTTTAGTGACATGAATTCAATTGCTGAAATCGATTCAATTCGATTGTTGGTTTTGTAAAATTTCTTTTTTTTCCAACTTTGAATTCAATTCAATTCATGACTGAAACTATAGGACTCAAGCGCAAGGCATCGCAAGATGACTTGAAGTCTCTTGCTGAAGGAGAGTCTAACAAGTCAATCAAAACTGTGGAATCCATCAACAGCGACTTACATTCCTCAGAAGACACTCGTAACAAAGGCATGCTGCGTGTCAAGCCTGAATACAGACTTTTATCCAGCTCTAAAGACACTCAGAACAGCAATTACGACGATGATGGTGCAGAAGCTGCTGGTGTTGCTCATACCTCTGGATCTTCAAAGCACAAAAATCGTGGACAGAACAAACCCAAAGACCGTAAGCAAATCGTTCAACATGATAGTATTCGTCTTTGCAATAAATTTGCTACAGGCGAACAATGCAATCTTGGATCCAACTGCAAGTATTCTCATGACATTCAGGCATATCTTGCTGAAAAAGAGCTGGATCTTGGTCCTGTTTGTCCTCAATTCGCATTACTGGGTGAATGCAAGTTTGGTATCAAGTGTCGGTTTTCCAAGGCGCATACTGATGCAGAGGGAAATCAGATGGTTGCAGAAAAGAAATTGAATGAAGACCAGTTCATCAAGAACTGCTCTACCAAAAGCATAATTCAAGATATTAAGCAAAAAAATATAGATTGCACTCGCTCAAAAGAGTTTATTCAATGGTGGTCTGCAGAGGAGATTAAGCTGCAGCAGCGACTTAATGAATTAAAGAAACGCAAGGAGGAACCTCGTGTTGATCAGGATGGCGTTGCTGAACCAGTTACTGAACCAGTTACTGAACCAGTTGATGTACCAGTTGCTGAACCAGTTACTGAACCAGTTGCTGAACCAGTTACTGAACCAGTTACTGACAATCAAATCAATATCGAATCTACACCCGCGACCCAAACCAACTCGACAACTCATAAAGAGAAACTGGAACGGATTGAGGCGGGAGCAGAAGCAACTTTAATTCCATTGCGACCCAACGAAAAAAAAAAGATTGATTTTCGTGGCAAATCGTATCTCGCTCCATTGACTACTGTAGGCAATATTCCCTTTCGTCGTGTATGTAAATCATATGGCGTTGACATCACTTGCAGTGAAATGGCCATTGCACGACAATTGCTGCGTGGAAGTCCACAAGAATGGGCTCTTACTCGGCGACATGCTAGTGAAGATATGTTTGGTATTCAGTTGGCATCCAACGATCCAACACAGTTTACACAAACCGTCGAGATACTGTCGCAAAAAGTAGATTGTGACTTTATTGATCTCAACATGGGCTGTCCGATTGATACCATGACCAAAAGCGGCAATGGCAGTGCATTACTCGAACGGAAAAACAAAGTGCGTGGTATGCTACTTGGAGCTGTCCATGTTTCTTCTGTGCCCATCACCATCAAGATGCGGATAGGTTTATCCAACAAAAAAAAGATTGGCCATAAAATCATCCCGCTTGCAAGAGATTGTGGGGTTGCGGCTATTACGGTTCATGGACGGAGTAAAGAACAGCGGTATACTAAACTTTCTGATTGGGATTACACGATGGAATGTGCTAAAATGACCAAGATGACATGGCATTCTCCTGATGCTTCGACCGTCACACCAGATTGGGTTACTGAACCACCTGCCTTTTTCGGTAATGGAGATGTGTTTTCTCCCCAAGAGTACTGGGATCATGTAGATCATTCGACCGACTCGGAGTTGCCATTGGCAGGAATTATGGTGGGTCGTGGTGCTCTATCCAAACCATGGATATTCAAGGAAATCAAAGAACGTAAACTATGGGATATTTCTTCAGGTGAGCGTTTGGATATGCTCAAAGACTTTACCAAGTTTGGTTTGGAGTGTTGGGGATCGGACACTATGGGTGTCAACACAACTCGCAAGTTTATGTGCGAGTGGTTATCGTTCTTGTACCGATATGTGCCTGTAGGTATCCTTGAAGTCCTACCTCAGCGTGTCAATGAGCGACCAGAACAGTTTGTTGGGAGAAATGATCTTGAAACGCTGATGGCAAGCGACAATTCCAAAGATTGGATCAAGATTACTGAAATGCTATTGGGTCCTGCTCCAGAGTCTTTCCAGTTTATCCCAAAGTAAGTTGCAATTCAAACCATGTCCTGTAGATCTGACGATAAACATCTGAACCTTACTAATCAATCTGTTTATACTCTAGACACAAATCCAACTCTTATACTCCTCAAGGCTAACCATCTCATGCTTGCACAACGGTTGTAGAATGTGAATTGACCCCATATTCAAATAGGTTTTAAATTACATATTGGAAAAAGCTGTTTCAAATATATTCATAACAATGATTTCAATAAACTCGAATCAAAAGTAGATGTCAAGTGAAGATAGACAGGATCAAAATCAGGGCAGCAATGGATATAAAAAACAAGCGGGCCAGACTTAGGCAGTGGCTTGAAGAAGCTGAGGCATGTCAGTAAGTGCAGGGCTAGGCATTTGAATATCTTCGAGAGTAACCAACTGCTCAGCACGCTGTCCAGTACCAACACCAGCGTTTCCTCCCATTTTAGCCCAGTCGCTAACATACTTGAGACCGCGTTCTTCCCAGATCCTGGAAAGGACACCTACCAAGACATCCGTATGCTCCTTGGTATGACCTGGAGTAGGAGTGATACGAAGACGTTCCTCTCCTTTAGAAACAGTGGGGAAGTTGATACTTTGCACATAAATCTGGTGCTTGTAAAGCAGCTCGTCCGAAACAGACTTGGCAGTCTAGAAATCAGTGGTGTTAGAAATGTATTTATAGATGTAGACAAATAAGCCGAATTTAAACTCACCTCGGCATCGCCAATAAGAACAGGAACTATGTGACTTGGGTTAGGAATAACAGGGATACCAAGCTCGTCAAGACGACCTTTGAGGTCGCGAGTGTGGTGTTGTTGGGCAAAACGTTCAGCTTGAGAAGCCTTGAGATAGCGAATTGAAGTCAGAGCACCCGATACAACGGCAGGTGGCAAGGATGTGGTGAAAATAAATCCAGGAGCATATGAACGGATCATGTCAATGAGTCCGGAAGAAGCAGCAATGTATCCACCAACAACGCCAAAAGCTTTACCAAGAGTGCCAGTAATGATATCAATCTCATCCATGACATTGATGTATTCGGCAACACCAGCACCAGTGCGACCATACATACCAACAGCGTGTACTTCGTCAAGGAATGTAATGGCATTGTATTTTCGAGCAAGAGCAGCAATCTCCTTGATGGGACCAATGGATCCGCACATGGAGTAGACCGACTCGAACGCAATAATTTTGGGTGCATTAATATCTACTTTTTGAAGTAAAGACTCGAGATGTGACACATCATTGTGTTTAAAGATCATTTTTTTAGCACCCGAGTTACGAATGCCTTGAATCATGGAAGCGTGGTTGGAGGCATCAGAGAAGATGACACAGCCAGGCATTTTGCTAGCGAGAGTAGAGAGTGTGGCATCATTAGCTACAAAACAGGAAGAAAAGACAAGGGCGGCCGGTTTTTCGTGTAAACTAGCAAGCTCTCGTTCCAAACTTAAATGCAATTGAGCATTGCCGGCAATGTTACGAGTACCACCGGCACCAGCACCGTACATGTCCAACGTTGATTTCATGTTTTCAGTAACAAGAGGATGCTTGGACATGCCAAGATAATCGTTGGAACACCAGACAGTGACATGTTCACCTGTGCCAGTATGGGCGGTAGGGAACAGTTGGGCTAATCGGTTAATGTTGTTAAAATAGCGATAGCTCTTGTCCTTGTGTTTCTTATCCAGCTCGTTACGATAGAATTCCTCATAATTAAACGGAGCACTACCAGTGCAGGTTGCAGCAGACGGGGTATCAGACTTTTTGGCTGGAGCTGTGAACAGAACCAATACGATGTGGGGTGCATGAGTAAGGCGGCATTTGAATGACGAAAAGTGATGCAAAACCGCCGCAAACAAGCCCGGAGAATTAGATCACGTTGAAAGCAAACACATGAACAAGTCGGCAAAAATAAACGATAATGCAAATGGTTAGCAATCCATTATCAAGCCAAACAGTGACGCACTGACAACACCAAACTAGAAAATCAAAATCCCAAAGGGAGTCTTGCTTATGCAAGGCGTAGAAATCAATTCAAAGTTGGAATGACAGGAAACTAGTCATCATTGAAGCCATGTTTCTCAATAGAACAAGTCAAAGATAAGATAGATATCGTTGATGGGGGGAAATAGCTGGTAAACACTTGGCATCAAAAGGAATAGTTATACAGGTCAGGACACTGACCTTGATGAGAGCCACCATGGGGCAAAGAAGCATGACGTCCATTGACAAACGAAGGGACCTGGCCAACAGCAGCAGGGGGACGAGAGGTTCCAGCAGGACCCACCATTGAGATAGAATCAACAGCTGATGCAAACGGACACATGGCAGAGGTGGAAATGCCATTGCGACAAGACTGAACAGCAAGCGCAGTGCCCATAACAGGACATTTCTGAGCAGTTGCTAGAAGAGCAGAAGATGATGAGCCTGACAAAGAGCTAGGCATGGTAGACAGCCTGCGTAGTTGAGTAACAGGAGTCTTGGATAGGAAAGGACATGCACGAGAGACTGACGAAAGAAGTGATTCCATTTGAAGTTGAAAGTTGGAAAAAGTTGAGAGCATTCCTCAAATCCATAAAATGAAATTGTTTATTATCGAGCATTCTAAGCCATCAGAATACCGTCATCGCCAACTTCAAGTTTCTCCGTTGATAAAATCAGGTGTTCACTTGGCCATATAAGCCCAACAGGGTCTAATCTTCATCTTCCACTTCTACCTTGACCTTCTTGACTACCGGTCGGGTCAGAGTCGCCTTTTTATTCTCCGTGCCCTCGGCTGTTTCTCCATGTCCAACCATCACGACGCTCTTTAAAATCCTGTCCGTGTTTTGCAAATGAACTCGCTGATCTTCTGCCTCTTCTGGTACCATCTTTTTGGCCAATTCAACCGCAAGAGTGTATGCTTGCGCATACGTTTTGAGTTGGAGGATATGTGTTTGAGTTGCCTGTTTTAATATCAAGCAATTTGAAACAGCTTCCGTCGGATGTTTCTCCAATACCTCAACCGAGACGAGATTCGTAAGATTAAATTCAGTCGTTTGATCATCCGTCCCACTTACGCAAAGAAGTAGATTGAGTCCATCTAAAATCAGTGTGACATTCACCGCTGCCCATGTGGGAACAATATGTGACGTACATTGAAGAAACCCTTCTCGCATATGGAGTGTACCATTGATACTTTCAAAACACGTTTGTGCAGTCACTCCGGGCTCTTTGGCTTCTTCCCTAAATGTAATTCGAAATTGATCTCGTTTACGGCCTCGTACTCCTCTTGCTGCTGGCTGTACCGTGCTCTGTGTTCCACTCACTACACCCGATGTAGATCCTCCCCCCTCTTTACTAGATCCGTAACCTGAAATCCCTGATAGATTCTTGGCTACATACCCTGTCACGGCTCCAAAGAGCGGTGCTCCTACCAAAAAACCATAAATGGTTACCAAATCAAATAAAACTAGAATCGACTCTACAAAAAACTCGGTTGCAATGGTCGATATCCCCGAAAATCCTCCAACCATCACTACCAACACGAGCAGTGTAGAAATGTACACAACATATCCAAGTCGACGTGCGTTTCCCATTGCCGAGGGTGCGTTTCGAATCCAAAACGAAAACATAATGTTGGCTAGCAAGAGAACAATGTTGAATGCAATCGTGAGCCATATTAAACTGTTGGTTAAAAAGGCTCCGTTTTTGACGGGAATGCATGTGTACATGTTTTTGTTGTGTTGGTCATCATAGATAAAGCTACTGATCAACGGTGCCTTTACTGTATATCCAATTAGAATCGATATGTTGACAATGGACACGGCTGCAACAAGAATGTATAGTCTGAAAGAGTTGAATAAAAGACTGGGAAGCTTATACAACTCGATATTGTCATACACGTAATATATGTGGTGAGTTTTGGCTAGAATCGTTACAAAAACAATGCAGAACCCAACCGACAAGGGCCATGGACGCAATAAACAGCCCAGTGGCTTGTATTTGCCTGGAAGTGTCAAGATATTCAACGATGCAATAGCAATGCCAATGGTCAAGAGCAATAAAAAGTTGGGTGAAATACTACGAACATCTGGCGCTCTTCTTTTGATGACAAGAACCACTAGAGTAATACCAAGGAAAATCCAAAAAACGATGTAGATGGCAATAATGGCCTTGGTATCGGGAGTATCCCAAGAAACAAACTCTTCAACCAAAACAGGCTCTTGTGGTGGAATATAACTGGCAGCACTGGTTCCATCGGTCCAAAAGTATTTGGATAAAGCAAGGCTTACATTCGAAGAACCACTGTCTATAACAGTCGACATGTTGATGACACCAACAGAAACTTGAGCTAAACTAGCCGACCATGAAGTACCGTTCCAGAGGTTAACAGTATAAGGAATGCCAGGATCACCCACTGAAGTAAATTGCGATATGCCAGTCAGACACGAGTAGGTTTGTGCTGCTGCAATAATATCTGAAAGACCCACTTTTCCGTATTTCGATCCAGCTGGAGGTGCAAGTGAATTGCCTGCTAAACTCGAAGCGTCTACCACGGCATCCATTGCAAGAGCAGTAGTCATCACACCATCATACCCAGCTAAAATATTGTACGCAGGAATCGTATTGGTTCCTGGGTCGTCATAGAGCGCATTGGGGTAAAAACAGCGACTGGAGGAATTGGTGGTCGTAAAACAGTTGTAGAATGCCGAGTCATTGACCAACGCCGAGTTCTTGTACGTGTTGAAAATAGTATTGAAGCTGTTGAATGCAGCTCCATTCATATTAACATTGTGAGGAGTAGATAGCTGCAACGCACCCTTGAGGATATTCGGAGTAAACTCATTGCCCCAGTAAGCTTGTTGACGAGCAAAGTCGGGTGAAAATAGCGATTGCAATGTGATCCAAACATATCCATTTCCAATCATGCCAAGACGGTTGGCAGCAAGCATGATATCAATCCCATAGCTGGGTCCACCCGCCAAAACAATGATACGTGCCTTGGTGGATCGGATGAATTTGAGAGGACCCAATGTTTGCATATACAAATCATCGTCACTTGAAATGGCAAACGGGACCTTGGCAGCCATGGTAATGTTTTGGTAAATGGCATAGGCAGAAAATGTGTCGGCCAAAGTCGTGCCTTCAGTTCCTTCAACCCATGTCAGCACAACCTGTTTTTGGGAGTTGTGGAAAATAAATTAAGATTCAACCCAAGACTGAAATTTCAAAGCTTAATTGATAACCTACTTGAGTCCAGTTAAATTTTTGAATTAGGGCAATAGCAGGGTAAGCCAAATTTTCTACTGGATTGGTATATCTCCAAAAAGATCCATAGCTATTTAAAGTCGGGATTAAATGGCATAAAATCAAACATGATTAGGCTGCTGCACAGTATTTAAAAAGTCGGCAGCCCAGCATTTGTCAGCATTTAAACCACTTACATGGACTTGTCGCTAAAGCTGGTTGAGTTGGCAGTGGGAGAAAAAGAAAGAATCTAGATGATATAATAAAATCCACCGTATATGACAAGATAAGAATATGAGCAAATGGTTTTGTAAATAAAATTCAATTGCCAACAAGTTTTGACTAAACAGGACGAGGTATTAAAATAGTCTAATAGCTGCACTGGTGACCATCTTGATTTGTCAGCATGTTCACTTTTTGTCACAGGGTCATATCTTAAAATATCAGCATGCACTATACATACCGACTTGTAAGACGAAAATAATGTAGACGCACTAGTCAGCTCGGTACTCAGTGGACCAGCGAATAGTGAGTAGGTTTGCTGTTTTGCGAGAGCAAGAAACTGACGATAAGTGGTACCTGGAACAGTCAAGTTCGCGTCAATTCTATCGGCTGCAAGTGTCACATCGGGCAATAATGTTGGACGATTATTATTGATATCATTGATGGCAAGCATAACGCCTATTCATATATAAATTCATATCATTGGATATATAGAGTTCAAGAGACATGATAGCACTAGGTTATTATACATTGCAGCATAAATTTTGAACATGTCATGAAAACAAAGGTTTGATGAACACGGTTCAACATAATAATCAGCAACTTACCAAAAGCAAGCTGGTCGGACCCAACACTACTGTATGTAGGGTCACCAACAATGAGCGTTCTTAGCGTTGTCAGACTCTTTGGGCCAGGTCGTGTACTAGCATTAACAGGACATCCTGAAAGTGTTAACCAACCTACCACCCATGTAGTGAGGTATCCCGTGTATAGCATTTAACTAGACTATAGTCAACGGAATGTATAGCCGTATCGCGTATTTATTTAGGGAATCTAGTCGAGTTTGCAACAAACAAGAATAAGTAGAAAAAGATAATCGAATGTTTTATAGTGGTGCAATACTTTTAGCATGACTAAATATGTTCAAGATAAAATGAACTGATGACAAAATATAGGTGTTTAACCGAGGTCGTTCATCCACCATTCCCTCAATCATACATATTTTATCCCAAATAGTTTAAAGCGTATACATTCTGTGATAAAAATGTTCAAGCTTTATTCATGACAATATCTGAGAGTAGATGCATTTGTAGTCTACTGATTTAATATTTTAATCTCCTTGACCAAAGCAAAGTGCTTCAAAGTATGAATAATTACGGCCGTATTTACGTAAAATGAAACCATAGAGTCGAAATACACGATAAACAGTCATGTTGGATTGACGCTCATCTTACTGCACAACATTGTGCCCTTTGAACTCATTAGTTTCTTAATGTTCATTCTTGTACAAAATACAGAGCGAATATTCACGTCTCTGTTCCAATACACTCCACATGTTTTCGACCTCCAACTTTCCTTTCTTCCAAACATTTCAAGTAAACATTGCGTGACCAGCATGTAGAGTTGCGTTCGTGAGATATGTTAAACTAGAGCGCGAACGTATCTGATATGAAAAGAGTTTCAATAGCAACGAATATTTAACCATTGTTTATTTCAGAGGAAAATAAAGTCTGCAAGATAACTACAGAAAAGTGTTTCATTTTACGTGAATACGGCTGTAAATCAAAACGACCATGCAAAACCCTCTTTAAAAGACAAATAAATGTATTAACGTGTACAGTCGAACAAAAAATAGAAAAGTCTTATTCGTGTTGTCGAGGCAACAAGGATTGAATAAGACGCTCTTTAAGTGCCTTGAGATCCTCGTTAGATAATGTGTTGTGAGTTTCACCTAGCAAATCTGCCAAAGCTTTGCCATACGTGTCGATGGCAACATTAGCAGCAGAACGATCTCCGCGTGCAAGCGCACTGGAAAGGTTGGAGAATGAGGCTGGAAGTGGGTTTGTCGAATTGGGGTGAGCCTGCCGTAAGGCTGTAGCGGGTTCAGATCCTGATGTGGAAACGTTTGTTGATAGTGGAACTGACATGGTATTGTTTGGGGGTGTTGTGGCAGACATGGCATCAAATCTTTCTGGCAAGTGGCCGAGATGATTCAGAGTAGTACGAGTAGGAATAGTCATGGGCATGGTGGCTTCAGAAGCGCCGTTTGGACTAGTATCTTGGGATGAAGAATCGCCATTGGATGCTCTGTTTGCAGAGTTTGATAAAGTAGAAGGTCCGTCAGTAGCAACATGCGTGAATTCAGAATCGCTTCTGGAAATTGCGGCAATGACAGATTTAGGTTTTCTAGCTAGAGTATGGCTAGCATGAACCGAGGTTGGCGACCCAACCTCCAATTCGGTATTATCCTCAGCCAAGCCAACGACATGGTTGGATGAACTGGTGCCTTCATGATCTATTACTGACGATGAACTCGGTGCAGCGTACATGTTGGATGTCAAGTCGCTGGTACTATTTATTGCAAAGGCATCGCTAGTTGATTCAGACAGCCCATGTATCAGGTGTTGCTCGTGTTCAATAATAATTGAAGCGTCGTCCATTTCTGTAGCAGTGCTGGCATCCAGATTAGCGACTTGTCGACACATGGGACACTGAAACATGTAGCCAGTTCCTAAAAGCGGAGTTACGCACTTGTAATGGAAGCAGTGCGAGCAAGGGGAGAGAAAAAGAGCCTGTAGAGGAGCCATGGGACCAAGACAAATACAGCAATCTGTTGGTCTAGTTGGAGTGTCGTGATCTGTATTATTGGGGTTCATTGCAGAAATCAGAGATGAAAGAGCGGTTCGAAGTCTGGTTTGAATGCATTAAGCATAATTTCAAAAAGCAATTGTAAGGAATCTGATGGCAATGGCATTCATCGAGGTAATGACAACACAATTGGTTTGAGTAATAGAATAAACCAACCTTTGTGGACTAGCACGAGTCTGTAGCCCATTTTTCATTGTAATAAACACCTTTATGATAACGGCCTTGTATATTTCTAAATCAAAATAGGTGAGTTTTGCATTCAATGCATGGCTGGGTGGAAAGCATAAACATACCTTCGGATCGGCCTTGGTAATCCACACCGAGCTGAATGACATCTCCAGATTTAAGCAAATAGGGTCTACTTTCTTTTCCACTTGGAGAGAGTCTCAGTCGATTCAGAAAGGTGCCAGATGAGCTACCAATATCCTTGAGGTATATCTATGATAAGAGTTGGGTTAATCAAACATAATGCAAACAACAAAGTGGTTCCAACAGGATGATCCAAAGCATAGTGTGGAAAACAAGCACAAGAAAGCTTTGAATGGTAATTTCAAAACCATATGGAGATGCAGAGGGGATGACAACCAAACAAGGTGGAATCAACGACAGGAGTGCCAATATGGCGAGTATAGCCAAGCGATGGATTGCGGTATTCTAGGATTTGAAATAAAAGAGTTTAAATGCTATGCATAAAATTACCTGGCCATCTCTGCCCACCCAAATCTCAGCATGAGTACGACTAACAACTTTACTACGGAATGCTACATAAAGGGAATTGGCAGTGCTGTCCTGTTGCACAGACGATGAATCAGATTGAAGACGAGTGGGAGACGCAGGGTCCGGAGATACAGTAGCTTTATATCAAAACACAAGAACAATAAGTAAGTGATGACCAAGCAGAGTGGAGGACAAGCAAGTACCTGGATTTGAAGCGACAGCAGGGGTAACAACGAAACCAGCTTGCAACGGATCACTGGATAGTGAGACATTGTTTGCAGCTCTCTGCTCCCTAGTAGTAGGTTTTGAGTCTCTAGTAGCAGGAGAAGCACCACTTGCAGCATTGTAGCTTCTGTCGACTTTCCTCCCGACTCGAAGAACAGTTCCAAGCACAATGTCATGCTCTACAGGGTTGAACAGAAAAGGTTTGTTGCGGGAAGTCTGTTGATGTAGGGGAACGTCGGAATGAGGAAACAACTGCAGACGAATAAAAGGTTGCTTCATGGTAGTGTTGTACCAGCAAGTTGAGGTGAAGAGTGAGGATGAACTTGCAAGCGAGTTTGAGATTACATCACGTGATATTAAAGTTTATAAACCTTTGTGTGAGTTGATGGCTGGATGGCCATATGGTGGATTCAGTTGTTGTTTTAACCATCGATTGCAGTCTTATTGTCCAGCAGAACCAACACTAAAACAAGTTAAATCCAGTTAAAACCAGTTAAAACAAACTACGATCACAATGCAGCAGCTGGACTGCGTTTCTCTCCCTTCGTCATCGTTGTGCAAGGTTTGGTCTTCTGACAACACCCTGCGTATGATTCAACCGTCCTTCACTATAGATAATACCACTTTAGGGTTCGATCCATTTATTGGGAATCTGATACAACTGCAATCATCCTTTCAGTCACTCGATTGTCCTGGATTCATGTCACTACTACAATCCAGGTCTTTACTGTCATCTCACCAGTCTTCTACCATTCCTGTCCTTCGTTATCCCGCTACCTTTTCATGTTACGCTGCATTGGTGTCCAGTCAGTCCTGTTCATCTCATCAAAACACACTTCAGCCACTCTGTGCTGAAAGTTGTCAGTATTTTGTGCAGACCCTTCAAACCCTCATCAGCTCTCAATCCCTATGTAACCTGGACGCCTCATCTCGGATCGTGCAGGCTAGAGCCATAGCTGTCCAGTCCTTCCATACCACTTGTCAGTCTCGCACTGCCAATACCACTGCCCAATGCATTAGTGCAATAGAATTGGAAGCCCAAAATTGTGGTATGTTGGACTCTTTATAAGCATCTGTTTAATTGTCCATCGTTTAAACCCCTCGTCAAACTCATTTATCCCCTTATACTCTGTCCTTTTATTCTTTCGGGTACTATTCCCATCTTTACTATTTTTAGGATTTGGAAATAACAACGCTGGTGTTGCTGCTGCTCAAAACTGGTGTAAAATCACTAAACCTGACGATCCTTGCTGTTCTGCTCATCTCGCTGTTTTACTCGCTTCTTCAAATACCACTCAGTCTGCTTTGCCTACTACCAACTCTGCAAATTCATCCTCAATGTCTGGCTCATCCCAATTGGCTGTTGGTCTTGGAATTTCTATTGCCATTGTTGCCGTCTTGGCTGCTCTTTTTTACTATTTACTACTACCTCGCTTACAGCGATCCAAGCCCTCTATCGAAAACGGCCTTATCGATAGTACTGATGAAAAACGTTCATCTAACCCTGCAACCATCAATACCACTCTTTCTAATTCCAACTTGGCTACTCCCGTGTACTCGTCCAGCAAGACGCTCATTGCCGAACCAAATACCTCTGCTCCTATAGACGAAAAGCCAAACTGTATTCCACAATACAAGTCTCAAGAGCACAGTCCGCATCTAGACGATGATGATGCATACACTCTCCGAAACCATCGCATGTCTTTTTCTGAACTTAACCTGGAAAGAGCCTTTTCGTCCTTTTCCATGTCGGACCTTGAACAGACTCATGAATCTAGAATCTCCATCAATGACTCTGTCTCTCCACCAACCCTTCCACATCCTAAAAGATCGTCTGGATTTCAACCTTTTGGATCTTGGTCACGGGCTCTCACGGAAGGCATTCCAACTACAGATTCTAAACGAGACTCAACTCTGACGGTAAGCTTTTTATTTGTATTCCTACCCATCGTATCCCATATCGTCTTTTTATCCTCCCTTTGATAAGTTATCTGCATTTGCTTTTCACTGCCATTCATAATGCAAAAGGGTGCATGGCTCAATCACTTATGCTTTCAATGGGCTTGAATTGGTTCTAGACATCATCTCTCCGCACGGATTCTCGTCTTGCTTCGCACTCTTGTATTCCTTTACAATTCGAACGCAACGCTTCTCACTTGGCAGATCTCATGACCTCGGGTCGTGAGGGCACATTCTACGCAACACACGTTACCCAATCCTACCATGCCGAGCAGGAGGACGAGCTGGATATGGAGCAAGGCGATTTGGTACATGTCGTTCGTGTGTTTGAAGATGGATGGGGAAAAGGTCGTAATGCAACGACTGGAAAAACTGGCATTTTTCCAGTAGTGTGTTTGGCTGTACAATAGACCACTCTGTTTATACAATGCAATGGTGGATTGGGATGTCAATCCTACAGCTTCACCCTTGTGCATGATTGTTATTTTATTTTACATATCAAGTATAGGCCTTTACCATGAATTACAGCCGTATTCATGTAGCTCTTGTATTTATCTTGCAGTCACTAGTTTGTTTTGGAATAGACAATGGTCGAATGTTATGCTTTCCTGCTAGAAATTGACTGGTTCAATAGACATTCTCAATTCTTCAAAACACACCGTCCATCATAGGATGCATGACAAAATTAAACTATTTTTGAACGGAAATATTTTCTCTTTTGCTAGTCTTGCATTGTACAATCACCAGATACTGGGGTCTAATGTCAACAAACTCTTTGTATCCTAAACACTTGGATACGCTTTAGTTCAGCACATCAATACTGCAGAACCAATCATTGTTTTCATGCCAATCACCAGAACCCCAGTACATTTGACACCCATCATGAGACTGTTTATTATACTTGGTTTTATATGAATACAGCCTACTCTATCCAGGCTATTGCAGCTTTAAAAATTCATACATTGCTAGAACCAAAAACTCACGCTGATGCTAGACGTTATTGATTCAACATAATGCCACCATCCACAAGGAATAAGCAGCATCTCACCAGGACCAACTATACACTCGACATACACTGCCTTTGTAAACTCGGGAAACAAGGTCAGATCTGCATGAGCCACGTCTACCTGTGATGTGTTCGATAGCAAAGTAGATGAATTGTGAGGATATAGATACTTGGTTTCACTAGGTGCATAAAGCCTTATATACTTGTACCCAACAATCTGAGTAAATAGATTATCATATGGGTCAGTGTGAAGTGGAGAATGAGTTCCAGCTGGTCCAATCCATACATTCACACAAATCTGAGGTTCATCCATGGAAGAGTCCAAAGTGCTCATCCATCTAGTCCGCGAATGCACCGATGGTGCCATAATACAATAATCCGGTATAGCAAGATCTGATGCCAACTCAGAAACTCGATCAAAAAGGTCATGCTGTGCAAGGTACATGATCTCGTCTGGTCGTGCATCCACATCACTCTGTCTTTCCGTGTCGACAACGTATTGAAAAAATTCACCTGCCGTGATAATCCGTTGTGTCCATGATTCATCCGTGTAGTGTGATCCAATTTCAACAGGAACAAGTCGGTCAGCACCCATCACAGATAAAATGTAAGCAACATCCTTCCATGGTCGAGTAGATAAACATGGACATCCATCCAAAACGTTGCAAATGATTATTGGTGTAGGCAATATCTCTCTTGTTAAATGAAGATTAAATTCTGACATGGATAACGGTGTCGAGTGTATTTCAACACATTGGGCTGGAATCAGTTGTGATGTTTTGTAAACCACTTGGGCTGGAATCCGTTGAGATGAGCAAAGAAAGTACTTTGGTTTAGCAGTAAGTAGGGAATGAGGGTCAAGCCGAGTCAAGATCTGCTGGGTCAAAACTATCCAAGACAAGACAAGATGGTTTGAAATGGGACATCCACTAATCAATACTCCTCTATCAAGAGATTGCAACAATGCTCGTATATTATAAATATCGCAAGTCGTAATATCTGCTACCAAGTCCGAATGATCTTTAAATTGTATCGAGTAAACAGCGGCCTTTACAATGCATGCTAGCATATACGCTATGCGACTAGATTTACTGACCTTACCAAATGAAGTGCAGTTGATCAGATCATCGGCATGATCCACAAGAACTTGAGCCCAATTGTGCTGCAGTCGAGCTAATTGTGTCTGTTTCATAACAAACAAAGCTTGATTAAAGAGATGGCGAGTGCATGGCGATATGTCCACATGTTCGAGTTCAGTATAAACTGTTTTCAGCAAAATCTCTGCTGTTGGCAGTTGTCGAGTTTCCATTGTTGAATCAAGCAAATTCAATGGAACATAAAAGTGAAATAAATTCACGTGATTTATCTTTTTTCTTCTTGAATCGAATTGAATTTCGTTTTGCAGCTCCAAAGCAGGAAATGTCAGTAGCCAAGAAGCAGACTGAACAAGACTTTGTCATCAAGTCTTCGTCGGTTACTCCGACTTTAGATACTTCAGAATGGCCTCTTTTGCTAAAGGTAATGCTATTAGGTTTTCAGTGTAAATGGCCGATCTTGTCTTTATTGCCAAATTTTATAAATTCCGTTATTAATCCAATTCAAGTTTGTGATGATCATGCCGATTGTTTAGAACTATGACAAACTGAATGTGCGCACATCTCATTACACTCCCATTCCATCTGGATGTGCTCCGCTTAAAAGAGATCTTTCAACCTACATCAAGTAAGAAATTATGCTCATATGAATCAAGTGCTGGCTTTCCAATCAAAATGTCTTGATTTTTTTTAACTCGTTATAACTCAAACTCTGGTTCTAATTTTTATTTAAAGATGCGGCGTAATCAATCTGGATAAGCCTGCTAATCCTTCTTCCCATGAAGTTGTGGCTTGGATTCGTCGTATTCTTCGCGTGGAAAAAACCGGTCATTCTGGAACTCTGGATCCTAAAGTCACTGGATGCTTGATTGTCTGTGTAGATCGTGCTACTCGTCTTGTCAAATCTCAGCAGGGTGCAGGTAACAATTCGCCCTTTTGATTCATCTCCACATTGAACGCACTTTAACACCATTCTGTATTTTAAACATTTAGGAAAAGAATACGTGTGTGTGCTGAGACTTCATGATCTTATTGAGTCTGAAAAGAAACTGGCTCAAGGCATTGAAACCCTCACTGGTGCTCTTTTTCAACGTCCACCACTGATATCCGCTGTTAAACGTCAATTGCGTATTCGTACTATTCACGAATCTAAACTGTACGAGTTTGACAACGATCGTCACCTGGCAGTCTTTTGGGTGAGCTGTGAGGCTGGTACTTATATTCGAACCTTGTGTGTTCATCTTGGTTTGCTTCTTGGTGTCGGTGGTCATATGCAAGAACTGCGTCGTGTTCGATCTGGAGCCATGGGTGAAGATGTACGTCTTGAATCTGCTCTTGATTATCCTGTAATTTTTTAGTGTATTGCTAATTGTATTTGATTTAAAAACATTGATCAACAATGTGCTCATACTTGCTTGTCCTGGAACATTTTCACCACTCCAGGATGAAATGGTGACGATGCACGATATTTTGGACGCTCAGTGGGTTTATGATAACAACAAAGATGGTGTGTTTGAGTTTTTTCAAGTGATATGTATAGACTTTTTTATAGTCGAATGTGTATGGGTTAAACTCATCAATTTTATTTTCATGACACAGAATCCTATCTTCGTCGTGTTGTTCGTCCTTTGGAGACTCTCTTGACTTCCTACAAGCGCATTGTGGTCAAGGACAGCGCAGTCAATGCAGTTTGCTATGGTGCAAAACTCATGATTCCTGGTCTTCTCCGCTACGAATCTGGCGTCGATACTCATGAGGAAGTTGTTCTTATGACCACCAAGGGTGAAGCCATTGCTCTTGCTTATGCCATGATGAGCACTGCCGAAATGGCTTCGTGCGATCACGGTGTTGTTGCCAAGATCAAGCGTGTTATCATGGAGCGTGATACCTATCCTCGCAAATGGGGTCTCGGTCCTATTGCACAAGAGAAAAAGAAGATGATCAAATCAGGTAAACTGGACAAGTATGGTCGACCTATCGACGAATCTTCCAGTACCTACACAAAAGATTATGCAACGTAAGTGCTATTCATGCTGATTCAAGTGACTAGTCTGTTTCAATAACACTGTTTTGGGATTCTGTAGTGGCGGTGCTGCTAAATCTGCTACAATGGACATTTCACCACAAAAGCCCATGATTACTGAAGTTGAGCCTGTGGCAGAAGTCAAAAAGCGCAAGGCAGACGATGAGTCAGAAGAGCCCAAAAAGAAGAAGAAGAGCAGCGAAGACTCGGAACATAAAAAGAGTAAAAAGTCCAAGGATAAAGATCACGACAAAGAGTCGCCTGAAAAGAAGAAGAAGAAGAAGAAGGACAAGTCTGATGAATAAACGTTTAGGTTTTTATTTTGCTGTACATTATCTTGCTCTTTAATGTAGACGCATCAGAATAACGAGTAGCATATTCAGATACTGCAATGTCTTGGATTTGATATCTGCAGCAATTTAGTTGCAGTCACAACCCAAATAAGCTCATCATAAAATCGATTCAAATTCATTTCAAAATAAAACAATCGGTATTTAAAAGTGGTCATTTTGCAGAGTCATTGTGTATAACATACAATATCAGCTGAAAACACTTGCATATCTGAGCAATGGTCAGTATAAGACAACGACTATTTTCAGAACAGGTGAGCTCACGTGATGATTCAATTCACTTGATGGACTGAATCTTGCTTGTTTTATTCCTCAATCCACTGCTAGCGACCTATTCAACTGCTTGCAACATGGCAGCTGGCGCACACCACAATCATCACCCAACGCCATATGTGCGACAGTTTGTTCCCCCAAAGATCAATGGAAGGTTCTTCACAAAGGTCTACGGAGCTGCCTGTGTCTTTTTCATCGGTTTCCGAATTTACCATGACGGTGGTCATCACTTTGTATGTTGCTGCTCCTGCATGTGAAGCATGCTATAACACATACCAAGCACATCAATATGTTCATCTAAATATTGAAACTTGCTTGATTATACCTAACCTACATCAATAGACTAACCGCTTTATTTAATCTATTCGACACACGACGTTTTACATTGATTCATAAACATAGCTAAACCATCATCCATGGGAAGAGCCCAAAATGATTGCATACCTTGAAAAAGTGGACAAAAAGTACGGATCTCACTTGGCCACATCCAATATGCACCACTGATCTATTCAACGAATCGATGCGTGAAATACAAGACTCAAACCCATTCATCTACATTGAATGTCAGTCTCTACCTCTTTGGTTCAATGTGGATATCAGTCTACTCTTTAAAATACACGCTTTGAATCTATATGTGTTGTGTATGGTTTACAGATTGTTTTTTTGTATGCAATGTTTGGAATGGCTGTTTTTTAAACATTGGTTATTAGATGGTACAATCTAATTTTTGGAATGATTTACACGACCCTATTGACAGGATTTGGAGAATGATTTATCAGCATGTTTTCATCCAGGCAATACCTTGTATAATGATCCCGGATAGTGAATGCAATAGGAGTACAAAACGCTGTTGAGCTTGTACATGTAGTCTAGATCTTTTAGATTCATTTGTATATATATTGGCAACTCGATGTTCAGTGATATGTGTACATATTTCATGAGTAAACAGCGTACCTTTACGCACGAGTTTGTTTCGTTTTAAAATGGCAGGTTTTATGAATCTCAGATTGCGACACACATGGTTTTGGTGTGAATGGTAGATGAAAAAGTAAACCAGTTTTGACTACTTGACGATTCAATATATTATGACTGGTTTTATCCAGAGAGGATTCAGAGTGATCAAGGCATACAATCAATTTCTAGTAGGAGAGCGCAACAAATACTCGACCATTATTTATTCCCAAATAAAATCAAGGCAATCATGCAAGATGAATAAAAGTATTTCATTTTACGTGGATACGGCTGCAGTGTTTAGCTAGATATATTGAGTAGTTCGTCTGCATAACTACTTGCAAGAATTAATGTCGAATATAATGTTTAGATTGCACAGTTCTCATGCAATAGTTTCTTGGTATAACCCTTCATCTTTGTATTTTTCTGTTGTGATGCAACACTTGGACGATTACATTTGGTACGATACGATTTACTAGACGATGTATTGGATATACTTGAGCAATGTTTAGCATGGTTAGAACTGTTTGGCAACTTACTACGCCCTTTCAAGATCTGCAATACATCAGAACGCGCACCGACATGCCGTGTATACGATGTGTTTGCAGTCATGATCGACTGGGGTACAGTGTCACCATCAACCGATTGAATGGTTTGGGTGTGATTCGCACAATCAAAACTCTTATCCAAGTTGTAATCATCATTTGTATTCAAACTGACGTCGCCATCATATATTTCTTCCTCATCAAACGCGGCAATAAGATCCTCTAATCTGGAGATGGATTTACACATGACAGTATCATTAAATGTGATCCCTCGTTTTATACGCTCTTTTGTGCTTTTTCTATTTGAATAAGTGGAAAATGCCGGCATAAACGTAGAATCAGATGATGTTTCCATTCGGGAAGAAACATGGTTCGAGTCAGGTTTGAAAGTATGTGCATGCTTTTTGGAATAGTCTTTCACAAAAGGCAAACTAGAGGCTTGTAATGCGATGGATGATGATTTAAGCTCGTTTTGAGACATCATCTCATTCCATCTTTTGTTAATGGACCAAATGGATTCCCGTCTTTTTGGGTTTACTGATAAAGCGGATATGGACAATGATTTAACTATGTCTGGAATGTCGAGTTTGGCGGCACAAGACAATGTGGTGAATGGTAAGCGCTCCGATTCACTTGCTGCGTTTTTATCAATTTGATCTTGGCGTTGCAATAATACGGCTTTAGGTATACCGGTTGATATCGTTGACACATCAGAGGAACGATGCCAACCAGAGTAAGGGGTTTCTTTAGGAGAAAAAGATGTTTTTGTAACTGCATTGGAAATATTGTCTGCAGATAAATGATGACTTGCAGTTTGATCGAATCTAGACATGGACTGATATGTTTGAGGTGTAGCAAAAATGCTAATAGGATCAGGTGTAAACCCAACACTTGACTCGGAAGATGCGTTACGCGACCTGTATTGAGCAATGGTGGATATTGAATTGTCGGATACAAGGGCATTACTATTTGTACAAGGCGTTGATATGAGTTGCGTATCTGTGCTAGAATTATAGGGTTTATCTGCTAGTCCATCTGTAACCGATATGCTGTGTGGTGAGTCGGGCATAGGCTGTTGAATATGTGTGTGACGCGATGGATCAGCCAACCTTGTGCCAACTTTGTTCTTGGGGACTACCAAAGTCGTGTAGTGTGTTGAGATCTAGTTGGCTTATAAAGTATTTTGTCAACACTTTCTACTATATCTATCCCCAACGTAGGTGTGTTGGGTCTGTCTACTGCTGCATAAGCGAGTGGTTTGGCAGAGTTCTTTTTAAAGGTTATTGGGTAATCGACGAATGGCGTACTTGCCGATTTTTTTACTGGATTATGACTGAAAACAAGGTCTAGTTCTTGATTTGATTTAGATGCAACTGCTTGTATACGTTTTTTTGAGGTACTAGCTTCAAAAAAAGGAATCCCAAATAGCTTCATGCGCGATGAAAACGAAAGATGGCAGCAAATCGTAATAGTAAATGTTTTAAGCAATGTACTATGAGCATACTTTTTCAAGTTTCAATTTTTATCCGCAAGGAAAAACATACATAGTTGCAACTTTCACCCAACACATCAAAAGCATGCTGTTAAATGAACCGGTTGATGGTCGAATGCAGTTAAAATGGCAATGCAAGATTTATACAACAATCAATGTACACGGTTATCCTGTTTCATTTACAACGGCCAGTTGCTCAAGCGAGCCAGATAAAATTTCAAATGTAAGAATGGTTAGTGCAGATGCTGGAACTGTTCGAACAAGCCCAGTAAAAAACCCTTTGTAGAATCCGCGCCATCCCTCTTCTTTTAATATAGTGTTTACAGATTGTATAATGCCTCTGTATTTTGGCAAAATTAAAGTTTTCTGGACAATAGAAGGATCGATTGGATGAGTGAGCTGTGACGAGACTTGACCTGGAATTGCTTGATTGTTAAGAATCATTTGTGTTTGGAAGCGAGTACGAACTACTTCATGTGGATATGTAATAGTTGAAGCAATCATCTTTGAAATTGCAGATGCAAAAAGAATTTCGTAGCCACCAACATTTCCATGTGAATCTAGATGGACGAGGCAAATGAAAAAGTTTAGTCTGATAATCAAACAGATGTGGTTGCTGTAGCTAGACATGTAATTTTACCTTGTAAACTCAATTTCAATCGTTCATAAAGAGGAAATTGAATAACAACATGGCTAACTCCAATCAATGACGGACCCAGTCCCTTATAAAGTGCTTTCCATCCTTCCTTTTTGGCTATTGTAGTCAGCCCATCAAAGGTCGATCGATAGTGATAAAGAGCACCAGGCTCTGATGTGGCTGGTTGAGTCATGATTCGTGCTATAATGTATTAAAAGTTTACGTCATGAGTCACAACCAACAAAAGTCAGATGTAGTGGTAAATAATTATGCTAGATATACAAAGCATATATTCAATTAAACTATTTAGTGTTGACCAACCTCTCACAACCCAAATAGGATTAGTTATGCATGTGCTCAACAGACCAGCATGAAAAGCAGATAAAACATGTACAAAAGTCGTTTCTTTTGTGGTGCCTAATAGAACCAATCAAAACTGTTAGATTTATCAACCATCAGAGCCATTACAAAACATTAAAGAATAGATCCATCTACCAAATTCCTCAATGAGTCTATTTTTTGACCACTCATACGATGAAAAATAAATGGCCCAAGTAGGCAGGTATCCAGCAGCAGTGACACCAACGCCTCGATATAAACCGCGCAAACCTTCAGATTTCCAAATCCTATCAAAAGTAATGAAAGCTGATCTACGATGGCCAGGAAATTCTTTGGCTTGGTTTTGTAGACGGATCTTGACCATATCCAACGGACAGGTAATAACGGAAGAGACGCATCCAGCACCACCTCCGGCAATAGTGTTTCTAATTCGCTCATCTTGCCTGTATTGTCATTAGATAAAAAGTTGAGTGATGCAAAAAGCCATCAGTTTTTTTTTAAAATACACTTTTTATGCCAGTGGTGATTGCTTGAGATTGAGTTTAATTAGGACTATGAATAGGTGGCGGGTAAAGTAATTGAAATACAAGTATAATCCAGAGGACAATATCTGAAAGTGAAATGCAGTGCATTACTCATGAGGACACTGGAAAAGCACAGTAGCCAACCACACTTACAGCCATTCTTTCCAAAGAGGTGGCTTAGATTCAAGTCGCTGAGCAAGAGAAGTTTGCTGATGAAGGTCTAGTCCAGACTGCTTGAGTGATGACGAGGCCAACATCAGCATGTCAGAAGGGTGGTTATGTGTCAACACACGCTGACTGGTATTATTGATGCTGCTGTTGAATGTAATGGGATGAGTTTCAGTGGATTGAATGACCGGCTTACTGTTCTGTGGAGGGCCTTGCTGCATTTGAACAGGCAATAGGAACCAACAGAATTTTTATAAACTAGACGGAAAATTCAATTAGAAGCTTTCGATTCGTCAAATCGACTCGTCAAATCTTGTCAAGATTCATGCTCGAAATGGCATTGAATGAATGCTTGATTGATGCGAGAATGAGGGGTTTGTTGGCCTATAAAACAGATTACATTGTAATTAAATGCCATCAATTAGTAGTCAACTGGTCAAAGACATCTCCAACTCGAGTCGTGACTGCTCTATGCAAGCATTGATTAAATCAACAACAGCATGTATTTGTCCAGTCAACCATTCATTTGTATAGTTTATGATCAAAGGTTCAACTAGAGTTTAGATTGTTGAAAAATACAACGTAGAGTAGGATTAAGCATAGGAATAGTTTTGCAAACCCTTGACCAAACGATAGACTTGAATGCCAGGACTGATTCCTTGCATTTGATTCAATACTATAGCCAACCCAATGACAAGATACGATCATCTTTGAAAGTGCACTTGAGCGATTGTTTATTCGGCCGTGCCGAGATGCAAACACGACCAACAATTATTACCATCACATGAAGCATTTTGATTCTTTTCTCAAAACATTACCATGCAATCGCTACTCGTTTGGCTCGTCGCTGCTGCTAGTGTGGTGTCTGCTCACAAGGGAAATACGTACGAGTGATGTTTTTGTTACATACTATACTATTGAGACAGTTGTTTGGTATTGCTCTCTTAATGAGCCTTGCTAACCTAATCTTGAATATCAATCGCCATTCAGCATCAAGCTTAAGAAGCGACCACATACTCAAGATACTCTAAACGCTCTCTTCTCCAATGTCCAGTCCGTTTATAGCAACCGACTTGCGTTTCAATCCGAAACCTCTGAAGACCAATACATTCTTGGTGGTGGTGCAGAGCATTCTGTTCCCTTGACCGACTTTGCTAATGCTCAGTATTTTGGTGAAATTCAAATTGGTATGTTACAGCCTGACTGGCTAAGCCGTGTTCTACAATTGCAGAATGCTTGGTTCTGTTGTACAATTCACATCTACTATTGACCGCTGGTTGAAACGAGTCTAATTCATTGGTGTATTTTGGTGATGTATTATATGTATGCTTGTATCTAGGCACTCCTCCACAGCCCTTTACTGTCATATTTGACACTGGATCTTCCAATCTATGGGTCCCTTCCACTCGCTGTTCATCCATTGCTTGTTGGATGCATCGCCGCTATGATGCATCTGAATCATCTACTTATGTCAACAATGGTACCGAGTTTGCCATCCAGTATGGTACTGGTGCACTTGAGGGTGTTATATCTCAAGACACTGTTACCATTGGTGGGCTTACAATTGAAAATCAAGGATTCGGCGAGTCTGTTAAAGAACCTGGAATTACCTTTGCCGTTGGTCGATTTGATGGCATCCTTGGACTTGGTTTTGATACCATCTCTGTTCAAAAGGTTGTTCCTCCCATGTACAATCTGATTAACAATCATCAGCTGGATACACCACTGTTTGGTGTCTGGCTTGGAAGCAGCTCTGGGGAAGAGGGCGGTGAAATTGTGTTTGGCGCTGTTAATCACGACCACTTTAAAGGAGCAGTTAGTATGTATACATGCTTGTAATTTTGTAATAGATTTGAAAGTGCATTTTGACTCAATCCTCCTTTTTGTTTATAGCATGGGTTCCAGTGGTACGCAAGGCTTATTGGGAAGTCGAACTCGAGGGAGTCACTATTGGAGGAAAAAAGCTTGCAATCAAGAGCAGCAGAGCTGCCATTGATACTGGTAAGCCACTAGTTTTTTGTCATTTTGCTGTTTGAACATCCAATGAACATCCGATTAAATCATTTCGTATGTAAATAGGATCTTCACTTTTTGCTCTTCCAGTCGCAGAAGCTGATGCCATCAATGGTATTCTCGGTGGAAAAAAGAACTGGAACGGCCAGTTTATAGTCGACTGTGCCACCATCGACAGTCTTCCAGAACTAACCCTTCAGTTTGGAGGTCAAAAGTTTGTCATTACTGGATCTGACTATATTCTTCAAGTGAGTGCTGGTCCAGTTGGAGGCGGCGATCAGTGCATTTCTGGATTCATGGGTCTTGATGTAAGTATTCTTTTACACTTGATGGTACTTTTATTCTTGTGATTAACTTTATTTTGGCTTGAATCCTGCGACTTAGATTCCTGCTCCTGCTGGACCATTGTGGATTGTGGGTGATGTCTTTTTACGCAAGTTTTATACCATCTATGATGTTGGCAATGCCCGCGTAGGATTTGCCGAAGCTGCCTGAGTGCATTTGAATTATTTGATTGAAAATGAACTATACTTTGAGATGACTGCAAGTTGACCATATTCATTGAATGCTATTAAATGTATATTTTCTGACTGAACCCAGTCTGATCACGTGGTAATAGGTTTGCTTTTGAAGCTGACTTGGATAGCCAAAACCAAATCCAAAACAGCCAACATTGGCATCTGGAACCACTTGTACTGTGCATACATTGCAAACAGCAGATATTTTATCAGTTAGCTAGATTAGAGCAGTTTTGCAAGACTGTATTTGACTCGCAACTTTAACAACTAGACGCGTCCATACAGCAACTGAGGCATCCAAGTCATCAAGAGCATCTTTGGTCGTCATTAAAAGTATATTCCAACAGTAACTAAAAGTAGAGTGAGACAGCATCTTAAATACTTTATCATTACTGCATCGGTCGCAAGAAAATACATTGCACGCATCATTCATTTGTATTGTCGACTGTAGCATGAACAAATATCGTACTCTGCAGCAGCTTGGAGATGGCTCGTTTGGCTCTGTAATCCAAGCAGAGAACTTGGAATCTGGAGAAACTGTGAGTATTTCCTCTTATCCACTTGCATGTCTCCATGTTTCTAGTACTTTGAATTCAATTGTGCATATATTTCATGACAAGAACATTGCTATGAATTTAGGTTTATATTTAAACTCGCCGAGTGCATGCCATTGTTAATCCCCACTTGCAATGGGTGTTTGAGAGTGGAAATGCTGAGCTTAGAGAGCTACTAAACCTTGATATGCAATCATAACAATACTGATCAACTTTATTGTAATGAATCCCAACTTTCCATTCATCACTGTATTGTGAATACCTTGAGTAACACCATCTACTGCTGTAATAGGTTGCCATCAAAAAGATGAAGAAGAATTATTATCGTTGGGACGAATGTCTGAGCCTTCGTGAAGTCAAGGTAGTTAAAATCGAGTCATGAACTAGTGTCAAATTGCATTGATTTGTGTTTGTAAATCTAATCGATTGTTTTTATTCATCCGACATTCTACTGGAATTATCCTAGTCACTCAAAAAACTCAACAATCATGTCAATATCATTCGATTGAAAGAGGTTTTAAGAGAACATGACAAGCTGTACTTTGTATTTGAATATGCTGATGGAAATCTGTACCAAAAAATGAGAAATCAAAATGGAGTACTATTTACAGAAAGTACCGTAAAGGCATACACGTAAGTATCCTTGCATCTATTGCTGAATCACTCATTCGCTGTAGTCTTGTTTTGAATTATATTTGATTAAAGTTTAAATATAAAAACTAACCGACTATAATCTATATTCAATGAATGCATTTTTTGAATATGAAAATACTAATTAAACAACGCTCCAGATTTCAAGTATTGCATGGACTCGCATACATGCACAAGCACGGATTTTTCCATCGAGACATGAAACCTGAAAACTTATTGCTGGTTGGAGACATTGTTAAAATTGCCGATTTCGGACTTGCCCGAGAGACTCGCAGTTTGCCGCCTTATACAGAGTACGTGTCGACAAGATGGTAAGAGGCGCAACCTATATATTATCTTGGCTTAAATTTTATTGAGAATATGGCAAAAAGCAACCTACTAAAATTTACAAACCCATTCAAAACTACAAAGGTATCGCGCACCTGAAGTATTGCTACGATCTACACACTATTCTTCACCTATAGATATATGGGCAGTTGGCGCTATTATGGCAGAGCTTTTTACATTGAAACCCTTATTTCCAGGAGCATCAGAAATTGATGAGATATTTAGAGTATGTTCCATTTGTGGCACACCAACAGCAGAATCGGTTGATTCCATACCCGCTGCATCACCTGCATCCTCTATTATGCCCCAAAACTCGGTAATCTCGCCAACATCCACATTTATAGCCACGTCAACTGTAGATAGAACGTCTTCTCAGCGCAGTCGCCACCGAGAACATTCTTACTACGACAAACAAGGCATGTCCACGAGCCTTTCGTCACGTATGGGGTTCATGTGTGGGGGAGCATGGCAAGAGGGATTGCGACTTGCTGCAAATATGTCGTTCAAATTTCCAACACTTCCTGCAATTCCATTTGCAGAATGCGTTCCCAATGCACCCGATTATGCGTTGCAAATAATGACAGATATGCTGCGGTATGATCCACATCGACGACCCACTGCTCAAGAAGCATTGCAGCATGTATGGTTTACAGAGTTGAATGACTCGCCACTCAATCCAAATCTAATTTCTATAGATACTGCAGAATTCCCTATGGCAGAACTAGGCGATAGTAACGAGAGCCATTCTATTGCTTCTCAACATCAACACCCAATCAGGGGATCAATTCATCATGGCTCACTAACCGTAAAAAATCCATCAAAGCAGGCAAAAACACAGATTGAAGATGGTGGACCAGCTAGCCAAAAATGGTTTGCAGGTGTATCAAACAAAATAGCTCATGAAAATGAGTCCAGCGTGTCACATCTACCCATAGCCACTAGCATACAATCCATCGTATCATTGGATATAGATGGCCAATTTAACTCCAACACCAACCTTGAACCAAATCAACATCAAAATTTAAAATCGTACGCTAATGCAACAGATACGTTTGGATCGACCAAAGCCGTAGGCATGTCTTCGTTTGATATGCTGAAAAGCAATCCCGAGTTAAACTTTCAAAAGGAATCCAATCAAGATATTTTGTTTGATGATGGTAAAAAACCCAACAGCAATTTTCCACTGCATGGCACATCGTCACGGCATAATTTTGTGACAGATGCTGACAGATTAACATCGTCATTCACCAATAGTATGAGGCGGGAATGGGAGAATTCATCATTAGGAGGAATTGCTATTGAAGGAGTTTCCATTAAAGACATTCATTCGTACTCGCCAGCACTACATGATAAAAATGAGCTGGCTGGATCTACTGCAGCATTGAATACAGCTACTAGATTATCAAGCATTTCTAAATCGCACCAGGAACGCAATTCAGAAACTCAAACACGTTCGAGTCCCAGTGGGGCCCTCAAACATTCTACATGCACTGAGGGTCAGGGGTGTGAAAGAAACAGTGAATCAAGTGTTTGGTTAGACAATAGTCAATTTGAGTCTCGAGGTAAACTGCATCCTTTGGTTCCTAGTATTTCAAATAGTTTACCACAATCTCAAACTATACTAACGTGTGATGATGATCTACTTGTGCAACAAAACAATACAGTTAATGATCGTGTAGATATAGGTGAATCTCAACGACAATCATTTCATCAATACCATCAAGAACAGCAACGGTTTGATCCTACATCTCGACAAAAACATCCAGATCAGTCTTTGCATCAGGCAACGCAGTTTCAACATATCCAGCAACATCAGCCTATTCCATCTATTTATAAACAACCGCAGGCATATCCGTCATTTGAACAGGATCATACTCGTTCTCATCCCATGCCTCCACCGTCAGCCATACCTCATCGTATTCCAGAGCCTGTGGTATCTTTAAGTCGTCAACCGCCCATATTGATTCATCAAGAAGATCATAGATACATTGAAGACGAAACGATTAGATCAAAACTGGTACACGATCAGAGATTATCAGGTGATGATAAGACTGTACTATCAAAACAACAATGGAAATCCAACACTGGTTTAATGTCAATAAAAGAGCCAGTTCCTTTACACTCGTATCCAACGCAACAGCAACGTATGCGGCCATTACAACAGGTGATGCCAGCATCACCCACAAAGAAATTATCTGGAGGAATAGAAAATGTGCAACCGACTGTATCGATTCATTCTGCAGGGATCAAGTTGGGAGCAGTTAAAAAACCTGGATTTTTTGCTGGGTTATTTCAACGTGAATCGCATCAACAGCCTACCGCAGTTCCATTGAAAAAAGAAGGGCGGATTTTGTATCTCCAAGGTAAATGGAATCACTGTATTGTAGTTTTATTATGATTTTTGTTGTTTATTTGATTGAAGAATGGTTAATCTGATTGGTATGCTTTGCAATTAGGCCAGAGTGTGCGATCTCCAACACGGCCGATACCATCAACGATTGCCATGTATGCGCACACGAACCGACAATCAATCGGCACAATACATCCAGCTTATCCAAGTGGTGGGCCTAGTCATAATTCTACACTTTCTACAGTATATGGACAACAAGGTCGAAACAGTGTTGGTATGCCACTCCCTGCTGCAGCACTTCAAAATCGATCACAAACATCTATATACAATGCATCACAACAGCAGCTTCATAAATCTCATCATAAAAGATCCAACGGACTGATAAGCAGCACGAATGGATTGAGTGATGGGTCGCGTATACATGCTAGCCATTCAAATGTAAAGAATGAAGGACTAGGACATGCTACGCAATCGATTCCACAGTATACGACGAGTATGTTGCCACCTATTGCAACTCATTCACATACGTATGGTGCGGGAGGTGGACTGTTTGATGGGGTTGGGAAGCGACAGCAACAGTTGCTTCAATCTCAATCACTTCAGCAACCACCACGGGAAAGTGGTTTTGGAACCCAAGCGCCTTTGAGATCACCGCAGAGAAAACCTGCTCGTCGGAATGTATTTGGAGTGTAGAGTAGTGTCGTGGTATTTTCATGGTAGTTCAATTGACGCATTCAATTCATGCCGAGTTTAAATTATACCCACATGATGGCAATGTTTTAGATGTTCAACATAGCGTATTGACCAAGCATATCAGAATGACTTTGTCAACAATGTGTATATTTTTATTGATCAGTATTTAGCCAGTGCATCACATATTGCTCAAACGAGAAATGAATAAAAACTCGTTCATATTCGAAGCCTATTCACTGGCAATTCACGTAAAATGGAACACTGAATAAATAATAAACATGATCGCCATACTCGAACAGACTCGACATGGCTAGCCTCTTTTATAACTGTTTTTAGATTGCAGGGGTGGGCTTGGCCGCTGAGTAAAAGGAAGGTTAGACATATGAGATGGGGGCGGGTAAGTTTTTGTCCTAATAGGAGAACCACGATTAGGATGTGATACAGCATAAGAGCTCATGGGAGGCGGACTTGGTTTTGAAGACTGTTGCCAATCTGATGGGATCATGCCATACTCATCCGTTTGCACGAGTGTCCCAGGCCCGCTGGGTCGACCCAATGTTTCATACGAAGCAAATCGAGATTGGTCCAAGTTTGGAATACTGTTATCAATGTAATACTCTTGCTTTTGGACAACGACACCAGGACCACCGGATCTACCCATAGTATCGTATGAAGCAAATTGTAGGTTATTGGAGGGTTTAGTATTATTGGAATACATGATATTTGAAGAGGCAGACTTGGAGCCATTGACAGGAAGCTTAGTGGATCCAGTTTTGTGCAACGAGACTGGAGAGTGGTCATCATCGTCAGGATAGATATACTTGTTATAGATCAGAGTTCCGATTGCACCGATTAGAATCACACCGAAAAAGGCACCAACAACATAGTAGGGAAAGTAGGAGTTGGATTGGGGACTGTTGAGAGCAGCAGCAGATGCGTCGGTAGGAGCACTTGATGTCGCAGTACCTCGGGGTGGATCAACAAGTGCTGGAAGCGTAGGTAAAGTATCACCAACATTGCGAGGCAGAGATGGCGAGTTGACAGGACTAGACGGAGCAGGTGCACTGCTAATTGGAGCGACTCTGGGTTGTGAAGGATTTCCAATGGTAACTGTAGGATTATTTGCAGGACGTACCGTAGGAGAGCTACTTGGCTGTGGAATGGCCGGAACTGATTGTGGAATGGCTGATGGGACTGACTGTGGACTGACTGTTGAGACTGGCTGTGGGGCTGTTGGCGGTATAATTGTGGAGGATGGCTGTGGTTCTGGTCCTAATTGCCGTTTGACCAAGTCAGCTAGTCTACCAAAGCTCCTTAAATATATGCCATATTCATTGCTGCTATTATTAGTAGCAATGACAGAAATACTGCCAATCAGTGCTATCAACAGTTGAACTCTCATTTGTTTGAGTATCAGCGAGGCAGTAATTGCATTTAAAGTCGTATTTACGTAAAATGAAACCCTTTTGTATTTATCTTGCAGTCATTGTTTTGGAATCACTTTAATATTTGTCTTGCTATTAGAAATTGATTTTAATCCATGCTTTCAGCTTCCTGTCTGAAATCACACGCCATACAACTACTTTTACCAAACTGTTGTCAGATTTATGAATATAAAGCTCTGTCTTGCAACATGGTTTAATGAATGGTTGCCAGATTATGTTGAATGTGTAGCTTTGTCAAGTTCAAGACACAATCTTGTCCAGTAAACTGGCCCATCATTCCACATGACTGTTTATGGATTGTCTGTTTCATTTTATGCGAATGCAGTTGTAAATAAAAAGCCAGCAGAATAATAAGTTGTCTAGTCATTCTTACGTATTCATGGGTTGGATTCGCCACTAATCCAACTCTCGTTTCAGCCACACTCGTACAAGCCACGTTTGGCAATGCAAAAGTCGGTACCCAATACCATCAACTTATCCTTGGCTTCAGTCCTCAAACAGTATGATTATGAAATAGTTACTTCATTCTAAAACAAAATCGCATCATTTTATAAAGTACGCCAAGTAGATATTTCCAAACCCAAGAGGCTCACATTTACGTTTCAGCAAAAGCTGCCATTGACTCTTGATGGCCAATAGTGCAGCTGAAAGTAGTTGCTAAAACAAATTGTCATGCCCAAAGGCGTCAGTAGTACAACCCATAGGGGTCGGTGATATACGCACCTTTGCACCTTCCGAGTTATCTCTAGATCTTTGGGTATATGGCTCTATATCTGCACTACTGTTCGTCACACCGACTTGGGTGGGTGAGCGGGCAGATACAGGATGAATTGTTTCTTCTATGCGTTTAGAATATTGGTTCATCATAGTTGGAGAAGCAGGTTGAGATGTATACTGTCGAGGTGGATGTGCGTATGGTATATAGTGTTGATGGTGTCGTGGATATGCATGTCCAGATCCAATTGCTGATGATGGCGGTGTAGGATCCATCAAACCAATTGGACTCTTGCTTACATAGTCTGATCCGCCTCCTTGCATACGCTGTTGTGAACTGGAATAAGGCGGCTGCTGTGCTGATCCTTGGGATTCAAAACTAGACAACTGTCTATGGAGAAACGCTAGTGGTGGAAGCTGTATCTTGCTATGGAGAGAAGTTGAAGGTGACTTGACGTGTGAGGGTTCTGGTTGTGATGGATATGACTGTGGCTCGTGACAATGTTCTGGAAGTGGCTGAGATGAATGGTCATGCTGTCGAAGACGTTCCTGCTCATGATCAAACTGCAATGGTGGCTGTTCTTGTGCATGCTGTCTACGCAAAACAGGCTGTTGACTATAACGATACTGCTGAGCGCGATCGTGTGAAACTCCGTTATCTATATCACCATAGTTTCGGTGCACCTGGGGTGTTGCATATTGTTGTCGATGGTAAAAAGGCGTCTCTAAATGAATTGGACGGTTATCGCCATAGCTGGCGTGAGCTTGAGGTGGCAGCGGCGGTGCGTTTTCATCCACTCGATAGTGTGATGGTTGGGCGGGATAGCCAAGATGTTCATAGGGAAAAGACTGTTGGTCCCAATGTGTGCGTGAAGTGATTGAACCATGATGAGGCTGGCTGCGCTGTTGTGAGTGATACTGATGTGAGGGAGAAGAGGAGCCACTATAGGTCTCGTATGAGAAATGGCTAGGGCGAGGCTGATAGGAATGGCCATGACGAAATTTTGGACCATGCGAAGTAGGCGAGCAAGGAGCAGATGTGCTCTGTAGTGCTAGGCTATCGGATCTCGAGGTAAAATCATGACCGCCAAGTGAATACATACCCTCAGATGGATAGTCATGGTATGGTGGTTGATCATAGGCAGAATGTATTGATCCGGCAGAGCGTAGTCCATCCCAGCCACTTCCAGATGCATTTGCATCGCCAGGAGAGGTTTGATCATTCAAGCTAGCACCACGCAATGATTCTCCAACACGATTGACATCGCGGTGGTTATTTGCAGTAATGTTGGGTTGGAAGTAGCTGTTATTTTCACGAGTTGCAACTTGAGTCCAGTGACAGATTGCATGAGCAGAAGTAGGCGAGCAAGAAGCAGACTGAACAAGACGCTCAGAGTTGGCCTTGTTTTTGGAATATATACGTCGAGAAAAGCCACTTTCCGAGCCAGAGGGTATAGGCGCAAGGCTCTCTCCGTCCAAGAGTTCAGTGGCAGCTTGACGATGTGATGGCGATCCAGGTTGAGATCCACGGGAGCGTTGATCATCTATGGCAAGCCTTTTGGGTGGACTAAATGCGCCAAAGCCAGTGCACTTTACACTAGTGCCATCACCCGACTCGACATCTGAGCCATGATAAGGTCGCTTTCTACCTCTTCTACGTTTATCCATGCCGTGCTCTTTGCGCTGATGTCGGTGCAAGGCTATTACACCAGCATAGGTAATTTTTGTACATGGATTACGGAGAGTAGATTCAAAATAGTGAACCAGCAAAAATACGATACAGGCGACAAAATTTAAGAAACAGTTAGTTAAACTCACAAAAGCGATATATCGGAAGCAGGAATATCCTGCTCCATGTAAATGATGGGAAACGGACAAGAATGGCAGCTTATGCGAGTATCAAAGATGCGGAATAGAAAGTCGACATTCAACCCAGCAAATGGTCATATAAACCGTCTATAAGCACGGTACGTGGGGCAACAAATCAAACAGCTGCATTAAAATCTAAGGAATAGATAGGATTCAATAAAATAATGAGTGGAAATGCAGTGAAAGAATTGGTATGTCACAGCCGTATCACGCCAAACGGAACATCAAATAAAAGTGCCAATTTCACAATGATTGGTGCTAATCCACACCAAATTTACTGGGCAACAGTGTCTTTTGAGCTCTTTAGTCGACTGATCTTCCTGGTGGCTAGTATGAAGACAATGTTGTAGTTTTTGGACTGTGCCATCTTTGTTCTCTTGAACTAGAGTGTATCCAAGTATTTAGACTACAACAAAGTAGAGTTGTATTGGCAACAATCCAACCCAGTATCTGGATTGCAATGGATAAATCTGGTGATTATACAATGCATGGTTATACCAAAAATGGACAAGATATTCGAAACTATAGTTTGATTTGTATCATATGATGGAGGTTGTGTTTGGAAGAATTGCAAATGCCAATCTTCAATAGGAAAATGCAGCGAGTACTGAACCACTATTCTGAAGCAAGAGGCAGTGATTTCAAAATAAACAAGTATTCCACTACAAGAATACGGCTGTGACAGTCACAAGTGGTGCGGTGTAATGCTGATGACTAACAATTGGCGGCTAAATTCATCACTATACAGCACATCCTAAGCGATTAAAAACCAACAATTGGAAGTATCCAAGCATGCACAATAGAGAGCAACGCCAGTCAAGTGACTAAACATTGCATTCACAAATGAGTGGCTATACAAAACCAACAACCAACCATATGGAATCTGCTCTAGTGCAAGTTGCATAGCTACACAAACATGGTTCATAACCCATGTTTGGCAAGTGTCAACAAACCACTTTAATAGGCCAAGACCCAGTTTTTCTTCACTGTTTGCATATGCATATGCAAGTCATGTCCAACTCTACAATCTCATTCTAGTTGCCAGTACAAAAACCACAGTTTGGAGGCTTAGTGTAAAAAGACATTGAAATAGATAAGCCAAAAATCAAGGGAGGCTCGCAATGGCAATAGTAAAAATCGTTTAGCCGAACCATTACCACATGAGAAAACACAGTGCTTGATGGTGTTCATAAGTCGGCACAAATGGTCGGGTAATGTTAAGCCCAGCCGAGCTTGGATGGCAAGGAAGACAAGTAGAAAAAACAAACGACCAAGTACGACGGATAGAGGGTAGAGAGTGGGGTTGTGGATAGTCTGAACTAGATAAATATTAATGTGTACCTGAACGATGATAGTATGTCATAGGACACAAGTGACATGTATGCTCTGGAGATCGTTCTGTTCGATGTATTTGCATATGAACGGTGAGGTTCGACTGTGTGGATAAAGTACGATTGCATATATGACAGCGATAGAGTGGCTGGCTAGTGATTTGATGAACGTTACGGCAATGGTCCAGTAAGTAAGATTTCAAAAGAAATCCTTTGTTGCATATTGTGCAGGTAAAACGAGAAGCTCCGGATGTGTTTGAGCTGTCAGCAATAGTATTAGTGGAGGCAGAGCCAGTCAAGCCATCAGCTAAAGCATCTGCAGTGGATGATGATGTGGAACTGCCGGTAACGAGCAATTCCGATGTATTTACTTCCATCTTGACAGAGATTGTGGAATCAAAACCAATGGCTGCGTCGGGTTGAATTTGATTAAAGGATTGCAGAGTACTTTCGGGCACTTTATTGTTGACAACATCAACAGACTCATCCCTGATGCAACAACGAGATGCGGATGTGCAGAGATTTGATTGCCCATGGCACACGGCGCACGCCATGGCGGATACTGACAGGACTGTGGATGGGGTAGATATAGTTTGGGGTTTGAATGGCAGGTGGGAAGTGAAAGCTGTACTGGCATCTTCTGCAGGTTGTAGGCGATACTCCGCATCTTCTGTGTGGGTGGTGGCGCTGACAGAATGATCCGCTATGGAAACACTAACTAATCCATCTATACTATGAGTGGTGACATGAGAAAGTTGGGCAGAGTCTATGTCACCATCCGCTGGGCAATGTTTCTGGTGCTTTGGACTGGATCTACGCAGGGGCACTTGTACGCTGCGAAAAATGAAAGAGGATGAGCTTGGGGAAGAGCTTGACTGTGCTGCTTGTGTTTCCTGATCGATGTTCCATTGTTGATGATTTGTGCGCTCAATTAAGTGACTGATGTTCATACTCTTTAGCTCGGCTTCCCGTTTATTTTGTTTCACTTGCTCTGTGATACCACTATCAATCGAGTAAAAGGCCGAAACTGGGGTTTCAATACAAATATCCTCAGCATGATTGTTACCACTGCCATGCATACTGCATGGGTGAGTCTTTTGCGTAGAGCTGACCATACTGTTATCTAAATTATCAGCAGAGTGATCGCGGTCCATCCCAGGATGGTTGATAATGGTCCTACTGGAAGCACTCGAATCAACAGTATTGAATGGCGAGTTAGTATATCAGAATAGAATGGGTGCACAGCCACAGTAGAGTAGTCAGAAAACATGATCAGTTTACAGACTTGTGGAGATGAGAGAAAATAGCTGTTGTATCAGCCGTTTCCAATACAAATAGCCAATTTACCAGGTATATGCAAAGGAATAAAGTAAAGATGGTATGCACGTACAAGAAAGCTGGCAGGTATCAGACTTTAATGTCTATAAAGCAAAGTTGTAGTGGGCAAAGGAAACTAGTGAAATTTGACTGTTTTTATGGCACAAACAATTTGAAACGGGTAATGATGTAAAAGCCTCGATGATTAATTTTGTTTGATTTACTGGTCCAACAAGGTTGTGGGGGTTGCGTAGTTTAGCAGGTTTGATGCTGTTCCGTCAAACTAGGTTCAAGTCAAACAGGTCAGTTGTTTTATGCCCGGTTTTACTATTTCAATGTACACAAACTACCCCATTCAACCAAGACATAATGTGCTGAGGCCCGTACAATTTTTTCGTATGATGCAAGATAAAAATAAATACTTGTCATTGGTATCTGAAAAGGAGAATAGTGTTGATCACGCGAAACATTTGTCAAACAAGGACAGGTAAATTTGTGTATTGGAGAATAATTGCGCTATTCTGATACTTGCAAGGTTGTAGTGGAGAGGCTGCATGTGGCTTTACCAGTTCTATGAAAGCACAGAAGCAGGGAGGCTTGAATTCAGTCTTGATGTTCAATACCAGTCGTCATAGTGTGCTAATCATACTACATGATGCTTGTCTATTTGCTATCGGAGTAAAATCTAATATATGCATAGCCTCAATTATAGCAAAGAGCTTTGTAATGGTTCTTGATATAGTGACTGTAATGTCAAGTAGCGCAGCATACGCCGAAATTACCCTTTTGTGATCATGCGGTCAACAAGAGCTAGCATAATGCTATGTAGCAATCTATTTATTCCCAGCCATTTCAATCCGTAATCAAGACTAACATGGCATTTTGGTGTTCTAAAAGTAATGCTAAATGAATCTAATAATGTGCTTTGTTGACCCTCATTGCTGATAATGTCAGGCGATACAAAGCTATGTAATTTATTTGGCAATATTTCTGTAATCAGATGAGCAATAGCCAGATTTGGCAGAGTTGTGCCACTTTGAACATCCATATGTTGTAATGCTGTTTGTGATGCGATTAATCACGTCTGATTGCAATGAGCGACAAAGGGCATGAGAATGCCGAGTTACTCGAGAAACTGCCAGTAACCATCACCATCAATGTGCATCATGTATTCAAGGCACTCGCGTAAATTTCATTCAACCACACTTTGGTGTGTGGTCAGGGTTTTTGGTTGTTTCTGCAACTCCCACCACCACGTTCAGTGCCCTTTTTGAAGCTTGGGAAGGGGTTTGGACAAGCAGGTTGACGTTTGTGGGCTGCAAGTTTGTCATCATAAATGAGATGGAAGGCGTCATATACAGCCTAGACTCGTGCATGATACAACGCTGCAGCCAAATATGCACGGCGCTCGTCAATATCCGGATGTTAGTGGTTTGCCTTTACGCCTGCTGGGGTACAATATTCTGGGGGAGCAACAGGATAAGTTGTTTCTTGAGACTGTCCATCTCGATTCATTCAATGAGTTGTCCATTCATACAGCTACATCTTTATTGTGTTCAATCTCGATCATTTTATAATTGCTGGCATTGTCCAACAGGACTTTGCAGTATTCCTTATGACAATAGTGAGACATTTATTCAACACTGCTCTCAACTTTATTTGAAAGCATTACATTACCAAGCAGACTGGTATTACAGCACTTTGGAAACGTGCATTTTCGGTTCGTAAAACCGCACGATTGGCTAGGCTAATGTACAGACTAGTAAAACATTAAAGATCGTGTCAAAACATGACCAATACCAAGATCACCAAGCAATTGCCGCTAAACCAAACGAGAGATCTTGTCATGTATTTAATAAAAAAGCAGCAGATTGTCCAGTAAACTGGCCGTACTAACAAGCCAGGTTGTCGTCACGGTATACAAGACACGATCAATACTCTTTCATTCAAATCAGTATTCTCTTTATCCAAACCAAACACTGCAAGTAGCCGTGTATGATCAATATGAAAGCAACATTCACACCCCCGAAATTGTAATCGTTGTTTTGAGTTGGAACGCGAACGTATATGGCTTTAGGATACAAAAATGAGCGAGTTGGACATCAAAATAGTCGAATCCAATATCTGGTGTTAAATGTAAATGCTACATCTATTAAAAAATTGAAAATGCCGATCAAGATGGTCAATCTGCAATAGAAAAGCGCAGCGAATACTTGAGCATGTTTATTCCAGAGTAAAATAGTGACTGCAAGATAAATACAAAGTGTACCATTTTACGTATGGTTGTAATCGAAGCACTTGAAATCAATAAACAGCAATATCATTCGTCTTTGCGCCAATAGTTGTAATATTTATCACCATATTCTTTCATGTTTTCGCTTAAAATATCCCATTTAGTCATGAGCTTGCCTTCAGCATTCGTCACACCGGCTTTCATCAGTTTTTTGTTGTCTTCTCGCAACCAACGCTCAACAACCAACAAAAGTGGAGAATTGTATACCAATGACTCGGCTACACTTTCGGCGTTTCCTGTAGCTGCTGCTGATACTTGACGATCGTGGATGGCTTCGTCAAGTTCCGGAAAACCTTGCGAGAGGTCTCGTACTAGATCAATCTCACCTGCCACAACGTGAGCAATATGAGTGGGCCAACCACCCAATCCATCAAAGATATGTGTTGCATAAAGAATGCTCGCATTGCGTTGAACTGTTTCCCGTTTGAGAAAGTTGAGCAAGTCAGTGCGAACAAGAACATCCAGATCTACAGTAACCTCGTCAAGAAGAAGAACTTCCCACGGCTCAAGAAGGCCTAGAACGATTTGAACTCGACGACGCTGACCATCCGATACCTAAAGTCGAATCAAGTTTAACAGATGTTGATGATCGAGTTAGATTATATTCAACCCAAACTCAAGCATTAGTTTGTGACAAGATCATAGCAACCCAACAAGACTTACTTGATGCATATGCCAGTTGGGATCCACATCTAAAATATCCAGTAACTCTGCACACCTAGCCTGATGTCGCTCTGCACCAAGCGATTTGAGAAGCCTTGAGACTGGCACATCTCGTCTCACAACTGGGTTATGTGCCCATTCAGTACCTAAATAAGTAACTCCCACAGACCCTTCATCAAATGCACGACGGCCAAGGACTCGTACATCTCCCCTGGTAAGGTTCTTGCCTGCCAAAAGACGAAGCAAAGTGCTTTTTCCTGCTCCGTTGGCACCTACGAGCAAGGTACGAGTGCCTTTAGAAAGGTGCAGATCAATGTCCTTGAGAATCAATGGCCCACCAAAGTCAAAACTGAGATTGGTAACATCGATTGCATTGTTGGATAATGGTTGACTTGACATGGCCCTGGTAACAGCTGAAGACAAAAAGGATGAGAACGTAAAAACATTTATTCAACACTGCTCTCAACTTTATTTGAAAGCATTACATTACCAAGCAGACTGGTATTACAGCACTCTGGAAACGTGCATTTTTGGTTCGTAAACCGCACGATTGGCTAGGCTAATGTACAGACTAGTAAAACATTAAAGATCGTGTCAAAACATGACCAATACCAAGATCACCAAGCAATTGCCGCTAAACCAAACGAGAGATCTTGTCATGTATTTAATAAAAAAAGCAGCAGATTGTCCAGTAAACTGGCCGTGCCAACAAGCCAGGTTGTCGTCGCGGTATACAAGACACGATCAATACTCTTTCATTCAAATCAGTATTCTCTTTATCCAAACCAAACACTGCAAGTAGCCGTGTATGATCAATATGAAAGCAACATTCACACCCCCGAAATTGTAATCGTTGTTTTAAGTTGGAACGCGAACGTATATGGCTTTAGGATACAAAAATGAGCGAGTTGGACATCAAAATAGTCGAATCCAACATCTGGTGTTAAATGTAAATGCTATATCTATTAAAAAATTGAAAATGCCGATCAAGATGGTCAATCTGCAATAGAAAAGCGCAGCGAATACTTGAGCATGTTTATTCCAGAGTAAAATAGTGACTGCAAGATAAATACAAAGTGTACCATTTTACGTGAACGCAGCTTTAAATAAAAAGTATCAAGTTGAAATAATCCAATTCCTGTCAAGCATTGTTGTTTAGCTCCAAATGTAATCTATTTTCCCCATTCACAGATCCGACACAATCAAACGAGTCTGGCAGATTGAATCGCCAATGAGATTACAACTGCATCATAAGATCGAGCATGCGTTCTTTTTAGACCTACGCTTACGCGGAGTCACGGCCAGTCTTGCTGCAGCACCAATTACGCCATCCACTCCTCGTCTTTGCAATGACGAGCATTCCCAATACTGCGATACTAGACCCTCCAAAACAAGCTTTTCTGCCTGTGGTTTAATCAAGTAGATGCTTTAATGATTCCAAACTAATTCAATGCATATTCTAGTGACATCAGATTATAATCTCACCTCTTTTACATTTTGAAATGCACCTTGAAGACATGGATCGTCACGTAGATCTGATTTTAATCCAACAAGTAGAATTGGTGTTTGGGCTGAATAATGTGTAATCTCGGGGATCCACTGCAATAAATATATTGGCTTAGATAATGCTATAAATAGCCATGATGCATTTTTAAATGAATCCGAGCTAATCTTACCTTGGTGCGAATATTTTTAAACGAGTCCAAGTTATCAATACTAAAGCAAACAATAAAAGCATCCGTATCAGGATATGATAATGGTCGTAGTCGTGCATAATCATCCTATTAATAATAAAAACTGATGTTACAAACACCAGCTTGGTTGTCAATGTGATCAAGTGGGTCTATTGGATGCACATCAACTTACTTGTCCAGCAGTATCCCACATGGCTAAATGCATTCACAGTGTATAGTATTAGATCTCTTTATACATTTCTTCAAGACAGTCTTGATTCAGCTTATTTGAAACAAATTGCTGTGAAATCAAATACAAAGCTATCTACCTAGTTCAATATTCTTTCCATCAATTTCAATAGGAAGCACAACATTTTCAAAAACTGTTGGAATGTATTCCTGTATTTAAAATAGATAGAAATCCGTGAGAATGCAAATATAAATACAAGCTATTGTGCCAGAACACAGTATACATGAAAATCATTCTATATTATCTCCCAAAATGCACTATTCCAAGTGGAATCAATAAAAAATTACCTCTGGGAATCTACCAGTCTTGAATGATGCCAACAATGATGTTTTTCCAACAGAACCGTCGCCCAACACGACAACCTTGCGTCGTGCAGCAACTGTATGACAGACTGGGAAAGATGAAAGAACGCCTGTTTTTGACGCTGATGAAAGTGTCCTTTTAATCAGCCCAGGCTGCTGTACATGAACCGAGTTCTTTTTGTATTGCAAAGAATGCCTTGGATCTTCAGATACTGATTTTGTCGAGGCTAGAGTGGTGTTGGACAAGGATGCCTGAAGATGCGGTTCTATCGCTATTTCAATCATGACTATTAAGGTATATGTGATAATAAACTGTCTACTGTGTAGTGGTTTGTACTTGAAACAACTGTTACTACTTTCCTAGAGTAAGCTAGTTTATAGCAAAGTTTTGTACTTGAATCTAGCATCGCCTCGACTGCTTGCATTTTCGTGTAGAACGCGTCCATGTTATCAAATATGCAGTAATGTAAATGTTATTTGGAATACATACGGAGGGGTGCTGCCAATCATTTACAAATAACATTTCAATGCAATGGCTTAAATTCGGTTTAAATATGAGGGGAATGGGCAAGTCAAAGGCTTGGTAACACCAAAATATACTGGGCTCGAGTATATAATATGATGCTGTTTAGTAGTGTTGACAGTTGTCGAGATTTAGAACCTATTCATATGAAATGAAGTACTAATAAGGGTGTCGGTGTATAAGAAATGGTCAACCATGAAATGATTGTTGAGTATATTGGTCAGCACTGCTCTCTAAACTTTTTGACAAAGCTACAGATTCACTGATTAAATATGATCTGCCAACCGTTCAAACAGAAATGTCGCGATGTATACAGACCCATATTGTCCATTCTCGACCCCTACAAGAAAACTATAACATAAGAATAGATTTGCTTGCTGAGCAATTTCAACCACAAAAAACTCAATGTCTATTGAACAGGCAGTCAGTTTCCAGTGGCAAGACACATTTAATCGTTGTATATTCCAAAGTAATGACTGCAAAATACAAGAGCTTTGTTTTACATGAATACAAAAGTAATTAAGCTTAGAAGTATTTTTTGAATAATTTCTCAACTGTGTCCATATTAGTTGCCACTCGAAAGTGCATGTATAGCATGCAATTTTGCAATAGTCACAGTCATGATGTTTTTCATGGCGCAGAGCAGATGTATATTTATCCAAGTCTAAAAGTTTGGGCTACTCCAGAGTACTACAGCCTCACGTGATAATATCCATATCCGCTCGTAGTTCAAATCCATGGAGGCAAGCCAAATGTGGCACTCCATTGTGCAATCAACCTAAAGATATGAATCCATGTGAGGTAAACGGCATTTTAAATTTGCAACTCGACCATCTGCAACCAAACTTTACATACCATTTTACAACGTACACGATTCGACTGTAATGACGAGTCTTTGTAGTGAAATGAACCATTTTAAAGGCAAGCCGCCTCCAAAAGTAAGTAATTGCTTTAAATCGATAGTATGACCAACTAATTGATCATGTTAGAGCTGCTTACTTGAGATATTTATAATCAAATTTCTACACTGGTATCTTTATTTTAAAATACTATAGGTTCAAACGGGCATGACCGATTATGAACTAGAAAAGATTCCTCGTGCAATTTACAATGATCCAGTGCAAGATATGCTGCTACGTGAAGAAGGATATTCCGGAAAATCTCGTCAAGAAGTATTGCAGCTGCTAAAACCACTAAAACCAGCTCATCCAGGAATCAAGGAAACCATCCAAAGTTATTCATCTATAGAATATCATTACCAGCACAATCTAGAACTTAATGCAGATGATGTATGCTTTAAAAACTGTCTACATCGTAATACATAAAACAGTATGCTGTTTAAACTAAACATATTCAATGATCGTATACAAATTCTTAGGCGACAGGAAATATTATGAAAAAAGCAGAGCTCGAGGGAGATACTCGAACTGTGATTGTTACCGACTGCAGTATTGAAATTATCAACCCACATATACATGCACCTATTCGGCCGTTTAACAAACCAAAATATCGATCACCTCTTGATCGGCCAGTTCATTCTGAAAGTAAACACAAAGCCCTTCCACCTTCTTTTCAATCTGTTGTTCGTTACGGATCTGCTGTCAACAAGCTTGCGGTGACAAGCCAGCAAACAATTCATTCATCTCGCAGACAGTGTTTTGCAATGGAACACGCTATGAAAGAATCGATTAAACCTCATGTGTTGCGATATAATCGCCAATTTGAATCTATCGAGTCAACATGCATTGTACGCGGACTCAGTTTTCGCGGACGTGGCCATTTGGATGTGCGAATGGGTTGGTCCACTGCTGCCGAGATTGAAGCAGATGACAAGGGAGATATTACTGCTACGATAAAAGAAAGCGAAAATAGGTCCAGCCCATTATATTCTGCAGAAAAGTTCTTGAATAGAGGCATGAGTTATCAAGCTGAACAGCAAAAACTCACGCCCGTGTGTCAGACTCCAACTTGTAAATCTGCCACTTCTGTTCAACCGTTGCCGATTGCTTTTCAAAAAATTGATTTGAACCAGCCAGAAATCGAACAATCTACAGACCAGCGCTCTTGGCCAGCACCGTCATTGATGCTGGAGACAATTGAGCAAACTACAGTTATTCCCGAAATACATGGTCATACACCAGTACATGATATTTCCGTTGGCATCGACACCATTTCTATTGATTTACTACCCGAACTTCCAGAAAAGCCAGCTAATGCAATCAAGAATGATGATGACCATAATGCTCGTTCATCTCCTACATCGATCGAGTTATCAATAACAGCTAATCCATGGGAAACACATTCTGCTGAAAAAGAAGCAGAAAGTATAGATGAAGAAAGCCATTCTGATTCAAGCGTGCCATCACATGCAGAATCATATGCAAACCAATTACCAGATGAACACTTTGATTATGAAGAGGAGGATGCATGGATCCGTGAACAAAAGCGTGTTCTTTTTGGAAATACAAACGAGTCAACCAAAGAATGCGTCTCAATTCAACCAACCACTCCTTCACTATTGACTCCAACTGTGGCTTCAAATCTACGTACTAATTCTGTGTCCAGTAAGACAAAATCTAAACCACATCAATATGTTGCCTCTGACTCTCATGCTAGTGATACAGAATCTGAACACAGGATACCAGCTGTAAAACCTTCATCTGGAGTGTATTCTGCCAATACAGTTGAAAATCGACCATTATCTCGTTTGGATGCACTGTTTAAGGAGCAGGATGCTGCTACTGCAGCATATGTCACCAAAAATATGCCATTAACAGACACGATTACTCCCACCATCATTTCAGCTAGAAATGAGTCGATCGCATCTTCAACAGTCGCGACTTGCATTGACAAGTTGGAGCCTGAAACCGTCATTGTGGAAATCCCCGTTTCTGTTGAGCAAAATGTTACATATTCTAAAATAACTCCAACGGTAGAGCTTGAAGTTGTTTGTGCTGAACCACTTATTCCACTCACAACAGAGGTTAGCACTACACAGGTGGAATCCCCTACTGCAACATCAACTACTAGCAGCACTCGAGCAAAAACTGTGCATAGTTTAGAAATACAATTGCCTACAGAACCCGTAGCAGTTTTACAAATCCAAACTTCAGATAGTGAACCAGTTTTGCAAACTTTAAAAACCCCGGAACCAACCACTTTTGAAAGTTGTAGCAGGAATTCTTTGCATGAGGATCATGTCCAGTCAGCAAAAAGTCTTGATACCTTGCCAGAGAAACCGTCTCAAAAAAATGAAATCTCGGTATCAGCAGGTATGGATATTAAAAGCACGGAGCGTGTTGATGAATCTCATCAAACCAATAATGATGGCTCAGTATCAAAGGAAAAAAAGCGATCGTTTGGTGCGTCGCTTTCAAAGGGTATTTACAAGCTTAAACATCTTGGCGATCACAAAAGCACGGATCATTTAAAGGAAACCACTGCATCAAAGTCTGTGCAGGATATTGATACTCAAAATACAGAGGCTACTAGTTTGGTGATACAGCCAGCAGTCAATGTTACTGTCGAGCCTGTCATGGGCACAAACGCTTCTCATTTTCAGTCTACAGAAACAATTGCATTACAAGACCAAACCGCCGCTGAAAATAGAAAATCGACCCCGACAGCTTTTGTTGCTATACCTGCAGAAACAGCAGAAACTAAAGCATATCCGGCTCCTACAAATGAATCTTCATTATCAATTGTCAGCCAACAAAAAGACGATAAGGGCTTGTCTAGACAACCGTCAGATACATTTAACGAGCATAATATTAAGCCGTCAGAAAAACTACATCATAAAGGGTTTTCATTTTCAATAATGAAAGGACTTAAAAAAAGCACAGACAATCTATCGCTCAAGTTTGGTAGCAAGCAAAATCTACCTGCCCAAGAGTCTACTGATGCTCTTGACAAGACACCAAGAGCTTCCAACGCGTACACCAAAAATAATATCACTACTCTGCCTTCAGAAACACCTGCAGATATCAAATATAGCGATATGGATGTTTCAATTGGACCAAACTCTGGACGATATTTCAATGCCATGCAAATGCATCATCTTCAAGGTGCTGATTATGAAACTTATAATAGTAATACGGTTCAGCCTGTCATTGAAAATGAGGAAACAGTAGTACTCAAATCAGATAAGATTGTTGAAGTTGATACCAACAGTAATGGAAATGCAATGGCTTTAAATAATGAATCTTCAGCAGATGTGTCTGTCTCGGTAAATGTACTAGCTTCAAAAGATTCATCCCCAGATATAGAACAATCTCGTAAATCAGAATCAGCAAAGCAGTCAGAGCCTGTCGAGACAAACGTAGTTGCAATTGATGCTCCAGAAATATCAAAAACTCCCGAGTCTCTTGATACTATCAAGACAGTTGAATCTTGCCCTGTTGCTCCAGTGATCCTACAACCTGACATACAATCAAGCACAAACAATCTCAAACAATCCACTGTCAACCTTGCACCGACTGCTGAAAACTATCTTAAAGAAAAATTCAAAGCGTCTTTCAAAGGATCCAAGTGCGATATTTCAATTAGCGAATTTGAACTCAACTGCACAGAGCAAGGAAAGACCAAAGTGTTTAAACCATATTATCCGATCGAGCTACGTCGCGTGATTGCGGTCAATTCGTCTGAAAAAGAGGTTATTTTGGATCTGTGCAACACTCGAGAAGGAAATAGAGCTGGTGGAAAGCTTAAAAGAATTGTGTATGAAATGGAATCAGCTGCTGTTTCTAAAAGATGGGCTACTGAGCTCGAGTCGTTAGTTTTTGGAGGTAATTATTAAAACTAGGCACATTTGGTTTGAATTTGATGATGTTGAATATCTAGTAAATTCATTTTTCAACGTAGGCATGCATGCAGAATCAATGGCACGATCTGTGTTGATTTTGGTGGAAAAATCAGACAAAGAATCAGGCAAACTGATTGAAAAATATGTCAAAGAGGTCATTGAAACATCCAAACGACCACTAGAAATCAAAAGTATATTAAATTTGTTGATTTGTAAATATTAGATGTCAAGATATGTGTTGCAACATATTTATAGTGGTAAACCAGTGTCGAAATTTAAAAAACTAACACCGTGTGTTAAAATCGTAGCTGTTCAGTATAATGAGTTTAGCGTTGCCAACGTGTTGACAAGCGTTGACTTTAAAAAACTGGGCAATATCGTATGCACAAATCCAGACTTTATTCCACGCATTCAACAGTTGCTTGTTCGAGAAAGATACAGTAATAATCCAGGTAAAATCTAGTATTTTCTCATGGACTGTATTTTAATTTTATCAATCGTGCTAACTGCTGGCTTGTTGAACTGCTTTAGTTGTACTTGCATGCGAAATTGATCCTGTTGATGCAGCTTTGGGGATTGTGAGATGTGAGTACATTTTATTGATTTATGGCATTAAATCGTGTTGCTCAATCTCACGTTCAAATAATCAACATATTTTCAACTTAGCATCTATCGGAAAGTCAAATATCAATGTGCTTCATGTTAGTGGAGTAACACTTAAACGAGAAGAAGGGAAAATGGGTGGATTTCTCAATAAATTCAAATAACTCTTTTTATCCGGCTTCAAATAATCATTTTAATTAGAAATTCATCATTATATATTGATTCAATATATCTATTCAAGTAGAAGTTAGTCGAAAAAGCCTCGATGCTAGCAGATTAATTTGATAAATCAATCCAACTTGACTCGTTCTGAACAAAAGTTACCTAAATGTTGTATACTGGCCAGTTGAAAAATTAGTTGGTTAGGATGTTAATCTAGACTCGAAGGATCAGAAAGAGTTGATTTATGGAATACTTGTGTCATGCGCTCAATCGATGATTGTGAAAGAGATAGAATTACTTCTTCCATTCGTGTAGTAACGGGAGGCGGTTGAGTCGCAAGGCGAGCAGTGTCGGAATCTAATGTAGGAGCTGGAGGAACTACCTCAGAAATCAAAGTATTATCAATAGCATTTTCCTTTTCACGAGCCAGATTTGACAAGGCTGATGAGACTGACAATTGGGAGGCAGTATTATCATGAAGGCTTTTCCATTGAGGATGTAAAACAAAAGTAGATTTTCTTGAGTTGTATGCGTCCAAGGCGTATTGTAATGGCTTATCAACTTGTTCATCATCTGATTGAGATCTGGTTTGCTGAGTGACAAGTGTAGCATTGATTTTGGCTTCATCAAGAGTCAGACTATAAAGCTTCCGACCAACAATTTCACCAATGTTATCCTCATGATCGTCCTTTTCAACTGCATCGGGCTGAATAGTGTTCTCCAAATGATGTGTTGCCATTTCTGAATCCACAGCTTTTTCAGTTGGTAGCTTATCAACAGAATCGAGTTCGTGTATTAGATGGTTCTCAGTATTTTGGAAATCGCTAAATACGTTTGGATCCATATCAAAAATATGCTCGGAACCAAGATCCAAAACATCTATTGCTGACGAGACTGTCGGACCATCTACAGAACTATAGTTGCTGAGTGCCTATACATATTGACGTATATAAATTATGTTTATAAATAGTCAATCATTGGTTTCTCAAAACAATAAATCAGACTTGCCTGCTTAGCTTCTAGCTCAATACGCTCCACAGATTGTAACAGTTTTATAGTATCTTCATCAGAAAAAGTCAAATCACCAATATTTAAGCTTTTTTTAGGATACCGATGAGATATCTTGGGATATGCTGATGATGGGCTAATGGCACATTGATTACAGTTACTACATGACGCTTGCAGCGGTACATTAGCGTCTTGCCGTGTATACATGGGGTTTTGAATGTCAATACTTGGTATAGCATCGTGCGTTATACTTGAAGTTTTAAATTTCGAAATCAATAAAGAGGAGGCTGGGGAAGCAGAGCGAGCTGGTAATGATATTGAATCATGCGTATTATTCAATTGATTTTGTTCAGTATCAAGTCTTGTGTTTGAAACCAAAGTATTTGCAGCAGTGAGCACGGTCTGAGGAATCTCATCACATATGGATTTGCTTTCCAAAGCAGGAGATACTGCCAATGAGTTTATAGCAGCTGTTGCCGAGTTTTGAATCAATGATGAATTTAAAGGTGCGTGTGAAGCATGTACCTCAGATTGTGGCTCAGCAAGTTTGACCATTCGCGCAGACATGGATTCGCGTAGCCGATCTAGCTCTTGCATGGTTTCAGTCAATGTTTTCTTTAGCGGTGCTCGGCTGGGTTTACAGTCGTCTATTTTTTGGCAAGCTTGGCGCATTTCCTTGTTGTTTAACAAAGTGGAAGCTGGTACAGATGCATGTGTTGATGGATGATCAGATGGCAGCGATACTGCTTGGTTGGTGAGTTTCGGCTGAGACTGAACAGAGACTTGTCGATGTTCCCATTTTGTACCCGTCCATACCCATGTATCGACATTTTGAATGGGTTGCTCAGTATTACACTCCTTTGCTGCAGCTGCCGAGACTGCAGCTGCAAGAAACTCGTTTGCATCAGCCGGTCCAGTAGATCGTAGTACATCAGTTTTACAAAGTGAATGAGGTGGAGCAATCGCGATTGCTGCAGATGGAATCAGTTGTGTATGATGACTACGTCGTTGCCTATTCTGCACTTTGCTTAGTATTTTGCTATTTATCGGCTGCGATTGTAGGGACTCGACTGGCAGCGAAAGTTCTTTAAGCGCTTGTAGTGGACATTCTGCAGGAGAAATACGAACCATAAGTTGCCCACAAGTAGATCCATCTACATTCTTGAGTGGATACCAACCATGAATTTCCCGCATTCCGCCAAACAGTGGTCTGAATGCAACCCGTGAAATGCCAATCAGTTCTTTTTTGACATCTAAACCAGCTTTTATATCGCTATTACCATCTCGTGCAACATTGAAATTTGGGATGTGATAAACATAGAAATCAATGTTTCCATCTAGTTTCAAATTTGACAAGGCACGTTCTGTTCGTGATACTGCAATCGAAGCTTGATAATGCCACAAAGGATTGGTCAACGCACCAACCACTCGGGATTGAAAGTGAGTCTTTTCGGTTTCTGGTTGGTGTGGATCTACAGGCCAGGAAAAAGAAACAAACGAGTTTGGTGGAATAGTTTGAGTTTCCGATACTTTGACAAAAGGAGAAACCATCGAGTCGGCAAATGGATCATTCATAAGTGGAAGATGTGTCGCTCGTTCAACTGATACGACTAAATTCAAAGTAGGCAGCTTTTCCAATACAGAGGAAGACTACACAGCCAATATCCAAGTCAAGTTAGTACTAGTAATAACACGAACGAAGCGGTAACAGTAAATAGATTCAAAGCTATCAAAAGTACACGGCTAACCTGATCAATCGACGCAATGGGAAGACTTTTGGATGACGGTTTAAACTCTCGATTAATGGCATACTCATGTGCATCAGTCGGAGGGGAGCTGGAGGCCACAATCTTTTGAGTGGATGATGCAAACGCAACGCGATCTTTGCGAGCAGTTTCAAACAATTTAGAGCTACCAATCACATCAAACTTTAATTGCAATTGAATTGCAGCTCCTTTCAAATCTACACTATCCGCTTGGATAAGTGGTACTGACTTGAAAAAAGTGGAGTTATGCTCAAAAGGTTTCTTTTGCATATCATCCTTATCATTTAGTTGAGATTTGTTTCGCATTAAACGATCCCGAGTTGCTTTTCGTCCTGATCTATGAGCAATTTTGGCTTGATTTATCAAAGGGAAAAAATCTACCCACGCAGATCCGATCTGGGATTCATGCCCATGATCATCAACCGTCACTACCTGCACCTCCCATAGATTATCTCGAAAATGCAAATACATCTCACGTGATAGTTTGAGTACGATCGACTTGTGGTAGTCCAGTTTCCATGAACCGTCAATACCTTTTGGATCTCGGCTTGCTGGTTCAGATTTTTCGGTTTTCCAAACAATTTCAGACTCACTTGATTCCAAACCATCAACAACTGGATATTTCCATTTGATCAACAACTTGGTATGACCTATATCATTCATGCTTTTCAAAGTGGTACTGGTAGTTGGTATGACTACATGTGAAACATCGATTGATAGTTTTAACGGAGTAAGGGTTGCAGACAAAAATGGTTCTGAACCAAGAGATTTACTGGAAAAATCTCGAGTTAGTAACGAATTCGTAAACTCTCCCAATTCCATTCCGCTTTGGAATCGCACTGATACCTGAACGGCAGCAACAATCTTTTTTTGCAATTCACTAGTGAGACGATCCAAGCCAAAATCACTACTTGAAGTGGATTGCTTGTATGCAGGATAGGCAGGCATCCATTCGTCATGCACTCCACTCGGTCGTAGCAACAATGCTTCTAGTGGAACTGTAAACTCTCCCAATAAAATACTAGTAGATATATCCAAATCAGACATATCGCCTGAAACACAGTGCCATATCTTTCCACTAGCAGTACCATTATTTCGGATCCACGATATCAAATCTGTATCTAAGCCCCGAATAGTTAGCTCCACTTGATGTGAAAACACGGGAGCAAAGGACTGAACAATTAATGGCGTGCGTATCGTTGATGGATCGTATATAGCATCCGTTATGCTAAAATCAGGATTATCTAGACTGTAATCTGGAAAAAGTGTTAATGTGATAAACACATTTGCACCAACTTGCTTTATATAATCAAGAGTCTCGCGATCAAGTCCAGACATGTTATCTGAAAGAGTTTTGATCAGACCAAGAATACCACAAGCACGATGAATACACACTTGAATGCAACACTCCGCAGGGGTAATCTCACAAGCCTCCACTTTGTCTAAATGAGCGTGATAGCTATCATCTGAAAAATCTTTTTGGGCAATATCCTGTGGATTTGAGTTATGATAGGACTCTGTTGGCCGTATAATATTTTCAAAAACAGGGGATTGCAGATGAACAACATTCTCAACATCTGCACCACTGGACTGCTCGCTAGATGGCAAAGTGAGACGTACATCAGATTTGTCAATTCCCGTAGATACGCCAAACTGTGTATACCTTACATTTTCAATTTGACTCCAAGTTCCAGCCGCAAGAAAGCCAGTGATCCATCCCTTTGATGTTCCTGAAAACGGATCACGAATAGCATATTCAGTATCTGGTATAAGAACAGGCATTTTGCTATCAACCGATTCTGAATTAATAGAGTTCAGGTAGGCATACGATGAAACTACAGAAGCAATCAATTGTGGAAATGGTAAGAGAACCAGTCCAAGTAGAGTCGTCGAGCTTCTATCGTGCATCTCCGGTGACCAAACTAAACCAACACAGTCAGAAACATCGATCGAATGAATTTCAACAACGATTGGAGACTGTGTTTTGGTTTTTAAAAACTCTTCGGAAAGTGCGAGTGGCATCGTTGTTGAAAAATGAAAATCGATAGAGTCATTTGGAGAGCGTGATGCTGCGTTAGACGAAGGCGTATATGCAATTGGAGCAGTTTGAATGGGAGGTGTAGAAGATGAAAACAATCGTATGACAAGATATAAAAAGGTGGAGTGCGATTCTTTTAGTGGCCGAATCTCTAATACATGTGCAGATTTCATCTGTAGGTGCAAGTACATGGGCTGTACAGTAGATATACCATGTTTATCAGGTGCTACTAGTGGTGATTTACTTTTCTGATTGGATAAATTAAGCTGAGATGATCTAGGCACATTGGATGATGAATTCATGTTTGGTGGTAGAAGATCGCTATTTGGTATATGGTGCGATAAACGCGTATCATTGGTGTCAACTATAGGACTGGTATAGAAATCAATGGCTATAGCCAAGTCACCAATCCGCTGCGAAGTAGAATTAGGCTGAGAAGATATCTTGTTTAAAGAGCTTGAAAGTGTGGATTTTGCTGCCCCATTTACTGGCTGAGGAAGTTTGGATATATCAGTTCCCCAAAAATCCACTTTACCTTGCCAGTCTAGTTGTTTTGAAAGCAAAAATTCTTTGCATTTAAGAATACCAGTTGCAGTCCATAGCTGGCTAGCACTACCCAGCAAATTATCTCGATTTCCTCTATTAGATGTGGAATATCTAGACACTGGAACATATTTGCCTGTTCCTTTCGACATCAGACCTGTCATTTTGAATTGGCAAAGTTCATCAGATAATGCAATAATTGATTGCGTGTCGTTAAACTGGATTGGTATCGAAATAGACTCTTGTGTTGTGTACATTACAGGGTTTTTAACAAAATCAGATCGATTCGCTATAGACTTTTTTGCAAATTGGGTTCCAGATGTTTTCGTAATAGTAGCGTTTGGCTGAAATCGTAATCTTCCTTGCAAAGGAGTTTCACCATTGAATGAGGGAAGCGTATACTCGAGCCAAACAACATCTGGCATCAGCTTTGACGGATTGAGTGAAAGTGATGTAAAATTGATGCGGCACGAATGAGAATCCTGAATCTTTTTGTGAAGTAGATTGGAAGAGTTACGGATAGACATATTCTGACGAGATGGCATGTTTGCATCAGAAGCATCAGCAAGTTTGAAGTTTAGCGTGTGTAAAAGGTTTTTATCAATGCTCTCGTCATCACTAAACTTTTCACTGATGGAACTAGTGCGACTTGCATCAGTACTAAGTTGATATGAATCGTCGTCAATAACCAAAACACCGTCTCGATCTAATAGCTGATGGCCAGCTTCAGACTTTAATGCCTCGATAACATAGTGATCTGTTAAAATACGGTCTATACTTTCATCACTGGCATAGGAGTCAAGATCAAAAGCAGATTCCAAGTGGCTAACATTCTCCAAATCAACAGCATCTCTGGCTACATTTTTTACAAAATCAGCTTTGCCATTGTCAGTCATGTTATCATCGATTATAGCACTTTTTGGTTCTCGCTCTGTTGCATGCATCTTATTGTACACAGGTCTGGACTCAATGGTACTTGTAGAAGGTAGTGCAAGATCTATTGAATTTTTTAACCGTAATGCTATCTGCTCGATATTGTCTAAAAGCCCAGGGTTGCTCCTATTTCAAATAATATACATGAGTCAAAGTATTAAAGCCAGATTGGAAAAAAGCATACAATCATAAAAATGCTTTAAACACAAATTGCAAGTTAAAAATATGGTATTCTTACAATTCTGATGGTTTTGATTGCAAATGGCTATTGAAACTTTGTGAATTTTCATCCAGAGATTGTTTGAATATATGATTTTGAGCTATAGGATGAGTATTTTCAGGTTGACTTTGATCATGCATATCTGGAAATATTGATTGGGTTGAAAATGCTAGATCTGTATTGGAAAGGGATAACGGGATTTGATCCACATTTTCTGGTACTGATCCAAAATTAGAATCTGATGATTTGTATTTAAAATTATCGGAACCAGCAGGTGTATCATGAGCATTCATGCCTTGGGTCATGGCGAATTTAGATGGTTTTGAATGTATATCAGTTTGGGGTAGTAAAGATCCGGCCAATCCAGCAAGCTTTGTAGTTCCATGTGAACTCGGAGTAGTATGAGTAGGAAGAGAAAGAATTGCTAACGAGACTTGAGCAAGTCCCAACTGCATATTTCGATGAGCACCTCGTCGCGAGTGAATAGGAAGTATTCCATTAAAAGATTTGGCTGGATTAGCAAGAATAGAGGGCAAATCTTTGACAGATACATACCCAGTAGATCTGGCATTGCGAATTATTTCAAGTTCCAAAGACCCCATATCAGCCAAGTATGTGTTGAACTGCCGATGCGAGCAAAGGATTTGATATGTCATGGTGCTGACAGATTTTGGAGAGCTCAATGCACCTAGTTGGTGGCCAAAAGAGACTTGCAATGCAGAATGATCGTATGGCTTGGAAAGTGAAAATTGTGCACCAGGCTGTCCGATACATGATGGCGGATACAGCAGATCTGTCGAATCAGCTCCCCACCAACGCACTCTCACGACAGTATCGTCATGACCAAATCCTGATGAACGCGACCGACTCAAAGGACGATGAGAGAAGGCAGTATGGCTCCTCTTTGGTATGAATGTACCAGTTGTAGCTTTTAACGTAGTGTTACTCGCAGTAGTTGAATTGGTGTCGAAAGTAGTATTTTTCCCGGGCCGAGAGCCAGGCATGGCCAATGCATGCGCTGAATCTGGCCCTACACTCTGCCAATAGACTGCATCGACTCGAAGTTCCAGCAGAAACTTTGCTGAGCCGGGAACTTTTGGAGGCAAAGAACGCATCGACCGATTCGTAGTGACATTCGCTTTTAGTTTAGATGTTGGTGCATTAATGGCAGAAGCAGGAGCAGACAGCATGGAGTTGTTGGCTACAAATGGTGCATTTACTGAGTTGATGGCAGAATCTGGCTCAACGCCATCTGGTCTTATCGGTTTGCAATCAAAATGAGACGCTGTCATAAATATGTAGATTACAGATCCAGAGTTGATGCGCACTACAAGTGGATAAGCCAACCTACAGCTCAATACTTTTGAATTCCACCAATTCACAAAACTGATTAAAATCAATTTCAATATGCGAATATTGAAATGTTGTATTTTGTACTTGAATCTCATCTTACAATCCAATGTTTTGCTGAATCATTCCAGCAACAGTATTTGTAAATAAAAATGAATGTTTCAATCGTGGTTTGAATTGTCTTTAAATTTATATACATTGATAAAGAGTCTATGCCATTGCCAACATCAATGCATTAATCACAACTAAAAGATTAAAAAGTATGCATAGCAATTGTAGTGTGTAAATGTGTTGAATGTGTTTCGAAAATAGCAAAAATCATTCTTCTGCATTATCAGTAGCTTCATGAATACGATCCAGGTGGGGAAGCACTTCACAAAGTGGGAGAAAGAGTGTGAACTCCAGCGCTGTGTAGACTTGAAACTCCAGTGCATACACATCTTTTGGTGATATATCCAGCACCTTATCTACAGTCTTGTGATTGTACGATACAGCCCATTATAAAATATATGGACCAGTTCCAAACGCAGAGTTGACATGTAGGTAGATTTAGTTGGCTTGAATCGAACAGGTAAAATCACAATGATAAAAACAATATCGCATATATGCATTCAACAAAATAAAGTGTATTTACTTGGAGTAATCTCGTGTAGTTGGAATCCTTTGGATCGTTGACCTTGACAGCCAAAAGCAAACAGACAGCTACTCCATACAACATAATTAAAAGTTTAGCAAGATCATCACATTAATATACAGCATCAAGTTTCTCCATAAACTATTACGTGCATTCCAGTAACCCACCTCCCATGAGTTTACGATTGCTCTTGTTTACAAAATTACGAATAATGAGTTTTTCAAAATAAACATATGCAGTAGCTACACTAGATAATTCCAAATCCTATCAAATAGTGTCAAAACTAAACAAAATTGGTCGTCAATCCAAGTTAATGCATAAAGTCTACCTGTATTTGTGCAATTTCAAGTAGTTTTTTCTTGAGATTTCTGATCTGACTAAGAGTAACAGTCGAGTCAATATCTGGATGTTTTTCCTTGAAATGCTCATTTAGCTCGCGCTGAATATCAGATGGTTTGCTTGGTTGAATGATTGTTCCCTAAACCATATGAAAAAATTACAGTAATAGGATATTAAAAACCTCAGTTTAAAGGTAATATACAGAGGCATTCAATCGATTGTAAGTATCAATTACCAAAAAGCATGGCAGAGTAATAACTGTTTTGTGTTTTCCCATTTTAAGATCTGGGTCATCCAAAAAGTATGGATTATATGATGAACATTCAGCTCCTTTGGAACTATAAAGTCGGAGTTAGTATACTTTAGTCATGCAAATCTACATTCAACAGATTTTGAGATATACCTTAGTGTAAACGCTGGTTCCAGTAGATTTGCAAATGACTCTGCCGTTTGCTGTATGTGATGACATGAAAACAGAAATTAGCAGCGCAGAATGACAAATCATTTCTAAGCGGTATCTACAGTCCAGTCAACAAACCTTTTTTCGCTTGACAACTTCTATTGCCATTCCCAAGCCAATACGCTCACTGTTTGGGTTGTTTTAAAAAAATACACAGTTGGCATACTTTTCCAAATCACAGTATCTTGGTATATTATCAACCTACATACTAGACTTACAGATATGGATTTACAGAGTATTTGGTAAGTGATCCTTGTTTCTTGACCACGGTCCTGACATCCTTGTATGAAATTACTGAAAAGAGTCCAAATGGAGATCCCTACTCGAAATAGACATCAAATTAATATTGGCAGCTCTATTCAATAAACAAGATTCAATTGCTCTAGGAGCAAAGTTTAATTACATTTGAAGTGACGACTGTTACGGGTATATCGTTAAATTGCTCTAGAATAACTGATGTTGCATTCAAATTGTCACCCATGATTTTTGAAAGCGTATTTCCGCGTACAATAGTGTATCCGTGGTATTGAGTATATGCTGACGCTCTTGGAGTGGGACGAGTGCTTGGCATTGGGGTATTATCATCTTCCATTTCATCTCCTGCACTGAAATATTGCAGTGGCGATGATACCTGGGATAGTGATTGGATGATTGGCTGTGGTCGCAACTGACTGATACGACCGACAAAAGGATGTTCACTCATGCTTTGAAGACTCGAGTTTTTAAAGCTGACTGTCGATGCTTCAGCCGGCGTTGTCAGGCTTGATAGAAATCCCAGAGCTGCTCGCTCTTTGTTGCTTTTAGGTTGCTGAAAGTCTGCATTTTCTACATCATCAACAGAAGCATTAGCCCTATTGACTCCTATGCTGGGTTTAGGATCAGAATGAAGAATGTCCATTGCTATTTCTTCCTGCATCAATGGTGGCACATTGTCGTGGTGACTGCCATATGCTATTTCACCAACTGTGTTGGATGAAATGCCTAATATCGTAGATGGAGAGTTGTTGGTTGGTAGAAAAGTTGAAGCGGGCTGCTCTGATTGAGGTTTAACAATTAAAGATACTTTATTCGACTTTGAGGTTGTGGTGTTGGCTCTAGTATTACTTAATGTCAAAGGCCGATGAGAAGCACTTCCAAATGCAACATTCCGCAAGAAATTCACTGCAGCATTCTGGCGGATGGTCGGTTTAGAGTCCTGGGCCATCTCACCAAACCCTAATCTTCCTTTATACTTTGCTAGCTCAAAGTCAAAAACTGAGCACAAATTGGTGATCTTAATCATCTTTCCTGAGGATCGGTGTTTGTAAATCATTTCTTTCGCTGCACATTCATCTGCACTGTTGGTCCAACACCTCCAATGTTCTGATCAAAATCAAATCCATCATCAATCCTTTTCTTAAGCTCGGTTGGAGCCATCATTGCCTGCATTATATTTGAAATAGCAGATCTGTTTGGCTTGGGTGAACGCGGAACAACAGAAATACTGCTATTTTGAGCACTATACTGCGAGGGTGTAGCACTTGGTCCTATACCTGATGCTGTCAAATGTGCCGTATTGGATGTATATTGGGGTGAAGGAGTTGCCGTCATATACATGTGTGACGATCGGTCTGGTGGTGCTTCAATATTTGCCATAGGCTTGGTATTGGTATTAGAATCTGGGATGTTAAAACTGTTTTCTTTTTCAACAGCTCTTGGTGTCCTACCAGAAATCACCTGCAAAGTAGATGTCGAAACAACACTCGAGTTTGACCCAGGCTGTGATGTATATTGCATATTCTGTACATATCTATCGAGATCGTTTGAATTGCTTGCAGGTCCATCATGGGCTTTGGAATCGGTATTGTCATGATCGCGAGCACCGAGTTGACTGATGGATTTCTGATGCATACTATAGCTAGTGCTTGGTGCCAAATGTTGATTCTGGGGTCCAGAGTGAGTAGAAAGTGCATCTAGTTCTGCCAGTAGGTTTACTTCTGCTTCTGTTTGGTACTTTGCTACTTGAATACTACTCTGACGGCGCGTATGACTGACAAAGCTACTTCCTCCCAAAAGTACTTCTTGTTTGCCAATATCACTGATGGTTCGTTTTGCCGAAAATGATGGTGTCATATTAGATGTTTGTTTTTTGATGCTGGCTGATTGAGCCGAAATTCTGGACGCTCGACCGTTTTTTAGACTATTAAACTGGACATCATCTGGGTTCTGTTTCAAGTCATTGTATTCAGTTGCTACTATTTCAGGAATAGGAGCATGGGTCAAAACTCCTGAATTTGGTAAAGTGGATTTTTGTTGCTGCACTATGGATTGACGTCTATCTGCAATGGTGTCGGGATAAGGCACGCCAAGTCTGTTTGGATCGTCAGAAAGCAAATTATTGGTATTTTTATGATTGGATCGAAGCTTGATAGCTTTCATCTCAAACCCTTCTGGTAAAACAGTGTCCTGTATAGGAGTTTCGGACGTGTCTTTTGAGACAACCGTAAAGCGAGTGGGAGATTGTCGAATTGCCTCTTGCAGTTTCTCATCGCTGCCCATAAATTGTTTAATTGCTTTTTGAGTGGCAGATGCCATCATTTCAATAGAATCGGTTATGTGTTTTTCGGTTGCAACAATGTTTGAAATACTAGCTGACAGTACTTGAGATCCACTAAGTGGACGGGTTGCATTCAATGGAGTTTCACGAGATTTATTCAGATTTGGATTGGAACTGGAGTTGATATCGATTCGCAATGACTGTGATTTAGCATGGTCATCATACCGCTGTATTTCTTGTCTTTTTTGCTCCTGCATCTGTTCATTTATTGCACCTTGACCAACTGTTGCGACAGCCAGACTAGTTGGTACAATCAACTTTTGATTTTGTCGTTGCTGTTGTTGATTGTATGCACTAATATCAGCGAGCGTGCGTATATTACCGGGTATTCCATTAGAGGCTGGAATATAGCCGGGATCATTTGGAGGAAGCATGCTACGCCTTTTTTGTGCAACGGCTTGGTTTCTCAAATACTCTTGCAAGATGGCCTCTTCCATCGCGTCTTGCTCACTCATTTCAGGTGCGGATGGTTTTTGTGATTTGATTTCAGTACAGTGAGTATCTACTGGAACTATTTGATTAGAAGAGTGTTGGTGCACATTAGGTTCTAGGTTCAAATGAGCGCCAGTTGCTGATTGAGGCAGTGGTACCTGGGAAGATGGCGAATGCTGTGGAGACCGCTTGTTTGAATATTTTTCCAAAAGACTAATTGTTCGAGAGCCATGTCTCCATTTTGATTGTAGTCGTAGTGCTACATTGTTGATGATGGGTGCCTGTGGTGTAATTAGAACGATACTCTTGATTTTCATGTCTTTTACCAATTGGATTGTAAAGTAGTCTTGGGTTGACTCCCAGCATATAGACTCCCAAACAAAAGCATGCACATATTTCTAATGCACGTCAAGAGTGTTCAGGTCAATAAAGTATAATATCAAGCAAGATTTGATCGTGAACAATAATATCAGTTGATTGGTTTCAACTTACATGCAGATCTGCATCAATAACCACAATCCCGTTATAGTTCAAACCAATAAAGTAGTTTTGAGTACGGTATTCAAAAAACCCAGAAGGTGGCAATTCCATGCATGCAGGAAAAAATGAGCAGCCATAGCATGGCCATTCTCTGACAATTTCCAAGAACCTGTTGGACCAAGTTAGCTTTATGGGTTGGTGCATTTTTGTTTTTGTTGGTATAAATCTTACGTATTTCTTGCTTCTCGAGAATCTAATCCTTGCCACTGTTTGTAGCTTTTTAAAATGGCCTCTTCCCATTGAACCGGTTTCATTTTTTCAGGCATTCGAACCGGTATCAATTGTTCATAACGATCATCGTTTCTATAGATATGTAGGGTATTTTTGTTAGCAATATGTTTAAATCGCATATATTCTATTACCATTGCTGATGCCTGACCAACAGCAAGTATCAATTTTACATTAGTGATCCGGGTGGAAACTTTCCCTCGTTGAAATCACCATAAATAATCTGCAGTTGTATGGCGGCTAAAGCTGCTGCATCTGCTGGGGTGCAGATCCATCGTCGTGTAAGTACATTTCTCTTGGCCTAGCGATGGCAGTTATGTATCAAATAATTCAACGGTAAAAAGCACGTCAGATTTCTTTATACCAAAGCTAGCATACATTTTTAAACAAGCTTTGATCATAAAAACAAACTTCTCCGTATAGCAGTCGAATAACAGGATCGGAAGGATGTCCAGTTTCTTCTACAAGAGATGCAGCTGCTTCACGACGATATATAAACCAATGTCGGTTTATGGGATGAGATGGGTTATCTGCTTCAGGAAAATGTGTGTATTTCATCATCCTAAATAAAAGTAGTATCAGCATACATCAAGTTGAAAATAAATGGTAACAAGCTTACCATCGATTCCAAAAGATCATCAAAGCAAAAATATCCTGCTTGGGACGAAGTTGCAATTCTATCAAATGCAAGCATATTTTGCAAAGAATTGAAACACACGATCCAATCCAAATATTAGTTTCTAGAAAAGCAAGCACTTGAGCAAGATATTCAAAACTTTACCTAGATCTTTCGACACGACCCATAGTCCAAAAAGATTAGCCTCCTGAGATGACAATCCTTCTTTTTCAGAAATGGCTTCAGTAACAACCTCGGCTTGCAAGTTACCAGGCTCAAAACGGGCTTGAAAATCGTGCTCGGCATCTCCATTCAGGACACGCACACGAATGCTAATAAACTGTACCTCTCGTTTGGCATTTAAATGTCGCTGAAGTGGAGGCCTCCATTGCGTTGTTTGTGATGCCTGATTTACAGGTGTGTCTGCTGCGGATTTAAATCTATCTATTGTAACGCCTTGTTTCTGGCTGGTTTCTGCTGTATTGGTCAACACTTCTCGGCTTTTAGATATTCCATCCATCACTCGCGAGAGTGTATTGCTACGCTTCCATTTGGGCTCGGCCATCCTCACAAAATGCTATAGATTAGACCTCTATTGATTAATAAATTTTAGTTTTAAATCCAATAGCTGTTTTGCGTTAAAAAGTTTAAAATTCGGCATCTGCTGACATATGCACTGAATTTGTGAAATGTGGCCCATCCTCAGGTAGTGAGATGTTTTGGTAGATTCAAAACAAATGATGCGTGTAAATCTCGTTTGTTTTGGGTCTATTCATACTGATATTTACAGCTGTATTAATTCCTTGCAAATAGAAAAAATGCAGCTCTGTTAATGTTGGAACAGTACTTGTAAGTAATATGAAAAGTGGTTTAGATTTCATTGTACAAGTATTGTAAACCTAAATGTAATTCACGGATACTATAAATTCGAAAATTCAAAAGAAATTCATTCATAATGTATCATAGTGAAAAGAAAATGTGAATGTGTTAAAGTTGAGAGCACTGGTGTTGTAATGACTATTATTGACTTGTAGTTTTTTATATGACGAATACTTTACAACAATATGCAACTAAATAGGACAATCACGAGTTATTTAATGGTAAATTCAGATTAGAAATGAAATCCAATCTCCATTTTTGTATTCATGTTGCAGTGATTGTCTTGGAATAAACAATGGTTGGATATTCGTTACTTTTCTATTAAAAACTGACTTTATACATTTTCAATTCAATAAACACAATGTCCATCATATAATACAGTCAAATCATAGCTTTAAATTGAAATTGCCTCATTTGACATAACCATGCATTGTACACTCACCAGATTCATGCATTGTAATCCAGGCATTGAGCTTGACTACTCAATTAAACTCGGATACGTTTACAATCTAATTCAAAACCCCAAAGACTGCAATCTCGACAATACACTGTTGCTTCCATGCCAATGACTAGAAGAAATATCAACAGATTGGGTAAACTATTATTTCATCAGACTGGTTTAAGATTGCAAAATATGTGTTGATTCATGACAATCTATTATTGCTTCAATTATTCATTTCGACATTCTAAAATACAACCATCAAGTAACAGTACAGGGTTTGACATTGAATCAACTGACTTGGCTTAGCTTCTACTTTAAGTAGAATGAGTCTATTAAGAATGCAGACATTTCATCGACTACTGGTCAACACAACACAAAAAAGCCCGAGTCCAACCTTGTTGAAACACTTGGATATAAGAAGCCGATTTCCAAGTGTCTGGAGGAGCAGCGCATCAACTCTTCGCTACCAACCACTATCAACTATTTTCTGCCAACAAGTATCATTCCCAGATATTGGTCTGTTTCGCACTGCGGTTTCCAACATATCCAAAATAGCCATTGCGATTCCATCCAATAACAATACATCGAATTCAAGCAAGACTGAAGCCCATTCAACATGTGAACAGTTTTCATATGGCGATCTGCTCCATGATACTGTGATAATACAGAGCCTACTGCTATATGCAAACAAAAAGACTCGTTCAAAAATCAGCGATCTCAAGGAACAGCGAGTGGCATATCTGATGCCTAGAGGATATGACTATGTGAAATGCATGTCTGGGATTTGGGCCGCAGGAGGAATTGCTGTTCCGTTATGTAAGACTCGATGTGTTGCTCAAAAAAGAATGGACTATAATTTACCATTTTACTATAACTAGGCTCATCCCATCCTGTTCAAGAATTAAGCTATACAATCCAAGATTCGGGTGCAGAAATTGTCTTGTACCATTCCACATTCAATGATCGGATTACCGACCTAAAACGGCAGCTTCCAAATATTCAATGGATTTCATCTAACGAGCTTACATTATATCAAAAACCTAAAGTAGTGTCATGTTTGTATGATATCCATTACATTGCTGTTTCTAATACTATGCTTTAGGCTATTGACGTGGAGCTTCAAGATTTTGATATGTCTAGGGGAGCAATGTTGATTTACACCAGGCATGTATGATTTTATTTGTCGCTTCTTTCAATACGTGCTGGCAGTTCATGTGTACTAATGAATCAACCATCAGCGGTACGACAGGACCTCCGAAAGGAGTACTTTTAACTCATGCTGGTATAGATGCACAGATTAAATCTATGATCACAGCATGGAAATGGACATCCAAAGATCGCATCTTACATGTGCTTCCATTGCACCATATTCACGCAAGTTTTACAAGAAATTGCTTTATACATTCTACTTGAATATCTATATACATGTCTATTGATCTATAATCAGTCATGAAAATGCTTACAAGACTACTTTGGGTATATTTTGTTTGGTCTATTTAGGGGATCATAAATGCATTACTTTGTGCATTATGGTCCGGTGCGACTTGTGAGTTTACTGCAGACTCAAAATTTAATGCCAAGGATATATGGCAAAGATGGGAGTGCTCACAGCGAGATCTAACTCTTTTCATGGCTGTGCCAACCATTTATGCCAAGCTTGCTGCATCTTTTGAAGAAATGAGTGTCGAAAAACAAAATGAATGCGCACAGATATGTAAACAGTTTCGGGTCATGGTCAGTGGATCAAGTGCACTTCCTACATCTCTATTTCAGCAATGGGAAAAAATCACTGACCATAGGTTGCTAGAAAGGTAACGGTTGATGGTATAAATTAGATTCGACAAACTAAGCAGACTATAACGTGTCTTGGTTTTAAATGCATGTAAATATCAGATATGGAATGACAGAGGTTGGTATGGCTTTGGGAAATCCACTGGAGGGGCCACGTATTCCTGGAGAAGTAGGCAACGTACTTCCAGGCGTTCAAATCATGCTTCAATCGCCCTCCACCTCTGCTGACATCACGCACATACCTGATGAGCCAGGCTCACTTCTCATTAGAGGACCGCAAGTTTTTTCTAGGTATTGGAACAAACCTGACACGACTCTTGAATCTTTTGTTGAGCCAGGACATTGGTTTAAAACGGGTGATGTAGCGTGCAGAACTCAAACTGGCACATTCAAAATTCTCGGTCGTGCTAGCATGGATATTATTAAAACAGGTGGATTTAAAGTATCTGCGTTGGATATTGAACGTGAATTGTATGATCATCCAGATATTGAGGAAGTAGCAGTTGTCGGTGTACCGGATCCCGAGTGGGGAGAACGAGTGGGTGCTATTGTTGTTCAAAAGAACAAGGCAAGTTAAAGTGTTGTTTCAATTGAATTGCTTTATGTGGATAAAACTCATTAAAACTTTCGAGTGAATTCAGACTCGGACCATTACACTCGATTGCCTTCGATCGTGGCTTACATCTCGTCTTGCATCCTACAAGATCCCAACAAAGTTGGTGTTCATTGAAGAGATACCTCGAAATACCATGGGCAAGGTAGACAAAAAGCAGCTCATCAAGCTATTCTCCACAGAATAAAGCATTGTTTTGAAATAATTGTAGATCCAATAATATTTTTGAAATAAGCTGCTACACCATATTAATGTAGAATATATAAAGATCAAACATTGTGCATGCTGAAAAACAGGTTTATAGTCAAAAGCAGGTGTGTGCGGAAAAGTGAGAAATAGAGTGATAGAGCAATAGTAAACTTGCTGTTCGGATAGTTGATCTGATGCTAAAATAGTAAATTAAATCAAGATTGTTAGCAAACACTGACATGATAATAATCTGAACCAATAATGATCAATAGATGGTTTCAAAGATACGCACTTGTTTATCGCCCACGTCCTCTACCACCAGAGAAACCACCACCACGACCACCAGAGAAACCACCGCCGCGACCACCAGAGAAACCGCCTCCTCTACCGCCGGAAAATCCACCTCCTCTACCACCAGAGAAACCACCACCACGGCCACCAGAGAAACCACCGCCGCGACCACCAGAGAAACCACCACCGCGACCACCAGAAAAGCCGCCGCCTCTACCGCCGCGACCGCCACGTTTCTCTACCATGCCTTGGCGACCAAGTGGCTTAGATACTACGCAATGATTCAAATTAGTATTAGCAATACAATATTCAATATCAGATCTATCCTTGAGCAGACCTACCTTTTCCACCAGGAGGTTTAGGTTTAGTCAAGAACCGATCCAGGGGAAGCAGTTTATCTGCAGCAATATAAACCTTGTCCTTGGGCTTGAAGCTTGTTGCAACAACACCATCTTGCAATTTCACGGTAAAGAAAACTTCGTTCATTGGACCGAGAATTTCATCAACCTTGCCAATTTGAGTCTTGTTTTCAAGGTAGATGGGAGCATTGAAGTATGGAATTTTGGACTGTGTGGGAAGACGAGCACAAACCATTTCTCCTTCGCAAGGATGCATGAAAGATCCCATTTCTACACATGTTGACATATAGAGGTTAGCAATGTGCCGAATAGGATTAAAGTGCAGCAAATCAATGGATAGGATGAAAGTTGTCTAGACATTGCAATCATGATCACGGCAAAAGATACGAATATCTCAATTCAGATGCACACATTTTGATATTTAATTGATATCAACAGTATATCCACATATACTGACTAATGGATGATGTTATCTCGACCCAGTTCAAGATTGCTAGCTGAACAAGAAAAATACAATGTCACGGCAATCGTATGCTCACCAACAACATAATCGGGAGGTCCTTGAGGAGCACCGTATCCACCATATCCACCACGACCACCTCCTCGGCCGCCACCTCGACCACCACTTCCTCCTCTGAATCCACCTCGTCCGCTCATATATGCTGTTGTAATGGATTCGAGATGTGTAGTTTACAAATTTGGCCTTCATTTTTTCTTTTTGGAAAATTTTGTCGTTTCTCAACCTGAGGGTATTTTGTATAAACTGCTATATTGATCAGCTACATCATAATAACTAGACAATTAAATCGCAAGCTCAGACCGACAACGCATTTAGGCACTTTTTAATGTTTCTGATCCATTTTCCTGATTTAAAAAAACATCATGACTGTTTTCGTCGACTGCATTGGCAATATCTCCAAATAACTCCTCGCCATTTGGTATTTTGATCATTTTGCATGCAGGGAAAACCATCTCACTTATAAACACCGATCTTAGTGAGTTGGAAATCAAACTTGTCAATTTAGGCAAGTCCTTGACTTTGGTGCGATGACCTAGCAACGATCTCACGTCAAAATCGAGAAGAAAGTCGTCTAAAACAGACACCGAAACGTAGGTATGATGGCCTAAATCTGATGTGCTTGTTTCGCTTGCTTGTGATTTATATAATGGCTGTTGGCAAACTGGAAGAATGGGTTTTGATACAAACTCGATGACAAACTATTTTGATCAGCGTGGCAATCAGTGCAAGATGTAAGCAAGAAATTCCAATTCAATAAAATCAATGAAAATAAAGCTTACAGTTCCAGAGAATTTAACTATAGAAAGAACAATTGAGATGGGCAAAGCAGCCATACCAGGCTTGGGGTAGTTGATGAGCATTTGGGTATCAATGCCCAATGTGAGCTGATCGTCAAATGAAAAGTCGACATGTATCTTCTGTATTACCAGGATTGCATTAAAATGGATTAGGAATATGCGCAATAGATCGTACAGGTTATTGAGCTGTGACTGTTTTCAGCAGCAATATTTCTTACCATTCCAGACTCGGGTTCAGCAAATCTCACTCGGGCGTTTTTTAATGTAGGATATTCTTCTCCAAGCGAAAAGTTTGTAATAGATATATCACCCTAGAGAGTAATCAGTACGGATGCGCGCATCAGATAGTTTTGAGCAAAAACTTACTAAAAAGCTAGGTTTCCATGCACTATTCAGGATCGAGTCAAGCATGCTCACACTTTTTAATCCAAACTCGGCATCTGTTCTTAATGTTAAAAGAAACTGTGCTATTAAAATGTTTAGCCAATTGCAAGATTCAAATGGATGCTGACTAGTGTTATAGCCAATTTTGCCTAAAATCAGCGAGTCAATAGTCCGTCGTTGCTGAGCTGAAACAGGTTTTGGCTAAGATGCATACGGTAGTAATATAGAGTTGAATGAAATCATTAGATTAGTGCATTCAAGACATGTTTATGAGAATGATCCAGTAATGATTGAGCCTCAAAGGATTCCGTTTAAATTCAAACAAAACAGTATCTAAAAATTGCGGACTAGTACAGCACAAGGCAGAAAGTGCATGACAGCTATAGAAGGAGTATTGGTTGAAAACTGCGATATTTTACCTTTGAAACAGCAATGCGTTGATGCATTCGACGGACGATTTCCTGGCTGGTTTCATCTGAATTTCTAAATAAAAAGACCTTGAGCAAGAAGAAGAAGAGAATGCATAGGATGATCTGTCCAGCAATAAAACCCTTGATGAACTCTTTGTTAGCGAGCTGCACAGCAGCTTCAATAGAACGATCCATTTGATACAAGATCGCACGAGAATGCAGCAAGCGGAGCAATGTTTGGAAGAGTTGAAACGTGGAATTTCAGGGAGTTTTCGAGTTGACTATTATTACAAGACATTCATATACCATTGGAGCTCATTGCGCTACTGACTACTATTCGACCATTGATATACGTATGGAATTGGCAGACAGTTTGGTTAGAAAAGACTCGCAAATGTCAGAGCATTCCAACTCCAGTTCCGACCCAACCAGTTTCAATGCCAACACTCTGCCAACTTCATCTTTGGCAGATGACGCAGCAGACAGAGTTCAGAACATGTCCTTGAACCAGTCTGGCGATCGCATTCCACCGCAGTCAACTCTTGTTGGCCAGCAACCGTCCATCATGGCTCAAGAGTATGCAGTTTGAAGACTAGTTTGATACAACACATTGCTCATGCAGTTGAGAATGCACTTGTCAGGCCTTTGATTCCATGTTCTAACCAATATTTTCAATATTTAGTTTTCGTAGACCATCATTTCAGACACATGCGGCCCTCCCTCCACACTTGCAGCATTTCAGACCAGTTGTCAACCCGCAAGGCTCTTACCAACATCCTCCGCATTTGGTTCGGTCTGGATCACCTGTATTGGTACCGATTGCCAATCCAAGTCCCGATGCGCTGCGTCATGGCACTGGATTGCGTTTATCATCAGCACTTCATCCATCATCCCAACATATGCAAGTCTGGCCATCTGATAGAGGGAATGGCGGCCACTTGGTTCGGCCTCCTGCAAATCAAACGGGTTTGTTAATGAGGGCTCGACCATACTATGCTCATCCACCTTATCCACCTATGCAGTCAGTTCATCCTTCCAACAATCAAGGTTTATCTACTGTTTCTGACCCTGTTCCAGGTGCTTTATCCAATGGCTCGCAACCAATCGGACATCAGCCATCACATACACTAATTCCCAGTCAATCTATGCCTCATCTGGCAATGGCTTATGTTCACGGTCAACCTCGTTCATTTCCGCTTCAAGGACAACCACATGCTCAGGTCTTGCCACCTGGCGCACTGCCACCTCAGCAACTTGCACATGTCCGACCCTTGAATGACGATGCTAATCCACAGCATCAGATCTATTGGGAGCCAAGACCTTCATTTCGTTCACATCCCATGCCACATCTACAGCAACCTTCTCCACGTCCCTATCTGCCTTATCCTTCTTCGTCATCATCTGACCATAATCTGACCACCAAGGGGAATAATGTCGAGCCAATTGTCGCTTCTACTTTAAACTCTGTAAATGATCCATCTTATCAAAATGGCGTTTCTGAAAATACTCACTTGTCTGATTCCCATCAACAAATGGATCCTGTGCTGTCCTCGCCACATCATAACTCAGATTCTCCAAAGACCGATTCTTCATCCCCATTTCCTACTTCGTCTACATCGCAAAGCACGTCTTTTCCACATGCAGTCTATTCGGATGCTTCCGCCTCCATGGCCATGGGTGCATCGCGTGAATCAGTCCTATCAGTCGACTCTTCAGCTGGCGCAATACAAGGGAACCAAACGTCTATTGATAACACACTGTCATATTCAGCACAAGATCAGTCTCATTCGGGCCCATCAAAATATGCATACCATAAAAAACAGCATAGTTTCCCTTCACCTGGCGTCTACTGGAATCCAATTCATGCCATCAAATCACAAGCCCGAAATGATAGTGATAATACGTCTATTCAATCAAACGCTACCTCACAACCGTCACTCAATACTGTTGACAAGACAGTCTCTGCTCCTGGAAATGAGTCTTTGGAAACAATGCGCCAAAATGCAAAGCGAAGTAAAGATCCGCACACTTACCTTACGTTTGCCAAACATTTGATTAAAATATCTGAGGGTTTACCTCAAAAATTAGCACATTTGAGTCCCAAACGAATCCGCAAAAACCAAGATGTATTGAACCAAGAAGCTCTTAAATGGCTTTCCGAATCAGCTAAAAGCTCTTTTGGAAAATTGGGTCTTCCCGAAGCACTGTTTATTCTTGCCGATTGCTATGGTAGCGGAGCACTCGGTCTGGCAATCGACCACGACAAGGCGTTTTCCAACTATTCTCAGGCTGCAAAGCAAAACCATCCTGCTGCTACATACAGAGTCGCAGTCTCTTTTGAAGTTGGTGCTGGTACTCGTCGCAATACTGATCGTGCTATTGAATACTACCGTCGTGCTGCTAAGCTTGGCGATACTGCTGCCATGTTCAAGCTGGGTATGATTCAGATCTATGGTACTTTGGGCCAACAGCAAAATCCTCGTGAAGGTGTGACATTGCTCAAACGTGCCGCTGAACAGGCTGATGAAACTTCTCCAAATGCTTTGCATGAACTGGCAATCTTATATGAGGGTGAAATCCCTGGGATCACAAATGTGATTATTCCTGTAAGTCTGTTCTACATGTACTCGTTTATTTTTACTGCTGGCAGTTTTTACAATGTCATCTCACCTACTTTTATTTTATATGGGTCACTGTTACTTAGGATCCTGCATATTCACACGAGCTTTTAACTCAAAGTGCCAAGCTTGGATATGCACCTTCACAGTATAAGCTTGGATTGTGTCATGAATACGGCAATTTAGGTGTACCCATTGATCCACGCAGATCCATTGCATGGTACACCAAGGCTGCTGAACAAGGCGACCCCGATGCTGAACTTGCCTTATCAGGTTGGTATTTGACGGGTGCAGATGGTATTTTAAAACAGAGCGACCAAGAAGCCTATTTATGGGCTCGCAAAGCCGCTGACAAAGGGCTTGCCAAGGCCGAATACGCTGTTGGGTATTTTGTAGAGCATGGTGTAGGCATTCGATCAGACATGGACGAAGCACGGAAATGGTACATGCGATCCGCTGGACAAGGCAATAAACGAGCCATTCAGCGACTCAAGGATTTTGTGGTGCGCAATCAACAGGATGCCAACAAATCAATTGTGCGCAATTTTAGAAAAACTGCCGATTCCTCGGATTGCTCAGTGATGTAGATACTTTTCTGATTTCAAAGGCATAATAATACATTGGCTTTTGAATCTGCTGCTGTATCCTTTTTAATAAACTCTACATATTAAATGACAAGTATGCTTATTGTCCAAGATCATCACTTGAATCCATCAGTTCATTGCTATGCATGTTTTGACTAGTTTATTTTTACCCTAATTATTGGGCAACCTTTTTTGACACGTTTGCAATTTTGAAAGCCAGCCTATCTGTTGGATTTTTGATGGAAATTATTTGAAATCGAATCTGTCCAAGATTCAAACCATCACCATGCTTTGTTTGATTCAGATACCCATTTAACTGAAATATAATTATAGCCCAAAGTACTGTTTTACTGCCAAGTTGCCGTGTCTCTGCACACAAGCTTTGCTTTCAACATCAATGAGCCAGCTATTTAACTTACAAGCATATTTATTTTGATTTTCTTCAATCAGACCCCTTCCCAATGTGCTGAATGCAAATTTTGAAAAATAAGTGTGGATAGTATAAAGAATTCAAAGGTGGTGTAGGATAGTTTACGCAAAAATAGGTTTAGGCTTGAAGATTATTTCCAGATGGACTCGAACAAATATGTAACCTGGATTGCATCCACCAATCGTTTTGCTCGAGCATCAAACACGCCCATTTCAGTGGTATTTTGAGTATTATGTGCAATGAGTCGATTTAGGATGGCTTGAAGCAGGACTGCTTCAGACTGCTCATCGATTCCCTTGAGCCAACATGCAATCGCTTTGGATCGCTGTTTTGCCTGAATGAGCTTGAATCCCTTAAATATTCGGCGCAATGAATTCGAAAACAAAAGACCTTTCATTGGTTTGAGAAGACAACATATACGAGTACATAACATATCAATCACTTTACGCGTAAAGGCAAACTCTAACATTTTGGCTTCGTGGGCGGCAAAAATGGCAAATCCCACAGATAGGATACCTTGAAATAACTCCCATTCATATGATGTGCATTTGACTAGCGCGTCTGAAAATTCTACAAAGTCTGAAATCTTGAAGGGTAGTCCCAAAACATGTCGCAGGTGGATTTTAGCACCGAAATAAGCCATTTCGTCGGTATGTCCTAGCGAACCTGCTGGTCTGGTACTCCATATATCATCTAGTATTTTTACCATTTCTGGTATTTCTTTGGCATGCTCGGGAAAGCAAAACAGACATTGAATGATTTTCAGACATGCCGTAAAGCGGCCACCCATACATTCTCGTTGTGTTGCAAACGTAAACAAATCCTTGGCAGTGGAAAGTGTTGTTTGATAAGGCCCGCTAAGCGTTTGGATATAAAGACGAAGCTTTAGCGCTCGGATCCGAATAAGGGTGTCGCTTGCAATGGTTCCAAGATAATGGAGTCCATCTGTTGCTTTGAGTGCTACTTGAAATCTGCCCATCAAAAACATGAGAACACATTGGTTTGTCGAAACGTAGATGGATGTATGAATATCTGTTCGTCCATCTAAGCGTTGGGCGGCATCCAGATAGGATAGGGCTCGAAAAGGCTTTGCCTGTGTCATCCACAGCGTCAATGATCCAAGTGAAAACAGTTTGGACAGTATACTATCCTGTGTGTTCTCTTGCACCATGTTTAGCCCCATTAGCACACATAGTCTATGCTTGGGAAATTGATTGCAGATCCAATACAAATCAGCCAAAATCAACAAAATGTGCTGGATACCATGAGTGGGCCCCTGTCGTGCGGATCCAGGCTCACGAATAAGATTCTGTGAGGTGTTACGGTCTCGAATACCATACTTGGATGAAGTACCCGATGATATGTTTTGAGAAACTCGCGCGTGTGGTATAGGCAATGAGTCATATTCGGGTAGGGCATGATTACTGCTTCCGCCTATACTAGTACTATTGATGGCAGATGTGTGGGCGTGAGCAGCGCTATTTCCTTGAGACGAGTTTATGATTTGGGGAACAAGGTTTGGAAGACTGGTACGTCCATTTGAATTGATGATGGGTGCTTCAGATCCACCTACAATCACCGGAACTGTGGCATTCGAACCAATTAAATTTGAACCAGATGAAGGTATTATTGTAGGAACACCCGCTTCAGGACATGTAGGGTTTGTATTGCCTGGTCCAGTGCCCAACGCTCCAGACAAAAGTAAAGATGGAATAACGACGGATCCGCGACTATTGGGCGGATCTGGGCGTCGATTTGCAGTCCCTCCAAAATTATTGAGTGAATGCCAAGATACAGACTTTTGAGCTCGGTAACTGACAATGTAATCCGTCGATTCTTCCAACCCATTAACAAAATTTTGAAAAAAAACAGCATCCTTTTTTGCTCGTATTCGAAGTTGCTTGCGAGTAGCCCAGTATATTCCAAAATTTGAATCTGGAAATACTGCACCATAAAGCTTAAGTCCAATAAGCAAATGCTTTTCAGCCTCGATGTATTCTTCCTTCAAATACAAACTATGACCTAGTTCTCGGTGCCAATTTGCAATCGTGGCATTTTTGAATTCCATGCCTTCTGGAAGATCCTTGCGAAACAACCCGGCAATATCAAGTAGCTGCTTGTAAAACTTGATGCATTCATTGACAAACCCGCGCTCATAATAAAAACTGGCAACCATTTCCAGATAATGTATCTTTTTCCTTGTTTGGGAGTTATCGGCTTCCATAAAATGCTCAAAAATAGGAATCAAATAGCGATGTCTGTTGGCATCATTGAGTCGCGTTTCGTAATATGTGGCTACATGCTTATGAAGCTGTTGTCGCTGCTTTAAAACCATCATTGAGTAGATACACTTTCGCACCACTGCAGATTTGAATTGAAATAGTATGCCATCCAAAGTAGTGTTTTCCCGTTGTAAAAATCCGTACTTGTCTGTGGTTTGCACACCTCGAATGATTTGGTTGTAGTTTTTACGATCTATTTGTTCAAATACACCCGTCATGCCAGTGAGAAAAAACAGCACATCGTCGAGCAAAAACCGCTGGCCAAGTACTGCGGCAACTTTGAGAAAAAGCTGGAAATTTCTGTCCAACCGATCAAACTGAGCCACAATAATGCTCTGATGGTCATATCCCAAAACAAGCTTTTCAAAATCAAAGTCTCCATTTTGAGTAGACAGCACACCATCCGGACTAACACGCCATTGACCAGATTCTTTCATAGCCACAGTCAAAGACCGGATAAAAAATGGATTTCCATCTGTGCGTTTATATATGCTTTCTACAATCTTGGGTGACACTTTAAGAACACTTTGGGTAGCCCATGTTGTAACAATTAGCCGATGTGCTTCGTTTATATTAAGACCACCTACAGAAAGAGTTGTCGATCGTGGTAAAGCCTCGATACGCTTCAAACAAACTTTGCTGTCCCTGCAATCAAAAGATCCCTCTGGTCGAGTAAAAATATACACGGCTGCGCGAGGACATGTTCCAAGAATATCCAGCAACAGTTCCCAGGACAAAGAATCCATCCACTGTGCCTCATTGAATACAAAAATGAGTTTGTTGTGTGCTGACAATGTTTGAATCATTTTTGTGAGCAGACCAATCAGTGCTTGAAGATGTAATTGAAGTTTTGTCTGCACCTCGATATCAATTTCTCCATCAATTTTAGCTGGCAAAATAAGTTCAAACAGCCCAGCTTCGTCGGATTCCTCATTGATTTTGACCAAAGCTTGTGCAATTTTGGGAATAAAACTTTCAATTTCATGAATATCACTCATGACATCGACTGGAACAGTAGATATTTGGCGACCTCGAGAAGCAGAAAGCGCGCGCTCTGAAAGAAATTCGTCGCTATTTGATGGCTTGATAATCGACATTCGTCTGGGTTTAGCACCCATATGGACAGTCGATGATGGGGTAGTAATAAATTGTTGAACTGGTGTACCGCATAGGTTCGATAATAATCCAGACTCGGCATTTTGAGTTTGATTCAATTCGGCCGATACATTTTCTTGCATTCTGAACTTGAAAATATCTTTGGTGATTGAACTCGCTAATATATGATCTGCTTTAAAGTTTTCAGTTGTAGCTAGTGGTGATACAGCCCCGCTCAAATTTTGGGATACATTGAGGTTCTGCAGCGGTTGCGTGGTAAGAATAAAACGATTTTCGCTATCAAAATTGCCTGCCATAATTAACTCGACCAAGTCCTGTACAATCGATTGCCATGGAAAATAAAATGTAGTTTTTTCCATTTCAACACAATTTCCAACGCTGTCATAAATAACAGTGTTTATAGAGCAAACTGATATTTAGTAACAATCCTGATTGAAATACACACAAGAATAGCAAAATCATAAATAGTGCAAGTTTGACGACTTACCATACGTGACATTGTTGTTTGGTAGCCTCTTCTTTTGTATATGCAATCAATGTTGACAATCCTTGGCCACCATCGGCCTTGACAATCATGACATCTGAAACTGTTGCCGTCTTCATTCGCTCCAGCGAATCCAACAAACTTTTTCGCTCTTTTTCACGGCCAATAACTTCGGCGGCTATAGAAAGTGCGGCATTTTGGTTTGTTTTGTTCTTGTTGGATTCAGGAACTGGAACAATGGGTCGAAATATAGATATAGCCGAGTTTTTTCCTTTTACTTTTGTTTCGCCAAGATTTTGAAATGTATAGTCTGAACAGCATAGGTTATATGTTTTTTCGTCACACAGAATGCCTTCTGCGGCCTCAGTATGACACATCAAACGGGCAGCCATATTAATTGAATCACCCATCTAATCAATTGTTATTTGATATGAAAATTCAAATAAACGGATTTAAATGATTAGCACATGTTTGAAAAAAGCAAGTTTAAAACAATATATAGGTCATGTTTGATGCATCAAAACAAATCAGCCTACCACAGCGTATTCGGCTCTACCACCGCTTCCTACGCCACCATATGACACTACACCAGTAGTGATGCCCATGGAAAAGTCATCAAATATATCTAAAAACTTGTCACGAATCTCAATTCCAGCTTTAATCCCCAAACACGCATCGTTTTCATGTGCAAGCGGAGGTAGTCCAAAAAAACACAAAATCACTGCTCCTTTGTCATCCACATGAAACTGCCGAAGACTTCCTTCGCATCGATGGAGTGCCGTTTGTACAATCGAAATGGCGCGTTGTGACTCGTCCAAAATATCATTACGATGAACAACCTGCAGCGATCCAACTTTGATAAAAATAGTTGTGACTTGTCGCAATTCTGTCAAATTTAATAAATCCAAAAGACCGGCGTCCATTTGAAATAAACGTGATTGGTTGATATCTGCTTGAAGTTTAAACAATGCAGTTCGGTCCACAAACAACTTGTATAGGTCTACATTTGCTTCCATTTGACGTGTATTCTTGAAGATGATTTCATCTTCAATATCGGGTGGTGCGTGACCTTTTCGAACTGCTTTTTCTAGACCAGTGAGAATGATGCATCGTTTATCATAATCTCCAAGATTCACAGTAGCAATATCAATTACACACGCCAGCCATTTGAGTGCTTGATGTGACAAGGCAAGTTCGCCTATAAGTTGTCAAACAAGTCGGTCAGTATATATTCACGTAACGGGTCATCAAAAGGATGTGAAATTTAAAGTGATATTGTTTACAGCCGTATTCATGTAAGATAAAACATTAGTAAAGATATCAAGTACATAGCAAAATCTAGTCTCATGGAATGGTGATTCACACCAGATTTACTACAAAATAGTGTATCCTCTAAACGAATGTTCAAAGTTGATTGGAATGGAAATAATAGTTGCATTCCTGATGCGTGCAATCTTTGTTTCCTTGAACACAAATGTATGAGATTCAAGATACAACAAATTTGAAAAAGGACAGATTCAGAACACTAGTTCAAAACTATAGTTTGATACTGTACATCATATGATGAACGTTGTGTTTGAAACAAAAAGAATTGACAATAACAATCAGACACTGACTGCAAGATAAATGCAAGCGTTCCATTTTACGTGAATACGACTAATAAAACTGATTCGTCAAGGCATGCATTTTGTGCATATACAGATATGTGCCTCTATGATCAAATGAAACTTATAAATGACTATCATTTGTAATTTAGCTTTATACCTGCTTTTGCGAGATCCAATACTTGAGATAGTTGATTTACACCATCTCCTGCAATAAAATGTTCCCAACGACCTGGCTCGCCACCAACTAGCACATCATATACGAGTCCAGCGCCAATACCCAAGTGAATTCGAAGGATTTTTGTTGGACAGTCTTCAATGTCTATGTCGTAGGTGCCAAGTTTTGTCAAGAGAGTCAAACAGCAATGTGATGCCTTGTACACTAGCTCTCCTCTGATCTTATCTCTACTCACCTCTGTTAGGTTTGTGGCCTTTTCAGATTTCCAGCAGAAAATAACAGCATCGCCTATGAGCAAAGAATGCAAGCCATCATATAAAATCAGTTTTCAATGGAATTTAAATGATGATGGATTAGCCAATCCCAAACCAACTGATTGCCATTTTGATGGCAACTCAACAAGACTGGATTAAATATGCCGAGAAATGATAATACACCAATATAATGATTTACAAGCATTATACGTTTGGCAGATGCTCTCGCATTACACCACACTTGTTGCTAACAGTATGGCGTAAATGGGCAGTTGATTGATAAACAATCCACATTACTCGATACTGTTGGACTTACCTGCAAATTTAACTATATCTCCTCCGTGTGCAACAATGGTTTGAATAATCTAAACATTCCAACACAAATGTTAGCTACGTTTATACAACTACTATGCGAGTTTATAAAGGAAATATCAGGTTGAGCAGGTGTGTTTCTTTTATATCAGTCCCTTCAATGATAGTCAATGGTGCGTTATAATGCAATTGATCCGTTTTACTGATATAGTCCGCGACTAATATGATTTGACAATTTGGAAACACACCAGAGTGCTCTGAAGATACAATCCTTATACAGGATGATATAACTGCTACCACTTAAATCTGAAAAGCGTTGCAATCCGTGTCTTGGATATTACCTTGTCAAGATATCCCTTCATTGTTCGTGTCAACAACTCTGCTCCGATCGGACCACGCTCGGCAAGAACAGCAGTGAGCTTGGAATATCCACTGACATCAACCATGACTACGGCTGCAAAAGCCTCGGTTGCACTTGGCACTAGGGGTGGAATAACTAGTGGATCTTGTGATCCACCATCTGCTTTAAGTGCTACTTCGGCGCACATTTGATAACAAACTCGGCGTACTTGCTTTGATACAAAATTGGGTATGATCTGATCTAACTGCGCTTCATTTGATGTTGGTAGGCTTCCTGAAATCCCCATGATGTTCCCGACACCGGCTGCATTAATAAGGGATTTTAATGACTGTTCGTTTGCTGTGGAGTCGTTACGTTTAATAGCATGCCAACTCATTCGCCGTCTACCCATATGGGAAACTGCAGATGGAGGTGATGCTTCTAGAATTTTATTATCTTCTGTACTTGCGTTGTCATGATTTGACGGTAATACTGTGTTCGTCGCGTACATCTCTTTAGTGTCTGATGAATATATAATGTGCTGCTGCTCGAGTTTAGAATGGACGGCCCGCATCCACTACTTGCAGACTCTACTTCATAAGATATGTACAGAGTTGGAAGCACTATAGGTGTGCTAGACTCTGTTTATTGAAAAGTAAAAAGCTGGAGTTCTGCTATAGGCTGGTTTGTTTTGACTTTTTGCAGGCAACACGGTCCCTTCCCAAAAATACAGTACGCGACTACTTTGAGTTGGATTAGGTTATGGTCAAATATTTTCGACTCTACAAATAAGGATTTCAGTCTCATTGGCCCAAAGATTGACAATAATATGCACTTGAATAATCGTGACTTTGTAATGTGGCTTTTCGGCTTTTCTTTTTAACCCGCCGACATCCATAATGATTTCACATTCTATTTCCTGCAATATAGCATCTTTGTCGCATGGTGATGGCTCAGTGACCATCAAAGCTATGTCATAATTAATAAAACTGGTGATATTGGAAAAACTCTAGACTCTCATACAGTATTGGTTTATTCTAAAATCAGGATCATGTTGGATACATAATATTTGCTACAATATATCTTATTATGAAAGTGCATTCATTTTGGCAAAAATACCGTGGCTATCATTTGAAGTAGTGTATTTTGTTCAATAAAAAGAATGAGATGTGGCTAAATGCTGAGTTAGTAATCAGCTTTCTTGTTGATATCGCGTTTTCATTTGATGAGCAGAGATTGTGGTACATCACATTTGAATTACGGCCGTATTCACGTAAATGAACCACTAGGTCGAAATAATAAACAAGAGTTTCATGAAATGATAGTCTTTACCCAATTTACTGGTTTGTCTTGTGGTGGTTGACACAAAAGCAACTGTTGCATTTCTGAGTATAATTGTTTTTTGAGCTGGAGCGCGAACGTATGAAATTTAGGAGTTGTGTTGAAAACATTGACAGTCAAACCAATATCTGAATTGAAATGAACAAGTCTGATGATTTACAATGCATGGTTATGCCAAACGAGGCCAGTTTTAATTGAAAATTATAGCTTGTGCGTGCATCCTATGATGGACGTTGTGTTGATAAACATCAAGAATGCCAATTGAACACAGTCAATTTCAAGTAGAAAGTACAACAAATATTTAATCATTGTTTATTCTGAAGCAAAATAGTGACTGCAAGATAAATACAAGTGTTCCATTTTGTGAATACGGCTGTAATTCATATACAAATACAATGATTGACATTATGCTAATCATTGAGCCTTTTTCTTTTTACGCTGGCCACCGGCAGGAGGAGCAATAGCAGCTTGGGCATCTAAATACATGTATGCGATAGTTGTAACGACCAGCAATACTGTGATTGATATAGCGAACCGTCCATACCCGAGACCATACCTTAAGATATGGTCTGTAGCATCCGTCATGGGGATAAATAATGATGCCAATGCAGAAAATACTTCACGGAAAGCCATGAAAAAGGCAGGCAGCTTAGGACCACTAGGCCATGCACGAGTACGAGGATTCCAATCAGCTTGAAAACGAAACATGGACATGATGGCAACAACAACTCCAAGAGCAATCCCAACAACAACCCAAGCAGCAGCAAATTTGATCAAAACGACAGCATAGAGTTCAATGTCTTCGCTAGTATACCAAGCAACACCCTGCATAATGAGCAAGCCAATACACGCAGAGACGGTAGAAATCTGATTGGCAGCACCTTCTATCATGGCAGAGCGTGCTGTGACTGCACCGAGGAATTCGTACATTATATTGAGGCTGAATGAAAGTGTTGATGGCTAAACGAGAATTTGCAATTAGTTTTATATTCAAGTGTTTCCACGTGATATTATTTACAACCAAAGACAAAAGTGATGAGAACGCAGAAAAAATGATTATATTTGATCATGTTTGAAACCATTCTAGTAGCATCAAGCAGATTTCTGTTGCATCATTTCAACAAAAAGGGGTTTTCGTTTATAATATTGCACGATTTTTTTAGACTAGTGTAGACCACATAAATGGAGCGTCGAAGCTTGCGTCAGAAGACCAAATAAGGAAAGTTGCTTTATATTGAATCGAAATGCTCCTGTCATTCAGTCAACAATCTATCAATATCTGCAAGACAACAACATCACAAAGAATAATGACTGCCAACAATCTCATTTATCTCCATTCTCATGCTTATTGTAATATTATGCACATAAAACTTTGGTTTCACAGTAATTCAAAACACGAGATTGAATGCAAATCATGCATGCATTAAATGACAATCTTGTTTGCATTTTGAATATATGTATCGAGTACATTGTTGGCAAGCAGGAGCAATTTGAAATTCACCTGCGTGTAATCCACCAAAATAAACAGTATGAGCTACTTTTGGATATCAAATAGATATGTATGGGCTGAGGTGCTATAGGTATTGTAGACAGTCCAATTTATTCAAATATCTGACATATCCTTTGCAATACTCGAGTTAAATTATGTATAAGCAGGCATAACATTTCGCTCTAGTTGAGCAAACGTAGGTAAGATTAAATCTCGGTTTGTTTCCACTACAAACCCAGCAGTCACCATCTCATCTAGCACCAAATGGATCTTTTCCAAATGAAATATTACCTATGTCAAGTCAGCAAAAAAATCAGCAAATTACAAGTGGATCTGATGTTACATTTAAAAAACAGCCATTACATGATATTCTGAAAAAGAGCCAAAGTACTTTGACAGAATCTCGACAAATGCTTGAATGAATGCCAGCATTGCATATTGGTTCTATGTTTGTATAATCAAAAGACATTGGTTAGAGTTCCGAGTATTCCACAGTCTATCTGAATCAATTTACTCACTTCCGATTGAGTAGAAACTACCATAAAGTTGAGAGAAGCGAATCGTTTGAATGTCACACGAGAAGCTCCAGCGTAGAACGACCCACTCTCTTTCTATAATAATGAATTGATTGTAAGAACAAGCGCTGCTACAGCCATGAATATAGAATTACAAGGGTTGCTTACAGTTGCTGGTTGCTTGGCACACTCGTGGATAATAGTTTGTTCAAGTAATGATTCTGGACGAATGATGGGAGTGGCAGTTGGGGTAGCAATGGGCTCGATAGTGGGAAGCCAATGACGGGCAAAACGCAGTCTGTTTTGGTTGGTAGCAATAACAAGACAGGATAAAGCCAAGGGAGATCCAGAGCCAGCAGTGACATTGGAAGCAGCCATCATTGGTGGAATGGACAGAAAGAAAAGTTTAATTCATGGCAAAGCCAACTGTCATCCTGTCTGTCCGCATGGCAAGGCTAGACCCTACCAGCATGAATTCTATCGCATTCTATAATCTGACAATGAGTTTCTTGTTTTAAGAATCCAATCCAATCCAAACTAACCAGATCTTGCTACAGATGCTACAGTCCAGCGACAATGATGATGACAGTCAAATCGACGAGCAGGCTATCTTGGAAACTGCTATAGAGGCCGGAGCCGAGGAAAACAGAGATGCTTTACAGGATAGCAGTCTTGACCAGACCTTTTTTGAAGAAAAGGACAAGTTTCTAAGATATATCCGCACTCTGTGGTCTATGGCCGACAAGGCAATGGCTGACGATCCGCTGGGAACTGTTGGATATGTGTGGTCTGCTGTTTTGGAAAACAAAATATATCGCATGATGATGATTGTATGATATTCATAATACTTGGACCAACACTGCAATAATTCATCCAGTTCATTGTCCGAATTAACTCGTTTATTTTATCAATATTCCAGATTGACAAGTATCAGGAAATGCCCCAGTTGCTTGATCCCCATTTGGAAGAAATTCTCACTCCTATTATATCCAGGCTTCTTGCTGGCATAAAGTCATTTCATACTCATCCAAAGGCTGCTCAGATTCTACAAATCCAACAATGGCGTCCCTTCTTCATGATTATATGTCATTTGGCAAAGGCTCGTGGCCGCAAGATTATCATGAACTATTTTACTCATGAAGTTGCCGATCTTGAGCCATGTATAGCCTTTCTCAATTTCTTGAAATCTGATACCGATCTTGTTCGTCATTGGCATGCGCGCTATGTTTTATTGCTGTGGATTTCTCTCATTGCAATGATACCGTTTGATCTGATCCGTGTGGACAGTGGTCAAAAAGATGGAAGAAAACTTGTAGATTGCATGCTTGATCTGGGAAAGAGCTTTCTTGATGCACCTGGTAAAGAACACGAGGGTGCATCCATTCTTATCATGCGTATTCTTTCTCGGTATGTTGACTGTTTTAAAAGTCGAGTATAGTCTTGGATTGTTAAGCAAATTGAATTTACTCCTTTAGCAAAGACACATCCCAAACCCATCTTCTTCCGTTTATCGAAGAGGCATTTGAGTCGCTAGGCAACACAGAGGACATCTTCAAAGTAAATCTTGAATATAATTGCATTTTAAATTTGAATACAACTCTTTGGTTAGACTAACTGTATCCATATACAATTAAACTATTAGGTTAGAGGTAATGTGGCTACACTTTGTTGTATTTACAAATATGGTCCTCGCCAGCTTTTACTGGAAACTGTACGCCACGTTCATTCATGCAGTCGGCTCATGTCGGATCCTCGCATTCAACAAAACTCTCTTATGCGCAAACAGGTTGTGAAGCTTGCTCAGCGTATCGCCTTGTGTGCCATTAAACCTCGTATTGCCAGCTGGCGGTATCAACGTGGATCAAGATCACTCGCTGAGAATCTAGCTGCCACGTCTGCTGGTTCAAGTGTTGAAACCAACCAATCAAAAATGCGTACAGAAATACCATGCACCCTAAAGCCTCTCGACGAAGATGATTTTGATGAAATCCCTGACGAAATGGAGGATATTATCAATATTCTGTTGGATGGTTTGCGGGACAAGGATACAATTGTGCGTTGGACCTCTGCGAAGGGTGTAGGCCGGATCACCAATCGTCTCAATCATGAATTGGCTGATGAGATTGTTGGCTCCGTTATAGATAGCCTTGCAGAAGACACGATACTTGTAAATGGATCGCCTCGCACAGCTAAAGTTGATAGTGTTTCCGACTCTTCTTGGCACGGAGCAAGCCTTGCTCTTGCAGAACTTATCCGCCGCGGCTTGCTTCTCCCCGAGCGTTTAAAAGAGTGTATTCCATGGATTATGCGTGGATTGACTTTTGAGCAACGAAAAGGAACGCATTCTATTGGTGCTCATGTGCGAGATGCTGCCTGCTATGTATGCTGGTCCTTGGCTCGTGCCTATGCACCTGAAGTGCTTGAGCCTTATGCGCTTGAGCTTGCCCAATGCCTGATTGTGACGGCTGTAACCGATCGCGAGGTAAATATTCGTCGTGCCAGTGCTGCCGCTTTTCAAGAGAATGTGGGTCGTCACGGCTTATTTCCTCATGGTATAGCCATTGTGGGTATCGCCGATTATTTTAACTTGGGTGTCCGTGCTCATGTTTACACTGATATTATCCCTACCATTGCAAGGTAGTATAACTGTTTTATTCTAGGCTGTTAAATGGCTTAATGTAACTTTTAGTCACAATCGCTGACTTGTGTGGTTTAATCTAGTTTTTCGGAATATGCCGAGCCAATCATGAATCATCTTGTCAGCAGCTTGCAGCGTCATTGGGACAAGCACGTACGTGTTTTGGCTGCCAAATCTCTTGGTATTCTAACCAAAACTCAATCGGACTATATCACTGAGACTGTACTTCCCATCACGATCAGTAGGATTGGTTCTGACGAACTAGAATTGCGTCATGCGTCACTGATGTCTTGTGCTGAAATTCTGAAAACTCTTTTCATGAATAATGGTACTTGGTCTGCTGACCATCTTGAGCATTTTATCAAGGTATTATCGAGTTATCACGAATTTGAAACTACATCTAGTTTTATCATTCTAATCCAAACATAATGGGTGTACATCATTTAGCCTGCATTCATGTCCATCGAGTCTTTTCATCCAAAACATACTGAATCATTTGGATCTGATCTCACTCGCACCGGAGCAGCATTTTTAATGGAAGTTCTTGCATCCACTGATGCACTTGGCTCTCTTTCCAAATGCGGGATTGCGAAATTTGATAGCGTTTTGGATACATGGTGGACTCTTTTAGACTCTTCCATTGATCGAAGTGAAGAACAGCTACAAGAAAACACTGCTAAATCTATTTGTTGTTTGGCAGAGTCTGTTGGCTTATCCGATGCCTGGTTTAAGGCATTTACTCAGGGACTGGATTATACTGCTCCTCCTGCTCGACGACGCGGATGTGCCCTTGTGTTTGGATTTGCTTCGCTGACTATTTTGTCTTTGCGCATTGAGAGTATTATTCAATCTTTGGCTAAAGCAACTCAGATTCATCAAGAACAAGTATACAATGATGCAGGAACGAGGCGTAATGCAGTACATTCCATTACCGCTATTATTCAGACGTATGGCTGCAAACTTTTGACTGATTTTCCTGCTGGATGTCTTGATTTGGTTGTTTCTACGCTGCTAAAATGCACAGAGGACTATTCAACCGATTCGAGAGGTGACGTTGGTTCTTGGGTTCGGGAGGCTTCTGTAAAAGGTATATCTGCTCTTCTTCCACTAGTTGCATCGATTGAAGCAAAAATCGGCGGCAGTGCTTCATTATCCAAGTCGGTGATTGATGCAGCAACAAGACAAAAAATGATTGCCGCTGTGGTTTTACAATCTGTTGAAAAGATTGATCGTGTCAGAAGTACAGCGGGTGTAGCTCTGCATGCTCTTGCGTGGGAGTATCCAGAACTAGAGTTTCCCTATCAAAAAGAGGTTCGATTGGTTATTCCACAAGATACGGATATTCATTGGCTCAATCCACGTGAAGTATATCCAATGATGGTGAAGATGATGCATGTGGAAGCATACAGGAGTTTTGTGCTGTTGGGAATTGTTACCAGCATTGGTGGATTAACTGAAAGTCTTGTTCGAAGTGCTAGTTCTAGCCTAATGGAGTTTGTTTTGCAACTTCCTGTTTCACTCAACGACAGTATGTCGCCATTGAAACTTGAAGATGTATTGGATGCGTTTACTGATTTGCTCAAGTCATATCAGCGCGATGATCGTGTATCTATTCCCATTCTCGAAGTGTTGGATCTTCTTCTCACTAGCAGAACGCTTACCTCTGTTCACACCATGCAGGTTGTTGCATTGTACAACCTGACCAAATCCGAGGTTTTCAAGTCCAAAAACGTACGAAAACTGACAGTGGGGATTAAAGTGTTTGCGGGATTTGCAGGACTGACAGGCGATCATGGAATCGATGAGATGCCAGAAATTGCTGCAGTACAGAAAAAAGCCTTGAAGCAACTTATGCTGTACTTGGCGCATCCGTACCCCAAAGTTCGCCGAGCCGTATCCGAGGCATTGTATCTTGTTGTAAGCACTGGACTTTCTGGTATTGGAATTAGTGACGAGGCTTTGGAAGCTACTGAAGATGTTTTACTATCTACAGATTGGGATATTGGATCACCTGCTGAACTAAAGGCTTTGAGAGCAAAAGTTGAAGCAAGCTTGGCTTACTAAATGTTATTTGTTTCGGCACTACATGTTCAACTAGCGAAACCAAGTATCAACTAAAAGTTTTTACGAGTTCTCAAATACTGAAACTGGCATGTGATGGTATACATGCGGATATTCCATTAAAAATTAAGAAACTTGATCGAATGGTAGTGATGATAAAATAACCAATGAATTCATTAACATACTCCTGTCTAAATTCATCATCTTTTGCATATAAAGGTGCATTGATGCAATTATGCAAGCATCAAAGAAATCCTCCGACTCCGCTTCAAATGAGAATGCATCCAGTTTATAAATCAATGCTAAATGAGATGCTTCTTGATGTGATAGACAGCGACGACTTGCCCACTGGCATTGCAATGAGAAAACTCCCAATCACCATTCTCCAATTGCACATACACATTAGAATACTTTGCTTCAACAAAAGGCCGTAGTTTCCGGGCATGTTTCCTAGACTCGGGTATACCTTTAATGGGAGGTGCTGCGGATAAAGTTGCAGCTGGATAGAAATCGCGACAAAGGTTGAAATCAAGATCATCAAACAAACAAGGTTTTTGCTGGCGAGATTTGTCGGAAAAAAATAATTTTTTGTGTCGAATGGACCACTGCCTCGGTTTGCTGGGTTTAATTCTATTAGGTTGACGAGGGGTATTGCGAGTAAAGAGACTAAAACGCTTGTCGCAGCCAGCTGAATGCGAGTTTAGGGTTTCATTGCAACTGTACACATCATTAAAATAGTCTTTTCGTTTAGACTTGGAGTGTGGCCACAAACGATAGATTGAGCTGATATGTTTGATAATCCACATGTTTGCAACACCATTTTTTGGGTTAGGGTCGGAAACGAAAGGCGACGATGTGACAGGGCTGGACATCAGGTGAGCTGAAGACAGTAGAGCAAGGACAGATTAGCAACAAATCACCTGGCAATAAATTAGTAAAAATACTCCTGAAAAGTGGTCTTTTAAAAAGAGTAGATGTAATGGATAAAGCAATTGGCTTGATCATTTTTGGCCTATGAACGGAGGCTATAGCCGATGGTATATATTGACAACCAAGCGTGCAGGGTTGTCATTCAACCCCTAACTATCATACAACACAACCAGCCTCATAATATAGCTATGGTAGATGGTACACATCAAGGCTACCCCAAAAAAGCAATGCTTAAGGTTTATACTGCTTGTGTCTCAAACCCTTGACCCAAGTCTTCGTTTCCTAAGGTCAGTAGACATGTTGGTAATGTGGCTTACTAACAACTTTACTGGTCCATCTTAAACACTTGATCAAGTTGGGCCAATTGAGTTGATTATAACGTATCAATTCAATTGTAGAATTGACAGCACAGGAATACGAATGTTTAATCCGTAGTTGTTGAAGCCATTTCCACGCTAGGACTCGATTGGAGATTTAACGGCCGAATTCAATCTTGCATGTGAAATATTCCAGATGGAGATCATTCACATGAATGTCATTTAGTTGCTCATCGCATAAGCCATTATTCAACCCAAATTAAAAGCTATTGAAGCTTAGACTAGCTTATTTCTTTTACCCAGCTCATAGCCATTTACTCGCATTGATTTCGAATGCATTCGTTTCCATTGGATAGTGTAGCGGATTTGTTCAAACCCTTGACTGTTTTGAAAGATCACCAGCGACGATTCAACCGGTATTTGTTATCAAAAAGAACCCAACATAGCACAAAACTGTATATTGCTTGATCCTGGAAGCAGAGAATCTTGATTATTTGGCTATGGATTCCAGTTTGGCTTTTAATGAGCGCATTCATGTAAGATGGAGCAGTGTATCTTGCAGTCACTGCCTCTTTGGAATAAACAATCAAGTATTTATTATGCTCTTCTATTAGAGATCAACTGCTTTGATAGATATTTTCAGTTCAAAACAGACACAACGTCCATTATATGATGCTTACAAACTATAGTTTTGATTCGAAACTTTCCTCATTTGGCATAATACATTGTACAATCACCAGATTCATCCATTGTAATGCAGATATTGGTTTGGTTGTTCTGATGTTACCAGACTGCATTGTGTTGTATTATAAAATCTCGGATACATTTGCGATCTAGCTTAAAAACAAAAATTACACATCTCAAATGCAACGGTTGTTTGCGTGCCAACTACCAGGATAAAGATGAGTGAATTTGAAGAGTTGTGACGATATAACAAGACTTTAGGCCATCATTGGCTCGAAACAGTTTTTATTTCCAGTATTTGGAAATAGTTCAAGATTTCCGAGTGGCAGCCGTCTTTTTCGATGCTTTATTGTTTAAAGACGCAGATGTTCCATCAGTATTGCTGCTAGATGCTGCATATCCAGTGAATGTAAGAACCAACGAGATCTGTAGAATATAGATATTACAAACGCATGCATTAAATAAACAAGTCAAGGAAGCAAATCATGATCCAAGATAACATCATCACTTGCCAGTTTATAGATGGCGAATATGGGAATCAGCATATATGTCCAGTAAAATTCTAAACTCATAATCACCAGTCAGCTCAGATACCATGGTCAATGAACAAGCGTTGATTCAAAACACTACACTTACTATCAGATACACAGACTATGGCCAGCACAAACCAAGTTATGTAGATACTGTCGTAAAAGTATGAGATCATGGTTCCTTCTTGGGCCAAGTCAGTGCCAGTATTAGCCATATTTTCCATGTGCATGTGAAGAAAGGAGGCCACGCTGCTGGCTAGGATGGAACCGATTGCTGGCCACATTGTCCATGAACTCCAGAACCATGCGATTCGAACCAAGATATGGATGGATAGAGCTATGGATATGCCAAGACGAAGTTGGGTGATGATTTTCTTGTTTCTAGCAAGAGTCTTGCGAGCAGATGCACCGGCCTGTGTTGTAGTATGGGTTAGGTCAGGGTTGCCGTGATTGTCTGCATTCAACCAATGAGGTATTCAGCCAGTCTAAACCAACAATAGTCACCACTTGCCATGCTTATAAATGCTGTCAATGCTCTCAGGTTTAATGTTGGTCCAAGATACCAACCTAAAGTGTCGGCAGCTTCGCTTTGATTTTATCCCGTCTTTATTCATCAACTGTTTGCCAGCCATACAATGATCACTCTGTCCCAACTATACTATGTTTATGCTGCCGTTTCTCTGTTGACTATTGTATTTGGATGCTCTATTGCCATCAACTGCAGACAGGTGCTGAGTGCTCCGCTTCTTTTACTTTCTCGTCATCGCTATCGAACAGAAATGCGAAAGTGCCAGGGACTGTTTGGGTCTCTTATTCTATATGTTACTTTTTTCTATGCTCCATTGGATATCATTTTAACTGGAGATCATGATGGTTTAACTAGTGAGAAAAGTGTGGTTATCATGGCAAATCATCAGGTGAGTCTAGTTGTCAACTCAACTTGCTGGATCTTAAATTTTCATGGTCGAGTCCATCGATTGCATAATGACCGGCATCTTGCACAAACCACTCATTCGATTTATCGTTTCAACCACCCAATGGATGTCTAGATCTATACAGACTGGTGGTATATATGGATTATTTGTTGGTTTAGAAATGCCCATTGCAACCTAAAAATTATGCTCAAGGCTAGTTTGCGATTTCTTCCAATTCTAGGTACATGGCTGAACCCATTTGTAATCTTGTTCTACTTTAAACTCCAATCTCACCACGCAATGTAACAATGTAATCGTAGGATGGGGAATGACATTTTTTGAGTTTCTATTCATGGCACGCAAATGGAGTAAAGATAAGCCAACATTGCAATTCAATCTCACTCGAGCCAAAAATGACAAGCTACCAATATGGCTTCTCATCTTCCCAGAAGGCACAGTCATTACCGACGATACTCGATCCAAATCACAAGCGTATGCAAAAAAAGCGGATATCAGTGACAATCCTGACAATGTTTTGATTCCACGAAGCACTGGACTATACAACTCTCTTTTGTTGCTACAGCCAGATGTGGAGTATTTGTATGACTTTACAATTGGATACTCGGGGTTGGCTGAGCATGATTGTCCATACGATATGTATCCAACAACAAAGGTGTTTTTTGAAGGACGAGGCCCAAAACAGATTCATGTGCATGTTGATAAATTCAAGATAGTGACGCTTCCTGGATTTGCTATTGCTGAAGGTGCCGAATCAGAGACCAAAGCCGTGGAGGGAAATCCAATGGATGGTGATACCAATCCAGAATTCTCTTTGTGGCTACGTAAACGATTTTTGGAAAAGGACCAATTGCTGAGGCAGTTTTATAAACATGGATCGTTTCCAGAACAATCCCATGAGGGTATTGGAAAGCGAGAGGTGATGAGTGTGGCATGAGTGTAGAGGCAATTCACTCGAGCCCTATGTAAACCATTCAGTTTACTAAAGGCTCATGTATATGAGATTGATTACGCATCAGATCTGCGTGTGTTCTGATGAGATGAATAGTCAATAAATGCCATTTAATGAATCCAAGTGAGATCTACAGTGAAACTCGAGGGTCCAAACTTGAATTTGGTTGGCGATTCCTTTCCTAACCAAAATAAAATGTTTGCCCGTGCCGCTCGCTGTGGATCTTCTGTAAGTTGCGCTGATTTGGTTGAGCTGAATGAAGAGCCATGACTGCATGTGAATTCCATTAGCACACTATCTTTGCATTTAGTTTTATATCGAACAATCATCGATTGAGTGTAGTGACAACAGCTTGTGCAGCCGCTGTTTTGAATTTCTTTTTTAGATGCTGATTTGAATGCAGTGATGATGGGAATGGCATTAAATCGACCACTGCCATCTATTGATATGACAGTAAACCTAATATACTCTTTTAACCTGCTGATCCATCTCAGCTTCTTCGGTCACCAACAGCCACTCTGTCTGCTACTACTCGGACCTCATGGGTATCCCGTACTCCTCAACTCGCCTTCCCAACCGTACAGAAACAACAACTGCGACAACTGTCCATTCATGAGCATCTCTCCATGGGTCTGTTGAACCAATACGGTATCAAGACTCCCCGTGGTTATGTTGCAAAGACCTCTGCTGAGGCTGAGAAATGTGCCAAAGACCTGGCCACCAACGATCTGGTCATCAAGGCCCAGGTGCTCGCTGGTGGTCGTGGCAAAGGCCATTTTGAATCAGGCCTTAAAGGCGGTGTCAAGGTTGTTTACTCGTAAGTTTCTGGTTCCACTGCAATCACCATGTTTGCATCTACATGTATGCCAAGTCTTGGTAATTTGGATTCCATTCAATAGAATTTGTCTATTTGTAATTCATCACTTGAATCTGATGTACATGTCATGGTAGTAAACTTGAATTTGTGTTGCTTGATTGATCTACTTTTAGTGCAACTGATATCAAGGGACTGGCAGAAAAAATGCTTGGTAACAAGCTAATCACCAAGCAAACTGGTGCAGGTGGTCGTATTTGTAATGCTGTAAGTATATACTCACCAGATCTTGTCTATTCTAAACACCTTGATGTTTGCATTGCTTTTTACTCATCACTCGTGAAAAACTGGATGAATTATGATTGTATAGGTCTACATTGTTGAGCGTCTCTATGTTCGTCGCGAATTTTATTTTGCTATTGTCATGGATCGTGCTACTCAAGGCCCTGTTATTATTGCCTCATCTCAAGGCGGCATGGACATTGAAACTGTTGCCGCTGAAACTCCCGAAGCCATTGTCACCCATCCTGTTGACATTAACGTTGGACTCCAACTTGCTGATGCCACCAGAATAGCTAAACAGATCGGCTTTGACGGTACTGGTGCTACAAAGGTAAGTCCAAGTAATTAATCAACTTGTCTACATATTTGATTTGCTAATTAGTTGAATCATTGCATAGGCTGCCGAGACATTTATGAACCTCTATAAACTTTTTATTGAAAAGGACTCTACCATGATTGAAATCAATCCCCTTGCCGAGATCCAAAACGGAGATGGTATTGTTTATTGGCACACTCCAAGACTGATTTAAATGCAATACTCATTTTATTTTTTGAATAGTCATGTGTATGGATGCCAAATTTGGTTTTGACGACAATGCCGATTTCCGACAAAAGGACATTTTTGCGCTTCGCGATACTACTCAAGAAGATGCTCGTGAAGTTGCAGCTGCAAAGTGGAACCTCAACTACATTGGTCTTGACGGAAACATTGGCTGTCTTGGTACGGTTAATTGGGTTTATTTTTATTTTAGCGGTTTGAATCTAATTTTATTTTTACATTATAAACTATACAGTCAATGGTGCTGGTCTTGCCATGGCTACCATGGATATTATCAAACTTAATGGCGGTGACCCTGCCAATTTCCTTGATGTTGGTGGTAGTGCTCGTGCTGACCAAGTCGCAGAAGCATTTAAAATCATTAGTTCTGATCCTCACGTATCTGCCATCCTTGTCAACATCTTTGGAGGCATTATGCGCTGCGATGTTATTGCCGAGGGTATCATTGCTGCCGTCAAGCAACTTGGTCTCAAACTTCCCTTGATTGTTCGTCTTCAAGGCACTCAGGTTGATGCTGCAAAGAAACTGATTGACGAATCTGGTCTCCGTATGTACTCCATTGACGATCTTGACGAGGCCGCTGTTCTTTCAGTGAAACTCAGTAATATTGTTACCATGGCTAAACAAGCCGGTGTTTCTGTCAAGTTTGATACTGTTTAAAGAATAGATCTTGTTGTTTGCTTGAATGATTTGTAAGCAAAAGCCTGAACTCCTTCATCCTCATCAAAATCCCCTCTATATCACTGGACCTCTTTATTTGACACTTTCAACACAATATTTCCTTTTCAAAATATACATTTTCCCTGTGATTATTTTGTTGTTGTAAGTAGACGAGTATTATGATATATGCTACGACTATATGTGTAGATTAACTGCATGTGCTGGTAGATAGGTTAGAATGAGATGTGTGGATTTCTTGAACAAATTAGCGCTAGGCTCAACTTTGATCATGCATCATGATCGTTGTCTGTCCACTGAGCAACTTTATTGTCATTGCATGCATCACTGTTTCAGCCAGTGACTTTATCTTCAAGTTTGGCACCTTGACTCGAGTTTCTACTTTTAGCTTCTAATTTGGCCGTGTTTCTAGATTGCCATTTTATTTAGTTTGAGCCGTTTACTCGAGACATTTAGTTTTAAACCATGCGATCATATTACAAATAGACGCACTTTCAACTCTTTAGGTTAGCGGCTGCAAAATTCTTGATAGTCTGTGTAGGATCAAACGGCTTGATTGTTGGTAAACGGTGCTTGATTGTACATTGCACAATGCTTGCATGGATATGAGCCGAGGATAGAAAAGCAACGGGGGTTTATCAATTGTCCAGTATTTTGATGATCTCTACCAGAAAAGTGTCGGATCCATATACCATTGAATGGGATGTCTGGTATAGTCGAGATTCTACATGATCATCCAACTCGATGGTATACAATGCATAGGGATAAAGGGTGTAAGAATAAACAGGATCAGTGTTTCACCACTGTGTTCACGCAAGATGAACCACGAATAAGGATGCCAAAGTACACAAGACAGCCAGTCCCATGAAATGCTTGTCGCCAAATTTACTGGACAATATTGTGTTTTGAACCCATTAGTTTACTGGTCTTTCTCACGGTGATTAACATGGAAGCAATAGCTGTATTCCTAAAATGTAGTCTGTTTTCTTGAACTAGATCGTGCACGTATCCAAGATTCTAGGATACAAGTATAAACAGTACTGGCAACATCATAAAGTTGGATGTAATACCTGGATTGCAATATATGAATCTGGTGATTGTGTATCATATCAAAGTGGAGATGGAGCAGGTTCAAAACTAAAGTTTGTACTACATGGACATTGTGTTTATCGAAGCAGTCAATTTCTAATAGGAAAACACCGAATATCCAAACATTGTTTATTCCGAAGCACTCTGCAAGACAAATACAGAAAAGCGTTGTTTTACGTGAATACGGCGGTGATGTGATGCGTATAAATGATGGATTCCAACCAGTGGCTCAGTGGACTTGAAAGTGCTTCAGGTTGTTACTGTCGTTCATTCAATGATAAAGCAAAATGTGGCGTTTGTTACACTCTAAGCGATATTGTTCTTGAAGGTTTATTGAGAGTCAGGGTTAGGATTTTATGGGGTCCATCTATGAATTGGTTGCTTGATATATACCAACCGGGCAGTTTAAATTAGATACCATAATGATGAGGCTTTTGAAATACCTTGAAATGAAGAGCAATAAGCCGCTTAAATATTGATTCCAACAAGCTGATGTTCAATGTAACTTTGTATCAGTGATATTAGCTAAGCAGAATGATTATGCACATATTTGCCGGGTTGACTGAATTAGACCACGTAGAGTAAACTGGCCATTGCAAGCATCCGACTTGAATTGATGGGTTCCATCAATAGTTGGGTTTGTGCCATGATCAGCTGATCCAGTTCAAGCAACTTTTGGGTACTGCCAACTACTCATCACTCTTTCCTTCTATTATCACTACCCAAACACTTGCTGCCATCTGTAATCTTCACTCCTTTCAGAAATCATCTCGACTTTACCAGCCGCTTTGTTTTCAATTCGTATTTGACGTTTGCTTTGTCGTTTCATTTTTACTGTTACAAGAGTAAACCTTTTTGTCCGTCAACATCAAAGCTTATTTTAACTCATCAGCTTGAATACTCCTTAATCACTTGGTAGTTGATCAATCTGTCACTGCTGTCTTGGCTCTATTGTTTCTGTGGTTGTTCTGCCACTTTGGTTTTCCAGGTACGGCTAGCCATCAGCTCTGGTAATAGCTTGGCTCCGCCCTCATTCTAATCTGCTTTTACTAGTCGCCTGTAGGTATATCAAACTAGTCTTGAATTCTGATTCACTATATAATCAACTAGAGATCCCCTTATGTATGACCAAGTTGTGTGTAGTGGGGTGTGCAGCCAGTTTTTGACTACCAACCCTCTGTTCACAACCTCCGACTCGTCATTTTCTGTCACTAACTCGTACTCTTAATTTCTAGTCGTTTATACCATCTACCCATTGGTTTCAACTGTTGTTTACTATCCTTCAATCTCAACACTTGTTTCAACAGTCTAAACATCGGTCTGGAAAGCGCTCTCATACTATCCGCTATAATAGCCCCGTTCTTTTGGACATAATCCTCTTATCAATCGTCCACCCTATTTTCCACTCGCATATCATCAATCGATAAGAACACAAGTTTTCGGTTTCATCACCTCACTCATCTAGACACAACTCGATTGGTTCACGCGGCTTTAGATAGTATTTGTGATCTGTAACGTCAACCACAAGAATCATCAGTACCTGCTCAGCTACTAGTTATACTGGGTGTTCAACCTTACCACATTGCTATATCATACATACCATACATTTTTTTGCACTCCCACTTTATTCGGATTTCGACTCGACAATGACCCTCATTGATCCTCTCAACCCAAAGGCCCAGCTTGGGTCTGTCATTGATGAAGGCCGGATCAAGCTCATGTCGATTCTTGGAGAGGGTTCGTTTGCTGTTGTGTTTCTAGGAAAGGACCTGCAGACTCAGACATCATATGCTGTCAAGTGTCTGTACAAGACTGGTCTGACCGATCACCAGCTGTCACTACAACTACGTGAGGCTTCTCAACTTCAAACGCTTGCCGATCATCCCAATATTGTAAAACTCTACAAAACTATTCAGACAAGGGACTGTCTATTTCTTGTGTTGGAGCGGTGTCGTACAGACTTGTTTGATGCCATTATGCGCCACGACGGATTTGCTGAACCTACTGCACGCCGGCTGTTTGCTCAATTAGCAGATGCTGTTGCCATGTCGCATTCGAAACGTATCTACCATCGGGACCTGAAGCCAGAGAATGTCCTGGTCACATATCCCGGAGATATTTATGCTGAGCAGGATTTGATAGTAAAACTGACCGACTTTGGTCTGGCCACTACCGATGCTGTTTCCACTGAGTTTGGCTGCGGCAGTGTTCGTTATATGGCTCCCGAATGCCTTGCAGGCGATGCTGAATGGCGCCGAAATGCACCAGCCCATATCATCAAGTCGCTGGCTGCTCCTGTTGCATACTCTCCTCCTGCAAATGATGTGTGGTCGCTTGGCATTATTTTGATCAACTTGCTCACAGGAAAGAATCCCTGGGTTGAACCTTCTGCAAAGGACAAGCACTATCAAGCCCACATTCTTTCTCCGGCTCGTTTGGCTTCAGCGTCAAATACATCAACCGAGACTACAGCTCTGTCCACTACTGATTACACTCGTGCAGATTGGCTTCAGATTCGTCGACAACAGCAAACTAATGAGCGACCCACTCGTCCAGATTCGTTTCAGCTGCAGTTTAGATTCTCGGATCAACTCTGTGTTGTCTTGCGGCGTATTTTTGATTTGGATCCATTCCGTAGACCCAGCGTAGCGGAGCTTAAAGCTCTGATTGATGCTGTTCCAAACCTAATGCAGCCAAAGGATGCCAAGATGACATCCAAGCAATCAGAACCCATTCCTGCTATTTTACCCCCAACACCTCAAACCTCATTCATTCAACCCCAACCCCAGATCTATACCAAACCGCAGCCCAACGGCCACATACTCAATACAATCTCGCCTGCAGTTCCTCATCCTTTATCTGCCACCAACGCGGCAGCAACTACTGTTCAACCAGGGGCTGCTGGTACTCCACAACTAATTATTTCCCCAACGCCTGTTCCTGCCGCAGTGTCTAAACCTGCTGTATCAAGAGCCATTCCCACTCATGCCTCGACACTTACAGTTCCTGTTGCTCAGACTCAACCCAAATCCGCACCTTCTCGGCCAGAGTTTTTCCCAAACAGTCGATTTCATTATACAGGCGAAAACACAGGCAACAACAATTACCAATACAATTACAACAACCAGCATCGTCGTTACAATGCACCTTCCCAGCATTCTGCCACCAATGGAATATTTTATTCGGCAGCATCTCCTGTTCCAATCGCGACCCCGCCTTCTGTAACAGCGGCAGCTGCAGCATCTGCTGCCAATGCAGCCGAAAATGCAAAGAATCGCACACACTATCCCATGCACACTCATGGCAGACAGCACCGCCATCGTCCCCAGTCTCAGCAGCAACTCCCGCCATCCTCTGCTTCGCGCTGGTGGCGACGTATGCCCGATCAACCGGCTCGACAATCTGTTATATCATCCAATGATGGTATAGATGCCACTATGAAGCCAGCTTCGATTGCGTCTGATCAAATGGACAGTAGCACTGTTGCTAGTATAATCACCCAACCATTTTCAGACATGGATATGGGCAATCCGTCAGCTATACTCTCTCATCACCAAAGTATGGAGAGTATTGATAGTACAGCCAACAGTAGCTACTGTTGCAGCACCGATGGTGGATCTGCACATGTTTCGGATGGCACGCCCTGCAGTACTCATCAGCAGCAAGGAACACCAGTCAACACCAGCGAGTTGTGGCTGGATGAATCTCAAGACCTTGTGTTTGATTTAGAGCCATCAAGCTATAGCAATGCATCACCCATTTCTAATCCCAGTGGGGTGCAAACTGCAACATCATCTGCAGCCAGCTCACTCTCTAATCACATTACGTTGAATACAGCCGCCATGCCAACTACTGCGTTTCTATCAACTCAAGCCAATAGTTCACCATTGCTCGCAGGATTTGGTGCATTCTCACCCCCTTCATTGGCATTGCCTTCAAATGCATCCATCAACAGACTGATGGAATCTACTGGGAACATGCCGCAACAAGGACTCGTCAACACTATGCCATCAGCAACTGCTCCAGTGTTGGGTTCATTCGCACGTGGCATCTCTAAAAAAGCCGCACGGCGCAGACCTGGAGCTCTGATCACGACTTCATCGGGCAGCTCTGCAGGACAGGGATCTACGGCGTCGTCCGCCCATTCAGGCCATTTGCTTTCATCTGCAAGCACCATCGGTGCATATTCAGCATCATCCACTATATCTGCTGGTCTGAGTACGGTTCAGCCTGCCTCTCGTTATCCCCACCATATTTACTTGTCAACAATTGCTCCAATTGCTGAAAAGCAACAAGACGAAGCAAACTGCAACAACTACTCTGCAGAACATTTGTCAACCATGATGGATTGTGATGACACTGCAGTTACAAGTGATGTGGATACAAATATGCTTGTAAACCATTCGAGTTGCAATGCCAGTACTGGCTATCGTTCTGTTGAGCATTCTCCCACACCGCCGTTTTCCTACTCATCCCAGTCAAATCCAAATTCCCCACTTTTCAAAAACTCCGATCTGATGGGTTCTAGAAACCTCATGGATACCAATAGTGCCCCATCTACTCCAGGAGCTGCATCGGCTACTGCCTCCTTGATTAAAATTCAGAATCAGTCGCGGTCCAAGCGAAAGCGTCGCGTTTCTCCAGCTGAATTTCAATGCTTTCCAGTTGAGCATCAGTTGGACAATCTATCGCACTCTCATGAAAATATGTCTACCAGCCAAAATAAACAGTTCCTTGCACAACTTCAGGTGCGCATGCCGTCTACTCAACCGGTTCAGGACATACAGCAATATACATCAGCACACCCTCGTTGCTCAACTACTACCTTGCCGTTTTTAACTCCACCTTCTGATTTTTCATCATTTCTTGACCTCGATCGGCCAAAGAATGACGCTTTATCTGATGAATTCACCAACAACGCCATACAATCCTCTGCTGGTTTGTCAGGGTCCAATATTTTACAAGCTTCCGCTACTGCCTCATTGACAAAACCTGATATTCTACACAATGCTTTCTACGGATTACGTTCCATTCTCTATGAAATGTCCGATACAGATCAATCTTTACCCACTCTTGAGCAAACCTTGCCAGGGTTTGACACGCCTGCTACATCACAAACATGATTTTTTAAAAACACGAGTTTGACTAAATAGTTTGAGTTTTATCTTGATCAAAGTCGGAGCATCATCAAGCTACTTGTTACATCTCTGGATTTTTCAGTGATGGATGGTGCAATCATATACTTTTAACAATGATAAATTGCTGCAATACTCTAACTTTTGAGTCATTGCTTATTGAGTGATACAGCTGTCTTTTGCTCTTGACACAATGCAGCCTGCTAGATCATTTTATTTTAAAAATACTCAAATATACAACAAAAATGCATACAGAATAAACAACATTTCCGATCAGATGTGGGTCTACAAATAAACAGCCTGTCTCGATAATTACAAATTTGAACATTGTCTTTTAAACTTTTCGACCAATCTACATATTCACTAATTCAACGTGGTTGGCTAGCCATTGTTTATTCCAAAGCAAAGAGGCAATCATTGCAAGGTAAATGCAAGTATTTTGTTTTATATGAATACAACAGTAGATAAAAGGTCTGCATTGGAAATGCACCAAAGAAACCATGGACAAATCCATCAACAAGCCTGTACTCACTCGTCAACACCCTGACATGAATCATAACCAATACATCCGCTAAATGGTGACACAACTCGATCTAGTACAACCACTAAAACATTGTTAACACGATGCACGTTCAGAATACGAGCATTGCGATTGACGGTAGCTTTAATCTGTCGACTGCCAGTACTTTCCAAATCGGTAGGCGGCGCACCAAGCTCCACCACCATATCAAACCCATCCAAAAGAGTCGTAACACGTTGACGTATCCATGACGGGGTTGAAAAAGAGGATTCGGGTGCAGTGTTGGAATTGGGGTGATCCAAATGAGATTCAATGGAATCGGATTCGTTTGATGTGGAAAAAGATGAATCCATCATTGATTTAGGAAACGTGATTGCGTCACCATGATGAATATGATACATCATCAAAAGTGTTACGGCAGGGTCGTCCGAGTTGGAGAGTGGATGTGACGTAATAGGATCACTTTGGTCAGAACCTACACATGTGTTACCACGATGCACAGAGGGTGAAGCACTATTGCAACTCTGGGCAGATCCAGGTTTGATCGGAATGGGTAGAGCAGCAAAGGCTTGATCAGTGGGTGCAAAAAGCACCACATCACCTTGAGTAGAACCAAGATTGTTAATGATCGTGTTGATACGAGTAGATTGAATAATAGAGACAAGCGTATTGAACGTCTTCAATTGTGTCGTATCACTGTCACTAGCAGTGTTTTCATTGGGTGGTGTAGAGTTTGGGGTTGCATTCGAATCTTTAGCCGTAATGGATTTCAGATAGGCAAGGATCGATTGACCAATCGATGCAGTCGGACTAGATTGACCAATCGATGCAGGTGGACTAGGTTGCTCAACATGTCGGCGGTAAAGGTGTCGACGATAGGGTGCTGAAGTCGCGGTGGCTGTTGCAGCTGTTGAATAGCTAGTTGTGGTAGAATGATGCATTGGGCACGGTGTAGACTTTGTGGTCATACTAGTCTCATGTCCGCTGACAAACAAAGGTCCAGAAACACTGAGCAGAGCAATAATAAAAGTGTAAAAGCAGTTCATGTCAAGTCCAAAACTATTTTAGATTCAAAGATGCCAATCGTTTAGATTCATTTTATACTTGACAGTAAATTCAATAGTCGCTTGGGATTGGGAAATATGTATCATTTTAGTATAATAAATGAAAAAGTATAATTTAACCTATTTGCAGCGTACTCATGTAAAATGAAACACTATCTTGCAATGACTCCTAATTTGCTTTGGAATAAGCAATAATTGAATACTTATTACACTTTATTAAAAATTAACTTTAAATTTTCAATTCAAAACACAGCATTCATCATATAATTCTCACAAACTGTAGTTGAGTTGAAATTATCTTCATTTGACATAACCATGCATTGTACGACCACCAAATTTAAACTCGGATTCATATATTGGATTTTACTGTTTTGATAATCAACCCCATCATTGTATCCTAAAAGCTCTCAGATATGTCTGTATTTTAGTACAAGAAACCAATGACTGCACTATCAGGGATATAACTGTGCCAATCACTACAAGGAATACTAGTCAACTTTGCCAAGTAGTTCATGACTAGATCGTAGCTAATCTGTACTAATGTATTCTGACACATCTACTAATACCAATGGATACCATGATTGCATATGGATTGTAAAAAGCAATTTAATTTTTTGTCATTAAACTAATATGGGTTTTCAAGATATCTACAATCTTTTCCAACTCATCCCGTGGTACTTGATGATGCAATACCATGCGCATTGCAGATCCAGATCCTCCAAAAGTCTTGATATTGTGTTTTTCAAGAACTTGCGAAACGTCATCTGCGCTCATTCCAAGTGGTTTGGTATCCAGCCAAATCATATTGGTTTCGGTTGGGCTTTCGAGTTTAAACCCAAGATTCATAAGCTTTGTGCAAAAATATTTGGCATTGTCGTGAACTTGCTTCATCTTGGGCCAATTATGCTCAAGTGCAAACATACATGCACCAGCAAGAATCCCTGCCTGTCTCCATCCACCACCATACAGTTTACGCAAATGTCTTGCCTTTTTTATATGCTGTTTAGATCCTTTACATTGTTAAATTTGAAACTATTAGCACTTTTTCAGGTCATGGTTGATTTATCATAACTGAACTTACCAACTAGAACAGATCCAACTGGTGCTCCAAGCCCTAGAATAGTATATTCAAACACGACATTAGAGTTAGTGATCACATGAATAAATTAGCTATAAGCTATAGTCTTATACCTTTGGAGAAACACAGTGATACACTATCAAATGGTTTGCACAAGTTTTTGATGGATATCCCTGTTTCAGCTGATGCGTTCCAAAGTCGAGCTCCGTCCAAATGCAAAGGAATTGAGTGTGTTTTTGCCAGCATCGAAATACTCTCGATATCACTTTGAGGGAAAATCTAAAAATTAAAGTGCCATAATGTCTACCATTAGAACCCAATTCGGCCGTGTTCAATACCTGCCATTATAGCAATAGCTCTACTTACACTTCCATTTAGCGTATTTTCCAAACAAATAAGCTGGGTTGGAGCATAATGAACATCATCGGAAAGAACCAGATGTTTTTCAACTTCCGCTGCGACAAGATGCCCAGTTGAAGTTGCTGGAGTGACAGGTATAACCGCAGCACCTAAATACAAACATAAGAGCAACCCAGTCAGTATGAATGCAATACATCGTGTTTGAATATAAGTTACGCAATACTTACCACAATGAAAATTAACACCAGATGCTTCATATTTGAAAATATGCGCTCGGGAATCGCATAGAATGGAGTATGGCGGCTGGAGAAGATGAGTTCGAATGGCAATCTAAAAGTAATTTTAAAAATCAAGAGCCATAAAATGTCAATGACTGTCAGATCTGATGAGAAAAGCTGCAATCTGGATTTACTTGATTGCTAAGAGTACCACTTGTGCAAAACAATGCTGCCTCTTTTCCAGATAGTTCGGCCACAGTCTGTTCAAGTAAATTAACGGTTGGGTCCTCCTGAATACAAAAACCAATGCAAATATCATGAATCAACAAGAGTCAATAACCTGCCATTTCTAGATTCAGAATATACAAGATTGATAGATTGAATCGATGTTTAATACTCACTGAATAGACATCATCTCCAACTGGTGCAAGCATCATCGCCTTGAGCATTTCTGGGCATGGCTTTGTGACTAATATTAAAATCAGGCCATTGGTCAGTATACTTTACAGTCGTATTCACGTAAAATACAACTTGACATAATAAACAGCCAGTCTCATGAAATGATTGGTATCATCGAATTTACTAGACAGTAATATTTTAAACACCTTGAAGTTTACTGGTCTTTGCTCACTTTTGCATATAAAACAATGACTGTTTAAAGCAGCAATCAGATTTCAGTTCAAGCTATAGTTTGACTGGATATTGAAGAGGTGAGAATGTCTATTGAAGTAGTCAATTTCCAGTAGAAAGTACAACAAATATTTAACCATTGATCATTCTGAAGCAGAACATGAGTGATTACAGAAGTGTTTCATTTTATGAATACAACTGTAATAAGTGGATCTATTGTGGATAGTCGAATGCATGGCAGTAAATCCAACCCAATTGTATAAGCATCGACACTACACAAAACCCATACCAGTGTCACTTCGTAGGTCTGTCATTGTAATTGAATTCAAGTTGAATATGATAGATTGGCCAATTGAATGGGAATTGGACTAGGGTGAAATTGATAAATTGGAGTGATTTTAAAACCGTATCGACATGGAATGAACCACTAAATAACAATGTTCGTGTATAATAAACAGTCAGTGTCATGACATGATTGTTGTTAATGAACTGTTGAGTTGTATTATTTGTGGTGATTGACATGTACAGTTGCATCACTAAGATGTGCAGTCATTGTTGAACATGATCGCGAGCGTATTCGAGTGTTTGGAATACAAGAGTTTAGTTCACAAGTTAACCTCAAATCTAGATTGCAATTGATCAATCTGGTGATCGTACAGTGTATGATGTCAAATTCCAATCCAAAACTGCAGTTTGTATTATATGAAGGATTAGAAAACAATAAATACTCGCCACTGTTTGTTTCAAAGCAAGAATGACTGCAGAAAGGTATAGCACATGAGCCAGAGTTCATCAACAGCTTTGATGCTTTTGTCAAATGGCTTGAATGCTTAGCATTCCACTTCCAATCGTTCAAGTAACGATTAGCCGTCTATTCAGTCATTCAACAGTCTTTACTGCAGCATGGATTACATTGCAAACCAATTGGGACTGCCTACAGAGTTTCTAGCAATTTGCTCATGTCTTGTGTCGTCCTTTCCACTTGCACTGTTATACAATCACATTCCAAAATCTAATCCCATACTCCGCCACTGGTTCTGTTTTCTATCAACATCCTCCATCATTATATTACTATTCGGAGTTACATCATATTTGAATGTATTGGTGCCTACTCTCATTACATATGGACTAACCAGTATTGCTGGTGGAGATCGACTGGTGCCCATTCTTGTGTCTGTTGGAGTGATTGTTCAACTCTTCATCCTGCATGTGCAAATACAACTTTTACACGCCAATGATCTTACTTATGTAAATATATCTACTCCAATGATGGTCATGGCAATCAAGCTTTCATTATTTGCGTGGTCAGTTTATGACGGAACTCGCTCTACAAAGGTTGGTTTTCTAAATCAGCTTGGGTCGCCTTCTTGTAAAACTTGTACTACTGTTCAGGTTGCGGAATCTTTAACATTTGGACTTTTAATATTAAATAATAATGCTTTGGGTATCTATGTTTTTGTAGGATTTGGACTCGGATATGGTGCCGTTTGCAATCAAGGAGATGCCAGATTTGATTGAATATCTCGGATTTATTTTTTACTTTGCAACCTTTTGGGTTGGGCCAGCATTTGATTATCAGTACTATTACGAGTATACACGTAGCATAGTATGTCTATGCAGTTGTTATGTGTTGATCACATACTCTAATGATTGTGGTCCAACTCCAATCTCTGATCATATACATAAATATTTTGAAATAGGGTCCATATACACGAAAAAGTGCTTCGCTAAACGCAGGTCTTAGAGTGTTAGGCCTAGGTATACTCATGATGATTATGTTTGTGACAGTAGATACTAGATGGGGAGCATCTGCACTGTTCAATGGACCATTTTTTACAAATTACACGGTGTTGGAAAGGTTAGTTTCGTTCGCCTGCCACATTACCAACTTGGGTTTTTGAAAGCAACGCTAATATCTCCATGGCATTGCTCTTCTAAAAATCATATCTTGTTGATACTCAAGAATCGGAGTTGTCCAACTTACAGGATTTTCCGTACGAGCTAAATTTGCTGCCGCATGGAAATTATCCGAGGCGGCGGCAATTCTAACTGGACTTGGATCAAATGGTATTGACCCAAAAACAAATCAGGAGCTGCATGATCGTTTAGACAACGTGGATATTCTTCAAGTTGAATTGGGACAGTCTCCCAAACAAGTAGTTGATGGCTGGAACAAAAAAACTGCGGGATGGCTAAAGCGATGCGTTTATTTAAGAATTATACCTTTTGCACCGACTTCAGTAGCAACAGGAGTAACAAATCTCGTATCTGCATTCTGGCACGGAGTTTATCGTAAGCTTTTCTGTCTAGGTTGATGTGCAGTCCTATTCATATCATTTGCTGCAACTCAGATTTAACTGACAAATTGTTGAAATATAAGCCGGATTCTACCTGGCATTCGGATCTGGTACCTTTATCGTTCTTGCAGGTCGTACCTTGCGAAGACATCTTCGTCCACTCTTTGTAGCTGAAAAGGCAAAGTTTAAATGGCTCAAACCAGTCTACGACTTTTTTGGCTTTGTCTTTACAATGAGTGTGCTCAACTACCTGTTTACATCCTTTTTTGCAAGATGGGCAATCAAGTCGCTTCAAATCTGGTATGCAATGTACTTTTTTGGTCATATTGGAATGATTGCAGTTATTGGTGGATTTTGGTTGTACGATAAAACAAGTAGACGTGAACATGTCTCGGAAGAGATTAAAAGCAACTTTAAATCCAAATCAGAATAAATTCAGATCACTTTATAACCAATCAACAAACTTGTTTGTATTATGATTTGGAAAAAGCATATATAAAAGGGCTGTTTAGTTTTGATTGCAAATCCGGCCAAACAGCTTGACCCTTGGAATTTCCCTTTTATCGCTGCTTGTAAAGCAATACAAAATAATGAAATCGGGTTTATAATTGATTCGCACAATTATTTTCAAGTTTGCTGATATTTACTTGGTTCCAACCGTCATCTTCAAACCCATAGATTGATTCGGCCGATAGACTTTACTGAGTTCACAACAAAAATACTGTCTTGTGCGATTATACGGCATCGTCATTAAGGCATTCTTGTCAATTTTTAATTTCTACCTTCATTGGCAATCAACAAACTTTTTGTAGCGATTGATTGACATGAATATCCGACAATATGGTCAAGACTTGGGGATATCCAATGATATCTTTATATTGGGACTCTGCTTGTTGATATCATTTCCACTCTCTGGCCTTTATTCATTCATTCCAACCACCTCTGCATATCGATCCAGTCGCCATTGGTTCTCCATCATCACTACATCAACCATATCATTGCTTATATTTGACGTCAGTGGCATCCTACATCTGCTAGTACCTACCGTCACCACTTATTTTATTACTCGAGCTGTAGGATCCAATCGATGGACACCCTATGTGGTGTTTGCTGCAACACTACTACATTTGTCGTGGATTCACCTTGGTTCGCAGTTCTGGTACGTTGACGATCCAAATTATATCGATATTTCTGCTCCATTGATGGTTTTGGTTATCAAATTGAGCTCATATGCGTATTCTGTATACGACGGATCTCGTCCTGACCAGGCAAGCCTTTATTTTCAAATTTATATCCACGTTTGATACAATTCATTTTGACTTTTAAATGTATACTGATATTCGAATTTTAAACATTGCAAAACTGGTCATTCCCAATTCATTTTAACTCTACTGCTCAATGTCATATATAGGAAGTCCATGCTGAAATGCGACCTTTGGCAATTAAAAAAATTCCCGATTTTGTAGAGTATCTCGGATTTATATTTTTTTTTGCAACGTTTTGGGTTGGACCTGCATTCGATTACAAGCACTATTATGAGTTTTCTCGTAATCTGGTATGTTGAAACTTTTATATTCGACAGTTTATTTTGATCAACCTTGGTAAATGCCAGCCTCAAATCTATTGTCTTTACCAACATTGCAGTTTGATTTACTGAATGCTCGATCGTGTTTTAATAACAGGGTGCATATCGCAGAATTCCGAGTACTAAAATGGCATCCATCAAGGTACTCATACTAGGAACTTTGATTTTGTCTGCGTTTTTGACTTTGGATTCAATTCGAAGTCCAGCATTCTATAGATCCCCTACTGGATTCGTTAAAGAAAAGGGCTTTTGGTGGAGGTAATGTAGACTCAATTTTCAATCACGGCATGTATACTTGTTGACTAACACATTTTACCTAATAGAGTCTTTCTAATTCAAGTAGCAGGACTTTCTACTCGTGCAAAACTTTGTGCTGCATGGAAAATTTCTGAAGCTGCTGGAATTCTAACTGGTCTTGGATACAGAGGTGTTGATTCTATAACAAAAAAACCAATGTTTGATCTTTTGGAAAACATAAATGTGAGGCAGGTGGAGCTTGGTCAGTGCCCAAAAGGAATCATTGATGGGTGGAATATCAAAACATCAAACTGGCTTAAGCGATGCGTCTACTTGCGTGCTACTACTCCCGGATCAAAATCTACTAGCGTTGCAACAGGACTCACCAATCTCATATCCGCCATGTGGCATGGATTCCATGGTATGGCAATATTCCAATCCTTATCACTGTAAACCCTTTATCTGATATTCACATTTTAACATCTTGTTGCGGCTATTTACCATCCTGAATTGATTAGCTGGTTACTATTTGTCATTCCTTTCTGCAACACTATGGATCATCGTTGGTCGAATAACTAGAAGATATTTTCGTCCATTTTTTGTCTTGTCCGACTCGCCACTCAAGTTTTACAAACCAGTATACGATCTGCTTGGATTCATCTTTACCATGTCTACTCTCAACTACATATTTATGCCATTTATTGTTTGGCACGCCAGTTCATCACTTTACATCTGGACATCCGTACTGTTCTTGGGCCACGTGTTTCTATTATCCATATATGTGTTGTTAGAGACATTGGGTGGTGGATGGTATTTGCAGCACATAGTATTACCATACGTTATTGGCTCTGAAGCAGCGGCTACTGCTCGTGGTGAAATAACTATGGACTTTGCACAGAAAAAATCGATCCAAGGCTTACATAGGAAACTTGATTGAACCGACATTATAAGACAAAAATAAACTAGTATGATTTCGTTTATATATTTTTTTAGCATTTTGAATTTACTGTCAAAATTGGTCGAGGAAAACATCAGTTTGTTATATAGCCTAAACCAGTATGGGAATTGGCCATTAAAAATCACAACTCATCCATACGTACTATTATGAGTATACTGCACTAAATATCGAGTCCAAGCTTCTCAACTATGATATATACGATTGTTGGAACCATGATCATTGCCATGCTTAATAAGTCTTGCTTTTAAATGGCAATGTGGCTAAAGTACAGATTCGATCTGTATTTAGGCCAAATAAATGAACATTACTGAATGCATGGATTAGATCCAACGGATGGGTTACTGCTGTATCGAATACAGCCAATAGTGCAGCTTCCCACAAGCAATCTTACTACCAGTATATTACACTATTTTGCATGTACGAGTCCATCATACTCTCCAAAATCCATTTTGATGCTTGCCTACTCAACAGTCGATGGATTACTCGGCTAAACAATTGTTTCGGTTTAATGAGTTGCCTATTTTGTGAATTCAAATCTCAAGATCCACATCACCACCAGCATGCCAAATAATTACCACCAGCATCCCAAATACTTGCTCTTCATTAAACTGTATCATGTTTGATACCATTTGTATCAATGTATAAGCCTTGCGGCTATTGCTTAGAAAAGGCATTATGCATTATAACTTGCGCAGGTCACTCGATCCATACATCATGTGCAAGTTGGCAAAGCACAGTTCTCCTATGTTGAGCGTGCAAGTGTCAAGCGTAATATGGTTTGAGGTGTAAAGATGCAGTGCAATCCCGAAACCCTGCAAAAACGTTCAAGTAGGTTGTATGGTATCGCTTAGCTATTTGTGGTTGGATGCTTGAAATCTCCACATTAAAAAACACTGGCCATTTGGAAACAACCTTCATTTACCACATTTACTCCACCTATTGAGTGTTGCAGAAATAGTCTAGTAAAGCATAATTGGTTTTGGATACTTTTGTATTGATTCTGGTAGTCGTGATACTGGTAGGCACGATTCAGGCAGACATGATTTGAGTAGGCACGATACAGTAAATATCCAGACAAGTGTTACCAGTAAAATGGTGTGCAAATCTAGTAATAATGGTATCTACTTTTATCAGTTAAACACCTGATCTAATCTGAACAATATTCAACTCGACTGCTCTGCATTTGGACAGTGTTATACACTGTCACTGCCAATATAACTGAAATCTTGCTGTCAGTGCTGATTCGCTGTAACCTTGGCCATCATCCCCATACTCGTAATTAAAGCTAGATACAGTCCTATCCATAAAATCCCGTGTTTACAACAATCATTGCTTTTAAAAAGTATTGAGTCGATGGCCTCCATGCCATTGGGTTTCGAGTTCGGCATACTAAATAAAGTGTAGGAGTTCAAATGCTTGGTTGAAAGCATTAGATCCACTAGTATCAAGAAACCCAAAGCACAATCAACTTCAAGTATAATGCACAATGTTCGAATTATAACAGTTTATTCATCTGCTCAATGTTCGAGTTTGTCTGGTCTCGATTCATCATGCAATCCAGATTGATGTTCAAAAACACTTGGTGTTAATCAGCAACCGCACAAACTAGTCATTGGTCAACTCCATCCAGTTTCTCTGGCTTGATACTCGGTTGGTATAAAATGATTCATGGATCAGTGGCAAACATCCAACTAAGCAGATGATGACAATTCATCAGATTTGGAAATACCATACACTCTTGTCAATTATTAGTCAACAATAAAGTGGCTTAGAATGACCGAATACAGTGTAATACGCTTGTCTGACGTGACGTGGTCAACTCGATACATTCCGTAGCACTGGAACAGGTCAAACAGCAATCATCCACTGTCATGATTATTCAGTATTTCCATTATACGGTAAAAATAATCATACTGGATCAGAGTGATCCAGTGTAAAGCTAGGTATTATACACTTGAACTATTAACAGTCGAGTAAAGACAATATCTACTATACAGCCGATATTCTCTCTACCATATGGCCTTGTCAGCATCTACATCACATTGTTCGAGCTCAGCAACTCGGTCGATTGGCAATACAGTGACTCCAGTTTGGGTGGTGTAGTAATAGGTGATGGAGGGCGAGCTGCCAAACTGACTGTATCTGGCCATGCAGAATATGATGCATCTGGTGTCGATGTCAGTCGAAAATCAATCAAATCAAATGCTCCCAGTTGCTCTACATGTCCAGGTGTCGTTGTTTCCGAGGCCGACAACTCTGTCAATGATGGAAGCGTGGATTGATGCAGCTCTCCCAATCCAATCGTACATTCCAAGTCGTGGAGTGTTGTATTGATGGATTTCATGTGATGTTGCAGTTCCTTTGGCTGCCCAATCAGTACAGATGCACTGGGTGCGGTTTCATGGCTCGACACAGCTCCTCCCGCAACCCACGACGGATGAGATGGATGTACATATGCAGACTTGGCTGGGTTTTGCACTTTGGAATCGCAGTACGTCAAAGTAACGGCTGGACACTGTGTCAGATGCGAACCAGACGTGGTAAACGAATAGTTTGAAGATTTAACGCATTCGGTTCTAGATAAAGAATCTGGTGCTGACCATTCCAAAACTGGTCTAGTCACACCCGACATTCTTCTGGTGGGCGGATGCATAGTTATGAACCCAGCTCCGCCTTTTACTGTAAAGTGCTGCATATCTTGTTGAGGTCCTGCTCTCGGCATCAAACGATCGTCACGTCCAATACCATGACGATAAGAACCACTAATGACGTGCACAGGATGGTGTTTGCCTATGCCCAAATGATGTCTGGCTGAAGAGTGTAATGTATGTCCCTGAGTATGGCTGTGGTTTTGATATTCTGCCTGAATTGAGCGCAGTCGTTGATTTTCGCTATGCAGCAGTTTGATATCTGTTTGTAGCTGATCCACTGTCTGAATCAATCGATCTCTTTCTTGCAACAGTGTGGCTGCCTGTGTGTTGCTGGCTGCCAACTCCTGTTTCAATTGATCCAGCAGGTTTGATGTGCTTTCATCTTCGCTTTTGGTTGTTGATCTTGTAAGCATTGACAATGAAGATGCATCTTCAGTTTGGTCAACCTTCAATCCATTGTTGTGTCCAGAAATCGCATTATACTGGATCTCCAACAACAGCAGCTTTTCTTCCAGCTCTTTTGTATATCGGTCTTTACGCTCCCGAAATGCTCGCTGCGCTGCTCGATTCTGTTCTGCTCGCTTCGATGTCTGCTTACGTTTCTTGGTAGTTGGTGCTGGCGTCTCGGTTACTGACTCTGATTCTGCTCGCACACTGGTATCGTCATCAAGTGTATCGATGGGATTGACAGTGTTTTTAGTGCTCGAATAATTATTAGTATAGTGAGTAATTGGTGCTGACGAAGCTTTATTAGCTGCAGTTGAATCAAGAATAGATTGTGGGTCAAGAGTTAGCCTAGTCAGCGGCTTCAACATATCCAGCTGTTGCAAGTCGACCAAGAGTAATGAATGTTGATCAATGGTCAGTGGTCATTGACTACAGTATTAGATGGATGTCTGCCAACAGAACCACCTAGCGAGTAATAAAATGAAAACGATTTTTCAAATAGCAAACTCCAAGTGCATTCAGCCCTTTAAAAGCGAATTCTACTTTGTTCCTTATCAGCCAGCAGTGTATCCATTCGTATAGTGCATGCATATTCACCGACTTGATTCCAGACTGTTTTTTACAAATAATTGAACTCGTTGATTTATACACATGATTGTAGACGCATGTCTGACTATTGATTGCAATCTGAGCGATTGCTCAAACCATGTCTGATGCACAATAGTATAATAGTACAATACCACAATAGCACAATAATCCATTGTATCTTGAATCACCAATGTCGTTATCAGTGGCTTGGATAGAGTGCCAATCACCCGGTATCGTTTGTTTAGTAAATTGGTCTTGCAGTTCATTATCCAATCTATGGTTTCAGGCCTTGAACAACTGCACACACCATCTACACCAACAGTCTTGAAATCATTGCTCGTCAGATTTAGTTGGTTTCAACTCGAGTTTGACAGTCATTGAGTTGGACATTAACGCCATTGCACTCGACATTCACACTATCCATCAGACTAATAAATGGGTCGTTGAGTCTGCATACGTGTAACGATCCGAACGGCGAGATTGACATCATGACCCGTACGAGTCGGCCGACTAGAACGGTCTTGCCAAGTTTCAATCTGCACCAAAAATGGCTGGCGTGATTATTTGTGTTCAACGATGCCAACTGCACTTGCCTAAACATCAGTTAATTAATTTGATAATATTAACATGGTTGCTTTTACTCTTACTCACGAGCATGGTTATGTTTTGGGCGTTGCTGTGACCAGCGCTCTGTTTGTGACTAGTCTTGGGATTAGAGTTGGAGCTGCTCGTCGTGCAGCCAAGGTTCCATACCCTTACAGTTGAGTAGTATCAAATGACATGCATGAGTTGATGTTGGATCTAGCAGTATATTGCAGTCTGCTTGATCCACTACTGTTGATACAGATATCTTGCATTTTTCCAACCATTCAACCATGTGCTTGTGTTTGATTTCGATCAATACCGATCATTTGACCTAGAATCTGGTTTAGGATTTAATCCAAGGCTTGGTTAATGCAGTCGATTCAGTCGATTCATACTGTTTGATATACTGATATTTTTAAATTCTTGTAAAAACTAACATGACTTGTAATGCAAACCTAGTGTATGCCGAGGTTGCTGCAGCAGAAAAGGATCCAGCCAAGTACAAGTTCAACTGTGCTCAGCGAGCACACCAAAACACCCTTGAAGGTTATCCAGTCTTTTTGATGCTGTAAGTACCGTATTTTGACCCATATCGTGCGAGTCACAAATTGTCCACTTTGAAATATTGGTATGGTGGTAAAGATGCATACAAATGACTGCAACTAATGTGTCATGTATAATTGCACACCACTTTGACACTAGTCTCGGAATCAGTGCAATTGAGCACCCCATGTATGCAGTTGCTTCTGGTATAATTTGGATCGTCGGAAAACATCTCTACGCACAAGGCTACTGCACTGGTGACCCAGACAAGCGAGTCAGAGGAGCATTCTCTTATCTTGGTCTTTTGACCTTGCTCGGAATTTCCATCAAGACTGCTATAACTCTTGCCATGTCTGCTTAGTATATCATTTGATTAAAAATGAACATGCTATTTTTCAAACAATTTTTATACTGTGATGAATGGATTTATTGTGATGGATATGTTTATGGAGTTGCTTTGTCCCATCCTGTCCAATTCTATCCAATTCTGTTCCACTTTGCTACATTCTGTTTATCAAATTGTATTTGATTGCACGATACATTGGTTGAATGGCAAGTTGATGTCAGCTGCAAGATCTATACAGAAACAAACTGAGCGAGTTGGAGCATTATAGGCTTGCACCCAGACTTTCAAGAACAACAATGGCTGTTTTAGACCATCAATGGTCTGACTGCCCAAAAGTCAGATATCCAACTCGTTCAGTAATACAAAAGACGATTATATTTAGTAAATGCATCCAACTCCGACCTAGATTGATCATTGTATCTAATCATGCTTGGAAATGTAATTACCATATCTTACGAAATGATTTTGGCGTGGGTGTGTCAAAAAGCGGCTCGTTTTAACCTGTAATAATGAGGTTATCAAGGCATGCTGTATACAGCTAGACTTTCAAGGCTGAGAAAGCAAGGTGGCGTAGTCTGACTAATGTGCCAGATTTGATATTTGGAATGATACAAGAGTAGGCTGATTTTGGATAGAATCCATCAGGTCAAAATACACCAGGACTTTAGAACTATCTAGCTAGTTGAACAATGGATTGATTTTAATTGGAAACACAAGCTAGTATGAAACGTATCGGTATTTACACCATCTGCAGTAAAATGTTGAGTGATTGATTTTGTACGACATTAGCTACAATGCGATGACATGATGATGTAGTTTATTTTTCTCACAATTATTACTGCTTGAGATTTATTTAATCGCAAACTCGAGATTTTTATAGATCCAACTTTTTGATATTTTAAAAGCTTGTTTCGTTTCTAGTAGTATTTAAATCATTTTTAGAATTGTTCTTAATCTGTGAGGTAGTTCAACCCTATCAACTTACTGCGTTAATGGATACTCATATTGGTTGTAACTCTTGTGAAATGATGGAACAAATAACAGCGTTTCCCCGCCTCACAAGACGCAATATTCAATACGACGACTGTGATTCATTGATAAATTCTTCTCGCAACAATGATGCAGCTGAGTGCTACAGCCCTGATGGAATGTACTACGAAGCTGGCATTTCAGATGACATAAACAACTCATACCCAGACTCGCCAAAATCACAAGCATCTTGTAATACTATTTATCAGCCTGGAAACGATTCATTGCATCTTGGTGAGAATGACGCCAATAAAGATTTAGCTGCTTCGTTTATCACCATTGGCATGCCTAGTGATAAAATGGCCAATACTCCTGCTATAAAGACATGTGATGGAAAACCATTCGTGACAAAACCATCAAAATTGGCTCACTATGATGGCTTACGTGGCATGGCTGCGCTTTGGGTTTTTTTCTGGCATTACTTGAAAGACCGATCGCCTTCGCTGTTTGGTGTATGTTTTTAAATTTTGGCTTATTTGATTGCTCTATACATTGCATATTGATACTGATTAGTTTATCGTGGTCGGTTGTTTCTAACTATAGCTGTTGTTTGGATATCAAAATTGGAATGCCAGGTGAGTTTCGTTGTACATTTGGAAATTTAATGGTTACAGTTTTAAGCTGCAATGTCGATCATACATTTAATAATCCGGCCAATTGACTGACTATCCGAATACTTTACCGACTTGCTAAATCAACGCACCAGTGTACCCATTTTCTTTATTTTGAGTGGTCGTGTACTTGTTGTATCAGCTCTTAAATCTGGAAGTCAACGACAACTAGTGTCTGCCATCATCCGTCGTCCTTTTCGATTGCTTATGCCCCTAATTATTTTGATGATCATTGACAATTTGGTTATACACGATCGTAAGTTATTCAGTGACTGGGTTATTGGTTTAATTTTTAAAGTAATTGACTTTTATGGCAATATGTTTCAACATTCACATTATGTACAATAGGACAGCCTGTAAATTCGCTATACGAGCTAATAGTTGAACCAATCTGGTTCATGTTTGGATCTGCAAACAATCTAAAAACCGTTACAGGAGATGCGTGGACTCTGTCATACGGTATGCTATTTATTTAGTTTATTGGCCACTGTTGTGTAAACTTGGTTACAACATGTGTTTTGCAATTATCACGACTTGTATTTAACACTATTGTTTGAATATCTAATGCATGCTTTTGTCAGAGTACATATTTTCAAACGTGATTTACTATACTGCATTTGTACTGTTGCAGTTCCAACACAACGATCATACAAGATACTTGATTCTTGGAGCTAGTTTTGTTTGGTATTATTTGACACATTCCTGGGGAATGCACTTCATTGCAGGTCTCATTCTTGCAGATCTCGCACAGCATGGGTATATTGAAAAATACAAATCTTGGGGTTTTTCTTCATACCTGACTTCAGCATTATTTTTTGGAACCATGGCTCTGGTATTTCGTAACCCGTGGTACGATATTGCCGACAAAATCGATGCGACTATTCGCGCATATCAATTCTCAAACGGAAACATGGGCGTAGGCAACGCATTCTGGGAACCCAATGCACTCATTTTTTCATTTAGTTTTGCTGCTATGATTGCAGTTGAAACTAGCTCATATTTGCAATGGTTTTTTTCCCAAAGTGTATTCAGATTTCTTGGACGCATCTCATTTCCAATGTACTTGATCCACCATTACACATTCCCTATGCTGGATATTTTTAATGACCATGTAAAGCAGAGATTTAATGACTCGTTGCTGACGTCGATTCTTATCGTGGTTCCACCTACGCTATTTATTTGCTTTTTGTCATACTTGCTGATATTTATTATGGATAACCCGAGCGTCTCAATTGGCAAATGGATCGAGCAGTTAGTTTTTGGTGAAAATCTGTCGGTATTAGCATTCATGACATGGATGTTGGACATTGCTCGTCGTGCAAAATTAAGTATTAGTCAGAAGCAGCTTAGTATTAGAGGCATAATCATGCGCATATATCACGGGAAAGAATACAAGCATCTTGATTCTTGCTGAGAATTAAACTATTTACATTTTTAAATATTTGTTGGTTACTATTGAATTGAAGTGCTGGGGCTCAACAAAATGGCAGATTTGTCGCGTTTATAATGCCGAATTCTACAAACTAAAATAAATGCATATATCTATATACCTGGTCTAAGTGAATCTATCCAGCTTAATAAAAATAAACTAAAGCAAGTTATCAGGTTTCAAAGACAGGCCACTAAATCTATAATTAAAGTAATGTTTTATCTTGGCTGAACACTTATTCAGGTCAGGTATATAGATCTATATACTTATTTTAGTTTGTAGAGTTCGGCATTATAAACGCGACAAATCTGCCATTTTGTTGAGCCCCAGCACTTCAATTCAATAGTAACCAACAAATATTTAAAAATGTAAATAGTTTAATTCTCAGCAAGAATCAAGATGCTTGTATTCTTTCCCGTGATATATGCGCATGATTATGCCTCTAATACTAAGCTGCTTCTGACTAACTAAAAATGATTTACAGCCGTCCGTATTCATGTAAATAAAACAAGCTTTTAAGATTGAACAAGTTTAACCTATAGAAATCTCGAGTCTGCGATTAAAGTCCTGGTGTATTTTGACCTGATGGATTCTATCCAAAATCAGCCTACTCTTGTATCATTCCAAATATCAAATCTGGCACATTAGTCAGACTACGCCACCTTGCTTTCTCAGCCTTGAAAGTCTAGCTGTATACAGCATGCCTTGATAACCTCATTATTACAGGTTAAAACGAGCCGCTTTTTGACACACCCACGCCAAAATCATTTCGTAAGATATGGTAATTACATCCAAGCATGATTAGATACAATGATCAATCTAGGTCGGAGTTGGATGCATTTACTAAATATAATCGTCTTTTGTATTACTGAACGAGTTGGATATCTGACTTTTGGGCAGTCAGACCATTGATGGTCTAAAACAGCCATTGTTGTTCTTGAAAGTCTGGGTGCAAGCCTATAATGCTCCAACTCGCTCAGTTTGTTTCTGTATAGATCTTGCAGCTGACATCAACTTGCCATTCAACCAATGTATCGTGCAATCAAATACAATTTGATAAACAGAATGTAGCAAAGTGGAACAGAATTGGATAGAATTGGACAGGATGGGACAAAGCAACTCCATAAACATATCCATCACAATAAATCCATTCATCACAGTATAAAAATTGTTTGAAAAATAGCATGTTCATTTTTAATCAAATGATATACTAAGCAGACATGGCAAGAGTTATAGCAGTCTTGATGGAAATTCCGAGCAAGGTCAAAAGACCAAGATAAGAGAATGCTCCTCTGACTCGCTTGTCTGGGTCACCAGTGCAGTAGCCTTGTGCGTAGAGATGTTTTCCGACGATCCAAATTATACCAGAAGCAACTGCATACATGGGGTGCTCAATTGCACTGATTCCGAGACTAGTGTCAAAGTGGTGTGCAATTATACATGACACATTAGTTGCAGTCATTTGTATGCATCTTTACCACCATACCAATATTTCAAAGTGGACAATTTGTGACTCGCACGATATGGGTCAAAATACGGTACTTACAGCATCAAAAAGACTGGATAACCTTCAAGGGTGTTTTGGTGTGCTCGCTGAGCACAGTTGAACTTGTACTTGGCTGGATCCTTTTCTGCTGCAGCAACCTCAGCATACACTAGGTTTGCATTACAAGTCATGTTAGTTTTTACAAGAATTTAAAAATATCAGTATATCAAACAGTATGAATCGACTGAATCGACTGCATTAACCAAGCCTTGGATTAAATCCTAAACCAGATTCTAGGTCAAATGATCGGTATTGATCGAAATCAACCACAAGCACATGGTTGAATGGTTGGAAAAATGCAAGATATCTGTATCAACAGTAGTGGATCAAGCAGACTGCAATATACTGCTAGATCCAACATCAACTCATGCATGTCATTTGATACTACTCAACTGTAAGGGTATGGAACCTTGGCTGCACGACGAGCAGCTCCAACTCTAATCCCAAGACTAGTCACAAACAGAGCGCTGGTCACAGCAACGCCCAAAACATAACCATGCTCGTGAGTAAGAGTAAAAGCAACCATGTTAATATTATCAAATTAATTAACTGATGTTTAGGCAAGTGCAGTTGGCATCGTTGAACACAAATAATCACGCCAGCCATTTTTGGTGCAGATTGAAACTTGGCAAGACCGTTCTAGTCGGCCGACTCGTACGGGTCATGATGTCAATCTCGCCGTTCGGATCGTTACACGTATGCAGACTCAACGACCCATTTATTAGTCTGATGGATAGTGTGAATGTCGAGTGCAATGGCGTTAATGTCCAACTCAATGACTGTCAAACTCGAGTTGAAACCAACTAAATCTGACGAGCAATGATTTCAAGACTGTTGGTGTAGATGGTGTGTGCAGTTGTTCAAGGCCTGAAACCATAGATTGGATAATGAACTGCAAGACCAATTTACTAAACAAACGATACCGGGTGATTGGCACTCTATCCAAGCCACTGATAACGACATTGGTGATTCAAGATACAATAGATTATTGCGCTATTGTACTATTGTGCTATTATGCATCAGACATGGTTTGAGCAATCGCTCAGATTGCAATCAATAGTCAGACATGCGTCTACAATCATGTGTATAAATCAACGAGTTCAACTATTTGTAAAAAACAGTCTGGAATCAAGTCGGTGAATATGCATGCACCATACGAATGGATACACTGCTGGCTGATAAGGAACAAAGTAGAATTCGCTTTTAAAGGGCTGAATGCACTTGGAGTTTGCTATTTGAAAAATCGTTTTCATTTTATTACTGGCTAGGTGGTTCTGTTGGCAGACATCCATCTAATACTGTAGTCAATGACCACTGACCATTGATCAACATTCATTACTCTTGGTCGACTTGCAACAGCTGGATATGTTGAAGCCGCTGACTAGGCTAACTCTTGACCCACAATCTATTCTTGATTCAACTGCAGCTAATAAAGCTTCGCCAGCACCAATTACTCACTATACTAATAATTATTCGAGCACTAAAAACACTGTCAATCCCATCGATACACTTGATGACGATACCAGTGTGCGAGCAGAATCAGAGTCAGTAACCGAGACGCCAGCACCAACTACCAAGAAACGTAAGCAGACATCGAAGCGAGCAGAACAGAATCGAGCAGCGCAGCGAGCATTTCGGGAGCGTAAAGACCGATATACAAAAGAGCTGGAAGAAAAGCTGCTGTTGTTGGAGATCCAGTATAATGCGATTTCTGGACACAACAATGGATTGAAGGTTGACCAAACTGAAGATGCATCTTCATTGTCAATGCTTACAGGATCAACAACCAAAAGCGAAGATGAAAGCACATCAAACCTGCTGGATCAATTGAAACAGGAGTTGGCAGCCAGCAACACACAGGCAGCCACACTGTTGCAAGAAAGAGATCGATTGATTCAGACAGTGGATCAGCTACAAACAGATATCAAACTGCTGCATAGCGAAAATCAACGACTGCGCTCAATTCAGGCAGAGTATCAAAACCACAGCCATACTCAGGGACATACATTACACTCTTCAGCCAGACATCATTTGGGCATAGGCAAACACCATCCTGTGCACGTCATTAGTGGTTCTTATCGTCATGGTATTGGACGTGACGATCGTTTGATGCCGAGAGCAGGACCTCAACAAGATATGCAGCACTTTACAGTAAAAGGCGGAGCTGGGTTCATAACTATGCATCCGCCCACCAGAAGAATGTCGGGTGTGACTAGACCAGTTTTGGAATGGTCAGCACCAGATTCTTTATCTAGAACCGAATGCGTTAAATCTTCAAACTATTCGTTTACCACGTCTGGTTCGCATCTGACACAGTGTCCAGCCGTTACTTTGACGTACTGCGATTCCAAAGTGCAAAACCCAGCCAAGTCTGCATATGTACATCCATCTCATCCGTCGTGGGTTGCGGGAGGAGCTGTGTCGAGCCATGAAACCGCATCCAATGCATCTGTACTGATTGGGCAGCCAAAGGAACTGCAACATCACATGAAATCCATCAATACAACGCTCCACGACTTGGAATGTACGATTGGATTGGGAGAACTGCATCAATCTACGCTTCCATCATTGACAGAGTTGTCGGCCTCGGAAACAACGACACCTGGACATGTAGAGCAACTGGGAGCATTTGATTTGATTGATTTTCGACTGACATCGACACCAGATGCATCATATTCTGCATGGCCAGATACAGTCAGTTTGGCAGCTCGCCCTCCATCACCTATTACTACACCACCCAAACTGGAGTCACTGTATTGCCAATCGACCGAGTTGCTGAGCTCGAACAATGTGATGTAGATGCTGACAAGGCCATATGGTAGAGAGAATATCGGCTGTATAGTAGATATTGTCTTTACTCGACTGTTAATAGTTCAAGTGTATAATACCTAGCTTTACACTGGATCACTCTGATCCAGTATGATTATTTTTACCGTATAATGGAAATACTGAATAATCATGACAGTGGATGATTGCTGTTTGACTTGTTCCAGTGCTACGGAATGTATCGAGTTGACCACGTCACGTCAGACAAGCGTATTACACTGTATTCGGTCATTCTAAGCCACTTTATTGTTGACTAATAATTGACAAGAGTGTATGGTATTTCCAAATCTGATGAATTGTCATCATCTGCTTAGTTGGACGTTTGCCACTGATCCATGAATCATTTTATACCGACCGAGTATCAAGCCAGAGAAACTGGATGGAGTTGACCAATGACTAGTTTGTGCGGTTGCTGATTAGTCACCAAGTGTTTTTGAACATCAATCTGGATTGCATAATGAATGGAGACCAGACAAACTCGAACATTGAGCAGATGAATAAACCGTTATAATTCGAACATTGTGCATTATACTTGAAGTTGATTGTGCTTTGGGTTTCTTGATGCTAGTGGATCTAATGCTTTCAACCAAGCATTTGAACTCCTACACTTTATTTAGTATGCCGAACTCGAAACCCAATGGCATGGAGGCCATCGACTCAATACTTTTTAAAAGCAATGATTGTTGTAAACACGGGATTTTATGGATAGGACTGTATCTAGCTTTAATTACGAGTATGGGGATGATGGCCAAGGTTACAGTGAATTGGCACTGACAGCAAGATTTCAGTTATACTGACAGTGACAGTGTATAACACTGTCCAAATGCAGAGCAGTCGAGTTGAATATTGTTCAGATTAGATCAGGTGTTTAACTGATAAAAGTAGATACCATTATTACTAGATTTGCACACCATTTTACTGGTAACACTTGTCTGGATATTTACTGTATCGTGCCTACTCAAATCATGTCTGCCTGAATCGTGCCTACCAGTATCACGACTACCAGGATCAATACAAAAGTATCCAAAACCAATTATGCTTTACTAGACTATTTCTGCAACACTCAATAGGTGGAGTAAATGTGGTAAATGAAGGTTGTTTCCAAATGGCCAGTGTTTTTTAATGTGGAGATTTCAAGCATCCAACCACAAATAGCTAAGCGATACCATACAACCTACTTGAACGTTTTTGCAGGGTTTCGGGATTGCACTGCATCTTTACACCTCAAACCATATTACGCTTGACACTTGCACGCTCAACATAGGAGAACTGTGCTTTGCCAACTTGCACATGATGTATGGATCGAGTGACCTGCGCAAGTTATAATGCATAATGCCTTTTCTAAGCAATAGCCGCAAGGCTTATACATTGATACAAATGGTATCAAACATGATACAGTTTAATGAAGAGCAAGTATTTGGGATGCTGGTGGTAATTATTTGGCATGCTGGTGGTGATGTGGATCTTGAGATTTGAATTCACAAAATAGGCAACTCATTAAACCGAAACAATTGTTTAGCCGAGTAATCCATCGACTGTTGAGTAGGCAAGCATCAAAATGGATTTTGGAGAGTATGATGGACTCGTACATGCAAAATAGTGTAATATACTGGTAGTAAGATTGCTTGTGGGAAGCTGCACTATTGGCTGTATTCGATACAGCAGTAACCCATCCGTTGGATCTAATCCATGCATTCAGTAATGTTCATTTATTTGGCCTAAATACAGATCGAATCTGTACTTTAGCCACATTGCCATTTAAAAGCAAGACTTATTAAGCATGGCAATGATCATGGTTCCAACAATCGTATATATCATAGTTGAGAAGCTTGGACTCGATATTTAGTGCAGTATACTCATAATAGTACGTATGGATGAGTTGTATAACGGCCTTGTATTTTATTTGCAGCTTTATTTCATGGTAGTTTGACAATACCATATTCTGCATAAATTTTACTTTATTGTTTTTGCTTTGCAGGTTGCCTTTAGCATTTTATCAGTAAAGTTTGCACCCCTACAGTGCTGAAGTTCACTTTATCCCCCCTTTGCACCCTCAACGATTTCCATGCACTTTTGTAGTCCGGATTTATGCTACACGGGAGCTAAGCTTTAACATTTCAAAATATTTTCCATCAAGAGATTATACAAGCATTCTTATTTTGGAAAAGCCTCTAGCACCTCGCTACTGTTTGACTCGTAGGGAACAAAAACATATTGCTCGGTACTTAGCTATGCACAACTTAAATACCTGGGGTTTTTCCCACAAATTAGCTATTCAGCTATCCTCAAACACATCTTACATCTTTAAATAGGACTGGCATTTTCCTGTCCTATTCATATCACTGGCTGCCTTTTGATTTTCCCTGAAACTCCTACGTTTTCCAACCAACTTGCTTGACGTTTTTACTGCCAAGCTATAGTTGAATTTAGTCTATTTGTTAAATTAACTTGTAGACACGACTTTTACTATTTTTAAAGCACCAGACTTGACTGATACTTATCCCATATCCACATGTCTGAATACGAAGAGATTATTGATTCATCAATTCTTGGTCCAATTGTCCTCGACTCAGTAATTGGCTCAGGCTCATTTGCATCGGTTTACTTGGCCCATCCTCTCAACAACCCATCCGTTAATTATGCCGTCAAAAGGATTCCACTTAAAGTGAATCCAATCACAGGAAGCAGTCGCATCTCACGCACTGTCCGGACTGAAATCAAGGCAATGTGCAAGCTTTCCAACTATGAACTGGCCGTTAAACTCTTTGATGTGGTCGAATCCAACAATCATATCAACTTGATTATGGAACATTGCCCAATGGACATGTTTACTGCACTCTGCGAGCACAATGGCGGGAAAGGGATCCAGTCTGTTGATATTGCACGTACTCTTATTTTGCAATTGATTGATGCTGTTATGACGTTTCATGCTCGTGGGATCTACCATCGGGACCTGAAACCAGACAATATCTTGTTGTCTCAGTCCGAGGGCATGCTGAAATTGTGCGATTTTGGACTGGCTACATTTGATCTTTGTTCTACCGAGTTTGGATGTGGAAGCAAAAGATACATGTCACCAGAATGCTATGAGCCAGTTATGATTTCCAAATCTACTAGCAATGCACCTGTTTCAAAAGACGGAGTTGCATCAGATATGCAGCATGACTCTGGATTCGCCAATTCAAATATGCACATGTCAAGTCCTTCTGCTGTATCATCACAGCCTACCTCAGAACAGCATCATATACCATACAATTGCGTGCTTGACGACACCTGGTCGGTCGGCATTTTGATTCTCAACATTCTTGCAGCAAAAAATCCGTGGGAGGTGGCTGGAAGAGATGATGCCAACTTCTGTCAGTACATCAATAATCCCATGACACTGGTCAACTCGTTTAATCTGACTTCTAGCATGGCTCGGGTTGTATGCTCACTTCTTCATCCAGATCCTGCTCAACGTTGCTCTTTGGCCAGTGCTCGTGAAACAATTGCCAACATTCCAGCGTTCATTCGCACCCCTGCATCAGCTGTTGTCTCACCGCCTGTTTCCTGTAGACCAGCACAGCAGTCTCAGCAACTGCGGCCTCGATACCATTTCCCTGGTACCAAAACAATACAAGGTACAATTACGAAAACTCAAATTGAGACCCCGAAAGTTTTATCTTCAGTGCTTTGCCAAGATGCTGCTACAGCTCGATTGGCTTCCATACCGGCCCCTACACCAACTATATCACACTCCTCACGCTTTAAAATCTTTAAACATCCAGCAGCTTTTCTGCAAAGCGCTGCCACTGTTTCGCTTAGCTGCTGATCTTGTTCAGGTGAATGGATGGCGAGCTAATTGTATTAGTATGGATTCTGCGCACATACCCCTTGCACTCAATCTATATTTGACAGGCTTTTCAATCCTTGTATATTGTAAATAATGTTCACTTCAACGCTGGCCTCCACTTTATACGGGTTATTTTCTCGTTTATAAATATATGAAATATCTGTTGCATACTCGATTCATCTGTAGTTTGAACAAGTGATGGGGTGTTGGTGTTGGTGAAAGTGAGGTCAGTGCCTTTGGCTCTAAGGATGATAATTTGGATACTATTTAGTATGAAACACTAGTCATGTGTGCAGTATAAAATCAAAAGCAAGTGTTGATTAGGTAAGATGGCTGGGTTAGACTGTAATGCCTTGCCTATCTATGGTCGTACGAATACAGCTTGCCTGCATGTGATCATCTCGTACCCAAGCACTAGAGTTTATTTTACAGCCGCATTTATTCAAAAAAATGTATCAAATGATATGTTTTTCATCTGTTGCTCTGTATCTATCAAGCGCATCTGTTGTCAAAATGCTACCAGCCTGAGATTAGATTGTTTAGTTCAAAAATGTGCTTTCTTGATAATGTTGCTCTGTACATATTAGTAGATTACTCATCTGCTGACTTAAGTGGTGGGAGTATTTATCACTCGTATCCCTTGTACTACGGCAACAATCTGACTTGTTGATACAGCAGTTTGTTAGATTTGCTTCTCCACTCGATTCAATATAACAACACCACTCGTTTGATCTTGTCTGGTACAATCTTGAGCGTTCCACTTATAGTCTGTGCGCTAACCTAAGATAATCGTGCAGTCTTGCAAACCAAAAACTCTGGTTTTCAAAATTCAGCCTGCTTGATGCTATCAGAATGGTTTCAACCCATGCTGAAGATGAGTTACCGAGATATAAAGCTTCTCTGTTCACATTCAACTAAAATACACCAGCAAAAATTTAATAAATCAAAAAATATCTGATTGAATATAGGATATATAAGGACTTTCATTTTTGTAATCCGCATTGGTCCAGTGGTTAGGATCCCACGCTTTCACCGTGGTGGCCGGGGTTCGATTCCCCGATGTGGAGTTTTTTTTGCAATTTTCAAGCCTTGATGCAGTTGTATTCATAATGAAACACTATTCTGTATCTTGCAATCACTTTTTGAAACAATGGCTGGGTATTCATTACGCTTTCCTGCTAGAAGTTGGCTACATTGCCTTCTCGATACACATTCTCAATTTTTCCTCATATCTGAAATTACATACCATGCAAACTCATTCTTTATTAAATTCATGGCATGATTCAAATGGATAATATGAGGCTTTGTTTGGCAATGTTGCCGTTTGTTGAATGGTTGTCAAAACACGTTGAATCACCGAATGTGTGGTTTTATGAAATGGTATATTATCTAGAATTAAACAAGCATTACAAATACAATCCAAATGCCGGTCGGAAAATCCCAGAATATCCAAGCATTTATGGCCCGCTCAATCGGCATCCATGTATGATGCACAAACAATGGTTTTGAACAGGTTATACTTTTGAACCTTTCTTTTTCATCATTTGACATAGCCATGCATTGTATAATCACCAGATCCATTCATTTCAATCCAAATATCGAGTTTGTTTTGATGGTCAATCTCTTTGCTGTGTTCTAAAGTATCAGATACGTTCGCGTTCTAGTTCAAGAAAATAAAGAATGCAGCTGCTGTTTTATGCCAATCATTAGAAAATCAGAAAACTAAAAAGTTGGCTTATGGAATGGTGAGTGTCGTTTACTAAACAGCACTGTGTCTTTTGAACTCGTTGATTGGCACTCTAGTGTTTCATCTTACACGAATACGGCTGTAAGGTGGAGCTTTGTAAACCAACCATCATCTGGTTACAAATACAACATATTCACGCTACAATATAGATCTTCAACATGTCTAGAGTAGTGATAGACCGTCTCGTGTCGAGCAAATAGCTGTTTGCTTTTCAGAAACACATTTTTCGTTCGAGTCTTGAAAAGTCGAGTGTCAAATTATACAAGTTTAATTACAAGCATGGTAGATCTGATCTGTATTTGCCAATACAACTATAGACTACTCAACAATGGATAACAGCAAAATTTCATTTAAATTGCTTTATGCAAGATATATATATAAACTCTTATCGTTTGAATCTCGATCAAGATATTCGCGTTCAATGAGAGACTCGATACGCTTTTTCAGATCTTCAGCCTTGATAAATCAAATACATTTTAAAAATAGCAAGTCAATATCTGAACCAGCACCAGGCATACTCTCAATTTAAGACACTTACAGCAATAGGAAATTTGACAATTTGGAAAAGTTTCGACACCAACGTTGCATGAGCACACCGTTTTTCCGTCTTCATAATCCTGACTATTGCCGCATCAACCTGAAACACACGGTCTTGGAATACCTTTTCATTTGTCTCAACCATCTCGTCTACACTTTCACGAACACTGATTGATCCAATTTTTATACGATACTGTGGATGTGTGAAATGCTCATTAACTTCAAACGTGTCATCAAGTTCAACGTCTTTACCCTTGCTTTCCTTGAGAAGAACGCGGGATTTGCCAACAGATAGTGATTGCAAAGTGCGAGAAAGCTCCTTTTCGTCAAGATTGGTAAGAGTGTGGAGTGCATTAAAAGAAAGGGTTTTGGAGTTGTTGAAGCACAGCATAATCACCGCTTGGAAAAGGGATAGCTGGAGTTCTTTGGGCTAGTAAGTATTCGAGATTACAAAAATTAATCATCGATGCAGTATAAAAACACATGTAAGCGTGAATACTATGGTATCCCTATTGAAAAATAATAAAATACCTTTTCAAATTGGGCTCGCAAGATGCATGATCCAAGAGAATTGTGCCATACTAATCGTCTGCCATTATGTTTACTCATATAGTACTCTTTAAACACTTCCTGACAAACCGTCATCTCATTTGGAAGATTCAGATCCACAGGTGTGTATGTTGGCCACAATCCTGAAGTTAAAACATACACATTGAGATCAATCCGTCCAATACGGTTATAGAATCCAGCAGTATCTTCGAATTTGCGCTTAATATCCCGTGAAAGCTCCATATCCTTAAACATACCCTCCAGCTTGGAAGTAAAGCCTGGACCACACTCGGCCTTGAGTTTAAACAGCATGCTCTTTTCAGCATCGACACTGGTGCTTTTCTCAAGTAAAAGGCGCTTGGCTAAATCTTTGCTGTAAAAGGCCTCAAACACGTCTTTGCCCTGGACTAGTCTGAAAATTGCCAGACATTGATCGAGTCGTCTGTCTACCTCTAGATCTGTCATTCCCTTGACGTGCTTCAATAGCTCATCAATGTACTTGGCAATCATCTCTGCTGGCTTGTTTTGTCGCTGATTGATAAACTTTTCAAATGACTCCTTGATCGCATGGTCAAAGCTCTCAGTAGACTGAAACGCGTTTTTAAGAATATCATCCAAACGCATTTTAAATTCGAGAAGTTCTTGCACCATAGTCTTGTCACGAGTTGGATCCTTGACAATAAAGATTCCGGTAGCTTGAATGTATTGTGACATTCTTCGTTTCAGTTCTTCCAGCATGCCAATACGCTCCAAAAGTTTGTAAAAAAGAGCAAGATCGTCAATCCTCTGTGCAGCAACAAGTTGGTCAAATCCAACATCTAAAAGTAGCGTGGCGTGCTGGCGAAGCAATTCGTCTTCAAGAGTGAGGACAAGTTTCTTGCGAGTGAGCGGATCAATATACCCCTCACCAGGCGAGCATCGCTGTGTCTCTTGCTCTAGTCGATTTGAGACTTGAATCAAATAGCTGGAAACACGATTTGCACCCTCTCCCAAAGCCAGGTTACCATCAATACTATCCACAATTGTTTTACTAAATACTCGGTAAAACTGGCGGGTGTTTTCAAGAAAAGTTGTTTCGAAAACTCGAATATACACACTCAAATCTGTCATCATCCGTATAAGAGAACGCATCAATGGACGGGATATTTGCTGTTCACGTCTGAACGTCATGGTTGGTAATAGTAGAGGTCAGAAATAAACAATTAGCAGTTGCTATGTCGGCACATGAATCGATTCTTGATCAATAGTTTGCAAAATACTATAGCTTTACATTAATAAATTACCTTTCACAATTAATCTCTTGAATTAGTTCTCTCACAACACGCTCTTGAATTTCCTTGTCGTCTAAAACATAGCTACGAAACAGGTCCATGCTCATACTCCAGATAGATTTCAACGAGGCAGTTTGCAACACGTACGTGCGGTCCAGATATAAGAAAATACTGCGAATCAACATCTATTCAAGTTGTTTAGTAGTCAAAATAGAAAGGGTGTGTTGGCTTTTATCGTGGTAACCTGCGCTGTTTTCATATAATAGAGCAACGTACCATTTGCTGGCAATATCTAAGCCAGCATTCGTTTACCGCTACAAGGATATTGCATCCACTCGTGTGAATATTGCTACAAATTAAAAGCAATATCGCTTAAAAACAATCAAACCTATTACTCTAAACTTTAAAAATCATTTTACCTTTTTAGTGCATCCAATTCAACGAGCACATGATCTTTGCATACAGAGTACAGCTTTTGATATAAATTACTCTGTCGATTGTGATGGCACAGATTTTCACAAGCCTGAAATGCCAGTTGAGTTGTTGTGCTTACTGGATAAAGGATACAATGCTACTTACAGAGCCAGAATAAATCGTGAATAAGCTTACCTTGTAAAGTTCTTCCAGACTATCCTGCACTGGTTGGCGTGCGTGAATGGCTTGAACAGCTAGTCGTAGTTTCTCCCAGGTATCTGCTTCAAAATTCTCTGGAAGTTTGGGTTTTACTTTAAAACTTTTAATAACAAGCTTTTTTGCGGTTTTTCCTGGAATTCCAAAAACCATTGTTACCAACAATGTAGATTTGAAAAGAATCAAGTTTAAAAGATCTTTGACTGGCCTTTGCCAAGATTCAACATGGATTAAAAGTAGACAAAAATGCCTATTTTTGTGTATTTAAACATAGGTACTCACCACCCAGCCTTTGAGACTGCTTTTGATCAGCATCGTTGTTTGCGTTCAACATGGTGAACGGTGTTTCCAACTTTGGACGCTTATTTGAAGAATGCCGAGTGTCAGGTTTGGGTAGATTTGTCTGTGTAGATGTAAGAATATGCTGTTTATCTTTATCAGTCACTGTCAAATACTGACTTACACCTTGCTGTTGAGCTATGTATATTTGGATAATTCAAATATCAAACATTTGATTGTTAGTATGGGCCATACGCTTCAGTTATGAAGATCTAGCAATAGTTGGCTTAGATCTTTAATTGGTCGATATCGATAACTCATCCTTGATTACAATCTAAACAACCGACTTTTTACAAAATAAAATTGAAATATGACAATAGAATTCATGGCAAACCAACTTACAGGTTTGTTGTGGATGCTGCCGCTGAGGGCCAGCAGTTGGAAGCATTGAAAGGCAAGGCTGATAGTTGAATGCACTTGTTGGTTCCACACTACTAGACTGCTATCACACAATAGATGAATGTGGTTTCAAACTGATTATCTTGCACGGAAACAATCGGATGGATTCTTTTTAGTATTGCAGAATCGGCTGCAGCAAACGAGGAAACTGTCAAAACGAATGCAAATTTCCACCTTGACTGAGTTGCAAATACTTGCTTGATTGATGGTAACAAATCTCTTGTATTGCCATGCGTGCTATTCTTGGGTTTTATAGCAATACTTACTTGCTTAATATACTGTTAGTCGCCAGTGGGTGAACGCGCAGATACTGCTCGCAGCAGACTGGCCCGTCGTACTCGGTCTCGTTCAACTGTCTGCAATGTTGCATCTACTACCAATGCAAAGACCGTGCCTCGCGCTCGTCATTCTAGTCGTATTCCTCACTCGTCTTCTCTTGAAAACCCTGTTCATCCAACAGCATTTTACTCCCCTACCTCGCATCATGCTGGCTCATTCTCAAAGAAACCTCATCAAGGTTCAGCTAAACATTCGGTAGGCCATCACGTATATGATGGTTCTAGTTCAATTACGCCCCTGATAGAAGGATTCCATTTTAAACGACGACGTGAGCGTTTGAATTGGCGGATGTTGGCAAGTGTCAACGTAGAGAAAATTATGGAAGAGGTAGATTAAAAAGCTTATTGATGTATCATATAGGTTTATTGTCTGCTGAAAACTTACATGTGTCTTGATTTAAACTTTATTTACAATATAGCTTGATATTGATGCACTGCAAGACATTATGAAAAACATTACGTTTTGCGATATAGAGGCTGAAGGTATATGCGATGCTTATGGTTTTAATCTATGTTTTCCTCGTGCTGTCTCAGTTTATCTGTCTTTATACTAAATGATTTAAACTTGTGCAATTAGATTTAAGATGTATAGACTCTAATTTTGTCAAGCTATTTCAGCTTTCCCAGTTGATTGTCGAGTTTCTATTGCATTCTCAGGTAAAATTAAAAGCCATCAGATTTATAATTCTGCCGATTAAAAAAATCTATCTTTAGGTTCTAGTACTACTTTGCATGAATAGACTTGGATAAAACTTTTGAATATATTTAGGATTTTTTAGTGGATCAGCGCAATGAGTGTTCAAGCGAGCTAGAGCTTTTCAAATCAAAATACAACAAAACATTTGAGCTAAATGAAAAACTGGTATGTGCTCGATACAATACATGATTTTGACAATCGCGATCACAATGACCAATATTTTATCCCTATCATTGTATCTCTAGACTACTGAAGCAGCACAGACCAAGAAAGAAATGCGGGCACTGAGAAAAACTCTTTATGCGTATCAATTAGTAGCAAAATTGCCTGGCGGAATATCTCAAAACGCATCTATCGCTGCTACATACCATAGATGCATCCACTGTACCAAATCTTTCACTAGCCAACATTTTCTTGACTTACATATGCAGCGACGCCACAATGATCAAGTCAACACCTACCCATTGCCTCCACCTGCAACTGAACAGGTTAAATCTCAACCTACACATTCAGAGTTTCAGCATATAGCTGACATGATTGAACGATTTTCAAACCGATTAGTCGATACAGAGAGGCAGTTGAAAAATGAGGCCGAGAGTAAAATAGAGGATCGTATCAATAAGGAAATTAACGAAAAACGAATTTTGTTGGAAGATATATATAAGCAGGAGCGATTAAAGTATGAAAAGGAAATCCAAGAATTCAAGGCTTTAACGCATCGTCAAATTGCCGAGGAGCGTGAAATTCTGATTCAGGAGAAATCTCAGTTTCAAGAATACATGGTCTCTAACTGTTGAAATGATTTTGAAATGATGCTTGATTGCTTATCAAAATTACTAATCTTTTACAAAAATTTAGAACATTCAATTAAAAAAAACATCCCATGTTGGAGCAATCGAGGATGACGAAGACCAAGCCAAAATATCTTTGAATACAGACAGAGAACAAGAGGAATTGGAAAGGAAAAAAAATGAACAGGATGCTCTTACACTGACACTGTCAACCGAAATTGGCAAGCAGCAGCAATATGCTCTTGCTACAATCCAAGACAGCATGGCACGGGAAATGAATCGTATTCAGCAGATAATAGTGGATCAACAGGTAATTTTTTCATTACTAGGTTTATACTGTTTGTAAAATTAAGCATGTAATATCCAAATATATCTTCAAATGCTGATAAAATGACGATTGAATACATATTGACTCAAGGTACTTGAACGCAAAGCGATAAATGAACGACTTGAAAATACTTCTGCAGAAATACAAGAGATGCACTCTATTTTGATGCAGCAGCAACAGGAACTTGCCAATGCAGCACGTAATAAAGTTGCAGATCCACCAGTAGCAATCGAGCTACCCAAAGTTTCTTCTCCGCGTACCAGCATAGTCAATGTGGCTAAGCCGTTAGAAACTTTGACTATCGACACGGGATGTTTAAGAAATGCCGAGGAGGACGAAAATGATACGAGTACAGAATGTTCAAGTGACGAAGAAATGCAATGGGAAAAAATTCTAAAGGTGCTCAGTGAGTCCAAGGAATCTCTTACTCCATCTATACCATGGGTAAAGTCATTTTACAAGCACAACTTTGATCAGTTCCAAGATGCCAAAAACAAAGCGTCCACTGATGTTGATTTTGAGTTGGCTAAAAACAAGGTCACAATGAAACGTATCTATAGCGAATGGGACATCAATCCAGAACTAGCCACCGAATATTCTCAGCTCTCAATGAAAATGTCTCAAAATCGATTTAGTGCAAACGCAGACAATCCCATGCTGGGGAGGATGCGTCAACATTTAACAAAACAGCTGGATGACATTGTGGCAAATCAAACTCCAAAAGCACAGGATATTGGTGGATCCGTTACAAGACGAACTTCAATTAAAGGAAATTCAGAAACTCGTCCATCCCAGACGATGCGATCAATTCACATTAGTCCGGTAGCGCACTTGGTCGAAATATTTGACAAGGACAAGCCTGTCACAAGCTCTACTAAAAGCGCGCCTTCTCCAATCCCCAACTCGCCTGCATACTACTATCCGGAATTTACAAGACTTCGGCACCTTTCAGTAGCGACCACTGCAACCGACGTGTCTGAGACTGAAGATCAGCTTAGATACCGCTTAGCCAATATTGATGGATATTCTCCAACTCGTGAATTCCAAAGTACTCCACAAACACCAGTGGACAATCTTGCATATACAGATTTGTTGGCCAGTTTATCGACTAATACAAAGCCAAAATTGAAACTCGCAAACCCATTCAAAGGAATCGCAAGGGATATTTCAAAACGGCTATTCTCACCAATTTCTCCCAAGCACTCCAACGATTATCCACCAATTTCTTATCCATTGTCTTCTCAAGTACCACCATCACACCTTCCATCTGCAACCCAATCGAAGCGACCACAAAGAAATAATTCAAAAATGCTATTTGGTGGAAAGAATACAGCTTTGCCTCCACCTGCACCACCAAAGTACGGCCCACCACCACCACCACCAAAGGATTTAGTTTTCTCGTCGTTACAAAATATCATGGAGTCATCAGAGTCTGAAACACATAGTAGCTACGAATCCGAGCCTGCTACCACAGAAACAACTTCAAACGCATCTGCTATTCAACATCGTGAATCAAACCCCAATTTAATTTACGGTACCGCTCAACAACCCCGACAACAAAATGAGCAACACGCATTTCAACAGGAACATCTGCAAAATCCAATTGGTGGTTGGGGTGTAGATCAAGCTATTAAACCCACTATCGATCGTATTCCAAATACAAACAAAGTTGCTTCAGATTTAAATCCAGATACTGAATACAGACTGGCAGATGATAACTCGTTTACATTGAGCGATATCAGTGACGTGAGTGTCGATTTGTCTGATAAGCATCTTAAACAAGACTATGGCAACGATCACCAAGAATCATCGGCACAGCGTATTGATTCCAAGGCATTCTTTGATAATGGTGCTTCAAGGCCTTCACACACGGTCGAGTTTTCAAACAAGAATCTTTTGGGCAATATTGCAGCCAGTATTTTAAGCGAGACAGAAATTACACCCAACATATCAGTCAACACCAGTAAAACCGCTGGGTCAATGATTTCATCACAAAGCCATACTTTGAATTATGTCAATAATTCAGCCCATGGTTTAAAAACCGGCCATGTTAACCAAGATGACGACGACGATATATCTGATGTTATTGATGCCATAACTGACATGGAAAAAGATCGGCAAAAACAACAGGCTTATAAAACCACTATGAATTTTCAACAACCACCTATTGAAATCGTTCAAAAAAGCAGCCAGTACTTGATGGATGATGTGGATGATTTCGATGATTAGTGCGCTGGCTCAAATTTTAAATTCGATAAACATGAATAGGGGTAACCAGAAGCAGATGTTCTAAGATTGATAAATAGAAATGTCTAGACGTTTACAAATAAATTTACAAAACGATGAGCAATTTAGATTCTACGCAAGTTGGTGATGGCCATGATATACAACGGAATAATATTACATTGTTGAATGGAAATTGAACAACACATTCAGAGAAAATGGGTTTATACCAACAAAACTCCGACAATTGTCTGGTTTTTCTCAACTACGCACTTTGCAAAGACAACCAGTGAAAAGTGTGGAATTCAAACTCCGACGGGTGCACAACACCATGAGCTTAGCTGAGTATAAATGAAATTGGATCTACATTTACCTGCTCTTGTTATTGTGATCGTTTACTTGTCTAATATAAATCCATCTCCATCACCTACATATTTGATTGACAGCAATATGCGGACTCCCAGACGGGACAGATCCAGAAAACCCAACATCTATGTTGTAAAATCAAACTCGAATTCAGAAACCGACGGTATCCCTGCCAGTGGATCTACATTCCGACAAGCCCAATATGGCGAGACTATTGCTACAAATCAAACTCAACCAGCCCATCCTCGCCATGGAATATTGCAACGGCGCAAAAGTTTAGTCAAACCTGAACGATTAGCTACTCCTAGACGACTACTTTTGAGAAATGTAGATACTCAGCCGCCTGTTGCTAGACTAGGTTTGTGATATTCAAAGTATCTTGAATTAGCTCTTGAAAATGGTCATCAGTATACAAGTGTATTGATTGATGTGCTTTGCCTACAAATACCTTGTATCTACCATGACTGAATACCGTTATTGAGTATAGGTGCTACTCGGACTCCACTGCGTGCACTGCCACTGGCTACCGATGACCAACTTTCTGACAGGCAAAAGCCATTCAGTCCTATAACTTCACCTACTGCCTATGTACCTGCCAACCAAGACACTTTTGATCGTCTCGATAATAATCATAGCGAATACTATGATCAGTGCAAAGATGACTTGGAAGCCCCTCGTTTGGTGGTTGAGCAGATTGCAACTTATAAAATTGCTCCCCGACCATCTCTACCGCCGCTTGATTGGTGGACAAAAGCATCACGTACACTGACCGCCTGCTTCTGCCCAGTGTGTCTGGACGCATGCAATATCAAAGGGAGCGTGGGCCAGCAAGCCTGGCGAGAAAAGGTAATATTTTGCTACAGTTACAAATTTGACATGCAGCAGTGCATCCATCAAAACGGTCGAGATTTAACGTCAACTATGAATATTGACAACTTAGGTTACTTTATGCATGATTATTGCCATGATCATGGCTCTGGTAGGGTATTTCACTCTGGGACTCAAAGTTGCTCTATGTAACGACATGGCTCAATCCTTGACAAACCTGGCTCTCAATCAATCGGATCTGCAGTCTAAACCGTATCGCGACGGGCAGGTTATTATCCAAGGAACAACATTTGGTTTTAAAGATGTTGCTGATATGCTCAAAACTCGTGGAAATATTGATATGACTATTGATTTCAACGGTCAAGATATTAGTCGTTTGTTTGCCCACGATTCAGATGCATGCAGTGCGTTTGTTCAGCCTAAACCATCATCTGTCGTGTCATGTGCTGTTCCAAATCCATTTCCCGCATCACCCCCACTTGCTCCTGCTAAAAACTCACCCTGTCCAAGCATGTCATGGTTACAAGATTTAACCCCTATTAGCCGACTTTTTTATGATTGGAAAGACGTTGCTGCAAATACTCGGAACGTGTCAGTTTTATACGTGTATAGTAATGCTGTTATGGATCTTGCACCTCTGTTTCAAGGAGAGCCATTTCAGGACGCATCGCAGAAAATCAATGGGGACACTTTTAATGAAGCAATACAGGTACTAAACATAAATAGAGGCAAAGATGTCACACTCTACCTTTCTCGCTCAGCTGATAAGCTAGCCTTGGTACACTGTCTTCTCCAACGTTACACTTCAGGGTACTTGGGATCCCAAAGTGCTGGATGCAGTGCCTATAACATGATTATGAGTTTTGCTTTTTCAGTTATTCTGGGAGTAATTCTTATTCGTTTTACCATGGCGTTGATGTTCCATTGGGTCGTATCTCCAAAACTTACAAGTCTACCAACACAATTTGGTCGAAAAGATGTTGGGTATTTACACCCTCCATTAAATGCCGCTCCTTTAGAAGTTTTTTCTGCAAAAGATGGCTTTCATGATTCGAGTCTTGGATATAATCGTATTGCTGCATCTTCAACCGATCCCTACACAATCATGCTTGTAACATGCTACTCGGAAAGTGAAGCGAGTATTCGCAGCACGTTGGATTCTCTTGCTGCTACAGAGTATCTTGATGATCGAAAGCTGATTTTTGTTATTGCCGATGGACTGATCAAGGGTGATGGAAATTTGATGTCTACACCTGATTGTCTAATTCAAATGATCGAGCATGCACAATGGGCAGGCGTCCCGGAAGCTAAGGGATATTTAGCAATTGCTCATGGGGAAAAACAGCACAACATGGCTAAAGTGTATGCTGGTTACTATTCTTATGCTCAAAAAAGAGTTCCAATCATATTGGTGGTAAAATGTGGTACACCCCAGGAGCAAGATTCGACAAAGAAACCCGGAAATCGTGGAAAGCGAGATTCCCAGCTTATTCTTATCAATTTCCTTTCTAGAGTAACATTCAACGATCGCATGACACCGCTTGACTATGATATTTTTTACAAAATTCAAGGGCTATCAAATATGATGCCTGATGTATTTGAATTGCTACTTATGGTTGACGCTGATACTTTTGTTCATCGCGATTCGTTGAGGCATATGGTTCAGGCTATGAAGAATGATGAGCGGGTAATGGGATTGTGTGGGGAAACTCGTATTGCAAATAAGAATGATTCTTGGGTGACTATGATTCAAGTATGTATGGATACTGTAGCTGTTTATGATCTCAAAATGACGCATGACTTGATTTTCAGCATAATAATACTTGCTAACCAAAATATAATTGATATCAAATGATTAGGTCTACGAGTACTTTACATCACATAATCTTGGAAAAGCATTCGAGTCACTTTTTGGCGGTGTAACCTGTCTTCCTGGTTGTTTTTGTATGTACCGCATTAAATCTCGTAAGGGAAAGTCTATTGTTCCTCTTATAGTCAATCCAGACGTTGTAGAAGAGTATTCTGAAAATGTGGTTGATACTTTGCACAAAAAAAACCTTCTTTTGCTTGGCGAAGACCGATTTCTCAGTACTCTAATGTTACGCAATTTTCCCAAAAGGCGTATGGTGTTTGTTCCACAAGCACTGTGCCATACTACAGTACCTGATAAATTCAGAGTTTTGTTGTCACAGAGACGAAGATGGATCAATTCTACAATTCACAACCTGCTTGAACTGGTTTTATTACCCGACTTGTGTGGCATATTCTGCTTAAGTATGCAGTTTGTAATCATGGTTAGTTGACATTATATTGCTTGTTTTGCATATATGTATTGAAGTCTAAAGATCTGAAATCACATACTTTTCTTCTGTATAATTGTAAATAACCAACACTATTTGCATCTTATAGCTGGAGCTTATTGGAACAGTCGCGCTTCCTGCTGCAATTACATTTATGTATTATCTTCTCATCGAGGCAATGGTATCAGGAAAACCGCAGGGACTTCCTTTAATTTTTCTTGCAATTACGCTTGGTCTTCCAGGTGTACTGATTATTATTACAACACGGAAACTGGTTTACGTTGGATGGATGTTTGTGTATCTAGTAGGACTGCCGGTTTGGAATTTTATTCTTCCTCTCTATGCTTTTTGGCATTTTGATGATTTCACCTGGGGCGATACTCGTAAAGTTGAAGGAGAAAGCAAGCAGTTTGATCATTCCAATCAAGAGGGCTCATATAAGATCGGTGCAGTGCAGCTGAAAAAGTATACATTGCTATTATTTCAAAAACAAAATCTGTTTCAGGTTAAATTTATATTTTACTGACTCGAGACTAACACAACTGACTTTTTACACAAATAGGTGGGCTGAATGGGAGCATGAGCGTCGTCTTGAAGTTCGATTGGAAATTGAAACTGACCAAAAAAGATTTAGACAGTTTATTGAGGACAGTTTTATTTCTCCTTCCAATATGCTTGCCGATATGCAACAAACTACTATCAACTCAAAGATGGCGGTGACTAGCACGCTGCCAAAGTTACCTAATATCAGCGGGGTTCCAGTAAAATATCGCGGCCCATTACCCTCTAGCACGCTCAAAAATTTAGACATGCGTCACCCATCATACAATGTATTTAATGTAAAAAACCAGTTGGAAGAGAACGAGTCACTTTCTGATTCAGTGTCCAATCATGTTCGTTTTGCTTTGGAGTCATTTGACATTCCCGATATCTCGGAGATTACTGAAGAGCCCAGCGATGCAAGTGCAAATAACATGTCGCTATTGAAACCCAATACTAACTCGAATCAAATACCTGTTGCTGGTATTCAAAACCAGCATGATTATATGACTCGGTTTAAAAATCTACAGCCATCTGACAGTTTGGCAACGGCTCATTATCCATCAGCGAATGCTATGAATCGACCAAGCCATTCAAAAACGCAACATTTGAATGCAGTTTCGTTTACTGTACCTAAATCCTCTGCGATTGAAAATCGGCCAAAAGGAGGGCCAATCATCGCGTCTGGGACTGCTATTTCCAATCCGATGAACTACACACATGCGACAGGATACGACCAGTCATTTTTATCTGAATCCTACCTTTCAGCACCTACGTCACACTCATTACACCCTGATGTTTCTAATATATCCAATTCTATGTATGCAAAAAATATTGTCGCATCCACCACGACATCTACAGCAAACGAAGCACCCTCTCAACCCAGCTATCGCGCATCTATTTCATCTATAAGCACTAGGGATTCTGGATTAAGAGTGATTGGACCTCGACCCATGCCATTAAATATTGCACAATCTTTTTCAAGTCATAACTCTACGTCAATCCACTCACGTAACACTACTGGTTCGGATCAAACAATTCGGCGTGTTCCAGCAGCACCAACAAACGCATTGCCATTGCATGACTCGATAACCCCCAACACTGCAGTAAAAGAAGATTTGAGCGAGAGTCTTGATTTGGACATCAGTCATTTGATGCAAGATAGCACTATGGATGAAAGTGTTTCGCTTGGTGAGCTTGCAAATTTCCAGTTTTCGAATTCGGGTGGATCTTATTTATTTGGAATGGAGCACAACAATATTGGTAATATAATTTTAGTGATGATGTTGGATATGAAATAAGAGTATCTACACATGTACTTACTAGCAGCATATTGGTTTATATAGCTCCCATCCAAGAACCCAAACCTGCCTATTCATATGACATTTCAAACCGTGAACAATGGCGTGAAAGCTCAACAAAGGCACTGGTGGGTCAAAGATATGGGTTTGGTAAGAACGACATACTTAGATCAGATGTATGCTATTCACCGCTCGATTTTGACGATTCTGGGGAAGTGTCGATGGATACATCGTTGAGCCTTGATGCCACGTCGGATCATAAAAGCGCAACAAGTTTTCTTACTGTAAATGAGTCGGATACAAGTTTTGTAGGAAATGGATACTATTCAACCATGTTTGAAGAATCAGGCACATCACGCCCAATGCATCCGAATCAAAGTAAATCAAACATTGGGGATCATCATGCTAGTGAATCAAGATTTGTTCCAAAAATGTCGAATAGGTTTTGGTCAAAACCAGCAGTATTAAAAACCGAAGATACACAGGAAATGTCATCCAAGGATGATATATCAGCGACATGTATTCGGTCAGATCGTACAAAGGACATGAGACGATCGAGCATACTAACCATCAGCAGTACTCATGGCTCAGTAAAAGGACCTCGACTCATGCCCAGATAAAAATAAGATGTCAGCAAATTGAAATGATAAAATATTGATACAAAATAAAGAGTGTTTAAACTGAATACAGTGCTTGATGCTTGTGTAAACGTTGAAATGAATCAAATGAGTAAATCAGATGATTATGCAGTGCATTTTGCTAATAAAAAACAATTCGAGTTTAATAAAAGATAAATTCTTTATTAAACCAAGAAAGTCTATTCAGTCAGCAAACATTTAAACTGATTTCAAAGCAAGTCAAATAGTTTCAATTTACGTGAACACGCAGTAACCTGAACTGTTACCAAACATCTTGCAGAATGACATCGCTGTTTGGGAATCTACTATCGAACCCCTTTGAAGACCTTGTTGGTGGGTTGGCATCATTCTCATTCTGTTGACTGACAATTCACTTTATCTCTTCATGTGCTTGACCTGATTCATTCAAACTAACAGTGCGTTGGTATTAATTGTGCATGTGTACTAGACAAGGCCACATCTGAAAACCTGCCAGTTGGAACAGACGACATAGTTTCTAATCTGGATATTGCAGATAAGATTAAGAGCAAAGAAGTCTCTGCCAAAACTGCCATACAGTCATTCAAGCGTCGCATTAACCACAAGAATCCCAATGTTCAGCTGTTGGCTCTCAAGGTAAACCTCACTTACCATTGAATCATACTCGAGGCTTACTATCAGAAAACACCATCGTCTGTGTCCATCTCCTGGCTTCTTGCTATTTTCATCTATCAACTAATTTGATCATTGCATCGATGTTATACTTTTTGCTATTGGGGCGTTGATTATGCGTTTGGGCTATAGCTTACAGATACTTGCGTTAAAAACTCTGGCCATCACTTTTTACAAGAAGTAGCATCAAGAGAGTTTATAGATAATCTGGTCTCGATTTCTCGCTCTTTGGTATGTGGATTGGTCAACTATACAAGGGTGCATTTGAAATAGTGTTCGAGCTAGCCTAGTATTGACAAACCGCCACTGCATAACTAACATGCTACTTTAGATGAATCCTAATACTGATGTCAAGCAAAAAATACTGGCATTGATCCAGGCTTGGGGAATCACATTCAAGTCCAAACCAGATTTGAGTTTTGTATGCGAAATCTATGAAGCCATGAAAAAAGAGGGTAAGAACTATTGTAGCAGCTAGATGTCTAGTTCTCTCTATTAATTCTGCCGTTTTACTATGTATGCTAGGTGTCATTTTCCCACCCATTGATGCTGCAGATACTGCTGCTGCAATCATAGATACTCAAACGGTATGCAACTCTATGATTTTAATTATAGTGGTATTCACGTCAAATGGGGCACTTGTATTTATCCTGCAGTCACTGCTTCTTTGAGTCTGTTTTTCAATACTCACAGTCAAACTATAGTTTTAAGTCCATCCTTTCACTTTTTTTGGCATAGCCATGCATTGTACGATTGACAAGTTTAAAACAATATCCATCCATTATTTGATGAGATTGGCTGTTTATTGTATACTTTGGCATCCTCATTTTACGTGGATACGGCTGTAAACGGCAGTCATAAATTAATTAAGTTGATTTTATCCTACATGCTGGTTGTATAGGTGCCTGACTGGACAGACAGCGAACTTTGCATGCGATGCAGGACAGCATTCACTACATTCAACCGAAAGCATCATTGTAGAAACTGTGGCAAAACATATTGCAATGATTGCTCGTCCAAACGTATTCCGCTTGCACATCTTGGCATTACTGAGCCGGTTAGGGTTTGTGATACCTGCCATACCAAACTTGCCACAAAATCACCTGCAAATACCAACGATTTTGCCAAAACAAATAGTGCCAATAGCACAACTGGACTCGGTGCCTCATCCACTACATCAACAGCATCCAGTAATGCTCACGAGGATCTAGCCAAAAAAGAAGACGAGGATCTTGCTAAAGCTATTGCGGCTTCTCTTGGTACGACCAATGACAGTGGCGTGTCTTCATCTGCATCAAGAAAGTCGACCACAAAACAGTCTGTTCGATTTGCAACGCAGGATCAAGAATCTGACGAAGATTTGAAGCGTGCTATTGAGGCTTCTTTAAGAGATGCTGAAAGATCAACACCAGTCCAACGCAATTCAAACCTGTATGGAAGTCCACCCGATCATCAACAGCAATCCTCACTTTATGGCTCCGAGTCGAAAAGTTTTAGTGAACGGACCCCGACAGCTGTCGCAGTAGTAGATTCTTCTAATGACATCTCACCTACAGAGCTGGAAAACATTCGATTGTTTTCGGAATTGGTCGAGCGAACAGAAGCAGATATTTTATCCAAGGGCATTACTAATTTAAACCCAGCCCAACTACAAGCCTTGCTGACTCAGGTTTCTCCGCTTCAAGTCAAACTTCATTCCAGTATTGAGGTTGCTGCTAACAAGTACAAGACTTTATATGATATAAATGAGCAGATTAATGATGCCGTCAAATTGTATGATCAGTTTTTAAAACAGCGATTGACGTTTTCTCAGCAACAACACAGCAGTGTTGGTATACCCTATGGGCATCCATATCTGGCTGGAGTATCATCTGCCGCTGGTGTATATGCGTCGCCAAATACTCAACAGCAGCCGCAGAAACAATGGGGAGCGCCAGCTGTTGATTCGAATGCAGCATCTCAGCCCTATCAGATTCCTGGTAGTCTTTCCTATCCACCGCATGCTACTTTTATCCCTGGAGGCAGTGTTCCTGGGGTGCTTCAGCCAGTTCAGCAGCAGCCAGCATACCCGCCTTCACATAATTATGGACACCCGCCTTCAAATTTAGCACCCGGATCCCAGTATTCGTATGGGGCACCCTCACAGCCAGAATCTAATATAGCCCTTCAGGTTTCAAATGGAGTACCATATCAACCCCCTCCATCTGATGCTCATGTTGCTCAACCACAAAGGCACACTCAACAACCACCACAGCCAGTTGTACAAGAAGCACCACTGATTGAACTATAGTTCTAGCGATCCTTGTAGCAGATTATTATTTGAGTGGTATGCAGTTTATCAATAAAAACAAACAGTTGTGATTACATTTTGTTTTGGGTATCATCCCTTGGCTTTAATCGAAAATTCAAATGATTGTGATTCAAAAGAATTTAGTTATTTTTGCTCAATATATCTGTCCATGAAACATGCTCAAGAAGTACTAGATACTTGTCGCCAAACGGTGGCGTATATCGTCTTGTCGCAGCTTTGGCTCGTCTACTCTTAGAAACACCATATTTATTACTGCCAGAGTCGTCTATATCCATTTTCAATCGAATCTTTCCACCCAGGTTCGAGATACGTTGCGTCACTGCTGGCATAATTCCAATGTCTGCCAAAAACAGATCCCCATGATACTTGTGAGATCTCAAATGGCCTGTTTTCGCCATTCCCATGGCTATAGTCCAAAAAGACTGAATGTATGTCAGGGAAGTAGGACATCCAGTCGTAGCACTGATTCCACTTGGCATATCAATACTCAATATGCACGGTGCTTGAAATCTACCAGTAGGACTGTCAGTAGTTGTAGCGCGACCTTGACTGTGCTGGACAGGCGTGTTTGTAGAATAATTCGCCCATTCAATCATCTGAACAATGGCATCACGATCCTTTTTGGTGGGAAGTTCAGTCAGAGTTTGATGGCTACCCAGCATGGCATCAATAATGATATCCACATGTTCCATTTGAAAATTTGGTAGATCACGAGCAGACTTGACCAAAGTACCTCCAGTTGAAAAAAATATCTTTTTCTGGAGCGCAACGAGATGGATAAGTTCTGCTTCATTGGAAGTGCAACAAACTAGCACACGACACTCATGATTGACCAAATGTCGAGCAGCAACTAGACCATACGCGCCTGTTTTGTTATTTCCAACAAGAACAACAATAAAAGGCTTGCTGGAATGGTTTTCTAGCCTGATCCGGCTTTCACCGAGCGTTTGCATAGCCAGGATTGCTGCACTACGGCCACCGTTTTCAACCATTTGCTCGTCACTTAGTCCAATTTCATTTGCTATAAAAATTGTATTGGATTGATAAAAATGTTAAACAAGTTATAACGCATTTCAAAAGTAATCTTGAATTTACCTGTAATACATTCGATATCAAGCATCTCTAAAGGAGTCACCGTAGGCACGTAAATCCCTTGTTTTGTTTCAAAATGGCAGTGTTTTCCATCGAGTAGATCCGTAACCCCATCACGAAGGATAGATGGCTGGTTTGGCAAGGAATCAAATTGATCTATCCTCAATTCGCCTACACCACTTTTCATATTACTCTCATTATCTTGGTAATTTCCAATATTGTTTGTACTATGTACCAATCCATTATCAAATGAATTACGAAACGACCTGTTGGGCATCATACTATGCACATCACTCAATTGAGCAGAGTGTTTGGAAGATGTGGGCCCAGCCGAGTCGCTTTCTATTCCAAATTCCTCCACTTCTGCATTGTTTCCAGCTTCATCATCTGATGTACTGTTATCGTCAAGAACATTGTCTCGAAATGACATCATTGGCTGTGATTTATGCTTTGACATTTGGTGTTTTGTCAAAAAAGACTCTGAACCACCACACCCATTGCTAGCACTTCGGAGATTGTGACCAACAAGTCGAGCCTCGGGCGAGACCGTATCGTTATGGCGCATTTCTGCAAAGATGCGCGACTTGTCGAACTGTAACAATGAAGCAGCAAAATCAAAGTCCTCGGAGATATTTTGGGGATTTGTGTCGAATGTGACAGAGTTATCCGGTCCGCCATGATACTGCACCTTGTTTCGGTATCTGCCTCGCTGTGGAGAGGAAGAGCCATAATCGAACTATAGTGTAAATATACATCAAAAACTGTTAGACGTGCTTTAAGCAGATGGACAAAAAAGCTACTCAAAATAGACTTGCATTGTTTCTTCGCTGTGGACTGTTTTTAGATGTTGGGTTGTTGCCATGCACTTTGTTGGATCTTGGAGGCGATGAAGGCCAGTGAGAGGATCCGATAGACTGAAATTCAGAAACATTTTGCTTGTTGGTTGGGTTGCTTTGCTGATTGGCATTTTGCTGTTGGCGAGGAGCCAGTGTTTTCAAGATCTCTTCGTAAGTCTGCGGTTTTGTAGCAATACTTGGCTCTACCAATTCAGAGAAATGAATAGAAGAAACAACCTGAAATTGCTGCGATGCCGGCATGTCCATTGCTGTCGATTGTGAAGGCTGCATCTGAGATGCAATATTCGACGATTGCTGGTAGTGATGCTGGGGAGGATAAACTATTGGCTGCGATGGTTCATGTTGAGCGGGAGCAGTCGAGCCACTCTGCAACGGGGGTTCAAATGCAGAACTTGACTTGCGTTGAGTATCAGCACTCTTGAGGATATCCACATCCAGAATGTCCTTTCCAGCAACAGTGTACTGCTGTAGTTGATGCTCAACACCATATACGAGTAATTTTACTAATAATCCAGATTGCATATTCATGAAGTTGCATAAACACAGACAGTTTCCTGTTAGAACTATACATCATGGTAGAACAGTAATTCAAGGTTTACTCACCATTAGATAATATCAATGAAGGAATAGCAAGGTCTACAGTGGTGACTGTGCCTATAACAACTTGACCAGAGTGCAAGGTAACTTTGAGTAATGAACCTAAAAAGACGGACACATTGGGAGCATCTACTGCTGCCATTGAATTCTTAGAAACACCAGTAATAGTATCTTGTTTAGTTACTGCTCGTCAAGAGTTGAATCTAAAAAGAACCGAATTTGATATTCTCGAGCAGGTATTTTTCCAACTGCATGCACACTCAGATATAAAAGTTTATTCCAATCACATTCTAACTGCTGATGAGATCAGCGAATCTCTTGCTCACGCTAACCGATCTTCTGGTTGTCGAAGCATCATCCGTGGTTGTTGTGCATTGCTCACTGGTCTACCCACAGATCCAATCTTGACTATACCCAGTCCACGACATACTCGGCAATCCTTGCAAAAAAAACATCGTAGATGAGCCGGCACATCATGTTCTCGCTCTGTTGTGCCATGTACAAACCCTTTCACTAAATTTCATTCCGTTAGTTAGGAGTCTTGCAATTCTTGAATTTCAACCCAAACCATTAAACAATTCAATCAATCCAAAACTCACTTTCGCAAGTATCGCATCCCTTCTTGCCGACAATTGTGCCAGTTCCCTGACACCCTAAAAATGATCAATATTAGTAAATTAATGCTCCATAAAAAGCAAATCTGGTTTTATACGGAAAATAAAACACTTGCCTTTGCAAGGAGTGCAGTGCTTGCACTTTTCTGCCTTTTTTTTCGAATCGTGCCTCGCTGAACTGTCGTGACGGAAACCGGTACCTTCACAACGCGGACACGGAGTACTGACTTGATCAGCTAGTATCGGCTTACGGGTCGCCCCACTTATTCCACCGCTACCTGCATTTCCAACTGCATTTGTTTGGGATAACGGAACACTCTCAGATAATGTCATACTGGCAGCCATCATGGCATCAAATATGGTCTGATCAATCTGTACTCCAAAAATTCCCATCATATGTGGATGAAGTGTGGCTGGCTGAATCGCCATATGTGTTGTCGTGAGTGGACCCAATTGTGCTAGATCCGGCACCATCGGAGGAAATTTAAGCGAATCTGACTGCGAACTAAGTATGGTACCTCTAGTGTTTTGTTGCTGCAACAAATTTCCAGCCTTATCTGTGGCCAATGGATCAAGAAGAGTCCCTCCGGCAGTATTTGTAGCAATATTTCCTCCAGCACCTGCCAATAAATTTATGGAGCTGCTTGATGGCATAGCTTGTAGATATGACATTGAGTTTTGCTTGGCAGAAAGCGATGCTCTTCGAATATCTTGAAATCGTTTTGAATCCAGCACACCCTCTCCTTTGCATTCTATTATAAACATGCACAGTAAGCATCTGCACGTATATATTTATAAACTCTGAATGCGATTCAGTAACCAATCCTTTCATTCATCAAGGTGCACTAATCTATCGCTGAATCAGCTCGGCCCATTATATCAAGATATGCAAATCTTACCTTTACACTCTTCGCAGTCAAAACAACGCATCTGCTCAGCTATTGTGTGTGGTACAATGGCTCGTGGATTATGACTAAACCCTCTTCCTGTTGGTTTCCACAAAATAGCATGAAGTTGGATTGAGATTCAATCAAAAAATACAAGAGTCGAGATGTTATTGATGCTTTGAAACAATGTATACTCGCTCTGGACCAATATTACTCACCATTGCACCTTCTGCAGCCAATAACTCCAACAGTCACACCCGAACCATCACATACACTACACTCTGCACACTTTTTGCAACGCTGAGTAGCTGGACGGTCATGCTTGTCCAACGAGCTGTGAAAAAACCCAAACCCTACATACACCCGTCACTGATTAGCATATCAATATTACTCTCCTGACATCCTCTCCAAATGTTGAATCTGATAAAGATGAGATAGTGAATGCTCCGGATAGAATGAGAATATATTCAGTGTAATAGAGTGCTCACCATTGCATCGAGGGCATGCTCCTCTTACACTCATGTTGGCCAATTGCTTATACTCATCGAGTGTGGTTGACATGTTCAATCGTAGTTGCAGATTCAAAGTCAAGCTGTTTCTGCCAAAACATCAAATCTAAACGCATTTACAAATGAACTTTGCTTATTCCAGACTTTGTTGAATTGCATTATATTCGTATGGAATAACAGTAGTTGTAAAATGTGTGCAGAATCATTGCAAACAATGGTTTCATGCCAACAATTTGGCTATTTCAATCTACTCTTGGCTAAAAGTTGCAATAAAATGGAATTAAAAGGCAGATTTTAAACTCAATTTAAGCACTACTAATCTTGTAGTATATTTGTTTAACAATGAATATAAATTGTAAATTAGGCCAGCTCATTAAATGCAAAGGCACCGCATTTCAAGCCATTCAAACCATGCTCAACAACTGATCGGTTCTACACGGCTCAGTACACTTTAATAACTGAATCTGGATTATGCTATTCAATCTACAGTCGTATTCATTTGTAATAAAACACTTGTATCCATCTTGCTGTGACTGCTTTGCAATAAACAATGCTTGTACTTTTATTTCTTACTAGAATTGGATCATTTTAATCCACATTCTCAGTTCAATCAACTCAACACTCATACAAAATCAAACTATAATCATGACAAATGACTCTCATTTGACATGATCATGCATTGTACAATCACCAGATTCATTCATTACAGTCCGTATATTGTATTCAACTGTTTTCAAGTCTATACACACTCATGCATCTTACAGTCACGTTCAACAGTAACCGCACATTAGGAATGCAACTACTGTTTCCATTCTGGTTTCCATTCTGGTTTCCATTCTGGTTTCCATTTCGGTTTCCATTCCGATCACCACAACACCAACAAACTAACAGTTCAACCACACCGTGTTTGCACTACACTGACACGCACCACTTGACAAGACTGACTGTTTATTTACATCAACGTCTTTAATACTTCATCTTGCTTGAATACGACCGACATCTGCAATCCATTGCTCGGATCACGTGGTATTGTTTCATTTGAATCATTTCAAACTCGACTCGAAAATAAAAATAAAATGCATTTCCGATTATTGATATCAGCCATTCCATCAACTAAACGATCAAATCATCAGTTGTTTTTCAGAACACTATTACCCACCAATTCAGTGTATACATACTGCATTCAGTCTAGTAGAATGGATTCAAGAGTGACTAAACGACTAAAAGTATTTGACGAGTCTGCAAATACTGTCGTCAATAATGATAATCTTGGCTCAGACACAACTGCGCTTGACTCGATGCATTTAGACAAGCATGGTTCAGTTGGTTCAGCTAGTCGTGATCTTGCTGCAAACAATCAGCCGTATATCCAAAAAGAATCGGATTTTGGTATTTTGGAATATGTCAATCCACATATTAAAGCATTTACTGGCATTTTAAAATACAGGTGTGTTGAATCCAAACCTGAGCCATCACTCGATCCATGATGCTGACACAGACTTTACTGGTTGTTGTAGATCTGGAGATTTTCTTGTCAATGAGGTCGATCTTGATGGACAAATTATTCGATACAAGCCAGGATCTGTCAATGAATTCACCAATTCAAAGTCAAAGTCAACCCCAGAACTGGAGCCGAAACCGGAACTGGAACAAGATCCAAAGTCAACCCCAATTCCAGAGCCAGAGCCAGAACCAATCCCAAACCCAGAGTTAGAGACTATAATAGCACCAACAGAAACCGTGACAAACGAACAGGTAAGTGTAGATTCGATATGATGCTGAATAATTTATGGCTGATATATTTTAAACACGCATGCACTCGGGATTCCAAAGACCAAGCCAGAAACTGAAAAAGGATTTGAAAAGCTAGTCGAACAGCTGGCTGGAGATATCGAAACAATCAATAGCATCAAGCGTATGCTAGAATTTACCGAATTGACCCATGTAACGAGCAAGGTGAGTATCAATGGATGTTTATCGATTCGGATCTGTGGTTTTAATTTGTCACCAAACCACATATTTGATTGTAGCCCATTGCCGAAAAATCTACACGAACAGGTATCCACGATACGGTTCGTCTGTATTTCGGGACACAGCTGTCCACCACTACAAAAAATGGAACAATCGAGTTCCAGAAACTGAAACGAGGCATAAACAAGAAACGTCCATCCAAACCTGTATCCAGTAAAGTCGACTTTAATGATTTGGGCGGAAATTACTGCCATTTTACACTATACAAGGAAAACATTGATACCATGCAAGCCATTGCTAAAATATCCAAGTCTATTAGGTAATTTGGATATATTGTAGTCAGTGCAAGCCAGTACAAACTAATGCAAGCCAATTCAAGCTAATGCAAGCTAATGCAAACTAATCGTGACTAATACCAAATGCCTTGTTTATAGAGTACCGTCCAAACAGTTTACATTTAGCGGCACAAAAGATAAACGAGCCATCACAACTCAAAGAATATCTGTCCTGAATGTCAGGCCATCGGTTCTTCTTGGTGTCAACAAGCTTTTAGGCACGTCTCGTATTGGCGATCTCTCATACCACAACACACGACTGATGCTTGGATCACTATCAGGAAACCACTTTTCGATTGTGCTGCGTAACGTTGAAGCACAGTCAGATCAAGTCATACACCAGTCCATGCAATCGTTTAAACAAAATGGATTTATTAACTACTATGGCATGCAGCGCTTTGGAACGCGTTCGGTCTCTACACATTCTGTCGGAATTGCTTTGCTGGCTGAAAAATGGGAACAGGCCATTGATCTGATCATGTGTCCCAAGGCAGAAGGTATGCATTGGATCATCGAGTATGACTATAATGTGTATGGTTGCACGATATGCACTGAATCAAACAACTTCAAACAACTCGAAATACTGTATATCTAGATAGCGCGGATGTTCTTCAAGCCCGACTGTTTTGGAAACAAACACAAGATGCAGAAAAGGCTGTCGAGCTGTTCCATGCACGCAATCTGGCGGAGCGATGTATTTTATTTTCATTTGTAAACTCCAAGTGTAACACTGCCTATTTATCAGCAGTTCAAGCGGTACGTTTGCATGGTGTATAGTGTATATCAAACAGTGCTGTATATGGCATGCTGACAGTCTGGTTGTTGACACTGTCGTGACCGTAGATACCACGCAACTTGCGATTGATGTATGTACATGCATATCAAAGCTATGTTTGGAACCATATGGCAACAGAACGCATCAAACTGTATGGTCTCAAGCCGGTTGTTGGAGATCTCGTCATTCCAAACAAAGCGACGGTTGAGCCTAGGCTGAATACGACACATGTAAATGATCCCGATATTGCTCGTGATACGATTCAACCCATATACATTACATCCGAAGATGATGCTGCCAACTATACAATGCAAGACGTGGTTCTGCCACAACCTGGACATTGTGTTGTGTATCCCAAACACAAGGTTGCGCAAAAGTATATCGAGTTTATGGCCGTAGATGGATTCGACCCATACAACATGAAACGCAACATCGCGTAAGAATATTGAATCATTGCCGAGCTAAACTTGACATGATCTGACACTGATATTTGGAACATTAGTGATTTTAGTCTGTCTGGTGCATATCGCAAGGTGATCAGCGTTGCCACCAATGTAAACTGGTAAGTGACATCACTTGATTACTATCAGCATAGTGACGGCTTTATTGGACTGACACGTGTACTAGGCATATTCTTAAATACAATGATGCCAATGTACCGCTTGTTCAAACAGACCTCGACATTGTCAACCAAACACCCAAGCCTCAGTCTGTTCCTGGTAAGTTGGTCAGCCATTTGGGTATGGTCATCTCGGGTTTATTTACTAACATGACGATTTATTGTATAACCAACTACACTATTATTGTATGATCAACTACACCATTATTGTATGATCAACCGCACTAGATGGCAAGTATACTTCGCTTGTGGTTGAATTCACTCTGGGATCGTCGCAATATGCCACCATGGCATTGAGAGAGGTCATGAAATCAGAAACCAATTCAGGATTTCACACTCGGCTCTCGTCTGAAAAGCAAAACATACAGTCAAAATGACAATTGTGATTTGAAAATGCAAAATGCAAAATGAATCTATAATCATATATTTGTCCATTTCCTTAGAGCACCGATAAATCCTCTATTGATCATTTGCATCTGATCGTCATGAACAACAGTCAGTAAATAGCCATACATCACCAATACAAATGTCGACTTGCCTCGTTGCAGCCAGAGTCTACATAAGTCTGCATGGCTTCAGGCAGCCATTTTTGAATTTGGTCTATACGGGACTCATCGCTAGGATGCGTGCTCAAAAACTGAGGCATATTGGCACCTACTTGAGATGCACTCATTCTCTACCATATATCCCGGTATCAATGATGCGTGCAACAAACATAAACATCATGCCAATCAAAATATTGCAAACCATACCTGCCAAAGTTGAATGGCTGAACTCGGATTATAGCATGCTTTGGACATGATCTGGAGTCCAATATAATCGGCCTCGGACTCGCATTTTCTTGAAAACGGTCGCTAAACATGCAGTTCGAATCAACATACAAATGCAATAAAGTCTGAAACACTTGATCTGCAAAACACATTACCAGAATAGCGAGTTCCATAATCATGCCGCGAAACAGTGACCCATAGTCGGGTCCAAGAAATAGTGTAATGAGGATCTGCGGAATCAACAATAGTTTTCCCCATGCAAGTTTCTCTGCTGAATGACGAGCTACATGATGTGCAATCTAACCATTGGTATTGAATCAGTCATTCTTGGTATAAAAATCTTGTCCAATCAACCATTCTTGGTATAAAAATCTTGTCCAATAACAAAATGAGCGATTTAGCTTACCTCATGACCAAGAATAGTTGCAATGCCATCCTCGTTCATTGCAATAGGAATAATACCTGAAAACACAAATATCTTGCCATTGGGCAGAACAAATGCATTGGTTTGTGGATCGTTAATCACAAACACTTCCCAGTCAGGACTGGCAAGACCACTGGCTATATTCCAGAGTTTCAAGCGTCAACCATTTATCGAGTATATATTGAAATGGCTTGACTGTTCAATACCTTTGATAAGACGACCAGCAATTCTTCTTACAAAAACACTTTGAGGATGATAGGCAGGCAATATTGCATGTCGATATTCGTGCATGACAGCTTCATAAGTCTGGTTGCCAATCAGTCTTTCCATTCCAGGCGAAACATCGTTGAATCTACGACGTCCGCTGATTGGCACAGTTTCTAAATGCTCATAGTAGTATACTGAAAACAGTACAATACATCCACCTATCAGCAAATAGAATCGTTTAGACGGATAGATGCGTGGATGACCTAGATGATCTGTACAAGTCAGTCACTATTCATATTCTGGACTCAATAGACGGTATGCTGCAACACTATCAATCCTGACCGTTTTTGAATCTCTGGTATCCATCACTGGCTGTTATGGGTGAAACCAAGGTGGTATTTTTGGTAATTCGTCGACTAGGCTTGGATTGGTATTGGGATCTGAACTGAACGGATGAAACCAGTGACCGTTGTGAAATGGGTGATGCTAGTTGACCAACAGATTGACTGACAGGTTGACCAACAGATTGACCAACAGATTGAATGACCAATTTGTTGCTGATTTTCACAATGGATTGAATGGTTGTAGCCTGTCGGCCAATGCTCGAAAAAGTGCGAGTCAATAATTGTGGTAGTAAAGCCATGAGATGAGCTAAAGGGTCAAGTTGGATTTGGTTGGAAACCATGCATCAATCTCGCAACTAGCATCGAATGTTCATCTAAAACTGATCGAAACCATCAATCTGACCCAAACCAACTCGATCGAGGTTTTCGTGTTTATTGAATCAACGCTGACCAACACCATCAACAATGGATTACAAACGACTGAATGAAATTCAATCCATTTGATAAAAACACAACTGTCAATGGATTCTAGTCCATGTGATATATTAAGAGTGGTGTCATTGTCTAGACACCGACTAGTTGATAGTCCAACTATCAGATATAATACTGTAGTGGTAAATATTATACTTTGATATCGATTTGTATTCGTATGCAAACTGATCAAAACCTGGATGGAAGTTGTTTGATCAAATGGATGACTTGAAACTGTTATTTGAATAATCAACCAGTCGAAATCATGACCATATCCAACAACCGTGTTGATCTAAACCCAATAATCGATCGTTTAAACTATTTATAACAATAACAGCCAGCAGTTTATTTAAACGAGTTACAACAACATCCAATAGATTGACAGCTCAAGTATAGTGCAAATACAGTCCAACTACAGTGATGATGCCTACTTTTGTTGTTGGTTCAAACCAAATAGTTTCAGGAATCTGTCCTTGGCATGATGCATTGGATGCATTTGTTTTGGTGACTCGTCTGTCAATGGCACATCACAATTGATCCTCAGCACATTACAGTAATATTCATTCAAAACACCTGTATCTATTTTCAGTGATTGCTAAATATTCATTGCGCTTTCTATTACAAATCGACTATAATTTGCCAATTTCATCCAACTTAGTTTTCAAACTTGGCCATGTTTTTAACCCCTCAATCTCGATATATTTTATATGGCATGAATATGGAATCAGCACTAAGATCTTGTGGTATTTCAACACAAGCAATACACAGATTCAAAACCCTAAAATGTATTCATCAGCAACCACAGTCATTCGCTTCCACACAGTTACTCACCTGCATCATGTATACTTCGTCACCTCACTCCAATAGATTCTTGTTAGCACAATATTCAAGTCATCAGCATTACCATCGATTTGCGTCTGGCATTCCAGATAATAATCAAGTTAGCAAGAACAGTCCCTCACTTACTAATGAGTTTAAAATTTCTAAAAAAACTATGCAGTCGAAGCAAGTGTTTGAAGATTCAGTCGAGCATCATATACTTGTTTCTGCTCTGCATTTTATCAAAGATACCTCTCGCCTTTCTGACTTGGCTTCAAATGTATGTCTGAAATCATACTACCTATTGATTCAACTATTGATTTGCTATAAAATACTGCCTTTTAAGCTCATTATTTTTATTGTATATACAGGTGAGTAAATTTTCGTTGGTTTATCGGCAAGCAGCTCTTGGAGTGATAATTGAAAACCTTTATAATGCTGGAAAAATTGCCAAATGTATTCAGCTCTGCTCAGGCGAATCTGTTTCTGACTACCATATCCAACCCAATGGAAGGATATTTGATACTCTCATTATTAAAGCATGTCTCGAAGGCTCTTTCCAAGACATCCAGGTAGCAAAAGATTTGACCAAACTCGCCATACTACGAAAAATCAAACTAGGTACCCCAGCCATTTCCATTCTTATTGAGAAGCTCGATCAAAGCAATGATTGGGATAGTCTCCAATTGCTATGGAAGCATGTTATGCTTAGTAACGGATCAATTGATGACATATCTGCAAATGCCTCGATCGGGTTTCTTCATTTACATATCCACTTGGCAAAACAAATCCTTAATCCAATCAAATACGTTGATCTTATTTTAATGGAAGATTCTTCCAAGAGTGATACATTGTCTATTTCGTCCCAGCATCTCAAGGCAATGGATGAGCTGCTTCAAGCTCGATCGGTTGAGGACATGACCATGCATGCACTTTACATGCTTGTGCAAACGCTAATCCGTCTTAACTGGAAACACGAAGCAATGAACTTGGAAAGACTGGTAGTGATTGCCTATTCGAGTCACGGACTAAAGCATTCAATGTTTGCTGAATTGCGACGGTTTGTGAATTCATCGTATTCGGAGCAAAGAATTAAAGAGGATCGATTTGGAAAACGTCTTCTAGAGTTTGCTGGCGAGAATTGGTCCAGAGAGCAGTGGTATCGAGTCAGTATGAAGCTACTACATACCCTGATTGTCAAGGGGTGGGTCCAGGAGGCAGGCCAGGTGTCCAGAGCCATACGAAAACTCTACAGCAATTTGAATGAGCTAATCCAAGAAATCGGAAAAGACAATCTACAAAATCCCATGGCAGCCGTGTTTTTGTTACGGCTATCAGTATCTGAAAGCAGGCTGGTTGTGAAAAGGGATATTTTTTCAACCATGCAAAAACTGGTCCGTCAGTTGCAAGAAAAACACTCTGCTCAAAAGGTGATGGCATTTTTCGGAAATGCTATGCAGACTATTTATGGTGATGGAACAAATGCCAATGCTGTAATTTTATGCGATGCAATGCTGCAAGGAATGCTGGATACATTCATGACAAGTTGGGATGCAAAAGATATTTTTGAATTGGTGTTTAGGTATTGGATCAAAGCACCTTCAAGACTAGTACAGATCCTAATCCTTCATGTAGAATCGAAAAAGTGGACGGATATCTCCAAATCAATTCAAACTTGGGCTACTGACTAAAGAGCATATTAGTGCTATGAGCAGGCTATCATGCTCTAGTTAAAGAGTCGACACGACAAACGGACACGAGATTTAATCGTCTTGGCAGCAACATTCGAGTATTGGTTTACTCCAAAAGCTGGATAATCGATAAAGTTTATTGTAGATGTGTATAGAAAACTTGATAGAAAAGAGTTGGGAGTTTATAAAAGAAACGTGCGTATAATATCATTACCGTATTTTACAAATAAATCATGCCACCACCAACACTTTTCCCTACCCATAAGCTCGACCCCACAGTTGGTGGAATTATAATAGGTGGCCGGATAACAAAATGGTCCAAGAACGGAGTCAGTGTGATTGCACTCAAGAAATAAAACAAAATGCCAAAAGCAATCGAAAATGGGAGCGCTGGGAGAGGTTTTCTGTATACTGCTAAAAAGAAGATGGTCATACTGAGTCCTGCAGTTACAGCGACAATTGTTGACATGGTGGTAATCCAATCAAATAATGCTAATCGACACAAAGGTAAAGTAGGATTAGTAAGCTATTAGACAAAAAATATATTGGGCAAGCATTAAGCTACGGATTACTGAATGAAATCAGTAAAAAATACTTACATGCTCTGCCAACTAGTACACTGTAAAATACAAAATCTCCCAGACCCAGTTTTAATCCGCTGTCTTCATCATCATCCGTATCATCCACGACAGGAGGAATTTCGTAATTATCGTGATTGCTTGTATTGATTCCTGGATGATTCTGTCGAATATCGCCCATTGTTTCCAATTCAATTCCTCGTGAAGATAAGTCGGCTTGTAAGGGTCGTTCTTCCAATTGATCTGTTGTTGATAGATAGTAGGTTCCAGCATTGTTGTCGGGAGTTTCATCCCTAGCATTATATCCTGCGGTTGGGTGCTCAGTAGCTAAAGGCAAGGATGCTATATGTCGAAGTTGAGTAAATTCGCTTTTTTGATCTACAGCTGGAGATACACGAGATGACGGATGGTTTCCTGGCGCTGCCATAAATACCATTGCTATGAAGAAAAGATATGGACGTAAATAATGACAAGTCTATTAAAGATCATGCATACAATGGCAACAGCTATAGAATGCCAAAACATCAAAGGACATACCACTGTACAACAATGCCGCTGGAAGCTGTTGATCTTGAGTTTGTGCACTTTCTAGCAACAGACGCAATGGACCAAATGGACACAAGACCGCGATTAAATCCCAAATAGCAAGTAAACCCAACAAAATCCATGTGACCAAATCGGGCAGCTGAGAAAGTGAAAATGCCATCATGCTGCTCATAAGAATCAAGTAGCCTTGTTGGATGAAAAGCGGACCTTTCCAGAAGATCACTGCCAATCCAACAGCAACCAGGTTCCACAAAAAAAATGCAAAGCTAATGTAGTCAAGTGGTAAAGCAGCAACAAAGAGAAGTGTAGTTCCAAGCATATATCCAAAGTATCCCAAAAGAAGCATAACCACAAAAACAAAAATTCCATAGATAATCTGTTTAATTTAGCATGAAATATAGACGTTAATAACTTTAAATGAATATGACAGAAAATCAAACCAACAAGTACCTTGATTTGACCGTATCTAAACAAGCACATGATGATGATAGTAGCCACAATAATTTGTGAAAGAATGATTAGTGCGGTCATCAAGGAAGATGTATCTTGAGTTCCATTTCCTGAACTGCCAAAGACTTGACCAACGCTGACTGATGAAGGAACAGTAATTGGAACACTAAATAAAGTAGGCATTATTCATAGATTAGAATCCACCAGTAGCCATATTATTCATAAAACTTGTGATTTACCCAGTATCGAAAATAGAATCAACGGGATTAGACAGCTTCACCCATAGCACTGACAAAATAATGCAACACATAACCGGCTTGATGATGGTGTATATCTGCTTCATGTAAAACCGCATGTCCATAATCCGTTCTTGTTCTGTAGGATCATTTTCTGTAGCCAATTCAGAGTCATTTCCAATAATGATTGAAAAAACAGATATAAAGTTAGCGATATATGGTGTATTAGCATGCTTAACAAGCCCTTTTAACCTGACACAGACAGCCACATTCGACACACTGTTTTAACAAGGCATGCGAACACATAGGAAGACTGAATCAAGTATACATGTACTAGCTCCATCAACAAGGGAAACTCATTTATGGAGTAGACTGTTCCATGAGTCTGACTAATTGTGGCTATCGAGCTCAATCATCACTGTAACGTATATAAATTTTACCTCCAGTAAATCTTCGAGCGGCGTTTGAACTCGTCGTCATATTTGAAGACCCGTGGGTAGACGAAGCAGGAGCATTTAGAGTAGGTAGTGTCTGTCGTTGCTGCTGAGATTGTGATTGCTGATGGATTTGAGGGTTATTTGACAAGGTTTCTGAACTATCCGGTGGATTCTGTTGTTGTTCTTTTAGTTGTTGCTGTTGTAAACGCTCTTGTTGAATTCTGACGGACCCTTCACAGCAGGTCTTATGAACAGGCCAGTCTATTCTCTGGCATTCGACTGAGCAGTAGAATCTAGGCACAGTAGCAGTGGAGGCTGGTGATTGGTTGGCCCCACATAATGAGCACATGAACAAAGCAGGCTTACTACATACATCGCAAGTGGTAGAAGTAGTGGGATTATTATCACCCGTAGCTGGAGTGGCAGTCTGATGCGACGCCATGAAAGTGTTTAGTCCAGCTATAAAGATGAGTTTTTAGTTGATTACGGCCGGTAGCAGTTGAAATGAGAATGGAGTGATAAAATGAGGAACTGTTAGCAATCATCAATGTCATGTTTTTGAAAGTATTCGCGTAAATTTCATCAACTGCACGAGCGTAGTCTGCTTTTGGTAGCTGCGACTTGTCAAGTTGAACGTTTTTTGGAGTTTGGGTCTGATTTTGTACTATGGGTTTTTACTGTGAGTTTTCGTTATGAGGTTGAACTGTGGGTTTTCATTGTGGGCTGCAGGTTTGCTACAAAATGAAAGATAAAGGTTTCACCATCTTGATTTTTTTATAATTGTAATGTTGCCCAAAAACATTGCAGTTTCTTTTATAACAAACCTAAATATTAACCTCAACATCGTGCTCGCAAATTTAACAATATGTATTTCGTGTCTTGCTTCACCCATAAGTGTGTTGGACCAAATGATTGACATTGCCCTATATTTACAACCGTATTCACGTAAAATGAAACACTTGTATCTTACAATCACTATGTTGCTCCAGAATAAACAATCGTTACATATTCGCTGTTTTTGTACAAGAATGAGCATGGAGATCAATCAACTAATGAGTTCAAAGAGCACAGTGTTGTCCAGTAAGATTGACACCAATTAAACATGGCTGTTTATCATGTAGTGTAGTTTAATGTTTCATCTTACGTGAATACGGTTGTAATCGAGTGGATTAACAAGCTGGCCGTGTCAGCATGTCGGATTGTCGTCATAGTACAAAAGATACAAGCAATACACTTGCGTTATTCAAATCAGAAATCTACTGATATTTGTAAAACATCAAAAAGACAATCAAATCTGATTATACACAAAAGTATGAATGAATTGTAAATACTTTTGCAAAAACACGATATACTGATAGTTGCCGACATTTTTTATTCTTCACTCCATTCTCCTGTCCTTTATCGCTGACTGTAAACTTCTTTTCACAAACCTTGTCAGTTCATGGCCGCCACATAATCACTGCTATTGCTTGTTGTGCAGCTTCTGCAACACCTACCGAGTCTGATGCTACCAACTTTTCGAGCTTAACCCCATAATTGAAATGGATATGGTCAAATCAACAGGCTGCATTCAAAGTATTCTTTGACAAGGTTTATATGTTTTACCTTTTGAATGCCATGCTGCAACTGGAATCGTCCTCTATAGTCTTCGGCACAGTTTGTAATAGTCTATTGATTGGAAAAACATGTACATGAGTACCAATTGAAGCTGTAGATCATGAATGGCATTGCAATGAATACCTTGATGACATTCAGCAAAACAAGTTCATTGGTATCAGACAGCAGCTCGATTAGAATTGGCAATGCATTTTCTCGAACCATGACTCTTTTTGCGTCACAGTCGATTGTAATACTTGTATACGTTATGAATGGTATGAATAGCATGCTTAGTATACCATAACACTATTATACATGATCATGACCAAGTACACTTCAATCCATACTACCTCATTAACGCTCCTGCTGCTGCTGCACGCACATCCGATCTTCGATCGCTTAAAAGTGTAATGAGAACAAGAACTGTATCGGTTTCTGTTGCCAATCGTTTAGCCTCGTGAAAGAAACTACACATTCAATTGAATCAATGATGGATTGATATCACTAAAGTCGAATGGCGATAGTTTCTTACCTTAGCATCATGATACAGCGACACGCAGCAACCTTTATATCACCCACAAGACTTTTTCTTGCAATATTTGTGAATTGCTCCATGGCATGATTTTCAAGAGCAATTTTGGAAATCTCATTTTCTGTTTCAAACCGAATATAGTTGTAGCATGTGTTTAGCATTGAAACCTGAATCTCCATATTTTCAACAGATAGTCGTTCTACTATTGGCACAAAAAAACTATATTGTAGTGTGCTTTGAACGCCTATAATAAAATTCAAAATGAGAACACTCAATCTAAAGGTTATTTTCCAAGTTCCACATGCATACCTTGTTCTTGAGCCGTCACACTGCAGATAACATCAAATGTGTGTTTGCGAACCAGATCATCTGGATCGGTAAACTAATGCCAATTATTGCATGATTAACACTCACCTGGTCAAAACCTTATTTTATCAGCAATGATAATATCATTTCACTTGCCAGTTTCATTAGACACTTTAACGCTTCATGATGGATTATATCAGCACGCCCAATTGCGTGTCCTGAAATAGTACTTAGTATCTCTGTTGCTTTTTGGCGACATGTAAGATCATCAAGACTTAAAAATGGAATAAGCCTGTCTACTATTCCTGCATCAACACTTTGAACCACGTTTTCTGGACTGTGGCATAAATCTGCTAAAAATACTAATGCCTTTTGTCGAGAGTGCAATTTACCATCTTCAAGCTGGCTCACCTGGCAAGACATTATTGAATATTAATTTCAAATGATTTAATATTCCAAAGCAAACGAGCCAAAAAGTTTTTGATTAGACGGGTTGAAATAGAGTATATCATCCAGTATGACACGAGTATAATGGTTTGTATCAATAGCTGCTTACCAATTTGGGAATGGCTTGACGACCATATGCCAGATGACAGCGAGTAGGGTCGACATCTCTTGGCAAGACAGACACAAAAGCAGTGTCGGAAGCAGCAAGAGAATCAGTCGCGCCTTTGATTGAAAAGGTGCGAGACAACTGTCGAGTAAAGGCTACATCGAGTGATGAACGAGCATCCAGGGATATATCCTGCATGGATGAATGTGCAGTATCAAATGGTTTTTCTTCCAATGCAATGTCCATGTTATATGGTCGAACCAGATATGAAATTAATCTAAAATTAGACTAAACTCGATGCAAGAGTTTAATTTTGGGTTGACCATATTTAACCGATTATTTTGCTTTTCTTGAATCAACTTGACAGTAATTTGATGGTTATTGTCTAGTATTGATGGATTTAGTGTTTGAGTTGCACTTGGTAAGATTGTACTTTGTAGTCGCATTCACATAAACGAAATATTAAGAGTGTGATGAACAGTTGTAAGCGAATAGTTAGAGCCATCAATAAGAATGACATAGTTGGAAGCAGCGTGTTAAAGAGAATGAGATTGACATCAAGAACATTAGACAGTGTGTGTGATGGGGATCTTTACACGATCCAAGTAAGCGAGTCTGCAGTCTAATGCTTCGTCTTCAAGATTCAAGCCTGCATTCAGGGTTTCCCCAAAACACATCAACTGACCATTGACTCGAGTAGATCTATAAAATATTGTGCTATACGTTATCAACTGGCATACTCGATATATCTGATGCTTCCTAATTCCTCAGAAATGCATTTGGATACTATTTCCAATGGTAACACTATGCAACACACTCTCGATTGTGATTTGAACCAACGCCAGAAGCGACGATGCACTGCTGCTGCTGGACTGGATGAAACTGGCCGGAATCAAACAGACTTTGTCCAGTCTGCCATGACCGACACTTCGGCTGAAACCATCAATTCTTCCACTAAAACACTCCCTACACCTCACATGGATTTGGATTCACAATCTTCAGTTCATGACAGTCACTATCCACTTCACAAAGAAATTTCTTTTCCTGCTGCTGATGTTAAAATTTCTGCATACCATACAGAATGGCAAACTACCATCAGCAGTGTTCTTCCTGCGCTGGTTAGCATTCGCTTTTCCCAGGTCGCAGCATTTGACACTGAAGGTCCATTGACTTCAGAAGCTACCGGATTTGTTGTAGACGCTAAATTGGGCTTGATATTAACCAATCGGCATGTGGCCTGCTCAGGTCCGTTTTTGGGAGAAGCAATTTGGCATGATCATGAAGAAGTGGATGTATTTCCGGTTTATAGAGATCCTGTAGGTATTTGATTGTCAAATAATGACTATGATGGTTATGATCCATAGCTTACTGTATTTTTATTGCATTCATGATTCTCATGTTAATGCTTGATTTCAGGTTCATGATTTTGGGTAAAATGTATTATATACTTGTTTATACCAGATAAACTATCAAGGGCATTTGGGTTTAACTTTAATCCTGACAATCTTTAGGTTTCTAAAGTTTAATCCAACAGAAATTCGGTACATGGGTGTTAAAGAAATTGAACTAGCCCCTGATTTGGCACAGGTTGGCCTCGAGATCCGAGTTGTTGGGTAACTGCTACTTACTGGTTTGGTTTTTGAATTTCATTCATGGTCATTTGAATCTAATCGAAACTTTAGTAACGATGCAGGAGAAAAGCTTAGTATTTTATCTGGATCCATTTCCCGTCTTGACAGGAACGCACCATTTTATGGAGATATGACTGTAAGAGCTGCAACTGCATCAAACCTACCTAAATCTGTGATTTTTGGTTAGTGTACTAGTTCGATACTAACCATAGCTTGTCTTTATTTACCATTATGCACTGGAATGCAATTAATAGTACAATGACTTTAATACGTAAGTATAAAACTCTCAGTTGCAGTTATTTTTCTCATTCCAACTGTCAATTTACGTCAATATTTGAATTTAGATTTTACCTTCAAGCCGCTTCAAGTACTTCAGGTGGCTCATCAGGCTCTCCTGTTCTAAATCTGCAAGGAAAAGCTGTAGGACTTCAAGCTGGTGGACATACCAAGGTTTGTAATTGGAAAGCTTGGTTTATTGCTTGAAACCCAATTTTGCTCAAATTTTAATCATTTTATAAATACTTAATGCACTATTAGGCAGCGACTGATTTTTTCTTTCCATTAGATCGTAAGTTGAACTCGAGGATATGGTTTTGTTTACATTGTTATACTGATATATATATAGGTGTTAAACGAGCTTTGGAACTGCTTCGTAATGATCAGATTATTCCTCGGGGAACAATTCAGGTTCAGTTTTTGTAAGTTTTGCTATTACTAGAGGCTAAGAGTTTTTCATGTATTAAAACTGCATTTAATCTTTTCAATGCATACAGACATCGTCCATTTGATGAAGTTCGGCGACTTGGGCTTTGTAAAGAAACAGAGGAAACTGTTAGAAAACTGGATCCAAAGGAAATTGGAATGCTGGTAGCCGATGTTGTTGTTCCAAAAGGACCTGGTTTTGGAATGCTGGATGAGGGCGATGTTTTGATTACCGTGAATGGTCAAGTCATTACTAAATTTGTGCCTTTAGAAGACATTCTTGACAACAGGTAATTGTCCATTGTATTTGTAACAACTCTGGAAATAGTTTTTAAACTCCAAACTTGTTGCAAAAATTTGCTATTGGGATTAGGCTTTTGTACTAATCATGTTTGAATCTAAACCAACAATACGATGGTGCCAATATATTAGTGTTGGAAAAAGTGTACACATCAAAGTGGAACGTGGCGGAGAGGAGCTCGAGTTTGATATTCCTGTTCAGGACTTACACAGCATGTATGTGTTTTTTAAATTTATCTTTTGTCTCTGCAACAACTTACACAATGCATTCATCATATAGTACTCCTGATCGATATGTTGAGATTGGAGGCGCAAAATTAAACAATCTCTCGTATCAACTTGCTCGCCAATACTGTGTTCCTGTGAGTGGTGTTTTTCTTTCCGAGCCAGCAGGAATGCTACGCTTAACCGGAGCACCAGATGCTGGATGGATTATCACCACCGTAGATACTATTCCCACACCAGATCTGGATTCACTGATTGCAGTCTTTCAAAAAATTCCCGATCGAAAACGTATTCCCGTCACCTATTACAGTATTGCGGATGTGCATAGTCTTTCCGTAGGAATCATCAATGTTGATCGGCATTGGTCATCGTTTAGATTGGCTGTGCGAAATGACAAAACGGGTTTATGGGACTTTACACAACTTGGAGATCCTATAGCGCCAATTGCGATTGAGCCTATGAATGCTACTTTCCAGCAGTTGGACGAAAGCCTTGGTCCTGCGCAGCATCTCTTTCAATCCATGGTAAAAGTAAACATGTCTATTCCTTGTCGTATTGACGGATTTCCAAAATCTAGGGTAAGTGATGCATCATTTCATACAAAATAATACATTTTCCATTTGATTGATCAATGTATATGTTGGTTTGTAGAAACAAGGCGCAGGATTGATTTTAGATAGCAAACGAGGACTTGTAGTTGTTGCTCGTAACATTGTTCCATTTGCTATGGGAGATGTTACACTCACCTTCTCCGACTCTATAATCATTCCTGGTAAAATCGAGTTTCTTCATCCGACACAAAACATATCCATTGTTTCATATGATCCACGGCTGATTGGCACAACTCCAGTAAAAAGCGCGCCTATTAGTTCGGTATCTCTTGCTCAAGGCCATCGTGTTACTCTGGTTGCTTTTAATCATAATCAGCATCCTATTTGTATTGAAACAACCGTGACAGATATTAGTCCCGCTACAATTCCAATCAATGCTATTCCTCGCTTTCGAGCAATCAACTTTGGCAAGTATTCTCGAGTCATGAAAACGGTACTTTAGTCTAAAATACTGATGCAATGCTATTTTATTACACTTTATTTAGATTCAATTAGTCTAGACACGCCACTTGCACATCAATGCTCTTCAGGAGTACTTGCAGATGCAGAAGGTCGAGTGCAGGGACTATGGCTGAGTTTTCTAGGCGAAAGGACTTCCTCTGGCGGCGACAATGAGTATCACCTTGGCCTAGATATTCGGTTTATTATTGATACTATTCTTCCAAGCTTGCAAAAGGGTGTCAAGCCTCGTTTAAATGGTCTTTCTGCCGAATTTGTTCCAATTCAAATCTCTCAGTCTCGTAATATGGGAGTTACTGACGAATGGGTCAAAAGAATTGAAAAGGCAAATCCCAAACGACGACAAATTTTCATGGTAAAAAAAACTGAGACTGGAATGAAAACTGGGCAGGTACTCAAGGATCTTGATCTTGTGTTGGCCATTTCTGGCAAAGTGGTGACGCTTGTAAGCGAATTGGATGTACGCGAAGATTGGGGCGAGTTTATTCAAATGACTGTTATGAGAAACAAGATTGAGATGCAGCTTACTGTTCCTACAGACGAAATGGATGGCGATAGTACGCATCATGTTGTGATATGGGGCGGCGCAATTCTTCAGGGTAATGCACTCATTAATGGGCTGTAGTATATTGAGACATGTTAAACTGTTGAATTAGATTTGTTACTTTTACTCATTGGGCTTGTTAAACCTTTGATTAGAACCCCACAAGGCTGTTTTGCAACAATCCAAAACTACTCCGTCGCGAGTGTATGTCACTGGTCGTGCACAAGGATCTCCAGCATACACATATGGTCTTACACCCACTGAATGGCTTACTCATGTCAACAACAAGCCTACACCCACTCTTAAAGAATTTGTAGCAGCAGTCAAAGATTTGCCTGACAATTCATATGTGCGTGTCAAGACAGTTACATTTGATTTGATCCCTTGGGTCATAAGCGTCAAAGTTGTTAAACATTACTGGCCAACAATTGAAATGGTGCGTGACGTTACAGAGACTACTGGATGGCGTAAAATCGAAGGAGTGTAGTTTTTAGTATTGTGCTGAACAAATGAAACCAGTATTTGAAATTGCTGATCACTCTTGTTTTACCTGGGTTTCTCTGAAAGTAATTTCAACAGTGCTTAATTAATTTGTTGACTAATAATCATGAAATGTTCACAGCTGGAGAAAAGGGGATGAAAATACAGAAAACCATTCACATAAGTGGAACGTCGAAGTTTACCGTCAAGACGGGAAGCATAGGCAATAGATGCTCCTGCCATTTAAATCGACAAACAATTCACTGATGTTCCAAAAAATATATCTTGCCATCAGATATACGTGTATTCAGTTGCTGCATGATTTGTACTGAATAACCATCACATGTATCTCAACAATACCAATTCATACTGAACTGTATTGAATACACAAGTTGCTTGAATAATGCAACATCTTTAATAATACAACTAGCAGACTGTTACTGATGTGCTGTATTTGGGGTTGCTAGTTTATTGCAACTGTTGTAATCTCAATGGCTAGAGTGACGATCCTATTCATCTTAGTTTTTGATTATCGACACCATCAAACGACCATGCCAATCAAATTACAAATAGTAGATGATGCAGCCAACAATGCAAACCATTGCTGACCATTGCAACCACTTGTGTGTTTGACCCTAACTATATAGTACAACTACACAACTCTCAACAACAGATGCCCTCTTAGCTCAGTGGTAGCAGCGCTTGCCTAGTAAGCAAGAGGTCGAGTGTTCAAATCACTCAGAGGGCATTTCTCTTTTTGTTTCGTTGTTGTTTGCCTGAGGACTGTGTTCGGCGCGTATAACGCAAACGTCGATATCAATCGATTTACAAAAACACTCCATGACGGTTGATTCTGCGAGTATGCTGACTGGATTGGCTGCAAACTTTCCTGGAGCAACTAAACTGGTGTTTACAGCATCTCATTCTGCTCATGACAAATTCCAAACACTCAGTCCTGAATCAAAAGTAAAACTAGTCGATGCTGCTTCGGCATCTGCTGATGTCGCTTGGAAAAGTTACCAGTACGTCCATATTGTCTTGCATCTCATGAAAAAACAGTACCGATTTGCTCTACTAGTCTGACACATCGTGCATTCATAGATGGCTTAGAAACGTATATGTCGCAGTTCTTTCATGGGGAACTAAACCGCTGGATCGATGGCATCAGCCATCTGGGTTCATCCTTCATCTGTTGGCCAGTCTAATTCTGTTTATATTGCCTGTGGATGATCTCTGGATAACCACAGACATTCCAAAAGGAAAAGTGGTGTATGCTGGAAACCAGAATATCTATGGTAAGAGTGCACAGTCATGATGACGGCTAGACTTGCAGTGTCGAATGTTACTGACACGTGAATGTCATATTGACCGACTGGAACCAGGCATTGATACGCTGTCTACACTGTCCATCATATTCAAAAAGACTGGCGTGCTGCCAAGAGTGATTGTACAGCCAATGCGTAAGTCGTTGTGCAATGGTTCAGATTCGAATCCACTCATTACATGTGAATTTTACTCGAGTCTGATTCCAATCTGGTGTTCATTTTTCCAGATTTCAAGATTCCCATATGGAAACATTTCATTGAATACATGGGAGCCGTTTCATGTGAACATCCAGAGGCAATCGACTACCTGATGAGTCTTGAATATCCACTGTTTGTGTATCCAGGCGGTGCTCGAGAGTTTTTTCGCAAAAAAAACGAAGAGAAATACAGTTTGGAATGGCGCCACATTGAACTATATACTCGCATTATTGACGACCTAAATACATTTGCACCAAAGTACCAGTATCTGGTGGTGCCAGTTGCGAGCATTGGTGTAAATGATATGCTCAAGATTGTTTGGGAATGTCCATGGAATGTATATAATCTGATGAAAAAGGTGTCGATTGTACGGCCCGTGTCATACGAGCGACAGTATGTGACGGTGCAAATGCCGATTCTACTGCATCAAGGCAAGTATGACGATGTGTATGTCCAAGAAACGCTTGAAAAAGGGATTCAAGACACGATTGTTCGACGGGACAAGGCTGGCAAAAAGCGATACATGTTGCGCAAAGTCAGCAAAACACTTGGATATATATTCCACAAAGACGGGATCGTGATGCGGTCGTGGTGGTTTGTGTTTGACGTGGTGCAGTTTAGAGTGATGCATTTACTGGTATACATATTGTATAAATTACAGGATTCTGAAGAGATGCGCGATCGTGACGACTATGATACTGATTCAGATGTACTTTCATCTGGCAAAACTATGTCAGAATCTGAGCCGGTTGTCAGTGATGTGCCATTGACAGACGAGTCACCAAAACAAATGCATCCAATGCATCATGCCAAGGACAGATTCCTGAAACTATTTGGTTTGAACCAACAACAAAAGTAGGCATCATCACTGTAGTTGGACTGTATTTGCACTATACTTGAGCTGTCAATCTATTGGATGTTGTTGTAACTCGTTTAAATAAACTGCTGGCTGTTATTGTTATAAATAGTTTAAACGATCGATTATTGGGTTTAGATCAACACGGTTGTTGGATATGGTCATGATTTCGACTGGTTGATTATTCAAATAACAGTTTCAAGTCATCCATTTGATCAAACAACTTCCATCCAGGTTTTGATCAGTTTGCATACGAATACAAATCGATATCAAAGTATAATATTTACCACTACAGTATTATATCTGATAGTTGGACTATCAACTAGTCGGTGTCTAGACAATGACACCACTCTTAATATATCACATGGACTAGAATCCATTGACAGTTGTGTTTTTATCAAATGGATTGAATTTCATTCAGTCGTTTGTAATCCATTGTTGATGGTGTTGGTCAGCGTTGATTCAATAAACACGAAAACCTCGATCGAGTTGGTTTGGGTCAGATTGATGGTTTCGATCAGTTTTAGATGAACATTCGATGCTAGTTGCGAGATTGATGCATGGTTTCCAACCAAATCCAACTTGACCCTTTAGCTCATCTCATGGCTTTACTACCACAATTATTGACTCGCACTTTTTCGAGCATTGGCCGACAGGCTACAACCATTCAATCCATTGTGAAAATCAGCAACAAATTGGTCATTCAATCTGTTGGTCAATCTGTTGGTCAACCTGTCAGTCAATCTGTTGGTCAACTAGCATCACCCATTTCACAACGGTCACTGGTTTCATCCGTTCAGTTCAGATCCCAATACCAATACCAATCCAAGCCTAGTCGACGAATTACCAAAAATACCACCTTGGTTTCACCCATAACAGCCAGTGATGGATACCAGAGATTCAAAAACGGTCAGGATTGATAGTGTTGCAGCATACCGTCTATTGAGTCCAGAATATGAATAGTGACTGACTTGTACAGATCATCTAGGTCATCCACGCATCTATCCGTCTAAACGATTCTATTTGCTGATAGGTGGATGTATTGTACTGTTTTCAGTATACTACTATGAGCATTTAGAAACTGTGCCAATCAGCGGACGTCGTAGATTCAACGATGTTTCGCCTGGAATGGAAAGACTGATTGGCAACCAGACTTATGAAGCTGTCATGCACGAATATCGACATGCAATATTGCCTGCCTATCATCCTCAAAGTGTTTTTGTAAGAAGAATTGCTGGTCGTCTTATCAAAGGTATTGAACAGTCAAGCCATTTCAATATATACTCGATAAATGGTTGACGCTTGAAACTCTGGAATATAGCCAGTGGTCTTGCCAGTCCTGACTGGGAAGTGTTTGTGATTAACGATCCACAAACCAATGCATTTGTTCTGCCCAATGGCAAGATATTTGTGTTTTCAGGTATTATTCCTATTGCAATGAACGAGGATGGCATTGCAACTATTCTTGGTCATGAGGTAAGCTAAATCGCTCATTTTGTTATTGGACAAGATTTTTATACCAAGAATGGTTGATTGGACAAGATTTTTATACCAAGAATGACTGATTCAATACCAATGGTTAGATTGCACATCATGTAGCTCGTCATTCAGCAGAGAAACTTGCATGGGGAAAACTATTGTTGATTCCGCAGATCCTCATTACACTATTTCTTGGACCCGACTATGGGTCACTGTTTCGCGGCATGATTATGGAACTCGCTATTCTGGTAATGTGTTTTGCAGATCAAGTGTTTCAGACTTTATTGCATTTGTATGTTGATTCGAACTGCATGTTTAGCGACCGTTTTCAAGAAAATGCGAGTCCGAGGCCGATTATATTGGACTCCAGATCATGTCCAAAGCATGCTATAATCCGAGTTCAGCCATTCAACTTTGGCAGGTATGGTTTGCAATATTTTGATTGGCATGATGTTTATGTTTGTTGCACGCATCACTGATACCGGGATATATGGTAGAGAATGAGTGCATCTCAAGTAGGTGCCAATATGCCTCAGTTTTTGAGCACGCATCCTAGCGATGAGTCCCGTATAGACCAAATTCAAAAATGGCTGCCTGAAGCCATGCAGACTTATGTAGACTCTGGCTGCAACGAGGCAAGTCGACATTTGTATTGGTGATGTATGGCTATTTACTGACTGTTGTTCATGACGATCAGATGCAAATGATCAATAGAGGATTTATCGGTGCTCTAAGGAAATGGACAAATATATGATTATAGATTCATTTTGCATTTTCAAATCACAATTGTCATTTTGACTGTATGTTTTGCTTTTCAGACGAGAGCCGAGTGTGAAATCCTGAATTGGTTTCTGATTTCATGACCTCTCTCAATGCCATGGTGGCATATTGCGACGATCCCAGAGTGAATTCAACCACAAGCGAAGTATACTTGCCATCTAGTGCGGTTGATCATACAATAATGGTGTAGTTGATCATACAATAATAGTGTAGTTGGTTATACAATAAATCGTCATGTTAGTAAATAAACCCGAGATGACCATACCCAAATGGCTGACCAACTTACCAGGAACAGACTGAGGCTTGGGTGTTTGGTTGACAATGTCAAGGTCTGTTTGAACAAGCGGTACATTGGCATCATTGTATTTAAGAATATGCCTAATACACGTGTCAGTCCAATAAAGCCGTCACTATGCTGATAGTAATCAAGTGATGTCACTTACCAGTTTACATTGGTGGCAACGCTGATCACCTTGCGATATGCACCAGACAGACTAAAATCACTAATGTTCCAAATATCAGTGTCAGATCATGTCAAGTTTAGCTCGGCAATGATTCAATATTCTTACGCGATGTTGCGTTTCATGTTGTATGGGTCGAATCCATCTACGGCCATAAACTCAATATATTTTTGCGCAACCTTGTGTTTGGGATACACAACACAATGTCCAGGTTGTGGCAGAACCACGTCTTGCATTGTATAGTTGGCAGCATCATCTTTGGATGCAATGTATATGGGTTGAATCGTATCACGAGCAATATCGGGATCATTTACATGTGTCGTATTCAGCCTAGGCTCAACCGTCGCTTTGTTCGGAATGACGAGATCTCCAACAACCGGCTTGAGACCATACAGTTTGATGCGTTCTGTTGCCATATGGTTCCAAACATAGCTTTGATATGCATGTACATACATCAATCGCAAGTTGCGTGGTATCTACGGTCACGACAGTGTCAACAACCAGACTGTCAGCATGACATATACAGCACTGTTTGATATACACTATACACCATGCAAACGTACCGCTTGAACTGCTGATAAATAGGCAGTGTTACACTTGGAGTTTACAAATGAAAATAAAATACATCGCTCCGCCAGATTGCGTGCATGGAACAGCTCGACAGCCTTTTCTGCGTCTTGTGTTTGTTTCCAAAACAGTCGGGCTTGAAGAACATCCGCGCTATCTAGATATACAGTATTTCGAGTTGTTTGAAGTTGTTTGATTCAGTGCATATCGTGCAACCATACACATTATAGTCATACTCGATGATCCAATGCATACCTTCTGCCTTGGGACACATGATCAGATCAATGGCCTGTTCCCATTTTTCAGCCAGCAAAGCAATTCCGACAGAATGTGTAGAGACCGAACGCGTTCCAAAGCGCTGCATGCCATAGTAGTTAATAAATCCATTTTGTTTAAACGATTGCATGGACTGGTGTATGACTTGATCTGACTGTGCTTCAACGTTACGCAGCACAATCGAAAAGTGGTTTCCTGATAGTGACCCAAGCATCAGTCGTGTGTTGTGGTATGAGAGATCGCCAATACGAGACGTGCCTAAAAGCTTGTTGACACCAAGAAGAACCGATGGCCTGACATTCAGGACAGATATTCTTTGAGTTGTGATGGCTCGTTTATCTTTTGTGCCGCTAAATGTAAACTGTTTGGACGGTACTCTATAAACAAGATATTTGGTATTAGTCACGATTAGTTTGCATTAGCTTGCATTAGCTTGAATTGGCTTGCATTAGTTTGTACTGGCTTGCACTGACTACAATATATCCAAATTACCTAATAGACTTGGATATTTTAGCAATGGCTTGCATGGTATCAATGTTTTCCTTGTATAGTGTAAAATGGCAGTAATTTCCGCCCAAATCATTAAAGTCGACTTTACTGGATACAGGTTTGGATGGACGTTTCTTGTTTATGCCTCGTTTCAGTTTCTGGAACTCGATTGTTCCATTTTTTGTAGTGGTGGACAGCTGTGTCCCGAAATACAGACGAACCGTATCGTGGATACCTGTTCGTGTAGATTTTTCGGCAATGGGCTACAATCAAATATGTGGTTTGGTGACAAATTAAAACCACAGATCCGAATCGATAAACATCCATTGATACTCACCTTGCTCGTTACATGGGTCAATTCGGTAGATTCTAGCATACGCTTGATGCTATTGATTGTTTCGATATCTCCAGCCAGCTGTTCGACTAGCTTTTCAAATCCTTTTTCAGTTTCTGGCTTGGTCTTTGGAATCCCGAGTGCATGCGTGTTTAAAATATATCAGCCATAAATTATTCAGCATCATATCGAATCTACACTTACCTGTTCGTTTGTCACGGTTTCTGTTGGTGCTATTATAGTCTCTAACTCTGGGTTTGGGATTGGTTCTGGCTCTGGCTCTGGAATTGGGGTTGACTTTGGATCTTGTTCCAGTTCCGGTTTCGGCTCCAGTTCTGGGGTTGACTTTGACTTTGAATTGGTGAATTCATTGACAGATCCTGGCTTGTATCGAATAATTTGTCCATCAAGATCGACCTCATTGACAAGAAAATCTCCAGATCTACAACAACCAGTAAAGTCTGTGTCAGCATCATGGATCGAGTGATGGCTCAGGTTTGGATCCAACACACCTGTATTTTAAAATGCCAGTAAATGCTTTAATATGTGGATTGACATATTCCAAAATACCAAAATCCGATTCTTTTTGGATATATGGCTGATTGTTTGCAGCAAGATCACGACTAGCTGAACCAACTGAACCATGGTCGTCTAAATGCATCGAGTCAAGCGCAGTTGTGTCTGAGCCAAGATTATCATTATTGACGACAGTATTTGCAGACTCGTCAAATACTTTTAGTCGTTTAGTCACTCTTGAATCCATTCTACTAGACTGAATGCAGTATGTATACACTGAATTGGTGGGTAATAGTGTTCTGAAAAACAACTGATGATTTGATCGTTTAGTTGATGGAATGGCTGATATCAATAATCGGAAATGCATTTTATTTTTATTTTCGAGTCGAGTTTGAAATGATTCAAATGAAACAATACCACGTGATCCGAGCAATGGATTGCAGATGTCGGTCGTATTCAAGCAAGATGAAGTATTAAAGACGTTGATGTAAATAAACAGTCAGTCTTGTCAAGTGGTGCGTGTCAGTGTAGTGCAAACACGGTGTGGTTGAACTGTTAGTTTGTTGGTGTTGTGGTGATCGGAATGGAAACCGAAATGGAAACCAGAATGGAAACCAGAATGGAAACCAGAATGGAAACAGCAGTTGCATTCCTAATGTGCGGTTACTGTTGAACGTGACTGTAAGATGCATGAGTGTGTACAGACTTGAAAACAGTTGAATACAATATACGGACTGTAATGAATGAATCTGGTGATTGTACAATGCATGATCATGTCAAATGGGAGTCATTTGGCATGATTATAGTTTGATTTTGTATGAGTGTTGAGTTGATTGAACTGAGAATGTGTATTAAAATGATCCAATTCTAGTAAGAAACAAAAGTACAAGCATTGTTTATTGCAAAGCAGTCACAGCAAGATGGATACAAGTGTTTTATTACAAATGAATACGACTGTAGATTGAATAGCATAATCCAGATTCAGTTATTAAAGTGTACTGAGCCGTGTAGAACCGATCAGTTGTTGAGCATGGTTTGAATGGCTTGAAATGCGGTGCCTTTCAAGTGATCGTATCCAGCTTTGATTAAATAACTCAAGTTTAAATCATATCGATGACGTTATCAACTGCAAACAGTCCGCATTATTGAATGAAAAGAGAATGAATTCACGGTATCTGGCTCACCATATAAATAGACACCATCTCATTAATACAGCAATAAGCTTGTCTCCCTCGTTCTAAACCCTAGTTCATATGATCAGCTCTGAATTTACTCGAGTGTTTCTGTCTTTGATTATTTTTTCTTGCTTTGCACTGAGCCATCCTTTATCAGCAGACACTCTTCCGACTGCTTCTCCCGATCCATCAGCTGGGAGCGCGCATAAGGCTGGTGAATTTGTCTGTATTGATGATACCAAGTTTATGCAGTTTACCAGCCCGACGGCTTTTGTAGTCATGTCTTGTCCACCTGGTTTTTGTTTCACTCGTAAGCCACCAATCAAGAATCCATGTATCGGTAAAGCTAATGCCCAGCGTATTGACGGCATTTGAGAAATTCATCGGGTTTAATTGGCTAGCAATTACCTCATTTAGCATCATGCTGTATATACGTATGAAATTGCACAAATAAAAAAACACAGCCATGCATTTATAGCACAATTCATATCTATCTTGCTTTATGACTTGTAAGTCGGTGCTTCTAGTTTTGAGTTACCATGGTCTAGTGTATTTTTTGGAAAGGCTAAAGAAATGAAACCCAAGTCGAGAAACAACTGCTAGCTAGAATTCAAACTTTGCTGAAAATAAAAACGATGGGATGAATATTTGTTTTCGTTTGATTAGTTGCATAAGAAAAAATGAACTACTACTTGTATGATTTAATATTTGTATTGGAAGAGCTAATGAGAAGGGTTACGTATCCCATCCATCCATCAAGATCAACTTGCAGGACTAAAAGTGTAAATCTGTTCAGAATTACAAGCAGATCCACGTAAAATAGAACGCTTATATGGATCTTGCAATCACTACCTCTTAGTGTTTCATTTTACATGAGTAGGTTGTAGATACTAGGAACGGGTGCTTCAAGGTTTCATGCCAGTTCATTTGGACAGCAGGATTTGGTGTGCAATGGCTGTAGCAAGAGTAGCCAATCAAAGGTGCTGAATCAAGTCACGTGGGATAACAGTTTGTCTTGTGCGGTTAGAACAAAACCTGCCCAAATCGCAGGTTTTTTCTTCTACCTTTCCCTGTTCACCACCCATTCTTACGCTGGACTAATCCCATAATGCTTCTGTACCGTGATGTTATTTCTGGTAATGTAGTTGTCTTGGTTTTGATTGAGTATTCTATCCATTAAACTCTGGTTTTTAAAAAAATTAAATGACGATCCCTTGAAAACGGCAGGCGACGAGATGGTCTCTGATGCTTTTGATATGAAAGAAGTGGACGACATTGCCTATGAAATCGATGCCAAGGTATCTATACTAATAACTGGTCTACCTGAATGTATCCATTTAAATGCTGGACATTTATGATTTAATCCACGGCCTCATTCATACCATGATGATACTAATGCGCTCTGGGATCTCTTGTTCGTCACTTTGCTATCAATTTATGCTATAATAGATGCTTACTATCAAGGAGGGTGCTGATATTGATATTGGTGCCAATGCATCTGCTGAAGAGGCCACCGAAGAACTCGAAGATGGTGCTATCCAGGTCAACAATGTTGTTTACTCGTTCAACTTGCAGAGCACCAGTTTTGACAAAAAGAGCTACATGACCTACATCAAGGGATACATGAAGGCTGTTAAGAAGTACCTCGAGGCAAATAACCCTGAGCGTGCTGCTATTTTTGAAAAAAAGGTTCCTGCCTTTGTCAAAAAGATTCTTGAAAACTTCAAGGTGAGCTGATGCTGTGCCTATGGTTTCAAACCAGAAAACTGGCAATCGCTTCAGTTGTTGTTCTCACTATACTTGGTAGGATCTAACTGTAACTTTGACTACAGGACTATGAGTTCTACGTTGGCGAGTCTATGAATCCTGAAGGATGTGTTGCTCTCCTGTAAGTACCATGTATTGTCGCATGACTGATTTTTATTGTCAAAGCTGATTGTATTTGTTGTAGCAACTACCGCGAAGATGGTGTTACTCCTTACTTTACTCTGTTCAAGGATGGCCTCAAGACTGAGAAGCTGGTATGGTGTTCTTTTCCTAGTTATAAATGATCTACTCTGTTACTTACTTTAATTCTATGGGGTTATTAGTAAGCTTTTACGATCCACACAACCGATGCCGCATGAAGCAGACGGGAGCTTATTGACATACAATTCATTAACATCAAGTGATCAATTAGTTTTATCGTTTTTAAACAAAGTTTCGTTTCATCTCGACTTTGGTTGAACTATTTTTACATTGTAATGGGTGGGTATCAACGCAGCGATCTATAACACCTAAAAACAATGGAACTGATTTTTAAAGTTGATTCGTAAAGACTGAGTGAAGCCACTCTGATCATGCATCATGATCGTTTGTTCACTGAGCAACTTTATTGTCATTGCATGCATCACTGTTTCAGCCAGTGACTTTATCTTCAAGTTTGGCACCTTGACTCGAGTTTCTACTTTTAGCTTCTAATTTGGCCGTGTTTCTAGATTGCCATTTTATTTAGTTTGAGCCGTTTACTCGAGACATTTAGTTTTAAACCATGCGATCATATTACAAATAGACGCACTTTCAACTCTTTAGGTTAGCGGCTGCAGAATTCTTGATAGTTTGTGTAGGATCAAACGGCTTGATTGTTGGTAAACGGTGCTTGATTGTACATGCTTGTACATTGCACAATGCTTGCATGGATATGAGCCGAGGATAGAAAAGCAACGGGGGTTTATCAATTGTCCAGTATTTTGATGATCTCTACCAGAAAAGTGTCGGATCCATATACCATTGAATGGGATGTCTGGTATAGTCGAGATTCTACATGATCATCCAACTCGATGGTATACAATGCATAGGGATAAAGGGTGTAAGAATAAACAGGATCAGTGTTTCATCACTGTGTTCACGCAAGATGAACCACGAATAAGGATGCCAAAGTACACAAGACAGCCAGTCCCATGAAATGCTTGTCGCCAAATTTACTGGACAATATTGTGTTTTGAACCCATTAGTCTACTGGTCTTTCTCACGGTGATTAACATGAAAACAATAGCTGTATTCCTAAAATGTAGTCTGTTTTTTTGAACTAGATCGTGCACGTATCAAAGATTCTAGGATACAAGTATAAACAGTACTGGCAACATCATAAAGTTGGATGTAATACCTGGATTGTAATGTATGAATCTGGTGATTGTGTATCATATCAAAGTGGAGATGGAGCAGGTTCAAAACTACAGTTTGTAGTACATGGACATTGTGTTTATCGAAGCAGTCAATTTCTAATAGGAAAACACCGAATATCCAAACATTGTTTATTCCGAAGCACTCTGCAAGATAGTGTGCAGTTCCACATGAATGGAGCTGTAGTTCTGGACAATTGAAACTCGAGAAATCAAGCCAGATCTATTGATTCTAAAGTAGTATGCGTCCAACATCTACTATATCGCATTGGCTTGAAATGAGACCAGTTGAAGCAGAATATGTGCTGGAATGATAATAGCGTAATAATTCAAACAAGATTGTGTAGCAGACTTGAATAAAGCAATAAATACAGAGTAGTCCGAGTAAAAATTTAAACAAACTGCCGAAGGCTACGAATATGATGCATGAGCACATTGTGTAGAAAAGGAACAAGGTGCCGTGCCACTTGCATGCATGTTCCTGCATTAGCAATGGTATAAAGACTAGGAGCAAACGCTGTCACTGGATTGTTCAAATGTAATTGATGCAACAAATAAATCAGCAATTTGATATCAACAATCTACACTGAATATATACAAAGCTTACCAATGCCCTTGGTCCCCATTTGATTCCAGGCAGAGTCGCGTACAATAGATACCATAAGATCTAGTGTCCACATTGTCACGCGCCAGATTGGACTGCCAGTTTTCAATGCAGTATTAAGAACATTCCACGAAGCATCTTGATTAGCAACAGTGCTTTCTAAGCTACCATAGCGTATAATATCGTACGCGGAAACCCTGTTACAAGGTGAGATAAAATCTCTCAAGTACAGTTTAATACAGGTTGAGATGGCATGCACATCATTGCAGTTCCAGTCGATGCCCTCCATCATTTTAGCCTGCAGTGTCTGCACATCCCACGAGTTTCCTTTTTCACGGAAAATTCCAACTACTCTTTGGCCATTTTTTGAAACAAGAAGTAATCGCATACGTGAAAGATATTGGGGCACATGCCAAGAACGACCCAAGTAAATTGAATCAGCGACAGTATCGTCGTGTTTCCAGCAAATAGAGTTGTTTAAAAAAGTATCTTTACCAGCAGTTGATGCGGTATTAATAACAAAAAAATGACGGTATCCCCCTTTGACTTCAAGCATTACAATTACATTCACAGTAGTGAATTTGTGATAGGTGAGACAGAAATTAAACGTAAAGCTTGATTTGCAGAGCTTTTTAGGAGTAAGAGTTTCCACCGAAAGTGTGTATCGCTCGTCGATAGGTGGAAGAAACCAAGTGAATTTAGTACTGGGTTTAGTGTCTTTGAGAGATATGGTGACCGTTTCAGTCAGCCGCTGCCCCTGTTTGTAATTCAGCGGTAATGCAAATCTCAAGGTATTTTTATCAACCTGGTCGAGTTTAAAGTATATCCAAAGTGCTATCAGTATATTGCTCTTAAACATGGTACATTGGTAAAGCTAAAATCTTACATCATAGTCGGACAATAAGTCTAGATATCAGTTATAAATATAGTGATTAGTTTAAATCAGCGCCAAATTAAAACCCTATCCAGTATATCTGATATGAACATGACACAAACTCAATACCTTGATGAGGAAAACGTGCACACTTTTGAAACTCGACCAACGAGTCTGAAGTCAGAGAAAGCAAGTATCCAAAAAGAGTCACCATTTCATCATTTTCAAACTCAACATCGCTTGGACGGCGAATAAGTTCAGCAGGATCAAAGGAATCCTGCAGCATGCATCCAGTGGTTATAATGCCAAAATAGTAGAAATCGTTGCATACAGTATTTTAAAAGTATTAAAATTTGAATCTAAAACTAAATATCACATGCAAACGAAATAAAGCCAGACATACCGTTCCCGGACAAGGTAAAAGTTCAGAAGAAAGCGAGTGTGATGAAGACTTTTGGTCTGATATCAAAAATCGAGTAATAGTCAGATCCAACACCAAATAATATTAATCATATATTCAAAAGATGGTTTAGTAAATCGGATTTGAATTGATTGGTAGCAAAGTAGGCAGAGCAATTACACGGCCGAAGCATCTGTGGCGGAATGAAGACAATCATAACGGTATAAACTTACCCTGTGGTATAAACAGATCCAAAACACCTGCATTGCCAAATGAAGCCATTGCCTCTCCTGACAAGGGAAATGGGGGCAAGGGGGGCAGCGGAGGATACTGCCCATCTTCTATTTTGGATCCAACACTATTTTCAACGGATGGAACCGGTACATTACGTAGACCAAGAGGTTCCTCGACCAACGACTTGCCAAAACCCATATCTTGTATTAAGGAGCAAGGCATAACAGGAGGCATGTCCTCAGTCGAATCTAGTATGGGTGATGGAGGGTGACACGACTTGAATGGTTGTGTGTTGATGGACAGTGACGGAGCTTGTCTTGGCTCATCTTTAAAAGTTGTAGAATCTTCAATCGACGAATTAGACGATGGGTATGGCGGAGATATTGGTGGAGTTGCATTTTTCGTGAGCGACAAAGTTGAAGTTTGAGCAGAAACTGTTTGGCATCGCAGCAATGCAGTAGTCGTACGGTCAAGATCCGGAATTCTGCAAAGGTCGATGGAGGCTTGCTTTGCAGGTGCAGATTCCAATGGCATAGATATGGGTGCCAGCTGTGGAATTTCGACAAAAGTCGATGCAGATATGGACCTAGATGACATGGCAATCTCCGATGCTACTGCGGTAGATTTGGTATAGTGATCGACACGACTATGCTTGGCATTGTCTTTGCTTAAAGATTGACGCATATTGCTGAGTAGATGTCGTCCACTTGAGCTATTCTGAAGCGTAGGTGTTGATCTGGTTTGGATCTGATTGATGTCAGTGTATGTCCAGCCATACTCGGTAGGAATATATGATGGTGGCTGTTGAAATCGATTTAGCAACGAGGCAAGGCTCGAACACCTCTGCTTATTATCAATTGATGGAACTGACTGTATTGTGGATGTATCCAGGGTGGCGGACATTTGATGACTGATAAATGATTAGGGTAGTATTAGCCTTGAATGTCAGGTTTAGGGAATACAGGAAAAAGTTAAAATGTGAATATCTAATGGGAAGCTAGATTGACAATAAATCATATGGCTAGGATTACAGCCATATTCACGTAAAATGGAATACTAAACAAGGGTGTTAATGCATAACAGTCCTCATGAGATGATAATCCATCCGAATCTATTGGTCAGCATTATCATGAACTCATTGATTCACTGGCCTGTGTGGTTCGTTTGTAAAAACAGCTGAGCAAATGTTCACATCACAGCTCCAGTAAATCACATCAAACAGTCAAATTCAATGCCTGGATTGCAATAGATGAATCTGGTGATTGTACAACGTATGGCTATGCCAAAAAGAAGGACACGTTCAAAAAAATCATCCAGTTCAAGCATATCTGATTGTGTGCATCATATGATGAACGTTGTATTTGAGAATTGATAGTGTCAACCGAATCAACTTCTAATAGGAAAGTGCAGCGAGTGTTTAACCATTGTATATCCCAAAGCAAAGTCATTGCAGATACACAAGGTATCCCATTTACGTGAACACAGCTGCAATATATTTATATGTCGGGTAAACGGAGTTTGAAAAGTCACATACCTACGGAGCCCTGATATTGCTTATACCTCCAGACAGTTATGGTATTGGTATTTAGTTACACAAGCTGGACAGTCAGTATAATGAAGGATTCTTGACAGTCAGTGTAATGAAAAATTCTTGACAGTTCTATTTTTAGCTAATCGGGTTGTATTTGTACTCACTAGTTCCCGAGTGTTAGCAGCCTTGTATATACTATTGCTTGATGTCGTAAACAATTTCATATGAATGAAACTTGAAATACTGTATAGATAAGCAGCTTCTTCAAGCCAGTCCCCTACATACATATCTAGACTGTTTGCACAGCCATTTACCCATTCGACCAGTCATTATTCAAGTGTGAAACCCATATCGAAGGGTTCCCTGTTCAAAAACTCCGGCTATCCACTCTCTAGATACAAAGTACTTTGTTTGAGCGTCTCAATAGCCCATAATATTTGGACGCTTAGATTCTCTTGTTTGTCGAGGTTCATCTACCATTCCAAACTATCAATCGATTGTATCTTCAAGCCTCTCCCTAAACAATATGCTAATTTTATTATATTGGAATCCAGAAAAGCAAAGCAAATGGTTCAATAAAACCAAAAGCAATTCTTGAAGCTGCTTTATCTACCCGAGTCTATCAAAAACAGCACTGCCTGTTTAGACGTATCTCTTTGATTCAGCAAACCAGAGCCACTCAAAGAATGGGTAGCTATACCATTCAGATTGAGACGACGAATCGCAACTAGACACCAAATAACTGTGTGGATATTATAGGATATAATGAGTGAAATATGCCGGTTCGCCGTGAATTGATATCCAAAGGGAAAAGACGGCTGTAAATCAATTGTAGACATGGCAGAAGCCAGCACTTGATGACGGATGCTTGCTAATTTACCGCCCATCAAACGATTGCTCTGTATTTAGTAGAGAATAGTTGTGGCACTTGTGTGACTCGATATGGCTTTCCATCTTGCCTCGTCCAATCTTGTTGGCGGCATAAGTCGGGAAATGTAACCATCAAACTCTTTTAGCCGTCTACTAGACCAAACCTGGCTTACTGACCGCATATAAATTCGATTTGATCATTAATATGAAACCACTGGTATGTATCAGTAGCCTCATTACCAATAATCCAGAAAGCAATAGCCACAAAACACGCCACTGATACAGTGGACAGACTCAAACCTGCTACAGTTCAAAAACATGCTTCGATTGCAAATCAAGCATTTGTTTTAGGAAGGTAACATGAGCCACAATCTAATCTTGCTTTTTACACGTTTGGTGATTCTTTCCATCTTTATCGTTGATGTATCACTAATCACTTTTAAACTGCAGCACATTCAATTTTAACCGTTGGTATATAGTTTAATTTCAGCATATTTTCTGTACATGAATCCTCCTCCAGCTACACAAAGGTACCAATATGTCCAGCCTACCATGCATCGATCCATGCTACCGACATTTCAAGAGCAGCGATCTGATCCATTTCATCCGCTGTATTCGTCCACCAACAGCTCAACCGTACTAAACCTGCAAGAGCCTTCCTGGAAGCGATCACATACTGAGTCGACCAAATCGCCCAAAATATCTCCAGTTTCTAGAAAGCCATCTTCGTCAGTCAGCACAAAGTCGTCGTCGAGTATCCCATATTCTACTAATGATTCGAAAAAGTCTAAACCTTACATGTGTCGCTGCGTGCCTGAATCTCCACTAAAGCGAACTGTGTGTGTTGGATCCATTGCAGTAATATTACTCACACTCAGTCTAGTTGCATATATATTTGTCCCAAAGTGAGTTGTATAGGTATATATTGTAAACATAAGCCACAACTAACAGGTATATCTCAACTTTTACTAGACCTCCTACTTTTTCGGTTGAATCCATTACACTTCCCGACTCGTCAAGCAACTTTCAAATCTCCAGCGGACTATCGGATATCAATTCGTTATCTATATCTGCCAACCTGCGAGTCAGCTTTAGTTTTGACAATCCCAACAAATTTCCAATCAAGGTCAATCAGCTTAAACTTACCGCGCAGCTAGCTCCTGATTTCAATCAATTACAATCGTCCCCATCCATTCAACAGATGATCAACTTTTCAGAAACAAATAACAAATCCAGTGCTGTAAACAATAATAATATGGCTGTTGTCAGTCATGACGCTAAAGAGCAGCAGGCTGGATTGGGAATCAAATCGGATTTGGAGCTTTTGCCAAAACAGCAAACAAGCTCGGATCTTCAGCTCAATTTCAACTACACACCCAATCCATCGACAGGATTGCTAAAGGATCCAGCTTTGGCAGAAATCCTTCAAGCTTGCGGAGTTGCTGGACAGCGTCGGCCCATGTCTCTTCAATACACTGCAACAACCAACATTGACATTTTCAAACAGTTTGGATACGTGCCGAGTTTTTCAAATACAATCCAGCTAAATTGTCCATTTGATGATGCGTCTGTTTCAAGCATTGTACAAACTATCAAGTCCATACTGAATCTACCACCTGGTAGCCCTTGATCTTCATTGAAGTTCTCAGTCTAAAGCCTACTCGGGTCTTTACAATCTCTTTAAAGTTTAACCTGGCTTTAGCCGACACAGATTAGCCATTAATTTACATATGAATATACTCCAGATTATAAAAGTACAGTTGAATTTTTATCAACTGGCATTTACACATTGATGTGTACCCAAACTCCAATAAAATGTATACACGCAAGTTGCTTGAATAATGCAACATCTTTAATAATACAACTAGCAGACTGTTACTGATGTGCTGTATTTGGGGTTGCTAGTTTATTGCAACTGTTGTAATCTCAATGGCTACAGTAACGATCCTATTCATCTTAGTTTTTGATTATCGACACCATCAAACGACCATGCCAATCAAATTACAAATAGTAGATGATGCAGCCAACAATGCAAACCATTGCTGACCATTACAACCACTTGTGTGTTTGACCCTAAGTATATACTACAACTACACAACTCTCAACAACAGATGCCCTCTTAGCTCAGTGGTAGCAGCGCTTGCCTAGTAAGCAAGAGGTCGAGTGTTCAAATCACTCAGAGGGCATTTCTCTTTTTGTTTTGTTGTTGTTTGCCTGAGGACTGTGTTCGGCGCGTATAACGCAAACGTCGATATCAATCGATTTACAAAAACACTCCATGACGGTTGATTCTGCGAGTATGCTGACTGGATTGGCTGCAAACTTTCCTGGAGCAACTAAACTGGTGTTTACAGCATCTCATTCTGCTCATGACAAATTCCAAACACTCAGTCCTGAATCAAAAGTAAAACTAGTCGATGCTGCTTCGGCATCTGCTGATGTCGCTTGGAAAAGTTACCAGTACGTCCATATTGTCTTGCATCTCATGAAAAAACAGTACCGATTTGCTGTACTAGTCTGACACATCGTGCATTCATAGATGGCTTAGAAACGTATATGTTGCAGTTCTTTCATGGGGAACTAAACCGCTGGATCGATGGCATCAGCCATCTGGGTTCATCCTTCATCTGTTGGCCAGTCTAATTCTGTTTATATTGCCTGTGGATGATCTCTGGATAACCACAGACATTCCAAAAGGAAAAGTGGTGTATGCTGGAAACCAGAATATCTATGGTAAGAGTGCACAGTCATGATGACGGCTAGACTTGCAGTGTCGAATGTTACTGACACGTGAATGTCATATTGACCGACTGGAACCAGGCATTGATACGCTGTCTACACTGTCCATCATATTCAAAAAGACTGGCGTGCTGCCAAGAGTGATTGTACAGCCAATGCGTAAGTCGTTGTGCAATGGTTCAGATTCGAATCCATTCATTACATGTGAATTTTACTCGAGTCTGATTCCAATCTGGTGTTCATTTTTCCAGATTTCAAGATTCCCATATGGAAACATTTCATTGAATACATGGGAGCCGTTTCATGTGAACATCCAGAGGCAATCGACTACCTGATGAGTCTTGAATATCCACTGTTTGTGTATCCAGGCGGTGCTCGAGAGTTTTTTCGCAAAAAAAACGAAGAGAAATACAGTTTGGAATGGCGCCACATTGAACTATATACTCGCATTATTGACGACCTAAATACATTTGCACCAAAGTACCAGTATCTGGTGGTGCCAGTTGCGAGCATTGGTGTAAATGATATGCTCAAGATTGTTTGGGAATGTCCATGGAATGTATATAATCTGATGAAAAAGGTGTCGATTGTACGGCCCGTGTCATACGAGCGACAGTATGTGACGGTGCAAATGCCGATTCTACTGCATCAAGGCAAGTATGACGATGTGTATGTCCAAGAAACGCTTGAAAAAGGGATTCAAGACACGATTGTTCGACGGGACAAGGCTGGCAAAAAGCGATACATGTTGCGCAAAGTCAGCAAAACACTTGGATATATATTCCACAAAGACGGGATCGTGATGCGGTCGTGGTGGTTTGTGTTTGACGTGGTGCAGTTTAGAGTGATGCATTTACTGGTATACATATTGTATAAATTACAGGATTCTGAAGAGATGCGCGATCGTGACGACTATGATACTGATTCAGATGTACTTTCATCTGGCAAAACTATGTCAGAATCTGAGCCGGTTGTCAGTGATGTGCCATTGACAGACGAGTCACCAAAACAAATGCATCCAATGCATCATGCCAAGGACAGATTCCTGAAACTATTTGGTTTGAACCAACAACAAAAGTAGGCGTCATCACTAGTTGAACTGTATTTGCACTATATTTACACTATACTTGAACTGTCAATCTATTGGATGTTGTTGTAACTCGTTTAAATAAACTGCTGGCTGTTATTGTTATAAATAGTTTAAACGATCGGTTATTGGGTTTAGATCAACACGGTTGTTGGATATGGTCATGATTTCGACTGGTTGATTATTCAAATAACAGTTTCAAGTCATCCGTTTGATCAAACAACTTCCATCCAGGTTTTGATCAGTCTGCATACGAATACAAATCGATATCAAAGTATAATATTTACCACTACAGTATTATATCTGATAGTTGGACTATCAACTAGTCGGTGTCTAGACAATGACACCACTCTTAATATATCACATGGACTAGAATCCATTGACAGTTGTGTTTTTATCAAATGGATTGAATTTCATTCAGTCGTTTGTAATCCATTGTTGATGGTGTTGGTTAGCGTTGATTCAATAAACACGAAAACCTCGATCGAGTTGGTTTGGGTCAGATTGATGCATGGATTGCAGTGAATAAATCTAGTGATTATACAATGTATGACCATGTCAAAAATGAAGGGGTAGTTTGATTACATTATATGGTGGATGCTGTGTTTATTAAAGACGCATTCAGATTTCAGTATGAAAGCATAACGAATGTTTAACCATTGTTTATTCCAAAGTAAAGGCTCTGGCTGCAAGATAAATACAAGTGGTTTGCTTTACATGAATACGACTGTAATTATAATTCACATCAAGACTCGCTCTTGTTTTTTCATAATCAGCCAGTTGAACATTTACGGGCATGTCATAGTTCAAAACTCTGATCAAATGGGCAGTTTAGGATCAAACTTTTTTGCAAATGTCTCTGCTACCAATAATGGAAATATCACACTAGCATCGGCATAAACCTTGACTGACTTGGCATCTATACGAATCTTTCCCCATGAAATAGCTTCATCGGGACGTGCACCAGCATCACTGCCATCAAACTCTTGTCCTGTATTGATATATACGGCATAGTCCGCCCCGTTTCGCTACAAGATTAAAAACACCGCATACCAATATATATGATTCACATTAGTCTGAGCATATACCATTATTTACAGCCATATTCACGTAAAATAAAATACTAAATAAGGATACCAAGATACATAATGAGCAGTCAATTTCTGGTGGTAGAGTGCAGCAAATGTCCAACCATTTTCTGTCCCAAGAGCAGTTGTACAAAAGTATTCTATTTTACGTGAATACGGCTGTAAAAGTATCCCACATTAGTATATTCAAATCTTACCATCAAATTAGCGTTGCAAATATGATGCTTTATCACCCCTCCACCAAGAATAATCATCCCAGTTTTCTTGGCATGAACAGCCTCGTTGTTGACCGCACGAATATCGGCAGCAATATCTACAATCAATCCGGGATTTTTAAAACTATGAAAGTAAATCATGTCACCCAACGATCCATCCGTCAATGCAGGACAGTACACTGGAATATCGTTCTAAAGTAAATGACAGATTAGAATCTAAAATTCAAAAAGTGAATGCTATGGTGGTCAACTCTACCTTGTATGCCCAGTAGTATATACTCTGTGGATTGTCAATCACTTTTCCTAGTCTTTTGATCATTTTTGAAGGTGTCCAAATCGTTCCCTATGCATTCATATATACGGTTATATTTCTGAAATCCACAATTTTATACTGTATTACAATACCGACTCACTGCTTCTTTTTGCTCCTTGAGCATTTGATCAAGAACAGGCATGACCCAATCCTCAAACGCACAGTAGTTATCATTGGGTACGAGTAGATTTCCAATTCGATTCAACCCCTTTTTACGCAATTCTGCTCCAGGCAGCGAGAACGCACCAATATAAGTGGGTCCTAAACACTTGATAAAATCTTCCTCAATTCCTCCAGCTGATGATACCACTACATCAACCTATAGAATATCAACACCAATTAGACAGATTTCAAAAATGAAAACAACTCGAGGCTGTATTTGAATCAAGCGTGAAATATTACCATGCGATGTTGAACAAGGTAGCGAATAATATCTCTGATTCCTGCAGAGACCAAGTTGGAAGTATAACCCAAAAAAATCTTGCATCGAGTTTTGGATCGAGTTTCGGGATCTCTATATACTTCATTTTCATTTTCATCTATAGGCTCATCTGATAGTCTCCACTTGATCTATAAATTTGACCCAAGACAGGTCAGATTGCATTGACCATTTATGATCAAAAGTATAAATATAGATTGAGCACTGACCATGTCGTTTGTAATTTGAATGGCTTCACCAAGACTTGTTGCTTGGAATCCAGTGGTAAACAGCGATGCCATGAGTTTTTCGTAATCAACACCTTGATTGAAATCGTAGCCTTGAATAAGAATAGCATTTTCTGGAATTGGAGCAGAAGCAACAAAAACTGCCTGAGAGGCCATTTGAGGAGGTTGTGCTGTTTCTAGCTGATCCGTCATTATAATTAAATTATAGTCAGTTGCAATCCATCGAGTCGCAATATAAAAACTGAAAATGTCAAACACATCACGTGTCTGTATGGATTGCAATTAGACTAATATCAAGAGTTCAAGCACAGACCATTAACGATATTCACGTAAAATGAATCTACTAGAAGAATGCTGGCATTACAGTTAAAACTAATCCAGATTGTTTAATTTTCAATTCTTTCAAACAAACCGAGCATTGAGTGCGTATCATATGATGAATACTATTCACAAGATTTACTCGACAGCAACGAGTGTTCAAGAATCGAATATTCCGAATTCATCGCTGTAAAGAGTATTCATGTCAATACGAGTGTGATGACGGCAGATTTAATCAAGATTGTCATGTTTGAATATTTGTCAGTTGTAATTCTTTCCATTCAAATCAACCATCAATGGACGATCGGGCACTTCGCACTTGGGTTTCTGATGGCATCATGAAGCTCATGGGAATGTCAGAAACCACTGTCATTGATTATGTGTTGGCTGCTGCTTCTCGCTCAAAATCTCCTGCTCTGCTATTAAAACGACTGCAGCAAGAAGCTCAATTCCCTTCTAGCTTTGATACAGTTCAATTTGTTACTCAGCTGTTTACTCGAGTGTCCAAAAAAACTACTGCTTCTACTGCTGCTCATTCAACTGTAGCTTCAAAAGTAAATAGAAAGAAGCAGGAGCAAGATGCAGTTTCTCTTCTTCAAAAGAACAGCCAGTTTGCTCTCCTAATGGATGATGACGATGATGTATTGGTTAAGCCCATAAAAACTGCCAACTCCAGCAAAAACACTAACAGTAGTGACACCTTTTCAAACACTGCGTTGCCAAAGAAGAGCAGAAAGGAAAGGAAACTTCGGTCTAGAGATCCGACTGACACCAAAGGAAATTGGGAGAGAGAGGACTCGCCATCTGCTACTAATCAAAATAAAGAAAGCGATCCGCCATTCTCTCCCGTTAGAAATGGTCACTCGAATCATTCTGATTCAGACAACGATACACACAACCAGGACAGTAGTTCCGAGACTGAACGAGATCGGGATTTGCGAGAGCGGGATGAATTTGCTCAAAGACTAAAGGAAAAGGACAAGATTAAAAAGGTCCTATTGAGTTGCATGTTTTTATTGCTTTGAAGATTTGGTTTTAAACTCGAGTTTCTCAAATCCATGAATGCAAATTAGGTGCTGGAAGATAAGCCAAACAAGGCTGCGGATGAAGAGGCAAAGGCTAGACGGCATTTGGCAAATGATAAAGAATCTCGAGCAAAAGCCATGCCCGATCTTCGTGATAGATCTAGATACGATTATCTTGGAAAAAGAGAATCACAGCGATTAGAGCTACTCAAGCAACGTATCGCAGACGAAGAATTTCTTTTCCATGGCGAATCATTGACAAAAAAGGAACAAAAAGAGTTGGAACTCAACAAAAAGATTCTAAAAATCACTGAAGAGCGACTTGCAATCAATGACAAGGTTGACGGATATTTGCTTCCTGATGACTATATTACCGAAAAGGGAAAGATTGACAAAAAAAAGCAAGAATCTGTGCTATATCGGCGGTACGATGACGCTATAGGTGATCCAGATGCATTCGTGACGGAGCAGGACCAGTGGGAGCAGAACCAGATCGTCAAATCCATAGGGAAACCTGGCACCAAAGATAAACACGGTGCTGTTGATGATGCCTACGACTATGTTGTGGATGAGCAGCAGCAAATTGAATTTGTTTTAGAAAATGCTGCCATCATTCAAGCAAGCATGGAAGACAGTGCTAACCAAATAAGCGAGTCTGAAAGAAAAGGTATAATTTGAAATCATGTATAGAATGAGGTGTATAAAGTAAAAGTCATGTATATCTATTTACAATTCTATGCTTAATGTGATGCAGCCATGTCAATCAAGGAAGTCCGCGAGTCTTTACCAATCTATGCGTATCGCCAGCAGTTTTTGGAAGCCATGGACAACTATCAAACTTTGATTATTGTTGGCGAAACAGGATCAGGAAAAACTACACAGCTTCCACAATATCTTGCAGAGATGGGGTACACTAAAGGAGGAAAATTAAAGATTGGATGTACTCAGCCTCGTCGTGTTGCCGCCATGTCTGTTGCAGCTCGTGTAGCTGAGGAAATGGGGACTAAACTTGGCTATGAAGTGGGCTACTCAATTCGGTTTGAAGATTGTACATCCGACAAAACCATTATAAAATACATGACCGATGGTATGCTTTTGCGAGAGTTTCTTACAGAGCCAGATCTTGCAAGTTATAGTTGTCTTATCATTGACGAAGCGCATGAACGGACACTTCATACCGATATTCTTTTTGGTCTTGTCAAAGACATTGCTCGTTTTCGTCCCGATTTAAAACTAATTATTTCTAGCGCTACTATGGATGCCAAGAAATTTTCCGAGTATTTTGACGATGCTCCTATTTTCAATGTTCCTGGGCGTAAATTTCCTGTTGAAGTATACCACACTGCTGCTCCAGAAGCCAACTATTTAGCTGCAGCCATTACCACTATTATGACGATTCATATCACACAGGACAAGGGCGATATTCTATTGTTTTTAACGGTATAATGGAATTTTACTGATTGCTTGAGTTGGCCTATCGAAAAAATACTGAGTCTTGTTTTTATCTGATAAATGCTTTTAGGGTCAAGAAGAGATTGAAAGTGCACAAGAAGGTTTAATGCTTACATGTAAACAACTTGGAAGCAGCATCGCGGAGCTCATTGTTTGCCCCATTTATGCTAATCTGCCCTCGGATATGCAAAGCAAGATTTTTGAGCCTACTCCCGAAGGAGCTCGCAAGGTAAGTGAATTGTTTCAATTTAAAGCTTTTGTTATTGTGCACATGCTGATTTGACTGGTTATATCTGTTTACCAAATCTTTTATTGGATATAGGTTGTACTTGCAACTAATATCGCTGAAACATCAATCACGATTGATGGTATTGTGTTTGTAATTGATCCTGGATTTTGTAAACAAAAAAGCTTTAATCCTCAGACAGGAATGGAATCTCTTGTTGTTGTTCCAGTATGTGCTTTTGATTTGTTGAGCTATTAGATGGCTATGTTGCAGATTTGCTAATGCCAATGGTTAATTTTTTTCGTAATAATGATGTATTGATAATTGTAAAGGCATCTCGGGCATCTGCCAATCAGCGTAAAGGCCGTGCTGGTCGTGTCGGTCCAGGAAAATGCTTTCGTCTTTACACAGCATGGGCATACCAAAATGAACTAGAAGAAAACACGATTCCGGACATTCAACGTTCCAACATGGCCAGCACTGTTCTTTTGCTTAAATCACTTGGTATCAACGATCTCATGTCGTTTGATTTTATGGATGCACCACCTGCAGAGACATTGATCAAATCATTGGCGCAGTTGTATGCTCTTGGTGCTTTGAATGATCGTGGTGAGTTGACGAAGCTTGGACGAAGAATGGCAGAGTTTCCTGTTGATCCTATGATGAGCAAAACTATCATTGCTGCAGAGACGTATGGATGTACTGAAGAGGTAATTTTGACTTTCAGATCGTAACCCTAACCCATGTTATGCCATGATTCAGCAAGGTTAAAAAGCAAATAGTTTATGCCTAGTGTATAACTGACTATCCTGTTATTTGAATGGTATTGCTAGATTGTATCTATTATTGCCATGTTGTCTATTGGAAACGCCATTTTTCATCGACCAAAAGATCGTGCAGTTCATGCGGATCAAGCTCGTAGAAACTTTTTTCGCCCAGGTGGTGATCATCTTACTCTACTTGCTGTTTGGAACGCATGGGTAGAAACCAACTACTCGATTCAATGGTGCTTTGAAAATTTCATTCAACATCGCTCAATGAAGCGAGCGCGAGATGTTCGTGATCAGCTTATTGGTCTTATGGAGCGAACAGAAGTTCCTTTAATATCCAACTCGGATCCTGGTGATACTGCGCCTATTAGAAAGGCAATTACTGCTGGTTATTTTTATCATACAGCTACTTTACAGCGTGGAGGTGATACGTTTCGCACCATCAAGCATGGTCAGACTGTCAGTATTCATCCTAGTTCTAGTTTGAATGGGCTGGAGAAACCCAAATGGATCGTGTATTTTGAGCTTGTATACACTACCAGAGAGTAAGTTGCTATATATGATGTTTCCTGTATAGCTGGTTTACTTATGAGTTGCATTTTTTTGGAAAATTGTAGGTTTGTTAGGCAGGTGATTGAAATTCAACCAGATTGGCTGATGGAAGTAGCTCCACATTACTATAAAAGTAATGAGTTGCAGGACGACTCTCTTAAAAAACTGCCTAAATCAGTTGGAAAATCATCAATGAAATGATTCAAGTATTTCTTTATTTTTTACTCACATAGCAACTCGAAATAAACAAATCGTTCAACACCACTCCAATTCACAATCCAAATAAGAAGGTTGGAAGCAAGTATCGGTGCAAGTAGTTTAATGAAATCAGTTTTGCAAAGTGTAATATGACAGCAAATAATGCCAACTTTTCTACTATAAAGATTTTGCAATTGTATCCATGCTGAATGAGTCTGTCCACCATTTATCAGATACCATGGGTGGTTTCTCAATCACAATTGGGACGGGCAAAATAACATCACGGTCTACTGCATCGCTTTTGTCTTTTCCACCAAAAACAACGACTGCAGGTTTCTCATCTTTTGTTTGTTGTGCTTCTTCGACAATGAAAATTTCCTTGTACCCCCGCTTAATTACGTTTAAAAGCTCATTGAAATAGCCCTGCACTTTGCTAGCACGATCCATTTCGTTAAAAGATCCAAGCGCACGGATGAGCAAAGAGATGTCTTGGGAAAGTACTGTGGAGCGCTTGACGATTTTACACAGGGAAGCAATCAGAAATTCGTCTTCAAATGCTGGCTCTTTGCCTGCTGCTCTTCTGCGTGCCATCTTACGTCGTTGCTTACTGGTACGACTAAATACAGTGTATACAGCAAGATGAAATGCATCGAGTTAGTATAATGTGCAATATAAGCATGTTTATCCATTATAATCCCCAGTGATATCATCAAGTTTATCCACAGCATGTATACAGGCAGAAAGGTTTACCCAGTACGGCTGGACATCATTGATGCGCGACTGTTGGTTACACTCCCAGAAATTCTTGTTGTAGCCATGGAAGATGTATCTGAAAACATGTCAATATCATCCAATCGGTCATCAGTTGGCTCTCCTCCAGCGGCAGCAGATGCTTGTTGTCGTTGTTTTTCCCGCCTTACTTGAGCTAGTCGACTCCGTTGCTTATCAAACGTCACAGTCATCTCCTCGACTTCCATCAAAGTGTGATCGTAGGCTGGATCATCCAATAAAAATAAAACAGTTTAATATAACAGCAGTGTATAAACATTATTGCGATTTAAAAATACTGAATGTAGAACACACCTTTGATAACTGATGGATAAACCATCGACTCTTTTAGTGATGGCTGTTTGTGTACTGTTAAAACCAATATCGCATCCTTCCAAAAAAACCCAGCAACAAGAGCCTCAACTGCTCGTTGGCAGTCATTAAGAATATCCAAGCATATCCGTGCCACAGATTGAAACTCGCGTCGTTCTGTCAGAATCTCAATCAAAGTTTCTGCCATTTGAGTAAGCTCAAACTCGGAAATTGAAGTGTTGATTGCAATAGTATAGGCTTCTTGCCATTGACCAGCATTAGTGTATGCCTCAAGAGCCTGTGGGTACGCGCCAGCCATGTCATAGACTACTCATACATAATACATGTAAATGATCTAATAAGCAGGCTGTTTACCAAAACATGGTTTTATATCAACAAATAAACTTACGCATTGCAGCTTCATCAAACTGGCCATTGTTTGAGTGAAATTCAGCAAACTCAAGTAGCATTGTCTAAATATATCAAACAGTCAGCGTAAACTATAGCAGTAGGACTAGCTCGACATGACCTCACACATCTAAATCTCTCCATAATTAAACTTTACCTTGTGCTTTGCCGAGTCTTTTGGGTAAAGTGTGATGCTGATTTGGTAAAGCTTGTGCCGTTTCAAATAAGCAATTAATTCTTCAAAATGCTCATCGCCTAAATATATACAAGGTTTAAAATCAAACAAAAGTCAAAAGTATATTCCATTTAAAACTCGTCATGTCTTGAACCAAACACTTTACCTGCTTGACTCAAATTTCGAATAGCAGAAGCGTGTTTTGCCAAATGATCATCAATGGAAAACCTTTGATAATACATGGGCAAAACCTGCAATCCCTTTAAAAACGGCAAATATTCTCGTGGATCCTTTTGTGAGTGCTGAGCAACCATCAACACGAGTCCAAAATCGTACATTCCCAAAGCAACGTCATATAATTTATCAACATCTACAAGAAAAATCAGATACATCAAAGCCGTTTCGGCCGCTGAGAGTGAGTGTGTAGTTTTCAAAGTGTAAATGCGTCGCATGGCTGATTCTATGTCGGGTGGTTGATGACATGCCGCGCATGTAAGAATGGGCTGAATGTATTTGGTAGCATCAATAGTATCCATTACAGCCTTCATGCGTTGGCAGACCATGTTCACCTTGTCCTTTACATCCACATCCACCATAGTTTTTTTTGCTGAATACATGGTCTTTGTCACATCCTCATTTCGCATACTAGAAATAAACAGATTTAGATGATCTATATCGTCAACTTGACGAACAAAGTCTTCAATATGTAGCCAAAAAGCATCGGGAGCGTGATCCAAGATAAAATTCATGTCGATACGATGCTTTCGACAAGCAATAAACGCTGTTTTGTAATCCAATCGATCAATGGCATGGCGGATTGTAGAAAGAACAAGTGCACGAGGAAACACCGATTCAAGATTTCCTCTTGGCATCTGCATCACGAGCTTCACATCAGATACATCGGCCACAATAATATGTGATCCACGTTCAACGCGACGATGAAGTTCATTAAACACTGTATTGTGTGTGTGTTCATCAAACTTGAATTCGTAAAGAGGGAGAGAAAGAGATAAAAACCGAGCCGTATGTGTCAATGTTGTGATGATGAGGAATTCTTTGTGGATCAAAAAAGATGTGCAGTCTACGCTAAGGATCTGATCATTGAGAAATAGCTTGTTTCGTTCACTAAGACCTATCCATGCCATTTCCTTTGTGTCTTTGCTCTCTCCTAAACAGACACATGCCATCCATGTGCATACTGACGGAAATGTAAGCACATCAACTGCACACCATGAGTCGCCAATTTTTTTAATTTGGAGGATAGTGCCAGAAAGTAACTGAAGCGCAAGAACCTTGTCAGAAATGCTATTGTACAATCGAAGGACCTCCATGTACTGTTTTTGATATGAAATCTCCTTGGTGTCAATCACAGTAAAATTGGTGGTTGAATGATCAAATGTATATGCAATGACACGATCAGTGTGTAGTGATGTATCGTAAGCAAGAGCCACCAAGACATTAGATTCAACCCATGAAATCTGTCGAATTTGGTGCTCACATTTGGACAAAACCAATTGTCCAATCATTTCAAGAGATGCGGTATCTTGATGTATGTTATCCCAAAACTGAATGGTATTGTTGGCCAACAAAACACTCATGCGGTTTACTGGGACGGATGGAGAAAATGAAATGTGTTTTGCTGAACACGGAAGAACTACTTTGGAATAGCTCATTGGCGGCGGAACATTTTTAGATCTAAAGGGAGTCAGTAGCACGTTTGCACCATCGATTACTGCCACCACAGCTTCGTTTTCAGGCGACAATGACGAGCTAGTTAGTACATCTGACGAAAACTGAAAACGGCGATAATCTCCATTGGCACATAAAACATGTAGTTTGGTAGAGATTTCAGGATCCCATAGGATCGACACAAATGATGCATGTGTAGATGTAGGGAAAATCTCTTGCTTCAAGTACCAGTAATAATTGTTACAAACCCACAGTTGTACAACAGTGACTCGATGTTCATCCACGACTTGCTCAACACAAATCGCCAATACGGTTGAATCAGAATTCCATTGAAGATCCAGCACAATGTCCTGAGCATTACGCAAAGTAAATTCTCCATGCCTCAATCCATTTTTTTCAAAAAACACAATGTCATGACGATGAGGAAGACGCTGTGATGCAGCAATAAGATTTCCAGATGGACGCCAGCACAAGGGATGCTCTAATTGAGCCACATATTCGCTGGTGCTTTGAAGGACACCTTCACGATCGTAGATGCAAATAGTTCGCATCTGTTTAGATTCGTTGACGGAGGAGCAAGCAAAAAAGTTGCCATCTCCACGCCATGTGAGTGATGGAGCCATAGTATCGTCAGGCGAGATATGAATAGCATCTGTAACTGGTAGCGTGCTCTCGACTGCAGCTTGTTTTCCTGCTTTACCATGAAACTGCGTTTCCTTTTTACCCCATCCAACCGACACGGGAATAGCTACAAAAATCCGATTTAGATGAATGACTGAGCAAAACATCATTTAATAAAACGATTACTGATTGGATATCTGCACTCACCTTCACCGTGACTGTCCACATGAATGGGAGCCTCGGAAATCATTTCAAATTCCTGCGTCATTTCCAGAATAGTTCCAGATCCTAATATAAACATGAATGAGCAATCCATGTCAATTGAATTGCTTCAATACAGAAACTCACCAGTGACGAACAGGACCAATTCAAGATCCGGACTCCAAGACATAGTTTTGATTCCACTATCGATAATGCCAACACACTCGACCTATTGATTAAAATGTTAAAGATTCAATCTACACTTTTAGATACAAATTGATATTACCGTAGGAGAAAGAGTATTATTCTGTGAATGATCGAAGCGAGCGAGAAAGATATCGCCAGAATGAAGGGCAATACAGAGAGAACAAGAGTCTGCGAGATACTGCATTCCAGCAATAGTTGGGTTGTGCAACAACGCAGTGTCGCTGTCCAAGTTTATTCTTGCTATATCAAACGGTGCATTCTATATTTCCAGTCATTAAAATTATATTTTGTAAACAGCCGAAACAGACACATTGATGATCAACAGTTATGCTCGGAAACAATCGTTGGATTGTACACACAGCAATCTTTATAACAGCAATTACCTCATGCTCGCTGATTCTATAAATAGCGATTGTGGCATTCGGTTGGGTAGAGTCAGCAGCAGAATGTAGAGCAACATAAACATGATGCGAGTCAGAATCCACTGCAATGCCTAATCCCAAGTAAGAAGATGGATTCAAAGTGTCAAATTCCAGCTGCTGATCAGTAGAATTAACCAACGAAGCTGTCTTTTCAGAAAGGACTGTCAGACTCTTCATTACAGTTAACGACAATGAGAATGAGAATGGAATGAAAAAATCAAACGAGGTTGCCAGCAATCAAGTGTTTTTGAGCGATATTCACGTAAAATCCATTCAATCGCTTTTATGTGATTCTTGTTGCTCTTTGCAAACATTGATGGATTGCTGATTCGAATGGCACAAGTGTTCATCATTCGTGTCTTTTATAATGACAATCTGAAATAGTTGTGCAGTTTTATGAATTCACGTTCTAAAATGTCGTAGCAGCAACCTGCTCAATGTTATCTGAATGATTTTTAAAACATGATGAAATTTACCTGAAAGTCTGAGTAGAGTTGAACCAATATAAATACTTTATGCAAGAGAATAAGTCGGTAGATTAATGAATCTTGTCAATGTTCATTTGCGATTCAATTTTCCTCGTCGGTTCGCAACTTTGATTTATAGCATACATTAATGGACCAGAGTGTGCAACGTGGTGCAGGAAGAGGCGAGAGTGGTCCTAATGGACGAGGCAATTATAACAACAGAGGCGGTAGAGACGGAGGTGGTCGAGGCGGACGAGGACAGTCTCGAGGTGGTCGTGGAGGCAGAGGTGGTTACAACTCTAAAGATGGCGGCCATGGACGACCTACAGAGAAACCCAAAAAGGTTGGGTCTAAAGCATGGATTGCTGCTGCTTACAGATGTATTTACTAACTGGAATGCTACCAATGTCATTGAATCTTTACTGTACTCATCACAGGAGAACATTCTGGATCTAACTAAATACAGCAACAAGAAAATCATTGTGCAGTTCCAAGGAGGTCGTCAAGGTATTTAGTGTTCATTTGCGTATGAACCCAATCATCAACTCTGTCCAGATCATTGTATTTGAGCTCAATCTTGGTTATTCCTGGATTCTAACATTGTGATTGACCAGTTGCTGGAATCCTCAAAGGCTATGATCCACTCTCCAACTTGGTGTTGGACGATGCAGAAGAGTTTATTCGAGGTAATATGTATACGTTTGTCATGTGGAATTTGAACTGTATATGATCTGTATCAGTAATTCTTGGAATAAATCAGATTCATCAGATCCGTCAGTATTGACAGGAGAAACTCGCAAGATTGGACTGGTGGTGACTCGAGCACCACCCATGGTTCTAATCTCACCATTTGATGGAACAGAAGAAACAGAAGACCCATTTTCAGCTGCAGAGGGTGCATAATGAAACTATTTGTTTTTGTAGCAAGAATAGCAATCTAATTACAGTTTTCAAGATATGAGCGGGTAAAAAGCTTAAATTGTTGGGATCGTGTGCAGGCTAAGATGAATAAGAATTGGTTGTGTCTAGATTTACCATCCTTGATGTGACAAGGATATATACAAGCAAATGTGCAAACAAAGGTGCAACAAGAACAACGATCCACTCTGCCAAGATGGCCAGTGAACACAATGTTGAACTTGCCAACATTCAAATACGCTTGTTCACGTGTAAGCACGTGTAAAATCGGAATTTAGCGACATCCAATCATTTAAAATATTCCGAAAAAACACTATTTCTGCAGTAATATACGGTGCAGACTCCAAATCAGTGAGTGGTTTGGTTTGTCACAACCATCAATTGGACTCGTTTTTTCTTTCTTTCGCTTCACTACCGATTCTTTCTAGTTACAATCATGGCTCACGACAACGTCTACAACTCTCATCCCCGCAGATTCGGAAAGGGCTCCCGTCAATGGTAACCCATATATCCTTGTAATAGTTATGATTCAGACCGGACTGGCTTTTATTCAAAATTTTGTCCACTGGATATATTTTAACGAGGCCAATCGTTCCAAATCGAAAGTCAGCTCTCAGCTCTTTATTTATCCATCTATTCAATAGTCTAACTAAAAACTCTGGATTTTTTATCTTTTGTTCTATTTTTACCTATGTGGTTCCCTTTCTGTGTACTTGAATCGCTGATCTATCAATAGCCGTGTCTGTGCCCACAAGGCTGGTCTTATCCGCAAGTACAACCTGGACATCTGCCGTCAGTGCTTCCGTGAGTACGCTTCTGACATTGGCTTTATCAAGGTAATTTCAAATGGACATTGATTGCGCGATCTTTGGATTTCAACGCCTGCATTTTCGTAATCATACATTTCTAGATACTAACAGCCGAGTTACTTTTTGATGTCTAGTCCCGTTAAATGCTCTTTGTGTACGTTCAAAAACGTTGTTGACATAACTTTCGGATTACCTTGCAAGCTGTCACTAGTTGATGAACAAACCTGGAATACAAATTGATTTCCACATCCAAAATAGTTGAATTTTGCTTGTAGAGTGGTCTTTTTACATTTTTTGCGGGGGTTCAATACCGCAATATATAGGGCAGTGCTTAGTTTATCCTTTTAAAGATCTATAGTTGTGCAGTGAAAAGTATGATTGATCTGAATAATTCTTTAGTCGTTGAGATTCGCATTTGGTTCTAGCCAGTTATGATTGTTCTTGATAGCGTTGGATTGCCAAAGTCGTCTTGATTTGCTATTTCAATACTGCATGCATGATTGGATTAAGACCTGAATCATTACTCTCGGTGATACTATTTTTCAAATATCGGTAGATTGTTCGTTTACTGGTTTGAATAGTAAGACCATCTATCGATCGTGTTTTCTGTACCACGGCAACAATCTGACCTGTTGACACGATCAGTTTGCTAGACGACCGAGTAGTATATAGGATAGCATCCCTCTGGCTCTGTTTTGACGCGAGTTTCGGCGTTTCATTTATAGAATCTGTACGCTAATCCAAAACAATCTTGCAGTTTTACCGACGAATAGTTCATGTTGTCAAAGAGCTGTAATATCAGTTTGCTTGATGCTATCAGAATGATCTTTAAACATGATGAAAGCAGAGTTTTGTATATAGCCAAGAATATATCCTTCGATTGTTGTTGCTAGTTGTAATACTTGAACAGTCAAGTGGATTGTGAGCTCAAGTCACGTGCCATTTGAGTTGGATTGAACAGACAACTGCGCTTGCGACTTGGTACTATACTATAGTTGCATTTGCTTGGTCTTGTCAGAATGGTCGGTTTGTTAGATAATGTGATATCTATTGGACGATACAATTGGACTTTTCTGTTCATATACTGTATATCTACACAACCATCCGATCATATTAATCGATCAATTCACATTCCAGTCTCGAGTGATGGACTGAATAGCATGTGCCCATCCTAAGCTTCTGTTCAATCAGCCATACGCTGAATTTTTACAGTATAGAGCATGGGATTAATTTTGGTGATCTGTGATTGAATATTCATGTAGTTTGGTACGAGCAAGGCCCAGAAGGATTTAGTAAAACAGTTTGTTACTATTACCCAATCCAGGCAAGTGTGGTATATGCATGCCATGTATGCTATCGAATCTGTCGCATAAGTACTTGAAATTCATACCACTCAGGCACTTGTAGGACGGGTCATGTAACAATATCTAACATTTTACCATATGCCGCTTAATAATTGATATCTAATTAGTGAGAAGAATGCCGCCAAGCTTCTCAAGTCTCATTGTATGCTAGATTCGTTCACTCAACACTGTATCATAATATTGCTTCTAGTTAAATCACGATCTAATCTTTGATCATTGTTTAGCTTGGAAACTCGAGGTTGCTGTGGATGATTACTTCCAATCTAATGGTAGTGCACGAAAGTCTGAGTCGCACAATTCATCTACAGTTAATCCCTTGTTTATTTCTGCATTATTCGATAAATATAAAGGTAATTTTTACCTAAACTTGAGCTGACTTTTATTCTTGTCGGTTTTTAATCCATGCCTTTTGACCGGATACGACTGTAGATGCTGAAGAAGATGCCATATTGCTCGAGGGAACCGAGGCACTATGTAGTAAGCTTATTCGATCTTGTTTTGTTATGCTTCAAATGTATGCATTCTATTGCTCATACTTTGCCTTGTTTGTGTTTTCAGATGATCTAAACATTGATCCTACAGATGTTGTTACTCTTGTGTTGGCATACCACTTGAAATGTGAAAACATGTGCGAGTTTAATAGACGTGGATGGCAGGAAGGCTGGCTAGCACTGCAGTAGGTTTGAAGGCTATTATTAACTAAACCCACAGTAATCGCGATGCTTGCCATTGCTTTGTACTTTGATATTAAAACTTGATTATTTTCAGATGCGACAATATTGAATCAATGAAGGCTGCGGTACAGCAGATGCGACACGAACTTGATGATCCGAAAATGGCTAGAGCAGTATATATTTTTACATTCAACTTTGCCAAGCAGTCGACACAAAAGGGACTAGGTATGCATAAAAATACTCAATCATGTATATGGTGCTGAAATGAATAGGATGCTTATAAAATTGCCAAACTTTGTTTTTGAAACTGGCAAATTAGGTCTTGAATCTGCACTTGCATTTTGGGACTTGTTACTAAAGGACAGATATACACATTTAAATATGTGGAAAGAATTTCTTGAGGTATATTTCTATTTAAACGTGCAAGATAGAGTATTACAATGATTTAAACACTTGTGCATCATTTTAATAGGAAGCGCATGGAAAATCAATTACCAAGGACACATGGTGTTTGGTAGGCTTATAATGCATGTGCGATTTCTATAATGATTCAACGCTAAATCAAATCTGATTTATCATGATTATTGTAGTTTTGGGATTTTACAGAGTCAATCAATGAGGATTTTTCGAATTACGATGACGATGGTATGTTGTGTTGAATAAATTTGATTGTATGTTTACTTGCTTGTGCTGATTCAACTGATATTTTTGCAGGCGCATGGCCGCTCCTGATTGATAGCTTTGTTGTATATGCGAGAGAAAAGCTTGGACTACACACTCAAGATGAATAGTCAATACCACTACTATTAAGACAAATGAAGTTGATCAAGAATCTGCGATTGGATTGAATCAGTCGAGATAAAAGGCTGCAACCGTATTCACGTAAAATGGAGTGCAAAGTGTCAAAATCCATAATAAACAGCCCGCCTCATGTTGGATTGGTGTCAATTTACCGAGCAACACTTTTTGAACTCTTAGTTTACAAGTCTGTGCATATTCTTGTTCAAAGATACGGAGCAGAGGTTGACATCTTTTCAACCTCCAATTTTCTTTTTCCAATCCAAACACTGGGTAATCATCATGAAAACAACTTTTGAGTTTCTTGAACTACAGCGTAAGCGCATCTGATATTAGAACACAACAAAATGGAGGTTGTTTGAAAATAGTTGAACACAATGGTTGAATTGCAGTCAAGTTAGTGATTGTACGATACATGGTTATGCCAAATGAGGACAATTTCAGTTTAAAACTATAGTTTACTTTTGTGAAGTGTTTATTGAAAAAGTAATCCATTCCTAGTAGAAAAACAATAATTATTCAGCAGATTTAATCCAAAGTGTTTCATTTGACGTGAATACGTTGTAATTGAATTCAAAGCCTAATTTTGTCAAGTTTGAACTTTTGCCAAGCCTTGTTCAATAAACCAGATAATGAGCGACGACCCATTCTTTGTAGTCAAAAGGTAGTTTTTATGTGCACCAGTCGTATTGCTAACAGCAACTCATTCAAACAAGTCTTGGGTTATTTATTTTCAAACAAGGAATACCAATTGAATCTAACCTGTTTATTTAGAGAGGTAGAACAGTCATTGGTGCAGGTAGGCAGCCTGTATCAGGCATGGTTCCAGCAGCTCACAAGTAACACTGTAAGCGAGACAGACTTGAAGCGTCAGGGAGCTGATATTAGGGATATTTTGCGGAATATCGTGGCGGATTTGGACGAGTTGGACGAGACAATTCATATCCTTTTTAAACTGTTGTATCGTTATTTTGATATATACAAGTGCCAATAGCTACTGTTTGGGGCTGTTAAGATGCATTGGAGATAGTAGCTGCTGCATGTCTTGACTTTTGATTTTTAATGGGACAGTACAGATTGTGCAATCGAATCCAGCACGGTTTAAACTTGACCGGTCACATATTGACGAGCGCAAGCAATTCGTACAAGAGTCTCGGAAAAAGGTTGAAGTGAGTACTTGAAATGCATACTCTGTTATAAATGCATTGCAGACGATCAAGGTTCAAGTGTAAATCAACCTTTTATTCGACCTGTTTAGGAAATGAAATCGAGTGTAAATAATCCATCTGCTGCACGTATGGGAGGTCAGCAAGGAATGAGAAATGTAAGAACAGTTTTTGATTAAATAGGGAATCCACTTGCTTTATTGACTTTTTTGAAAATCACTATAGAATCTGATGGGATCCAACAAAACAAGGACTGACAAGTATGGCCGAACCGAAGACGAATACAAAGTTTCGAACCAAAAGTTTGTTGAACGCGAGCAACAACAGCAACAGGCACTTATGCAGGATCAAGATGCACAGATGAGTGACGTTGCAGTTACTGTTGGCAATCTGCGTGAAGTTGCTCGTGTCATGGGCAGCGAGCTAGATGATCAGACCAGGTATGAATTATTTTAGCGAGTTGGCTTCACGATAATAGTTTTTGTTGATTTACTTTAAATATTGTAGATTACTGGGTGAAGTTGAAACACAGGTGGATAGTACTCAAGGTAGACTGGAAGATGGCATGAAACGCATGAAGGACTTTATCAAGGCAAATTCAGGTAAGCGATCTAGTAGTATAACACGAGTCATTGAAGCGCAAGTATCTTTGAAAACATTAACCATGTGTTTACCGACACTATATAGATTCGAGACAGCAATGGTGCATTGCTATACTGGTTGTTATTTTGGTGCTGATAATTGTTCTTGTACTGAGTTTTTAACAACGGTACTTGGAGGGCATTACCAAGTTTATTTGCTGGTTTGATGATCAAAATAATATATGTGGAATGCATATTACCAACTATAATATGAATATATTGAGCTTATTGGGTTGGAAATATTGAGTATAAACCAGACTTGTGTCAAAGGGTTGCCAATAATTTGTTCAACTTTACCCAAACTCCGTCGACGGACCACCACAATGGCTCAACATCAACGGGAAAGAACTCTTATTGGCGTCATTGGCGATGAGGTGCTGATTGTCGTTGCAGCTGAACTATATTGCTGCATGCATTCTTTCCTTGTTTAGTAGTTTGACTCGATTGTAATGTTAATACTCTTACTGCACCCATGTAATATTGATAGGACACTGTGACTGGCATGCTTTTGGCTGGTATTGGCCACATCGATTCTAAGCAGCAGCCCAACTTTTTAGTTGTTGATTCAAGTATGTATTTGTTCTAGTCTAGCTTTTGCTAGCAGTTGTCAACCATCGTGTGTAGTGTTCACAAATGAATACAATGCAAGCTGCTCACCCTTACTCTATCGTCAGAAACTCCCTTGCCAAAAATCGAAGAAATGTTCGAGGAGCTTACCAAACGCAAGGATATGGCAATTATTCTGATTAATCAGCATGTAAGTTTGCCAACCGACGTTCATCAAATCCAGTGTCTGCATTTAAATTGATTTAGGATGATACTTGATTGGTGCTTAAACCTCTTTGGAATATCATGATCTGCCATTTTTTGTGTTTTCCAGCTTGATTCTAATAGTGCTGGATTTTAATACTTGAATTGTAGATTGCAGAGGACATTCGTGCACAATTAGAAGCTCACCACCAGGCGTTTCCAACAGTTCTTGAAATCCCGTCAAAAGATCATCCCTATGATCCGTCCAAAGCAAGTAGCTACTTGTTTCCAAGATTCAAATATATCAGCTGTTGATTAACCATGCAAAATTTAAATATGACATCAATAGGATTCAGTTCTCAAGCGTGTTCAAAAGCTTTTCGGAGAGGAAAAGTAGCGCTATTTGTTCATCTGCTTACAACTTCCCAGTAAGGCTGATTTCCCCTTTTCTGGGGTTGGAACTAGAATTCAACCATGTTATTGTTTGGATCTATGATACTTGATGGTATCATCCAGTCGCTTTAGTCATTCTTTTTCTCGCACTCATCCATTTATTTCTCTCATTCTTATCGCTGCCAGTCAATCTGTTCTTTCTGTTATGATATCCACGTTGTTCTTGCACAATGAGATTGCAAGTTTTCATCCATATCTGGTTTATATGAGGGTTTGACCAATAAACTGTTGTTTGCGAATGAAACCATGTTTAGGTGTACACCATGCTACAACAACCATCAATCAATTTTATTTGATATCAGATAAAACAGTCAAGATTGGATGCACAAACCTACTGCTGCAAATCACTCATAAACATGTTGCTTTGTAAAATTTACATGCAAAGGATCACCAAACACAATTGAGCTGTCGCGTAGGGTTTTGACATGACCAAGGGTTTTGCCTTCAGCCAACCCGTCACGCATTGCAAAGCACTCTTGTGTAGTAGTTTCATACGAATTGACTCTTTTAGAACAGAGTGGAAACAGCAAGTGATCTTTGGCGAGTTGTGGCAAGATAGTATGACGTCGACCCATGATAGATCTCATTGGATAGTCTGTTTGATGGCAAGTATAGTTATTAGCCATACCAGCACTAGATTCTACTATAGATTTTAAACCAGAATGCGGTCTGCTCTGTATACCATAACGACTATGCAGCTCATTTTTTGAATAGGCTGGGAAAGCAGTCTGTGATGTTGTAGTGTATCGATCACATACAACGTCTTGGTTGTTTATTTCATCTTGCTCACCAAAAGTTACTTTACTTTTTGTCATGTTTTCTCCAAGAATTGGGTGAGTAGGCATGTTTGTCGTGCTGTACTTTGGATAGGCTGATGCCGAGGTTGTTGTAAATGAACCAAATGTAAAGTGGCGGGGATCGCCGGTTGGTACGCTACTGGTTTCCGTACTCGTTCGCATTAGAGTGGATCCACCCATTGAATGGGTTCCTGCCGCACGACGTTGAATGAGATCTAAATGTGTGCAAGGTTTAAACGTGGATGATGAGTGTGATTCTAGTTCACGCTTAGTCACATCGGGCTCTATGGCGCTTATAATTCCATGGGTCATAGAAGCTAGGGTAGATCGATTATGATCAAGTCTGACTGAAGTAGTTACAGTCGGGTCGAAATTGGTATCATTCATCTCATAATTGTAGTCTCGTTGCGTAACAGAGGGCTCTGTTTTGCGACGAGTGGTGCTAACTTCACCAAATACAATATGACTTGCACCAGATTGTTTGGAAAGCGTATCTACATCAGCCGATGCTGCACATCTCATATCTGGATGCATTTTGAGTTGTTTTTCACGATCAAATAAATCTTTATGCATTAGCCCAGTAGTCGTTGTGTACATATCAGTTTGATCTAAACCTTCATCTTTGGATCCAGTTTTGGCATAGCCCAATGTCAATGATGATGATTGTTGGTGATGTCCGTTGTATGGTTTGTACACCTCTGAGGGATGATTGACAAACGAAGTGTTTTGAACAGTCGAATATGATCGAGGCATGCCCAAATCACCTAGATGAATATGACTTGGTCTACCCTGACTAGATTTGTAAACAGGCGCGTTAGTTATGGACAGGCTCGCAATATCTTTCAAAGGATATGCATCCTGAGACGTTGTGATAAAGTTTTTAAAGTGCATGTCGTCAATTGGAAGATTTTGACGAGTTTTGAGTCCTATATGGGCTGCACTGGTTGCAGTTGGGGTTTTAGAGTGGTACATTTGGGATACAGTATGAGTAGATGGATGTGGTGAATCTATCAAAACTCCCGGTTTGACTAGCACTGATTGTAGATCAAGTGTAATACCATTGTCAGTTTAAAAAGTATTCCATGATGATTCTACAGCCTTAAAACAAAAACACTAGAAATAACACGAAAATACAAAATACACGAGCAATCCATTAAAACCAATGCTAACCTGGCTTACTGGTGCTCAGCGGAGGTGGTTTGTAATCGGCACCCGTCAGACTCACGTTTCTCTCGACGGTAACCATTTTTGGATCACCAAAAACAACGTGGGCTTTAAATTTGCTACACGACGAGATGCTAGTGGAAGCAGTGGGTGGGATTTGGACACCTTGGTAGTGTGCGTGAGTGGTAGAACACGGCTGGTTGGCAGAAGAGTATTTGCAAGAGTCGCCCAACACTATATCAGTCAGCAAACCCATTTTAAAGCCAGAGTGTGGCTTCCAGTTGTATAAAGGGTCCGTTTTTACAGAGTGCTGCGATATCATGCTGCAGATCGTGTTAAGCTGCAATAAACAAGCTTGGTCCAGTTTGAATGCAGCCCACGTGACACCACGGAATGTCGAGTTTGATTTTTTTATTTCAACTGAGCGACAGAACTGGCCATCGATTGTGAGCTGTTGGCATTCATAAGAGATCCTGAAGGAATGCCATCTCTGCTGGATTTACCCACTACTCACTTTTCTACTTCTTTGACTTTTCCAGATAATAGACAATCCAGCGATCAACATTTGACTACATCGCATACTGCAATGGCTACTACCACAATGGTTACTTCTACTACTCCTATAATGAATGATAAACTACGACAAGCACAAGAAAAACCATTTTCTACTATCCATGCAACTGCTACCCATAATTCGGCATTGCATGATGATTCTTCTCCATTAAAACCTACTTCCAGCTTTAAAAAGGTCCGATTTGCGCTAGAGTCTACAGAGGATCCAAATACCACTCATAATACTACCAAGGCTATTGTGCCTGAAAAGATTGATTCTATTTTTCCTGATCATTCGGATGAAGCTGATGTTTACAAGTTTGTGGGAGCTGCCATCACTGGCAAAATTCGGGTATGCTTTGCATCAATCATTGCAGGAATTTATATATTGCCGAAAACTGACATTTGTGAATTTGGTCTTGTGCTAACCATGACTTTATACTCACCATGCGCTTAGGGAGATTCCACACTATACTATAAGCTGTTGAACTTGGTAGCAAAACGATCAACTGATTCGGATGCATTGACACCAGCACAACTATGTCTTTACTTGAAATCCTTTACCCTAAATGTGTCTAAACTCTCGTCCACTTTTCAACCTCTTATCATGGCCATTCTTTCTATCCAATGGCTTGGAAACGATAATACCTTTTCACATATTTACTGCCAATTTTTGGAAAATTTAGTATCGGCTCATGCTGTATACGTTTCTCCTGTGGCTAAAACACTCGTTCAAAGTATACGCAATTGTGAGTTGATTCATTATACAGTAGCCCTGATTATATTTGCTAAATAGTCCACTTATTTTATTGCTTCATCTTGACAACTAGGTCTCAAGCTATATCCACAACTCTTGCCATCGCAACTCTTTGATCGTATTCATACGGCTTTGGAACGTATACTACATCTTGTTCCCACTGGCCCTTCATTTCTATTATCTATTCTTACTGTAAACTTTCCTCATAAAACCCAAGATATTGAGATTCAGATATTCTATGTCAAGAGTCTTTTGCGCATTACAGAATATGCGCCTATTCTTCGCAACCAGATTATTTCTGTGATTGTTGAAGGTGTTGTGCAAGTAGATGTAGCAATTCAGATTGAGATTGAGGAACTGAACGAGGAGGAGCTAGAGGCCATTCAAGAAACTGTGTTTTCCATGGACGATCTGGACGTAAACTCATCAGCTGCTTCATTTTCTCAAGGGTCGGAAAATAACTTGTTGAAAAAAGATGAAAACTATGTTGATCCTGCTGGATATGAGTCTGACGAATCCAATGCTTCTGATGGGGTTGGCATTATTGTTGCTGATATCAAAAGCATGGTTGAGAAACTGGATGCCATGCTAAGTCTGCTGTTTCAGTATGTGACAGATATTCATATCAAATCTATGAAAGATACGTTCAGCGAATCCAAAGACATCACCAATCTTTTTTATGCATTCCTGGACATATTTGATCGAGTCATGATTCCTACACATCGACTACGATGCACACAATTCTTGCTATTTTATATGAGTTCATTCAACAAGACTTTTCCCAATGATTTTATGGGTTTGCTAGTATCGCGCCTGTTTCAAGTCGAGTCACCACTGGTGATTCGCATCTCATCCGCAGCATACTTGGGAAGTTACCTTTCTCGAGCCAAATATGTTGACATTAGCTCTGTACGCACCTGTCTTGGACTGCTGAATCAGTTTACTCAATCTTATCTTGACAACAACGAATCCTCCATGGGTCCTCGAATCAATGTTGAGCGATTTGGCGTCTTGTATTCTGCAGTTCAAGCCATCCTTTATGTGTTTTGTTTTCGATGGAAAGAGTTGATGCTTACTGGCAGCGAAGACAAGGTATCTATTCATCACGGTCAGCTTCCACCTGAACTAAAAGACTTTCAACGTGTTTTGATGTCGCGCTTTGCACCTTTGCGTGTCTGTTCCGAGACTATTGTTCAAGAGTTTGCCAAGATTATGCATGCGTTGGATATCATGTACTGCTATCCTTTAATTGGATTCACATCAAGTGTTTCTTCATTGCAAACAAATGTGAGCCATATAAGCAGTGCACCAGACATGGTTCGTAACGCATCCCAATCCAGTTTAAACAGTGGTACGTTGGACTTTATGCACGTTGCGATTGAGCGCCTTGATTCATTTTTTCCATTTGATCCCATCACTTTACCAAAAAGCAGAGGATACATTACTCCATTGTATCAAGACTGGGTTGGAAGCAATGAGATGGAATCGGATGAAGAGGATGATCCAAGTTCACTTTCAAAAGATTTTGAGCTTGATTCTGATATTGAGGATGGATGTGATGCATTTAGCATGTCACCACGTGGACCTGATGATATGAGTACGTCGCTGGGATGAGCAGATGTAATTTTATTCTGCGTGTATAGAATACGATGAGTTTATGAATGGGTTGTTTTATTTTTCATTTGGTATGGGCAATGTCTAACCACTGCAAGGTTTCAAAACCAAATATATTCATTTTTAAATATGTGTAGACTATGTTATGCTTTGCATGATCCAGTTTGATTTGTAGTAGTATTTCGGAGTGCAGATCTTTACAAGGGATTTGTGCATCACAAAGTAATACATGGCAGCAGCTACAACACGTATAAACGAGTTAAAAGCCAAACCACTTGAGGGTAGAAGAGTGAAATGGAAACTTGCCTATTCTACTGAAAACCATTGCAACAACAAAACCCCATGACGAATAGAAATTACACATGGATGAATTGCATTCAAATGCCTTGATCTAAACACCAAGTTGTTTAGACTAGATTGATGATTAAAATGTACATGCAGTGTGTAGTGGACTGATTTGGCTTACCACTCCTAGTCCGCGATCAATACATAGGGCTATCAAGTAGATAACAGTGGTGACCAAGACTGGAACGAATTCTTTGAGAATCAAAGAAATGTAACCCGTTTTAAAAGGGATTGTACTTGTGAGTCGAAAGTATAGCAATAATGTATTGGTTGAAATCAGTACTATCTGGAATCTAGTTGAGCCAACAGAGTTAGTTTTTAACTAAAGAGTACTTGAAGCTAAAGGAACATACATGTATACAATGATGACAATGAATATAGTATGTAGGGCAGATTCAGCAAGGAGTGTTATTATAAAGTCCAAAAGTAACAATGCGTGTTGAAAAACTATTGCTGTAGCAAGTGTTTTTGGCAAAGCAGACAGACTTGCTGATGACATTTGTAGTTTATTGTAACGATGTTCAAGTGTAATGGTTGAGCAAGTGTTTGACTTGACGCGTTCAAGACTAGATTCAGTATTGAATCCAAACAATTAGGTTATAATGAAATTCCTAAACCAAGCAAGTTGAATTTATTTTTACAGGTCATACGCAAGAAGCGTATTCGCTATCAGCAGGAACTTGAGCTGGATCGATTCCATACGACTTCATCTTGACAGCAATTTCAAACAGATAGTCGTAGCATTCGGTCATAGATTTAGCTAAATAACACAAGTCAGATATCAGGGATTAAACGAGAAACCAATCTACGGTCAAGTGGATTACCTTTTTGCCATGTTTGTCCCCAAACATACACGCCATGACGACTAAACAACAAGGTTTAATCAGCTACACAAGATCAACCACTCAATAGCAATGCAAGAGCTTACCGAACAAGAACAGCATTTGTATCAGGATATGCCTTCATAGCAGCCTCCATTCGCTCCTTCAAGTCCTCTTCCTCGGCAGTATTTTCAATGATTGGCACAACCAATTTTTCATAGTACTTGTAGTTTGTGCTAGTTTCACCCTTTCGAATGCCTTTGATCATTTCCTGATGAGTGATTACGAATTCTTTATCGTAGAGAAGAGTAGCGAGCACTGCGTTTTGCGAATGAGTGTGAATACAAGCGCCAGCATTGCGCAGATCGTAAGCATTGTAGAAAAGAGGAGTGCATTGCGATGGTTTAAGCAAAAGAGCGGGAGGAGGCGAGACAACAATTTCTTTTGAGCAAGTCAAGACATAAAGATGGACGGATTCGAGTCGTTCTTTTTGAACTCCAGAAGGAGCAATGTAGATATGATTGCTGAAAAACAGTCAGTTAATAAAACCAAGATTCAATGCAGTAAGCAAACACCTACTCTTTCTTGATGGTGATTCCACCTCCAGTTCCAGTTACCCATCCCAGAGTATAGAACAGTCTACACAACTCAGGAATCAAGTTGATTGGATGCTCAGGATCGGTGGAAATCCAAGGTGAAGATGAGTTTGAGTCTTTGGGTTTCTTGCATAGAGCCTGCGATTGCACATCCGACTTTCTCTTTTTCTAATCAACACAAAAAAGTCAATATGAATGAATGACAGATTTCAGCAGTGACGATGCTCATACTTCTGTCATTGGCTTGCCAAGAATTGGTTTGTCGAGTCAACCTCAACATGGTGTCATCACGTGTACAAGGGCGATCGTTTTGATAAAACTTGACCATCAAACTGTTATCATTGCTACCAACCATCTCTGGAACCATTTCTGGAGCCATTTCTGGAACCATCGCAATGCATAGACTGTTGCTCAAGAAACAGTCTCATCTCAGCTACAAGCCACTAACATCTCATTCTCGCTCTTTCCACTTGAATTCATCTCGCACTCATCATGCCTTGCAGTCTTTGGGGTTTACCCGTTCTACTCTAGCTACCACTTATGCTAGACAGCTACCTGCTATAAAAAGCAATACTAGAACATTGGTCTCCGTGCCTCGAATGACTTTTGCTTTGCTCAGAATACCTGTCGCTGCTGTTAGTGCTGGCATGGGCGTATCTGCTTACATTCACTATAAAGTTACCAAACTCTCTGAAGACTTGGTCCCCGATTGGCTCAAGACTTCTGCCGAAAATGCTACTCAATGGCTATCTGAAATCGACCTGTCTGGTTTAAAACTTCCTTCTTGGAAGTTCGGAACTGAAGACGGTGCACTTTCCACCGATCCCATCATTGCTTTGAACCTGCCTGATGTCATGCCTGATGTGTCTCTCTTTCCTTCTGCTAATATGGGCTCGATTAAGCAGACTGTCGATACTGCAAGAGAAGCCATGTTTGGAACCTCGTCTGTCCAGTTTTCAACGGATGCTTCCATGGCTTCAATTCATCCCAAAACTGGTGTGCACAACGCCACATCTGCTTCTAGTAGTGTTGGTCAGGATAACACTGGTTCCAATCAAGACCTGCTAGGCTTGACCAGCAAGCTGATTGATATTCGCAACCTTCTCAAAACTATTGACCGTGCTTCAGCTGCTCTTAATCTACCCAGTATTGTTGTGGTTGGATCACAAAGTTCAGGAAAAAGCTCTGTTCTTGAAGCTGTTGTAGGTCACGAATTCTTGCCAAAGTAAGTTTATGTCTACAACATGATTGGAAATATCTAATTATTTCCTTGAATATTGACTAGATTCATACTCACTACTGGTTTATCTATTCATGTTTTCAATTCTTTTTAAACTATTCAATCTATTTCTATTTCTGACAGGGGTGCGAATATGGTGACGCGTCGCCCTATTGAGCTCACACTGATCCATACACCAGACTCCAAGGAAGAGTATAGCGAGTTTCCACAGTTAGGACTAGGAAAAATAAAAGATTTCTCTCAAGTTCGTCGCACTCTCACTGATCTCAACCTGGCTGTCAGTGACGCTGAATGTGTTTCCGAAATACCCATCGAACTTCGTGTCTATTCCCCAAATATTCCTGACCTGACTCTCGTTGATTTGCCAGGCTATATCCAGATCCATACAAAAGATCAACCACCTATCCTCAAGGAAAAGATTGCGGCTTTATGTCAGAAATATATCCAGGAACCCAATATCATCCTTGCTGTATGTGCAGCCGATGTGGATCTTGCAAATTCAGAAGCTTTGAGAGCGAGTCGTAAAATCGATCCTTTGGGACTACGTACCATTGGTGTGATTACCAAAATGGATTTGGTCGAGCCTCAGGCTGCCGTGAATATCCTTGAGGTGAGTTGGCTCCACCAATTGGTTTAAATGAGTATGATTGACAGATCCAATGTATAACTTACCATTATGCTTTTATCAACTATTGATTGTACTGTGTTTTGAATATAGAACAAATCATACCCACTGGCTCTTGGATACATAGGTGTGGTCAACAAAACATCGTCACGAAGCTTTTCACAGGCACTTACTCGCCAAGAATCCTATTTTCGCAGTCATCCCGAGTTCAACAATGCCATGGTTGGCACTGCTACATTGCGACGTCGTTTGGTCGAAGTTCTTGAGGAGCACATGGGGCGGTCCCTTCACTCGATTGTTGATGCCTGCCAATCTGAACTAGACAATGCTCGTTACGAGTTTAAAGTGCAGTATAATGACCGTAGTATTACTGCCGAGTCGTATGTTGCAGAAAGTATGGATATTCTCAAGCAAAACTTTAGGCGATTTACCCAAGAATTTGGCAAGCCTCAAGTTCGAGAACACATTCGTGATATGCTAGAAAGCAAGATGCTCAAGATTTGTTCAGATATCTATTGGAGCGATGAATTTTTATCACAACTTCCACGCGAAGCTCTTGAATCTCCGTACTGGCAAAACAAACTTGACATCAGCTCTGCATTATTAACAAAGAGTGGTGTTGGAAAGTCTACTGTTCAGCTTGTTGTGAATTTGCTGACTTCCAAGATGGAAGACATTACCTCTAGCCCACCATGGAGTTTCCATGATGAAGCACGTGAACAGATTTTACAGTTTAGCGCCGAGATTTTGCGATCCAAGTTTCATACTACTGTGGATCAGGTAGAGAATACAATCAAGCCGTACAAATTTGAAGTGGACTGCACGGATTTGGAGTGGCATGATGGCCAAAAACGTGCTGCTACTTTGCTGGAATCACAAATTATTCATCAGCAAGCCGAGCTTCAAGAAATTAAATCAACGATTGGCCGTCGTCGTCTTCGAAACACTATTAAGCAAGTCAATAAGTTGGAGCGAGATGCAGCTGTTCAGGCAGCATCCTCTGATTCTGGTGCAGCGCCTGCACAACCCTCTACGTCCTCATTTTCGTTTTCAAACCTCATGTCTTCATCGTCTTCATTATTACCTAATTCAGATGATTTGCCAGACAATCCACTGGCCAACTCTAAACTACTTGAAAAAGCTCGACAAGCACTGCAAATTCAATCAGGATTAGCCACAATACAACAGCGTCTTACAGCAGTCAAATCTCGTCAATGTTCACTTCCTGAAAACAAAGTGGCATGTCCCGAAGTTTATCTGTCGGTTGTATCAGAAAAGCTTGCTTACACATCAGTCATGTTCATCTATCTTGAACTCCTCAGCGAGTTTTTTTTCCACATGCCGAGAGAGATGGACAACCGAATGTATTATGGACTGTCGCGCGCACAGATCCGCAAGTTTGCAAGAGAAAATCCGTCAGTGATGAAGCATTTGGACACCATTGAGCGCAAAGCTACGCTAGAAGTTGTGATGGAAAAACTAAAGACGTTGACTCGGAATGGCAAGTAATTTGAAATCTACGATCTTGGTTGGATATGATAGATGCCATATCGGACCAGTTCACAAGAGCAACATAGTTTTTTTTCACTTTGAAATTCCAGTTTTTGCTTTAATAATAAAAATGAATGCATGTTCCATTGACTCCAGTTGATCATTAACGAGTGATGATTCAGTTTGGATGAATCTGACTAGCACGTGATGTAACCTTCACTTTTTGGTTAAACTAGAAAGTGTTGATGTTCGTGCGTCGAGTATTTAAAGTTTGAATTCAGTCTGTCATGTCTGAGCCGTTGCTAGTTAACGAAGCAATAGGTACTTGTTTTTGTTGAGTATTCAAGATCGAGCTACGGTGCATTTAAATTGGTGTTTTAGACATTGCATCTGGCCAACTTGTGTCAACCATTGACACCCTTGATGACTTGGATAAACCAATGCTAACATTTGCATGGATACTGAAACACTCGATAAAGATCCAGTATACCCCAGTGTTGCACTTCGTAAACATACATGCTACGACTTACTTCCAGTTAGTTTCAAAGTTATTGTATTTGACACTTCGTTGCTGCTTAAAAAGGCTTTGACTGCATTGATCCAACATGGTGAATTATCTGTTCATTAATGACTGTTGGCTCAGAGTATACGATTGCTGAGTGATACTTGTATGTTGCGCAACGGAATTTAGGTGTTCAATCTGCACCACTATGGGACTCTGCTACCCAGGAGTTTGCTGGGATGCTGACGGGTAAGAATGACCAACAGATTCCAAGTTTAGATTCAAAAGACTAATTGTTTTCATGCTCTTTCAACATCTAGTCACAGATTTTATCCAACTGATTTTGTATTATCACGGTCGGAATGCAACATATGAAGAAGCACTAGAAGAGATTGATATACTAGACATATCTGCATTAAGAGGTGCCGTATTACAGATTTTGTAGTTTTCATAACAAGTGCTAATACAAATTGATTACACTAGCACTTGAACAAAAGATTGGATGTTTGCCTCCTCATATTGTCACGATCCACCCAATGGACTCACTGTATGAAGCTAGTCGGCTTCTCATTGAAAACAAACTGCATCGACTGCCACTCATTGATCGCATAGACAATGCCGATATCATTGTTTCAGTGGTCACCCAAAACAAAATCTTGAAGTTTATAGCTGCCAATGTAAAGCCTTGTGTTTCAACAGTTACTTGTAGCATACGCAGATTTGGCTAAAGCAACTTGTTTGAATTTAAATGTGTAGGTATCAAAGTTTCCACAGATGGATTTGACGTTACAAGAGCTTGGAATCGGTACTTATGCTAATATTGAGACTGCCACACCTGATACGACATTAATTGACGTGCTCAAGAAGCTTATTACTCGACGTATCTCCTCATTGCCAATTGTTGATGGGGATGGACGAGTTGTTAATGTATATGAAAAGTACGATGCATTGGTGAGTTTTGATCTTGTATTAGTTTTGCTTGAAAAGACGATTGAATCCTAACATGTACATGTCTGTAGATGTTGGCTAAAGATAGGTCGTTTTATAATCTGAACATGTCAGTTCAAGAAGCCCTGTTACGCCGTACACCAGTAGGTCTTTTTATATCAATTTGCATATACGACTACTGTTGATCTATGTTATGATTCCAGTGCTCATGATGCCATTTCAATGTCTTGACATGTAGGATTTTGAGGGAATACACTCTTGTGCCATTACAGACACACTTGGAAGAGTACTGGACACATTATGTACTGTGACAGTACATCGGTTTGTGGTTTTGGACGGGGATCGATTGCATGGAATGATTTCCTTGCGAGATATCCTTACATTCCTGATTTCTCTATAATAGTTTTTACAACTGTATTCACGTAAAATGGAACACCAAGAGTGTCAAAGTACATAATAACAGTCTATGGAATGATAATCCGCTAAATTTACTGGACAGCATTGTTTTTTGGATTGATTAGTTGATTGGATTCTTGATGATTGACATGTAGAGTTGCATTTCTGGAATGTAGAATTGGGTTTAAACCAGAACGTGTCTGAGATTAGAATACAAGATTAGTGGTTGTGCAGTGTATGGCAAATGGAAACAATTTCAGTTTAAACCTCTAGTTTGATTCATGACAGCAACACTCGCAGCAGTGGATGAGCTGGCTGCCAGAGTTCATATTGGTATACATAGGTACTGGCTTAATAAGATTGTACCATTTCATGATACTCGGCGATTGCATTGGCTGATATGTTGCTGTATAGAATCCATGACTTGATAGGAGCAGACGAACCTTGGATGGATGCGGACATCGAGGCAGATCTGTCAAGCTTGTTGGAGGAATTCGAGAGACTGTCTGTGCCATTGCCCAGTGCTGAACAGAAACTAGATGCTGTTGCCAGTCTTGTCAAAATACATCGTGAGCTGGACAGCTTTGACCAGTATTTACGGTCTGGTGAGCTTGTTGGAGCATCTGTGTCGCTTGGAGAAATGGTTCGGACATGCTTGAGTTGCAGTCTATCATGGCTGGTTCAAACATACTCAATCGAGAGTTGCTAACTTGTATACAATCGGACAACTGTTGTCTTGTGCTGTAGATGACAATCCTTGCTGATTTTGAAAGTGGAAAGAAGCTGCTCTCCGATCGTCGAACATACGACATCTTACAAGTACGCTCATCAAGTCTATGAAATGTGTTCGAGTCCTTACAAGAGTCCATATCGCATTCTTTTTAAACTAACTATGTCCTGTATTAGGAAGAATGTATAGATCGACAGGCAGCCATTCATTTTCAACTCAACGATATCTTTAAATCTGCCTATCAGTTCAAAGAGTCTGGACATGGCAACACTCAGCTGCAGGTTTTATCAACAATTGCATGTATGTATTGCTTGTATACGAGCAGTTTACTATTCGAGTCTGAATTCCACTCACATTCCATTCTGATGGTTTAGCGACTTCTCTGCTAAACTTTCACGATAATCCAATATCTCTGGAAGATCTGTTATTGGCTCTTGATACCTCTGGATTACTTGAATCAAGCATGATAACACTCGCTAAAAATATTGTAAAAGCATTTATCTTGGATTGTGACACAGTATGCACAGGCCCATTAACTATCAAAAAAACCAATACGTCTGCAGCACTGATTTCTACTTGTAGCCAAATTACTGATCGAGAATTTTATTCCTGCATAGGTGAATATTCTGTCATGATCCGATTATAAAACTTTATTACTGCATCTATCGATATTCACATGCTTTTTATTAGATCCACTATTGGAGCGGCTTGTATTGGTGACGACGTTTGTTACAGATCACGCTTTTACAAGCTCGTTCCAGCCTCCGCATATACTTGTGTCTATACTTTATACTGCCATATTTGATTCAGTGGTCAAGTTCATGCGACATGCTATTACTGAAGATCTCATGACTGAAAAATCGCTTCCCATTGCAGCAGATTCCATCATTGTATTTGAAAACTCACTTGAAGAAAAAGGTGTGTATTCTGCCATCATTTTCTATTCCTGTTTAGTGTATTAACACTCTTTGGATGAACAATCATATTTTAAATGTACAGGGCTGTGGAATCAAGAGTGTCCTTCTCTTTGTAATTTCTCGCGTACATTGTTTTGCAGACATATTGCTGCTGATTCCAATCGAGTGTTGTCAAATATTTCTCAGGTGTTTGACGGCATTGACGATAATATTGTAGCCGCGCCAGAACTCTTGCATAATGGTAGGCTTGATATATTTAATATTTAGACTATGATAAGAACTGAGCTGACATGCTTGAAATAGTTCTACCTGGGATGACCGGTTCATTGTCGTGTGAAACTACAAGTACAGGAAAGCAGGGAAAAGGTGGTCTGTTTTCTATCCGACAAGATTTTGAAACTCGTCAATATAAAATATCACAGCGTGCACTGGTTTTAGTCGAGGCTATTAGTCAACATTTAGATATGATCAAGCCAGTCTCTACAGATATTGAAAGGTATGTTTGAACGTTACTGATTATTCATATGCTTGAATTCTACTTACTGTATACTTGACTCGCACACATTATGAATCATAATGTGAGTAGACAGGATACGATGCAGTTGCTGCAAACCATCAAGAATATTTTGGAACTGTACCGCGCCAAGTCTATGCAGCTGGCTTCTAGCTCAGATGTTCAGTCACAGACTCCTATGCGAGTCATGACTCTCTACTGTGACTGTCTATTTATTTGTCAATATCTTGGACTACTGAATCCAAAATTGATGACATCCGTTCAAGATTCAGATATAGGTGTGACGTTTACAGATATGGTCCCATTTTTTCGTCAAATGGGTGAATCCGTATTTTTAGATCATATGGTAGGATAAGTTTAATACGATTCTGTACAAATAGAGTTGGCTTAATTTAAAATGTATTTAGGACAAGATCAAAATTTCTATTTATCCTGATCTTGAAGGTGCTTTGTCTTTCAAGCACACCAACTCGGACATCATGTTAAAACGATTAGTGTCGCGAATAAATGGCATTGCTCGTGAATGGAAGGCAGGTTATATTGGAAAGCTCGGGTTTTTCTAGAATATGTATGGCCAGTATGCGAGTTTTGGGTCTAACATATTAAAATCAAATGGCTTGTTTAGAAGGTAGCGCCTATCGAGATGTATGCAGAATCAGTTGGTGTACTAGTAGATCTAGTTATAGAGTCGCTGTTTCAACAGCTTCGCGCACTTGGTAAGATTGACCAATTCTGTTTACATTCAGTGCGATATGCGTTTTTGCAGCTCAAGCCTCTTGCATTGAATTTCTCAGTCTCGGCGAGATATACAGACACTCGGGTAATGACGAAACATGATGTTGAGCGGTTAGATGATGTTAGGCTGATATAGTTTGTCCATGTAGATATCCGTGTCACAGTGTTGCACCCATTGGGATGATTATCAGTCACTGATGGCTGCATTGGAACTGCTCGATCTAGCTCGAGTTCAGAAGATCGTTGATGCCAAGAAATAAAGCTTGCCAAATGTATGGTGTGATCACGTGTTATTCTTTTGCTTGAATTCGTTTTTTGAATAGAAATCTTCAGCAACACATTGACTGCTTATCTGACGGACACTTGCCCATCATCGACAACAATGGACGAAAAGGCTGGAGTAGAAGACCCAAAGCCCATCATCGAAGAAGGTTTGTGCATGTCTTTATTGTATCGTGCGAGGCTTTTGTGGGCACATTCATTGCTTGACACTACCAAAAGAAAACGAATGTCTTGTCACTGATACAACCTGCTGTCATATAACACACGGCTCTTGTAACCTTGAATGATGGCGTAAACTATAGAATGCGCCGAGTCTCATCACTGTCACCCCTTCAAAAACCTGTTTGATTCCTGCACTGCTAGAGTTGAGGGCGGCGAGGCAGGCGACGAAACCTGTGTGGAAGAGTTCTTTGATCTAATGGTATGTTGAGCCATTCCCAACAGCTTGCTGCGGCAATTCGACCTGTATACATATCGACCATTTTTATATTCTTGAATTATTATTCATTGTGCTTGAACTGACCGATCTTTTACATTAAATCATGGCAACCGCTTTGTATGGGTTGATTTCGATTCGATTTGAACTGGCATTGCGTAGGAATGTGTTAACCATTGCGTAAGTTGGTTTAAAACTCGTCGACTTGTTTACCACTACTTTAATCATTGAGCTGATTTTGAAATATCTTGACATGTTTGTTTTATATAGGCCACTCCCAAGATCTTTGCCAAGCTCCATTAGGCCATTGTTAAAGCACACATAATTAAGACTTTTTACGCCTTTTTTAAATCTGTTATCATGAGTTGTATAAGTTGGTGTAATATGTTGAGATAGAGTCCATCACTAGTTGAGAATAGCATTAACATGGTGCGACATTTAGTTTAAAAATTGTGAGCCTAATTACAATAGCCACTGCTATGAAATGGAACTGATTTGACGGATAAGTTTATTTCAATACCAAATCGTCCTTGCCAGGTTTTTGGTATTTTTTCAATTATACTCATTCCTGAATATGCAGTCCGTGTCTGCAGAAACAGTGCATTAGACGTATACGCATGACTACATCACATCATGCTAGTCTGCGCCGCTTCTTATTCCGCTGTTCGCCATCAATATCCGAAGTCTCGCAGAGTAGAGTGTCAGTGAATGGTGATGCAGATCGCGACACATCACCAGTGGGTGAACCAACACTTGATCCTTTTCCATTACCACCATTCATCCCTTTAAACAACCGTTTTTTTGCAGATGATAAATCTCTTTTACTTGCCGTGTACCGAGCTTGTCTTCTCGGCGTGACCCCGCCTACCATGAACCGACTTGGCGTCCTCATTGTCAACATCTGTGATCGAATTTCGTGCATTGCACTTCTTGATAACGTCCAAATCGATACATTGGATTCAGTAGATGTATCACATATAATCAAGAGTTCAATGATTCCGCTAGCCCACGGTGGTGGTTTTGTAGTTGAGGATATAGGTTGATTGAGATGTGTTGATGATTCGCACATAAACGGAGCAAAATAGGACGCAATATGTGAAAACTGGATCGATCGTTCAGCCATAGGAGTTGGTATAGGAGAACTGGAAAGCAAGTAGTTTGATGAAGATGGTGTTGTAGATCTAGTCGGGCCTTTACTTCCAAGCCCATCGTAAGACAAAAGAGAGTCTGAGCCACCTGATGTCAACAAGGTGCCAAATAACGATATGAATTGAAGAAGATTACGTTCAGCTGATGGAACAAGCAGCAACGCATCCCTAAATCATCATGGTTTTAAACAGTATATCAATACAATAAACAAGCAAGTATATATCCAACTATCCAGTATTTTTACCTGAGTAAGCGACGCGTTGCATTATTTGGTGTTCGAATGGTAGAATCTCGACGTAATGGTGCGGTTCCAGTAGCTTGATTTACAGCCAGAATTCCTTGAAATACCGGTTCCAGCACCTTGGGTATCAAATGATTTTGAGACATCAAATGTGTATGCAAGACTCCCAGTCCAATTTTTAAATGTGATGTTCCTTCGTGGCCAAACTCCATCCCTCTCATTATACCCAAATGGTTTAGTAAATTAGAGGTTTCAGACCCAGATCGACATGGATCTATCAAAACAGAGTCCAAATGTTCTAGAAACGCTAATAAGCCATCCTTGTTTACTGCTTCAACCACTGCATTCCATTCACTTGACTTATTGCTAAACCCCTTGTCATCATACGTATTAAACACACGCACAACACTCTGTGAATGTGCTCCTACACGACACACTTCTTTCAGTACATAGCGACAACAATAAAAAACAAATGCCGGAATTGGGAAATGATCGGTGACAAATATCTTTGTAGTACCGTCAGTGGTGGTAAGTGCTTGTGTTGGTGGAAGTTGCCAAGGCAATGCAGATGATGAGGTTGTTAATGATTGGTGGAGATTTTGAGCAAGTGGTGCAGAAACGTTGAACGTATATTCCATATTGTCCTATCATCCAAATATGTTTTAGATGTGTGATTTCAATGTGCAACAAAACGATGGCAGAAATCTACACAACTATTATCAATACAAAATACTTGAATTACCCATTTTAAACTGGATTGGGATGGCTGATCGTCAGGAACATAAAGTGGATTGTAAGAGCGACCCATGCTAAGAGAAAACGACGCAGTGTGTCTTTTTTGAACAGGTAGTTTGCGATTAGTACGACGCAATGGAGTAGCTAAATGAAACCTACGAGAGGAAATAGTTGAATCAGATTCTGTAGTGAATTGATCCTCATCGGGTTCAACAGGCACTTGAATATCCAGATATAGCGCTTTGCAAAGCCGGTCGCGTGCTAAACTTCTAGCAGCTGACAACTGCGTAGATGTCAATGCATAAATGGAATGGGCGGCAAGCTTGTCTTGCATCTCAACCAAAGTAGTGAGTTAGCATGTAGATCTGACTTGGAATGATTTGACAAGAGTATGCAGTGCTAGAGATTGTTGACAAGAGTCCGATACTCACCACTATCGATATCCATTCCACTGGACTGAAATACATCTAAAGATGCGACTACTTCCATATCTTGGTCTTCTTCCTTTTCTACTAGCAACAAAGAATTGGCTACATTAGCGTTGGTGTGGTTATGATTGGCAATACCTCCGAGTCTGGCAGATAAAGGGGATAGAGCGACTAGATCAGCAGTAGTTTGCTCAGACCTCTCTCGTCGGTTTCGCTTACGAGAAGAGTGTGAGCTTATGCAATGGGTTGAATGCTCAAGTCCGACCATAGGAGATGCCTGATTTGAAGTACCACACTTGATTGGAGAGTAAGTGTGGAGTGCACTGATACCCATCATCTTTAAAAACTACTCTTATGAGATCCTGCAGAATATAATGCTATTGGGAAGCGAGTCAAGTCGGAGGTTAAGATTCTAATCAAATCGCGTTTTACGGCAGGCCAACTACCATCAGTAGTCGAGTGTTGGTATCAAAAGTCGAGTTTGCTTGGCGTTGGTCAAACGCAACAGCGTGTTTGTAGTGTTATCTGATGTTCAAGTATATTTGGAATTGGTAATGTACATAATTCTAACTTGTACATCTTTAAAGCCACAGTTGTTTATCAACTCATTTTGTACTTGGATAAGCAAAGACTAGTCAAAACATCACTCGGAGGATTCCAAATACATTCCATTATTCTGTGTATGTAACCCATTCGACAAATAAATTCAAAACAGTAATACTAATTTAAAATTAACCTCAAACATTGCACCGGGTTCATTCCAAAAGTACAAAGAGCATGCAAGCGAATATAATCCTTTATCGGTTGGACTATGTAAAATAAATAAATTAATACACGACTTGGGTCATGATAAAGGCAAGCTAGTACTACGGTTACCTTTGCAACACGTTCAAGCTCGTCCTTCTTCTTGATTGCATAAGAGTTGGATGATCCTTTTGCAGCGTTAATGAGCTCATCAGCAAGACATTCTGCAATAGTCTTGACATTGCGGAATGCTGCCTCACGAGATCCAGTGGTCAAAAGCCAGATAGCCTGATTAACGCGACGGAGAGGAGAGACATCAACAGCCTGACGACGGACAGTGCCTTGACTACCAATACGGGTTGAATCTTCACGAGGACCGGTGTTGAGAACGGCATCAACAAGAACCTGGATGGGATTCTGATCAGTGAGCAAGTGAACAATCTCAAAAGCATGCTTGACAATGCGAGCAGCCATAAGCTTTTTGCCGTTGTTGCGGCCGTGCATCATGAGAGAGTTGGCAAGACGCTCAACAAGAGGACACTAAAGATCAGTGTTAGATTAGTTCAATACTTCAAGTGATGGATGGAATCAAGAATCGTACGTACCTGTGCCTTGCGGAAGCGCCTGACCTGGTAACGACCAGCAGTGTGGGGAAGGTAGACAGGGTTTGTCTTGACCATGACGTAGTCTTGGAGAGAGATATCCTTGACCTCAATGTCATGATAGCTAAAGATGAAACAAACAGGTCGAAATGAGTACACTGAGTAATTCAAATACAAAGATCCAGATATTTGAGGAGCAGCATGTTCCCACTGCAAACATCACTGCCATTACTGTTGCTGCTGCTCAACATTTTCCAGATATGAATTGCATCTCAGACTAATGTTACCTCCACTAGAGTTTACACATTCAAACATGTTAGTAAGCTTGATCCAAACAATCAGTAATTTCCATTCAAGTCATAGCTCTTCCCAGTCAGCTAAATTGTAGGTTTAGAACTCACCTTGTTGAAGAGCTTGATGGAAGTGGTGGTCTCCTCGGACTCGTCCCAGTTAGCAGACATCTGTCAGATTAAAAAGACTGGTTAGTCCAACAGATTATTGCAATGCATATACGGATGGATGCACAAAATCCCGATCCGTGGATGGATGGATTAGTAACAGCTGGAGCGACATACATTGATTCAGTGCCGGTTAAGCAGAGTCGCAGCCGTCCCAGTCTTGAAATTGGATGAAAATACACGTGATCAAATCCATACATCACGTGTTAAACTCACTTTGAGTCGTCGTGCCGTATTTTCAATGCCAATCTCCGCTTACGTCTTCATGTTTGGAAAGAAGTTGGTGCTCAAGACTTTGTCCAACAAGAGACCGCTCGATCATGACAGCGATGATGCAGCTGATTCTCATTCAGATACAGGCGTTTTTCGCTCGTCAACTACCGGATCCAAAGTTGCCCGTATAGATCAGTCCACTGCATCTACTACTGCTGCTCTCAAACAGTCGGATGATGAAGAAAATCCATTGGATGCTTTCATGAAGGATCTTGAAGCTACTAAGCCATCTTCCAATCCTTCTACACATAAACTTCTTGATGGATTTGACAATGAAGATGATCATATTGAAAGCTACGTTAAGCATCTGCAATCAAAAGGTGTTCAGATTGGTGCTGGAAACTCGTCAGCGATTCACCAAACAAGTGATGTAGATTCGGATGAGGAAGTCTATGCCACTGCGCGAGCTATTGATGCTCAGGAAATGCGAAATCTGGGATTGAATGAAATGCATGCTGCTGATGGATCCAAAAAAGAAATCGATCCTTTGCCCTTTATTGATCATGCAGCCATGGATTACCCAGACTTTTCCAAAAACTTTTATACCGAACATCAAGATATATCTCAATTGAGCGACACGCAAGTTCAGACGATTCGTCAGCAACTCGATATGCGTGTCTTTGGCAAGCATGTACCACGGCCTTGTATCTCATTTGCTCACTTTGGATTTGATGAATCGCTACTCAATTGTATTATCAAACATGGCTACACCGAACCAACAGGAATTCAACGTCAGGCTGTTCCTGTTGCATTGAGTGGCCATGATTTAATAGGTATTGCTCAGACTGGAAGCGGCAAAACCGCTGCCTTTTTGTGGCCAATGCTGGTTCATCTTATGGATCAGCCCGAACTCGAGCGTGGTGATGGTCCTATTGGATTGGTTCTGGCTCCAACTCGTGAGCTGGCCCATCAGATTTATCTCGAAGCTAAAAAATTCTCCAAAGCTTATCAAGGCGTCCGAGTCACTGTTCTCTACGGCGGAGTAAGTAAAAACGACCAGTTTAAGGAACTTCGTGCGGGAGTCGAAATCCTGGTAGCTACACCTGGCCGCCTCATTGATCTGATTAAAATGAAGGCTACCAACCTCACTCGTGTTACATACCTTGTCCTTGACGAAGCAGATCAAATGCTGAATCTGGGATTTGAACCTCAAGTTCGATCCATCTGTGACCATATCCGTCCCGATCGTCAAACTCTTTTGTTTAGTGCTACATTTCGCAAGCGCATTGAACATCTTGTGCGCGCGTTACTCAACAACCCTACTCGTATTTCCATTGGTAATGTTGGCCAGTCTAATAGTGATATTACTCAGATTCCTGTGGTTTTGGAAAACGATGGCGTCAAGTTTGGATGGCTGACTGCCCATTTACCTAGACTCGTTGCTCAAGGACCTGTTCTTGTGTTTGTATCGCGCAAGGCTGGTGTAGATGAGCTGGCTTCCAATTTGAGTGCGGCTGTAGGCAGATCGATTCTATCCTCTGAATCAAATCCTTTTCCAAATCAACAGCAAATTGCTAGTGTTGTTGGCGCACTCCATGGTGATCTTATGCAGGCTCAACGAGATCAAGTTCTCAAGGAGTTTAAAAGTGGCAAATCGCGAGTGCTTGTGAGCACAGATGTTGCATCCCGAGGATTGGATATTAAGGGTGTCAAGACTGTCATCAACTATGATGGTGAGTCAATTCATTTGTTTCAAATCAGGTTGATTGATTTTAACGCTGGTGTCACATATACCTCGTACAATACTATATAGTATCCAAGGATATTGACTCGTATGTTCATCGTATTGGTCGAACGGGTCGTGCAGGAGAAAAGGGAACAGCATATACACTCATCACGATGCAGGAGGACCGGTTTGCATCTGATCTGGTTCAGCTGATGGAAAACGGCAATCAAGCCCCAACGGAAGCATTGGTAAACTTGGCCATGCAAAATCCATGGTTTCGCAAAATGAAGCAAGGAGGTGGTCGTGGAGCAAGAGGGGAGGATCGTGGAAGAGGTCGGGGAAGCAGAGGAAGAGGGCGTACTGGACTTGGGTTCCAGCGTGGTAATAGAGGTAGAGGGGGAAACCATGAAGTCGGTACAGGATCCAACTCATTGCATTCATCTATTGCATTCACTCGTAGCGGAACGTATAACAAATAATTCAATGGCGAACCTTTTTTTATAACCAGAGATTTTTCAAACTCAATAGATACTCGGCTAATATTTTATTCAGATTGGTATTTCAAACCAGTGGTTTTGGGCGGATTGGTTTGAAGCCGCTTTGAGAATCTAAACTTGTCATTTAGATTGTCGATTGTTCTAGTCAAGCTACTCTAGGTTTAGCAACCTTTACTGTTGACATAAATCATATACACGGCTTAAAATCCATTAAACAGATGGTGAAACCCTCGGGCGGACAAGACTCGATGAGCGAATAGTGTCAATTTTTAAATAATTCATTTTATAATAAACCAGTCTGCAGCATATAGATCACTCAAGAATCCCAATTGGGTCGTTTTGATGCAAGTAAAAACACTGAGTCATCTCGATGGATAACAATATCTGGAGCAGGATTTACAAGCACGTACTTGACAACTTGAGGTGTCCTATTCCGTTTGAATTTAGTTTCCCGGCTATTTCCAAATGCACTCGACCCGGTGTAAGTGGTGCCTCGATCAACCGTGCGACGATACAATCCTAATGGTATTGCACCATATCGCATCACAATGTACCCAAAGAATGATCCATACAGCAAGCCAGAGAATCTGCCATCTGACGGCATATGAACTTGGTAAAAGTTTCCGTGGTTGTCCGAGTCATGCATTGCAATTTGATCATCAGTTAGACCAAGCTGCTCAAACGATGACTGAGCCGTCTGCCCCATTCCGCCATACATCGACCCTTGCATCCCATCACTGGCAAACCCTACAGGAACTTTGGTCGTCGCCGTTGTTCCATTGAACAAAAACATCTTCAGTACACGTAAAAGATATTCGTTATAATACGTTTGGCAGAGAATCGAGTGAAACAAGCTTTGAGAAAAAACATGTCCACCCACAAATGCCGGAATCATGTTTTGTCCGTGAATGTCATTCACATCGCTACCAGATCCCGTCTGTGGATGGGGTAGGTTCGATGATGGGGAAACGCTGTTTGATGCTCCAACAAACTTCATATTTTCTCGATGAACAAACTCGACCATGATAAATAGCTTCTGTGATGGTGTGGTACGAGTATCTGGAATAGCTGATGTAACAGGTATCGCTGTAGAAGCATACTGAACAGCTCCCTTGTTTACCAAATTACTTGGTGGTCGAGGAATTTTGGAAACCCGCGCAAATGCCTGTGCATTGGTCTGTTCCTGGTTATTAGACGGGCTAGATTGATTTGTGGACAACGCCTTTGGCGTTTTTGAAGAAGATGCACACATTGCCTGAATATTTAGCAAGGAAAGCAGCGCGGGTGCATCGGCAGATCGGTCTAATATGCTTTGTTGACTAGGATTGACCAAAACAATTGCACGAGATGCATGCTGTACCAATGCTTTGCGTAAATCCTTTCGAAGCAATGGTGTACCAACGATATAGTATATGTTGCGAAACGCTGATAAAATTTCCCACTCTTCATCTGAAGGTGGGCCAGAGCAAAGGAGAACAATCGGACATTTATGATCTTTATGGCGAAAAGGAGCAACAAAATAAGCTAGATTTTTTGGAAACGATTCTGCGAGTGAGCAGAGAAGAAGGTGACCTGTAAGTGTTGCTGGAACGGATCCTACTTCCACGGTAGGAGAAGCGTTTGGAACTTGCGATGCTGTTGGAGTTGATTGACGTGGTGTTAAAGGCGTTTGAGCGGATAATGGCCGGACCGCATTTGGTGGAATAGGGGTTGCAATATTTGATAATACAGATGCTTTTGGCGTCACCAATTCAGTATCTGACAGTGCGCTTTGAAGGTCATTGCTAGCATATGCGCTGATGCTTTCAGAATCAGTTGAAGCAGTGATTTTCAAGGGTTTAGTAGAGCTGGAGCCATTTGATTGTCCCAATGAAGCTCCAGCGAATATGCGAGAAAACAACCGCTTTTTTTTCTCGTTTGTAGCCGTTTTAAGTGGCGATGACAAGGGAGCAGGGGATTGACTAAAGTGATCCGTAACACTCTCTACCGGATCATCTTCAGATACCAGAGTGTCAATCTTGGGCTGAATTTCTGGTAGAATAGGGTTAGAAATATTACTTAGCACTTGCTCGGCTGTAGGTGCCTCTTCCTCCACATCCACTGGTCCATCTTTTTGACCGTTTCCAAGAACAATCAACTCATCAATGGCCTTGACGCGTTTCTTACTGTTTCGTTCATAATTTTGCAACAACGAGCTGCTGGAACCAAACGATCTTTCCTGACTATCATCATGTTCAACTATAGAGTTTCTTGAAATAAAATTACCAAAGAGTGGCGAAGTCAAAGAAACCGATGTGCTAGGATCCGCATCGCTACCAAAACTCATCGATCTACGGCCGTTTAAATCTTCCGGTGGAGAAATGCCACAGGATGGATCAAATGATACGGATTGCGGTGCTTGGACAGCCTCAACATGATTAGTCGCTTCTGTAGCTACAGCAGCAGCTTGTTCCTCAAGCTGTCGCACGCGATCTAGCTCAGCCAAGTAAGTTTTTACCCATTGATCAACCTCATTCGGAGTCATATTCGAGCCAGCTACAGTATGATCCCCAGTGTCCGAATCTGAATGCGTAGTTTCGTCATTCAAATTTAAAACGCCCTCTCCAGTCCAACTCTCAGAACTCCATAACAGCCCATTTGAAGCAATCTTTGAGGCAATGTGACTATGCGTGGTCAGTATATATGCCATCTCACCACCCCTCAACACATAATTTAATGGATTGAATACAATATTGTGCTTAGGATCCCGCCCAGATTTCGTATTCGTAGCTTCCCCATCATCATCCTCGCAGTCCTCAAACCCCAGTGCAAACATGACTGCATGATGCTCTTTATAAATTTGTGCAACCGCAGCAGAAAACTTTACACCAGCATAGCATTTAGCAGAAAGTTTAACAGCGTAGAGCTCCATTCTTGCGCCTGCAAAATACTCTTGAACCCATTGAGATTGGTTGTCAAGTTTCAAATTGCTTATAGCGCGATCAGGAATAGATGTTGTTATCAAATACATAAAGGTTGAAAATCCTGGAGCAAGACTGTTCTGAGCCAGCATTCCCATCATAAATTCGTCAATACAAAGGGTATGGTCAGCCAAGTGAACCAGATGGGTTTTGTTTCCTGGAAGCAAAATTTGAGCAAACACTTTGAGTGAATCGTGGTATTTTCTCAATGCCTAATGCGTTACATCAATAACCAAAATAATGGCATTAGTAGTTGAAACTCGACACATTCGGCTTATAGTGTGATAAACATACCAATGCACGCATGACACTTTTTGCATCTTCTTCGACAGGATCGGCGTCGCGGTTTCTGCTTGATAAAATAAATGCAGCTTCGGCATGACTAGCACTAACCTTGTGTAGACTATGAAACGACATGGCACTTCCCTTGACATACTGAGTACGACTACTATAGATTGGATCGGTCAAAAGTGCTTGTAGCTCCTCATTCGGTTCCTCGGGATTAAGCATAACAATCTGCGTATTCATTGTCTTATGGCCGTGGTCTTCACAGAAAAACTCTCTAAAAAAATCACGCAAGTTGGCTACATCAAAATGACCAACAAGGAGAACATGGTTTTGATTTGATGATTGACTATAGCGCCTATCGTACTTGCTTTTGCTACGAATGAGCATAATGAGATCCGAGAGAGATGTAGGGATGAAAATGGCGCCAACAATCATGACGTAGAGAGTGATTATTCGACTAAAAAAGTTGTCTGGGACAATGTTAGTGCTCAGACCGCTTGTAGAACTTACGGCAATAGTGTAAAACACATCAAAGAAACTGAGATCATAGTATTTTTGAATGATATAGAGACAGATGTGAACCCATGCGGTCACGGTAAACAGTGTATTGAAGATGGATAAACCAATATTAAGCGTCTTTTGAAGGATAGGAGAGATCCGAAACAAGACATTTTTTCTATTGTTACAATAAAAAGTAAAGTTTAATAAAACCCATCTGTGTTATCGCAGCAAATTGGTTTGGTGAAAGGGATGCAAATACAAAACCCATTCATTAGTGTCGTCAAACAAATAGTGTATCAATGCATGCTCACCCAGGTCTTAGACATCTGCTAATGGAAATATGCAATCGCCAGAATCTTAATGGATACAGAAACACAAACAAGCCGCCTTCTAGAAACGAGTTTTCGTATCGCTCCTGCCAGAGATATGCCCAGATCACAGGCAGGGTTGTCGAGAGAGAAAATAGGGTCAGCATGGACGAGAAAGCTTTAATTGGATCCAGAGAGATGTACTGTCTAGGAGCCCATTGCAAAAACAGCAGCAATGCAATGACAAAATCAACATCTTCGAGAATCTGCGGAGGAGGGGGTGGAGGAGGGATTTGATTCCTGCTGCCCATAGTATAGCTAGTCATGGTGATATAAACTGCAACAAATGCCATGTTGAACACAGAATCAACGAGATCCCACCTACATGTATAAGAATGCAAGTTAATTGACGAGAGCTGGACGAGGTTGTTATTGAAATAGTTACCATCTTGCTAGATGAGAACTGTCCAGTTTGTATGACAGCTGTTCTCTCCAGGTTGGTTCGTCGTCCTTTCTTGAGCCTTTGGGAGCAAATAGACTAGAGAATCCCAAGTGTCTGCCATGCACAGATGGCTCGTCTTCCGAGACGTAGTCGTCAGATTCATCGTCCTGTTCGTAGTAACGAGACTGCGTGTAGAAATGGGATGTTGCTCTGGATGGTCGTTGTGTGGGCTGAGGAAGCAGAGGCTGCTGTTGCTGGCCATTCCTGATAATAGCTCTTCTCACACCCTGCATCATGCTTGCAGGATTAACCAGTTTCAGGCTATGGAAGAAACTGACAATCGAGAACAAAGCCTAAGCATTCTCAAGGACTGTTTATTGCATTCCGGATCAACTGCAGTATCCATCGATCGGTATTCACCAACACCAGTTCATCTCTCTGCAGACTCACTGATCCAAGCTTATGTTTTCTATATTCCAATGCATGTTGATACTCTTTGTAGAGCATCGCAACCATGCTCTTGATGTGCTCGTTGCGCTGAGGAATCTGCTTAAACTGCTCTTTAATCCTCTGGGTTATGCAATCACAGTGGATCTTGCAATATAAATGTTGAAGAATCCACAACGAACACATACTCGGGTTGAATCCTCTGCGTGGCCTGCCAAACTCGACCCGATATAGTTTTGGCGACGCCATGGCCAGATCCACAATGGCGTCGATGATATCGATCTGGGTTTCTTTGTAGATTGATTTTGGGTCTTTTGATTGAGCATTCAACACTCTTGGAATATCTTCAATCGCAACGGATTCCAGACAGAGTAAAGCTGCTTTTTCCAATAAAGTAATTCCCTCGATTGTCACTGATACGCAGCCGTTGAGATCTAGTCGACGAAGAAATCGACATTCATTAGCAAGTCTTGACAATACCCCATCAGTCACATGAGGGTTGTGTCTGCATGATAAATCCTGCAACATCTTGCAGCTCTTTCCTAGACAGGAGAAAAAATCATTTCCAAGATGCGGGATATAGTTCACATTGAGTGATCGTAGATTTGTACATGCAAATCCAGTTTGCATGGTTAATGGGTATATTTCTACTTTAAACATGATTGCTGAAGGGGTGTGGAGTGAGCCTGATATATCCAACTTTTCGAGACGACTGGATTTTGTCAGAAATGAATTGAAAAAGGTTGTATCGTCAAAAATGGTGAGCGACTTTAGTGCAAGCAAGCGAAGAGTGGATGCATGACGTTCAAGCATTGAAATGACTGTGGTTGGCATGCTTGCATTTGTAATGGAAAATGATTCAAGGAAAACAAGTTGCTTTAATAGATTGGCGAGGTGAGCTGGATTGGTTAATGATGCATCCAGCATGTCGAATCTGGAAATCCGTGCTGTAAACCGCGACTGCGTTGGGAATGCAATGACAGAAGAAATGGGCATTTCAGAAAGATCTGAACTCAATGCTAGACTGGGCATTTGATTGAAGGTCGTATTGCCATCCATATGGTGTGGTGGCTCTACAAAATCGTTGGCATCGTTCAAAGTAGATGTAGTCATCACAGCAGACATGATAATTTGTGATGGTTTGGAAAATGGGAAATTCAATGACCATGCAACATCCACTGCATATTGGAAATTGCATTTTTGGATCGATACATCTAGTATACGAATAGCTGGCATCAGCACGTATGATACATTTTTGATGATACTTTCCTCGTCTGCCTCGTCAAAAATGTCATCTGATGAACTATAAGGATTATAGGCTCTTGTTGCTGGCTCAACTGAGGCAGGAATGAGTGCATCTTCCAAAGTGGTTTGATTTGTCAAGATCATTCGAGTTGTTTCACTATGCGGATGTGTAGTCAACATGTGTTTGTATGACAGACCAACACGGACATCAAGTGATCGAAGCTGAGGACACAGTGAGATTAAAATACCCACAATGTATATCTGACCAAGAAAGTGAGACAAGTCACGGAACGATGATGATCGATTGTATGGCATGGCCAAGTCGAGTTGGATATGACGGACATAGCAAAGCGTGTCTGGATAAGTTTGAAGAAACTTTTTGGGAATTGACTGTATTGTTCCCAAGCTGTCTAGATCAAGATATATACGATTTTCGGCTTTGCGAATTATTTTTTGTAAAAATCCTTCTAAACATGATCATTCAATACATGGATTAAACACACTAATCGATATTTCTCAAATGGAGAGTGTTTAAACGTACTAGGCCGATCTTGACCACAAGTGGTTAAAACGAGTTGCTTCCATAGTGATGGCTTGCCAATTGCCCGCCATCTCCGACAGCAGCGCACACATGCCTTTATTGTAGACATATCAGCATTCTGTAGAATCATGTTTAGCAATTCATCGATTCCCAAGACCATTTGAGCAACTGCAGAATGGTGTGCAGTTACAGGATGTGGTGCTGTAGTTTGTAATGCGGTGTTCACAGCGATCATGGAAATGCTAGTTGAATGCACACCAGCCAACGACATAAATGAATAAAAAGTGATTGAATATCAAAATATTTCTGATGAGAGTAACTTGAACGTAGAGATTCTGTTGGGAAAAGTCAATGCAAAGTGTGGCGATTGAGCATAAAATGGAAAGCGAGATTCTTATGGCGTTTTTTTGAAAGCATAAAATGGTTTTGTTGAAAGTATGGAGAGCGAGTTGGAGGCAACTGAAGGGGTGGATGTAGAAAGACTGGTTGAATGCGCAGAACATCACTTGGAAATAACCAGCTTGAAACAGCTGTAAAAGCAAGACTTTTTGTGCACAATGGAAATATCCACGTAAGCGAGTTGAGCCTTTTACACGGTCAATAGAAAGACGAGTCTTTAAGTCATACGCTGTTTCTACACACAACTGTAGTTGAAGATTCATAACTATTGAACACATTCCAACTTTATCATTTCAATTCCAACCAGTTCAATGCCATCTGGCAGTGTGTACAAATTCATTGCTTGAATCTCGATAATTTGTAATTTTTTTATTCAACGATTCAAAGGCTGTTTGCATCTTGTGCTGCTGGATTGCTAATTGGTTTGCTGTCCAGACAATCTTTACAGCAAGCATTCACATCACTTATACATGATGCAGTGTTTTTCATTGAAAACACTGTCTATGAGCAGAACTATTTCATTGACGGTTGGTGTTGATTCATTGAATGGGAATCTTCAACATTGGATTCGGCTATGCATGGTCTACTCACATGGCTATATATAACTATGTAATGATAAACAGACTATTCGCTCATTGTCAGTCAGCAGCACTGGAACCGCTTTGGATCAAGCACACCTTCTTGCTTCGGCATTTCTTGATCAGGAACGACTGCAAATTCAAGGTCGTATTTCCAATCTCACTGAACAACTCAAGTCTGTAAAAGGAGAGGCTGCTTTAGGTTTGTTTTGTATTAAAGAACCGATCTGTATTTTCTTTCAAATAATGCTGTAGCAATTTCTCAACCATGCTGTCATATGGCAATCTCTTATCAACGCCATTGTAATCTATTTTTAGATTTAGAGCTCCAGATACGTCGCAGTAAAGTAGAATACGATCTATCCAGCATTGAAACTCATCGTTTGTTCAATGATGGAAAAGGTATCCATTTAGTATACATGTTTTATCCGAGTCATGGATCAGCAGAAATACTAATTGCAATCTATTCAATAGTTGGTAAGCGCTCAGAGCAGCTTGGCGAAGATGTGTTTTTTACAATGATCAACCGCAGATGGAGGGATTATTTACGACCTAAGCTTCTCAAAAGTGCCCAGCAATGGAAACTCATGAAGGATGTTTTTCCTGCTGATTTTGTTCCAACTCTTGGATTGAATATCAACTTTCCCAAATCAAATTGGCTTGCTCCTTTTGGTCAGCATGTTGATCCTACCAAGGTACTTATTTTTAGTGCTTTATGGACTTGTGTTTCCGGCAATGATTGGCTGCTTACTCGTTGATTCTACCAAATCTAGTGCCTGTACTCCCCTGAAATAATTATTACTAGAGATTTTGATACTTTAAACACTGATCATTATACTCTATTAATGACTGATCTTGGTGAGTCTTGCATTTTTAATCGCTCTTATTTTTGTAGGCGTATGGCCTTTACAATAGCGTAAGCAGTAGATTCGTCATCTAATATATTTGAAAAATAATCAATATAGACCGTCCTAATCTGGATACAAAATCTTACGAAGAATGGTGTCATTGGCTAGTGTAAGTCTAAAACCAACTGTAATGTGCTTATTGTTGCTTGTGTAGTATTGCAATCTAATAGCAATTTACTCTTCAATAGCACGGACATTCCTGTTGGACGTTCCGCGGAATTCCCTGGTGGTGTATCACCTTTTTTCAAACCAGAACGACTTGTTAACATTGATCCTTTGTCAAAATTCGCGCCTATTGTGGAAGCCTCTCGTGCTAAATCCGATTCTCAATCTGAAAATCTCATTCCAGGAAATGTAGTGTTTCCCTATATTCCACCCCATCCAACATTCTCCAATCCTCGCCGTGTACATCGATATGTGGTAACACTTTTCAAGCAGCCCAACAAGACCACTCCACTCAACATCGATATGTCAAAACTGCAACTACAAGCAGAAACAGATCGAGCACAGATGGCCAACGCTCAAAAGGATCTGCCTCTATCAAGTCGTTTCCACGAGACCGAAGGTGAAATGGCCCTTCAAATGCGCGAACGTTTCCTTGTTGCTCCAACAATGAAATTTGCCAAGGACTATAACTTGGAACTTGCTGGATTTGGTTTCATTACTTCATCATGGGTTCCTGAAACATCGCATGTATTTACAGGGCTGAATATCCACGAACCTGTTTATGGTAAAAAGTATAACCAGTTTCCCAAAACTCTAGCCTTGAGACTGCATGCATCCAAGGAAATGATGTCCGAGCTGAATAAGCCTATAGCACAGTTGACAAGGGAGGAAATAAAGAAACTGAATGCAGGAAAACGGCCCAGTTTTGATCGCAGCCGTGTTATAACAACGGGTGATGTGCAGCTTGGATTGATTCAAAAGGTCGAAGCAGAGCGTGCTGCTAAAGACAGCAATGAGCCAACCAAACAGCGCAAATCCAAGGGAATCAAGAATACAGAGCCAGTGATGACTCCAGTGAAAAAGATGCCGCGTTTAACAGAGATTGCTGCTGCTGCACTTGTGAGAAACAAGCCTTCTGACGTTGCATCCAAAATCCAAGGATCCATTACTTCTGAAATTCTAAACAGAAGAAACCGATTTGAAAACAGATAAACGTTGTCTGCTCAAAGGGTGGAGCAATCTAGCAGAAATAAACTAAAGTTCAATAAGAGCTTGAAATCTATTCATTGTTTATTATTGCTGAAATGGATGGTAAATCTGCACTTGCTTTCTGATTGAATATTTTGGCAAGAGTATCTTCATTCAAGATTGAGCAAGATGTTTGATCAAGGTATCATCGTCAATATCACCGCCATGAGTTAGTAGCGTACTAAGTTGCCATATTTTAAGTACTCCCTCGGCATCACCGCTTGCAAAGTATTCGGGCCTAATGGGGTTAAATAACCCTACTGGCGCAATTTTGACAGTAGATTCTGTAGCTTTGATCGTTACAGCCGGTGTACTTTGTGATACCTACCAGCACCATTATAATCAACAAGTCAATGCAAAGCTACTTGAGATGGTGACAAAGTTGATTCGTATCTCACTTACAGTTAGGTCGTAAAAATGTATATTTCCCTCTTGAGTTGTGCACGCAAACACTGCAGATCGAAAGGGTGACCATTGGGCTGAACAAATTGGTTGCTCCGAAGGCTCCCATGTCATGATCGGCTTGGGCTAAACCAGTTGAATCCATTGGTATACAAGGTAATGCATAGATTGGCATTTCTAGTAAGTAATTAATGTAAAAGTAGATTAGTCCAATATGCAAAATACCGTGTTTATACCTGTAGTTGGTTGTATAGTCTGATGGTACCATCACTGCCACAAGTAATGAATACATTCCGATGAAATGCTGATTGTGAAATGGACTGGACTGGCCCCACATGCGACATATACGCCAGTGAAACTACATTTGGTAAGCTTTCTAGATCAAAATACACATATTTTAATTAGCAATGCCAACAGTCTATTCATATAAGAAATCAGAATGCAACGTGCGTAAATGACTGAACCGACCTTTAACCTCTTGTTTTGGTAAAATTTGCGTCACATTTGCAAGTGTACATTTCAATACATGACCAGATTCTGTACCGATTAGGTAGTCTTGAGTGTTGTGTGTTGAAACAGATATAGATGTAATACCCACTGGCGAATCTAGTCTAGATTTGACTGTAGTTTGGCGTATTCGACTTGAAATGTTGCTCAGCATGATTTGAGATCTAAGTAGAAATGCATGAATGAAATAAGCTTTGGTTGTTAATACAAATAAAACCATACTAAGCTATTGATGCATTATATATAAATTTAAATTGTACTACTTGCATGGCTTTTGGTTTAGAAAGTTTATTGTCCAAGTCCCATATGAGTATCTTTCCATCATTTCCCACGGACATGAGCTATGGCACCATTCGATAAGTACAATTATAACGTCAAAAAAGCATTGCATGTTTGAAAAATGATTTTTAAATGCACCTACATCAAACTGGCCGTGTTTAGTAGAGCTTGGGATCCATACGACTTTTGCAATGGGTTCTTGATGTGCTAAAGCGGTTGAAGATGACAAGGCAATAATTGGATTTTGTGGGTCTGTGGTGGACCAAACAGTGATTTCACCATTGAATGCACCACCAGCAATTATAGATGGAATGTCTGGATGAAATGCGACACTCATCAAACAGCTCTGCATGAATAAAATAAATGAGATTTGAGTAATCAATCTTTAAATTCCAGTATGTTGTCGGTGCATCTATGAACATCATAGTATTATACATACTGACGTTTCTGCAGTAAAGGTGCATGCATCAAAACCATGATTTCGATACGACATACTCCAAAGACTTATCATGCCTTTATGTGCACACCAACTAGTATGGTCTAGTCGACCGTGTCTGTGTTCAAATACGGTGACATGTGTTTAAATTCACAGTAGTGTACTAATGATAAAAAGGCTCCATTTGTATTAGATAAAACTCACGATGTGGCAATGACTGAGCCGGCTTTGTTCCATGACAAATCTGTACAGCTCAAACCCGGAAGTTTGTGTGGGTGGTTGAATGTAGCTAAACAACTCACTGAATCAATTTCGTCTTCCCATTTGACATTGTAGCCTAAATTCAAATCAATCAACATCACAGCAGGCTAACCATAGAAATGGGTTTAAAGTAGTAAACCATTATTATATAGCAAGACTTTACCATGAAAAGCAGTGCTTTTGATATTCTGTAGCAGGAGAGACGAGATATCTGATTCAACGCGAGTCAGAAACGAAACCAAAGAGGGTAAATCCAACTTGGTCGAGTTCAATTTAGATTTTGAAATAGGTTCACTATCAGTTTGTATCTAAATTTAGTAGCAATAATACTGGTGAGAACATGCATAACTGTGAACCAAGTACATGCTAATCTGTGTTCCTGCCACAAGTACCTGAATGGAGCAAGAGCGTGTTGTTTCTACAGCGGTATGGGTCGTTTCAATAGGGGAAGTTTGACAAGAAGTTGAAGCCAATACAGACTCTTTTTTCCAACAAGAAGCAATAGATACGTCGTTGAGGGAGGTGTTTGAGGAGAACATGATAAGCCAAAAAGTGGATTTGATGAAATCGCAAGAAGGCGGGTTAAGTCACGTGGAAAGGAAACAACTTTAAACGACAAATCGGAAGTTTTGACTGACCACAACAGCAACTACTGTGAAAGTGAAGCGATCACAACTATTGCTGGAGAAACTGTATTGCTGTAAAGAGCTTTCTGGAAGTTTCTTTATTCTAGACTTATCTGAACTTGGGAAACAGCACTCACAATAGACAGCTCCACCATTGGCCATGTCGTACATCAACACACCAGCCAAGTTTGCCTTTGGCTCATATGACTATGCATGCAATCAACTAGCAATGCCACTATGTCCACTAGTGGGCTCTTCCAGTGTAGAACCAATATGCTATTCCCGTAATGTAGAAGTGGCCAGTACTCTTGTTTTTGAGCCTGGTAAGTCGATATCGATCCAATAGACTATTGCTCTACTAATCAACGATACTCTCAAGGATGGATAGAATCTCCATCCTTGAGTCCATTGACAAACCCTGCCTTTCCAGAATCAGTTTGGTAATGCTTTGTGGTGTTGGTGTACTCATACTACATGACTCGGGACAATCGTACTATATCCACCCCGATTCGACTGCATTGCTTGCCCATCCATACCTAGTGTTGATATGCTAGGTTTGCAGATATGTTTATGGCACTACCTCTTGTTAAATGGCTGATGCCATTCTCCGACATACTAAAGCAACTGATTACAGCCACCACTGATTTGTAATTCCTTCCAGGCCCACCCTTTCACTGCATCCCTCTAGATTCCGCCTAACCGACTCTCCCGTTGAATACACTTATTTCATTACTAACCTTTATAACATGTCTGGATATTGATACCCTTTCCACATTCAGCTACTCTGATGATCCATTTAGTTGCTTTGGTCATGACCTCTATCATGATTTTTCATATCAAGTCAAAGTACACGGCTGTGGGTATGTTTAGTCTTTTGTGCACACGAATGTTTGAAATTCCAATTTTCTACTGGATACTGTGATAAGCACTGACAGTTCTTGCTCTTTAAACTTATGCCTCAAGGCCGCAAGGAAATTGTTCTTTTCTTTTATCTCTATGCTGCTACAATCCTAGTCGAATTCTTTGTTCTTTCTGGCATTATTCCCACATCTTTTAATGGATACCTTGTAAGTCTCGCTACCTTGAATTGTCTTGTTAGTTATATTGTACTCACTTTAATGGTGATTGGAATACACTCTAGTACTTTGTGGCTGCGCATATTGGATTGGGAATGGCTACTCTTTGGGCACTCTTTGTTAATGGGTTTGTTCCCTTTCAATGGATCGAAGATGGCACTCGACTTTCTCTTTGGACTCTTCGTATTTCCTCTATAGTTATTTTTTGTGTTAGCTTCTTTATCAGTATCGCAACATTCCAAAGCGTTGCTGGGTTTTCAAAAACGAATCCTACCTTCTTGTGGATCTGGTACTTTGTCTTTGGTGGCGCGTTTGTCTTCATCTACATTGCTTGCCAAGTCTCGGTTGTGATCACTTCTCTTGAAGACCGCTGGCCACTGGCAGACATTTCCTTTGGTGTTGTCTTTTTCATTGCTGGACAGGTTTTCAATTTTGCTCTTAGTCCCCAAATCTGCGAGTTGACAAAACATTATGTGGATGGTACATTTTTTGGCACCATATTTACACTGCTGAGTGTCATGATGGTGTACAAATTTTGGGATTCAATCACCAAGGAAGACTTGGAGTTTAGCGTTGGAGGAAAAGGAAATAACTGGGAGATTCATGATCCCCTTTTGGGAGATTCGGCCATGGCTTCGTTTGCCAAGGGAAATGATCCAGTTCCGCATAGATAACTTAAGGTTTTAATTATGTATTTTGAGTTTCGTTCTTTGTGATGCTCGGCATGATATTGTCCTGGTTGCTGGAGCAGTCACCGCACTGGTTTGTTTTCCATTTCTTTTCCATTCAAGTCTTATTTTTTACTTCAGTGCGAGGTGGGCCATTTTTTTTCAAGTTGTGAATAGGTTAGCAATAATATTTGGAAATATTTCCTAAAATAATTCAAATGGTTTTGTAATTGGGTTTATTTGGAAGCAGTTGAATATAAGAGTTGATTTAGAGTGATCCTGAATCCGTTTTGAGAACAAGTGGCTTTAATTCTGATACCCGTTTCTCAATGGACTTCTTTGTCTCGAGCCAATTGTCATTTAGTATGGAATACCACAGCGTATCTCTCACCATGCCTTTAAAACGCATATGTTTTTTAAAAGTACCTTCGTATTGGAATCCACATGCCAGAGCACATTTCTGGCTAGGGACGTTCAAATGATGTGTTTTCCACTCAACCCGAGCAAACCCATTCACACAAGGGTCGTCTGGTGAAAGAAACTCGTCGGGAAGAAAATGAGAATACTCGATAGCAAACCGGGTCAAAAGGTATGTAGCCTCGAAAGCAATCTGTTGAGACTGAAACTGAGGTGCAGTCCAGATATGGCCAATTTCAACTACATGGAAACTGGGACGAATTTCAAGATAACAGATGATACCTATAGGAATGGGTTGAGTTGAGTCAGTTGGAATAGATTGAATCATGTACATTAATTTAGTTGGATCAGTTGTCCATGATTCCAAGTAAGTAGAGTAGGTTTCTTTAGTAGTGAATGGACCAGATGGCATGTACTTGTATAAATCATTTCCGGTGCATGAGTAGATGTAAAAACTGGATATCAACTCCTGCGTGAGATGGGTAGCATCAATAGGAACAAGTTGAATTCGTTTGCCTCTGATGATACAGGGAGCAATGGAAGTGCACGAGCCAGTATACTCGCACGGTGTGGTTGAATAGATGGATTGGTTAGTCATGTCTAAAATTAACAAACAAATCGAGTCTATTTATGGTCAATCTGCTGCTTGGCAGGTACCCTTGCAATAACCATTTTCAGTCAGTCTCAATTGTTCAAGCATTGACTGAAGATCTTAATTCTCGCAAAGCTTGATACCAATGGTTGCGGTATAGACAGTCAAAGCCTTTCAAGCAGGGTGATTTCAACTGGATTTACACACACAAATTGAATGCTTAATTTACTACGTCGAACCCAAAACGGCTCTTTGAACATTACAATTAGTTGCTGGTAAAGTATCTGCAGCTGTCCCAAAATTGTTGAACATTGATAGTGTATGTCTGTGGGACTTGAAGTGTTGATTGCACTATGAACCCTTTGCATGTGCTTGGGCTGTGATTACCAATTGATATCACCCTAACCTCTGTTGAAAGATATATAATAATCAGGGACTCAACAATGATGTTTGAACTGAGACCCATATAGCTTTCTTGTTTTCTTCTTCCCTAATAAAACAGCGCAATTAGCTACTGGTTCATCCCTTTACATCTTTAATCAACTGACATACTTTTCGACTATGATGAACATTGATATGTCATCTAATGTCTGCGATCTTCAAAAACAAGATACATTGTGAGTAGCCTAGCAGACTGATTTTAAAAATCAAACATTCATTTCATCATGATAAAAACAATATTCCCATAGGATATTTGACGAGCCTCATTAAAGCATAATAAACAAAAACTTTTAGAAAATAAAGTTGATGATGGATTGAAACCAGTAGCAAGTCGAGAGAATCAAGTAAATGTATTGACTATTTTAAAAAACAGTCGAGTAAAAATCTATTAGGACCGGGAATCGTATAGAGTATTTTGGGTATTGCTCATGGCTTGGCTCTGACCATTACGATGTGGAGAAAACCCATGCTCTTGTGGAGAATAGGTTGGTTGCATACCAGTGACTTTTACAACAGTAGAATGGGGTTCGGAAGCGAGGGTTGTATTCGAAGATCCGTTGATAGGAGGGTCTGATCTGACCTTGTCACGCTTGTATTTCGTAATGTAATTGATAATTAGCAGTAGACAAGACACAGCGACAAGAACCATATTCCACATAAACCCGGCAACATCAACAGAGCTTCCAATCACAGGTGCGCCTGGTTGAGAATTTCGCAGAGCAGGCAAGGCAAAAAGGAGTGATGCTGTAATGGAGATTGTAGGTGGCTCAACTTTACGATCTCGTAGCCAAAGTGTAATGGTTAAAGTAAAGGCAGATAGCGATAGAGCCCACATGATGATCACTACAATCTATGTACATGAATACAACGAGCAATGAATTAGTGATCAAACTATTTCAAAGCCACATGTTTAATCAGCTGGAAAGATCAGCGTTACCATGGAAAAGAACTTTGTGGTCCAAGATCGCTCAATGAATGTATCTACAATAATAATGCCGCTAGTTCCACCAGCATTTGCAATTTCAAGTGCAACGGTCCACGACTGAACAGCTCCGACAATACCAGCTACTAGAGGAACGCTTTGACTGTTGGATAAAGTGTTAGAATAGACTCCGAACATTACAGCCATATTCACGTGAAATGGAACATCAAACAAGTCGGAATACATAAACAGCCAATCTCATCATAAATACAGAAGCGCTCCATTTCCGACAAATCTGACAGTAAAATAGGATTCAAAATCGACCAATAGTGGCAAACTTTGATAAAACATGCACTTGTCAACAAGACGCCACTTCAAAAAATCCACTTGATCAGTAGATGATGGAAATTGAGAGTGAACGAGCATGCATAACCAAGAGCAAGGCATTAAGTGACTTGGAGTATACGTACTTGAAAAAACTGTTCCGATACGAAGCGATATCAAAGTATGTCTTGTACTTGTCAAATGGATACAAGTTGGGCTGGCCTACATCGATAGGAATAGCTATATCAAATGATGGAATAATAGACCCTTGCTTCATGGCAGTTTGCTTTCCACCGACAATCAGTAAAACATCACTAGCAAGTCGGTTGTAAGCATAGTTGGTGGAATTGTCTTGTAGACTGTATGTACCCCAGGGATAAGCGTTGAAGTGCACTTTGAAATTGAATCCAGCAACATCGACATTGGTGACGTTGCCCATAATAAGTATGCCATCAAAGGGAGTTCCATTAGAAAGAATCGAGAATGGATCGCCATTGACGGTAGCTACTTGTTGAAGCTTTTTGTTGGCCTCGTTATTATTCAGGATGGTAGAAACTGGAACAAATATCACCAAAAACAACAGGACAATGCTGACTGCAACTATTTGAATAATGTGTGAGCGCTTTAGATTGAGTTTTAGCATTGGGATATATTTGAAATTGAATCAGGATTGCCAGGATATGGTATAAAGTGAGTATGTCAATTACACTCGATGGATGTGATGAAATCCGCGGATAAGTTGGTGTTAAACTTTTGACTGTTGTCATAGCTTGATTCATTGGCAACCTGCGGCTATACTACATGTGATTTCTCGTGATTTTAAACCCTGACAATGCTTAAAGCATTTTTGACTGCTATTCTGAGCAGCAGCCTTGTCTATTGCTTTGCAGACTTATGCCGGGTCTTTGCGAGATAATCCTGAATTCCATTTTCTAGCTGCACCAGTCGGCCCTTTTCCAGCAAATACATACGGCCAGCCTCGCTCCGCCTAACTTGCTCAGCAACGAATTCGTTGTGCGATACAAGAATCACAGCTCCATCCCAATTTTCCAATGCTTCAAGCAACCCATCAATGGATTCCATATCCAAGTGGTTAGTGATCTCATCCAACACTAGCAACTGTGGCGCATGAGAGATGGCGCAGGCAAGAACAACTCGAGTACACTGGCCACCAGAAAGAGTTGATAATGGCTGACGAGAGATGGACGCTGGAAGACCTACACGACCAAGATACTCGAGACAGTTTTGGTCCGTCAATCCGTCCAACCCAACAATCGCATCATTTCCATTCGACTTTGCCAGTGAGCTGCTACCAACGCCACGCCCACATGCAACCAGATGGCCAGATAAATGATCTTGCATAGCGTATCGAATATATTCAATGGCAGATTCATGGATATGCGAAAGAGAATCGACATGACTTTGAGCAAAGTATCCTACTTTTAGATTGGGGTGCCGATTTATTTGGCCACTGATCTTGGCTTCATTATTCGAGCCAGCAATAATCTCCATTAGAGTGGTTTTACCACATCCGTTAGGTCCGACAATGACAATGCGATCGCCTATCTCTACAGTAAGGGATACATCTTGAAGGATTTGATGTGGGCCTGCAGATGCACCAACACTCTGCTTACCTGATCCGCGTAAACTACGATAGGTAGCCGTCACACTATCCATACCAATTAGCATTGTCCCAGTATGTCTTAGTGCTGTTGCCAGTGGAATGGTAAACTCAACAGGCTCCTCTTTTCTGTCCACCGTGATGGCTTCTCTTACGCTGTGATGATATCCAACCAAATCTCGGTTTAGTTTAAACCGATGTCCATTTGCACTCCGCTGCAGCCCAAACCTATCCAACTTTTTCTTGCGCGACATGGCTTGCTTCATATTTCCTCCCTGCTGTGCGTGAGCTATACTGTCTTGAATATGCTCAATTTGACGCTGTTGTGCCTTTTGCATGCGTTGCTTCATCAGTTGACTGTTGTGGTGGTTCTCAACAAACTCGTCATAGTTTCCTGTATGGATCGAGAGAGATTGGTTACGTAACCAAATAATTTCAGATACAGTATAGTTGAGAAAGTTACGATCGTGCGAAACAATAACGACAGTAATGTCCTTGATCGAGTGAATATACTTTCTCAGCCACACAATGGCTTCCAAATCCAAGTGATTTGCTTTGAAATTATTATGAAAAGACAATACTGGTAGATTAGCATAGTTAATTGCCACATTAGTGTCCAACACATTGCTGGGTCACTTACTCGGTTCGTCGAGCAAGAGAACATCGGGCTTTACGTATAAAGCTTTAGCAAGAGCCACTCGCATTTTCCAACCTCCTGACAACTCATTCATCGGTCGATCAGGAGAGTGTGTTTTTCCTTCAGCAATATTCATGGTTTTAAGAACCTTCAAGGCAAAACTTTGACGGCCATGGCCACCGACAGCAGCAATTTTACTGCATGTAGCTGCAAGGCGTTCCTGGGCATCATGAAGGAGGGTTTCTGGAGTGTCATGGAGCGAAAGAGATGAAATGGATGCCATGATAGTGAGGTTTTGCTCGGCCTTGAGAAGGTCTTGGCGAGCTACCCAACCTCGTTTACCAGATCGAAGTCTGGCAGTCCTGTCTGCTGATGCGACAATTCGAAGCTGATCAGTAAGACGGAGCTCATGCATTGCTTTAGCAATCTGCGCATTATCATGCGATTCTAGCGCAGTTGTAAGGACTGATTATTGGAGTATGCAAACGATTGTACAGTTGATAAGTAAAGAATGGCTCAACTACAGTAGCCTGTCTACACAACAGTCAAGCCTTACCATCACGCTCATGCATGAGATCGGTCAAGTAAGTATCGGCAGATAACACTTCCTGCAAGATGGTGCAATCGCTTGCATCGTCAATCTGTTCAACCATCAATGGCCTAATTGTAGTAGGAAACCCAGCAATCACACCACTGGCCATAGCAGTAAGCAGTGTGGATTTTCCTGTTCCATTTCTGCCTACAAGCCCATAATGCGTAGTCGGTTTTAGCAGCAAGTCAGCATTGTTGATTAAAACTCTTCCAGTCGAGAGCTGGATTGTTAGCCCTACAAGATTGATCTATAAAGTGTTAGTATGCACATTGTGCTATAACATGCTTTTGCAAGTGCAAGATACCTCTTTGGACAAAGTTTCTAATGTATCGACGTGAAAACGAGACTGAATGCACGATGCAATGATATTTGCAATAGGCATTGAAGACTCGGCACCATTGTCAGATAGCAATTGCTCCTGCTTCAGTTTTTCTGCAGCTCTAGCTCTTCTGTTGACAGTTCTTTTTATTTTTGTGGAATCAACCATATTCAAAGTAGTGATGTTTGCAGTTCAAATTCCAGTTTATAAGCATTTCGAGGCTCATCATATCGAATGACTCATGCGTCTATAAATGCTTGGTCAGCAACTGCAGACACTCTTTAGATTGCAGCTTGTCAGTTAATAGTAATTGTAAAGCGTATCTTCATTCCCTCTACATGAGAATTACTCGAAAATTGCCCGCTTTAAATCTGCATAGGCTCGATCCAGCTCATCATTGACTACCACTACATCCACACTTCCATTGGCCTTTCCCCATTGCATTTCTTTGATCGCTGCATTCAGTCGAGCTTCTGCCGAGTCTTTTGTCTCTGTTCCTCTACCAGTCAGTCGCTCCTTCAATTTTTCAATTGATGGTGGTGCTACAAAGATACACAGTGGCGGGTTGGTGAAAGGCGAGGTTCCCGACTGCACCCTGGATTGCAATTGAATCACTCCTTGCATGTCAATGTCGAGAATCACATTCTTGCCTTGTTCAAGTACGCTCTGCACTGCTTGGTACGATGTACCTATCATTGACAAGTCGAGTGAATTCAATGGATAATGTCTTGGTGTTTTGTCGTATCAACCCTAGCACGAATGAGACTGGGCTTACCATAAATGTTGCCAGAGAACTCGGCACTCTCGACAAATTTCCCTTCAGAAATCTTTGTCTTGAGAACCTCCCGCTCGCTAAAATGGTAGTCGACACCATCAGTTTCACCTGGGCGAGGTTTACGAGATGTGTCTATCCCACATCATTAGTCAACACATATAGCATCCAAGTAACAGTAGACGTTGAAAGCACCACAACTTACGAGAAATGCTAAATCCAAACTGCTCTGGAAATTCCTTGAACAGTCGCTTCAACAGCGTGGATTTGCCAGATCCAGAGGGCCCACAAAGAACAATTGGACGTGGCTTGGCTGCATTGTACGACATGGTTTTTGTAGTACTAGTCATGTATATTTTTGGCACTGGTTTGGTTTAGGCATCCAAGTTGGTGAATATGCAAACAAGTAGTTGATGACTAATGTTAGCAATGTCTACGTTGTTTGACGGGAATAGAATGGGAAAATGGAGCTTGAATAATGGTCAACCAAAGTTTATCAAACTTGTTTCCATTGTACAAGGTTATTTATACACAAAAAACCATGTCAGATCAGATACAGTTTCAAGTCTACACAAAAACTGTTTGAATTAAGAACCAATGACTCGAAAATTGTTATTTCAAATAGGATGAATAGAAGACTAGACAACATTGTTATATATGCAATGCACACCCGGCTGTACCAGCAACCGACAAAGGCGATTCACAAACATTGGTGTCAAGTCTTGGATAGGCTGCAAATGTCCAACTTTGACTTGTAGACAACTTGGCTACTCATCATACACACCCTCAGGGGGAAATGCCATCTTTGCCAGTAGCCACAATAGTGTAATATGTACTCGACTTTATTTTATATTCAAAACCAGCCATCACAGCTTGGATTGAAAAGTATCTGAACTGGGAGGGGGCTGTCGGTACAAAAACTGAACCCAGGAATTAAAATGGTGTCGTTTTGGTCCAGCAAGCTTTAGATCTACCACATCTACTGGCTTAACATTTCCTCCTTGTATGGTATCCCCAGCACTGTCTGTATCCAGATCAGTACTGAAATCAATCATACCATTGCTGTGATCAAAGTATGCTACATTGATGGTGATATCGTCACGATACCTTCGACTTTTGACTCGTGGAATAGACAGTATATGTCTAATACGATCACGATCAGGAACTGCCCGACCAGCACTTAATGCAGACAGCATCAGGGCTGTTGCAGCATTACCTTGCTCATAACTTCCTCCAACAACTTTTACACACGTTTCCTCGTCAAGTTCGTCCCAGAGTCCATCTGTGGCGAGAACAATAAACTTGTCATTTTTGTCACGTACATAGTGAATCACTTCTGGCTCGGCAGTGACATACGGTGGAGTTTTGTAATGTCTTGGAATTCCGCGACGACCATCTGGATAGAGGCTTGGAAGAATCACTCGTTGGTCACGAATCGACCATTTGTATCTTGCGTCACCTATCCAATCAACAACGAGTTGGTATCTTACAACAAAGCGGTTTAAAAAGCGCACAACTTACCAAATGCTCGAGTAGGCATCAACCCACCAAGAATACGACCTTTGACAATCACATCTTCACCGGGATGCTCATCCATTAGTCTAGCATACTCTTTCGGGTTTTTAAATGTCTGGTCTGCGCTGAGAGCCACGCTTAAATACGCTTTTGAATTATCAGGAGAGTAGTCAACACTACGACCTATAATAGCTCGACAGTCGCCAGTGCAAGCAACATACACGTCTTCGCCGTCAATGTAAGCTACAATAGCACATGCACCGGATAGAGCCGTACGCAAGCTGGCAATGCATTCGTTACGAGTGAATGCAGGAAGTCCAAGAACCCATGAAGCAATTGTGCCCTTTGAGGTGACTTGATTTGCAACGTTGCCGTAGGTGGTGAATGCTCCCTGGGTAATGTCAGCATCAAGACGAGTAAAAGCACTTTTAAGCGCTTTTTTGATGAGACGATGGCGATCGGGAGATGATTCTGGTAAATCAGGTTTGGATGGGAGGCCAAGTTCAGTTATACTCTGGGCAACATAAGCAAGAAGGTATTTTTGAACTATTTTCCCGCATTCAGGTCCACCATGACCATCAAACATTCTTGACATTAGACAAGAGATTAGGTTAGCACTTGTCTAGATCAAGATTCACTGCAAATCATACAGCAGACTCGATAAAATTACCCCAAGAGTACACCATTGCCGAATTTGACATGCGCATAGTAATCCTCAATGGGTTGATTGCTAGCCACAGAATTTGCATCAATCCTCACAACAGGTGCTGGCTCACTACTCTGATTGTCATGATTCATATTAAACAATAGCTGGTTTTTGGTAAGGATCGAAATGATTTGGTCGTCCGTCAGCATATGTTTGACTTGAGGAAGATCCGAGCAATCAATAGCCTCCAAGGGTTGGGATTCTGTTGTGGGTTGGATATTTAATGATGATTTGTTCATGACAATATAAATCCCACCGCCTGTTAGAAGAAGTGCTGTTGAAATGAGAATCTTGAATGTTGTCGAGTAGGTGGATAACTTGGGTTTAGGCAATGGTGTAGTCGAAGTACTATTGTAGCGTATACACTGTAACTGAGGTGCAAGTCTCTTCAAATCTAACGCAGTTGGTCGAGAGTGAAGCAGCCGTCTTGGGAATACAAGAGATGTTGCTGATGGCAAGAGCCGGTTTAATAGTTTCATCCCAATAACAGTTGAATGGGTAAATGTGTCGATTTGGGAAATCCGACTATTACAAATATCGTGCAATGGCTCAATGAATCCACTTTCAGACTGTCATGGCTTTTGATTCTTGCTTCAGATCGATAAAATATATAATACAGGTTTTTATTTTAATCGATTCTCAAGCAGACACATCTGGATATAAATCAAACCTGCGCTGAGAGTATACGGGAATGGCTTGTCGAGTCTGCTCAACCTTTTTTGGATCAATGTCTGCATACACGATAGACTCTGTCTCGTCTGTGGTGGCAATGACTGCACCCATGGGATCGACCACTGTAGAGTGTCCCCATGCAATATAAGAAGCAGTTTCATCTCGAGCCGGAGAGCATGCAGCTACATAGATCTGGTTATCCAAAGCCCTAGATCTCTGTAGCAATTCCCACTAAAGCATCATGTAATGCATCCAAGTTTAATCCTTCTATTCAAAACTATACGAGAACAAAGTGGGCTTACATGAAGAGGGCCTGTGGTCATATTGAAGGCTCCTGGGTAAACCATAGCCATGCAACCCTTTCTAGCAGCCATCATTGCCATTTCTGGAAACCGAATATCATAACAAATGCCTACACCAATCTTGCCATATTCGGTGTCAACCATACTCAACCCATCACCAGCAGTCAGAACATCCGATTCCTTAAACTTTTGACCGCCAGGGATATCAATGTCAAAAAGATGCGCTTTGCGATGGGTTTGGATGAGCGAGCCCGAAGGAGACCAGACTGTACAAGTGTTGTACAGATTGCCACTAGATGACTCGGGAAACGATCCACCCACAAGGTACACACCTGCCTGCTGAGCCATATTCGATAACGCCGCAAAGGTTGGCGATTCCTTTGTAGCTGGTTCGGCGTAGGTTGGAAAATAAGATGTGCCATAAGGGGAGTTGAAGCATTCTGGAAGAACAATGATATTGGCACCAGCAGCTGAAGCTTTGAGTACCATGGACTTTGCATTGGAAAGGTTGAGATGTTTGTCACTAGTCACTTTGAGTTGGATCAAAGCCAGTCGGAATGCCTTGGAGGGTGAGAGTGCCATTTGAATCGATCTGTTAGTCGAATTGTTGTATTGGCAATGGATTGTCAAAAACAAAGTATACTCCAAATCTATTCATATTGAATTCCAACTATTTGACAGCATGGTGTCGGACAGTCACGGCCGTATTCATGCCAATAAAACACTAGATAGGAGTGTCAATCTACTGGACAATATTGTGCACTTTGAACCCATTGGTTTATTGTCTTGCTCATTTTTATATGAGCAACGAATGTTTGCAATCTAGTAAATCTCACATCAGAACAATCGAGCCCAATATTTCAATTCAAAATTAGTTTGTATGCATCATATAACAGACGTTATGCTTGGACAAAAAATTAAAAGTATCTTATTGAACGAGCAGCGCAGCCGATTTGTAGTAGGAAGCCAACAATCATTTGACCATTGTCTATTTCAAGCAAAATTACAAGATAAATACAGTAAATTATCATTTCATGAAACTAAATGTTTATTATACTTTGACTCTTTAGTGTTCCATTCTGCGTGGATACAGCCGTAAGACTGCATCAATTATTAAAAGCAAGTGCGAATCAGGAAATAATATAAAAGGTTTTAAATGACAATATATATCCATAAGAAAATTATTAATGTTTAGATCACGCCAGGAGGTGCAAGAAACGAATACTCGGCTTCAAGGTCATGCAAGAAACTCGACAGCATTTTCGTGCGTGATTCTGATGGAGTATGTGCAGTTCGTACTACCGGTGTAATATGCTTGCTAGTTGCAGTATCGCTTTTGCTTGATACATTCTCCAGGCAATCAAATTTACCAAGCTCTTTATTGCGCACATACGCACTCGCATTTGGGGATACATCGCCATCACAATCGGGCTTAAACATGCTGGGTGTATTCACAACAGTATCTTCACTCGCAACTCGTCGTATTGAATCAAGGTTGCGTATTACAGCAAGCTCTGGATCCTCAAAGTTGATATCCCTTAGATCTGATGGCATATTGGCATCTTGGAAATCTACAAGTTCAAGCTCATCAAGTAATCCTTGAATGCGCCGTCGTGCCAAACTCAAATCTGATTTATGCGTGGTCAGACTATGCGCTGACTTTAAAAGTAGCCGATTTGGTGAGCTGTTAGCTATACAGTTATCTGTAAAGAAACAACAAAGTGAGGTTTTCCCGCCAGTAGAAATCAAAATGCTGATTAGTAACAAGTATAAGCACCAAACAATGCAATAGCCGTGTTTAAAATTCCATCAACTCACCCAAATGAAGATATGTATACTTTCGAGATGGAGCTTGGATTAAAGGAACTTGATGCTTATCATCCAATGATATCATAGATTCTGCAGTGTTCACCACTGTTGCACCATCATCATTGTTATCCTCACATGCTCCGCCAATATCATGTGTTTCAGATACCTTTGAATCACAATCGGACTGTACATAAGACAATGAGTTTACCCGCGACGGCAACATAACTTGCTCTCCAGATACAGTCCACGCACCACCATATTTTATCCTAGAACTGTTTTGACTTATTCCCATACTTGATGTAGAAGAGGTATCACCATTAAGAGTATCTGCGGACACAGTGCTATGTTGCGATGGATTTCCTGTAGCAGATGACTGCACAGTAGATCCATCAGCGTATCGACTTTCTTCGTTGATCAATCCACAAAGCGATTTGTGATTGATTGTGAATTCCCGTCTAGGAGCACTGGGTAAGGGTTTTTGAGGATACTCATAAGCAACTTCATCTCGTTGATTAGTAGAATGACTAACGGTGGATGCTCGATGCAACATCTCACGCGCAACATCTCGACGATGACGAATTGATCCAAAAGCTGGTGACAAAAGTTTATCTTGTACTGGAACATATGTCGTTGGAGACAGAATAGCAAGGACTTCTGGGCGATCTTCACCAAACACTGATGTAGTCAAAGACGTGTCGGCAGCAAAGGATGGTGAAGTTGGAGAGTAAATGGATGCTATTGTAGGAGCGCTGCTCAAAGCTTCTGCAGATGTATCCAACACTCCATCTCTATGAGCAATTCTGCCAACATTGTGTGTTTGTACCATCAAGTTATGATTACTTTTAAACCCAGATGAGCTTGAAACCAACGAGTCTGGAGCAGCTGGCAAAATGGCAAGCGTGGAATCAGTGGGTGTCGAATTGGAACAATCGAATATGGATATATTTGAACAATCGGTGGGACTGTGAGGAAGTTTTTGAACCAGATTGGATGGACGTTTAGGAACAGGTGGTGGAGGTATGGTTATAGTTGACAATGGCTGAGGTGTATTCATTTCGGATGGTGACGTCGCGGATGCTTTACGGCCATGACGGCTGCCTCCCTTGAGTGGATTTGACATGCGATCAACAGCACCTTTTACTCGTTCAACAGATGATCGGAATGTTAGTTTGGATGTAAAGGAAAAGCGAATAGTGGTGGCTGTAGGCGAGGCAGCAGATGATGGTAATGTTGTTTTTAAAGTTGTTACAGGGAGAGCGATTGAGTCAGTAGAGTCTGTGCTAGTCGATCCAGTAGATACATTCGGTATACCATCCGCGCTAGTATTAGATGGTGACAATGCCATGGCATTATTCACGAACACTGATTTCGAATCATCCTCGTTGGCATCTCTTTTTGCACCTGCCTTCATCTGCTTATGTTCAGATCTAAATTTGGCGGCAAATTCAAGCACGTAAGCAGACCGATATTGCGGGTTAGCAATTGCATTATTGTGAGCTTTAATGTTGCTGTTGGTATGTATGATGTTTGACGATGTTCCTGAATCAGATCTCGTATTGGCATCACTTGTAGACGGGGACATGACCAATGAAGCAATCAGCAAGCCTGCGGCTTTCCGCTGTGCTTCTGCAACAAGTTTACGAAAACAGTAGGCTATTGAATGGGGAGCCTTGCTTGTGGTTTGATCGTGGGGAATACGCAGGATATCAGCAAACATTTGACCCATTTGTGGCGATACCTGTCTTGGTCGTTTCTTACCAGAAAACCCACTCGTATTGAATTCAAGACCATCTATATTTCCATTTGATGTTGAATCGGTAGCAGTGGAGGTCACCGTATCAACCATGCTCCCCACTAGAAGCATGGGTATTTCATCCGGTCTGGCCATGGACATATTGGCACTTTTTGTCTCTACAATCAGACGGTAGTACTTCCAAAGGGATTGGAGGGACTGTTTGTCGCCAACATCATAGGTGAGCATAAATGCATCGGCAGCAGCAATCACAGAGGGCCAGAGCGCATAGTAAAGAGGATGTCCACCTAGATCTATGAGTGTAATTGTAATACGATGTGGAGCTGATGGGATTATATCAGTGTTGGCTACTGGAGATGTTGTCGTAGTTGGCTGTGATGGCTAGTGTTTATACAGATAATATTAGTCATTGAAGTAATATACGAAAAAAATGGATAAATCAACATGGTTCATTGATGGTCAGAACCACAGCAATAATTGTAGCTGATTTACCTGTGGTGAGGTTGCTGGATTGACAATGAACTGAAAAGTAGTAGACTCTTCGATGGTTGGTATATACGGACCCAAATACAGTCCTCTATGCTGAAACGATGGATTAGATTGTGAATTAATGACTTTTGGCTGGTCTACCAATGCTCCCCTTAATAAGGTGTTGCATAGAGTAGTTTTGCCTGTATGTGGAGGGCCTAATACAAGAACGTTCAGATGAGTCAAATTGCCAGCCTCTGTCAGCAGCATGATTATTAACAGTCGTCACGATAATCAGTCTAAACAACCAGCGATAGAACAAGATGAGAACCAAGAACTGACTCCACTTGAAAATCGTTCTAGTAATAATGGTATCAATTGTAGTCGGTAATGGCGGAGGTTACAACTAAAGATAAAAACTGGAATTTAGACCAACTCAATCGCTGCTTTGCTGCTTTTGTTTGTTAATCTCAACTCCGATTGTTTCTTTACTGTAGCTGAACACTGCGAAATTTTCCTTTCAACATCCTGCTCTATCCACTCTTCAAACCTTGCTTAATAAAAAAGACTGTTCGAGTACTTGTTCAGTTGACTATAAAACTATGATTGAATGCACTTTTATAGTCAACTGAATTTATTAGACGGATGCAGACTCGGCTCAAGGTTTCCAGAATAACACAGATTCTTGAATGCTCTCATTCATAACTTGTTAATCTATATTCGATTGTCTTGAATATAAAAACGAGAAATAGTTGGATAACGACCAAAATCAAAACTACAAGAGTATAATGATGGATAGTATGAGCATATCATGAGTATATTATGGGTGGATCTCAAGTTTAATCATTTTGATACTAAGCATTCATATGCAAAATCACATGCAATCCTATTACTGATGTTTAGTCAATTCATGCTTTAACCTAGACTGACTACTATTATTAAATAATAAATTGATTTCACAACTTGTATCCCCATCCAATTACAAGGCATATCGATTAATAAAAAGCTGTTTATAACTGAAACAATTCAACCCACAAATCTACCATCTTCTTGGAAATAACCAACTCTGAGCTGCTGAGCTTTCCGATCCGGGAGTCTCTATAATCGCCAGGTGCATCCATTTTTCCATATAAACAAAATGGCAATCCTGAAAGTTCCCAATCAACATTTACACCTGCACTTTCAGTTGCCCAGTAAGTAGGCTCCATCATGTTCAGGTTTTTTGAAGGGATGCGTTCGCCAATGCCACCATTGAACCATAGTGGTTTACCATGTTCATCTGCATGGTATAAACCACCGCATACCTTGTGCTTGCCTTCTTGTTCAAAAACTTTCCCAATTGCTCCGCCGTTATCCAAAAAAACTGTGAATGGAATCTGCAATGCTTCATGAGACAACCAATACGTTTCCTTGTCACCTATAAACAGTAGTTCAAATTGTGTTAATACCATGTTCAAATCAGCGTGTATTACTTTTAAATAAAAGGTGCATACCGTATGTCTTTGAGTATATCAAGTCCATATAAGGCATACTGTTAAGTGCACATGTGAGGAGAATAGCAGGCATCGATCTTGTCTTATCCCAAACCACAACTCCTGAATCAAGCTCATCGGACGAGACTTTCGCCATCACGCGACTAGTATTGAATATGAGATTTTCTTTGAATGGCTCAGCTAATGTGTTGATTAAATCAGTCAATCCAGGTCCACGACCATAAGTTCCAAATCCAAGAGTTCGATCACGAAAAAACAATGCTCCTGTTTCCTTGTATGCCTTTGTCTCAAACAATGTTTCTGGATGTTGGAAAAACAAGGCATCAGTATCCATCAAAATGACTTGTTGAAAACTAGATGCCAATACTGCCAATGGCTTGTTCTCCCATCCTTTGCTGCATTTCTTCAGACCAAGCACAGATTGCATGTCCACAAGTGTAACTCGATGTAACGACGTCAATGCATCACGCTCCTTTTGCCCAAGATCGTCTTCGCCACAATATATGATTTCAATTGGCAATTGATTACCAATAAAATTAAGCATGGTGATGGAGTGTTGGGCGACTAAAGCGTATTTTGAACCAGTGGTCATGACAATTCCACGTCCTTTTGATTTTAAAAGTGATTCCACTGCCGAGTGGTACATAGGTCCATTGATGATCCATGGATAAAGTTTTTTTTCCAATTGGAAAAGTTGATCCTCCATGCGAGTCCTTGTAGCAGAATCGTATTGGCAAATCACCAGTTGATAGTAAATGTCAAAGGCTTTTTGATAAGTACGTGCAATGTTCCCCAATTCAACCATATCACCGCCGTCGGGAATTGCTTCTTTACTATTGATGTATTTCAGTGCTGATATAATCTGATTTATATATGCATCGCTGATTTTAATTGATGGCCCGGATTTACCATTAGAGCTAAAAATCAAATGATGTCAGTGTTGAGCCGAGTAATCGAATGCCCATTCTTATTGTAAAGCTGACTACTTTGTTCACATACCTCATGTTTAAACTTTTAGAGCACAGTGGTTCTAGTGAAACAACTGTGCTATAGACTGCAGTGTAACTATCTTCAATACTTGAACCGACATGCCCTTCAAGTTTGGAATAACGAATAGAATATGCGCCTATGGTTGCAGAGTATTAGTTTAACGATATTGACCCGAATACAAGCTTCAAAACTACAAATAGTCGGTGTATTCGACTGAATTTGAATAGTATTAGTCTCAAAAATAACATACCAATGTGTATAAATGCAACTAATGCTACAACACTCATTAAAAGATACAGGAGTATAGAGCTTTTGGCCTTTTTTCTGAATATGTCATAAGCATGTCTTGCTGCAAACATGTCAAACATGATTAGTATCAAGTCAAAGTATCCACCATCTCAGCTAATCAATTCAGCTACCTTTTTGAGAGCCAGCATACACGAATCCTAAATATTTGGCATGTATTTAAATTGACGATTAATATCTAGGGTTGGTGAAATCGAATAAAAGTAGCCAAAACTAGACAGATACAATGTATCTGACGCTTATTATTCCACTCCAACTATGCATGAAACTCAAATAAATTCAAGACATTGTCTATCAAGTCATCAATACGCACCACGATAGCTTTTGGCTGAAAACCCCTTTTGACTAGAGTAGTCATATACGTTGTCACAAAGTGGGTGCATTTCAATCTGATATTTATTTTTAAAGCTAATCAAACAATTTGCTGAAGATGAGTGTAAACCCCAGCTGGGTCTACTTATATTTTACAGCTGTTTGTCAGTTTAAACATCATGGTAGTGTTTGAAAATTAAGCAAATGTTGAACGTGGCATTCTAATAGTGGCTCTGGTAGATCTAACATTATTGAATCTCCGCAAATCTGTAATTGATTAAATATCGACCATTTTGATGTAGTCTTCAGTGCCTCATTTCACCGCCATACTCACATAAAATGAAACACTGAACAAGAGTCAAAGTATAGTAAGCGACCGGTCTCATAAAATGGTGTGTCAGTTTGCTGGACAGCATTGTTTTTGAACCCACCAGTCGACTGATCTCTTGGTGATTGGCATGTATGGTTGCATTCTTGAGATTGTTCTCTTGAACTAGAGCCTATCTGATGTGAGTTTCCAAAACACAAGAGTTTCTTTGGTGCCATGGTTGTCAGATATTCCATGGTTGTGCCAGATATTCCATGGTTGTGTGTAAAACCAACATCTTCAACAACATACTGTCCAGTCGTGGCTTGTGAATCCAAGTCCCATCTGTTTGGTTTCTGTTCAATCTCATCAGCTCTTGCAACTCGGATGTCTTTCAAGACTTTCTAAACAGTGACATGCAACATTTCCAAACATCCATGTTATTCTAGACAACATACCACAAAACAACACTGTCTGACTAGACATGGTTTACCAACCGGTCAACAGACATTAATATTGTGATAGTTGCAACTACACTACAGTTTCATACTGTCAATTTATGAACCTTGCAGAAAATGACTCGAGTATAATAAGAATGACTTTGTCAAGCAATTCCAGACACTGAGGCCGAGAATGTTTACTCGAATCAATTTGTAGTAGGAAAGCAACAAGCGTTTAACCATTGTATATTCTAGAATAATAACTGCATGATAGTGCTCCATCCTACATGAATATGGCTGTGATGATATATGCAGCATGGTGCAGCAGAAAAAACATTTTTTGCAGAGCAGCAAGCCAAACTAAGCCGCTACACCAAGAGATTTAAAGTAGATAGATACTTTAAAAGATGGTAAAGCAGAAACATTCTGGCACTAATATCCAAGCAAATGCCTAGAAATGCTCGTTTAATTGGATTACTTTTATGATCATCGGTTCCGCTACTATATGCAATCACCATAATACAGGGTTTTGAACATACCCTAAAAACTAGGATGCAGAAATAAGTCGACTGCTTACAGATATCGGAAGTCGGAAAGTCCAAATCATTCCGATATGACTTAAAAAATGTGCTAGTCATGCAAACACCCTTGTTTTAGCAAGATGAAGCTGCCAATATACACATGAAACTGATTGATATTTGAAGTTAGTATGATGGTTTCTTTTGCAAATCAAGTCGTTTATTTACCAGGCTATGATGCCATTGCATCTTTTTTTCATAGTCAAATCTATACGCCAAAACAAATTTGTATATTGACCCGATATGATCAATAATGGTTGCGCTGATTTTGCTCCCGAAATTTCACGCTATTGTTTGGATTAAAGCCTTTTTTGCTATTTGAAGCATTGTTACATCTCGATCCACAATGACACTGCTTTTAAAAATATGCGCCATTTATGCCACTCGTTTGTTGATAAATTCACATTCAAAATATACCTTGGCTATTGTTCAGTGCCAATACATCAATCTATGGTTATATCCACTCCACCTAGTGTTTCACTAAAACCGGCGATTAGGTATAAGCCATAAACATATCATATTAGACTGTACTGAAGCAAGGGGGCTGAGTTTTTTTATCCTTGAGATACTTGCCACCTTATAACACTTGTATGCTGGTATTCTTGCTAAATAGTACTTGATTTTTTGAATGCTCACTCGAGTAGTCTTACAGTTATCGGAAACGTCTTGTCCACTATAGAGCTCGTTAGGGGATCAGTTCCTGCGTGATTCCATTGGTTGGATGCATGTAAGCATTTTTATAACCCTAAATCTGATACGCCTTGTCACTTTTATTTATTCCGAACACATATGGTGCTTAGATGTGGGGCCACTAATCGGAAAGCAGTTTTAGTGAAAAAATTTCAACCTATAGTATATATAGAGCAACAACTTTCCTAGTTATTCAATCGTCTCTACACACAGGTTTCCCTATACACTCTCACCGAGTTTTATCAAGCTAGCATGGGCTCAAGTCAGTTCTCTACTAAGCTAATCCTTCAAGGATCTGCTGCCATAGTGGCCTTTATCGCGTTTGCATTTACTTTGATTATTCCTTCGCTTGAACGTCTGGGATTTATTTCATTTCGCACAACTCTTTTTACTGTCAATTTGACGGATGAATATTTTTTGTTGTTTGGCTTGATGCCATTCAGTATTATAATCGTTTTGCTGTTTCTTAGAAACGCAAGTACGGATGATGATGCTGTTCGCGCTCTTGGGCCATCCGAATCTAGCAGTGATAGTAATGCATCTCCTGTCTTGTCTTCGCTATGGGCACCACGATGGAACTATTTTGCTCGATTCAGTAAATTATTTGCGCCTTGGTCCACTGGTGATGTTGTGGTCGGAACAGCTCTAGTGCTGACTCATTTTGTATGGTTTGCTCAACCCGTGATTCTCCGTATATATGTGTACAATGCTGGAAAACCATTTCCCAGTACCGTCAATCTTATTAGACAGCTGTGCAACAATGCTGGTAAGTTGATATATAGACATTGTATATTTTGAACTCGACTGCCTGACTTTAAAGTGTATGAACTTGTTTGATCTGACCCGGTCCTTTTCGTTTGCTTCCATTAGGTATGGTCGGTATGTGGGATGCTGGGCTTACCATCATTTTTGCTGTACGCGAAAACTTCGCTACCAAGGCAATCCTTGGTAAAGAGGCTGGCCAATACCACCGTGGAATCAAGTACCATATTGCACTAGGATACGCTAGCTTTTTTTTTATTACTGTTCACAGTATATTCTATCTTTCCTACTTTTCCTCTCTAAACAGGCTCGCAGTCAACGTTCTCCCGCATTTATCTAACAAGGGCTATATGAGTTTTTTGGGTATCATTTCTTGGATTGCTTTTACTCTTATGGTGATTTCTTCTGTTTTCAAGGCCCGTCGCTACAACTATCGCATTTTTTACTGGACTCATCAACTATTTATCGTGTTCCTATTATTTGCCTTTGCACATGTGTTTGAGACATTATATCCTATGGTGGGACCTCTTATTTACTTTATCTTTGATAGAGTCATGCCTCGATTAAAGCTAGAACGCAATACTTTTGCCATCCTTACCCGTGTTACTCCCACCATTGTGCGTCTCGATGTTCCTATTAATGGTGCATTTACAAAGTCTAGTATTTATGCTCCTGGCGACTGGGTCAATATTCTTGTTCCTTCTATTTCTTCATTGAATTGGCACCCATTTTCTATTGCGTCATACCATCCTACTAGCTCCGATACCATTACTATTTTTGTAAAATCGCGTGGCGATTGGACCAATACATTGGTTGAAACCTCGACTGCTGCTGGCTCTACTGTTGCAATCAAGATCGACGGTGTATTTGGCTCGCGTAACATAGAATATCTCCAATACAAGCACTTGGTTCTCATTGGTGCAGGTACAGGCATGGCTGCGTTGGTTCCTTATTTGGCACATTATATTCGTGCTACTACTGGCCATATTACCCTGATATGGTCTGCCAAGAATGTATCCGACATGTGTATCTATAGCGAATTATTCGAGTTGATTTCCAACAAATCATTCAAAGGACGTCTTACGTTGCATATACACACCACTGCACCGCAGCAGGAATATGAAACTATCAAGTCCAGTATAGATGACGAAACAACCGTTTCAAACTCAGAGTCTACCAATGAGAGCTCTGTTCACTCTGACAACACTACTATAAAGCATGGAGTTATTATAGTTTCTGCTACGGGTTCAGTAGATGCTTCTGCTGCAGATCGTTCCAATTCTGGCCATCTTCCATTCGGCTACATGACTATTGCACTTGCTTTGCTAGTTTTTGGTGCATCCATTGGCGGCTATGCATTAGGTAGACTCGTGCTTCCAGACTATAGTAAAGCCACATGTTCGTCAAGAACTAGTTATCTTCTTACTGGCTCGAATCACTTTATGTGCTGGTACTATTACTATTGGGCACCCATGTTTTTTGCATGCTTATTTGCAATGGTTGCTGGATTGACGTTTACCACATGTGTCACATCACTACGAATCTTTGTTTTTGGTAAATCAAATCAGGCATCTAAATCTAACAAGCCGAACCATGTACATGCCAATTGCCACCCTATTCGTCCAATTGACTTTGTCCGCTCATGTACACCAAAGACTGGCCGACCTCAGATTGAAACTCTCCTTGGCGAGGCATTCGCTTCTTCCAAGGATGGTGCTTATGGTGGTTCAAAGATTGCTGTTATGGCTGCAGGACCTGAACGTATGTTACGTACAGCTGAACACTTCACTATGGAGAGTGGACATACATTCTATCGTGAGTCTTGGAAAGTATGATTAGTTTAAATAAAATTTTAATTCCTCATTGCATTCATCAGCAAAATTGTCCTCCCATCATGTCTTCAATAGGCAATAAATTTGAGCAAGGCTGATCATTCTCAGCAGCGCCAACATCTGTTCTTGCCAGTTTATCTCGAATGAGTATGGCATGCTCGGAATTGTTTTGTGCATTAGCATTGGTTTATTTTACGGATAAAATGCGTTTAAAAACAATAGTAAAATCATTTGGGTTCAAGAATACTCACATCAAGTCATGCATAGTATAAACTTTGATGCTGTATAATCATCAAAGATTGAATGATCTTGACCTGTATTCAACACTTGGATGTATGACTTGCATCCAGCCATGATCTGACATTGATTGACACTATGCTTGCCAGTTTGAAGCAATTGAATATCTAAAATTGAATTGTCCAACACATTTATACAAAGGAAACCATAGGCAACGAATATGCTGTTAGTAGTCACCATTGTATTTACGTAACGTGGAGTATTACGAGCGCCAAAGTACATAAAAGACAGTCAATCCCATGATATAATTGTTCTCCGTTTATTAAACAGCATTGTGCTCGCTGATCTTCTGGTGATTGTCATGAAAGCAACAGTTGCATTACTGAGATGTGCAACTATCGAGCTTTTGAACTATAAACGTATCCGAGTTCAGGATACAACAAAGGTGAGTTTGTAGAGTTTAGTTGACAGCAATATAACCCAATATCGATTGCAATGAATGAATCTAGTGATCGTATAATGTATATCAAATGAGGATAGTTTTAGTTCAAAACCATAGTTTGATTTTGTGTATCATGATAGTTGTGTCATTAAAAAAGCGGCCAATGTGTAGTATGGAAGCACAACGAATATCCAATTATAGTTTATTCCAAAGCAAGTCGCCATAGGATAAATAAAGTGCTTTATCTTGTATGAATACAACTGTAATTAGAATTCAGTTTTAGTTCATCATATGGGGTTAATATGCTGGCAATACCTCTAACCTTTTGCATTCATAGATCTCTCTTCGTGCTTTTGGTTTCCTCATCTTTAAATGAGCCGGCCTTGCCTGACCTTTCTTGTCATTTAAATGGCTATTATTTAGATGTTGCCTGTGAATGCTGTCCATGTGAATGATGTCTATGTAGATGCCATCCATGTAGATGCCATCTATGTGAATGATGCCCATGTAGAGGCTGTCTTTGTGGAGACTGTCCATGTGGAGGCTGTCTTTGTGGAGACTGTCCATGTGGAGGCTGTCCATGTGGAGGCTGTCTTTGTAGAGGTTGTCTTTGTAGAGGCTGCCCATGTGAATGATGTCCATGTGGAGACTGTTTACGTGAATACTGTTCACCTATATGTTGTACATGATGTAGGGGCTCAAGTTTATGCCATTGTTGCAACATTGATTTGGATCCAGCAGCTGGTGTTGAGAAACCTCCAGTGGGACTACGCTTTAACAAGTAGAGCGACTGCGCTTCTATATTAGATGAAATTACTATGGCATTGGTATTGGCAGTTGCTATTACCGTCATTACAAATAGAGCTATGAGCTTCATAGTGTCGAGTATAGGCTGTGATCAGGGAAAAGCAACAAAGGGTTGGAACTAGTTAGCAGGGCTTGATGATCGCAGGTATGCTTTACCTTTATATTATGCATGCGGAAAGCCAGCCCTTTAGACAGTCAAACAAGGGCTATCTGATCATCCCTAGTGACGTTGCACCAAGCTTTGAAGTCTAGTATTTTGCTTGCAATGTTGCTTTGAGTACACCTCTAGCCCTTGAGCAAGTACACGTTCAAGGGCTTTCCGCAACAAACACAAACCACTTTTGTGATTTGCATTCCTGAAGTACATACCAATGTATTCAAACATGATATTTTGAAAGCTACTATTTACCAAGCAATGATTCTATGAGACTACCTCATTCTATAGTATTAGGGTTTATTTCTACAAATAAAGCCAATGTTTCTTTGGTTCATTTTTTTCAACAGCTAAAATATCCGAGTATATTCGGATTGAGTTCTAATGCCATGTAAATAAGTAGCTCAAACTACAGGAGTGGCTCGGAAATAGCCTTCTTTTCATCCTCCCACGAATGTGACTGATGTATCACTGCAAATGCATTATGTTCTGGATCGACATCTTGGCATAAAACAGACTCGGATGCGAGTTCCTCAGAAAAGCAAGAGTCATAGCTTCCATTTGTAATATTCCAATTAGATGGCATGATCAATTCTATGCCAAATTTAAGAGGTTTAATTATTGAAAATAAATCTTGACTGAAAACAATATCAAACATATACATACCACCAGGCGGAATATATGTAATCGTTGGCATTGCATCGCTCAACAATTTTAGTTCAAATTCATGCAGAGCATTGAGCATGGCAATTGAATCTGTAGATGACTTGATGGCTGACTTGTCTAGCGTATCTCTGATCTTTACCAAAAAATATGTCCAAAATGGATGTTCAGGTGTTGATGCCATCCACACATTAGGTATGTTGCCACTATAGGCATAGTGACGTGACGTAAGAAAGACTAATACACCTCCTGTTTCAATCATTGGCTCAAATGACTTGAAGCATTCTGTGTCCATATCAGCATAAATTCCTCCATGCTATCTCAATAATTTATTGGGTGGACGGCATTTAGACAAAAATAAGCTATTTGTTAGTTTAATACTATTATAAAAAATACCATAAGTATGCCAAAAATAGATCTCACCAAATGCATATACATGTATCGAGCAATATTGGCACGACTGATGTTGGTTGGAAGAGCATTGAACGTATCCAACATCCAGGGAAAGTGATCTTCGCACAGCTTCAAGTTATCTTCATTGGTCCATAGCATATAATCCCAGTGTTTGTGATGGTCAATCCAGCTGTTTTGCCAAGCTTGGAGTTTCTAGTAGTTATAGGTTCAACAATAACAATGAGTTGAATATTCTGAATGAAGGCAATTTCAAACTGAATCTGCATGCTTTCATTTAAAATCAGTATTCTGTTCTTGATAACCAATATAATACTCACAAGTGGTACTGTTTCTTTTTCCCAGGATTGGTGAATGATGCGTGGAATAGGGACATGAGGTACTTGTCGTTGAATGGCCATGGAGCGTGATTTACCATTGCAATTTTTAGTAGTTTGGTACAATGGCAAGGCAAACACTTGGCCATCGTCTTTTATAAACGGTGAGTCGATATGGCACAATGTATCCATATAAAAGATAGAGCATAGAAGAAGTGACGTGAACAGCATCAAAGTAAACAGCAGCAATTTGTTGCGGGGTGACACTATATGTCGAATTAAACTGCGTACTTGACGTTTTACAAATCGGTTTTTGATATGGATATATATATTTGGATGCAAGCACTTTATCTTAAACTGCTCTATAGTGTTCGCAACATAGTCATTTGTAGTATTAGGCATCTTCATTTGAGACGGATATACTAAAACAAAACTTATAAAACTACAACGCAGCAGAATTAAAGTTGCTATGTCATGGTTTAGAGCCAAGCATTACAAATTCTATGGATTTGTAATTAAGATAACATAACAAGATCAACCATCAAAGGCGGAGTTTGGTAGATTGAGTGCTTGGTAGAACATGAGATGGTAGCTGGAATAGTTAATGTGTAGCACTGCACATGTTTGATAGATATCAAAAGATGATAACAAATAGACCTTTTTAAACTAACCAGATGAAAATCGATATCATAAACAAGCCATTTATCAAGAGTCTACAGCAGTTAAGAATCAATGACAGGCTATAGACAATAAACTATTCAACTGGAATGCACCTATCGATACTTGCTTGTTTACAGACTTTTCTACCTTGCCAAGACAGTTGAAATGAGAAACCAACTCTTCATGGCATGACCTCACAAGTAGTGTTTATAACCCATATATTCATATGTTAATAGGAACGCTTTTGTAGGATGAATTTGTATAATTTTCCAGTAGACATCAATGCAGTCTCGTTGCTTTATCTGCCATCTTTCCATTTAAAGTTGCTACTGCTGATTCGCAAATATTGACCACATCCTGGAAATCTACTCAACTGCCATTGTTATTTGTCTCGAAAGAACTGACAACTTTTCTATGATTTCAGATCTAGTATAATCAATACTCTGCTAAAAAACGAGGACACTAGATCTGAGTAGTTTATAAAGCCATCGATTCTATATTAATAACTGCCTGATTTGTACTAAAGTAGAGTTGAAGGTTGAACATTCGTTTAGTTTTTATACAAAAATGAGCATAAATACCTGCCAGCTTTGTCAACAAGTCAGTACACAATGTTGTTTAGTAAATCCAGTAAACTATCACACCATGAAACCAACTTTTATTTAGTGTTCTATTTTACGTGAATACAGCGTAAAATTACAATAATTTGGTAGTATAGATATGTTTATTAAGCTAATCCTCCAGAACTTTACCGAGAATGTAGTTGCTTTCATCGATATAGTCGGATGCTTTTTTTGTTTTAGATTTGATTTCCATTTCCAATAGTTCTATCTCTACTTGAATGTCATTGCATTGTTTAGCATCACGTTCTTTAATCTGGGCACTCTGTTCGGATTCACTGTCTGCATTAGTATCGGACTCTGCACCAGCCTCCAATTCTTTTAGGCACTTTTTTAACTTTTTTTGGAGTTTAAGCAGCTGAAGTTTGAGTGAGAGTGCTGTATGAACGATTGAAACACCTTGATTTCTCAACACGGATCCATAGCTTAAATAGGCTTCAACGTTTCTGCCTACAAAGACAGGGAATTGGGATTTTGACGAAGAAGCTTGAGGGGTTGGATTTGGATTTGGCTTTGATTTAGGATTTGGTTTCGAATTGAGATTGGGATTTGGTCTTGGGTTAGGTCTCAGATTGGGATTTGGCTTTGGATTTGATCCCAGTTTTGGATTTGACTTTGGATTTGGCTTTGATTTGGGATTGGGGTTTGGATTTGGTCTTGGGTTAGGTTTTGGATTTAGACTGGGATTTGGTCTGGGATTTGGATTTGATCTCAAATTTGGATTTGGTCTTGGGTTAGGTTTTGGATTTAGACTGGGATTTGGTCTGGGATTTGGATTTGATCTCAAATTTGGATTTGGTCTTGGATTGGGATTTGGTCTTGGATTTGGATTTGACCTTAGATTGGGATTTGGATTTGGCTTTGATTTGGATTTGGGATTTGGTTTCGGATTGGGATTTGGATTTGGGTTGTGAAGCTGTAAATTGCTATTAGAATTGGATGAACTGGCTTGCGGTGATGGTGTTGGTGGATCGACATTATCAGGTAAAATCGGAGATGCTATAATGCTTCCATGCAAGAGCATCAAAAAACCCAGAGTAAAATTCATAATCATTTGACAGGCTAGTTTCTGATTATATCAGATATTGCTGTTGTAAAAAATAATTAGAAAAGCCAGAGAGATGAGCAGGTTTTATACGAGAATTAAGAATAGTAATAACGGCATCTTTACTCATTATTTTGAATTATGAAGGGACGATTGAGGTTCAACATTTCCACCACTCAGTATTTGGTCACTTTCACAGCTCAAAGCATACGCCCTAGTATATACCAATGGCCAGTCGTTGAAATAAAGGGCGTTGAAAATATGCAAGCCTTTTCCATTCATGCAAAACAAGCTTGATGCTAGAGATGTTGCAAATATAGATGGTAACACAAGGGCAAGGTAGCCCCAAACGCTTTTGTCGTATAGCACAACACAACCCTTGAAGATCCTTGAAAATAAGGCTTTCTATATCACTATGCAAGGGACAGCATGAAGCCATTTTCAGTAGGTCAAGGTTTGACATGGTAGAAACAAAGTGGATATGGGCTAGAGAAGGCAACACAACACCCTAAACCCTGCTAGGTCACGTCCTTCCAATAGACACTGCTGGTTAATAAAAGCATAGTGTTCTAGCTAAAAAGGGAAGGAGTTGCCTGCCATCTCTACTAATCGCTGCTCAGTGATCATTCTGTTTTGCCTTTATATCTGCCTACAAGGTTGCTAGAACTCCACTACTATACAGCTCTGATGAAGTCAAGCTTGATTGCCAGTCTTGCTCTGGTAACGTCTACTACGGCACAATTAGTACCGCCAGGATTTAACGAAAACCACATACAGACAGTTAAACCAGCTCCGAACCAAAAGACAGTATATTGGTGGAAATATTGGTGGAAACCACATCCTAACCAACCAAATACTATGTCATGGAAACGAACGTACTGGTACAATCATAATACAAACCAATGGGAAAGCTCCACTACACAAAGTCAGGAGCAGCAGAAGGAGCAGCAGCAGGTATCGACTGGGAAAACGACTCAATCGGTTGCACACACCCAACAACACGGATCTAAAACACAGTCTACTACAAATACAAGTAAATCCGCATCTGGTAAAACAAATAACCACTCGCATTCTAGTGCTTCCAAATCAGATTCAAATGATGATGACGATGACGATGATGATAGTGGTGGCAAGAATAGCAATCATGGCAGCTCTTCATCGACAAAGAATTCTGCAAATTCAAATAAAGCTACTTCGCATGGCAAATCAAGCTCACAAACGAATACCGGATCGCAGCAGTCCAATAATAGCTCAACACAAGGTAAAAATGCCTCAAATAGCCCTAGTAAAACAAATGCATCGGTTACCAAACAAAAGCAACCACCCGCAGCAACTTCTAATACACAAGCTGAATCACCTAGTAGTCAACCATCTCTAGTCTCGAAACAAGGTCAGGTTGAAGGAACCTCGGCTCCATCGACACCACCACAAGGACATAATGCAAATGATGCAAACACAGCAAGCTGGGTGTTGGCTGTGGCAACTCCAAACATAACCACATACTTTGGGTTGGCTCTTTTGACCATAGGAGTTTTGTTTTGATTTACAGCCATATTCACGTAAACGGAACACTTGTGTACTTTTAATGTTTTCGCTTCAGAATACGCAATATTGCTGCGTATTCCTACTAAAGATTGACTTTTCAATTGACGTTTTCAATTCTTCAATAAATGCATTGTTCATCATATGATGCTTACAATCAAACTATAGTTTTGAACTGAGATTATCTCCTTTTTGGTGCAACCACATATTGTACAATTACCAGATCCCCCGATTACAATCCAGATACTAGGTTTGACTGTTGTCCATCAAATTCATTTGTTATAATTGTAACATCAAATACGTTTGCGTTCTAGTTCAATTACAGCGATTGCATGTCTCAGTAATGTAGAGTTGGAGATTGAACATTTGTCCAGCTTTTATACAAAAATGAGCACAAATACCTGTCAGCCTTGCCAACAAGCTCAGTACACAATGTCAAGTAAATTCGGTAAACTATCACACCATGAAATCAACTTTTTTATTTAATGTTCCTCTTTACGTGAATACAGCAGTGATATGTATTCATTCCAAGCCTCGACTATACTAAAGCGGTGCACAGGTAACATTTAATCAGAGATGAATTATGAATTTTAAAGTATACATGAAATTAAAACAAATTGGACAAAGTTTGGATTGGTTTATTTCAAGACAATATGAATGGATATAACAAAGACCCCCAAACGGATATGTAGGAAACAAATGAGAAAAGCTTGATTGAGCAGCTTTTGAATTAACCATGATACATGGGAGCAGTCAAACCAAGAATATTTCCAGGAGGAGTATAGTGACAAACCAGGTATTGAGCCTGACCACTGCGCGAAGTAGCACATCCGACCTGAGTTGTTCCACGCCATACGAGCTGAGTGTAGTGTCCATATTTCTCAAACTGAGCATTTAGGGAAATAGGACGTCCATCGTATTGAGAGTATTCAGCGAAAAAGGTCTGAAGCCCGTGAACACAGTCAAGATTGATGTTACCCGTGGCGCGGTCGAGATTCTCTCCAGAACGCGAATGGCTCAAAGTGTTGGTAGCAGCAAGGTAGTTGGCCCAAGATTGAGCAGAGGATTCCTCTGAGCGCGACCAGGAGAGGGGTTGAACACCAACTAAAGAGCGGTAGTAGTTGTGAGCATCTAGACATTTTTTTTGAGAATCACCGAGACCAGAGTTGCCTGGCTGGCGAGGGGGAGGTCGTATAGGTGAAGGTGCAGGTGGTTTTGGAGACGGCTTTGGCAGAGGTTTTGGTAAAGGTTTTGAGGATGGCTTTGGCAGAGGTTTTGGCAATGGTTTTGGGGATGGCTTTGGGGATGACTTTGGTAAAGGTTTTGGGGATGGTTTAGTTGGAGGATGATGAGGAGTATGAGAAGGAATAGGTCTAGGTACTGGATGCGTGGGCGAACGAGGAGGGGAGTGCACGGTTGTGGCTTGATGTTTCTGGGTAGTATGTGATGAGCAAGGAGCATGGGGTTCATATGAATGATACTTCTTGTTTTCGTTTTCGATATCCTCCATCTTTTCAGGATCACGTCGCCTCCAGTCGCCTAGTGGTGCACCACGTAGCGGTATACCTGCAGCGCCTACTTGTGAATCATTCGTTTGCTTGTCTGAATTAGAAGCGGACATGGGAGTAGCACCCACAAGAGTATACAACCCTGTGGCCAACACGGCAACAATCACAGTAATAGTCTTCATTGATAATATTAATGCAAGATCAAAAGGAAATGGTTAAAGTAAAACAAGTTGGAGTTACGGCAGGTTGGTGAATAAAAAAAGTAGATGAACTTGTCATATTTTATAATTCTATCAAGATCCAGACCAATTACAGCCGTATTCACTAAAATGGAGCAAAATAAGGGTACCAAACTACATAATAAACGGCCAGTCCCATGAAATGATAATTTCCACCAAATTTACTACATAATTGTACTAAACTCGTTCACTGGTCTTTCTCCTGGTGATTGATATGGAAACAATGATTGCATTCTCGAGACTATTTTTTAAACTAAAACGCGAATGTATCTGATTTTAGGATACAGAGGTTTGAAACCATCAGAACAATCAGATTCGATGATTGGTTTCAAACTTGTCGATTGTAGAATCTATGACTGCCAAAATGAAGAAACAGCACACTCAGACTATGGTTTGTATTGTATGATGAACGTTGTGTCAGTTTGTAATAGGAAAACTGGATATTTAATCACTGGATATTTTGGAGTAGGATCGAGGAAATCACTGTAAGATGCAGAAAGGCGTTCTATTTTGCATGAATACAGCAGAAAAATGATGAGACTGGCAATGAAGGTCAAGATCTAGTAAAGTCTGGCATTCCCTTGCTCCACATTCACTTTAAATGGTTTGCGGCAGGTTAATTTAAACAGTCCAAGCTGCTTAAACATTTGCACACTCAGGTGTGGGAAACCTACTTACACCTGAATTTACGGGTTGCTGAAGCAGTACAAGGCGTTTTGAATCTGATCTACGTGACCAAAGTTCATTCACCAACACATTTGGCTGATCTGCTAATGATAGATATGGCATATATCATCACAGCCATATTCATGTAGGGTGGAGCACTATCATGCAGTTATTATTCTAGAATATACAATGGTTAAACGCTTGTTGCTTTCCTACTACAAATTGATTCGAGTAAACATTCTCAGCCTCAGTGTCTGGAATTGCTTGACAAAGTCATTCTTATTATACTCGAGTCATTTTCTGCAAGGTTCATAAATTGACAGTATGAAACTGTAGTGTAGTTGCAACTATCACAATATTAATGTCTGTTGACCGGTTGGTAAACCATGTCTAGTCAGACAGTGTTGTTTTGTGGTATGTTGTCTAGAATAACATGGATGTTTGGAAATGTTGCATGTCACTGTTTAGAAAGTCTTGAAAGACATCCGAGTTGCAAGAGCTGATGAGATTGAACAGAAACCAAACAGATGGGACTTGGATTCACAAGCCACGACTGGACAGTATGTTGTTGAAGATGTTGGTTTTACACACAACCATGGAATATCTGGCACAACCATGGAATATCTGACAACCATGGCACCAAAGAAACTCTTGTGTTTTGGAAACTCACATCAGATAGGCTCTAGTTCAAGAGAACAATCTCAAGAATGCAACCATACATGCCAATCACCAAGAGATCAGTCGACTGGTGGGTTCAAAAACAATGCTGTCCAGCAAACTGACACACCATTTTATGAGACCGGTCGCTTACTATACTTTGACTCTTGTTCAGTGTTTCATTTTATGTGAGTATGGCGGTGAAATGAACAAAGCGAAATCAAACTACTGGACTTTATTTTTGAGAAAAGGACAAGATGAAAAGCTTAATGGCATGCAAGCCAAGATCAAAGCAATACATCAAGTGAAACAATGCAAGAAATCAATTGGCATTGATTTATTCGTGAGTAAAGTTGGCCTTGCGCTTTTCAGCAAATGCGGCCATGCCTTCCTTTTGGTCCTTCTGTAAGTTGATTGAAAAAATAGAGTGAGATACAGCAGCCATATACACATTGATAAATATAATGCGTAATACTAGTGCATAACTTACGGTGCCAAAAGTGCAGTGGAACAGACGACGTTCCAAGTCAAGACCCTCAGATAAAGACATCTCGAATGCTAAACACAAAGGTTAGTGATGATTGTAGCAAGACAGTTCAGAAATAGCAATGTGGCTTACACTTGTTGACGGCCTCCTTGGCCATCATGACAACAGGCTGGGAATATGAAGCAATTTTTGCAGCCGATTTGACAGATTCGGCAACAAGCGAGTCGACAGGGAAAATACGAGCAACAAGACCAGCCTTTTCGGCATCCTGAGCAGACATCATGTCACCAGTAAGAACCAGGTCCATGGCCTTTGCTTTTCCAACAGCCTGAGTCAGACGCTGACTTCCACCTGCACCAGGAATGGTTCCCAGTTTGATCTCGGGTTGACCAAACTTTGCAGTCTCACCAGCGTAGATCATGTCGCACATCATGGCAACTTCACAGCCACCGCCAAGAGCAAAGCCATTTACAGCAGCAATGATGGGTTTTCGGATGGAGACAATGCCAGTCCAGTCAGCAAGAAAGTTTGACTTGTAGTTGCCAACAAAAGTATTTGTAGCCATTTCTTTGATATCGGCACCAGCAGCAAAAGCCTTTTCACTGCCAGTGAGAACCATGGCGCCGACAGTAGAGTCCTTGTCAAAGTCAACAAGAGCATCGTTAAGTTCCTTCATAAGAGCAGCATTGAGTGCATTGAGGGCCTTGGGTCTGTTGAGAGTGACGATGCCAACATTGCCTTGACGAGAAACCAGAATGTTCTGGTAGGATTTGGTAGAGAGAGCTAACAAGAGTGGATCAGAAAAAGTAAAAAATCGACATGAAGCAAGTGTATCTACCTTGTGCAGAGACAGAGAATGCACGAGCTGAGCGAGGAACAGCAGCGATCGATCGAGTGATGGAGAACATTGCAGCAGCGGATTCAATCGTATGTAAGTAGATTCAACTGTAGATCAAATCTGACGGATTTAACCCCACAGAATTTTGGTATGGTAGCACATGATCTACTAAAATCACGTGTTTATAAAGAAATCAGCTGTGTTCGCGTAAAATACAGCCGTCTGTTTTAGTTTGAAATATATAATGATTGAATATCCAGTTTTCTTATTATATATCGACATTCTTAATTCAACAACCATTATTGATGCGTAAAAGTCAAACTCATATTTGTTGTATTTTAATATCATATACGCTTGTGTTCTAGTTCAAGAAAACAGATTGCACGCCTCGGGAGAGTTTTCATGCGAATCATCCAATGCCATGATACTTGATTGAAGCGAAATAAAAGCTGGATATTAAACAAGTATGAGATTTACTGAATCCGTAAGCATTCATTTAATTTCATTCACTAAATTAAGCACCAATCGACTAATACGCTCGACAGTTTTGTCCAGTAAATTCAAAACGGTCGTGTCATGAGACTGTTTATCATATTTTGACATTTTATTTAGTTTTCCACTTTACGTGAATACGACTGTAATTTCAGAACAGTTAATCTACTGCTACCATGTTCTCCATCACTCGATCGATCGCTGCTGCTGCTCGCTCAAATGCTCGATTGAGTTCTCCAGCTTTGTTTTCTTCTGTTCGTCCCATGTCCCTTTCTGCTGTGGTCGATTGTACGTTGTGTTTGTAGACTGGTTGTTTTTGTCCTACCATTCATCCTATTCACATATACGTTTAGGGTCAAGTGGTCTTTCAGAGGAAACAAAGGAATATCAGTCTGTTGCTCGTGCTTTTGCTGACAAGGAGCTCGCTCCAAACATGTCCCATTGGGATGAGAATGAGATCTTCCCGAGGGATACTCTCAAAAAGGCTGCTAATTTGGGCTTCTCCAGTAAGTCTTGTTCCAACCTAGTCTCAATTCTTCATCTTGTATTGATCCAGAATTACTATTGTTTTATCAGTGGTTTACTGTAAAGATGACTTTGGCGGCACTGGTCTTAAAACTCTTGATTCCGTTGTCATCTTCGAGGCTCTTGGTACTGGCTGTGTTAGCACCTCCACTTACCTCACTCTTCACAACACTTGCTCTTGGATCATTGACACCTACGGATCTCAGGCACTACGTGAAAAGTACTTGCCTGTCATGGCTCCTATGGATGCAAGTATTTTGGTTTGATCGTGCATTGCCAGTCCATATCTAATCATTTATTTCCAACAGCAATTTGGCTCCTACTGTCTGACCGAGCCCAATTCTGGCTCGGATGCGGCCTCTCTACTCACTACTGCTGTCAAAAAAGGCGATAGCTACATTTTGAACGGAACCAAGGTATACCACTTTTGACCCTATAAACATCGGATCCAATTTAAAAATCTGATCTTATGGCAATCGTTGAATTTTAGGCATTCATTTCTGGTGCTGGCGAATCTGAAATCTACGTCATTCTGGCCCGTACTGGTGGCCCAGGTCCAAAAGGTATCTCCTGTTTTGTCGTAGAAAAGGGAACTCCTGGTCTTAGCTTTGGAAAAAAAGAGAGAAAGGTTGGATGGAACTCATCGCCTACTCGAGGTATATACTTTGATGCTTTGCTAGCTTTTGTTTGATATCCTAAATTGCGTCTAATATTAGTTTTGATTTCATTCTATGATAGCTGTTATTCTCGAAGATTGTGCTATTCCCGTTGGTAACTTGATTGGCCAAGAAGGCCGCGGGTTCAACATTGCTACTCTGGCTCTTAATATTGGTCGCATGAATATTGGTACTATAATGCCTTGGCACATTATTGCTATTCTAAATTACTATATCTGAAATGCTGACATTATATTCCAACATGAACCCCGTTGTTTTCAAGCTGCATGTGGTCTTGGTGGTGCCCAGGCTGCTCTTGAAACCACTGTCGAGTATGTCAATGATCGCAAGCAGTTTGGAAAGCCACTTTCTGCCAACCAGGTAATCTATGCGTTTTTCAATTATTTAAAAACTACCTAGATCTGACTTGCTTTATTTGACCTAATCTGAATTTTAGTCGGTTCAATTCAAGCTGGCTGAGATGGCTACTCAGCTGACTACTTCTCGTCTAATGATTCGTGAGGCTGCCCGTCAGATTGATATCAATTCACCCTCTGCTCCTAGCTGGGCTGCCATGGTAATTAGCATGCTCTATCAATAGAAATTGATCTCGCTTTCTGATTTATCTTTGTTTTTTACTAGGCCAAGATTCATGCAACCGACAACTGTTTCGAGGTAAGATATATTGAATACGTGCATACTATTTATTTGGACTGACTGCTAAGATACTTTTATTTCATGTTTATTCAACTAGCTTGCCAACGACGCACTTCAACTTCATGGTGGCTATGGATACCTAAAGGACTATAAAGTCCAGCAATACATGCGCGATCTTCGTGTCCATCAAATTCTCGGTGGTGAGTGCTTTTTGCCGAAAAACATAGTTTATTCATGACTTGCTACTTTATTCATACATGTGTATAATCATATAGGAACCAATCAAATTATGCGTGAGATTGTTGCCAGATCGATTCTCAAGCCGTGAGTTTTACGAATGAATTCCACAATACAATTATCATTCATTGTGCAACGAACCACTCTAGTTTTATTCCTTGTTTCAGAAAAATGGCCATGATGTGATTGTATTTATCTGAATATCTTGAATTGATTTTCACTGGTATGTTTATTGGGTAGATTGTGTTTAAAATGTGCTCCAATCTGTAAACTTTTATGATTACTGTTTAAAAAATTGATTTGCACAGTATTGTCAACAACATGTGCTTCCAATCTACCCATTATATTTCCATAGATTTGAGAATCATTAGGCTGGCCAGCTGTTTGATTAAAACAGACTTTAATTCGAAAAAATCATTTAAATCTTACTAACGTTATTTGGATCACACCAATTTTAAGCAAACTGCATCAACTCTGACAAAAAGTATTGATAGTAAATGTAAACATGCCAAACGAATCGCATGTATTCAACTTGGTCGCCAATCAGCTTATAGCTGGCTCTATATTGACAATTTAAAAACAGGTTACGGCATTTTGGAATTCATTTTTTACAACTGAAGCATATGGATCAAAATTTAGAGTTGTAGCATCAAGAAAGTGCCACTCCAAAAGAGCATGTCTGGGAGTTTAGATCCCAATTATGCTGCCAAAATACTTTTTTCGTCTCGGCTCATACTAAACTTGACATCACCTGGCGTATTATCAAATACACCAATCAATTTGACACTTGTCAACATTTTTAGCATGTTGTATATCCTTCCAAGCCCCATCCCGTCTACTTTGAACAGTTTATATAATTGTGAAAAAGATGAATGGGATATCACGGGTGTTAGCATAGATTGAATACTAATGCATGAATATTTTGGCAATCGGTATGGAAGCAATTACTGTTTTTTTAAAATGTTTAGTCTTTGCTGTCTTGAATTAGAACGCGAGTGTATGAGATTTAAAGATATGGGAGTTTGTATTGTGTGCTGATTGAATCAAGAATATTCAAGCCAATTCCCAATAGAAAAGTGCACCGAATAGTTAGCCGTTGTTTATTCTAAAGCAATCACCAAGATCCAAGATAAATACAAGTGTTTCACTCATGTGAGCACGGCTGCAATATGATAGTAACGTGCCTAGAATGCGATGAATGCATGAGCATTTGCGGGTGCTGTAAAAACAAAGTATAGGATTGAATAGTACAGATCACAGCCAATGGAGCATTCTCACGTGAGCTAGTGTCAGCAACCCGCAATTGAAACAAATGTAGAAACATTTTAGATCTGCGCTTACCTTTTACTATTACCATAGCCAACTAGCTACGTTTACTACAATGAAATTTGCTTTGCTTTCTGCTTCTCGCCTGCCAGCCATGGCTCGCTCTTTCTCTTCGTCTGCTGCTGCATCAAAGGCAAAGGTAGCTTCAATGCAATTATTTGTACATCAAATGATCTGCCATTCGATCTGTTTATTAAAAATTCGTGGATGTTGGTTGTTGCTATGGATAAAAATGTCGCTCATTCATATCTATAACTATTAGTCGATTGGTTTCATTGGCTTGGGAATGATGGGTTATCCCATGGCCACCAACATTCTCAACAAGTTGGCACCGGAATCCTTCACTATTCTCGATGCCATGCCTGCCACTATGACTAAATTCAAGGCTGAACATCCCATGGGTAGCAAAGTCCACATTGCATCTACTCCAAAGGAAGTTGCAGAGCGCAGTCAGGTTATTATTACTATGTTGCCTACTGCCAATCATGTTCGCACTGTTTTCTTGGGAGAGAACGGTCTTTCTTCTGGTGTTCAGAAAGGTGCACTTTTGATGGATTCGTCCACCATTGACCCCACCACTGCCAAGGATCTTGCCAAGGCCTTTGGTTCAAAGGGTGCTATTGCCATGGACACGCCTGTTTCTGGAGGTAATCCATGATTGTGCTACATCTATACAATGATCTCACTATTTTTGTTCAAATCTAACCACTTGTGAATATCCCTTGATGACTTGATATTTCTGATACAAGGCACTCCTGGTGCTACCAACGGTACTCTTACATTCATGGTGGGCGCTAGCACACCCGAGATCTTTGAACAGGCAAAGCCTTTCCTTGATGGTATGGGCAAAAACATTGTCAACTGTGGCGGTAATGGTAATGGTCAGATTGCCAAGATCTGCAACAACATGATGCTTGGTATTTCCATGATTGGTGTTGCAGAAACCATGAACTTGGGTATCCGCATGGGCATGGATCCCAAGATGCTTGCCGGTATCTTGAACACATCTACTGGTCGTTGCTGGGCCACTGATACCTACAACCCTGTTCCAGGTGTTATCCCAGGTGTTCCCTCCAGCAAAGACTATGAAGGCGGTTTCTCCCTCGCTTTGATTACCAAAGATCTTGGTCTTGCTTCAGCCGTTGCTACCGAAAGCAAGAGCAGCATTGTTATGGGTGCCATTGCACAACAGATCTACAACCAAGTCTTGGCCACTCCTGGGTTCGAGAAGAAAGACTTTTCATCCGTATTCAAGTGGCTCAATGACAACGTCAAGCGTTACTGAATTTAATATTTTGGCATTATTCAACCCTTCACTTCATTGGTTTTATTGTCATTGAAATAAATGAGTTCATGTGAGTTTTATCTTTACCAATTGTAGTCATATGAAATGATCATTCATGCTACATTGACTGAATAGGGTGCTCTCTAAATTGTTTGGTGTGGAAACAGTTGCGATTTATTTCTTGAACTGGATCGTAACTGATATTTATAATACCACAAAGTGGAGTTTGTGTGTGTCGCAATAGCTGTGTTTGAGAATATTAAAATCAAACACAACAAGATTCAGCAAATGCCAAACATTGTTATTTAAAACAAGAAACTTGTATTCGCAAGTTGTGATGTTTCGACAAGCAAATTCGATGCAGTGCAGCTGACAGGCAAAACAGTTTTAGTCACGTGGTCTTCAACTAAATTTAAACTCGCCAGAAACTCGGTCTTTGCAGGGCTTACTGTTACTGTCATCATTGCTCTTGCCGTTAACATGGCTGCTTCTCAAAATGAACATGAAATATCCTATCCAAGATTCTCTACCACTGATGATCTTATTTATGCCTTGATGGACTTGTACTCTGACATTCAGCAACTTTCTTACAACTTGCATATCAACCAAGCTCAGTCTGCTCGCTTGCTTGCTCGTTTATCCTTGGTAAATCAGGAACTAGCTGCTTGTGAACATGACCTTGTTCGTCCCTCTTCAAAGCTAGAGCATGCTTTGTACCGTCTACTCTCCTTTCTGCAGCAAGTGAAAGCCTTTTATACTCGTTACTCTGACTCTCTCTGGTTTCATACTGTCATGCATTGTACAAACGATCGGCTTGAATTTCTTCGTCTGGTATGTATTACTACTACAATAATGAATGGGTTAGGGTCTGTGTTGATTGATAACTGCCATGAATACACATGACATGCATATGGCATGTACTTGCATACTTTAATGGATTAGCCCATGGCAATCTCAGTCTAAGCATATTGTCAGTTTTTCAAACAACTGCTCGAGCTTGCTCAACTTAGCATGATGGGTCAGTGAAGCCCAGTGCTCGAGAGTTGAATGCAGAATCGCGCACATCTCCATTCATTTGCTCATGGCCGCCATGGTATCTAGCAAAGCAAAGGATATAAGAAGGCTTAGGAATACTAAATTTGTTTGGTAGCATCGACAGAGTTTTGCTTGTTTAATGCAACTACATTGATATTGCTAAATGACTTTGCATTGCTTAATCCCCTTGCTCATGTATTGATCATGTTTATTGACCTAACATTCGCTACTTTATTTTGGATCTTTGCTTTTGATTGTCAACCTCGGCACAATACTCTACGCTCTTCAATTCAATGTCCATCTCAATTCAAATATTACTGAAATTCGTTGATGTTAGACATTGCTACTTGAAGAATCTACTGCTTATTTGGGACTGCCATTCAGTACAATAGAAAGTCTTTCCATGACTCCAATGGACAGTAATGCAGCAATGCAAGATATTCTTGGTATTCAGCGTCGTGCTACAGACATTCACTCGACATACACACAATCCCTCACCTCATCCTTTAACCCTGACAATACCGACAATCAACACAAGGAACAACCAGCACTAAACAATACAAATAATTCGATTGAACTGGAGGCATTTATGAGCCAGATAAAATTGGAAGTTAATCATCTTAAACTCGAGGTTCGACAACACGCTCGCATTTCCCAAAATCTGCTGATTGCGCCAGCCATTCAAACCAACCATGATGGTGATGCAGTTGCATTGGGTAAAGGACGTCATGGAACTACTTTTCTCGCTATTTACTCTGAAAGTGCTAAAATTTTGCGAATCGTGGGCTCTACTGATCCCGCTCCGTTAAAGTCCGCATTGTTAGAACGTCAAAAAAGCATTTCCAAAGGCAACACTTTAAAAAATAATCTTAGATTATCCATGGATCCAATACGATCGAGTATAGATAATGCTTTTGACGAAATTACAAGACTCAGTATAGATGAATCCGACATCTCTTTGCAAAATGGCATTTCTAAGCCTAATATTGATAAAACTCAATTAGGGTACACACCCGCTGCACTTGATGTTCCATACGACACTTTGTTGATGCATTCCAAGCACGTTGCAGTAAAAAAACTTGACGTATCTTGGTGTTCAGATCTTGAGTACGATCTTGTGCGCATCATTGATAAATACCATTTGACTAATCCTGCAGTTGCTGCACTTTTTGTTCCTTATCTGGGTCTGGTAAAAGATGAGCTGTCATTATTTGTTGTCAGCGAGTACATGCCCAACGGGTCTTTAACGGATCTATTCCATAGAATAAAAAACAAAGGCAGTGCAAATCGTTTAGGTGGTCTTGCGAATGATGCTAGAAATGCTGCTGAACGTACGCCGGAATCTTTAAAAACTTCCAAATCGTCAGCCACACCTGTATCTAAACCATCTACTTCGATACCTCTTTCTCCCATCAAAGAATCTATTTCTGGCGTGAATCATTCGAGCTCACAATGCGTTCCTTTGCTCACTCTAAAAAGTGCGATAGTCAATCCACTCATTGTACATACACCTGAATCCCCACCATCATCCATACCAATCCCAGCAACTATTACACCAGAGTCCTTGACCAAGATTGACAGTCCGTCTACATTGACTTTGAATCAGAAATATATGCTTGTGCGACGATTGGCTGAGGCTATGAAGACACTGCACGAATCAAATTTGCTACATCGAGATCTGTGTAGTTCCAATGTATATCCTGTAGATGGCTTGACGAATGTCAAGCTTGGCGATGTGGGATTGTCCGACTGCGTGAAAAGACAACCCTGTCCCGAAAAAGATACCAAGGCCATCACCTCTGGCTTTATAAAACTCGACTACTCTGTACCAGTTCAGCCATCTTCAAGCAAAGACATGGCCGGCGCTAGGTACATTTCGCCAGAACTAATTGGTATAGGTGATCGTGAGCTCTGCACAAGGCAATCGGATGTGTACGCTTTTGGTGTAATCGTATACGAGATTTTGATAGGCGGTGAGGCATATTCAGGAAATTTGAATGCCAATCAGATTTATGAACGAACGTTGGCAGGAAAGCGTCCTCGATTTGAAACAGGCAATTACAAACATCAACGAAATAGCAGTGGGTTGAGTGCAAGAGCTTATGCAGAAGGTAATGCGAATAGCGGAAAATATTCAAAACATCACTCTGCCCTGCCACACGCTCATGAACATTACCGTAAAAGTAGCAACCATAATCATATGTCAAATTCTGGAATTCCTTTAATATGGCGGAATTTGGTTTCTTGTTGTTGGGCACAACATCCATCTGCCCGTCCACTTTTCCCCTCTATTGTTGATTCCTTGGTTCACGACGAAGCTGCATATTTTTCCGATTTAGAACCCACTACAATTACCACTGTATCTGATCGAAACTGCAAACCCAGTTCGATTGCTCATCCACCTCCTTTACCTGATAACGCTGCTTTATCCTCTTCAAATGACACCCAACCTTCTGTGACAAAATCCTCGCATAAAAAAAACAAGCGCGAATCGGCGTTTCCTTTCATGATACGATCTACATCTTCACCATCGTATGTACGTAGCCCAAACCTATACTCTGCACCGTCTAGCACTGGATTTCCAGAACCAGACGATCTTGCAATTTTGGGTGAAGGTACTTTGGATACCAGTCAAAAGGGCAAGCACCAAAAAAGTAGCGAAAAGGATGTGGACGGCAAACAAAATCGATCACCGTGGTTGTCCTGGCTATTTTCCACAAAGTCAAAACAGGCTTCTGCGGATGGTATGATTGCTGAGCCTCTGCACCAACCACTATCTACACCATCTATACTAAAAAAAATTACAGACGATGACGACTTACCCTTGACTCTTTTGCGCAAAAAACGATCCCAGTCTGTTGATATGACTCAAACAGGAAATGCACATGCAGCTACTGCAGCTGAAATACTCGAGTCGGGTCGTTTAAGAATGGATAATGACACATATATGGTTAAAAAACTTGAAGCTACCGCGACTCCTACCTCAGCTAAGCAAGTTTATTTAAACCTTGATATAAAGCGTGTTACTGGACTACTTTCTAGATCCACTGCAAGTAAAAAATCGGATAATCATTTTCCTGTTGACCAGAAGACTTTGGATATACCCACCAACGTGCCTGCTGCACCTGCTCAACACTTGGCACAAGAAGTTTTAAAATCAAATCAACCTTCCTTTTCAAAAAATTCCACACCCAATGTGCTAGCGACGAATGGAAAGCACACACAGATGGTTTTCATGTCAAGTAAGTCAGGTAGACTCTTGCAGATATGGGACATCACATCTGGTGCATATGTGATGAAATTCAAAATAAGTGCATGGGCTATTTGTTTGGCGGCCAAGGGAAGGTGTATAGTCACAGTCCCTTTTGACTCTGATGTGCCTAGAGTATGGGATCGTAAAGCCAAATCAAATCACAACAGTTCAACTCATGTATCGCCTGTTGGAAATACAAGCGCAGGAGCAGATTTTGCCATCAGTAGTCCACATTTTCAACACGGACTGTATGGACACACACAGCGTGTGTGCTGTATTGCTGGAGCAGCAGACCGACCTGTCGTAATTACTGGCAGCTGGGACTGGACTGCACGTGTATGGTTTTTAGACACGTTTAATAATGATCATTCAAAACACGCACATGGCCATCGCAAAAATAGTAGCTTGTCTCAATCTGGACATGCAGCTCCAGAGTTTTCCACACTATCGCTGAAACGATCTGATTCAAGATACACTGTAACTGTACTCAAAGGACATGCTGGATCTGTTCTTGCTGTTGCGCTTACACCGGATGGTAAAATTGCCATCACTGGTGGGTGGGATCGATTGGTGCGTATATGGGACACTGCATCAGGAAGATGCAGACAGATTGTATCAGGTCATACTTCTTGGGTGACCTGTCTTTCGTTGAGCAAGAATTCTTTTGGGATTACTGTAGCTAGTGGTAGCTTAGACGGTAGTGTGAGAGTCTGGAAAATGGGATCAAAGGGACTAGACGCACAACTTGCACATGTGTTTACACCTGATATGGAATATTCTCAACCCTTTGCACTACAGCATGCACCAACTACAACCAGGTCGGACGAATCTGATGCTTTTGTCGCGAATGGTTCGAGCAAATCAGACACGAATAGATCTACACAGCCAGCGATTATTGATCGTGAGTCAGCATGGATCCATTCGGTGGCTATTTCAGCCAACGGATCTACTTTAATCAGTGGAAGTCAAGACGCAAGTGTAAGGATATGGGACATGAAGCAAGGAGTACAAGTACGTAAGTTGACCGGACATCTTTCGCCTATATCATATGTTGCCATTTCAAGCGATGGACAGATGGCTATATCTGGTGGTGGAGTGTATGAAAATATAAAGGTGTGGGATATAAAAAGTGGTGAATGCCTGCAGCATATTCCAGGGAGGGTTATGAGTCCTCAAAGTTTGATTTTGGTTGAAGGTGACGTTGCATGCGGAGCATCATTCTAAATGTAATCAATCACTGACGTACTCGTCAAATAAAACACTAAAGGTACCAAAATACATAATAAACAGCCAGTTTCATGAAATAATTGATCAGTTTACTAAACATTGTGCCGTATAAACTCATTAGTTGTTTGACATGGAAACAATGATTGTACTCCCAAAACTATTTTTTAAACTAAAACGCGAATGTATCTGATTTTAGGATACAGAGGTTTGAAACCATCAGAACAATCAGATTCAATGATTGGTTTCAAACTTGTCGATTGTAGAATCTATGACTGCCAAAATGAAGAAACAGCACACTCAGACTATGGTTTGTATTGTATGATGAACGTTGTGTCAGTTTGTAATAGGAAAACTGGATATTTAATCACTGGATATTTTAGAGCAGGATCGAAACAGCATTTCATGAGAATACATTAAATCGATGTTCATAAAACACACCCTCAGGCATAGTAAATCGCGTTTCATATCAAAAAAAGTTTTGATTCTGCGGTTCGACTCTTGCCAGAATTTTGGTTGGATCCACTTGGAATCACCAATCATAAATACTTTTACTTGCTCAAGCAACTATCATGCCACCAAAAAAAGCTGAAGCTGCAGCACCAATTGCGAATTTTGGCAGAGTCCGTAACAATCTGCGTATGGGAGTGGTAGGTCTTCCCAATGTTGGCAAGTCGTCGCTTTTTAATGTTCTGACTTCTCAATCCGCTCCAGCCGAAAACTTTCCTTTTTGTACCATTGATCCAAACGAAGCTCGCTGCCCAGTTCCTGATGAACGCTACGACTTTCTCTGCAGTCTGTGGAACCCTCCATCTACTCAGCCAGCCTATCTCCATGTCACCGACATTGCTGGGTTGATCAAAGGTGCAAGTGAAGGTGCCGGTCTTGGAAACGCATTCCTGTCCCATATCCAAGCGGTCGATGGCATTTTCCATGTTGTTCGTGTCTTTGAGGACAACGATATTGTTCATGTTGAGGAAAACATTGATCCCATCCGAGACTTGGAGATCATCACTGCTGAATTGTGCAAAAAGGATCTTGAGTTTGTGAAAAAGGCTCAGGTAGCAGAAGACCTTGCCGTGCGCAAATCCGGTGGAAAGTTTAAGCTCTCAGCAACCTTTATTGGATTGATTGAAAAACTGTACAAGCTGCTGGAAAGCAACACTCCAGTGAGATCTGGAGAATGGTCTACAACTGAAGTTGAACTCATCAATGACAAAATGTCCTTGATTACGACAAAACCCATTGTGTACCTCATCAACATGTCCAAGACTGATTTTCTACGTAAAAAGAACAAGTGGTTGCTCAAGATCAAAACTTGGATTGATGGACATGGTGGAGGTGTAATGATACCCTTTTCAGTAGAGTTTGAACAGCAATGGTCGGCTCTTGCACCTGAAGAAAAGAGTGCATTTATAGAGGAAAATGGACCTGGAGCGGTGTCTACTCTTCCCAAGATGATTACTACTGGGTACAAGGAGTTGAATCTGATTTATTTTTTTACCTCGGGTGAGAAAGAAGTGCGTGCATGGACCGTATACAAGGGCGTCTCGGCTCCCGACGCGGCAAGTGTCATTCATACAGATTTTGGCAAGGCATTCATCAAGGCTGAAGTTGTTTCTTATGCAGACTACAAGGAACTGTGTGGTGGTCAGAAAGGCATGGCAGCTATAAAATCTGCTGGAAAATATCGCATTGAAGGCAAGACGTACATTGTTCAAGATGGTGATATTATCTACTTCCAAATCGGTACTTTGACTGCTCCCAAGAAAAAGTAGATGGTTTATCTAGTTGTTGCAAATGAATAGTCTTTATGATACAGCTTTATAGATTGTGTTTTTTGTCAATCAGCGTTTCTAAACCTTGACTGCATAACAAGTTTTGTTTTTGTAGTAAAATCATATTTGACTTTTAAGCCTTTCCCAAGTCTATTAAAGTGCAATCTTGACTTGATTTAAGCACTATTGGCCTGGAATCGTTTAAAACCGTGCATTCGGTAACCTCTGATAGTTGCATTATTTTCCTTGCACCTGTTCATAGTTCCAGCAGGCAGTTGCTCTATTTTGATTTCTTTTTTTACCAGGTTTGAAAAGGATATAAATTGAAGCCTGCTGGATCGAACTGTAGGGTTGGCATCTACTACTGCAGCTACAATCGAGACTACTGATATTGAAGCATGTCATCAGACAGTTCGGATACTAGCTCACTCTTCTTTTCGGAAATAGACTCTTTAACTGTTAATCACAATTTTCTTTCTGTAGCTACTCCACTGTCTGCTCATGAGTCGTTTTCATCCGCTTCTTCCACCTGCACTGCAACAGCTGCATCACCAATACTGAAAGCTTCTCTTGATCATGACATGTCTTCAGACATTATTGCAGAGCTCTTTGATCTCAGCAATAGCACTGACATTGCTTGCGATTCCGATAAAATGCATGCATTTGTATCTGGAATGCGAACACAGCCTATGGTATTGACTTCTTCATCTACTTCTGCAGTATCGGTCTCATCACAGTCTACCAGAGATGTTGGGCTGTCTGCATTCGCCATGCTTGACCATCCATTTGCGGATATTTCTTCATATACCGCACCTTTAATTGAAGATAATTTGAATTCTCGCATAATTGCTGCCACTCCGAATGCTGCGTCGGCTTCACATTCCCATCCTCTCTCAGTTGCATTGTTTCCAGCATCCTTGGATGGTTCTGCTACAGACCCACCAGTTTCAAGTCATCAGTCTGAACCGTCTACGGTTGTTCAATCCCTTACCAAACCACAACCTCCAGTTGTTTGTCTATGGATGATTGCTCCGACATCTGCTGATACAACCAGTTCACCCATTACTCCAAAAGATTCTATTTGTGGCATTCATTTTGCGATTGCAGATGAGCTCAACACTCACTTGAGCGAAGACCATATTGGTAGAAAAATGCTTCATAACCTATGTCTGCGATGTCGCTGGCAGTCGTGCGCACATTCAGATGTTCCATTTAAAAAGCGAGACCACATTATATCGCACCTCAAGTCACACTTGCAACTCAAGCCGTTTATATGTCATGCCTGCAACAAATGTTACAAATGGCAGCACGATTTCCATAAACACCAAATTAAGAGTGGACATTGCTCTTCTTCAACAACCGTATCCAATGCAAACTCGGCAACTATGAGGGGTGAAAGTAAATGTGTCGCTACTGCTGATGTTATCCACGGCACATCTACCGCTGCTTTGTTTTCCGCAGCCTCAAGACGAAAATCGCGACTTCGCCAGAATTTGAGTTTTGATACCGTATCAGAGTTAACTGAGCTCGAGCCTCCTGAATCGACAGCTGCCAGCAGTCATGAACCGCGTCCAGGACTACCAGCTACTGCTGTATCAATGCACACATCTGACTACTCACCGTGTCCACCACCCACTCAAGTCATCGTGACTCCAGCGTTGTGCACTAGTCTTGAACCCACCGAGGTACCATCAACCCAATCTGTAGCTTCCATCACAGGAGTGCTTGCATCCACCACCGTGCCTTGTTCAGTTTCTGCTGCTTCATCTATATCCTCAACCCATAAAAGAGGAAGAGCAGAATTTAATCCACCTTCTACATCTCAGCCATCATTCCAACCCATGCATCCTCCACACCATCCACTTTTGCATCATCCTCATCATCACCATATTGTTGATCGGCATCACTCGAAGATTTTTCGACCACTTCCCACTCCTTCATCCCGTACTCCTCGCTCCAGTGTAAAAAGCGAGTCTATGCATTCATTCTATGCACATTCCGTGTATTCTAATTGTGATTCGTCCTATCATCCCGAGTATGCACCTTCAATTACTTCACTTGATCACACAATGGGCACTGTGGATCTCCATGATACTGATAGTGTATACCCCACCCCTAATGGTGCTCCATTTTTGGACGAGAGTACCGAAATGCAGATTCGAGATTTTTTATTGAGTCTTCCTGCTCCTGGAGCAGTAGCTTACCCGTATCCAACACAGCTCGACTATGGTAATATTGGTCCTTCACAGTCATATCCCACTACATCCTCGCTTGGTCTGCCTTTGACACATTTGAACGAGTCTGCTAATCCTTCCGCGTTTGCATATACCAATACCATGGGTGGTGGATCCATCTCTGGGCTTTTTGATGACTCCGTAGTACATAGCACGACGGCGTCTTCTGCTCATCCGAGCTCAAAGCAATTGCTTCCTTTTAATTCTTTTCATTCGTTTGGAGTTGCTGATCTGCTACCACTTGATTCTATCAGCATAGCTCGTACATCCTCTCATCCTCTAACGGATTGTCTGTCGTTGAACGACATGTCACTCAACTTTGATGCCATTCAGTCTGCCACTAGTATAGCACCATCAGTGTCTATTCCATTGATGAGTAATTCTTCTGGCAACAGTATTTGGGATCTTGGACTAGATCAATTGGATTCGAGCATGATTTGCTGTCCTCCTGGTCTTAAGGGTGATGTGTGTGGTGGTATATCCGAGTGTTTAAATGCCAATCATACAAATTATGTACACGCTACACCCAGTCCTGTAGAGTATATCAAAGAAGATCTAAATAGTTTACTTGTAGAATTTTTTTCTATTGAATGAATATCATTAGTTTATTTGGCATGCACACTATTTGTCATTTAACCAGCGGATTGGATTGTTTTTAGTATTCAGTATACATGAAATGACAAAAATTCAGTTGGCTGAATTGCAGATCACATCACTAGTAATTTTCTGAATACCTAATATTCGATCTATGTATCTATCCAACATACTTTTAGTTGTAAAACTATCTAAATGCGGCAATATCAATGATTTAGATGCAGCGTTTAACTGTTGTTACGGGTGCAAATAAGAGAATCGTTGCATGTGATTATATCATGATGGTCAAGGCCGTTATTGTTCCATGATTGTCAATTAATTACTATTATACAACACATTTTTTGATCACCAGCAAGCAAAAATACCCCTCGAGCTGTCCATACACATCACCAACTACTATATCGCTCTTAGCACTGCCACTTGTACGATTAGGCAATCTAAATCCAATTCCGTCATACGTAGATATCTGTTACATAATCTGCATTCTATTACATTATAAATATACCAATTTGTACTACCCCGCTATAGATATATAATTTGTATGTCAATCCTTACTTGCAGTACGCCACTAAACCTATTGGACTACCTTGAGCGCTTGCCGCTTGCCATCTACAACAGAATCTACAAATATACAGACGCATTTACATGCTACGTCCACAATGTCTTAACCCTCCCAATCACAGAACAAGTATTTCGTTTGGTTCTCATTGATGCATTCAAGCACGACAAGGTTCATTTCGTTCAATCTCTATCGCCTCGAACTCGCTTGACATTTGAGACTCTATTTGTAAAATCCGTCAAAATGAAGCAAACTTGTCAGAGGTTTCCTAGGTCATCATCGGGAAGATTTGGTGTGGATTTGCAGATTTCTGGTGGTGGATTAAGCACTTTGCACGATCTTGTGCGAGTTGTCACTGCATCTCCAAACAAGCATGCGTTGGTCAAAGATACGTGCCAAACTGCAACGACGTTGAATGATCCACTTGATACTTATTGCGGTCTTGAATACGGACGCGGACTCGATCATCCCGATGTACTCTGTCAAGTTGCGCAAGATTTACTATTCACTGTCATTGCACAGGGCCAAACAATCATTCAGCACGCCTCAGTGTCATCCCTTCCCCAATCCAAGCAAGATCTGATGGAGTTTGCCAAGGATTTAGTCGAGTGTGCAGTTCCATTGGGATTTTATCCAGGATTACGCAGTTCCAAAGTATTGACCCAGTCCGATGCATTTCATACTGGTGGTGCACCGCATCATATCCGTCAGCCTTCCAAGCTAGCATTCACATTGGCGTCACAGTGCGGACATTTTAATCTTATTGCAGATTTGCTGGATGCGGGACTAGACGACCATGCGTCGATGGATGGAGCCATCATGGGTGGACATGTACACATTGCAAAAATAATTCTTGATCATCACGATGGTCGTATTCTTTTAGATGCATCATCAGTCAACAAAGCGCTTGCAGTGGGTACAGTGGAGGTTGTGTGGTGGTTGATTGCGGACCATCAAGAATCTATACGGACACATAAAGCATTTCGAGATATCCAAGATATGTGTGCGACTCATGGCCAGTTAAATATGCTTCAATACGTTGTACATCATCGAATAGGTCACTCATTAACACATGCAGCAATGGATGGCGCGGCTGCAAATGGGCATATCAATGTTGTTGAATGGATTCATGTGCAAAGCGAAACTGGATGCATTGAATCGCTATCCATGGCTGCTGCAAGTTGCAATGCTATGGATGATGCTGCTGCCAATGGACACCTCGACATTGTCAAGTTTCTTCATTACAATCGCGTTGAAGGATGCACGGTTCGAGCCATGGACAAGTCTGCAGCTCAGGGACAGCTTGATATTGTCATGTTTCTTCATGCATATCGTAAAGAAGGATGTACACATTTAGCTTTTGATGGAGCAGCCTCAAATGGACATTTAGAAGTTGTTATATTTCTCCACAACCATCGCAGCGAGGCGTGTACAACTAAAGCCATGGATAGCGCATCAATGAATGGACACCTTTCTGTCATGATGTTTTTGCATGATCTACGAGATGAAGGAGGTACAATTGCTGCAATGCATAGCGCATCAGCTCTAGGCCATCTTGAAATTTTCATATGGCTATGGGATTCGACGGAATATCCCATACCTCAAGTAAAAGACATGCATACATCAGCAGCAAACGGTCATTTTTTTATTGTCGAGCAGTTTGCTATGCGTTCAGACGAAGATTTAATGCCATTGTTAAGCCCTGCATTGTGCAACGGACATTTGTTTTTGGCTCAGTGGATTATGAGCAAAGGACGAGGAATTTTGAGTTTAGATATGATGGATGTCTGGGCCCGACAACGGTTTCCTGAATGCGCGGATTGGCTTTGCGCGATGATAAGTAATCAATATCAGGGTTTAGATTGGAAATACAAGGTACAAAATAATAGCCACGATGCCATAAACAATAATGGTGTCATACACAAGCGACTATGGAGAACGATTAGCCAGTCCTTTGATTCAAATGCAATCGGAAATGCCATTCTTAAATCATTATCATGGAAATAAACGCTAAATGATTTGCTATATCATTTAAATATTGAAGCAAGCCAGTATAGTTGATTACAGGATGAATTCAAAATATCATAAAAAATAGATTTAGATCTAGACCCATACTCAATCATCGTCTTCATTTATTGGAAAGCAGTATCCTTCAAATACGTTTTTGAGCATCCGATAAAGATATTTCCTGACGACAATACATTTTTTCGCCGGAATTATATGGCGCAACAGTATGTCCGTTTCCATAGATTCGGTATCGATAAATCATCAATCCTTCAAGTCCCACTGGACCTCTCACATGAGTTTTGTTTGTGCTTACACCGATTTCAGCACCAAAACCATATCTAAACCCATCGGTAAATCTAGTAGATGCATTCCAATACACACTTCCAGCATCTACTTGGGCCATAAACCGCGAAGCAGTTTGCTTGTTGCAAGTCACTATAACGTCGGTGTGTTTTGACCCATGAGTGTTGATATGACTAATCGTTTCTTCCAAAGAATCAACCACTTTTACTGCCATAATCAAGTCAAGGAACTCAGTGTCAAAATCTTTTGGGGTTGCGGGAATAATGAGTGCAGATAGTTGTTTAGAAAGTGAAAGCGATTCAAGTAGCGCGAGCGCTTTTTCGTCACATCGAAGCTGGACGCCTTTATCCAGCAACGCAGTACCAATAATAGGAAGATGGGTGCTTAAAACACTAGAATGAATCAACAGCGTTTCAGCGGCATTGCACGCTGCTGGATAGTCCGTCTATATATAATAAATGAATGCATTTAATCGTATGAGTGCTGCAACAGCAACATGAATATGTAAAGCATGCCGATTGTACCTTGGAGTCAACTATCACAGCAGCAGCCATTTTTGCATCAGACTCCTCATCAACGTAGACAGAGCAGATCCCATCAGCGTGACTCAAAACAGGAATCCTAGCAAATGATGAGAGTAAAAGTTAGCAATTAAAATGGCTGATAAATAAAATCAAAACTTACTTTGTGGATTCACGAACATGTTTGACCAATCCAGCACCACCTCTTGGAATAACCAGATCAATCAGACCGTCCATTTTGAGCAAGCCATCAACCACGTCTCTGGACGATACCAACTGAACAGCACCCACTGGAACACCAGAATGATTCATCCCAGACAAAGCCGATTGAATGCATTCCATCAATGCCCGATTAGAACAATCTGCCTCTTTTCCACCTTTAAGGATCACTGCGTTGCCGGATTTAAGAATCAGCGATGATATCTGAACAACGACTTCAGGTCTGGCTTCAAAAATGATGAGTGCAACACCAACGGGGCATGTCACTCTGTATAAGTTGAGACCATCATCTAGTTGGCTAGCAAAAGTGACCTTTCCTTTAGATTGGATGATTGTTCAAAATGAATGCTAGAAATTAGGCTTTTCTGACTTTAATGGTTGCACAAGTATTTTTGCCAAGTTGCATCAAGCACACTAATAGATATTACGGCTCATACACACAATACAATAGGATAGTAGCCTACCGACTGGATCGTCCAATTGGATGATATCCAACACCCCTTGCAACAATGCATCAAACTTTGAATCACTGGGTCCAGCCAAATCCAGTCGTTTAAATAGGGAAGCAGAAAGAGAACCATCTGCAACCTGAGCTTTAGCTTTCTAATCCAAAGCAATGCAAGTGTTTGTGAGAATAGATATGCGACCATAGTTTTAAAGCAAGAATATACTTCTAAATCCAATCTGTTTGCAGCCAAAATAGAATCCTTGTTGGCTTTAAGAGCAGCATGAATATGCAAGAGCGCATCGTTTTTCAGTTGGTTAGAAGCAGATTGGAGAACCAATGCAGAATTTCTTGCAGTTTGTGCAATATTCAGAGCTTCCATGTCAATGTTGGTTTCAGCAAGTTAAAGCAGTTTAATTTTGTTACAAAACTCAATCACGTGAACAAGTTTGAAATTTGCAGTTTTATTGCCAATCACACCAACACTCAATTTGAACTTTTTCCAAAAGAAAGTCGAGGCTGGTTTCGTTCTGGATCCACTAGTCGCGATACTCGCACATCTGGACCTCCAATTCCCTGAACATGGCTCATATTCTGCGGTGTAATCAGAATATACTGCGATTGAGACTCTGCATCTCTGGCATTATCAACCATCAACTTCATCGCAAGACGTCGATTTACTGCATCCATGAACACGTCAAACTCATCCAACGCTCGGAATGGACTCGCCATGGACTCCCACAATGCCAGCAGCAAACACACTGTTGCAAAACTCTTTTCTCCACCAGAAAGTGCTTTAGGATCTCGATCATTGACTGGGTCAATTGATTGTCCTGATTTTTCAGCATCTCCTACATCCACATGAAGATTCAGCTCGCGCGCTTGGTGATCTAGCTTTAATGTTCCCCTAAATCCTCGTTTTCGGATCAACTCTGAAAACATTCGTTTTGCTCTGATGGATATGTACTTTTTAAAATCCTCATAGGCAGAATTGCGTTGTGCGAGACTTTTGCTAAGGAATTTTAAAAACCTGTCCGATTCTTTGATTTCTCTTGTAGCGTCGTCATACGACTTTTGTTTGATCAATAACTCGTTGCAAACCTTTTCACGACTTCCAAACTGCTTTTCTTTCTCTTCCAGGCGAGCACGAAGGTCTCGAATTTTGTTACAAAGGTACTCCACATCATGTGTGACAGGAACCCTGTCACCAATCTCTTGACATTTGGCAAGGTTGAGATCCAAGGCGGTTTGAAGACGAATATGTAGCTGTTCCTGTACATCTACACGACGGATATATTCAGCTCGCTTTCCAACATAATAGTCCAAGTTTTTTTTCTGATGTGCAAGCTGAGTCGAAATAGTATCCACCTCATTAGTCAGCATTGACACACGACTTTCAATCTCACTTATCTGATCGTCAAGAGTTTGTAAACTAGCTGTTTGTTGGCTGGCAATTTCTTTTTGAGCATTGATTTGCTCTACAATTCCGTCATACTGCTGAAGAAGAATGTCGAGTCGTGCCTGTTCTTCGCGTTTCTCATCTTCAAAAACATTGATGTTGATGGAATCATCCTCTCGCATACTATCTTCAATCTCTGTAATATCTCTTGAAAGCTGTCCAATACGCTGATCAAGTTTAGCTATTTCTGACTAATTTTTCAGAAATTGTGATTAGCTAAAGAATACATACCACACTCTAAATTCAACTCATTGAATGAGAAGCACATGCATTCAACATATACTTACACGAAGATGATTGCGCTGTGTGCTTGCATCTTTAAATTGACGTTCTTTTGTTTGCAAATCAGATTTTGCCTTGTCAAGACTCTGAGTATGACGGTTGATCTCATCAAGTAGATTGCTTTCTAATGCATCTAGATTTTTTGCAAGATGTGGAGTATTGGGGGGACGAAATAGTCTGCTTGCAGAGTACCCTCCAAATTGATTGCCCATTGTGTAGCCATCTTGAGTAGCAATCAGATTTACATTGCGTGGGTATCCGTTTTTGGCAAGCTCGTCCCCTTCATTGCGAGTGCAAACTAAAGCTGTTTTTTCAATGCTGTTATTGATGACAAGCTGACCTAGGACAGTTGGATCGCTTACCTGTAAATGTTGGAAAATAAAAATCAATTGCCGATAATATACCGTTAGAATCACATTAATTGAAGTTTATGAAAATATTGCAATCTGATTCTCATACTTTGATGGACCGATACACAGTCAGTAGATTTTGATCAGGTTCGCCACTTTGAAAATTTACACTTTTGGCGCTGCATTTGAAAACGGTCATATGTGGGCTATAAAGACAAAAAAGGCGGTAATTCAGTATGAAACAACCCATTTTTATACAGAAATCAAAACTTACAATCCGCATTTTTTTGCAATGTCTTGCATTAACCGCATATCATCGTGGTTATCCACAACCATGGCACTTAGACTACTACTTAAAAGCGACTCGACCACATAACTGAATTCTTCACGCTCCAACTGAACATACATACCTAAACATTAAGATTTCAGTGCAACATTTAGTACGCAAAAGTATATGAACATCTTGTAAACATGGCATAGTTACCCAAAGGACCAATAGGTTTTTTCCCGCGCCAGCGACCGTTTCTATCATACTCATTTATCATACGAACAATTTCAGGCATGCGTTCACCAAACATCCGCAATTTGTTGACTTTCTGGTCATGCAGTTGTTTTAATCGATCTTCAGATCGAGCCAAAGCATCCATCTTGTCATTAACATACTCTTGAATCTCTCCCTGCTCAGTCTTGAGTTTGTTTAAGCGTGCTTCAATATCATCACGAAGTTGAAGAGTCTGTTTTTGTAAAATTTAAAAAAGTATGTTAATAGAATCTGATTGTACAACAGTCTAGCACCATGTCAAGTAAAAGCAAAATAATAGTTTACATTGCGACGGGTTTTTTCTGAATCAGATCTGGAGGCTCCAAGACTCTTGATTTTCTCCAGTTTGTCATCTCGGATTGCCCTAATCAGTATCATGTTGTATTTACATGTGACAAGTAAGGAGTCAGTAGCTACGTATTCAAAATATCATACCACACTAATCAACTTACGCTTGGTCAACCTGAACTTTCTTTTGCTCTGCATCTATATGTCCCTGTAATCGCTGAATATTTGATTGGCGCAATGCCGCCTCTCGATCTAGTTCACTCATGGATGCGCTCAACTGCCTCATAACTTGCCGGCTTGATTTGATTTGTATTGTGTGATTTTTACGAGATGTGTCCAGTGCTGTTTTTTCACCAAGTGCGTCTGAAAGCTGCGTAGAAAGAGTTTGAGCATTAGTTTGAGCTGTGGACAAATCAACTTCGCATTGGATAATTTTAGGCTCTACAATGGCTAGTTTTTGCTGTTCTTGTTCGACCAGTTGGGCTTGATCGCGAATTCTCTGTTAAAAATTCACAACGTAAGTTGTATTAGATGATTCAAATGACTTGAAATGAATGCAAGTGTATTCTATTCTAACCTGCTCCTGCTCCTCAATTTTTGACCAGATATATTCTGCATTGTATTGATGAAATTCTTCTTCAATTTTGGCAGCCTCGTCAATTTCGCGCAGTTGTCTCCGAAGTCGCTCAACATCTTCCTTCATTTCAGGAACTGCTTGAACCTTGTTACACAGGGTTCGAGTAGCACTTTCAATATACTCATCAATCAGAACATAATCAGCCGTAAGTTTCTCAAGCTGTGTTCCTTTCAAAAAGAACTAATCAACAAAATCCGTTTGATGAGTTTTTAGATGAATCAAAGCGTATAGTCATAGAGTTGAAAGCAATCAATATGTATGTACCAGATATTTGTCGTGACTGGAGCTATTTGCAAGAAACATACGCGCAGTATCCTGAGTGAGAATAGCCATGGGATTATCAACAACAATCTGCATGTGATCATTAATAGACATGAGATCTCCATGCGAAGTAGAAACAGTATGACCTAAAAGCAATATATCAAAGCATTAAAAGGTGATGACAGATCAACAGTGGTGTGATAAGCAAGGTCTAGTCATACCATGAACATCACGAATTTTGTAAGAGTTTTGACCATCACGAACAATTTTCCTTTCTACAGTGATGGAATCTCCGTAAACAGAAGCCTTGTAAGCATCAGGACCTTTGTTTCTAATCTTGACTGTAACCGATGCAACGCTGGAGCAAATTGAAATGGAGATTAGCAAGACGAGATTGAAAATGCAAATTCAAATTCAAATTCAAGCGATATCAATCTGTAGCACACACTCTTCGCCGGTTTTGATGAGCGCTTTAAGATTATTTCCTCTATTGGTAAAACCAGCTTTACCACCAAGACAAACTGTAAGTGCTGTGAGAATAGCAGACTTTCCACCTTGATTAGAAAATAATGCAGCAAGATCCAATAGATGGATATTGAAATAAAGTTGATTAGACTTGGACGTATCTTTAATGCACAAGAATAATAGATGGTCTATTGACATTAAGCAGACACATTGACTTATGGTTTACATACTTCCATTGTGACCAACAATGAAGTTGATTTTTGAGCCTAGCGATACCTGTAGATAGGAATGGCACATGAAGTTGACCAATTCCACTCGTTCGATTGTTCCCAAAGCATCATTATCCTACAATTGTATATGAATGGCATGTAATTAGTGGATTGTAAGTTACTCATGATTGGAAATACATAAAATCCCAACTCACAGTTATCTGATGTTGTTGACTGGGTTCCATCTCGGACAACCGAGTGTCCGAGTGAATGTCATCCATGGAAAGATTGTTATGAGGTTCTTTGCGAGCTCTTTTTAAGTCAGGGTTGGAAGACTCTTTTTCTATGGTCATGTCATCAGTAGTGCTATCATTTTCATCCACAGATCTCTTGACAGGCACCCTCTTCATTCGACCACGAGAAGGTGCAGTCGATGCCATTCTTCCTGTTTAAAGAAAACTCGATTCGATTTAAATGTTCAAAAATTTGACAAAGTTTACTTTATAATCGTATTCACACTAAATGAGTGTCAATCTCATAAAATAATGATTTGGTTTTGAGTTCATTAGTTGACTGTTTTTTTGGTGATTGACATGCATTTCTGAGATTGATTTCTTGAACTAGAATGTATGTAATTAGAATACAACACACAGGTTATGGTAAGTGTACAATTCCAAACGAGGAGTTCAAAATTATAGTTTATTGAAGAATCAAGAATCTCGAGTAGGAAAGCGTAGCGAGTTTTTAACAAGTTTAACAAGTTTATTCCAAAATAGTTCATTGCACGAATACAAATGTCAAGACCAAGACACGTGACTAATACGACGATGTTGAACTCATAAAACGAAACTTTCACTACTATCGGATCTACTGTTGAATCTGCTAATTCACAATGGGCGATAGATACTCCTTCTCCCTCACTACCTTTTCTCCTTCTGGAAAACTGGGCCAGATTGAGCATGCTCTCACAGCTGTTTCGCAAGGCATTACCTCTATTGGTATCAAAGGTAATGCTGTCATCAACACTTTTAGCTATTGCTATCCAACAGTTACTAACTGCCATGTTGACTCTAGCCAAAAATGGTGTTGTTATTGCTACCGAAAAGAAGATTCCTTCCATTTTAGTTGATGATTCTACCCTGGCTAAAGTCTCGCCCATCTCTGCCAACATTGGTATGGTTTATTCTGGCATGGGTCCTGATGCTCGTCTATTACTCGACAAGGCTCGCAAATCTAGTCAAGAGTACAAGCGGATCTATTGCCAAGAACCTCCGACTGCTATGCTGGTCAAGGAAGTTGCCAGTGTTATGCAAGAGTACACACAGTCTGGGTATGTTTGCCACTGATATACACCGTATCTACTCGTCTGTATTCATTCCATGGCTGTTACTTTTAGTGGTGTACGACCTTTTGGTGTTTCTCTTCTTATTGCCGGTATTGACGAAACTGGGCCTACTCTTTATCAAGTAGATCCATCTGGCTCATATTGGGCATGGAAGGCATCGGCGATTGGCAAGAATATGGTCAATGCTCGTACTTTTCTTGAAAAAAGGTAATTTCTACTGTCCATGATATTCGATCACTGTTCACTCATTTAAATACGGAAATGTGTTAGATACAATGAGACAATGGAGATCGAAGATGCTATTCACACAGTCATTCTTGCTCTTAAAGAAGGCATTGAAGGAAAAGTGGCAGATACCAACATTGAAATTGGTGTTTGTCAGCAAAAAGAAACCATCAACCGTGACGGAGAAAAGGTTTCTGTCGGTACTTTCCGTTCGTTGTCGGCTTCTGAAATTAAAGACTATCTCGCTAATATCCAGTAAATAAGAATTCAATCAGAGATATTGATCAATGCCTGATGTGAATCAATTCAACGAAAAAATAAAATGCTGTAGCAAGACAGTTTTGGTGGATAATACATCTGTTGAATTTCTACTGTAGGTAGATGTCAGGATTACTGCTAATTGGTTTTACTGTTATTGATCAAGTATGGATTGACAATGGCTAATTAAATCTGAATATTCATGCTGAATCTATATACTCACTACACTATTGAAAGATTTTTGGGATAAAATAAACCAGAATACAATTTGGTCGAGTCAAAATGGCAATTCAAAACACTTGTTCAAAATGTTGACCAGTTTATTTGGTACATTTTACTGAATAAAAACTTGACAGTTTTCACCCATTGTGGTAAGCCTAATTCAATCCTTTAAATTGGCATCGAACCCATAGATTTCTTTAAACTTTGCAATACTTCAGAGCTCACTAACATGTGCTGCTTTGCATCTATTTTGCTATCCATGACGTATTTACCAGCTTATCAGACGTTGTACACCACAGTTCAATCTGTCTCATTCGAATCTATTTAAATACAAAATTCAATATATATTGTTTTATCAGTTCTATCTATGCGAAGCAGTGCCTCCAATCCAAACAGCATTTCTCCAGTCAGAAGCTACAGATTGAGTAGTCACTGGTTTTGATTGAAGCTGTCGCCACCGATCAGGAGGAACATCTAATGTCAATTCACGGTTAATTGGAGCAAAAAGCCTAGGCTGAAGTACACTTGTATATGCATATGGGTTATGATCAGTCTGAAGTAGTGCTGATGATGTTGGTTTAGTCACCGAGTTTGTAATATCACGATTCGCCGTATTATAGGCTGGTTTGTTGATAGTAGAGATTGGAACTGTGTTGCCATCTGCCCTTACACACAATGTGGAATTCGAATCTTGAGGTTTGCCATAAACAGTATGGTTGGAAGCCTTTGCAGCACTTATTGCAGATGAACTGGCGGCTTCTGCAGTATCGGGGATACTAACAACGGAAATACCAGACATACATAGTGGAGATGCCACTCCGGCTGATGGTCGTAACGACATGCCAACAGCACGATCGCGACCAATAAGCATATTAGATGATACACCTGCAGCACGTTGAGGGAGCAATGGACTGTCTGTGTTATGTGAAACCAAAACTGACGAATTAGTGCCATTGTATACATCTTGCAACATAAATCGATGTGTGGATGGAATATTGCGGTGAATTGGTTGTCGTTTAAGCGTATCATTATGTGCTAAACAAGGCAGCGTCTCGTTCTGAGGCGGATGTACCAATTTTTGAGATGTAGTACAGTCTGATCGAACCTCGCCATTAGACCTGGGTTTAAGAGCTGAAAATTGATTGCAAGATGTACGTGTCAATGTCGGTGCAATCGTCAATTTACTATCTTTTAGCTTATTGGAAACTGGAATGGGCACAATCTCGGTTTGAATTTTTTCTGTTTTAAATTGTAGTGTGGTGTGTATAAGTTGAACTGTTAGCCATTTTAAAGCAACAAGATACAGAATTAAAATGCCTAGACATACCATATTGATCAAATCGTACAGTCCACGTTAGGAAACTTGCAATCAGCACACAGAGTGAGATCATTGGCCGTACCAATGAAAGATACAGTGCAGAAAACAAGCCCAACGCGAGCCGGCCACGAACAGCACACCACACCGCAGTCAGCAAAATCTTGATACCAAAAGCAGCCGGTAAGGATAGAAGCGGAATCAAGGGCATTACACCAACAACCATACACAACACTACTACAGTGGCAAAAACAACCGATACTTGAGCAGTGCACAGTTCCCATGCTACTTCTATAGCCACAATGGGCGAGGTTACCAAATGTGGTGTGGATACCAAATACGATGTTTGATTTGCCACCAATGACCAAAACTGTTGAACTAGTGATCCATCAGCATGTTCTCCACAATCACCCAAAACCAAAGGCTGTAAAAGAAACCCAAACCCAATACACCCTTGGCCAAACCTTTCCATCAGCACTGTTGATAAATATTTGGTCCAATCAGCATACATCAGATGCAAGTCGCGCACTGTATATGAAACTGAGCTTGCAAAGTAAGATCGTTCTATTGCTTTAAACGCAAGAAAGCGAATAAACACTGCCGAAGGTGATAAAGACATGCATCCATCTGTAACAGATTTGAATACCGATGGAAAAAGAGCTTGGTAGGTCGCATCTGAATCAACAAGTAAACTTCGATTTTGTCGAGTTTCCCAATCTTCATAGCTTGTTGATGCATTAAACCCCGACATGGCCATACAGGAAGCAGGTGCTTTAGTGAGCGAAGAAGCACCACGACGAAGAAAATCAGGAGAAAACACGCCTGTACCGTCTGTAAGCACTACCACAGATTTGGATAAACGGGATGGATCGTGGCGAGACTGAGACTGAATAAGAAATAGCCCTTGACGCTGCATGTCTCTATGATGTTTTGCACGAGACCAAAAGCATATCAAATGAGCATTAGTGTTGATTCGAGCTGCATAAGGACGTTCAGGAGCCATAGCATGCACACCCAAAACATGCAATAAACAAGTGTTAAGACCAGGTTTGGCTCTTGGATGAAACAGGGCAATGACAAAAAGACGCTGTCCTGGGTAGTCAGTACGGATGATAGATTTCAACGTGCGGTTAAATGTGGATATGGGCTGAGGCATAACTGTGAGAATTACATAGATATCTGGAACAGTAGTATCTGGTGCCCGGTTACGAGCTTCTGCCATCATGTTTTGATCGGGAATGTAGTAAAGAGTAGAGGGTGCTGCCATAAGATGTGTGATGGTGTGCATTAATGTAGTCGTGGCAAATACACCAGCAAAAATCCAGAGATATATCTGCAAGATTGTGCGCAAAATGTCGGCAGAGAAAAATGAAATCCAATCGGCAATAATGATTAAAGTGGGGACTGCAAGACTGGCTCTGATGCATACAAACAGTAGCATAAACATAGTCTTTCGTGCATATGTATTCCAGCGCGAAATTGCTGATTCATGCAGTCGTTTTGATGATATAGTTTTGACGGCAACAATAAAAGTGTATACAAGCGACTGTAACGCGCCAATGAAACAGAGTGTACCAAGTAAGATCTGAACCCAATCTGGCAAGTCTTTAAGTAAGTGTTGTGGAAAGGAAGTCATGGTTGGTTGCACGCCTATATTTTGAGAGTAGTGTTGGACTGTTGTTGGATGACTGGTGTGGGAGGTTAATGAAGCACCTGTTAAACTTTCTTGTGGAAGCTGTGAACTGATGGTCAGTGCTTGAATCTGAACAAAATAATAATTATTGAGCAACGCAAATTGCAATAGTAAAGCAATGTGGTGCATGATGAATAGTTTAATGTAATTGTATGTATCTAAAGTGTGTAACAGCCAGCGCACTATGTTCTACCCAAACTATATTTAACCTGTCAGACTGATATTTAGCCCAGTATATTAATGCAGTTGATAATAGTTTTGAATGCTTTTTCATGTTGTATTTTGACTTGAAATATCCTAACCCATGTGGCAAAAACAAGATTGGTAAATTAATGATAATTTTGTTCAGCATTGCTATCCATACCAAAAACCACATTGAATTATAGCTTTACAGGTGAGGAAAATATTGGTGATGCTTATGATAAGCACACAAATCAGGGCACTAATGTGATTTTGGCAGTCCATAATCATCCCGCGATAAATGTTTGCCAAGCCACAGCGCGTTTGATAATTCATGTATTGAAGCCGTACTCACGTAAAATGGAATACTTGTATTTATCCTGCAGTGGCCACCTCTGCTTTGGAATAAACAGTAACTGGATATTTGTTGTGCTTTCCTACTAAAAACTATTGCTTCTCCAATAGACAACGTTCATTATATGCTGCACAAACCATAATTTTGAATTGAAACTGTCCACTTTTTGCAGTCATACACTGTACGATCACCCTATCCATTCATTTCAACCCATATATTGGACTCAACTGTTGTCAATCAGGCCCATCCCTATTTCATTCTAAAACCTGAGATACACTTTAGTTCAAAAGAACAAGATTGAAATCTCACGAGTACAACTGTCGCTTTCCTGTTGAACACCAGGAGAAAGACTGGTCAACTAATAAGCTCAAAAACAGCGCTGTTCAGTAGATTTGGTATGATGTATCATTCCATGAGATTGACTGTTTATTGCCTGATTTGATATCTTTAGCACTCCATTACACGCGGATACGGCTGTAATTAATATGCCGGTTCAAAGCTCCGCCGGGAAAATCCGACCATATTTTGTAGCGTGTAAAACAAATGACTCGTGTCCTGATGCATGGAGCACTTTCAAAAAAACTATCTTAATGAGTATACATGTTTAATAGCTAGCCTGTGGCCAAATCTACTAGCCCTAACCGTATTTTATACCAAATCAATTAACTGAAAAGTTTAATTACATGCACACACCAATGGCTAATTGACTGAAATACAGTCATCTGCGCAGTAATATCACAACTCACGCCGACACAACACAATCACATCTCCAGTACGTTTAGGATCGTCGTGAAAATGACTATTAAAAAATCGTGCACACTAAAAGTTCACATCATAATCAGCATAATATAAGCAGAAAATCAATCATAAATAAACATGTTTAAACAAATAAATCTTACTATGCTGTATCCTGATCCTTGTAAAACACTCGACACGACTGAAAAGAGTTTAGGGTTATCAAACATTATGATATGGCTCGACCATTTATGCTGCAAGATCTGATATCCTTGTCCAGGAACGTCAATATACTTGCCACGAGTTTGGGATTTCAAAAAGGAAAAGGCGTCTGTGATTGGCTCAATTCTTCGAACAAACGGCAGTTCGGAAATATTTGGCGTAATAGGAGATTCAGAATAGTCGGTAAAATCCGATGTGGATGTAGTGTTGGCCCAACCAAGTAGCTTGGCACCGACTCGTGGGTCAAAATAGGTTTGAAAAAAGTATAGTGGGTTATTATACAACACATCTGTTTCATCCTGATACCCCTTTCTGTTTTCAACTCTACACAAACATATCACGTTTAAAAATTCAATTAGCAATTTAAATGACACGCCATCAATACTATTACCAGAGTAGAAACGCTAAGACTTACCCAATGGGCGGTTCGCATGTAATAAATCGCATGGGTATATTTCTATGCAAGTAACTATAAAACGGAGTGGAGTGGCATGGCATCAAAAACAAAATGTCGGAAACCTTTCCACCATGTAACTCAATACGCAGCCAATTCATGACCTCCATAATGCCACGTTGATGTGATCGAGACAAATAAAACGCTGTTGCTATATTTGTTATCCCGACAACAGCCAAAACCTTCCATAGCCACTTTGCTGGTCGTGTTTTTGGATGGCGCAAAGATCTACGCTGCGATTGATTTTGCTGTTGACGCTCACGAGCTGCGTGCGAAAACGGTCTACGCCTTCTTAATGAAACTATGTCATCTATATCAAGATTGTTGTATTCTTCATCGTTATCAGCATCATCTTCGGCATCTCCCGCGGTGCTATTAGCAACTAGATCCGTAACATAATCGCTAGCTTCAATCACACGCAAGCCATGTCCAGCATAAACCAACAAGGGCGGAAGAATTGGCATCAAGAACCTAAACTCTTTGTGTTTTTGTAAACTCAAACAAAAGACTGTCCATAGGCACATCCAAAAACACTCTCGTTCTCGTGGATATTGGGTATGTAGTACACCCCATACAGTTATAGGTAACAAAGTAAGAAGTACAACCGGAATGCCTTGGGTAAAGTACCAGTGAAATGGATGTCCACCGTAAAACTCGGCAATATTTTGGAGTACGTTGAGTTTGAGAAACTCGTATGGAGTAAATGTCCATGTCTGGTAAAATTGAAAATCTATGGCACTTGATACTCCTATTGCTGCAATCCTGTAAAATTTGTATAAATCAGGATTAGACTATCTCCAAAAATACTGAATCAGCTTTGTAAAACAGTATAGCTCATAGTAACAGCTCTGATGATTCCTACATTGTGATTAGTACGTCGTTTACTACAGCATAAATTCGAATTGATTTTCGAAACAAGAGTGACGTTCCAAGAAATATCCACAAAATAGCACTTGTTGGTCTAACAATGCACGATAGTGCAGCAAAAATAAGTGAAATACGAAAATTACGTCGAGTTGGCCGATTCCCTTGTACTTCATCGCGACTCCAAGGCCAGTAGTACAGTGCAATGGATGTTAAACAGGCTTCCAAGGAATTCGAATAGGTTCTCACTAGACAAAAATAGTTGAACCACGATAGCAGCACTGCCGCAATCTAGATCAATAAGGATGATATAAAACAGATACCCAATACCAATTAGGTTTCAATGTCCTGATTGAGCTGATTTAAACTAAAGGTTTTAGCTACGGTACTTGAACTCAATATGTTTTTTACCGTCCAAAAAGCAGTCGCCATTCCAAATAAACGATATGCAAGCAAAAACGTGAAAAAATCCCCTATGGCTGCAATACATCCTTGAACAATTCTAGGTGCAATAGTCTAATCAAAAAATGGAGAGATAAATTGAGACAACAGATCAATCAAGCTGTATATTCGTGTCAGGGTTATATTGGACGTACCAAAAAAAATGTGTCGTCGAGTGATAATACTTGTAAAATCTTGTATACAGCGGCAAACAACAGTGGATGTGCAAACCCACGAATCTTTAAAGACCATTCCCAGGTCAGGTAGCCATACGTATTCCACCAAATCAAAACATCAAGTCAAAGAATGCAGCATAAATTTCAAAAGATTCGACAATTCCAGAGCAATGTCTGTCCATTTAAATGAATAGATGGTGCAATTGGCAGGTGTCAAAACCAAACAATCTTAAAAAGGATATCCAAACACATAGGAGTGCGCTACTTCTAAACTCTGCCAAAATTCGTCTGGATCAAAATAAGTTTTAACCAATAAAGCATTATTGACTCTAAAGATCAGTAACCATCCAAGGATCTGAAGCATAGACATCCACTGGCCTGACTGCAGTTGATGTGACAGTGGACCAGATCTATTTCGAGTTTGATTCGGTGCTGATGCATTAGAATGAGCTGCTGTTCCTAAATCAGACTGAACAGATAAATTTTCATTATAGTCCAAGTACTCATCGGCTTGGGAGGGGTGTGTATGGTGCTCAGACGCAGATTCAATACGTTGAGAATGCCCTGCTGCTGGCATCAAGGCATCACTAGTAAAAATTCCCCTGTGTATTTGACGAGCAGATAAAAAAAGCAGAGATCCATCAACAGGTCTGTTCAAATGGTTTCTGCTAGATCCAAACGCAACAGCATTAGACGATGCAGTCTGACTATCAAGTAGAGCGCGCAGTAATCGACGTCGAGTCATCCGCCGCGAGGAGCTGCCACTTGTGTAGGTTGCTGGGTCGGAAAAAGGGTCACTATTATCCGTATCTACAGCCAAACCTCTCCGGACATTATCAGTAGCAGTATATGAGGAGTCGTTGAATGCAGCATCATCTGCTCCAATCATTCTTGATAATAAGATTACTGCTGACAGTATTCTAAACACAAGCTTGTACAGTAATGTGGTCACGTGAAATACGTTCATTTTGATTTGATTGAAACTCGATATTTAAAACAATATGCCTTTACTCTTGGTAAATCGCAAGTGAGTCTAACCTACTTTTATTTACAGCCGTATTCACATAAAATAAAATACTTGTATTTATCTTAGACTTTATTTTGCTTGGGAATAAACAATGTCTAAATACTCGCTGTTTTTCTATTAAAATTAACCTTTTCAATGACACAACTATCATGATGCACACAATCAAACTATGATTTTGAACTGAAATGGTTCTTTTTTTACATTTTGTAGTCATGCATTGCACAATCATCAAATCTAAACCCATATGTATGCATTTCAATCTATATACTGTGTTTGACTGATTTGATGCTGTCGATACAACTCTGCATGCTCATTCTTGTTGTATCCTAAACTTACAGATACATCCGCGTTTCTAGTTCAAGAAACCAATGATTGCACATTTTAGAATGCAACTGTTGTCTGCATGCCAATTGCACAATGTTTGTAATATTTGTACAATGGATTTGGAGATTGAACAAGTGTCAAGATTGTGGGATGCACTGGAGCTGTGGTGTGAACATTTTTTCAGTTGTATTCACTGAATGAGCACGGAGAAAAAGATCAGCAAACTTTGTCGATGGGCTTAGAGGACACAATGTTATTCAGTAAATTTGATGGAAATTGATACCGATTATTCCGCGAAACTGGCTGTTTACCTTGTACTCCAACTCCCTTATTTTAGTTTATTTTATGCGAATGCGGCTGTAAGAGTGAATTGGCTACAAAGTATACAGTGTTCATGTTAAACCAGTGTTATCGATGACTCAAAGCACGAATCCCTGCTGCACTCGTGTACAACATAGTGGGCAAAAGCAACAGCCCTTTAACTCTGTAACTTGAGCTGTAACCCTGTACGTATTGTTATTAGGTTATCGAATAGTAGATCATTTACATACTATATAAAAATAGGGCTTGTCATTGATCGACCATAATACTTTCTGTCACTATGAAAATCAACGTTTTGAGCTGTCTTTTTTTGGCTGCTACTGCCAAAGCCATGATACTTTCGAGCAGTTCAGATTCCATATCCATACTAGAAAAAAGACAAACTCCTCCAAATGAACCGAATCCGTCAACCAGCCAACAATCGCATCCGTCAACCAGCCAACAATCGAGTCAGAATGGCGCAAAACCTAAATCACATTTTCCAGAAGGACCATTTGGTCACATCCTTGACGGAGCACCACCATTAAGGGCTAGCGATCTCGGCTATGATGATGACGGAACACCTTTGGATGAAGGCGATCCTAGATGTAAGGAACTGTCTACAGCTGAACGGTGTTATCGTGCTGCTCATGAAATGACTCTATCAGCAATAGAGGATAACAAAATTACCCAAAGAAAAATAATCGAGCTAAAAGAATGTCAGGAAACACTCGAGCAAATGAAACTATGCTTAAATCACAAAAGATCAAGTTTGGGCAAAATCAAGTCGACTATTTCGCGCAAGTCCTCCATACGCAAGTCATGTCAAGACATCACTTTGGAAAAAGTCAAGGCTCAACATCGGAAATGCAGAAAATTAGATGAAGAGGTTGAAGAAATGATGGAAAAGGAAAGAGATGATATTAATATGATTCAACATTACAAGATGGTGACCGCTCGGCTTAACAAATCATAAATAGTCAGTTAACTTACAGCCGTATTCACATAAAATAAAATACTTGTATTTATCTTAGACTTTATTTTGCTTGGGAATAAACAATGTCTAAATACTCGCTGTTTTTCTATTAAAATTAACCTTTTCAATAACACAACTATCATGATGCACACAATCAAACTATGATTTTGAACTGAAATGGTTCTTTTTTACATTTTGTAGTCATGCATTGCACAATCATCAAATCTAAACCCATATGTATGCATTGCAATATATATACTGTGTTTGACTGGTCTGATGCTGTCGATACAACTCTGCATGCTCATTCTTGTTGTATCCTAAACTCACAGATACATCCGCGTTTCTAGTTCAAGAAACCAATGATTGCACATTTTAGAATACAACTGTTGTCTGCATGCCAATTGCACAATGTTTGTAATATTTGTACAATGGATTTGGAGATTGAACAAGTGTCGAGATTGTGGGATGCACTGGAGCTGTGGTGTGAACATTTTTTCAGTTGTATTCACTGAATGAGCACGGAGAAAAAGATCAGCAAACTTTGTCGATGGGCTTAGAGGACACAATGTTATTCAGTAAATTTGATGGAAATTGATACCGATTATTCCGCGAAACTGGCTGTTTACCTTGTACTCCAACTCCCTTATTTTAGTTTATTTTATGCGAATGCGGCTGTAATTTAAATGAAAAAATTGGTAGCCGAGTGTTATATTTATTACTAGTCAGAGTAGCATCTCATAAATTAGCCGATTGTTCTGAAGCTGTTTTTGAAACCAGCAATGTTGGTTGGATTCGGATTATACTTTCAAGTATTGAGCTGTATACTATAACTTCAGATTCGATCGTCAAAGCTTCAAAGCATCTTTAAACCAGTTAGTCTCAATAATACAAGTCTTTGCATAGCATAAGTCCAAAGTATTTAACAGCAAGGCTTAGTTTCTGGCATATGAAAAAGCAGAATTTGAACTCGTCCAATCGATATACGTCTGATTCAAAGCTGGCTGCATTGCTATCTGTATTTCCTAAAGATTCGGAATACTATCATGTGTATTGCTCTTTAATATTATTTTCAATCAGCTATTATCACTTGTGAGCAGTATCGGATGGCTTTACTTGGTACAACTTCTTACCCAACCCAACGCTCACCTTTCTGCAGCATCGGAATATTGCCTTGGTTTATTCTTCTGATAAACATTGATTCAGCACAAAATGAAAAAATGGTATCAAGTATAGGTAAATAATCAAAACGATTCAATATTGCAATTGAAATTTACTGACTTGATCATTTACAACCATATTCGTGTAAAATGAAACGCTTATATTTATCCTGCAATCAGAGTTTCGATTTTGCTCCGGAATAAACAATGATTTTACGCACAATCAAGAAATATCTGTTGCTGTCATTATACTGAAGAAACTCCGTTATATTCTAATATCAGATACGTTTGCGCTCTAGTTCAAGATAACATTTCAGGAATGCAACCGTTGTTTCCATGCCAATCACGCAATCTCAATATTTGGTTTGGAAAAAAGGAAAGCTGAAAGTTGAGAAGATATCAAGGATATGAGGCGTGCTGAGACAGGAATGTGAATACTGCATTGAACACTCACCAAGTTCATTGGTATTTATCCGTGCTCATTCTTGTACAAAAACACTGTTGGCGGGCTTAGAAGACACAATGTTGCTCAGTAAGATTGGTGGAATTTTGCCGCCTATTATGTATTTTAGCTTATTTGTGTTTCATTTTATGTGGGTACGGCTGTAATTATCTGGCAAGGCTTTCGAATCTACTAGGATAGTTCTATAGTAAATTATGGCAATCACTTGTAATGCTTAAATACGTTGACTATTTATGGTCTTTTATTTTGAATCGAGTGGCTATAATATTATAACGTCTAATAATAGCCATCATTTGCTCCCTCTCGTCCATCATTTTTTCAACTTCGTCTCTTACATTTTTGCATTTCTGAGCTTGAGCCTCGAGTTTTTCCAAAGTGATCTTTCGATGTGACTTGTATGGGGATGATCTCTGTTGATTTAGGTCTTCATTATAACTTTTAAAGCGCAGCTCCATCCGCTCGTATTTCTCCTGGCACCATTGTAGCTCGTCCATTTTTCTTTCGATCATTGCACCATTTTCCATTAATGATGGAGTCATTTCACGAGCAGCACGAATACACCGTTCAGCTGTAGACAGTTCCTTACATCTAGGATCATTTTTGTCCAAAGGTGTTCCGTCATCATCATAGCCGAGATCGCTAGCCTTTAATGGTGGTGCTCCATCAAGGATGTGACGAAATGGTTTTTCTGAAGAATGTGGTATAAATGGTCCTTCTGGAGAATGTGGTTTAAATGGTCCTTCTGGAGAATGTGGTTCAAATGTTACAACACTCTGATGCGATTGTTGGCTGTTTGATGGATTTGATTGTTGGCTGGTTGACGGATGCGATTGTTGGCTGGTTGATGGATTCGATTGTTGGCTGGTTGACGGATTCGGTTCATTTGGAGGAGTTTGTCTTTTTTCTAGTATGGATATGGAATCTGAACTGCTCGAAAGTATCATGGCTTTGGCAGTAGCGGCCAAAAAAAGACAGCTCAAAGCGTTGATTTTCATAGTGACAGCAAGTATTATGGTCGATCAACGACAATCATTGCTGTTTATATATTTTATCAAGTAGCAGACCATTTACACACTGATAACAGTGCATACAGGGTTACGGCCCAAGTTACAGAGTTAAAGGGTTGCTGCTTTTATCCACTATGTTGTACACGAGTGCAGCAGGGATTCGTGCTTCGAGTCATCAATAGCACTAGTTTAACATGAACACTGTATACTTTGTAGTCAATTCACTTGCAGTGTTTTATACAAAAATGGACACAGAAGAGAAAGGCCATTGAACTTGACCAAAAAGTTTAAAAGACACGGTATTCAGTAAATTTGATGACAATTACCATTTCACAAAATCGATCGTTTATCATGTACTCGGACTCCTTTATTTGTTCCGTTTCAGTGAATACAACTGAGCAAATGTTCACACCACAGCTCCAGTGCATCCCACAATCCTGACACTTGTTCAATCTCCAAATCTACTGTACAAATATTGTGAATATTGTGCAATTGGTATGCAGACAACAGTTGCATTCTAAAATGTGCAATCATTGGTTTCTTGAACTAGAAACGCGGATGTATCTGTAAGTTTAGGATACAACAAGAATGAGCATGCAGAGTTGTATCGACAGCATCAGACCAGTCAAACACAGTATATATATTGCAATGCATAAATATGGGTTCAGATTTGATGATTGTGCAATGCATGACTACAAAATGTAAAAAAAGAACCATTTCAGTTCAAAATCATAGTTTGATTGTGTGCATCATGATAGTTGTGTCATTGAAAAGGTTAATTTTAATAGAAAAACAGCGAGTATTTAGACATTGTTTATTCCCAAGCAAAATAGAGACAATCATTGCAAGATGAGCACATTGCCAAACTTTACGTGAACACCGTTGTAGAACTATAATCATCGAGTGTCCATTCAAACCCATGTATTGAAACATTCAACCATGACTCACTTTTCTGTATTATTTTCAATTTAAATTTACTATTAAACAACCAATAATTTATATGCTCAACTATGTCACAACTAGCGACAGGGTTGAGAATCAAAACATGAATGAAAAAATCAGTAATCGTCATCAATGTGTATCGTGTATTTGGAAATACTTGCGCAAGTCTAACTCAACCACTTGTATGTGTGATCGAGATCCGTTACTTATACGACTGCCATCACCACGACCACAGTGACATGTTGTAGTTTGAGCATGAGGGTTTGGTGTTGCAGGTTTACATTGTGATGGCAGATTCGTGTCGCCATCTATATTAATGGTGTCAGTCTTGATCGGTTTACAGTCTTCAAAGTTGTCCGACAACATCACTGCAGTATACATTGTGACAAATGGTGTGGCATTATTGTCCAAGCTTCAGCACCAACTTCAGCACTGTGTTATTGCACCATTCATAAATGTATGTCAAATGGTTCATCAAGTAAAATGGTTTCCACATATCGAACTGCACCTATCAAGCGCATATGTTGCCAAAATACTGTCAGCTTACTGGATCAAGCTGCTTAGTCCAAAAATATAATTATTGGTGATATTTTGCAGATATCGGTAGATTGCTCAACTACTGACTTGAATGACATGATCGTTTATCGATCGTGTTTCCTGTATCACGTTCAGTTTGTTAAACGACATGTTGATCCTTTCAATTCAATACATGACAACGTCAATCATTTAATCTTGTTCCAGAACGGGTTTCAGTGTTTGACCTATATAGTATGTATGCCAACCTAAAACAACTGTGCAGTTTTACAAACGAACAATCCATATGTTTGAAATACAACAACATGTTTGATGATATTGGAATGTTTTGCAAACATGAGAAAGTGAGTTGAATATAATCAAAAAATATATTTTCATGTTTCCGTCCCCATCATCGCTAGCTTTAGCAGGGTTGATAAGCATCAAAATAGCGGCAAAGCAATATAATAATATCACGCCATTGCTTCTATGCAACTATAACAAAGCAAAATCTTCCTCTAAAAAATAAACCCATTAATATTACATACATTAGTAAAGCATAGATGCGATTCTGGAACACCTAGAGCTACACTGTAAATATGCAAGTATGCAGATTTCAAGACCCGAGTCAAGATCCGTATGGGATATGCCTTGATGGCAATGTACAACAGCACTGCTCGGTCCAATCTGCACATGCAAATGAATGCATGGGAGTGCTAACCAAAGGGCGTCAATACACTGATGCAAGAGTGTCAAAATATCAGTAGAGCCAACGACTGCTTACAAAGCATACTCCCTGTGCAAACTAAATTACGGCACCATTCAACCCTACAAGCACAAAAATACTAGAATCAAACTTTTATTATTCAAAAACTAGTGCATGCAAAACGAAGCTATTTTGGTATGGATGTAGCAAGAAAACATCTTGCTGTAGCAACAAAAAGTAATCAGATGGATATTAGTGTGGAGATTTGGTGCAAGTGAGGATATTATGGGTCTGTTGTGAGTTGAAACCAGAAAGGTCAAAAGTCTAATAGAAAGATGTCGGAGCAAAGCGAATGGTATGCCGCCAGAAAAGGGTTAGGGTTAGAGTAACACTGAAAGAGACGGCATGGCACAAAGTGCTGGAATACGATTCAAGCCACTTTAGAATAGTAGAGTCGATATACGAAAAGATAAAGCAAAGCCGCACCGCAGACAGCACATGAAACTAGCAGAGACCGTAGTGAAATAAGCAACTCTGGAATACAAGTCACAACACAGCTGGTGTCTGAAATGAAACAGCTAGCAATAGATCAAGTTGGTCGAGCCACAGCTCGCAGGCATCGCTCAAACCAGACCAGAATAAGTGCTGGCAATTGTTAATTTAACCCTTGAAGCGATCTGTGACTACGCCCACTACTGAACCCGTGCCTTTGAGAAAAGCAAGTCATGAACAATATATGCGATTAGACATAAGATGTTTATGCATATCGGTATATTGCTGTGTATACTCGCTGTCTATCTCAATGCCATGATCACGCATCGTTCGGTCGGCTCAGGCAAAACAAAGCACCTTCAATCTAAACATGCATCCGATCTGGTATCCACCCATCATAAACAGCCTCATCTGCGTACGCTAATGGTGCGGGGACGAGTAAACTCTGCATTCAAATGAGCACAGACTACCCGACGTTGAGCAGTGTGAACTGACAAGTGTCGCTGTTGAGATAGTGTCAGTCGAACATCAATGGGTTTACTAAATGTATTGACCTGATGCAACCCGCAAACTGTGGCCAGCACAGCGTTCTGGTGTTCACCAGTGAACCCAGAAGCGTCACACACATCAGCCTCACTATCAAGATCGCTATCTGTGGTGTCACTAGTAGATGCAGTATCTAGCGCAAGCGATGGAATAGCAGATGGGAACACCGTGCGAGGTCGGCGTTTGGACCTTGTTGATGTGGTAGATTGCAACGCCGTGTATGGGGTATGAATGGCATCAGAGGCCTGCTCTGAGTCGCTGCTGCCTAGACTGCTTGTGCTGCTGTTGAATCGAACATGGCGATTGATGCCAATACTGATCCAACTGACATGGCTCGAGTGCGATACTGCATCAAAATCAGAAGAGTGGATCAAGCTTTGATCTGTCGGCTGCGATGGGGGAACCAAAGTAATGGTTGAGCTGTGGGTAATGGACGGAGAGAATCCGACAATTTGAGTCTGGGCAACCAAGTGCTGCAATGGCTGTGACGAGCATTGGGAAGAATCAGATCCAAAAGAGGCTGGAGTAATCATAATGTAATGCGCAAGGATATGTATCGAGAAATATTAAGGTTTTGGTCAAGGAGCTTAGTCGATACCGTATCGATATGTGTATCCTTCTAAAAAGCGAGAGGAAACAATCCGCTAGTTTTATAGTCGCTTCAAGCCGGTGGGCGTTTCGTGTCGTTGATTGATTTTACAGAAGCTTTCAGCAGTTGAGTGGTGGCCGTCGACTCAAGGGTCTAATCAAACAAACAATAGTTTCAGGGTCAGATGCGCATAATGCCTTTTTGCAGTAATCAATTAAATCAAATTGAATGCGTTTTGAAAATGAGCCTATTTAGGGGATTCATTTGAATGGCAGTAAAGGGACTGTAACAGATATATCTTTATCTATCAAGTATCATTCGGCCTATTAGTCGTTGCTAGAGTCAAGCATATCAAGAAATGACCCAAAAATGGCGATGGTGACCAAGGTCGATGGTCTAATAACTGGGTCCATGCCAACAGGCACGAGACTTGGCAGCCGACCACTAGTTGGATGGAAATTATATTGTTCTAGTTATACAATGAATAAGCATCAAGGTAATGTCTGGCCATATAATACGACTTGGCTTGGCTTGGCTGGATTAGATACGGTGCTGGGCTAATGAGTGGTGCTGGGTTAATATGAATGATGCTGTGTGTGATTTTGTCCAAAACGAGTCTTAATGCATCCTTGTTGTCTGACACGAGCAAAGCAATTCAAGCTAGTTTGATGATAAACTAATGCAAGTGAGCCAATAATGTGGCTGTTTACAACGATCATGTCAGCGATCATGCCAATGAATTCGATTGAATGCAAGAATTACGAATATGGATGAATGGGCAATGTAATGTCGTAGTTGACATGGCCATCACTCAGATACAAGCGAGTATTGGTAGACAAGACTATTGACATGATACAATAACACAGGCGGCCGAATGTATCAACAATGCAGGCGCAATCATAAGATGCGACTGGATTCTGGCCGAGTTTGGAATGTACAATGGTTTGGTTGCATTAAGTTGTTTCATAAAGTTTATATTGAGTCATTGTTTGTGACAATCCATCCATCAACACCAATTACCCACATTCAATTAGCGTTCTAGTCGTATTGTTTTCATGTAATATCCAGTAATCTTACTGATGATCAAGCCATATCTCATTATGCGCCACCAATGTCGCATTATTTCTCGGTCAAATGAATTTGCTATACGCATCACTGCTGAACGCTCAACATCATCGTTTTCGTTGTGTTTTGTATCTTGAAAGCCACAATTGGCTGGCATTGTTTATCAGCATACTATTAATTGCTAGTGAATAAAACTATAGAACCATCAACAATGCATGTCGTACTACTGTAAATTCATGGCTAGCATAAATCCGTGCAGTGCCCAGTGTTATAGACGGTATCTGTCTGGTCATACATGTGTTTTTATCACACTAGGCTATATCAATCATAACCCGACTAAATGGAATTGTCAATGGTGATTTGATAATTAGCAATGATTCCCTATGGATGAGCGTTGATACATTTGACCCGTTAATTTGGTCGGGTTCCCACCAACGCCACATAATTCTCGTTCCATCAGTATAACCATCAGCATCAAATCACATGAAACATAAATGCAGTAATGATAAGACGTAATCAGGCTAATCTTGAGATAGTTACCAACACAAATACACCCTTTAAACACTGTTTAATTAGACCTACCCATAACTTGTGCTGCATGACCGCTTTAATCCTGTTCCAACTCGATGTAATGGGCGTCATGACTTTTTCTTTGCATTAATAGAGATGTAAGCCTTATCTTTTTCGTTCATTACCCTTTCATTTTGCAACTTTGTCAGTCTGTTACGGGTTGATTAAGGGGTTCATCAGGCTAATTTAGATTCTAATTAATTACAATCTATATTCGTGTAGCTTTGGCCGAGTTTTATGACAAACCATGTGTATACCACTTGTGAGTCTGATATGATCTTGACTTGATTAGAAGCCTGACAGAGTCGGATACAGCATGCACTGTATCGATCTCCTATACATGGACAACACTACACACTTATCAAGTCGTGCGAGTTCAGCCAATAGAAATCTACTGAATCTATTGATAGGCAGACCTGCATTTGAGCCATGTTCAATACACAAACGTATCTGCAAATATTATGGTTTTTGCTCACTTGTTCCTGACTCAATATGCGGGCGTGATGGTTATGCTGCAATATTGTCGTTTGGTGGATCCGTCCAAAGATCTTTCAACTGCATGATACAAAGACTCGGTTTTGGCAAGTTTATTTTAATTGGTCACATCAGGACTAGAGTATACACTATTCATCATGCTCAATGGCTGGTGTAGATATATCTACAACCAAATCTGTTGACTGTCGCAGATAGTTTAAATTGATGTCTGGTACTTTATATCAAATATAAAGACAAACTAGACATGCCAATCGATTATACTGTTGCTATTTTGTGCATCAATACTGTTTTATACAAAGTTGATCAATGGTTCGACATATAAACAGTGGAGCAACTCGACACATTCTAGACATGCAATATTAAACAAATTTGTATGATCAGCAATTGAATACATGGCAAATTTGCATGTCTATTAATTGTTGCAGTAGATTGTTGCTAGAACGATATGGATATGCTCAATCCAAATGGCAACTGTCTCAAGGCGCTCGGTCATGAATACTTGCAATAAACAAATCCGTACTAATGGTCAGACAGACTGTTGGTATGCACTGAGTGTGCCATTGACAATGACCATGACAGTTACACAAACGGCTGCTTCACTAGCAAATGCTAATCGGCCGTCACAGCCACTTGCCATTAGAAGCTATTTGAAAAAGGATTGTCCTTTACCACTACTACAACAGCATATGCTTCGAACTGCTTCTGTCCATCGCAAGACCGCCGAGACTGATGTACACATTGATCTCACTTTACTGGACGTTGGCCAATTTGACAGTCAGGCCATTTCCATCTCTACTGGAATTGGATTTTTGGATCATGTATGACTTGATGAAATTATGATGATTAGTAAAAGGTCAATGCCATTTAATACAAACGAGTAGGATTGGTGGATAAAAGAATGAATCCCATCAATATTCAGCCATCAGTATTCTGCTGATATCAACCTCAAAGTGTTGGCATGTTATTACTAATGCAACCGTATTGAACTGCAACTCACACTTTAATGGACTGTTCAATTGGCTTATTAGATGATCCATGCACTTGCCAAACATAGTAAATGGTCCATCACTCTCAAGTGCACTGGGGACATTCACATTGATGACCACCACACCACAGAAGATATAGGTCTGGCACTGGGCAAGGCATTCAAGGAGGCCTTGGCACAAGGTCCATCCAATCTTGCTGGCATTAAACGCTTTGGATATGCCTATGCTCCGCTAGATGAAGCCTTGTCCCGTGCAGTTGTTGATATCTCTGGCCGTCCATCAGCTCATATCGATCTTGGTCTCAAAAGGGAAATGCTTGGTCAGTTGAGTTGTGAAATGATTCCACATTTCCTTGAAAGTTTTGCTGGCACTGCTGGCATTACCCTACATGTGGATACTATCAAGGGATTTAATGATCATCACAGGTACAGTTGTAGCTGAATGCATGGTGTCATGTTTGGATACTAGAGTAGATGTAGCACTGTTTTGGTTACAAAGTCTATTTACAAAAGTTTATGATGAGTGGATTTATTAAACTGTTACTATGGATCTGATAGGAGCGAGTCTGCATTCAAGGCAACAGCACTTGCCCTTCGTGAAGCCGTTTCATTTACTGGTGCATCAGACGTTCCTAGCACAAAGGGCACGCTGACCGATTAGTTGATAAACAATCGGATGTTGCACTTGGACATGTGTTTTCGTTGGATTTACTACTTTATAAACTATGCAGTTTTGATTGCTACTGAAAGTTGTTGGGGTTTATTGGCGAGGCTAAATATATCATTGATTAGTCAAATATTGCTGTCGTATTTCTAATTTTAATAATGCTACATTCTGGATATTTTGGTTGGTGATAGTGGTTGTACATGGGTCGCAATCATAGTCAGCACATCAGGATCACCCAGATACAGTGTTTAAATCCAAAGTCGACTATTAACCAACAATAAACTCGATACAATTCAGCAGGCCAGTTGCAGATCCTCATAGTAGACTTACCAAAGTCAAGCTCTGTGTTTTTGAAATAAAGCAATGGCCGTCCATCCGCACGCACACCTTCCTGAATAAACCGCGGTGATACTCGAGTGGTTGAATCTTTTTAAACGTATCTGGATCAAGAAACTCACTATCTTTGAAGTGATCGGATTCCTGCAGTACCATTTGTATATCAACACTCATTAATAAAATGCAGATACTATTGCTTTAAAGTGTTATCTTTATCTGCAGTCGGAAAGAAAAACATAAAATTTCCAAATTGTCGCCATCAGATTTGACTGGCAATTTGAATAGGCTTTATGAAGCATGTCGCAAAGACCAAGTCGACCAGCAAACCAGAGTGGTCTCAAAATCACTCCGAATCCCATTCTCACGAAACGAAGAATTCCCCAATGGGAGAACTGGGCAAAAATGCAAAATGCATCTGATAGACTGCATGTTCAATCCACAGCTGACAAGCCAGGCGATATCTCGAGTCTTGGAGGTCAAAGTCAAATCCAGCAACCAGCAGATACAATGAAACAGAATGGAAACATAATAACACAAGAATTTCCACTGGAATCTATAAAGACTTGACTGAGTTTTCAGGATCCATCATTGGCGTTATCTAAACGACAACTCACTCGCTCCATTCATTTTGTAGATTTCGATAAACCTGAATCTGGAAAGCCATCAAATTCAATCAATACAACTCAACAGGCATTGCCATCAAAAGTGTTTGGAAAAGAGCATCCTTTAACTATGTCTTTTATCCCCAGCGTATCCCAAAACAGCCTTGCATCGTGCATTCCTGATGCTTTGAAAAAGTTGCCCAAAAAATACTACTCGCACCAGTTGAACATTTCAAAAATTCCAGCTTTACCATCCAGGCTCGACTCTGTTGAAGTAATCAGACTCTAACCGTTTTCAAACTGTTTGAATGATTAGCTTACATCGGTTGTAGTATCCGAGCAGGGTATTATTCTAACACAATGTAACACTAGTGTGTCACATTGTACATCACCTAGTTCATATCCTTTACATCATTATTGACCCTTATGTTTCTATAATGACCACACTTTAACATTGTACTCATAGTTACCAATCATATGTAACTATATTCCATTATATCTACATAGCCAACTAAAGGAATAAGTCCTATTGGCTAAGCTATCTCCGATTACAATAGCCTATTATCAAACAGTCAATTACTATAAGAACTAAGGTACTTTGTTATTAAATAAATCCTTTGAACATCCTCTGAACATCATCCGACATAACTTCGTTACTATCTATCAAGTTCAACTCTCTATTCTGTTGACTTTGACTTGCGTGACTACTTCCTGATTATCATTCAAGACCTCTTCTGACCTATCTTTTCTACAGCGGCAGATTATATACTATTACATTATACTTTACTAATTGAAAGACTCAGTCTCTTTCTCTATTTTCTATCTCTATACTTCTTGCGCGATAATCAAAATCTTTAATAGGTTATTAGAACAGTTGGAAGCCACGCAGTAAAGATCACATACGGTCTATACGTACCAAGACTAAACCAAGCCAATTTCAGCAAATGGTATATCAGTATCGAAGCAGTATTCGAGCACTATGATTTATGGGATTCATACGTCATTGCAGAACCGCCAGAAAAGGCAGAAAAAGCATTCAAGATAAACGAAATCAAAGCAAGAGGGTTAATCTGCTCAACAGTCAGCGAAGAAGACTATGAAGAATTCACTGAGGATCCACATGGAACTCCGCTATCAGCACGCGATTCAATCGCTAAAATAGTCAAACACTTCAAAACAGGAAATCTGATCGAGATCCACGGATTGGAAATCAAGATGCAAGAACTCACTTACAACACAGATGGAGGAGTCAAAGTTATATTCGAAGAAATGGCTAAGCTAAGGAAAGCGCTCGAGAGAATGAACGTTGTAACTTCAAATTCCGAGTTCTTCAGAAAAATCCTATGGAAGCTAATCGATGTATCACGACATTGGGTCTCGATGAGAAAGGAATTCAATGACTATTCTGAAAAGGACTTGTCTACACAGCCTATCAAGGACATGTTAATCAGAGAAGAAGAGGATCTAATAAGAGCTCACGAATTACCCAAATTACAAAACGCCAAAGTCGCGTTACACAGCTCATTCGAACAAAGAAAGCCATCAAGAGCAAACTACAATCAGCCACATCTCAGGGGCTTTACCAACGGAGATCACTCGAACGATTCTCGTCAGAATGTTCAAAACTCCAATAATTCATCTTACTGGCCAAACGGCAAGAAGAAGATATTGCGTCGTAATTGTGGAAAACTTGGATCTCATTTAGCAAAAGACTGTCGAGCTCGGTCCTCAAATAACAGTCAATCAAATAGTAACTACGCATCTACGTCATGCTACAACTCAAACGCTAATAATGATTTCTCGTTTCACAATACCACAACTTCACCAAAAACAGACTACTGCAGTATCAGCAGGAACATTGTCAGCGAGATCATTCTTGACTCGGGTGCTACCACTCATATGGTATGCAACAAGAACTGGCTGTCTAATACAGTACCACTACAAAATCACAGCGTTAAAGGTTCAATGAAAACGGCTACAAATGCCGAATGCAAGGGATCGC